GCAGAAATTCTTAATAAATTAAATCTTATATAAGGTTACTATTAAATCTAGATTAAAGAAGAAGATATTCTAAAAATAGTATTTAATATATATTAAGAAAAATTTAAATTTATTATAATATTATTTAGATTAGCTAATATTCTAGCTATTTTTTAAGCCTTAATAAATAGGATTTTATATCTATATCTTAATAAATTTATAATTATTTATTTTAATAATATTATAGTTTTCTCTCTAATATTAGAGGAGTATATTTATTACTTATCTATAGTTTTATAAGTCTTATCTAATAATTAATTATTTATAAAGCTATTTAAATATATTTTTATAAAGCTATAATTAGAATTTTATAGATATAATATAGGCGGAGAGATAGTTTAGCTAATATAGTTAAAGATAAAGATTATTAAAGAATAGCTAATACCTATTAATATTTATAAGATTTACTAGTTCTTAAGATTAATATAATATTATTAATATTATATTAAGAATTTTATTAATATTATTATACTCTTATTAGACCTTTTAAAAGAAAGCAATATATAATTATATAAATAGAAATATTATAGGATTAAATAGACAGTATAATATTAATATATATTTAAATAATTAAAAAAAAGTATTATTAGTAAACCTATTCTCTAATTATTAAATATCTTTAAACTATTTATTTTTAAAATAAATACTAGCAATTAAGCAATTAGTTATAATTTACTATAAAAAGATATAACTATAAAAGGCTTATATTTAATTACTTTTAAAGGTTATAAATTAATAATTTATAAAAAAAATTACTTAATATATAAAAAAGAATTGCTAGTAATTAAATATACTCTTATAATTTAATATATATATCTTAATAATAGATATAAGATTATAGTCCTTATTAATTATAAAAATCTTAAATATATATAAATAATAAAAACTCTATTAAAACAATTAATATAATAATTAATAGATTTTTAAGATTATAATCTTAATATTAAATATTACCTAAGTAGTTAAACTATTATCCTAGATATAATATTATAATACCCTAACTTTATATTAGAAGAGAAAAAAGCAATATAATATATTATTAACTCTCTTATAATTAGATAAAATAAGGTAGAATAATATAATATAATAGTTACTATATTTAATAATAAAATAATATTGCTATAATACTTATAATCTATAATTAATAAGAAAAAGAATAAGTTTATATTTAATATAGAAGAATTCTTATAATATTATAATAGTAATAATAATATTCTCTATCTTTATTTATTCTTTTATAATAATTTCTTAGAAGAAATATATATAGATTATAGATACCTTAGATATTTAGCTTTATTTAAAGTTATATAACCTTATATATAGTAGCTAATAATATAGAAAGATATATAATACTTTATATAATATTATCCTAAATATTAGGTAGTATAATAAATATAGCTAGGCCTTAAATATAAGATATTATAAACTTTTACTAGTTATAATATCTAATTATTTAATTATTAGGTAATTAATCTTATTAGTATTTTATTAACTATATTAAACTATAATAAATAGATTATTACTATAATTAAATATATAATAAGATAGCTAGTTATAGAAGTATTATTAAATATAAAAAATAAAATAATTATAAAGTTTATCTATAATTATATCTTTATTAATTATAGAGCTTTATAGGAACTATTATTTAATAATAGCTCTAATTTCCTTTCTTAAATAATTATCTATTACTTAAAGATTATTAGTATATATTATTAGTATATTATATTATATTACTTAAAAACTAATAGTAAGATTAAGAATTATAATAATCTATTAGATAATATATTAATTAAAATACTTATTAATAAGCCTATCTATTTATAGGATAAATATCTTTTATAAGCAATCTTTATAATATATATTAGATTATACTAGACTATAAGGTATAGCTTCTTTTATCTCCTATATAAATATTATTTAATATTACTCTTTAATAATAATCTACTATATTTATTAGAGATTATAAATATAATTAAAGTATATAAAAAATAAATTGCTATATTATAATATACTTAGCTTATAGCTAATAGAAGATTATTAAAAAAAATAATATAAGTATTATAAGTTTATTATAATAATATTATTAAGTCTTTTTTTAAATTTAATAAATAGGTACTTATTTATAATAAAGTATATTAAAAATTTAAAAGATATTAATTTAAATTATATAAAATCCTTATAGCTTATTTTCTTAAAATATATTATTTAGCTAACTATAATAGCAATATTTTATAATATCTTATTAATAGAAATTAATTAATTCTAGTATATATATTTAATAATATAGTTTTATAATCTTAATTAACTCTAAAATAATAAATAGAATTATGCAAATTATATAATATTATTATAATCTTACTAGAGGTAAATATTATTATTAATATAGAAGAATTACTATCTTTAATTTATAATAAACTTAATATAATAATATTAATAAAATGGCGGAGATTATATTAAGAAGCTATCTTATATTAAATATAAGAATAGCTATAAGAGAATTATCTTATATTATAATTATAACTAATTAATAAAACAGATAATAGTATTATATATAATATAATAACTATTAAAAATTAAATATTAATAAAAGATTAAAATATTTTAAATAGACCTATTAATAAGCTAAATAAAGAACTTTTAATATCTATACTATTAATATCTATAGTAAATATATTACTAAAGATTATTATTAGAATATTAATAATAAATAAATAGGATAATAGTAATAAAGAAATAGTAAATATATAGAAGCTAAAAAATCTAATTATAGAGAATAATAACTATCTTAAGAATTTAAGATTAATAGATTTAATAATTATAACTAAGCTATTACTAATAGTGCTAATTAAATTTATTAAATTATTATTATCTTATAATATTAATATCTATAACTTATAGTATAGGCTAAAATTAATTACTAACCCTTACTTTATTATATTTCCTCTTTAATAATATTAAAAGTAAAAGAATTAGTTAAAAGTATAACTATTATAAAATTCTATTTAACTATAAATTCTATTAATAGTTAGGCTATTATATTATAATATTAATATTATCCCTAAAAACCTATAGAAACTACTATAAAGTATTATCTTAAAAAATATTTTAGTAAAATAAAAATAGAAATTTCTTAGAACTATAGATTTTTATTTATTATTAATATTAATAAATTATTACTCTTATTTTTATTACTCTTTAAACTCTCTATATTATAATTATTAATATATAATAGAAATAAGCAGTTATTATATATTATCTTTATCTTTTATATTATTTTTTATAGTAAGACTATTATTATAATAATTAATATCTTTCTCTCTTTTAATAGTTATTATTATATTATTCTTATTCTCTTTAAATATTATAATATTTTTATCCTATTTATAAATCTAATTAAAGATAAATTTTATTTTTTTCCTATTTTTCTCTAAAAATAAAATATATATAACTTCCTTATTTATCTAAGTCTAATATACTTTATTTAAAACGCGATTATCTAGAATAGTATATATATATCTAGTTATTATATTACAGAGAGTAATAATAATATTTAAAAGATTAACTATTAATAATAATTTATTATAAGGCTTATATACTTATTTATAATCTAATATAATATATAAAAAATATAGATAATATTGCGCAGACTATAAAGAAAGAGAATAACTAAAAATAAGCTATATTTAGATAGATTATTATAATATTTCTATTATTAAAATAAATCTTTTAATTATATTTTTATAAGTATATTTATTTATAGATATTATAATATTATTATAGAAATGTTTATATTTATTATTAATAGGTTTATCTTTATTAGATTTTATCTCTAATTTTTTAGAAGAAGAATTTTAAGCAATTATATTATAAATAATATTAACTATATAATTAGTATAATTTAAGAAGGGGAAGGAATAATATAATAATTTACCTAAGAAATATTAGCCTTATTTTAAGAAATAAATATAATTTATATATATATTATTTATAACTCTAAGAACTAAAATATAATAATATAGCCTAAGGGCTATTTTTAGACTATAATATTTTACTTTATCTTTATTTTAATATATATTAATTATTTTTAAATTATTATATTAATTATAGGCTATAATTATTAATAATATCTGCGATATTATAATATATATTTATAAGGTTTATTAATAATATCCTTTATATATATAAGAATATTATTCTAGTATATTTCTTAAAAAATATTATTATATTATAAGACTATAATTTTATTATACTAATACTGCTTTAACTATTATATATTTTAAAAAGATAATAAACTTCTCTTAATTTAAGTAAATATAATATTAGCTAAGAGTATAAGATTTAGATCTAAAATAATAATATCTCTATAATAAGATATTATAGAATTATAAAATTATAAAAATATATTTATATTTAAAACTACTATAAAGAAATAATAGAATAATTAATTTATTACCTATAAAAAGGAGTAATAAATATATAAAAAGAATTATATAGTGAAGTCTATAACCTTATATAACTTTATACCTTAAGCTAATGCGCTAGCCTAGTTATATTAAACCTGATTAGCTCATTTAAAGAGGGGAGGATATAGTCTTTTCTTATATTATTTAGCTTAGTTATTCTCTACTATATAGCCTTAGGCATAGATATCTCTTAGTAATCAACTTTCTTCTTCTGAACAACACGATGATGGCCCGTCCGCACGTGGTCGGCTGGGCCTGCCGACCGCAGAGCTTCACCTCGGCTCGCCCTTCCCCGTCGCCGACCCCGCCGACAAGCATAATATGAACGGAGATGCGCACCGCGACAGAATCCACGGTTAGTGAGTGAGCACTCCAGCGACTATTTTTCAGAGCTCGAATTCAAGTTTACTCGTTCGCAATGTCTATCCTCTATCAACAATCAAATCCTGTTGTCGCGCAACGCATTGAGAAATCTGGAAGTTGTGAGCCGTGACAATGCCCGGCGAGGTCGAACGAGGTAGTCTTAATAATGGCTCCGGCAATGCTTCAGCTTACCCCAAAACTGCTTTGAACACAGTCCGTGTCTACAAGCAAAGAGGTAAGCAGATGAAAACAGCAGTTACTCAAGCTTAGGAGCTAACCCTCTATAAAGGCCACTACGATTACCGCACCGTGCACTCCATCCTCGCCTCGACCTTCGTTTCGCACGTTTCCTTTATCATCAAAGATGAAGAGGGCGAACCGATACCGATGAACCTGCCACTGACGGCCGTTCTAGGTCGTTATGACCCAAACAATCCATTACCAGAGGATGACGGGGACGAGGAACAATATATGCACCAGCAGGAATCAATGACCGATGGGCCGGCGGATCTCTATCTACACGGCAACGCAGCATCCTTATTGTGTAAAGCCATCAAGGAGAATGGCTCTGTACGCGTCTGCATCAGTTCCACCAAAGGTACTATCACCTATCCTTGACAACCAGCTTCCGGAGCAAACAGCTGACTCGACCGCCCAGTCGATGGAGTTGTTATGTTTTTCACTCCAAACGGACATTCATTAAACTATCGCTCAGTCGTCGTTCACGGCGATGCGGAGCTTGTGTCGAGCCTCGAAGAACGCCGCTATGCTATGCATCTGCTCACCAATCACATGGTACGGCGACGCTGGTCAGGCACGAACCCCGTGTCCCCCTCGGCCGTTAAAAGCGTGCAAGTAATGCGCGTAAAGATTCGTAGTGCATCTGCCAAGGTTCGTGCATCGAACATAGGCAGCTTTGAACCAAGAGAAATGGGTACTCGACAGGATGTCTGGACGGGTGTCGTGCCCTTGTATGAAGTCCTCGGGACACCAGTCAGCAGTGGCGGCTTTCCGGAGCGTGAAGTGCAAGAACATCTGGAGGATTGGCGGTCAACAAGGAATGAAGCCGAGAAGAGTTATGCGGAGAGAGTGGCGATTCCGTCTGATGTGGAATTAAGCTCATGGCAGAAAGTCACGTCTGAATGAAGCTTATGACCCACGAGTTGAAGAGTCAATTGTTGTTATGTTTTACGACTGTATTTCTACATCATCTGCAAGTGGTTTCTGTTAGCCGATACCAACTGCTGTAACGAAATTCATGCTGGCTGGGTCAATATTCCTACGTTTAAACGCAAATGCTAGTTTATGCCATATATTCGCAGTTGACATGGGTAATTCATTCGGTGTTGCCAACGACTAACCGAAAAAGAAGACAATCGTCGCTGGTGGAAAATGTAGTTATACTCTTGGAAGCGATATAGATGGATTCTAGATGCTTTTTTATTGCTCTGAGCTTTCTAGTAAGTATACCATTAAATGTGGCACATATCGTGGCACAAGAAATGCCGGGGCAATACTGTACACACCATAATATTTATGTTCAAAGTAAGCTTCCTTAACTCTCTTTGTATAGACCCTCATGCATATGTGCTTCCTGTGAGGAAAATCTTTCCACTGTCACTCTAAACAGTCCTAATAGCCATTAGCCGGCAGCTTCGACCTATCTTGCAGGACCCCGTCCACACTGGCCATGACTGCGAGCAACTTCTCCTCTTGAAACCGCCTGCTCACAAGCTGCAATGATACTGGAGCGTCACAGTACTTTCGCGGTCCATCTGTTCCCTTGCCATACAGACTCTCATACCAAGCATCTATATCGCTTAGGGGCTTTTCGCTGACACGGGGGTATCTTTCCCACGTGTCTGTTTCCTTGACAGTACTAACAGGTAGCACTGCGGCACTGAAGTCCAAGGCGTTAAAAACAGAGCAATAACCCCAGTACCGACTCTCATCATGTGCGGATGCGACGGATGGCCCGACGGGGCAGAGGATCGCATCGACCTGAGTCTGACGGAGCTGCTCAGAATAGAGAGTTCGGAGGCGATTACGTTCAGCATTTATCTGTCCTAGTCAGTTCTAATGCTTGTCCTTCCCGAAACAAATGCAAAAAGACCTACCAGCCACGACTCTTGAAGAGTGTACTCCTTCTTGGCCACGGTGTTTAGAATCCATTCTATTATAGGAACAGCAGGCTCTCCAGCTTCTTTCATCATCTCACGGTACTCCCTTCCACCATCAAGGAAGTAAGCCTTGTTGATGCAGTCGATGAGTTCTGCATGATAATAAGGTTTCCATTCGATTATCGTGTGACCGGCTTGTCGTAACGCAACGACCGCTTCCTGTAGTGCCCGGGAGACAGGGGGATGTGGCTGGACAATTCCATCATTCCACAGTACTCCAATAATCATCTTCTTCGGAGGCTCAAGATTTGCTTTCCATGGTATCTCAACAAGAGAAGGCTCGTGGTGCCAGGGCTCACTGTCTAGCACGACCTGACAGAACAGGTTTAAATCATCGATGCATGTTGCCATTGGGCCGCAGACACCGACGATATTCTCCATTCCATCATGAAGACCAGTGAGCCCACCGTGCGGGATTCTAGCTACGCTAGGCTTGATGCCGTAGATTCCACAAAAGCCAGACGGCACTCGGATCGATCCTCCTAGAATTGTGTCAGCGGGAGTATTTCCTTCTGATCTCGTTATAATTAACATTTACCAATATCGGTTCCAATCCCCAGAAGACTCCCACGCATTGCAATCAATGCTCCTTCTCCACCACTACTTCCGCCTGGCGTCAAAGCCGTGTTATGCGGGTTCACTGTTCGACCGAAGAGATTGCTGTCGGTCTCAATTGCCTGTATGGACTGGTTTTCAGTCCCCTCCCCCTGCAGAAAGTGTCGATAATATATGCATATTCACACTTACCATGAGAGTCTGCGGATTCGTCGTCTTGACATGAAACACCGCCCCTGCCTCTCGCAGGACTCTCACTAAGAGGGCATCCTCCGGGCTCATTTGGTCTGCCCACGCCATCAATCCCGACGTCGCTGGAGTACCAACAAGATAGACATGCTCCTTGACAGAAATAGGAAGACCATGTAGCGGGCCCTTGGGCTTTCCTTCAACACGCATATACTCGTCCAGAGCAGCTGCAGCATCTAGCGCTTCTTTAAACATCACATATGCGAGACAATTGGTCTGCAAGTGTCGATAACTCAGTAAGACTTCTTATCCTAGCCAGGGATCCTCAATTGATATGGAAGAAGTATTAGGTACACATCCCGCTTGGTGCGCGATTGCCGCTCTCTTGCAAAAGGCCTTTGTGACCTCCACGGCTGAATATGTTCCATCGTGGATCCGTCGCAGGAGTTCAACTGCCGTGTGTTCGGTGATACGAAGCTCTTGAGGAGTGAGAAGACCACATCGGTAAGGCAGGTCGATCAGTTTCTGTTGTGCCAGGAGGGTCGTGTCCACTAGGTATTCTGCAGGGATTCTGTCATAGATCTCTTTTCTACGATGCGCAGCGATAGTGCGCCAGTCTTCGGGCATTGCGAACCTTGGCGTTATAACGAAGTATGGGCTCAGTGATCTCCTATGATATTCAACGAGTGATAAAAGTGGCAAAGGGCGGAGAGCAAACTACATGAATGAATGGACTGATCAGACACAGGAGAATAAATTGTCAAGAATCGAGGTCCTCTAAGGATATTAAAACGTTCATGAAAAAAGTACTGTACCACATCGCAGATGCATTCATGTCGTCCATGACCAAGCCTCAGTGTTCAGTAGGTACCAGCCGCTTTATGCGGACGCTCTATTCGCGAGCAATGGTCCATAATGTGGGCTGCTCCTTTTTGCCAAGTTACTCTCGGCTCATGTTAACGGGTCTATTCTAGAGCCCTATGAATCTGCTAGCTATCGACAGTTCAGTCGGTGGAGTAGGACGGCACAGAAATCGGCTTCTAGGGGCCAAATGTTATCAGATGGTGTTCTGGGAAAGGCGTGCCGAGGCCTCGTGTCGCCTTTCCCTAAACGATACACTGTCACGTGCTGCTCAATACAATGGCTTATGTGTTCTGTTTTTGGATTGGAATCAGTAGACCGAATATATATTCGCGATGTAGCATTAGAGAGACGACAGTGGTCCATTTGACGGATGGCAACCGGTCTACTTATGAAATATGTACCATATAGTGTCAGAGTGCAAGATCTAGGTTGACGCACAGCAAATTACCGTTTTCGGGAAATTTCTGTGTACATTGACTGTGAATTCTGAGGCCAGCTCTAAATTAGAAATGCTCTCACTCCTAGGCATTCCATCGCGCGTCTCCAGTCCCAGGGGCCATTTCCGTCACCTTTAGGATGCGTCTGGCGCATCTCCCAGCATTTCTCCATGACCGAAAGTACAGTTGAAGTGTTCCCGAATTCGCGAGCGTCATCTCCCATATCAAGTATCAAATGCCGATATTCTTCTTGCAGGCCTGTCTCCAGGTCTACCATGCAGCCAGCCACGCAAAGTGGCAAAACTACGCCTCTGATTGACTGGGGATCGTTGCTCACCTGTACCACATTGTACAATGCGGATAAGGTCTGCGACACAGAACTCTTTATCTCTGGCAGAGAGGGATATGCCCCTGATACTGTTACATGCAGGTATACCAAGGCCCCACATGCGAAGGCGTAAGTAATCGCAGACTGAACAGCGCGCGTGGAGTTTCGCTGGTATTCTGTCACAGTTTCTGCCTCGAGTGCCCCGATTTCTGATTCTAGGCGTGATTGAATGGATTTCCCCTTCTCAACCAATTCCCAGATGCTGACGCCTCTGCCGTCAGTCACGAGCTCCTGCTTCCAGGCAGACAGGGCGGCTATCTGACCTATGGTCTCCATTGCCCAGGAGCGGCAGCCCATCACATTGGCAAGGTCAATACGTCCAGATCCGAGAAGAGAGGGGTGATGATGGAGAAGTCGAGGAGCGGTGCCTGTTGACACACAGGCAGCGATATCGAACCAAATAACTACAGCGCTGAGGAAATGAAGCGCTGCTTCCTCAGGAGATGGTGCAGAAAAGGGGTCTGCGGACGTATGAAGTTCTTCCCCATCCGGCGAGTGTTCCAGCTGTAACTGCCGGTGATCTTCAATTGAGGAAATCAGTGCGGCAACGGCATTTACGTGCATCTGCCAATCACTAACACCCCCTTGGAACAACTACAGTCATCAGCGATGCCTATATGGGGTGTCATCGGGAGTCATACTTGGAAGCTGATCAGTTGGACACCACAGGCAAGGATCTCGACCTGTCTGCCCAAGTCAGGGTGGTCAGTATCCATCTGACTGGTTTGCAGACAAATCTGCAGTTCCTGTAGTGTCCGACCATGGTACTCATTGAGTTCATGCAACGTGGGACTGAGGCGGTTCCACGTCCCTGAAGAATCTGCATTCTCTTTTCGGTGGAGGATCACATGTTGATGCAATGCGCTGAGACTCAGAGCAGCATGATAAAGAGGGCCTGTCCGGATGAGTAGCCAAAGCAGCCACCCTCTGCCACCTGTGCGAACGGACGGTGAATGGAACCGAAATTGCAGATGAAATACATGATCCAGGTAGTGCATCAAGAGCTCAGTTTCGCGGTGGTGCAGGATACGCAGTGGCGGAAGCACCGACTGCGGTAAATGGTGCTGTGATGGAGATCGAGCTGGAAGCGACAATTTAGCAGGGCAATTCGGCGTGTTGACTTCAGGTATCAAACTCAGATATTCGCCATTGTAGTTACCGTCTGCATTATGCGAGGACAAATCCAGAGGGCTTTCTGGAGGATGTGAAACTGTCGGTGACAAGTCCTCTCTTCTATCGGGCCCAGTCTTAGTAACTCGAGAAACGTTTCTATTATCATTTCCCTCCGTACTGTGCTGGTCAGATCCTGTTAATGGAGGTGTCTGGGGGCTAGCAGCAGAATGCAATTGCTGTGAGCGTAATCGTTTCTGGCGACGATTCTTCTTCACGCATTGCTTGATGCGCGCGAGTTCCGCACGCTCACGCTCGCCACCATCCATCCATTCCGGCCGTTGCCCATACCCATGGCATTGTATATTACGTGAGTCGCAGGAGAAGCAGACAGGAGTTGCCTCGTCGCACTTCTTCCGCCGTAGACGACAGGTCCAGCAACCCTGTGCGCTTCGACCGCTCGTCATGGACAATCGTCAACGGCTATGTATCGTACCCTTCGCGACCATGAAGACCACAAAAGCGAGCAGATATCAGCCGTCTTGTGTCATGACATGATATTCGAGAATCACAATATTTGTTGGACGCTCAGGAGCTCCTGCTGGCTGGCTACTGGAGGTCACGTGACCTAGGTATTAATACAAGCAAGCTTCTCACCGCTTCCTGTATTTCATGCTGTTACTGGTCGGGTATGAATACTTGATAGCTAATGTCGGGGTTGCTACTTATATATCCCTGGACCTGAATCCCAATGGCGAAGAAGAGTCGATGATCTCCGGATGTTTCTAGTCGCTTTGAAGCTCTATTCTGCTGATCACAATAAGCCAAATTTGCATTTACTCGTGTGTCGGCAGTTGAAGGCAATATTAATAGGCAACCCGGCATTTATTGCATCTGCTGAAGCCCCCCGTAAAGTTGACGACACTTTGGCGGGGAACATGCCCCGCGCGCTTGGTCAGCAAGTCGAAAACAATCGAAGTGATCAAGCTGTCCTGGCACGAATTTGCTGGCAATATGATATCCCTCTAACTGCTCCCCTTATAAGGCTTCCGTAGTTCCCATTGAATCCTGCAGACTTCATACTCACGCTCTATTCTGCTTAGACAGGGCTCGTCATGACGAAGAAGATTGGTGTCTTTCCCGCTTCTGGCGGCCTCGGCGGTAGCATCGTCAAACATATTCTCGAGCTGGTTCCTGCATCCAACCTTGTCTTCATTGCTCGACACCCCGACAAGCTAGCAGAAGTCAGCGCTGCTGGAGCGACGGTCCGCAAAGCCGACTATGACGACCCTTCTTCTCTCCACCGTGCGTTCGACGGTATTGGAGTGCTGATGTTGATTTCGTACGCGTCATTCGAGTATGAGTACCGCGAAAAGGTGAGCAGCGATGCGACCAACAAATGAGACTTCTCGAGATGGTTTATTGATGTATACGAGAAATACAGGTACACAAGATCGCCATAGATTCTGCCCGCCGTAGTGGTGTCGAACACATTTTCTATTCGTCTTTGGGCTTCGGCAAGGGCCTTTCCAAGGAGACCGTCGCATACGTCATGAAGGCGCATATAGCAACAGAGGCCTATCTCGACGAGGTTGCTAAGGAGAACAAGAATAGATTCACATACACTGCCATTCGCGAAGGTATCTATTCAGAGTCGTTCCCTATCTACACCGCCTGGTTCGACCCTAAAAATCCGGCTGATGAAATCACCATCCCACACGACGGTTCCGGTCCTGGAGTAGCCTGGGTAAAGAGGGATGAACTCGGCGAAGCGACAGCTAAGCTGATCGCGCAGTATGCGAAGAACCCGGAAGCGTTCCCATACTTGAACAAGACTATCCTCCTCTCTGGAGCACGTGTTCTCACGCTTGCTGAGACGGTGGAGATTCTTGGTCGCATTGTTGGAAAGCCTCTTCGCATTCGACAGATTTCTGTTGACGAGTACACCGCCCTGCCTCAGATTGGCGACCGTCACACCTACAAAGGCGTAAATCTCTCCAGGGAATGGACGACAGCGTGGGAAGGTATCCGTCGGGGTGAGACAGCAGTTGTTGATCCGTTGCTGCAACAAATCTTGGGAAGGGAGCCTGAGGACTTTGAAACCACTGTGAGAAAGTTAATAGCTTCTAATTAATGAAACCTCTGCCACTGTGCTCTGTATTTAGCGCGGCAGTTCCCTCCTGTATATAGAAAGTATAACGTCACCAACAATCACCGTCCACTTTGCGCCAGTCGTGTTCTACTATATATCCTTCCTTCCAACTGCCAGTATGCAGATTATTCAGAGCAACGACCTAGACTTTGTGCTCATTCAAGCTTCGTTAATGGCATAATATGACAGCGCTGTAAGCAATCCACCGGGCTTTGGCTCTTCGGTGACTGCCTTATCTCCGAGACCCTTAATGGGACTATTACTTTGAAAAACAAACCAACAGTAATAATATACATTTGGAAATCTTGAAACAGCCCTAGACAGCATATTGGCTTCAATAATTCGTATTTTCCAGTTACACGACAACTGTTTGAACTAGCCCCCATAAGATCCAACTAATTTCCAGTAATTAGTTAACTACTCTTTGACTTTTACATAATCCAGACGAGGTCAAATCGTTTGGTATCTCCAAAACAATGCTCAGTTGGCAAGGGCATGGCTTCCCCAAAATAAAACTCTGAAAACGCAATAGGTAATGCGAATAGATGATTTCAAATCCTTCTCCTGAAAACTCCGCTCCGAACGGAACTATGTAACATAATGCACCGAACCCCCGAAGGACCGGTCTATGGAGCGAACCTACTGGCCGTTATTTTATGCGGAGATCCTTGTGGGGTAGTAGGTATCCTAGGAATGGTGCTGCGTACACTTAAGACGTCCAGGTCTTTCCATCTCAACTCGATTGAAAGTCAGATAAAAGACGTTATTTTGAGGATATTACTACTAGCACATAATAAGAAAATTAGCAGAGACTTGGTTGGAAATTCCACGATGGTATCCATTCCCACGATCCTTCTCAAGGGCGGCAACTTGCTGGCTCATGAGGGAACGAAAGTCCAAGTTTTGAAGGGATACGACCTACTTATCGAGGGTAAAGAGATTCGCAAAATCGCGAAGGGGATCACTGCCCCTGCGGGAGCGAGAGTGGTGGACTGCGCAAATAAAATTGTTTCGCCGGGCTTTATCGATACTCATCACCATCTGTGGCAGAGTCAGGTAAGGATAGGATCAAGTTGCTTCCTTCCTTTGTTATTTTCGACCTCTATAGCTCTACCCTTGGTCTGTCTTCGAATATGCATTGCCAACTTCAATACTATAACTAGCATCTGACGAAACTCTTGTTGTAGCTGAAAGGACGCCATGCAGACCACAGCTTCATTGATTATATGGTCCATGGTACGACCTAGGAAAAGCCTCCTTGTGTCTTCATCGACATCATATGTTTATACGTGATACGTACTCACTTCTGCCTACCAGGTAACTTGCACTCCTACAACTATAAGCCAGATGATATCTACTGGGGTCAGCTTGCAGGATCCCTAGAAAGTCTGGATGGCGGCGTGACGACAGTGGTTGATCATGCGCATATGATCTACTCTGCAGACCACGGTGAGCATCATCGACTGCTTGTTCCGCTACTGGGCTATAGAGGATTGACACTTCTCAGCAACCGCTGCCATCAACGCATCAGCCTCATCAGGGCTGCGGACATTCTTCTGCTACAATGCGATCCCTCGTGTGAAAGAATGGTCTAGTTCAAAACTCGAGTACGAGGAAGAGTTGTTTCCTGAATGGTGGCACACGCAGCTTGACTCTCTGGCACGTTCACAGCCCTTCGGAGATGGGCGTGTCTATTTAGGATTAGCATTTGATTCGTGGACATTACCCAAGAAGGAGATAGTCGATTTGTGGACCAAATGTCGAAAGTCGGGTATCAAGCTCTTCACGACGCACTACGTTGGCAATGCCACAGGGGGCAAGTTTCTGTTCGTCCAAGTTCCTAGTAGGTCTCTAACCGTGTTCCAGTCGATGTGAAATGGATGTCCGAGAGTGAACTACTGAAAAGCGATGTACTGCTATCTCATGTTACGCGCGCGCCTGACGAAGTCTATGAAATCATTCGAGAGAACGGGGCCTTCGTCTCTTCTACCCCAGACACAGAACTTCAAATGGGGCTTGGATATCCCGTCGCGTTTCGCGACGACATCAAGTCCAATGCGTCCCTGGGTATTGACTGTCACAGCAACAATTCTGCTGATATCTTGACCCAAATACGACTAGGCATGCAAAATGCTCGCGCAGTCGAGAATGAGAAGCGTGTCCGCAGTGGAGGCTATCCCGCTGTGGATATTAAAGTCGAAGAGGCTTTCAACCTGGGGACGATCCAAGGGGCGAAAGCTGTCGGACTGGAAAACCAGATTGGAAGCCTTAGTGAGGGAAAACTGGCGGATATTGTCATTTTTGAGACGAGAAGTCCAGCCATGGTCTGTGCCGCAGAGGAAAATCCCCTTGCTGCACTGGTTCTACACGCAAGCGTCAGGGACATCGATATGGTTATTGTCGACGGCAAGATTCGCAAAGAAAACAAGAACCTCAATCCACTCGAGGTCCAAGGGGCACCAAAATTTGGGTCAGGGAAGCAAATCAGATGGGAGGATGTTGTCCAGGAAGTGCTCACGAGTCGTGAGGCCATCAAGAAACGCAGCGAATCTCAGAGTGCGGATGTTGCGAAAGAAGCGCTCTACAGGAGATTCTCTGGTATGTAGCCAAGCTTGAGAAACATTTTATTCTGGAGCTCGCAAGAAGCTGTTGGCGAGACAGAAAATTCCCATCTAGCTAGGCTTAGAATCGAGCATACCGGACGAGCACTCGAAATAGTACCTTGAAAAGCTCGGCAGTCAAAAGAATATCCTGTACTTTGCTCAAAGAATCGGGCGCAGACTGCTTTCATTCAAAAGTACATACATGCAGGCAGTGTAGCAGACGCAGATTATGTGTGCAAAGTTGAAAGAATGCCCTCAAAGAAGCTTTCTACCCCAAAGACAAGGATCCATCCTAGATGCATCACGACTCCTGACCCAAAAAGTGGCCAAATAGACTAGGATAAACTAGAATATTTGGTCAAGGAACGCTTATCATGCCGATAGCGTCGCGTATTCGGACTCCGTCCGGGGCTTGATTGTGAGGGGAAACTTGGCAAGAATCCTCCATTATTATTGCCAGGATCAACAGTCACCTTCCAGACATGGGTTAGACGGGTGGATCGTCTCTTGGATGTTGTGAGATCTGTTCCTGAATATCAGCCAAAGAACTCCTACGGGCCGTGCCTTGGACTTGCTTATGGTGCCGCTTATCCTTCAAGCCAATGCGTTTCTGGCGCGCTATGTAACTGCGCAATCCTCCAGGCCGCGGCTGCTAGCAACGGCAGCAGTTCTAGCTCCCAGAAGAAGTCGCAACGTTCTCGAATTCTCCTTGTTCCAGATCCACTTTCTTTCTTGACCAGAATGCCTATTCGACAACCTTGAGATTGGCTCTTCTAGATAACGGAAAGAGTGGCGGGCTTAGAGCCTGCGCGGGGATGGACTCCGTTGTATTGACAGGGACGGTGCCTCTATCGCGGGCCCCCAGGCATGGTTTACGGAGTATGTACGACGACAGCGAAAAGAGCTAAACATACGCTGCGGGTCCTGTTATCGCGTGCTCATTATCTCACATTCTTATAGGGAGCACACCCCCGTGGGTTCCTCTGTCAGGCACTGCGTCCATTGGAACCTGGCCAGCGCTGTCGTGATCGTGTAGCTCGCCATGTTTACTCGACTTGGTCGCGGCGCTCTGTCGCTGGCTGTTGTCTCCCTCCTCACCTCGTCAGTTGCCGGAGAGGTGTTGGAGAAGCTGCGCGCAGTTCCTGAAGGTGTGTTGTTCCTCCCTTGATCTTACTACTCTCTGGGAATAGCTATTGACCAAACTTGTCAGGGTGGAAATTCTCTCATGTCCCTGAAAATGACCAACCCATCCGGCTTCAAATTGCCCTGCAGCAGAAGGATGTCGACGCCTTCGAGCAGGCCGTCCTGCAGATGTCGACGCCAGACCACCCCAACTACGGCAAACACTTCCAGTCGCACGACGAGATGAAGAGCATGCTGCTTCCTAGCAGCGAGGCCGTTGATGCGGTCATGGATTGGCTGCATGCTGCCGGTGTTAGCGACATTGAAGAAGATGCCGACTGGGTCAATTTCCGGACCACTGTCGGAGTGGCTAACGAGCTCTTGGACGCACACTTCCAATGGTACGTCAGCGACGTTCGTGATGTCCACAGACTCCGTACCCTGGAGTATTCGGTCCCAGATGCCGTGGCCCAGCATATCAACATGATCCAGCCAACGACACGCTTCGGGCATATTCGTGTCGAAGGAGCAACGTCCAGGGGGGAGCTCATTGGCCATGACGCGCAACTCAGAGCCTACGCTCTTGCCGCATCTAATGCAACCAATTGCAACGCGGTGATCACTCCTCAGTGTCTGAAAAGCCTGTATAATGTTGGTAATTACAAAGCGGACCCCGCTAGCGGCAGCAAGGTTTCTTTCTCCAGCTACCTCGAAGAATATGCCCGCTATTCAGACCTTGAGCTGTTTGAGAAGAACATTGCCCCTTACGCTATTGGCCAAAACTTTTCTGTTATCACCTACAATGGGGGTCTTAATGACCAGAACTCGGCTTCCGACAGTGGTGAGGCCAATCTGGATCTGCAGTATATCGTTGGATTGAGCTCCCCACTTCCTGTGACCGAGTACAGCACTGGTGGCCTAGGCTACCTCATTCCCGATCTTGATGAGCCAACTCAGGCTGACAACCAGAACGAGCCGTATCTGGCCTTCCTCCAAAACGTCCTGAAGAGGGACCAGAAGGATCTGCCCCAGGTCCTTTCCACGTCGTATGGCGAGGATGAACAGGTGAGCGATCCGTTAGCAACAAACGTTGAAGAACTTTACTGACAGAGTGCAGAGCGTTCCTGAGAGATACGCCCGCTCTGTCTGTAATCTGTATGCTCAGCTTGGCAGCCGCGGTGTGTCGGTTCTCTTCTCGTCTGGTGATAGCGGCGTCGGGTCTTCCTGCCTGACCAATGATGGCAGGAATCTAACCAGGTTCATGCCCCAATTCCCAGCAAGCTGCCCATGGGTTACCTCCGTTGGTGCAACGCAACACGTTGCTCCTGAGGAAGCCACCTTCTTCTCTTCTGGCGGTTTCTCCGATCTGTGGCCCATGCCAGATTATCAGCGTGGTGCTGTCGCTGCGTATCTGGCACAGCTTGGAGATAAGTGGAAGGGTCTGTATAACCCAGGTGGCCGTGGCTTCCCTGATGTGGCTGCTCAGGGCGTAGGATATTCGGTCTATGACAAGGGTGTTCTCAAGGGCTATGAGGGCACGTCCTGCGCCTCGCCCACCTTTTCCGCATTGATCGCTTTATTGAATGATGCACGTCTCAAGGCCCATCTACCTCCGCTGGGCTTCTTGAACCCATGGATCTACAGTGCCGGTCGTGGTGGTCTCAACGACATTGTCCATGGTGGCAGCACTGGCTGTGACGGCCACGCTCGCTTCAACGGTGCACCCAACGGCGGCCCTGTAGTCCCATATGCCAGCTGGAATGCCACCAAAGGCTGGGACCCCGTCACCGGTCTAGGCACCCCGGACTTCTCGAAACTACTGAAAATTGCGGTTCCAAGCCGAATCGGTGGTCGTTAAGACATAGTCGAGCGCTGCTACGGAAGGTATTGTAAATAAACATCGCACAACAGTATAGTTCTATACGATCTATTCTCCGGAACACTCACTGTGAAATCACACTACGCTACGGTTCAAGCGAACCAAATAATTGCCCTTAGTTGTTTCAGTCTAGAAGAGGCTGTGCCTCGCTGGTGTGTCATCGTATGCCCGCGTATTCATCGCCTTCTGCAAGACGAGACCAAACATTATGGTAATGGATCTGTTCGCTCCCACTCATGTCCGGCATATCTGGTTCCAGAGGAGCATCAAATCATCTTCATAAGGCAGACATGACCTTAACTTTGGACAACTCGCAAAGATACCGTGCAACCAAGACAGCAACGGGGTACCCTCATGGTGGACTGACTGCGCGTTCTGTCAATCTAGTTCCTACTCCAGTAATGGCTGTTGCAAGAAGAGGGGTGTCTTACTGGTATATCTGGCGATCAAGTTGAGACAGACGTTTCCATGCGTTCGATAGTACTTATGAGAGCCATAAGGTTCAAACCTGCTCCGTGCCATGTGCCATGCTCAGTCTAGACTATGCGGGCGGGCGAAGGAGGGCTGAACGATCCGTGCCAACAGCATCCCTCTGTATATGTATCTGCACGCCTTTTTCCCTCCTGAGCGTGAATGGCATGTCGTGTGCCTTCCCCTGCGGTTCGAGGAAACATTATCCGGATGTTTGGCGCATTTGCATGGAGCAACAGCACTGTCGATCTTCCTTGGTCTCTCGGGATCATCCTGTTTTACAAGGATTCTCGAAGCAGTGAGGCCGGTTGAGCTATCCGCCCGAGTTGAATTGGCCAGTGCATCAGAATACCCATCCACCGGGACCCTGGAGCTGCATCGTACTGGCTGAGGCGCCTCACAGCGCGACAAAACTCAGACGATATTCTGCAACTATGATGTCAAATACACCAATCGTCGCTTCTAGCTGGCGTAACAAGTGGCTTTCAGTTCCTAGTCACTGGAGTCTTACACCTGGAGGCGATTCCATGTCCTGAACGAAAGTAGATACCGAGACGCCTCGCACGCGGTTGATATCTCCTGCCCAATCCGATAATGCCTTAAACTCGTGGAGAAAAAACAAGGGGACGTATTACCTAGTGGGCCCCGAGATGATATATAATGTACACATAAACCAAGAATGGCGACCGTTGACAGCCATGACCCGAGCGAACATTTTACGAAATTGGATGAATACCAAGTCACCATGGCTAGCATGCTGGTTGTGTTGATAGAGACAATGGGGAGGGAGGTCAGCAAGTATCCTACCCTTCAGGAAACGCTCCTAACGGTCTTCATGTAGCTGAAACCTAAGGAGCTCGCAAGTTTGGCACTGGTGAATCACGAACTGCACCGCCTAGTCACTCCGAATCTATACCACACCTTGCGCTTTCACAGTTCAGGCCAGATAACAAGCAGAGACCGTCTCTTGCTGATGCTCGATATCATGTCGGATTCGTCCTTTGATAAGACGAAGTTCACCAGAATTGTCATGGTAACAGGGTCCTGGTACCAGACTTACGACGCTATCGATTCGGACCTCGGTCCCCAGGGTGTCCTCTCTCCTGCAGCAAGAATGTTGAGCGCACTTGTTGCATGCTGTGTGGATAAAATGCAGTACTTGAAAGAGTTCATGTACGTGCACGCGTTATAGTCATCGGGACGTTCCATGCCCTTTGCATTGAGGCTGACACTGCGGTAGCTGGGACCTTCAAGTCTCCATCACCGAGCGGTTGGTTGCATCCGTGATAGCGCGACCTCACCTCGAGAGATTGCAATTACGACTGGGCACTAATTCTACGCCAAAGCCGTATTTCCACCCAGTGCTCGGCTTCGATAGGCATATCAATGTTCAGTCACTGAACCTTGTACAGATTGATAACCATGCCGTTTTAGAGTCCTTTGCTGACGCCCCTCTCTTTGCAAGTAAACTCAAAGAACTCACACTCTGGGCAGATGCAGATAGTGAACTCTCGGTGGAACCACTTCTTTCCCGCTGGCGAGATCAAAGGCAAAGGTTTCCACTTACAGCTCTTGATTTCAGGGGCTTCTCAGACCTTGGGTGGAGTCCCGCTTCGGTATGGAATTGCATATGTTCCTCGACATTGAAGGATCTGACCTTTGAGATCGGCCCATCCTTTCAGGTGTCGGACTGCAACGAATTCTGGTCGTCAGCCATGGAGGCTGGGTTGCGACCGTCACGGCTCTCAACCAATCTTCTGGCATCTGGTCTGATAGAGTTCATCAGTTCCTTCAGCGGCCTTGAAGCCCTCAGCATCATGACTTGCGACCCCAATCGTCCAGTGGAACCACTTGGCCCTCTATTGAATTTTCTGCAGCGACAGCATTCAAATACACTGAAGGTTCTCGGCATTTGCCCGCAGGAGCATGAAGACTATCTCCTAGACGCACAGATGGTCTCAGAGCATATATTAGCGTGTCATAAAATTGAAGAACTCCGGTTTGGACCTCGACAGCCTGACATAGTAAGATCAGACCCTCTTCCCCTGTATCCCCATGAGGTTTATGAAGTTCTGACACAATCTTTTCACTATAGGCACCTATACTCATGGTATTAGAGCATCTGAACAGATTGCCGAGTCTGCAGATAGTCGGCCAGATGGGCTTGGCGCAGAACCAGGAGTACGTGCAAAACGTGATATCCTATGCCTTGGAACATGGGATTGGCAATAACCTTATATACGTCGCCTTCGATGACGGCCCAGTCTACATGATTAACCGGACGATGTCGATTGTGTGGTTAAAGGTAAAAAACACGGTCGGCTATATAGAGGACTCTGTCCTTCTTCATGAGAAGCTTTTCAGCTGGGTATCTCGTGGTACTTAAGAGGAACGTTTCTGGCAGCTGGTCATACATTTGCACGTCCTTCCTTACCTGTGTTTGATCAGGGCATGCTGTCATGGCTGATAAGTGCTTCGAGATATCCCAGATATCTGATCGTCGATGTTTCCGAAAATTATCTGATCAACTATATGATACCCTACACCTTTAAATTGGTAGTATTAGGCGATTGATTATCACTAACTTGGGAAATTGGAGACTGGTCGGATTTCCCTCTCCATTCATTCATGAACTCCAACTGGGGACCGACAAAGTACAGTTAATTACCTTGTTCGATCTGTTCGCATTTTTCTGTCTTTTGTTCTGCAGACACTCGTGGAAATAAAAGTTTCTATCATGAACAGATAGCCAATGGAGATCGAGAAGTTCGAACTGTACACACTTTCACGTCGTTCCCTCGCTGTTTTTGCACTATGAGAAGGGTCACAACCGAGAGGCTCCAACATCTGCGATCCTTAGGACCGCTCGTCCTCTCACTTGATACTTCTCGAGCTTGAGCATGACATCGTTGATATCGTCAAAATCAAAGACCTCATAAGCCGACGAGACTTTCCCATCCGCAGCTAACTTGAGCAATTCCTGCATCTCATCTTCTGTACCAACGGCGCTGCCCACCACCTGATAGCCTGTCTTACTGTCAGTTTCTGTCAAGACCAGAGCCAGACAGGCAGGTCCGTCGCAGAGCAGCTCACCTTTGTTGACGCAGTCCAAAGGCGAGATCGGAATATGATAGTCCGGGTGCGGCAGTCCAACACAGACGAGCGTACCTAGAGGTCGTAGCAGCTTCGCACCCTGTTCGTATGCTTGCTCGAGGCCGACAACTACCACGACCGCATGAGCTCCGAGTCCATCTGAGATGTACTTGATCTTATCTTCGACCTACAACCTACAATTAGCTCGAGACGGATAGTTGGGCGCAAGATAGAAAAAGTACTTGCGTTTTCTTTCAAGTCGACAAAGGCTGTTGCGCCTGAGTGCAAGCAGATGTCCTTTTTAGACTCACTAGTTCAGTGTCAGATGTGGTCTAAGTATGCTCACGATCGCGTTCCTGTAAACAAGGAAGAAGAAGACTTGCCTATCCACAGCAATTACGCGATACCCCATCTCCTTTCCGATCTGAATTCCTCTGTGTTTTGCACGTCAGATTTAAACACGCCAGCGTCATCCTTCATAGGAGAGATAATTCTTACAAGTGGCCCAAACCACCACCCGCACCCATAAGAACGACCCAGTCGCCTTTCTCACAGTACCTGTCTAGCTTCTTCAGAGCGCCATACATCGTGACTCCAGCTGTATTGAGTCCAGTCAGGACAGACTCCACTCTTGATAGGAAAAATTCACATACCGCAGAGAAGAGGAGCGACAGCCTCTGGTTTGAGACCTTCTGGAATGACGGTCACGAAGTCTGCAGGGGAAACCATGTATTCTGTGCTTGGTTAGATGAATCACCAAGATGGAAGGCGTGTTTTCATTCATGGCCGTACCTTGAAAAGTTCCCGGGACATTCTATTCATGTCAGCAATTCGAGCCCATCGAGGGAGATGTACAGTACATATAGTTCTGCGTTCCCAACTCACCCTTCCGCAATTATTCTGATTCGGACAGTTTGTATACCTGATTTTGCAGGTGGGACACTTTTTACATGCACTATACAGCCATCTTTAACCGCCCAGTGAAAGTAGTGTCGAGAGTTAGCATAGATGCATCTCACATCGCTAATATCTTAACCTCGCGCATGATTGACAATTATGGGAAAGGAAAAAAAAAAAAACATATTGAGCAAGTACTCACTTAACACCGACTCTCTTGTCCATCAACTTGCTCGAAGTGCCAGGTCCAACTATTGCGTATTAAGTAAAAGTATATCATCAGTCCTCGGTTCTCTTCTCATCTCGAATAACACTTCCTTCTATCTCATAATAAGAAAGATAGATAATAAAAAAGACTAAACTCACGAGCAACAACTCTCCCAACGCCCTCATGGCCAGCAATATGCGTCGTCATCGGCAAGTCGCCATAGATATTATGTAGGTCGGAATGACTAGTCAGATAGAATACAATCAATAAGTAAAGAAAAAATTCAGAAAATAAGCGCCCTAAATCTAACTGGTATTGTTTATTGGATATTGTAGCGACATACCAGAATCCGCTGCACTCCATCTTAATCAACACTTCTCCCTCAGCGGGTTTAGGGACCGGCACATCGCGTCTGAGGGTTAGTGTTGCATGCGGTTTAGGCACGTCCACCCAGGCGACTTTTTGAAGTTGAGGAATCATGATATGTATATCCAGCTAAAGAAAGAACAAGTGAATAGACTTCGAATTCAAGATCAGAAATACTTTTCCGGTCACATTTAGATAAATACATTCCATCTAGGTCTAGTCAAGGCGTCACAATATATATATTCCCGAAATAGCCTCCGTTCCCACATTTCCCGGTCTAACCAGTATCTCCCCCCCTCTTCGTTCAACGATCGTCAGGCAAAAGTCTCCTCCAAGCAAGTGAATTACCCGAGAAAGTAACCCACGTCCCCATGGCTTTTGACCGAAGTTAGAATAGCACGGTTGATTGATTCTCTCTGGGCCGACTGTTGTGGTCTCCAGATCTCATGATTCATGTGGGGCTCGGGATGTGGATAGGAAACAAACAAAGATCGTGATGAAATGAGGTGGGGTGATGCGATGTTCTTGTCTGGATTTACCCTGATCTTGAATATGTATTTTGTTCGTTTTACTCTAGTTGAGTTTGAATTTTCTTGTTTCAGATCAAATCTACTCTAGTAATGAGATTGAACTAACTATATCCGACCGCTATTCGGTATAGATATGAGCCTGTCTGACAAGATGCATTGCCCGTGCGCATGTGGATATCTCAGTATGGCGCGCGAGAACTCGAAAGCAGTACAGACAAGATACTCCCTTGTAGACAGTACCATAAGCACGTAATATAAGAGCTTGCAGAGAAAGGTCAAATGGAAGTACATACCACTTCTTTAGGTATCCAACCAACATCCCGGACTCGTGTCCACCATGTCGCTAGTTGGGCAAGCTCTCGACATTGACAAGATACTCTGCATTACTGCAGTCCCTTCTCCCAGTCCAGATAATCCATCTCTCCCAGCTTTACCCATTGCGTATTCTTCCACGGCTTGTATCCCACAAGCAATAGAAAGGATACATATCCTAGAATATAGTTGGCGACAAAGTTCTGCGCCCTCAATGGGTCGAGCAGAGCTGGATCTCCTTGAAAGGGGGTCAAAAGCAGCAATCTCAATGACAGATAGCCCATATTTTAAATGTATGTAGCGACTAGACAGACGGTTAGTATCCAGGACACCTGCGAGGGGGAGTGGTAAAATCCTACCTCCAGACAAAGTGATAAGCTCTGAGTAAGGTGTGCCAGCACTAGAATATAGAGAAATAACGATATACAGGCGAAGATATTTGAAAACAATAATACCCACGCCACGGTCCTCTTCTCTTATTCGTACGCATCTAGGAAGTAGGGAGCCTTGTCATTCCGGCCCATGTTTGGCAGCGTCCTCGATACCACGTAAAGAGAGCTGTTACCAGCAGATATCACAGACGAAATCATTAATCCATTAACCAGAGGCGCGGCAGGTGGTAGTATACCAGCATCCTCGAGCGGAATGGCAAGGGGCGAGCTAGAGCCTTGTCTCACTAAATAGTCGGTGTTGTTGAAGTCACGACATCTGCACGAGTGGGTCCTCTTCCAGACGATAAAACGATAATTAACGATCTCTCTTGAGCGCCTGATCGAAATATCAATCTCTGGCAACGGGGGGAGACTGCAGAAAGCTGAATTTACTAGATCTTGAGAGTCAGTTTAGCAATGCAGCAAGTGACGATAGAAGGTGGATATTGCTACTTCTCTTCGATCCCTTGATCCTTCATCTATCTCATATGAACCAGGGAGAATGCTTATAGGATATCGGTCGCTTACACGCGTGCCAGGCATCAATCTCTTTGGCGAGGTTGCTTGGTTAAATCTGCTTCCGCACTCGCGATCCGAAGCAAGGATGGCGCGAGAGAGTGTCGCAAGAGACTGAGCAGAAGGAGTAAAGCAGCTGCGACTGTGCATGAAATAATTCTTGAAGTATTTTTGTGAGTAGACTTGTATTCTTTCTGGTAGAGTTACGATGCAGCCCTGCGAGATAGTAAGGGCCATGCCTAATAACCTTGTCTTGACGGCGAGTACTAGTATCTATATCGAACTTTATTAGATAGTACTCAACTGCATGCTAATACCAAGTGGAACGGTCAATTATACAGTAAATAGATACTATCATATGTTATTACAAGTGAAGGGTATACAAGAGAGGATCATCTATGTTTTTGAAAATGTGGTCTGGTTTTCTTGTACTGTCGCCCGCCGCCAGCTACACGGCCTTGAGTAAACAAACAAACATACAAAGAAGCAAAGCACATCATCCATCATGACCTCCCATCCTCATAACCATTGCCAGTCCGTATCAATGCAGATTTGGTAATCAGTGTGTGTGTAGGGGTATATCAAGGAAGAGAAAAGATTGATGTGTGTAGGAGAAAAGGTATCATCTTTTAACAAGGCCTCAGACCGTTCCTAGACATGGGGTGAACACCTTAGTCGACTCCGCAGAGGACCGAGTCACGAATCCCACCAGTACTCCGTTCATCATGTGGTGACCTGCAAAAAAAGGGATCCCTCTTCCTCTCCAGCCCCAGAGCGTTCCTAGACATGGGGCGGCACCTTAGTCGACTCCGCAGAGGACAGAGCCACGAATCTCCACCAGTACTCTGTTCGTCATCTGGTGGCCTTTGAAAGAAGAGGGATGTTATGTCGAAGTCATGAAGGAAGACAGTGACTCTCGTGGCCAAACACGAAACGTATGCAAGTGCGATAAGCTCCTCGAGGGACGTAGGTAAGGCCCGTAAGTGATGAAAACCCGCAATCCCTCGAACATAAACCCGTGAAAGATGTGAAATAGCCGACAAAGCCCACAAAACCCGCAAAGCCCACAGAAGGATAGGGAAGAAAAGGTATCTCCCGGAGGATCCCATGCGAAGTGGAGGAGGTGTGTGTGTGGAATGGGGTAGTGTAATGTGTGAAGGGAGTGTGCAGTCCGAGCCGTCAGATGTGTGTGAGTGATCCATCATCAACGCGTATTGCGTTTCAGATTACGCTGATAGGAACTTGTCCTCATCATGCAGACTCGTGTATGAGTGGAATGAAATAAATCGCTTATAGCGAGGGAGGGGGCTTGGTAGGACGGTACGCAGACCTGCCTCTCTTCCACCCCGACTCCCACCGAAGCGGTTGCCAGAGGGCCTCTCTCTGAGACAGGTGGCGTCCGTCGTACCATACGTACCTAGACGCGTCTTTGTGGATGACTCCAACGTTGTGTGATCGCGTCTTTGCAAACTCAGGGCTTGTAGCCAAGTCAAGATATCAATCGAAGTGTGAAGTGGGGTGGGTAGGCAAGGTAGGTAACTGACAAAGTGATGTGCAAGCTACATGTAGATGGAAGAAACTACTTTGAACTCGATCACCTCTGCTGAGGAGAAAGGAAGGAGAGAAGGAGAGAAGGAGAGAAGAAGAAGCCAGGTCGAGGGGGGGAAGGGGGTTATTTATACCCTGGGCAGAGAGCTCGCTTACGCTAGTGCCGTTCAGAATTCGAGTTCAGAGAGTCTGATTGGCTCAAAGGAAGCGAGAATGGCAGGGAAGGGCGATGTTAGAATCACAAAAGAAAAGTCGAGGGGTTGGTAGGAAGGGCTTGTGTTGTTGATGGGATCTCCCGTTGACGAGGCGGGTGATGTTTTGATATCAGGAACGCAGAACCACGAATATTGCGGGAGATATCCACCAAATACACGTTAGCGGCGGGAGATCCCGTTAAGAAAGGACCGGAGTGATTAGTCTTCTACTAAGTCCCCCAATATAAGATATATCTCGCCAAAGATAGGTACGATACCCCTGAATCTGATAGCAGACGCCAGGGGAAGTGGACATTGGCCGTTGGGACACAGTTTAGAGACCAACAACCTGTGGCATGCGCAGTTTTTGATGGCAATTATGTTAATTTGATACACTCAATACTTGTGAAGGATATAGACGAAGATTCTTCTGATCATGAACAGGACACTTGACATCTAGAACTTGGAAAAGCACGCCGACGAAGCCTACATCGAGAATACAGCCAAGAAGACCTACATAGATAGTGGAATACAGGGCAGAGATAAGCATAGGAACAATACAATGGGTACGTTTTAAATGACATTCTCCCTACTCGCTAGACTATGGACAAAACAGAGCAAAACAGATCATCAATGTCCTCGACGCATATTAAGCAGCGCAACCTGACAGAGTACCGACAAAGGTCTCTCCCCACCGACCGCTGCGATTCATTAGCATATATGTCAGTAGAATGGTGGACAAGATAAGACCAACCTAGTATTATACTCGATGAAATTCTTCAACTTCTCATAGTTGGCTTTGCGCTGATCTTCCGGCATGGTTAGGGCTTTATTCACTGCTTCTGATATATCCTTCGGATTAGCAGGATGGAATATAATGGCCCCATCCTTCATAAATGCGGACGCTCCAGTGAACTGAGAAAGAGCCATCACCCCGTGTTTCTCTTGCTGGCATGCGACGTATTCAAAGGAGACAAGGTTCATTCCATCACGAGTCGAGGAAAGAAGGCACACATCGGCAACGGAGTACAGAGCAGTAAGCTCTGGGAAAGGGACTGAACGGTGGAGGTATAATAGCGGAGTCGAATCAGGAGTAGCTACTAAAGTCAGCCTAATGAATTCAACACGCTGAAGAGTGATCATCTTACCATATTTGCCATTGATCTTTCCCACAATGGTACTTATCTCAGTCTCCAATTCCTGATACTCTTTCACATCTTCTCTACTCGGCACGGCGACTTGAATGAGAAGGACCTTCCCTCTCCATTCCGGATGCTCATCTAAGAAGGTATCATATCCGATGAGCTTCTGGGTGAGACCCTTGATGTAATCCAGCCTATCCACCCCCAGAATGACTTTGATGTCCTTATAACGCTCATTCAACTGGCTGATACGGTTCTGGACATCAGGTTGTTGCTTCGTATCCACGAACTTCTGCGGGTCAATTCCGACGATGAATTTGTCCGTCAAGATGAGGCGGCCATTGTATTGAATCTTATTCGGGATCGTTGTATCCGCGTTGCTGTGAAATAATTGTCAGTTCAAGCTAGTTAGAATGGAACGGATGATTGCGGCAAGACATACAGGACCAGACCACAGCTGTTGATGAAGTTCTGCTTGTATTCATCCGTATGGAAGCCAACCAGGTTACTTGCTAGCAAGCCTTGCAACAACTCCGCTGATACGGGTAGCGAACGCCAGAAGTCCGCAGCTGGGAATGGCGTGTGCAAAGAGAACCCAATAGGGCATCTCTTTCCCTGCTTGGCTAACCGCTCGCGAAGAAGCTTCGGGAGAAGCATCAGATGGTAATCGTGCACCCAGATGAGATCTCCATCATTCGCTGCTTCTGCGACGCTGTCCGCAAATAATTCGTTTACTTTTCGGTAAGCTTCCCAGGGTCCATCCTTAAATAGCACGCCAGAGTGATAGTGGAGGCTAGGCCATAGGATTTGATCTTTTCAACGAAGAAACGGGACTATCAGTATCTCTTTTCATACACACGGCTTAGGATTTGCGACTCACTGGAAAATCCATTATAATGCTCGTGAGCAAGTTCATCAGACAAAAATATGGGGTACGCGTCGTGTTCCCCCAAACTCCTCTTAACCTCCTCGATCTCTGACGGTTCCTTGACTTCAAGTCCGGGCCATCCAAACCAGCGGAACTTCGTAGTCTTCGTCAGACCAGACAGAGAGGTGACCAGCCCTCCGCTAGAAACATTCGACTGATACGAGCCATCAGGAGCACGCTTGACTGACAGCGGCAGACGGTTGGAGACGACGATTAAGTTCTTCTTGACGGATTCGCTGACAGACATGACGACTGGCTGCCCACTGTACATGCGACTGGATCGTTGGCAATGCCTAACAGGCCAGAAAGAAGAAAAAAAGGCTGCGATTAAACTCTCTTGATGCTGGAAGCTGCTACAGTAGGTCTGGAACGATACGCGATCGACATACGGTAGGGATATAAAAGAACGACCACCGCGAGACGAGAAGATTCCGTGAAAGATACGTCAGAGAAAGCCTCCAGCTAGGAACAGGAAAAGGAGCGCCCCTGGAAGGGGCAATCCATGCTCTCTAGTTTGGTCTACTATGATGAGGATACTACATGGCTAGAACTGCTGAGAGGGGCCAAGGATAAGCATTGTTACAATCCTCTGGACTGGAGATGGCTTCCGACCATCAATAACTGCTTATCCCAAATATATGGAGCTCCCATTAGACAAGTCACATTTCTCCAAGGCAGAACATGGAGAGTATATCCAACCACAACTGTGCCAATTCGTCCACGTTCCCTGGTTGAATGCTACCCAATCCATCAGACGACGGTCCGTTTTACGTCAATATTGATTCAGCAACGGCAGTATAAGTTGGTAAGGCTGAGTCTTGGCTCCTTTGGCTGGATTCAGACGCTTTCATGATTGTCGTTGATCGGGCGAGAGAAGCGGGCATCTGGTGGCGTGGACGTCATCGATGGCGCTCGAAGACCAAGATCTTCCGATGCCAAGATATCCCGCTCTCTAGCCATTGATCGACTATGTAACTCCTCGATGCTATGAGCCGGAAATTCTTCCCGGTCCTGGTGTTTTTCATACATGTTGCTGGGTATCCAGATGGGCCATTTATTCTCTCTCGTGTGATAAAGTTTAAGTTAGCCTTTCGATAGGATATCCCATCAGATGGACTCGGTGAATACCTAATCCAACATGAGATAGCAAACTGTACCCACGTGCGAAGAGGACGCGTATTCCCTAGACGCTCGTATGATACCCATATAACACGTCTTTATGTGATGCAAGAGCTGCATACTCTATCTCATCATCACTACAGAAGGGGATGAAAGCCATCTGACTCATGCCCTTGACAGTTGACCTGAAGGCGCCATGATACTCGAGTACATACTCTGATCATTTCCAAATGTGCCATATATATATCATTCTGACCATATGCCTATCGTACAATGCAAATAACAAATTTCCTTGGGCCTCTGCAAAATAGAACGACGCTGGAGCGCCCCCAGGACACCAACTCGATGATCCACGATAACTAACGCCAAAACCGATATTTGTTGCCAGCCAGTAAAGAATACAGAAAAGAAGCAAGATACTAGAAGGGATCAAAGCTCGCTACTAATAACCAAGACGGGAATTAAAAGAAGTTCCAGATCATGCTAAATGCAAACAGGGGGGTTCACGCGAAGAGGCAATCAAAGTATATGCAGCAAAGAGCTTGATGGGGGGGATTAACTAGACAAAGGCCCTGCCTCTCTTTACGGGACTGGGGGTGCGCAAGTGATTCTCTCTCGAGCGGCTCCTTTCCGTCACGAATTTTGATGGACGCGAATCCTCGAGCAGTAGAGGCTGCTCCTCATTCTCCTCCAGACTCTGCTGCGGGCGAATCGGGCTGCTTTGCACTGGGACTTGAGCCTGACCGGGCTGACCGAAGTAGCCAAACCCGGGAGTGCCCGGATATTGAAGCTGTTGCGGATGCGCTGGGTGAGCGTGTTGACCGGCGGGTTGTCCATGTAGAGTGGGATGGGCTTGGGCGTAATCCTGCTGGTTGAGGCGGTTTCTAAATGACCTAAAGGACCAGTTGCTGACGACGGTAACGGTCGAGATGGTCGCTAAGAAACAGAGCTAGATCATCGTTAGTTCTTACGGTGTGAAGTACAACGAGTGGAGAGAGAGGTCGTACTATAGCCTTCCAGCTGATGGGATCGATGAAACTGTTGATGATGATGGCCATGGTATGGGCTGACACCTTCGCTCGTCCCACCTTGGCTGGGTCTCGGTTCATGCATCGCTCCCAGTTATCACACACAGTCTCGAGAGCTGGTAATCGATCACCTCCGGCGCATTTGTTATCAACGTAGTTCTTGGCGCACGTTGCCATCTCTGCTAGGATGCCATCTGACACTTCCTCCGCAGCTTGATCGAATTCGGCGCGAATGGCAGACACGAAAGCGAACACAACGTAGACTGCCAGGGAGAAAAGAGACAGGTTGACGACTAGTTGTGCCCACCATGAAAGGATACTTGGCACATTGGGGTGCGCCTCAAGCAGGGCGAAAAAGTCGCCAAAGGAGGAGAGTCGAGAGGGTTGTTTTTGCCCCTTCACGGTTTTCCCCTCACTACTGCTCGGCCTGTCGCTGTCATCATCCTCAACTTCCATCCTAAGCCGTCTATCAAGGTCTCTATCTCTCCGTCGCCTCTTCTGTACACGTCTCGCGAGCGCATTCGAGTAGTGGTTCAGACGCGGGATCTCTCCTCGCCCTGGGCTGGGCGCAAACCGGCCATACAATCCAAACAACGAGTTGCGCTTATCCGACTTCGCAGGCTTCTCCGGAGTCTCATCATTGTCTGCATTTTCTGGTGACGACATCTCTGCGCCTGAGGAGAAATCCAGATCGAATTTGCGAGGAGTGGTGAAGGAGGGCTTGCCAAAGACGGCTTTCGGCGTGGAAGGAAGTTGCTGTGACGTCGGTTGGGAGAAGAGGAAGGGCTGTGAATTTGGCTCTCGTAGCGAAGGCATCGACCTTTTCGTGGGAGAATCAAATATGCTATGAGGCCCTAGCTTAGATATCAGTTTGGCGATCTGGAGTCCGCCAGGGTTCGGGGCATCACCCACTCTTCTTTTGATTATCGTGCTGCATGCTGAGCTGGTAGAACGGCGATGTCACGTCTCCGGGGGCTTTAGACTGCCATTCAAAGTCCATTGGACTCTCCGTCGTCCGTTTGTCCATGGCTGTGATGATGGTGATTGGAGTAGTGTTGTGTTGATCGAAGCCAGGGAGTCCGCTGCGGGCAATTTTGTTTGGCCGTAAACAACAATTGTCGCCGCCCGGGCCGATCCAGACCCTGAACGGTTCTCCGCCAGCCCTATGGAGGCTCTTAATTCTTAAAGCTTCTCTCCCGCACCCCATATTATTTTGACACCATGAGTCCATTCTTGATCAGCGGTTGATTCTCTCTCATGAGTAGTATTGACTTCCATTGTGGGCTAATTGGCGCCGCATTCTATCTTCTGAGCCATTTGATGCATGCTGCTGCGTCTTACACCGTGTGCCATCCGGTAGCAAGCCCGGTTACGGATTGTGTCTATACTACCATGTGTTTGCCAGCTGAAAGCAGATATGCAAGCATCGCTTTGACAGGTGACAGTTGAACTAGGAGAGCAGAAACTAGTTTTTGAGAGTTTCTCCTGTGTGGGAGAACTGCAGAAACTATTCGCAAATCCGCACGCTAGGCGGCGACTGCATGGCCGATCGGTTCCCGGGCACAAGTGATCCACGTCAGTTTCAACCTCCACCCCAACGAGTTCTGGAAAAGGCTCTGGATTCAGATGTATTAATTCTCAGAAAGATAATGATATTCGGCTAATTACAAAGGGCATATGTCTGGTAACGTTGGTCATCAAAACGAACGTGAAAGCCGTCACCGAAACGGTCCCTGTCCAATCTAATCTTGTCCTACAGGCTCAAGTCCTCGAAGAGCGGCGTTCTTCTCGTGACGCCAGATAAACAAACCCTTCCCTGATCGAATAAAGCGAGCGAACCATGAAGCTCTAAAAGTGTCGCGGATAATGCAAAGACACCGAATCCAAACTCCTCCCGCGCTGCGGTGGTATCATCGTAATGGGTATGCAGACTTGAAGACGGAAAGAAATACAACGCAACGCAATCGTCATGGGCGTTCAGATATCGACATGGTCGACAAGCTCGAAGTCGTCATCGTCGGCGGTGTAGCCAGCGCTAGACTCGCTCTCCCTCGACACGAATTCGTACTCCTTGACAAGTTTCTCCGTCTCCTTTGTCTCAAACTTCTCGACCGCTTTGGAGATGGCGTCGGAAAGGATGGTCTGACCAGAGGCTTCATAAGACACTAGAAGATCGTCCTCCTGTTCGTCCAGGCCGGTCTCAGCGGCGGTGGGCTCGTGGGTCTCCTCGTCGGTGGATGAGTCAGAGTGCCCCTGATCCAGGACCTCGTTGACATCGTAGCGGAAAGCGGTCTTCGCGCCACGGGCCAGCTGGTTGAGGTTATGCTGGTGGTCTCTCTTTTCGAGGCGGTGTGATCTGAACTCGTCAGCTTTGTTCTCTGCATGGGATGTTGGGATCTTACCTCATCCAGTGAGTTTCCGGAAGGGCAGGTCGAAGAGGGACAACTGCCTGAGTCTGGCTTCGAGGAAGATTGGCGCGAGCCCCATATGCCCACTTGGCCTTGTGGTCATGATCACGCTTGACCTCTTTGCCCGCACGGCGCAGGTCACCGGCCGCAAACGTCTCGGTTGCCATGATGGATATGAACACAGAGATGATAGAAGGTTGTATGAATATCGTAGATGAGAAGAGTTATGGCAAGAGCCAGCGGAGGTGTAGACCCGACTTAAGGCGATACGGAACAATGGTTCTTGAGTTGCCAGTAGACAGAGGTTCTGGTACCTGGGAAGGTTGCTGCCGGGAGCAGCAGAAGGGACGACAAGGGAGCTAGAGAGCCGATAACAGGGGCTACGGCATCGATATCAATAGGGAAACAGTGAATGAGAAAAGAGTGTATTATGGGTTGATTAATAGCGCAACACCATTCCAGGGGGGGTGAATGAGCCTTGAATGAGCCCGGCGAGCGATATAAGTACCTCTCGGACAGTATGGAGTAATACAACAGGCGGGTAACCGGGGGCCACGCGGAACAGAGATTGGAGCAACTCATCCGATCAAGCGTTAACAGCCAGACGCCATCCATGGTTCAACCACGATGGGGATCGTCTCTCCCCTAAGGGCTTATCTCGGCCTGCTCGCCTCCTCTTCTCTTGTCCTCCGAACATCGCGGACTGATTCGAGTTAGCATCGTTCGTCATCCCGAGGTCGAGACATCCAGGGCCCCGTGGGCAATCACAACATTCAGCCTCGAGGTTCCAACCGTGGTTTGCACCAAAATGAACCGCTTCCAACGGTTTCCCAGCTTCCCTCTGAATGAGCTCGCGCTCCTCGTGCTGGATGTCTGCGGATGACTGGGCAGATGGCATCATAGAGCTAAATGGCTCAGGATGGCTCAGGATGACTCAAGCGATGACCGTGGCCGCCGTACTCATACTAACTTACTGTACTCTACTATGGTATTATCTATCGGGTCACTCACGGCATTCCTCAGGCTCCCCAGTTGCTCATTATTCATTCTAGTTCTATCTATAGAGCTCTCTGCTCCAGGGAATTACCGTCTTCGGAGGTGGGCCAAGCTCGTCCACTCCTTCCGGTCTGTCAACCGCCGCTGGCGTCACAGTTTCAGGCACGCGTATCGCTGCTTAGATAGCTGTTCCTCCAACCATGGCATTATGCCTCCAACAGGGCGATGCAAACAGTTAGTCTAGCAACCAGATAATATTCTTGGGGATTCTACCATGCTCATACACTGCTGTGTTATTATATTGTCCGTGACATAACCTCCACGATCGCAGTCATTCCATCAAGCTCGGCCCTCGCCGATAAACAGAGCTCTGCTGATAGGAGGCGCTACGACCCCTCACGCCCGTTGCCTAGGTCCATTCCTCACAGCCATCCTCACCTTGTCTTCTGACCCTCCAGGACCAGTCATCTGCGCATCTGCCTGCGCAACAACTTGCCTGTTGACCAGTCTCGCGCAGCTCGTCACGTCGAGCTTACATACCCTGTCGTGCAGCTGTGTGCTGAGAGTTCCAAAAGTCGCACGCCTTGAGCAACCAGTCCTATAGCTCACAATCATCACCTGCAGTGTACACCCTTCTCCGCACGGCTGTAGCTATGCTAGTTTGCTCCACTGTTTATCGTGGGGTCAGACCGAGATTGCGCTGTATCTGGACTCCCTGGAGAGATCCAAGACGCGATTCCAAGGCAGCTATCAGTCAGTTAGAATACGAATCGAATGAGTAATATGCATGCTTCTGCTCGATAGTCCATTCTGGAATCCCCGTCATCTATCACTTGTGGGGTTAGGTTCGTTGGGGATAATAATGGGGCAGCTGTATCTACTAACTAGCCTGCTCCTTGAACCTTCCGACATGTAGATAGAGGTACTAATAGATATTACTAGCTGTCTGATTCAATAGTACTCATAGCTGGGGATCTTCGTCAACCTTGACTGATGCATTTACTCGGCTGGAAGCCATACACAAGAACTAGAAAGCTACCTACAAAGCAAACCTACCTGATACAGAGCGACACATATACTCCAACATCCATCCAATACAATTTCTAAAGCCAATCGAACACAATCACCACCATCTACAGCACAAAAAAACGTGCAAGTTGAAAACCGACATAGCAATCAGCCATCACTTACACCACTAATCATAATACAACTATATATCCACACAACAACAGAAAAAAAGAAAAGAAAAAACGATCTTTACAACTTACCCAGCATATCCAAATAACGAAAAAGCAAACACCCTTCCTGGAAGAAACTAAAAACAAAAATGATATCTTCCATCTGAAAGACAGAGGAAGATACTTATTTAGATAAGCGACCGACGCAGGGATCGAACCTGCGATCTCCCGCACCGGAAACGGATGCCTTACCACTAGGCCAGCCGGCCGAGCTGTATCATGAATAAGGGATTTGATGGGGAGTTTGAATATATAAACCTTTCCAGAATATCTTCATGGTAGATCAGGTAGGAAGTAGGTAGGTAGGTAGGTAGGTAGGTAGGTAGATACTAGTTGTCAAGATCTTGTAGATGTTGGAAAGGATACTTGATTTCCATTAGACTCCCTCGATTAGACGGACTTATTCTTAAAATATAATATAATAGTTAAGAAGAACCAAGTATAAGAAATACAATTATAACCCCCCTCATCTACTTCCACTTCCACTTCCATTTACTCCCCCCTCTCCATCTTCACCACTTTCCCCATCCTCACTGTCCTCCTCCTCAGTTAAACCCTCCTCACTAGGCAACCGATCCGGAAACCAGCCGTACCTCGCCAAATCCACATACATCTCACCCATAGCGTCCATATCGACATGAACACCTTCACGACGCAAAGCAGCAGCTTGCCGCGCCGCGCTGCCGGGGCCGCTTTTTCACTCTCAGTTAGCATGGCCATAACCAGACCGGGTAAGATACATTCAGAGTAGAAGAGAATAGAAACCGTTTTGGATATAGATGTATCCGAGTGTTTATTATATGAAATAAAAGTAAAAGCAGAAACGCTTACCGATGAGAAATCATCCCCCTGGCATTCAAGACGCGTTGCCAGGGGACATTGTCTGAGTTATAATAATGTGATGTCTCTGAGTCGTTGTTTGATGGGAGATGTTTCAGACAGATGCCTACTTGACGGGGTCGTTGGGCTGTAGTATATTTAGAAATGAGAACAGAGTGAGGATGTTAGTCTATGATCTTGATGAATGTTCATTCGATGTTATTTCATCGGGTATGTTTGGGAATAGGTGTGTTTTGATACAAAAGGCTCGAGAGGAAGGGTATCTACTACTGAATAAATGGTGAGAATATAAGAAACAGACTTACGTTGACCCAGTAAACGCGCGATATGTCCATATGAAGTGACTTTTCCCCGCGGGATCTCCTGGACGGCTGCATACACGGCGTTGAACCACCACTCCGCCTCATCGGAGCGAGGCATCGCTAACTAACTCGACTGCCGAGCGCAATCGATTTGAGAGGTATTCAACAGATCATCTGGCTTAATAACAAAAAAGTGGATAGATGAATTTGTGATTGCTTCGATCCCGCATAGTTATGGTATGTACTGCAGCTTCCAACTCCCGCAACAACATTAATCCGGATATCGATTGATCGATTGATCCATATCGCGACTTATCAAAACCAAGCTCTCCTCCAGCTTGATCTCCCCCCCTCACACAACCACCCAAAAATGCCATCCTCCTCCTCCCTCGCAGACTACCTCGCAAAAAACTACCTAACAGCGGACCCCGTCCCCGAACGCCCCAAAAAGAAACGCAAGAAGACAAAACAGCAACCGGACGACGGAGGACTCATCATTGCAGATGACGACCCGCCTGATCTCCGCACATCTGCAAACACCACTCGAAACGAAGACGAAGATAGTCCATACATCGTAAACTCCGGGTCAGCGGAGTTTCGACGCGCGAAGAAATCCAGCTGGAAGACCGTCGGCGGGCCGACGTCATCATCAACATCATCATCAGACCAAGCTGCCGCAGATGCGATTCTTGCCTCTGCTGCGGCGGAGAGTGCTGCGAGACAGAATGCGAATGAGGATGAAGACGCGCCGACTATTGCGGACGAGGATTATGGTGGTGGGCCTCGGATGGAGTCTGGGGCGCGCGCGGGTCTACAAACTGCAGAGCAGACGGCTGCGATGATGAAAGCGTTGGAGAGACGGAAGAAGGCTGAGTCAGATGCATATCTAAAAGAAGCTGGGAAGAATGCTGCGGGCATGCAGGAGACTATTTACCGTGATGCTTCTGGACGGATTATCAATGTGGCGATGAAACGAGCCGAGGCGCGGCGCGCAGAGGAAGAGAAGAAGGCCAAGGAAGAAGCTGCAAAAGAAGCATTACTGGGTGATGTGCAGAGACGGGAACGAGAGGCGCGCAAGGAGCAGATACGTGAAGCGCGGGCTATGCCTCTGGCGAGAACCATCGAAGACGAGGCTTTGAATGAGGAGCTCAAGGCGCGAGATCGATGGAACGATCCCGCAGCGCAGTTTTTGACGTCGAAAAAGGAGGGCGTTTCAGTGAGCGGGAAGCCGCTGTATAAGGGTGCCTTTCAGCCGAATCGGTATGGCATTCGACCGGGCCATCGGTGGGACGGGGTTGATCGAAGTAATGGCTTTGAGAAGGAGTGGTTCGCCGCGCGGAATCGTAAGGAGAGGATTAGTGCGCTCGAATACCAGTGGCAGATGGACGAGTAGTTATGATATCGAAAGGTCCTACAGCGGAAGGGTTTTAAGCTGCTGGTGTCCTGGTCTAAGATGGGAGAGCCTGCTGCCCTCTATATCGGCGACGTCTGCGGTGATATGGATATGTACAATACTTTATATAATCATTATTTACGAAAAAGCCTCGAGATATACAAACTTTTGAAACGAATACTCGAATATCAAGATGAAGTTATCCGAAGCTTTTTCAGACAGCTCAAGCACATATCGCGAATCACTCGACAATCCATACCTGCTGCTTATCACAGCAGATGGACTTATGACGTGAAAACGAGATAAAGAGCTGAATCCGCACATGGGACCGCAATAATACTCTGCCATGATCTAATCAAGGGACGCACTCAGAAAACGAGGGCCAGAGCTTCTCCCGACCCAGATCCCGTCCCGCGAAGCTACGGTTAATAGTCCCATGGCTCGCTTTATTTGTAACTAACAGTGGCACCAGCATACGCTTTGATTCTCGATTAGTCTAGACTCCCAAATTACGTTCTCTGTCTGTCCAGCTTACGCTCGGGAGCATCAAGTACAACTACGAGCTTCGTATCAAGCGATTTCTTTCATCATTGTATTTGCACACAAGCCAAGGCTATCATAGCCAGTGACTGAAAAGATTAGTGCTACCATACTCCCTCAATCGGTAAGAACCCTCTTCCCTGGTAGCAAAAAAGCCGTAAATGGGAACTCTGTCAGCGGATTGTAATGTAATCCGTATGTTGTTGTTATGATGATGATGACGTGAATGTGTGATGAAACGAATACATCTTTGAAAATGAGAAAAAAGAGACTCAGACTTCTACTCGTCCGCTACTCTTTCCCTGGGACAGCAAGAAACCGGTAGGGCTTCGGTGTCGGATACAGGTCTCATCGTAGCAACGGAAAAAAAAAAGACAAGTCATGACAGATGAGGTAGAATCAGAGCGCATGACGTCTGAAAGCTCTAAATGCGAGTGAAGAGAAGAAGCGTCAAGGTTAGACGGGCAAAGGGGGGTGAGAAAGAGAGACCAGTTGGGAAGAAGACGAGAAAGCAACACGAAAATGTCCGAGTCGGAAAGTATAACGAAAAGACCGTCCGATCCAAACAACCATGTTCCAATATCAAGAGACCAACAACAAAAACCGACCGCAGAGAAGCCAGCTGACCGTCCATATCATTCGTAAAGATCGTCAGTTAACTCAAGTTCCTCCGACATGGCACCATTTGCGCCTTCAGTAAGCAACAACTCGGAACTCGGCACTTTCATCGTGCTTCCCATGGTTACTCTACGTTCCCAATCACCGTCGCTTTACCTCCATCGCCCAACCTTCAATGCCCTCACCCCGACTGCCGGGAGGAATACCCAGATCTACATTTTCCATGGCCCGCGTATCTTTCAGGAACTCATGACTGGCCATGCCACCCGCGTTGGCTCGCTTCTCCGGAAGCAGCTCCAGCATGGGGAGAAGGAAGTCACTGATACGCCGACTCTCCTCCACGGTGAAGTGGTATTTCTCTCGAAGAACGTCCGGTAGCGCCCAGTGACGAAGACGATGGATATTTCGTAGCTCGCCTTTGCGGTTGAAGATCTCCTGAGACCATTTACCAGAGAGGCATAGCGATTTGGGGAATGGACCCAGTAACTCGATGATCTGAGCGATGTGATCGTCATCCTTGCCGTATTTTGTGCCGGACTGTGGATCGAAGAGGTAATCTCCAGTAATCAACTCGAAGACCTAGTCTCAAGGTTAGCAAGTCGACAGACCACACCTGTGAATCAATGCAACCCACCATGCATGCCATACTCCAGACATCCGTACTGGCACCCCACTTGGCGCCCAGGATGACCTCTGGTGAGCGATATTGCCGTGTCTGTATGTCGTTTGTGAAGTGGTGGCCGACCCAGCAGGCGTTGCCCAGATCCGCGATCTTGACGGAGATAATATCAAACGGTAGATCCTCGCTTGATTGGTCTGAGGCCTTGTCTAGCGAGATGCCGGAGACTTCCCTTTCTAGCAGATCACTATATGAAATCAGCTAAGGCCACTCATGTATCAGAACGTCAACGGCATCAACTTACGTGGTCTTCTCTCTCTGCTTCTGTTTTTCGTCATCGTCCTTGACGCCCAGTGCCTCCTTCATCGAGAGTGCTTGGTTGGGTGTACCTAAACGGAGTTAGCTTGTCCCCATAGATCCAGATGTTGCTAAGTTCTCTTTTACCTGGCGACGACTCTGATATCATCTGGTTGAGACTGCTGTGTGAGCTTGGCTTGTGGTCGAGATTGGTGAAACTGGCGTTCAAGGGGCTGGGCAGCGGCTGGCTGCCCGTGATGAGGGTTCTTCTCCGTCTGCGACCGTTGCGGTTGTCTTCCTTGTTCTCCTTCTTAGGCTCGTCCTTGACGTAGGTCTTGACGATCTGCTCCACATCACCGATCTCGATCAATACGTTCTCCGGTTTCAGGTCGGTGTGGATGATGCCGCACTCACGGTGCAGGTAGTCCAGCCCGAGGAGGACCTGCTTGGTGATCTGCTTGACCAGCGCCATGGGGATGCCCCGGTGGTTCCATCGCTTGATCAGGCCCAGCAGGTTCTCTCCCAGCACTTCGAACACCATGCAGACGTGCACCCCGTTGGGGCCTTTGTGTTCAAACGAATCGAGCAGACTGACGACGTGCTTGCGGCCGGGGTGAGTAGGGTTTGCCTGGACGATCCGGTTGAGCAGCTTGATCTCGTCGATGGCGGTTTCCGTGTAATGGGCGGCGGAGCGGACGACCTTCAGGGCGACATGTTTTCCGGTGGTGGTATCGCGGGACAGCCAGACGGTCGAGAAGTGACCCCAGCCCAGTTTCCGCACGACGACGTAGCGTCCATTGTTGTAGGTTTCGCCCACGGACACGGGGTGGTAGCCGCCCTTGCAGTAGTCCTCCGAATCTTCCTCATCCGCGGTCGTCTCCGCGGGGTCGTCGCCAGAGGAGGTGGTGGAAGAGGCCCGGGAGAGCGGGACGCCGTAGACGGCCTTCTGGTGGGAGAGCGGGGATGCGACGGCGGGGACGCTGAAGTAGTGATGATACATGTCAGTGTTCAGACGAAGAAGAAAGATGGTCGCGGTGGGGGAACAAGGGGAGAGAAGACGCACCCCTGGGCGGCGGCGCTGCCCATACTGGGATCGGGCAGCGACGAGGCCTCGTTGGTGACAATGGGCTTCAGATCGGTGCCCTTCCTCCTCTTCTTGCCGCCGTTGCCATTGGCGGCCTGGGCGGCTACGCTGGCCATCTGCTGTGCTTTGTTGAGAACTGCCTGCTTTATTTCATCCCCATTCATCATCCTCCGCCCGTCTGAAAGGGCCAGAGAAGGGAGAGGAGGGGGGAAGGAGAGGTGGTTGAGAGTACCTGTTGGCGGCAGATGCTTCGCGCGGGTTGTGCGATAATAGTTCTGTTAGGGAGGAGGGGTTCCGTGCAAGTTCAGCCACCGCTTGGTTTCCCGCAGGGGTGGGCTTGTTTGTCTATCTGTCCGTTGGCGTTGCAGACAGAGAGAGGAGAGAGAGAGAGAGAGAGAGGGCGCTTAGTCTGACAAGACAGAGCGACCGGAAAGACAGAAAATAATAAGAAGGGGTGTGGTTTTAAAGAGGATGGGAAAAGGAAGCAAGTAAGTAAGTAAGTGAGCTTTTCGTCAAGAGAGGACGGAATCGAACGATCACAAGTCAGATGGAGCGCCCAAGTCCGTTAGTTGATTAACGTTTAGTTTCCCAAGAGCGTCTGAGGTCGTGGGCGGGCCGTGATTGGAGATGGATCGACCTGGAATGTCCGCGTCCAGAAGCGACCGATGCGGGCGGAAAGAGATGGGAGATGGCAGAGGAAGAGTGAGAAGGGAGGAGGCCGGATTCAAATTCAAGGAAGAAGGAAGAAAAGGAAGAAAAGGAAGAAAGAAAGAAAGAAGAAGAAGAAAAAAAAAAGAAAAAAGCTGGGATCACGGAAGGGCTGGAAAGGAGAGCCAGACAGGATAATACGTATGATGACGATAGAGAGAAAGATTGATTGATTGATTGATGGGGTGAATTCAGTATTTGGAGTCATTAAGTTACTACTGACTTGGATATGGGATCATTCAATGTGTAATTATGTACTTGTGTAATTGATTGATTAATTAATTAATTGATTTAGTAGTTCCACTAATTTGATTTAATTCAATTTAATTAGATTGTTGATGCTTCTGTGATATGCATATTATCCATCTGGCCATGTTATTCTCTATCTGCCTTTCTGTCTCCAAATCGACCCAACGTGATGCTGGACCAGCAGAGGATTCGTCCAACCTCTTGCTCCTCTTCATCCACCATCGCGACTATCTATCTATCGACTCTGGCAATGCATTAGATAAATCGTTGATTTCCATTCCACTTGAGACTGTCACTTTTCTTTTCTTTCTAGCTGACTATCTCCATTCCATCTCTCTCTCTCTTCCCCGCGGAACTTAGTCTCTCACATCCTCCAACCGGTTGAAAGCTCTCTCTCTCTCTCTTTCTTTCCTCTCGGGATCGAGCATCGGGAAAATAAAATAAAATCATCATCCCAGCTCAACCATCATGTCCTCCCCCTTCGATCCCCGCCCCCGGTTCGACTATCTACTGGCCTCCCCGCTCACGGCCATCCTCCACCCCGTCCACCAGCTCTTCCTCCGCCTCCGAGCACCCCCGCGGCTGCCTCCTCCCCATGCGCCGCCCATCCGCGTCGTCTGTCTGTCCGATACACACTCGCTCGAATGGGACGATGTGCCCGATGGGGATCTTTTAATCCATGCCGGCGACCTCTGCAACGACGGCAGCGTGCGCGAGATCCAAGCAGCGGTCGACTGGCTCAAGAAGCTGCCGCATCCGCAGAAGGTGGTCATCTGCGGCAACCATGATAGCTATTTTGACGTGCGGTCGCGCCGTGATGAGGACCGTGACAAGTCCCTGTCCTCCATCTCCTCGTCCTCAGCCTCGATCCGCTCCATCGAGGACCCGGACAGCTCCCGCATCGACTGGGACGGCATTCACTATCTCCAACACTCCTCCGTCACCTTGACCTTCCCGGCATCCTCCTCCTCGTCCGCTCGATCTCCATCCCGATCCCGCTCCCTCACCGTCTACGGCGCGCCGCAGATCCCCGCCATCGTCCCCTTTGGCCCCGAACATGCCTTCACCTATCCGGCCAAGCATGACGCCTGGTCAGGCACAATACCCATTGAAACCGACATCCTCGTCACTCACACCCCGCCCGCCTTCCATCTGGACCTCTCCCCCGTCTTCTCGACCGGCTGTCCGTATCTCCTCTCTGAGACCTGGCGCGTTCGACCGGCCCTCCACGTCTTCGGCCACGTCCATGCCGCCCATGGCCAGGAGCCCGTCTACTGGGACGAAGCCCAGCGCGCATGGGAGCGCTTATGTTCGCGACGCCGCCAATGGCGCGGTAGCATCTGGGGTCTAGTTCGCGACCTGCTCGATGTTCGGGGCTGGCTGGACGCCGCACGTGTCGTGGCATACGGCATCGTGGGTGTCATCTGGTCGCGCGTCTGGGGCGGGGAGAATCGCGGATGCGGCTGGATGTTGAATGCAGCGTGCATGTATGAGAATACAGGCCGGTTGGGTAATAAGCCGCAAGTGGTGGTGCTCTGAGCTGAGCTTGAGCCATCAGGGGGAATTGAGTTTGGTTGTTTTTCTACTTCGTTAAAAAAAGGTCGTCATGGCCATGGTCATCATCATCATTGCATTTTTCTAGGTGTTTGTTATACCATTACTTTGTATATAATACCAGAAGTCATAGTCATAGCCATTAGCATAACGTGTATAATAGATTACTAGAGAGCATCATGCATTATTGGCGTCGTCGTCTCATGGATACCTGATCATGTTTTCTTCTTATCACATATTTACAAAGCATAGGAATGCAAGACATGTATGTATAATAAGACGTCTCAGGAACACAGAAATCTCATTCGTTTCAAAAAAACACCATGGTATATACCGGAAGAGGGTGCGTAACTTCGATACCAATATGTACAGTATATACAACACAAGCAGAAAAAAAAAACGACACGAATCATGAGAGACGATGCTGCAAGCACCTCTTGTCTCGGCTGTGCTCTTGGCAAGCCCAAAGGGAAAAGCAAAGCACAAACATTTTTGTCTCGATCATTGAATAAAGCAAAAAAAAAAAAAAAAAAAAAGCGTTATCGTAGCTTACAACTTGGGCTTCTCGTTGAATCGGGGCGATACGAGCGGGTCATAGACGCCCAAGCCCAGTGTATCCGACGGGACGGCGGCGTGGTGACCACCAACCAAGCCGCGGACGTCGACCATGCTGGGGTTCAGATCCTCGATCTTGCTGGCGCCGATCAGACGCATGTTCATCTCCATTTCGTCCTTCAGCAGCTGCATGGCGCGGTCGACGCCCTCGAGGCCGTATGACGACATGGCGTACAGGAAGGGACGGCCGATACCAACGCCCTTGGCACCCAGGCAGAGGGCCTTGATGATATCGGTGGCGCGGCGGATACCACCGTCGATGTAGATCTCGATCTTGTTCTCCCAGCCGCGCTCGCGCAGGATGGGCATCACTTCTGCCAGAACCTCGATGGCGGAGCGGGCAAAGTCGAGCTGACGACCACCGTGGTTGGAGAGGACGACGCCGTGGACACCAATTTCGACGGCGCGGAGGACATCCTCGACGCACTGGACACCCTTCAGCACGATGGGCATCTTGGTGATGGAAAGGAACCATGGGATGTCCTTCCAGGACAGGGACGGGTCAATGAACGAGGAGATGGCGCGCGCCGCACCCTGGGAACGGTCCACGTTGTCGCCAGTCTCAGATTGCACGTTCGATCCCACGTCCGAGAACTTGGATCGCATATCCTTCTCCCGACGGCCGAGCTGGGGCGCGTCGACTGTGATGAAGAGACCCTTGCAGCCACGGGCTTCTGCGTGCTCGACGATTCGTTTCGTGATGGCCCGGTCCTTGTTGACGTACAGCTGCAGCCACTGCGTCTGGTCGGGCTGGCGGGCATCGACAATCTCGTCGAACGAGCATGATGCCAGCGTGGGAATCATCTGGATGACGTTGTGCTTGTGAGCACCCTTGGTGAGAACCGTCTCACCCTCAGGGTGACCGAGCTTCCCCAGAGCAGTAGCGGTCACGTAGAAAGGAATGTCGACCTTGGTGCCCAGCATCGTGGTCGAGTAGTCTACCTTCTCGACGTCGACCAGGATCCGTGGGCGGAACCAGATCTTGTGGAAGGCATTGTGGTTTTCACGCATCGTCTGGAGACGGCTCAGTTAGTAGATGATTTCCGAACCATTGCTGTCGGGGGAGCAGATGTGGGCTGCACTTACAATCTCATCATCCGCACCACTAGAATAGTAGGCCCACGCGGTCTTCTTCATGACTCTCCGGGCCACAGCCTCAAAGTCGAGCAGGTTGTAGCACTGCGCCAGACTGGGCTTTAGCTTGATGCGCTCCTGGCGCTCTTCCTCCTCAGGGTCGTGCGCCTTCTCCTCCTGCTCAACGGTCTCCATGTCGACCTCGCCAAGGTGTTTCGACTTGTCCAGATACTTGTCAAGGGTATCCGGAGGGTGAATCGGGTCGAACTCTTCCGTTGCATCTTTGCCAGCATACTTCAGAATGATCTTCTGACCACCAGGGTGCTCTACCACGACATCAGCAACCGCCATTTGTTAGGCAGGATATATCAGGCGTATCCTTCCTTACCTGGCAAGAATTCGGTGACGTCGTACGCCTTTCCGTGGACGATAACCCAGCACGAGTCCTTGGAGTCGTGCTTGGCGATATCCGCACCCGTAAGTTTTGGGGCCATTGTGACAGATGAAAAGAAGAAACAATTCGTGACAAACGATAATGACAGAGGAAGAGAGAGAGAGCAATGGGAAAGGGTGGAGTTGGACAAAAATGTGCCACTGGGGGTTTGCCGGTATATATAAGCGGCGCAGAGTGGAATGTAGCGGAGACCGATTCTATGTCGGACGATAGAGAACTCGCAGTTTTCTAGCCCAAAACCCGAGGACGTCCGTAATGTCTTTAGCGCGCCAGGCTTTTCCCCAGAGAAATCGAGCTTGCATCCCGCCCGTCCGGAGGAAGCTGGGGCTCGGGGATGGTGGAAAACAGTTATCGGTATCGCCGCGAGCGAATGGGCGCGGATAAGCCTGAAATCGTCGGGATATCGTTGGTTGAGCTCGGTTGCTCTAACGGACTGCTCGTTCGCAAAGCATGCGGGGGCTCTTCGGGCGTGACGCTCTCGGCCGACTAGGTGGAGAGAGAAGAGAAGAGGAGATCGACGGATGATGATGTCGTCCGGTGGTTAGTCGAGATGCTAGTCGAGAACAGGAATCAACTAGAGGGACGGCGGAGTTGTTCAGGATAGCTATGCAGTTCAGAGTTGTTTTTATTAATGATTAGTGTCTTCACAAGGACGTACTGGACAGCCACTCCATCTCCGTTTCTTCTGTATAGACAGTGCCTGGGATGCTCGAATATGCCCATCGACCACGCTTTCTTTCCACGATCTGCCGCATCAGGATCGGCCTTGGCGGTTTAGTATGCCCGATGATGCATGTTGTACCTGCAATCTAGATAAGAAAGGCTGAGGATATGGCTTGATGGATCTCCCATCGCTGCAAATGGTGACTCAACTCCACGATGAGCCAGCGCGAAAAGAAAAGAAAATCATACAAGAAACAGCAGCTGATCTCCAGGCAGAATAAGAAAAGAACTGCCTGCTGCCACTGTCTGTCCTTCTGACCGCGCCCTTTGGTCAGCCTCATGGTCTGACTGCTGCCGTGACACGCGCCGACCGATCTGATCTCAACTTTCTCCGACTCGGATCTTCTTCTTCACCTTCAAAATCACCGAACATGCCTGTTTGACTCCACGCGCTTTCTCACTCTCCTTTTTTGTCCTGCTTTCTTCTTCTGTTCTTTTCTCTCGCTCCTTCGCGGGATCATGCCAATCCTGCCCATTTTTCTGTTCTCCACGCGTTCGCGCCTGTGCCGCTGTTAGACTGGTCCCGCTAAACATGAGCTCCTCTCTCGAAGCCAAGATTGTCGTCCTAGGCGCTCAAGGTCCGTCTTTGTCGAACTTATACCCCGCAATTCTGTTGTTAATTGTTAACTGGTTTCACAGGCGTGGGCAAGACCTCTTTGGTCCAACGGTATGTCAAAAATGCCTTTGACCCCTCGAAGACGGCGTCCACGGTGGGCGCCTCCTTCGTGACAAAGCGTGTCCTCGACAGCACTTCCGACACCGTTGTACGACTTCAAATCTGGGACACAGCGGGACAAGAACGGTTCCGCAGTATATCCCGTCTTTATTACCGTGGCGCCAATGCGTGCCTTTTATGCTACGACATCACCGATGAGCAGAGTTTTCAGGAGATGACAGGTTGGCTCGTCGAACTGAAGGACAATCTGGGTGAGGATGAGTCCATTGTCATCCACGTTGTTGGAACCAAATCGGATATCGTCGCCTTGGATCCGTCCCGCCGCCGTGTTCCGTTTGAACGCACCATTGCCTACGTCGCAGAGCAACTCTATCCGACTCAGGCCTCCACGCCCCCTCCAACGGCTGGCATGGGTACTTCTGGAGTCCTGCAGAGCCCAGATAGCAAGCGCAGCAGCGGATTTTGGGGCCAGGATATCGGCTGGGACTGCTGCCATGAGATCAGCGCCAAAGACGGCGAGGGGATCGAGGAGGTCTTCCGTGTCATCACCCGGAAGCTGGTAGAGGAGCGCAACAAGCGTGAGGCAGAAGCTCTACAAGCCACCGTGGCAGGTAGGGACGGCAGCCACGGACCCTACGGCGCAGGGGATGTCGATGGCAACAGTAGTCTTCGCGTCAACCACGCTGATAAGAGACGAAGCTGGCTAGGTTTCCCACCTGGCCTTGGAATGAGCGATGAAGATTATGATCTCCCACAAACGACCCAAAGGCAAGGTAAATGTTGCTGAAGATGTAATTTCTCGATTTATTCGCGAATTTCGAGTTCATGCCTGTGCGAACTTTTTTTTCAGGTTTCCAAGGCTCAGGCCAGGCGTTCATGGTTGGATTTACGAAGCACTGCATGATCATGACTCTTGCTTGTTGTTTTGCTTATTTTGTCATTTGCGGTTACCTCTTTGGTGGCCTATTCTTTTCGTACATGTCATCGAGGTGCTGGTCACGCTCGAAGGGGGTATCCATCGGGGAGGTTAGCTTGAAGAGCTATTTTGTGCATCACACATCTGGGATTTTTCATGGATCAGGTAGTGAAATGTGGGTGATGATAATTGAATGTTTTGCCTTTTGTCTTTGTCTCTATGTTAGCATCTATGCAGCGTTGTCTTTTACCAATCCACCTCAACAACAGCACAGCCCATACTATTCATAGGATTTTCACCCTAGAGTTGACCCCAGATACCCGTTAAGCGGCACCCATCTATTCTTGAGGGCTTCCTAAATAGGTACCAGAACGATACAACAAAAGTACCTAGGTAGGTAAAGAGCAAGCACCAACAGCTAACGCCCGACGATCCAGCGCGGGACCTCTGCATGATAGGGCTGGCGCTTCAATGAATTCTTCCTGTTCGCCCATGCAAGCACGCTGCAGGGTATCGGATGTGCCGCGGCAATGTATTTGGCTCAGTTGTATCAAGGAGCAAAGCTTCAATCGAGGTAGTCAGAACCCCAGTCTCGTGTCGTCTCGTCCGCAAGCTCTTCCATTTCGGCTGATGCTTTAGGGCCATCCATCACCCATTCGAGGCAACGTAATACGCGGTGGCACTACGGGTTCTCATTGGTATGATAGATGCTGCCACGAACCTGAACCTGTTCGATGATAAGCGCCCGACCCTGGACCTGTTTGTATGATAAGGGCATCGCTTGCGGCTCCAAATGATCGGTGGAAGGCATCGAGGGCCAACAACCTAACCAGTGCCATCCGAAGATAACGACCTCTTGGATTTCTAATCCCAAAGCCAGCCACCGCGTCGAACACAGCCTGTAGGAGCGGCGCCCCAGAGGTCCGTGATCTGTACGAGCAAGCCTCATTTTGGAAGCTGCTCGCCTGCAGGGCACCCTTCCCCCCAGACACTCGACTTATCGCTCCCTCTGTCACTCTTGATCTCCATTTCTTACCTCACTTTCTTTCAACTTCTTACTGCTAGGTATTCTTCGTTGTATTGTTGCATGCTGAGAAGGCCGCCCAAATTCTTGCTTTTCCATATTCAGCTCGGTCATATTTCCAGCCTGCGTAGATAGCTTTAGGCTTATCTGACTCACGACCCTGCCTCCCTGACTTCATCGCGATGTCTGGTGCGGAGGTGGTGGCCGTCGTGGCCTGTGTGGCAGCGAGTACGTCGTCTCAGGGTGACCGTCACATATATACTTCATAGCTCTGTTGTGTACTCGGTTACTGACGTCTACAGTTGTGTCTGCTTATACTGATGGAGCCGAGCTTGTCAAGCGCATCAAAGAGAAGAGAGAAGCAAAGAGGAGAAGATCAGCAGAGCAAAAAATACAGGACCTTGAGCGCTCTTTGGCTAGCGGACCGCCAGCAGTTCAGACCGAGTACGACAGCAATTTCCGCAGGTTCGGGGCACAGTATGAACAGGGAGATCAGATTGCCCGAGAACAGATGAAAGATATCATTATCAAGCTCCAGATGGCCCTTCTAAAAAGTCTAAGCGGGTCATCAAATGGCGATGTCGAGGTCGACTTTGTCGTCCTACAGACGGTTTCGGAAGAAAGTCGATTCAGCGCTATCAGGGCTCTTTATGAGTTATATCAGAGGATGGAAGCAGCAGCGCCGATACGGGTAGGGCCAGGTGCTATGTTAATACCTGGAGCGAGGGATCCTCAGTTCATCAATCCGTTTTCTTCCTCACTGACAGATCAGTTCCCCTCTATCGCTGAACCCCAGGGTCCCGCGCCTGGTCGAAGGACTGCATCATTCAGCTCATTCTTTGCGTCGAAGAGACGGTCCTTGAGCGGTTTACTACCCTCGAGTCGACAATCCCGCATTACTCCTGTTAGCGAAATAGATGGAGAAGGAGACAGCAGTGTGAGGCGTAACGATACTCCGTCACTATTGCAGATGCCGGAACAACGTGACCGCGAGCGACGTGCAACCGCCAGAAGACAGACCTTGTCCTCTTACGCGGACCAATTCTTGCCTCCAGAGGAAGACAATCCATGGACGAAAGAAGCCTCCAGTGAGGACGAAGATAGCTCTCCACCTTCAAGCCACCAAAGCGGATCAGACCAAGTCTGGGGCGATCATCCTCAAGACCCCCCTTTCCATGGCGGAGAGTCTCCTTCCAAAGAAGAATCGTCTCTCAACGGGACAATTGCCGTCCTCAGCGGTGTATCAATAACACTTTACCTTCCCTGCGAGGCGAATAAGTTTGCAGGCTTCTGTAGAGGCGCAGGCAAGCTGCAAGATGGAGACAAGAATGCCTTCAGAAAAGCAACTCGCCCTGCTGGAATGTATAATGACATCCCTTTCTGGCAATGTCGGAGTTGTCCCTACGAAGGCCTAATGGTCGGAGGAGCTGCCAAATCCACCCGAGCATTCGACCATAGTGTGCACATCCATAAAGCCACCGGGATCCGTTACCGCTGGGTCTTCCTGGCGAAATCACACGTCACCAAGAAGATATTTGGCTGCATCTTCTGCTGCGCGGAACGCAAAACACAATGCGAGAAATTCGAAGACATATCCCCCTTCATGGACCATCTTCTCCAGAAGCACCGTCATGCTGTCCCTGGGATGGAAGCATTGCTCTATCGAACGAAGTGTATCCTCGGCCGGGTAGCGGACGTGACGGAGGATTTCGATATCAATATCCCACCTGAGACTTGAGGTTCCCGCGTCTATTAATTAACCTTTCAATATTATCCATCTATGGATTCTGATCCTTCTGCTATAATTGTTCTTTCTGATTTTCGGACTATCATTTACATTCTGCCATTTTGCGCGCACCTATTTCCCCTAGTTGATTGTGGCTCGTTTTGCCATGTAGCCGTATACCCACTACGGCGTTAGGGTGTTTCTCATCGTTCAAAAGGAATATCTAGTTCTATACACACAGAGAAGAGAGTATCATTAATACAAGTAATCTTAGCAGTTCAGAAAGCCACAATAGTAAAAGAAGAATACCTGATTGATCGGACCACAAAAAAAACACACCTGCGGGGATTTGTTGACTAATGGGGAAGTTCAGTTAACTATATATTGTCGGAGCCTGCCTACGGGCAGACCTGTCGGGTTTCTCCCACGCCTTTCTAGCTCCACTCATAGAGGTAAATAGGCTGAGCTAGTTGCTAGAGGATTCAAGCTCAGCGAGCTTCGCTCCAGATATTTCTATATATGCACATTTCAATTCCAATCTGACCGTATACTATATAACCGCGAGACATAACACAGCGATAGCAGCGAGAAAGAGCAAGTCGGTGGAAGAAGGAGAGGCAAAATATTTTCGTTACTCATGCTACAAGAGGATCGTAGCTGTCCTATTGTCTCCATTTCTCAAGCAAGGCCAAGATAAGATGTAATGTTGATCAACGATGAGAATACGTTCCGACAACGCATGTCATTAAGAAAGGTGCTAGCAGATGGTTCAATGTGAGTTCAGACAGAAGGTGCAACATCTCACAAAGGAAAATGAACGGACGAAAACAGATCTAGCCAAGGTGACATTAAACCAGGAGCATGGGCTTGCAGGGCCATAACCCGCCAGAAAAGGCGCAAGGCTGGCTTTTCACATTACAGAGCAGCAAGAGTTCTGCTTCTTGGCCTATTTTCAGGAAGTTAGCAGGAAGAGCTTCTCCTGGCAGCGTTACTCTTTTCAACGTACCTGTGTGTAGAACATTTTACTCTGAGAACTCAACGAGTCGGACTTTTGAACAAGAGAATCGATCTTTTCGCCTCTCTCCAGGACCTGGGATTTATAATGTAAGCTTAGCCTAGTTTACCACTGCAGCATACACAGAACGGGATGAGATGAAAGCGATGTGCTATATGTTAGGTGCAAGTTCGCATGATGCTCACCAAAAGAAACGGGCTAAGCGTGATAAATTAGAAAACTGGCGGAAAGGGGTTTCTCACCTGTTCGATAGTCTTATGTAAGACTTGCTTTGTCTCGCCCAGCTCCTGTTGGACCCTCGAAATGCTATCGGCTTTACTTGGGTCCTGATAGGTGACAATGTACTCCTTCAGCTCTGGTAAATCGAACGGGTGGCTCTCTGCAGTGTGGCCCTGGAACGATGAGGTTGGGTATTTGGTGAGGAAAGAATCGAGCACTTTTCTGTTAAGACTGTGTGCCACTAAATCAGGGTAACTCTGACGTGCGATAGTAACAGCTGCCACACCCTCTGACCGGGAAAACACATGGAAGTTCTTGAAATGTCAGAATCAGGAGGACTCGAAAAGTTTCAAGTGGGCAAACGGAGTTGTCATACATATCCCTCTCCCTGTACTTCCTGGCGGATGGCCATTGGCACACCTGGCTGTGAACGCTGCACGAAGATGTCACAATAAGTCACCATGAATTCGCGGATACTTCAGAATACTGAATATCAGTATCATATATCATTTGAGAGTTGTTTCTTCAATTCGTCTGCCAAGACAAGGGACGAAAGGAGACGTACGTGCCCTTATACCACCGAAAGTCGCTGAGATCCTCCTCGCCACATAGCTGCACGGCATTCGATTTCGCAGCAGGATCGGCAGATTTCAGGGCAGAATCGGGAGATTTCAGAAATACCTAGTATAGGAAATTAGCAGCCTGCAGCTCAAAGTGGACTCTTGCCATTGAAACGTACACCGATGAACAAGACGTTCCGCATGGTGGTGGCGGGCTGATAATGGCGGACAAATAAGAGGACAACCGGAGAGAACCCTAGCGGAGAGGTGTAGGACGCAGAGATTCGTCAAAATGCAGATCTGCTGTTCAGTAATATAAAGACGCGCTTGGATGCTTGTCAAGGGAGATGGCGAGAGGAAGCGATTAGTACTGCCTGGATCGATGTCAGCTAGTTATCTCCTGACAACCGGTCTGAGACGCGCTGCCACCGCACCGCCTTCCCACTTGGTCTGAGCGTCATATCTGCGCTAAACCACGAGTATCTAGCCTGGGCGATAAATTAAAGTTACAATCGCCGTACCCGCGCGGGGTGACAATTTTAGCACAGTTGTTTTTGTCATCTTCTCGAAGACAATAATCGCTTATACAACAGAGTCCTATACCTGGGACTCACCAGCCTGAAGATCTCTTATCGGGTCTAACTGAGTCATTCCCTCGTCTTACCGCCACCTCCCATCCCTGTCTACGTCAAAACTGCATTCAGTCAGATTTGCCCGAGAAAGGAAACGAATCATGGCGGGAGTATCTTCTGCAGAGTCGCAGTGGCTCAGCCAGTTGTCTGCTATGCGGCAAGCTATCGCAGAGCTGAAGCTACCAAGAAAAGAGGCTGAAGATGAGATCAACTATGGTTCAGATCTCGAGCTGGATATTGATGAAGACTACTCCTCTCCAGGTACTGTGGATGATATCTGGGACGTCATCAGTTCCGATGACGAGAGCCTTGACGAGTTAGACGACATTGATGGTGTTCCGTTACCTACTTCATCTATCTACGACTATACCTGGCTCGAATCGAAATGCCAGGCCCTTGCGGCTAAGAAGCCGGGTCTCGATGTAGCGGAAATCGTACAGCAGATTACAGCAGTACTGGCTACTGACAGCAGTGATGATGAACTGCAAATGTCTCTCGCAGAGATTGTGGGCTTCGATGATCTCGACTTAGTTATTGATATAATAGCTCACCGGGCAGACATCCTTGCTCCTACAACAGGCAAAGGTCAGTCGCAAACGGACGGTCTCTTCACCGGTAAACTACACACAAAGGCCGAACGCGAGCAAATGCTTCGTCGACAGGATTTCGAGCATAAGCATGCGACTCTAGCGCCGGGACAAAACAGGGAGGAGCCGAAATACCCTCATGTATACAAGATGCACGACTCGCGTAACACCCTGGCACTTGGAGGGAAGAAATATGGACTTCCAATCGGAAGCAGGCAGATCGAGGAACAGAGATACACTGAATTCGAGATTCCGGCTGCTAAAGTCGGTTCACTTGCTCCCAATCAGAAGCTCGTACGCATATCAGATTTAGACCACTTGTGCAGGGGCACGTTCAAAGGATACAAAACTCTCAATAGGATGCAGAGTCTGCTCTATGAGGTTGCCTACAAGACTAGCGAGAATATGCTAATCTGTGCTCCGACTGGAGCTGGTAAAACGGATGCAGCCATGTTGACAATTCTAAATGCCATTGGCAGGAATTGCGTTCCCAATCCAGCGGAGGAGCCCGATGCTACCGAGTTTACAGTCAACGTTGATGATTTCAAGATTGTCTACGTTGCTCCAATGAAGGCTCTAGCTGCTGAAGTCACCGAAAAGTTGGGCAAGCGGCTTGCCTGGTTGGGAATTCAGGTCCGTGAGCTGACTGGTGATATGCAGCTAACCAAACGAGAGATTGTGGAGACGCAGATAATCGTGACAACTCCTGAGAAATGGGACGTTGTTACGCGGAAAAGCACTGGTGATACGGAACTCGTACAAAAAGTCCGTCTTCTCATCATCGATGAAGTTCATATGCTGCACGATGAGCGTGGTGCCGTCATTGAATCATTGGTGGCTAGAACGGAGCGGCAGGTAGAGAGCACGCAATCTCTTATTCGTATCGTGGGTCTTTCTGCAACTCTACCGAACTATATAGACGTTGCCGATTTCCTGAAGGTCAACAGAATGGCGGGCCTTTTTTTCTTCGACTCATCGTTCCGTCCTGTTCCTCTCGAACAGCATTTCATTGGCGTGAAAGGAAAACCAGGAAAGAAGGAGTCTCGCGAGAACCTTGACATTGTCGCTTTTGAGAAAGTAAGAGACATGCTGGAGCGAGGCCACCAGGTCATGGTGTTCGTGCACTCCCGGAAGGATACCGTCCAAACTGCACGGATGCTGCGGCAGATGGCCATCGAAGACGGCTGCGAGGCGCTGTTCGGTTCCCAGGACCACGAACACTATTCTCAAGCGCTAAAGGATCTGAAGAATGCTCGGGCGCGTGAACTGCGGGACTTGTTTGTCAGTGGCTTCGGTACACATCATGCGGGAATGGCAAGAACTGACCGCAACCTCATGGAACGGATGTTCTCTGAAGGTTTGATCAAGGTACTCTGCTGTACTGCGACTCTGGCTTGGGGTGTCAACCTGCCAGCGGCTGCCGTCGTCATCAAGGGAACACAGTTGTATAGTGCACAGGAGGGTAAATTTGTTGATCTTGGGATTCTCGATGTGCTGCAGATTTTTGGTCGTGCGGGTCGTCCACAATTCCAAGACACAGGTATTGGCTTTATCTGCACCACTCACGACAAGCTACACCACTACCTGTCTGCTGTAACTGCACAACAACCTATCGAATCCAGGTTCTCTAGTAAACTGGTCGACAATCTGAATGCAGAGATCTCACTGGGCACCGTCACTTCAGTGGCAGAAGCTGTGCAATGGCTTGGATATTCTTATCTGTTCGTTCGCATGAAACGGGAGCCACGAAATTATGGGATCGACTGGGCAGAGATCCGTGATGACCCGATGCTGGTCCAGAGACGCCGTCAATTAATCATTCAAGCGGCACGTGTGCTGCAGAAAAGCCAGATGATCATATTCAACGAGAAGACTGAAGAGCTTCGTGCTAAAGATGTTGGCCGGATTGCAAGCCAGTATTACGTCCTGCAGACTTCCATTGAGATCTTCAATGAAATGATGCACGCACAAGCGAGCGAGGCTGATGTGCTCAGGATGATTAGCATGAGTGGTGAGTTCGACAACATACAGTCCAGAGACAATGAATCGAAGGAACTAGAAAGGCTACGTGAGGAAGCGGTGCAGACTGAGGTCGAAGGAGGAAACGATTCAGCCCATGCAAAAACGAATATCCTACTTCAGTCGTACATTTCCCGCGCTAGACTGGAAGATTTCGCTCTTGTGTCCGATTCAGCCTATGTGGCTCAAAATGCTGCTCGAATTTGTCGCGCTCTGTTCATGATAGCACTCAATCGTCGATGGGGTTATCAATGTCAGGTACTCCTCTCAATGTGTAAATCGATTGAGAAGCAGATCTGGCCCTTCCAGCACCCTTTCCATCAATTCGATTTGCCTCAGCCGATTCTCAAGAATCTCGACGAGAAGTTGCCGACATCTTCTATAGAATCTATGAGGGACATGGAGACAGCTGAGATTGGACAGCTCGTTCATAATCAGCGTATGGGCAAGACTCTAGCCAAGCTTCTAGATAATTTCCCGACTCTAAGCGTTGAGGCTGAAATTGCGCCGTTGAACAGGGATGTCCTCCGCATCCGTCTGCATGTCTACCCCGAGTTTACTTGGAACGATAGACATCACGGTGCCTCAGAGCCCTATTGGATCTGGGTTGAGAATTCGGACACGTCCGAGATATACCACCATGAATACTTCATCCTTAGTCGGAAGAAACTTCACGACGAACACGAACTCAACTTCACTATTCCTTTATCTGACCCACTGCCAAGTCAAATTTACGTCCGGGCTGTGTCCGATAGGTGGCTGGGCGCTGAAACCGTTACTCCCGTTTCCTTCCAGCATTTGATCCGTCCCGATACTGAAAGTGTCTATACGGATTTGCTGGACCTCCAACCGTTACCTATCTCCGCCTTGAAGAACCCAATCCTAGAGGAGATATATGGGCAGCGGTTCCAATTTTTCAATCCGATGCAGACACAGATATTCCATACGTTATACCATACTCCGTCCAATGTGCTTCTTGGTTCTCCCACCGGAAGTGGAAAGACAGTAGCAGCAGAGCTGGCTATGTGGTGGGCATTCCGAGAGAAACCGGGCTCGAAGGTGGTATATATCGCACCTATGAAAGCTCTCGTGAGAGAGCGTGTGCAGGATTGGGGGAAGAGATTAACGGCCCCCATGGGACTGAAGCTTGTCGAGTTGACTGGTGACAATACGCCAGACACTAGGACTATCAGAGATGCAGATATCATCATCACTACCCCCGAGAAATGGGATGGTATATCCCGCAGCTGGCAAACTAGGGGATACGTGCGACAAGTCAGCCTAGTCATCATTGACGAGATCCATCTGCTGGGTGGTGACCGTGGTCCTATTCTGGAGATTATTGTATCCCGTATGAACTATATCGCTTCTCAGTCCAAAGGTGCTGTTAGGCTGCTAGGCATGTCCACTGCCTGTGCTAATGCCACTGATCTTGGGAACTGGCTAGGCGTCAAGGAGGGGCTGTTCAACTTCAGACATTCTGTGCGTCCTGTGCCGCTAGAAATCTATATTGATGGCTTTCCGGAACAGCGCGGCTTCTGCCCACTTATGCAATCGATGAACCGGCCTACCTTTCTTGCCATCAAGAGCCACTCACCTGATAAGCCTGTGATCGTCTTCGTCGCTTCTCGACGACAGACACGTCTAACGGCCAAGGATCTCATTAACTATTGTGGTATGGAAGACAACCCCCGGCGGTTTGTTCGCATGTCCGAAGAGGATCTCCAGCTCAACCTTGCACGTGTCAAAGACGATGCACTTCGTGAAGCACTCAGCTTCGGGATTGGTCTGCACCATGCTGGTCTAGTTGAGTCTGACAGACAGCTAGCTGAGGAACTATTTGCAAACAACAAGATTCAGGTCCTCGTTGCTACCAGTACCCTTGCCTGGGGTGTCAACCTGCCCGCACATCTAGTGGTTGTTAAGGGCACGCAATACTTCGACGCAAAGATCGAAGCTTACAAGGACATGGATCTGACCGATGTTCTTCAAATGCTGGGTCGTGCAGGACGTCCCCAGTTCGATTCCTCTGGAATAGCTCGTATTTTCACGCAGGATTCTAAGAAGGCGTTCTATAAGCATTTCCTTCACACTGGCTTTCCAGTAGAGTCGACCCTACACAAAGTCCTCGACAACCACTTGGGTGCCGAAGTTTCTGCAGGAACTATCAAAACCAAGCAGGATGCTCTCGACTACCTGACTTGGACGTTCTTCTTCCGCAGGTTGCACAAGAACCCTTCATATTATGGCCTTGAGATATCGGCTGAAGAACATAACACGATAGCTGCGCAGCAGTTAGCCTCTGACTTCATGATTGATCTGGTTGACAAGTCTCTTAGTGAGCTGGCCGAATCATCCTGTGTTGTCTTCGATTCTGCTACAGGAGATGTTGATCCAACACCTTACGGAAAGATCATGAGTTTCTACTATCTCTCGCATAAGACTGTCAGATACTTGATGTCTCATGCCAAGCGTGATCCTACCTTCCACGACGTGCTCAGTTGGATGTGCTCGGCCACAGAATTCGATGAGCTACCCGTCCGTCACAACGAAGACCTGATCAACGCGGAGCTTGCGCTTAATCTTCCTTTGTCGGTGGAGTCAATGGGTGATCTTCCAATGTGGGATCCGCATGTGAAGGCGTTCCTTCTCCTCCAAGCATACATGTCAAGAATTGACCTGCCAATTTCTGATTATGTCGGTGATCAGATCTCGGTCTTAGATCAGGGCATCCGTGTCATCCAAGCGTCTATCGATATTCTGGCAGAGCTTGGTTACATATCTGCTTGCTGCCAGATGATCACCCTGTTGCAATGCATCAAATCCGCACGTTGGCCTTCAGACCATCCCCTTTCAATTCTACCCGGCATTGAACCCGAGAATCCGTCGAAAGCTCTCCCGGCCTCGCTCACGGCCTTATCCTCGCTTCCAGCGTCGTCTATATCGTCATTCGCTAGGAAACTACATCTCACCTCAGCTACAGCCAATCAGTTCACGAGAGCGGCATCCAGCATACCGAATTTATCTGTTTCCGTTTCAGATGTCTCCAGCACTGGCATGGTAGTGACGTTGACACGACAGAATCCCCACACGAATCCAGAGTACAAGATCTTCGCACCTCGTTTCCCCAAACCGCAGACAGAAGGATATTTCCTGATAGTCACCGCTGCTGCGCCAAATGGCGCAGACGGTGACTTGCTCGCACTAAAGCGCGTATCTTGGCCACCGGTTGCAAATAACAACCGTGAAAAGGGCAGGAGACAAGGGCACCAGAAGAACGGAAATGTGGTTGCAAAATCCTCCGTCAAATTCCCAGAAGAGGCCCTTCCCAGCGAATCCGCTACGACCAACAGAATCGTAAACGTTCGTGTCATGAGTGATGCTTATCCTGGAATGGAGTGGACTGTATCTGGTGTGAGGTTGCCATTCTATGATGACGTATCCAAGAAAGGTGTGGAGAGTGCTGGGCCTTCGCAATCTAGTGCGTAAAGCACATGAGCTAGCTATAGCTAAATTCAATATCAGCCTTCAATATATTCACCGCACTAAATCAAAATGTAGGCTTTATATCTAACCCGTAGGAATATCACGAGTGTTGAATTGACCCTAGCCTCCGTTTCGACCTCCAATTCCTCATTGGAAGCGGTGGCTGCTGTGACTGCGGTATGTTTTTCCTCCTCGGGACGGCTTCTGCTTCCAAATACTAAGTCCCTTATCCATCCGAATAACTATGCTTGCTTGGTGAGTCTTCAGCACCCCATTTGCGGTCCTCTTCTTCGTGGAAACGTGTGATTTACTGGAAAGCTCCTGTAGGTCTTTCACGGTTCTTAGAGAAGAAGGGAAAGAGGCGTAGGCAAAGAGAGCTTTACCTATGTCTCACATATCACCACTTTTCTAATCGAGGTAGGGATTCCGGCCTTTGTACTACCGCTATCTCCTCAATCATATACTTAAGTAACCTTATATAATTTCTATGTTAATATCCGCGAATATAGAAATAAAAGGTGATACTATTATAAGAGAGGTAAGCGCGTAGCCTTATCAATATCTAATATTTAGCTATATTAATATATCTTTTCTTTATTATGCGATAACGGTAATATAGAGAATCTATAGTTAATATATATCTATTTCTAAGCCGCGTAAGAGCAGCGCAATAATACACAACTAGAGGAAGATAGGTAATATTTCTGCGCTTCGCTAGATTAAGCTAGCAGAGGGCTCCTTAGTTGGATTACTATATTGTAATTAGTGCTTTGACACTGGGCGATCACGGTTGGGTTCCCAACCTCGCATGAAGCCTAGATAGCCTATTGCAGTATTTGGCTGCCGGCCTTCTGATTATGGATATTCTGTTAAAACCACCTTTCGAACTGATCGTCGTCTGGCACCTCCTGGAATGGTTTGAGGGTCTCGGGATATGTTATCCGCCTGATAGGCTTAGCAAGCCATGGAAAACATGCGACAAATCAGCGCGCTTTAAACAATGTCCTACGCCACTACAGCACTAAGATAAGGCCACTAGGAAATGTCCCGCGTAGTGTTGGTTCACAGGCTAAGTAATTCCTGCAGTCTCAAGTGCGGCGGCAACTCGCTTATCTTTATTGGGATGAATCCCTGCCAGGGGCTGAACAACTCACTTCCCCCCAGCTATTGTAGCAAAAGCAATGATGGTGGCTCGCTTTAGGTCAGAATAAAAGGCTGAGTCGGCTGTCAACAGCATGTCCTCTGCCTGTAGTTTCATGTTCGAGTTTCGATTATAGTATCAAAAGCACAGAGATTTGTTCACCGACTTTGCAACAGCAGCGACTCCTTTCGATGGTAATGCCCTCATGGATCCATTGACAGCGGTAGGCTTGGTCTCCAACATACTCAGCTTTATTGATTTCTCTGGGAAATGGATCAAAGGGGCGTACGACATCTACAATTCGGAACTCGGGAGCACGCCAGATAATTCTCGTAGTAAGGAATTGCTCGATAATATTCGCAGAGCGACTAACACCTTGGACACTCATTTTCGAGGGAAGACAAAACATGAAAGATCGCTACGTGAAATTTGCCAAATCTGCCGTCAACAATCCGATACGCTTCAAAGTATCCTGAAGGAATTGACAGTGGTAGACAAAGACTCGAAATGGAAGAGTATGAAAGTCAGTTTCAAGAGCATCAGGAAAGAGAAAGAGATAGCATCGATTGAAAGGAGTTTGGATAGTTGCCGACTGCAGACCCTTACGTTGCTGGGAATAATCTTCAGGTGAGTTGAAACGAATGTGTACTTGTATTCGCACATTCTTGTGGCTAAATAAGTGGGTAGTGAACAGCAGTCTTCGGCCAACTCGCGGTTGGATAGTATTCTAAAAGAGTGCCAGCGTGCACAAAGTGATAGGACACTTGAGATCTCAGATCTTATAGATGAATTGCGAGAAGCGATAAAAATAACCCGGGACAAAGAAGAGAAGAGTGGCTCAAAGACGATCCAGGAAACCGCCAGGGGCACTGTTGAGCCGTCCACCCACATCACCCTTCTCCTGCCAAAGCTGCAGATGATCGCCCAGTCCATACCGCGAGAGAATGACATTTTAGTCCGGTTAGATTTCGGGGATATGTATTTGCGTGAGCGTGCCATAAAAACCGCCGAAGATGGGACTTACTGGTGGATTGTGAAAGAGGAGAGCAATGAACAAGATTTGAGTGACCTCGAGAGAGAAATGCGAAGGCATACACGCACCTCATTCTTGACATGGTTGAGATCAGGAAATTCAATCTACCACGTGAGTGGTAAGATTGGCTCTGGAAAATCAACTCTCATGAAATTTCTCTGCAACAATCCTTGCGTTCAGGGGGAGCTAGAGAGCTGGGCAGGGGAAAAGAAATTGATATTTGCCCGCTTCTTTTTTTGGAATTCTGGATCCAGAATACAGATGTCTATGGAGGGACTCTACAGAGCCATTCTCTTCCAGACTCTCAAGAAATGTCCTGAGCTCATCCAGCAGATTTTTCCAGATCAATGGGACCTATTTGATCTGGACAGATCTTGGTCTGGAAATGCCCCGTTCTGTCTTGACGATGTGAAAGCTGCCTTCGAAAGGTTGGTGAACAGGAAATCCTTTCCTAACCATCGTATCTGCTTTTTCATTGATGGTCTCGATGAATACGAAGGTAAAAGTTTCGAACACTGGGAACTTGCCAAAAGTCTCCAAAAATGGGCGCAGTCACAGGATATCAAGATATGCGTCAGTAGTCGCCCACATAATCAATTTATGGAAACTTTCTCCGACGATCCGAGTCTTCGAGTCCGTCTTCACGAACTGACTCAAGGCGATATGTCTCGATTTTGCCGGTCTGCATTCGAGAATAGTGCAATGTTCCACCGGGTAAGCAAGATATACCAGGACTTCGTGGAAGAAATAGTCAAGAAAGCCGAAGGTGTGTTCTTGTGGGTCGTTCTTGTGGTTCAATCACTTCTTGATGACATTGCAAATTTTGATCCTCCGTCAGTCCTTTGGGAAACGCTCAATGAAATCCCAGAGACCCTCAATGAGTTGTTTGAGAAACTGCTTGCCAAAATTAAACCTCGCGATCGCAGACGTTCCGACAAAATGCTTCTTCTTGCCAGCACCTTTCCGCTTCAGCGGCACTACGCCCTTGTGTACTCCTGGCTTGATGACACTGAAGATCCAAACTTTCCGTTCAATGCCCCGGTGAGAGGGTATACTCATCAAGAAGTGCTGGACAGAGAGAGAAATGTACGACTCCAATTAGACTGCTTAACGAAAGGATTGTTGGAAATGAAACCCATACATAATGCCCGGACGTTGATGAATTTGTACGAAGATGCATCTTTCCAGCACGAAGTTGGGTTTGTTCATCGAAGTGTGAGAGAATATCTAGAATCTACCCCAAATCTGAGTGACATCAGAAGCCGGCTCCAGGGGATTGATTATACAGATATCTATTGCCGTTTGCTGCTAGCACTGTCCAAGTTTGCGATACCTCAGCACTATAATCAAGGGAACTCAGAACTGCGTCGCCAGAATCTGCAGTGGTCTTTTGAGTGGTTTGCTGGACTGCAGGCTATTGGAAAAGAACCGCCTATCAAGATCGCGGAAGAGTTCGGTTCGGTATTGCATAGCTACAGACAGCTTGCGCCCACATATCCTGATCACACAGCGTCAGATGACAGATTTACCAATTGGGGATTGCAAATACCCATTACAGGATCCCTATCTAAGTTTGGTACTGAGTTCTCTTATCTTCACTTCGCAGCAGTGTTCCGGCAAAATCAGTATGTTTTTCAGAGGGTATCAATGGACGCTGGCACGTTGAAGACCAGAGACGGCTTGAATCTCCTTTTGTCGGCGGCCCTTACAGGCAATTCTCGGTTGGTACGTTTCCTCTTAGAGGAGGGCGCATCATCGTATGAGCGGGTGGAAACAGAGGATATGAAGCATGTCCGAAAACCCGCCCAGGAAACCCCAACTGTTTGGCTTTCGTTTCTCCTCCACTTTGGCGCGTCAGTCATTGAAGGGAAACAGGAGTGGATATGGCAAGGTTCCTTCCAGAATGAATTGGAGGCACCGTTGGGCGAGTACGGCCTGATCCTAGAGCATTTCCTCATGTTTGGGGCTAACCCGGAAGCCTACTTTGTTCTATACGAAACCTCCACCACGTCAAAAAGTTCTGGCAAATGCCATGGTGAGCTTAAGCCTGTTTTCGTTTCACTGCAGCAATTCGTGAATGCCATGCGACTGCCAAGTTTCGAATCAGTCGTACAGTTCTTCCGCAGAAAGAGAAGGTATCGTATATCCAGAATAGCTGCGAACCTCATTCCAAAGAAGGATCCCCTGAGTGAATCTCGTATCGCGCGGGTAAAGGAGATATTATCCGACAAGAACAGATATGACCTCTACGCTATCTGCTCCAAGGACGGTGGGTGCCAGGTGGACGATTATATCCGACTGTATTAGATAAATGCAAAGGATATCTGGGCGGCCCTCATAGAAGATACGCAATTATGAAAGTCAGAGCAAAGCAGGAGTGTTGATAGGCTTAGAAAACTTAAGAAATCAAAAGCAGAGGTCGAGTTCTGTTGCGTTTCCCCTAGAACTGAACAAAAGCCTGGTCCTCCGCGTCGCTTTGTAAGTATGTTTGCTTTGGTTCTTAGGGATATCGTGTGCAAATATTTCAACTTCTTATGGGAACAATTTTTATATGCGATTACGATCTTTCTCTCTAATTTCTTTGATTGGCCTGTGTTAATCACGGAGATTCTGCTTTCAGGTATTTGGTTTATTCTTTATTTCAACAAAAAAGAAAAGAGAAAAAAGCGGGCTTAAGTGTTGAGAAAAGAAGTCCTAGTTACTGTCCACAACAGCCATCTCATAGTTTCTCCCATGCGCAACATCTCCTTTGATTATGATGTCAATATAGTCCGAATGCGTATCAACTGATGTAGCGGAAATAAATGACTCATCGACATCCGAGACTTGGGATGCGTCCAAAGATGGAGTTGCCGTGTGATGTGAGCTGTCCTTGTCCGCCACAGAAAGCTTCGTGCTGTTAGCGATAGATTCAGCCTTGAGCTTACTCAGAGGGCTAGGTCCGCGGGGCAGTGTATAAGAATCTAGATATTTGCGCGCCTTGGGATGGGCGGGTAGTGATGGGAATGCAGTCGACCTTGCCGGGGATGTTGCCCGACGTCGAGGAACGCTGGGTCGTTGGGACATTGATGGAGGCTGCAGTCGTTAGTTTAGACAATGATATATTAGGAACAAGGATACCTACTTCTGTTCCAGGGACAGCTAAGCTCTCTAGGGTTTTGCTTCGTCTGGCAAGCAGCCTTGAAGACTGATCATTGCCAAGCACATTTCCAAACATAATGCTATACCTCTCCATGTGAATATCCGGAATATCAACATGCAGGAACGGCACTGGCTCTGCTGCTGTATAGTCCGATGATTTCTCTGTCGTTGAATTAATGATCGGCCATTCCTCTTGTTGTTCGTCGTTTGATTCACGCTGGTCAGAGAAATCATACTGTATCTCCTGCGGCGACTGCATTACTTGCGTCATCCTCTCTCTTCGACTCCCCTTCTTGACATCTGCTCCATCAAGACGAAGTACAGACTCTGACTGAAGCTTTGTTTCGAAAGCAGAATCTTGCCTGTCCTCCTCGGTGACTTCAACCTGGTAAAAGGGAGACCTCGAGCGTGGTGCAGACTGCTTTCCCTTAAACAGACTCCCGATTTTCTTCCATTTGCTTGGTTTCCTTCGAAGAGGAGTTCGCGGTGTATCTCCCGTCGGTGTATCTCCCGTCTTAACAGATGCTATGGCATCCTGGTCGGGAGATTCCTTTGTCGTCTCAATATAGGAACTTGCGAGTCTGGGGCTCCCTAAGGCGATGCCTATCATACTCTCATCTGCCACAGCATCAAGTTGCTGATTGGCCAAGAAGAAATCTTCTGGCGTCTCTGTCAAATGCGCGTCAAACTGAGGCGATGCGCTCTGCCAGCCACGATGTTGCGACCCTTTCTCCGAAGCTTCATGCCACTCTGAGTCTGCTCTCGACGCAGCACCACGACGGTCCCGTGGAGAATGGCTCCGCGCTGAGAGCTGTCCCGCTGTTGAGCGGTCCCTTCGTGGTAACACACCAGGATCGGTCATAGAGCGTTTCGGTGTGCTGCCAAATAGTCCCCTAGCCATGTTCTGTCGTTTATCGCAATACCAGTAGCGAGAATATACTTAGGAACGTGTTGATATAAGTTGAAAAGAATGATAATTACCGCTTAAAAGGAACGGACAGCCTTCCAGAAGGCCCTGATTGCAACATAAGAGTAAGTGAAAGTAGAGAACTGGCCCGTCTCATATCGAGGGTAAGAAGTACTCCATACCGGATACTATGGCCGAGAGCAAACTACGAATAGTTAAATGGAAGAAAACATCGCACTCGTGTGGAGCTCCAACACGAAACCCCCTCGTGCGCTTTAGGTATCGCCCGTGAAGACGAGACGCTTCACGGGCGAGACGGCAGGGGCTTGCTAGGTACGCTGACATCTCGACCAAGGATCATGCCTGAGTAGACTGTCCGCGGCTCGAGCGGGTATAAATTAGCCGTCAGGCGAAAGTCTGGACATGATGGTGTGGAAATTGCTTCTCGACAACAGAACCAGTGAGCGCTCATGCCCTCACATTCTGGAGATCGCTATCGACGTGTCCCGATATGCTTATTTCACCAGCTGCGAATAGTAAACGTGCGCTGGTCTACAAGCAGCACGAGATGGCGCACGCATCTAAGTAGAGATCCGTGAGTTGGGCTCGGACGTCAAATGGGCATCTTTGCATTGCTTCAACTGACTGACTGACCTTCTCCATCTTTTGTCCAAGCATAAATAACTAACAGTTGACGAGCATTGAGGGGACATCGCACGATAACCTCCTGGAGGCCATCTCTGAGCGGTCTGTGCATTCGACGGCGTTGCGGATTTGAAACTGCCAAGCTCAACGGTCGGAAGCATCGCTGCCGAAGATATCTGGAAAGGCCCTGTAAAGGAACAAAAAACACAAGGCCAGTGGGAAAGCAGGACTGATGCAAGGAAAACCCTGGCTTTGGTTTGATTGCATCTCTAGCCGAATACCGTGCTTGCTGCTACGCCGACGGTGTATGCAATTATGGAAGCTCCAAGAGGAAGTGAAATAACAGGCACATTGCAGCAAAGTAACTTCAGATCGTGAAACACGGCTCGGAAGAGCTAATCCAGCTAACTTAACCCATCTTAATTCAGCCTTAACTCGGTACAAGTTTCTTGTCAGGCGGCATTGAATGTACAGTATTAGTTAGGATATGACAAGAATATTCTCACTACCTGCGAATACAGCATTATCTACACCCGAATTGGAATGAACCCTCGACTACCAGGCATCTGAGTCGGGTGACCGTCATAGGTTAACTAGATGACCCCCTTGAAGTCAAAGCAATTCCTTACTACGAGAATTATCTGGTGTGGCCCCGAGTTCCGAATTGTAGATATCATATGCTCCTTTCAGCCATTTCCCAGAGAAATCAACGAATCCGAATACGTTGAAAGTTAAACCTATCGCTGTCAACGGATCTACGGGGGCCAATACGACCCTGTTGCAATACTGGCCAACAATTATTATGTGGTTTGTAATACTATAACTCAAACTCAAACATGAAACTATAGGCCCAGAGAGGGCTTGCTTCTCTAAGACTCAATGTTGGCAGCCACCATGCTGTTTACACCCGACTCAGCCTTGTACCTTGACTTAGAGCATACCGCCGCCATTTATTTTGCTTCAAGGACTGGGGCAACTGAATTTCTCAGATCCTGGCAGGGATTCATTCCTCTTCTCATCCATACCATAAAGACAAGCAAGTTGCCGCCGCACTTGATGCCGTAGGAATTAACTTGTGAACCGACACCACGCGGAACATTTCCTAGTAGCGTTATCTTAGTGCTATAGTAGCGCAGTCACAGTCTACTTAATAAAGCGCGCTGATTTGGCGCATGTTTTCCATGGATTGCTAAGCACAATAATTCCCGAGACCCTTAAACATTCCAAGGGGTGCCAAATCAAGGTCAGTTTGAAAGCTGGTTATTATATCTGGAATATGCAAACTCCTTGGTTGTCAACAGAAGGTACCTATAATCAGAAGATTGATATGCAGCCGGATGTTGCAATAGGCGTGGGCTTCATCTGAGGTCAGAAACCCAGCTGTGATCGCCAGTGTCAACGCACAGCAACATATATAGGCCTTCCTGAGCGAATAACTGATTTCGATATCACTGTCAAGGCAGTGCTTTGTATAATTATGTTTTATTCCCTTGATAATTAATATGGGTATGTAAATAGATGTCTCGGCTAATAATTATGTTTATATGGCACTCAGGACTGAGTAACGGACACAATGCGCCCATTGTCTATATTTTTAAATATAGACTTATAGTAATGCAGCACTTCAAGACCTAATATATAAAAGCTGTCGGCGTATAAAGCAAACGCCAGGTGATCTGCAATGATCTGTTACACAACATTCCCGTATAGAATTGGATCGAACCTACTAGATTACTAGATTACTAGGATCTAGATTCTTTGTATGCTAGAGATAAATATGGGATCAATCCCCCCTAGACCTAGAGTAAAGCAAGCAATTCAGATTCTGCTTCCGTGCTAAAGGATTCGACAAAAGCACAGTAGATGCTTATGATTGTCCAACAGTAATCTCCAGTGGACAACTCTGCGATATTCTAATGCGACAAGAGACTAATTAACCATCTCTCAGCTAAAAAGCACTAGCAAGATGATGTCAGTCATATTTTCGTCGCGATTTTGAAAAGGGGCACTGAGACTTTAACTATTGCAATGTTTCTCTTTCCCCCAAGATAGTTCTACTGAGCCGAATATAGATCATTCTCCGGTGCGAGTTAGAGATAGGAACCTGTCGGCGCCCAACTAGCTGCAAAACGCCACTAGCACCCTATATGAAGGGCATAGAACAAACAACAAGAAGCCACCTATTTCCATCAATATAGGATCAGAGCAGACATGCCGGAAGTAGGAAATGCTCAGGAATAGTGGCGGAGGCAGTGCTCCAAGCAACAATTGATCAGGATGAAGTCCGAGGACATAAATAGTCTATTGATTCCAGTACCCTCCAGTTCTTTAAGCAATCAAGATCCTATTCCCGTATCAAATGATTTTCTACTATTCTTGCTTTCGTGGTCTTGGATTATGAGAGAACCTGTGTGGTAATCCAACCAAGACCTGGCTAAACTCAGAAGAGCTGCTAGCTTTATCTAGCGAAGCGCAGAAATATTACCCATCTTCTTCCAGTCGTGCATTACCAAGGCTACCGCCTGCGCTGCTCCTACGGAGCCGAGGAATGCATATGTACTGTAGATCCTCTATACTATTTTTGTTGTAGAAGGAAGAAAAGATATATTAAAATAGCCAGTTGCCAGATACTGATAAGGCTGCGCGCTCACAGCATCACTTGATATTTCCAGGTTACAAAAACCGACACAGAAATTGTATAGGGTGACTTAGTTATATAGTTAAGGAGACAGCGGTGGTACAGAGGCCAGAATCCCTACCTCAGTTGGAAAAGCGGTGATATGTTGAACATACGGTAAAGCTCTCATCTTAGCTCAACTTCTTGCATATGCTCAGTGTCATCATCAATGATCAAACCATCCTGAGTGAATGTAAACGTGTCCCTTCTGGTTGGTCAGTGTCGGTTTCAATAGCAGACCGGGTAAGCCATAGCTTTCAGTCGTCTGGCCTCTTAATCAACTTCTCAAGCGATCTGCCATTGAGGCCTAGCTCGAGAGCACACGGTTGGATTAGACAGCAGGGAGTTCTGCTGTACATCCCAACGGTCAAGATCCCAATGCAGACCGCCACGCGACATGACATGCGAGGCGTTCTGCGCCGAGAGCAGGTGGGTCACCGGCGCGTTCGGTCTTGGCAGCTGGTGCTCTTTTTATGGCAATCCCTGACGCCTTCAATTGAGGGCAAGTATAGATACACCTGAACAATCCTCAGAGAAATCAGTATGGGACAGTAGTCGGCTATATGCTGGCTTCAGGATTCCCTTTGCCCTGCTCGCCATAGCATCCTTGATGCCTGTTGATGCCTCCGTTCTTCTGTTCCGTGGACCCGGCTGAGCATCCTTAGTGGAGGTTAGGCCCGCACCTTGAGACAACTCTGTCACCGCTCCTGTGGGCGAGATGGACAACAGCAGGTCATGAAGATGGATGCCAGAGTGTGCAGATGGGGTACAGAAGGATGGCGTGGGAATATAGGATGAAAGCAAAGCGAAAGCTCATCTCCGGCAAAAAGGATATGGGGGACATTTTTGGGGACAAGTTTCAATGGAGAGAAGAAGACGAGAGAGAAGCGATGCAGTCATCCCGACGGCGGGGCAGGTACGCCAACACACTCTCACCCCACCTAGCCGGTCTCCTTAACTCTTCTCCCACAACCTGGCCATACTTCCCATCAACAAACACCGCCATCTCCCGCTTTTATTAGAGACAACTTCCCTGGGATTCCTTTTACGGAGGACGTGCACCTTTTCTTCTTGTCTCTTGCTCTGCCTTATCATCTTATCTGTACTTCAGTCTCCAGGAGAGACTTACTATCACCATGTCTTGGGACGGTATGTGGCCTGGTTCGGACATTAAGAGCTCTTGCCCTTGACAATTCGTCATATCCTGCTATAAAAGCTACCAAGTCCATTACTGACATTGTTTGCCAAACAGGATACCTTAACGACCAGTATATCACCCTTTTCGTTGATTCGCATAATACCAGGAGATCCACTGACATGGGCTAGCGTTGTCGGCTCCTTGATTGACAAGGCCGTTGTTATTGACGTTACCGGTGCTGCTGTGTGGGCCAAGTCCAACGGTGCTCAGGTATGGATGCTCCTCAGTTTATCTGTGGCAGAGGCTCTGCAACTTGCGGTTACCGTTATGATCTTCCGCTGACCTGGGAAATACCGTTACAGATTTCTCCAGACGAGATGAAGACGTTCGCTAGCGCATTCAGCGACAAGTCGAAGGCTGAAGAAAGCGGAGTTTCTTTCGGAGGCTCCAAGTACTTCTTCACAAAGCTTGAGGATCTTACACACGAGAGTCTCCCCGAGCGGACTATCCCTACGCTACACGTGGCTAAGGTGATTATTAATATCATTTACTTTCCCTGGTACTCCATCAGATAGGACGCTAATCAAGTTCTTTCGAACTACAGGGAAAGGAGGGAGTCGTGGCAGCGAAGTGCACCCAGGGTATTCTGATTGCCCACTACCCCGAGGGAGTCTTCTTCGGCGACGCTATTGACGCTGTCGTTAAGAACGCTTCGCACCTTGTGAAGAACGGTATATAAGAGGTCATTGGGGTTCTATAATCGGAAAATTTGGAGGTATTCGCACTACATGCTAGACGGGATCAGCAAAGAGGTGGTATCTCGCACAATCAGCAGTGAAATACCCATGTTGCAAGCGTGTTATTGGCCCAACAAGGCAAATGTCATGTTAGGTCCATTGTAATCTATTCAGTAAGAGGCACAAGAGGACACCCTTAAATTCAGAAACTCTGGACACTTTCTAACAGGCAACAATTGGATATTCCACGGCGACGGGCATGAGCCCAATGACATTGTGAGCCTTATAACCACGTGGAACGCCTTTATAATTGTAAGGGCAACATAGTCCGATTTCTGAAGAAACAAATACATAGCAAGGTCTACTGTACATTTCTTTGCCTCTGGTACGAGTCAACCGAAATCGAAACTAAGCACCCGCTGTAGGCTAAGGAAAATATGTTTCCAGGAAGCATCTCATAAACATCCACAACATTCCATCAAAACAGCGAGTATACGCTCTCTTGCTTAATATCATTTTTCGTCCAAACTTAGGAGTATCACTAGTGAACTATATTCTATGACATGAACACACGTTGGCTAGCAACTTTTACAAGATGGAAAACGACGCCAATTAGGGTATATTGATTGATATTGTGATCAAGGTCCATTTACATCCTAACAGGGACCCCGACTTTGGTGCGTAGAAAATCAACTAGATCATCGATCTCATCAGGGACTTTATACCAATGCCCAAAGCCCTCATACCGCTTCCAGGTCACATCCATATCCAACGGTCCAGCAAGGAGCCGAACCATCTCCTCCCCAAGCCTGACGGAGACCTTTGGGTCCGCCGCGCCATGTCCTAGGAAAACAGGGGTGCGAAGGTGGTTGACATCGGCTGGTGTGGTGATTCTTGATACGGAATTGTGCTCTTCACCTGCATTCAGGAGAGGTGGGAGATCAAGAATATCGCGCAAGTGGTTGATCGCTGAGATAGTTCTTGAGAATTCTTCGGTGCTTGTGCCGGGGTCCGAGTCGTCACTATCCTCCCCAAATGGATCGAACGAACTCAGATCTTCGTTATTGTTGTATTGTTCATGTGGATCTTCATCTGAGGAGCTGCTATCCTCAGTGTCATCATCGTTGCTTTCAAAGTCGTTATTATCGTCATCTTCTTCATGAACGTCCGCGTCCTCGTCTTCCTCTTCATCATCGCTTCCCTCTGAGAATTCTATATCTAATTGATCCATTCCTTCGTCCAGCCCACCTAGGGACTCGTGGTCATTCTCGATTCCGAAATTTAGAATTTCACTCAACTGCCCCTGGAACGGTAACCATCCACTCATTCCACAGAACGCACCCAACGTCTCCCGTCCATTCTCACCCCATCCACCACCCAGCAAACTAAAAGCTGCCGCCGCGCAACCTTGACTTAGCCCTCCAAGCACGATGCGTGAATACGAATCATGGTCCTCATACCCCTTCTCACGCAGGATCCCCGCCTCCTGCACAACGAGCTCTCTCAGAAACGCTGCCGTTTCACATAACCCCTCCACCTGCAGATCCGTCCGCTGGTTCGGGTCGTCGAGTGAATAGTTATCGAACCATTGATGGATAGGGATCTTTTTGAGAGCCGTCGAGCGTCGTCGACGCGCGGTCGGGAAGACGAATTTGACAGTTGGTAGCCGCGCGGGGAGATTCGCGGAGCGGAGGAGTTCGTGGCCGAATCGGGAAGCATTGCTGCCGCGGCCGTGGAGGAGGATTAAAGTGTGAGTGTGTTCGGATGCAGACAAAGGGGAGATCGAGAGAGGTTCGGGATATGGTTTTGGAGGCATGGTCAGACTGAGGTGTAGATTAGGCTGAAATCAATCGAGTTTTTGAAAAGTGAAATCCGGAAGGCAAACTATTGACAGCAGGGCACTATATCATTTCTGAACATAGCAAAGCCAGGTTCTTTACTCTTGTAGACGGAATTTTGACGATGATGTTACATAGTAGGTACTTTGTGCTATTAAGATCTTAGTAGTATCTGATAACACAGTTAGCCGCCCTGGTCCGCCTAGTATAACAGAAGCCAATGATCGCTCTGCTCTTAAGCGCCAGACATCACGTTCCTTATCAACACGCGTTCAAACATAGCGCTGGGGCTTCTAGGAAAATTGTTCCAAAAAAAGAAAAAGAGGGAGAAAAGGAGGGGCTCTCATCATTCTCAGTCTAACTGTATCTGACTTGGAATATCAAATATTTTGAGAAAGACATAGTTACTAAAGTGTACAGGAGTGTTGACTCCCAGATGAGATAGGGAGATCGTATTTTCCCTTCCCCGGAGAGTATTCTGTTGATGGCAAGAATGAAGAGATTATAGCTTCTGTCATGGATGCTACAAACGCCGATGTCCTAGGTTGTCTTCGCGGCGCATTCGAACGTTTGAGATGTAGACTACGCATAGCTTTTCCTCGGCGCTAGAACATTATCTTTGTGAACCAAAGAGCTCACGGTCCCAATACTGTCTGTTTCATATCCCTGGGAGCAAGGGCCTACCACTCAGATCAAGCCGTCGTTGAATTCATCTTCTGTCTTGTATGGACCAAACCATCCTAGTTCAGCACGGAAAACGGGATCCTCGCAAGTTATATCATCGAAAGATTCAACTAATTTCCCTTTGATACTCCGTAGTCCCGCTATAAAGCCTTTAAGTTGTTGTATGATCTTCTTGCGTCGTTCATCGTCCATATCGTCCCACACATCGCGCAGAACCTCACCTTCCACATACTCCATAACTATAACACCACGGTTGAGAGATTCATCGACATATGCATTCAAGACTTTTGGGACGGGAATCGAGGTCCGAGAATGGACGTATCGTAGAGCCTCAGCCTCAGAAAGTCGGAACGGCTCGCATAATTTGACCACGGTTTTCTCATCAACTCGATAGATGTTGATAAGATCGTCAGGAACTAACCGGTTGGAATCTACAAGCTCGGACTTGTCAATGATTCGCGACATATTGCACTTATGTCAGGGGCGTGTCTTTTCGTAGTTCAAGGTAAATGTAGATGTAGTGGTAGCGTAAATAAATATCTCTTAACCTAAAACTCCCCCACCATGCGGGGTCGGTATCTCACTGCGGCTGCTTTTTTCATTGTTCTACTCGACATTTTGATCCTTGGAGATAAATATCGGCATGCATAACTTCTCTATTCACGGCCTCATCATCACTGTGTTCCCGGATAGATTCCTTGATGATTATCACCTAGGGGAAAATTAGATACTGGACAGAGATCCGCCAGATACATAAGACAGTAGCAGTAAGAGACCCTGGATCACTGACCGTTCATACATGAATTATAATATGCTGTACATACGTATAAAGTGTCTATCCCTAAGCATAGAATGAGCTGTAGACATCATGAAAGCAATCCTTGAATTATCCATCCGTCATATCATCGCCTTATTCCGGGCATTCTGTCGTGTCAATCAAAAGGAGACACGGCACGATATCCACCCGACGCCTCATACATAACACCATAGGCAGGCATTCCCAAAGAACAAGGAAAGCCAGGAGCTTCAAATAATATGAAATATATCAGAGAAAAAGAACAAAAGCACCAGATCTATCTGGGCTCTTTCTTCGCTCAATCCAACGTAATTATACTGGCAATTCAGCGTTTCTCCTTCCTCCAGCCAACGTCTCCAGGGCGGTCTTGATGTAGGGTCCCACGACGGGAATGTTGCCGGCAAATTGACCGATGGTGACGAGGAAATCTCCAAACAGGATGAATATGCCGTAGAGCTCGATGAGAAAACCGGTCAAAGGCCAGCGGAGGAGGATGAGAAGGATACCGAGGGCAAATGCGACGGTTCCTTTCAGCTTATGTGGACGGGAGAAAAAGGCGAGAGTCTTCTGAAAGCCGATGATGAGAGTCAACCCGATGAGGAAAAGGATCTAGACAAGCGGGAAAGCTCATGTTAGCGGTGAAGATGGGTGCTGGGCGTATGGTCCAGATCTGCAATAAAGGGTTTCGTGCGGTATATATGGGCGCAGACGTACATTTCCCATGGCAAGCCTTTTGTTATAAAAGGTATAGAGATTAGTATTTGTGATCTTTTCATACGTAGATTGAGGATTCGCCCTGCGGATTATACGTACATTGACCGATCAAAGAACATCAAGACTCCAAGAAATAAGAACAACCCGCCTATAGAGAGCAACAAAGAATCATCGTTAGACGTCAATGGAAGAATCTTGTGATATTGTGCCAGTTTGTCGAAGTTACTTGACTAGTATGGTGAAGTATCCGCTAGGTATACATGCAACGGGTGCCGTAGGGAAGTAGTATGGCTATATTTGCGAAATAGATAGAGTTCACCTACCAGCAGAGCAGAAGACCACCCCGATCTCTATATATCAAAGCACATGTTAGCAATGGTGTTATGAGCAAGTGAGTCGTGCGCGTTGGGCCAATGGAATTGCCCTCAGCTACGGTAATCAGAGTGCGAGGAAGATGCCGATGCAGAGAAACATCGGCAAGTCACGCAATCAAGCATGCGACCAAGTCCAGGGTCAAGACAAGGCGTCGGCCAATATGGTGGTGGCCAATGTCTCCAGTGACATTATCTGGAAGGATATTCTCGCTTACTCTGGTTTTCTGAGAGCCACATGGTTGGCATATTGGGCACCCTCTGAAAGGATGTATAACCGCGCGCAACGCCGCAACTGTATTATTCCGAACTGCAGATAGACGTTTTCGGAGTCGTCCGCTCGGGAAATGCTGTATATATCGGAACAGAAACTGTCGGCAATCTCCTATAACAGGGGAAGGGTCTAGCTATCGAAAGAGATGTCGCAAGGACAAGCAAGAGTCCAGGGGAAGCAGCGCAACGGGAACTGTTATCTGTTTCCGGAATCTCGTAACGAATTCAACTGTAGGGATCGAAGGTCCTCTATGCTGAGGAAGACACTGGGCCGGAACAAATGGGTGTCTGCAAGTCAGTCCGCTCCCTTGATGCCAGCAGAGCCCTCTGACAAGCTGTTATGCCTGGACTTGCGCGGTCGCAAGAAGATTTGATCCAACCAAATAATGGGTTTTTGCGCGCCTTTCTGCCACGTTTTCAGTGTCCGCCCGCGCCCTCAGCAGTCATGGAGCTAGCGTTATGTAGTAGGCGGTGAATACAGGAACAGCAAAGCTTTTAAAACTCACACATTCGCTCCATTTGTTCTTTGTAAATATATGTGACCATGTTCACGCCAATTAGTAACGATGATTGTGTCGCCAGAGTTACTTGATTGACCCTCTAATGCGTCCAGATCAGACCTCCATTATCTAACAGTACAGTGTTCAAGAGGATGTTCAAGAGGAGACAACAGTTCGAAGGCAGTCGCCCAGACTCCTTGACGGCCACCGATGAACAAATATATGGAATAATGATTTGCCTATGTTCATTGCTATGCCGGACAGCTCTATAAGGACATGTGATACCATATCCACTGGGAACAGAAGCTGGTCATGCAATTGATACTCGACGTGCTCAGCGTGTTCCGTATGGATGATTTTCATGGCTGTCTATCCAGTCTCCGTCTCCTAAATCCACCCAGAAACCAACTGCATTCCTTCACTCACTCCACCCCTGATGTATCTATCTATCCGCCGCGACCACAGCGTCCTATAGACGTTGTAACTGATATTCCTTTCTGTGGAATGTCGGTACCAGTCGAGTGCTCTAGCACGTGGCGAAGAACGATGCCTTTGGGGTTACGATTAAGCCGGAGTGCTTTCTTGAGCCTGTCTCGAAAGGGGCACGGTGGGTGGAAAGGACTTGACTTTGATAACCCGACATAATGCGCAATCCGCAAAGATAGAGTAACCAGTCCTGTAGTCAGGACGTCAGAATCAATGGCAAGACTTGTATCAATAAAACACCATCATACCCGTATTTCCAAATGGGCTCTTTTAGAGCATAACCCCTGTATTCAGCAGGGCAGAAGTCCCTCTATTTGAGGACCACATGAGCTCCTCTTACTTCAAGGTAGCTCTCCGCCACGCCCTGGCCGAGAGTCCTGACCACCCCGAAAATCTCCTTATCATGATAGCGCAGTCTGGTCTTAGGATCCGTGTACGGCGCCGGGAGCCCGGTGATATCGCAGTAGTGCTTCTGATGGGAAGGATGCAAGGACGGAGCGGACTCGATATTCGTATAGGTGACTGCCGGGCCACTAGGGTACATAGAGCGAGCATTTTTCTCCCGTACAAGATTCGACAGATTCTCTGCTGCCTGCGCGATAGCGCCACCGCTGGGGGGTTGCGTGCCATCGGTCGTTGCTCCTGTACCAGCCGCACCTGGAGTCGCTGCGCCAGAATTATTCTGTGTGGCCATCACTGAAGCCTCCTTTCTTGAAGTCTCTGCAAGAAGTTGCTTGACATTCTTGTTGCGTCGTTGCGATGGTTTCCAGTTCGGGTTGCGGAAGGGGCGCGGAAGATGCGCGATGTCAAGACGATCGAGAAGCTGCTGGTGAGAGTCATCGGACGCGGTAGCTGGAGGAGCCATCTTGGAAGCTGTGATTTATATCGTTGCGGTGAGATTGGCGTCTGGCTTGTGGTAGAAGAAGAGGGGTTTTCCTGCTTTTCAAGAGCTTCCCAGCGATAGTTATCCAGCTATCCGCAATGTAATTAAGCCTTAGTCGTTACGCGATGAGCGCGTTGGATCTCCCAGGATATGTTGCAAAGATAAGGGTTTATGGTGTAACAGCGACACTATAGTGCGGCATGAATGTCAATTTCTTAACGCAACTGCGAATAAGGGGCCTCTTTCATTGAGCTGATCAGGCATTTGACTCTTGCGGTTCCCGTCCGAGCAGTCAGTAACCTTGAATGTATCTATCTAATCACGTGCCAGGATTGTCTCGGGTATCAACACCAGATTCAACGGGTAACAAAGAGGTTCCCCCCGATCAATAGACAAATTTCATACAGGTCCAAGATGGTGAGTACTCAGATGGATTGAATCGGATGTTTCAAAGTCATCTGAAAGTCGAGACTGATGCCATGATCCTCAGGAGAGCCCTCACGAGCATCAGCAGAGTCTGCTACTCTCCCGAATCATCAACAACGTTGTAAGCAGCGACGATGGTTGAGCCTCATGTTTCTTACACTAATCATTGTTGTACTAGGAAAAACTCAATGAAGCAGTCATGGTACTCAACAAAAGCTTGCAAGTGGGTGTCTTTTGTGTTCTCATTGCGCGTCGTTGATACTGACCAACAAATCCAGGAAGTCAACATCCAGAATATGAATGTTGAGCTCGTTGCGCAGATGTTCAAGAACTACCAGTCGAATGTTCTCTTCCATCTAGAAGGTATGTGCCCCTATGCTTAGGATATTTAGTAAGATGCTGACTCTGTATAGCTACGGAGAATCTCAAAGACCCATCCTAAATACGTCTGCATGGTCGGAGTCATGATGAATTTACGAATTATGGTGGAGACGGTCCTGTAGTCAATAATGCTTGTTCGTTTGTAAACAAATCTGTAGGGAATCTGATCTAAGACTTGTGCTGCCTCTGGTTGTCAATAATGATAATCATAATAATAAAACACCCCTTCAAGAGCATATTTAGCGCGCCGCCACATATAAGGGTTACAGCTCCGGGATTCTCGTCCACCCCCGGGAAGCTGTAGCCTCAACTCACAAAAGTCTGCTCTGCCTCCCCAACCTCTGCTCCATTTCAAGGCAGCATCACGGTCTATCATTATTTCTTCAGTTGCTGGACTTTCGGGGCTCACTCCCTTTTCATCCTTGCCATGCGCTGAATCCGCTCTATTCTTTGCTCCGCGTACGCCATTTTGACCTGACCTAGACGCCGCGATGACCATCGCAGCAGCGACGGTTCTACCGACTCGCTCGGCGGCGATTGTGACGGATAAAGATAGGGTCAAGCCGCCTCCAAAGGTGTACCCTGTCCAGGATCATCCGTTCAAAGGGTACCATCCTCCGCAGCCAGATGGCTATGAGCAGAGCAAGTCTACGGCCAACACAAGTGCCATAGTTATCGACAATGGTAGGGAGAAATCTTGTCGCTATGGTCGCGCACTGTTCCTAATATGATTCGTGTGATACAGGCTCCCATCTTGTCAAAGCCGGTTGGTCGTTCGACAAGAACCCACGATTCATCATCCCACCTGTGATGAGCCGTTATCGAGACCGCAAGCTCAACAAGGCGTGCCAATTCGTCGGTTACGATGCGTACGTCGATGCGACAACGCGTGGACAGCTCCGCTATGCCTTCGATCCGGGCACGAGCATAGTGGGTAACTGGGATGTTATGGAAGGGCTTCTGGACTACCTGTTCCTGAAGCTAGGAGTGGATGGCGCAAACGGAGGCGTTGACAGGCCGATCGTTCTCACAGAGCCGATCGCAAACCTGACATATCCTCGACGGAGTATGTGTGCCTTGTGGTTTGCTGATGAATACATGACTGACGTGATTCAGTGATGAACGAGATCCTCTTCGAATGCTACAACGCGCCGTCCGTCGCCTACGGTATCGACTCTCTCTTCGCATACCGCTACAATAAAGGAACAGACGGTTTGATCATCTCGTCGTCACATACTTCTACACATGTTGTGCCTGTGCTGAATTCGAAAGCCTTGCTCTCAAATTCGTCCCGGTTGAACTGGGGTGGTGCGCAGGCTTCGGATTATCTGTTGAAACTCATGCGATTGAAGTATCCAACATTCCCCGCACGGATCACAGAAAATCAGATGGAGGATCTCATTCATAAGCACTGCTACGTTTCGCAGAATTACGACGAGGAACTAAGCCACTATTTGGACTGGTCCGGGCTGGAAGATAGGGACCATGTCATTCAATACCCATATACGGAGCATGTGGTACAGGAAAAGACGGCGGAGGAACTCGCGCGCATTGCAGAGAGAAAGAAGGAGAGCGGACGCCGGTTGCAGGAGCAGGCCGCTAAGATGCGCCTTGAGAAGCTGGTGAAGAAGGAGCAAGAACTTGAATACTACAAGGACCTGCAGCGTGGTCTTGCTTCGGAGCCTAAGAGAGAAGTCAAGAGGATATTGGACGCTGAAGATCTTAAGGATGAGGCTCATCTTGAGAGGACTATAAGGGATCTTGAGCGGTCAATCAAGAGGTCGCGAAACAAGGATTTAGGGGTAGAGGAGAACGAAGAAACTCCGGAAGAGGCATCTTTTCCCTTACTTGATGTCCCTGACGAGGAACTTGATGAGGCTGGCCTTAAGGAGAAACGTCACCAGCGCTTGATGAAATCAAACATTGAAGCAAGGCAGCGTGCGAAGGCGGAGAAAGAGAGGGAAAAGGCCCGTAAGGAGGAAGAAGAACGACTTGACAATGAGAGGCGAGAGAATGACTTCGAGAACTGGATTGCTGAGAGGAGGGCTGCGCGACAGGTACAGTCTATCAATCTAAATTTCCGAGGATTCTACTAACCCCGCGCAAGGCTCTTCTTCAGAAGATCAAGGAACGAGAAAGGCTAAAGGCCGATCTTGGAAACCGCAAGTCCCTCGCAAGTCAAATGCGCATGAAGACACTCGCCAACCTCGCTGCCGACGGTCCCAAGAAACGTCGCAGAGGCGGTGATGATGACACTTTCGGTGCAAACGACGAAGACTGGGGTGTTTACCGTACCGTGGCGACAGGCGAACAAAGTGACGACGAGGAAGAAGAGGACGTTGAGGGTATGCTGAAGTCAGTCGAGGAACAGCTCCTCAAGTACGATCCAGAATTCACAGAGCAACACACCCTTGCAGCGCAATCGGATTGGACAAAGAGCCTTGTTCACTCCTTCTTACGTGGACCCTGGCCATTTGATCCAGAAAGCCAGCGAGAGGCTCACCAGCTCCATCTGAACGTGGAAAGAATCAGAGTACCTGAGGTAGTATTCCAGCCATCAATCGCCGGTGTCGACCAGGCAGGTCTCGTAGAAATCGCAGCCGACATCGTCAACCAGCGCTTCTCAAATGCTGATGATCGCGCTCGTTTACTACGTGATGTATTCCTTACCGGCGGAAACACCCTATTCCAAGGCTTCGAGGAGCGGTTCCGCCAGGAATTCAGGGCTGTTCTTCCTCTCGAGGCGGAGCTCAAAGTTCGCCGTGCAAACGACCCAGTCCTCGATGCATGGAGAGGTGCTGCGCAGTGGGCCTCAGGACCAGAACTGGCCAAGTCTTCAATATCAAGACAGGAATACCTCGAGAAAGGAAGCGAGTATATCAAGGTATGCACTGACAAAAAATTTGTCTTTTCGTAAATCATTGATTAACCATTGTTTCCCTACAGGAACACGATCTTGGAAACATGGCAAACATCGCATGAGCTTCCACATCGGAAAGAAAAACTTTCTCGTCCTTGTCTCTACTAGCTGCCGTAAGAAAGCATATCGTGCCTAGCTAGCTAGCTAGGTATGGGTTGGTCCGGACCATCAATATGGAGTATGGAGTACGGATGTGTATGGGGTTCGTGGCAGATTTGTTTTTCAACTTGGAAGAAAATGAATAGTAGCAAAATTGATATAATATTATACAAGTACTTTACGTGTCTAGGCTGATATCTGCAGCATCACAAGCATATACTCTGGTCTACAGCTACGCTGAATAGGCAGGGTTTATCATGGGTAAAGAATGAATAGAGGGCAGGATCTACCTAGTCCATTATGGCTACTGCAAGAGATGCTGCGGGCTGTACATACCATCTGAGGAAAATAGTGTAGAACAGACTCGATGAATAGCCGGATCCGGAATAGAGACGGATCGTCCCGAATATCATTGTCATTGCAAGAAATATCATGTCCTGTTAAACAACATCATTAAAAGGGGTATTATCAATATTCCATCGTGTATTAAGATCGTATTCGGGGCATCAGACAGTAGAAAGCTCGAGACAATCGTCCGAGAACCTCGACGCCACCTTCCAACCGTGAGACCACCGTTGCCCCAAGGGAATATGTACAGCGTCGCGAGTGCTCGAATTGCCTGACGCAGTGCAAACCTAAGCCTGGCCGATAATATGAGGATCGAGAGAGGCCTTTTGTCCTTTCCTGTGCCATAGTGGATTGAGAGATCATCAGATTAGCATCAAACCATCGCGACCTGACGCCGGACGAATGCATATGCAGCAGAAATCCCCGCACTGGTATTATTGCGATCCAAACAAATAATTAAATATCAAATAGCCAGTAAGGTGTCAACAAGGAATGGACGGGCAGACAACGGTTCACCGAGTGAGGACTCCATGACCCAGTTCCCCATGATCGCTGTCGTCTAAATATTCGTAAACGTCGACAATCTCTTGCTCAGGTTTATGAATCCGAACCAGCCAGAGGAAATAGTCCTCCAGAGGTAGGAGATTCAACAACACAGCATTGCCCCACCACCCCAGAGCGCAGACAATAGCACCGGCAACTGCATCCAGAATAAAGTGGTTGGCGGTCGAGACGATGGCGACGAGGATAATGAACGGATACGCGAACCCGATGAGTAGGCAGGCCAAGCGGCGCCATGACGGCAGTCGTACTTTCGGAGACAGAGACGGGTGGAAACGATTAAAGAAGCGAATCACGATGGTCTTCGCACGGCGATGTTGAGGGGGAAGCGGGATGGTCATGATCGTAAGACCGATCATCAACGAGTAGCCGAAGTGCAGGGAAGGCATGGCAGCTGGAAATCATACTGTCAGCGCCGTGGAAGAAAATATATACAGAAAATCATGGATGACAGAGGAAACTCTTACCGTATTGATTGCAGAACCTATTTTCTGTCCAGACGCTACCAACGCCCGCGACTCCATGGACTGTATCTACGAAGCCATAGCTGCGCGCCTTGTCTCCCACCGGACCCTTGACGTTCTTGTCGCTCAGCAAGCGAGGAGGCATACAGGGCCAGAAGGTGAACACGACAAATGCCAGCAGGTTACACACGGCCAGAGTTCTCCGGCGCGCCTCGTACAGCGCTGGTCCCGCTGGTGATCCGTTCACCATTCCCCTAGGCTTCCCCGGTTGTCGTTCATCCAGGTGGTTTCGTGTCGTGGTGTAGTAGTAAAGCCATACGAGAAAGGCGATAGTGCCTGGAATGTGGATAAATGAGTATGTCCAGTTTACCCAGGTCATGATATGGGGGTGCGCGAGGAAAAATCGCTGGATGCCAATCTCCCAGAAGATACCCAGCTTCTGCTCGATCGCGATGATCTGCAGCGCATGTTTGCGGGCGACGTCCACAGTGCCTTCCTGGAGTGTCACCGCAGTAAAAGCACGGCCCAGTTGGTAGGTCTGCAATCGTTGTTAGAACCTTTTGGACGAGCACGAGTACTTCAGCATCTGCGTTGCTTACCCAGTAGACCAGAGCCCAATACCAGCACTCAACCAGGAAGGGAAACCGACGTAACAGCCGACTGAGCAGACGATTTCGAAAAACAGCGGTATTCGGGGAAGTCACATCAACTTTCCAGGAGCCAAAACCAACCTGCCTTTTCTGCCAGGGTTCCTCATGGGTTTCGAGCAGCGACGGCGAGAGTGATCGACAGGTGAGCAGCGCATCTTTCGGGGTGGGGCTGATCAGTCCCGACTCCAACGAATCTGGAGAAGTGTCGCGTGAGTACTCTGTATAACGGCGCCCGCTGCGGCTGCCTTTGCGCGACGGCGATATTGAGCTGTCGACCGCACGGTTGATCCAGGTGCCTCCAAAGAGAAGGACGATGACTGCGAGCGGTTCGAGAATGGCACCCGCGCCCATGATAACCGCTGCGGTCGTTTCTGTTGACTTTACTGGGACAGGTGACGGGGGAGGAAGTGACGAGGGGGACAACAGATGAGGGTAGAAGAACAACTCAAGGATCAGGATCAGGATCAGGAAAAGAAGACTCAAGAAGACACAGTAGCTTGTCACCGGGGGGTAGGCGTCATTAAAGGACCAAGGGAGCGGACCCCACGAGGAGCTGAGCTCTCGAAACTGAAAGCAAGAGAGCTCTGGTTCGTCCCCAGGCACGGAGAACGGACGAAGTTGGAGAAGGACCAAGAGAGCAGCACGGAGCTCGGAGGCACCGGAAAGTTCAGAGGCCGATTGATTCGTAACTACTCTAATAATACTGTATGGTACTTAATAATAATGATAATCATAGTTAATAATAATAATCGTGAAGGGGCCGTGATGGCGAGAGGCGCACCGGTCAGTGGAAATAGCAATAATACCGGGGAAAGGAGAACGAACATGCGAGGGAAAGACGGGGCTAGACTGGATGAGCTTATCGGTGATGTTCTTGTTTGTATGGAAGAGAACTAACTATCTGATGATGCTGCTGACTCTGTCCCATCGTCAGATATCTCCCCCCATCAGAGATATTTCCCTCGTTTTTCGCTGGGGTCTTCCCTCTGTATGGTATCTGCTTCCTGTTTCATCATGATGTTCCCTTTGTGGTGACTGCATCTGCCCGTCAGCGCACACGACCAGATGCCAGCGATGGGACTGGGCTGGATGATAGCGCGTTGACCACTGCCCAGCTTGAATCTGTTGGACGAGCGGGGCAGGTAAGCTGACGCCGAGGATGACCAAAATGCGCCACCTTGGCAGGACAAGAGTCAAGATAGCCTGGTTTGGGTCGAAACACGAAGAAACACTAGGCGGTAGGTGGTTGAATCCGGCGGTTAAAGTACGCCCTCGTCGACGTTCCCTGGCATTTCGACTCTGGCAATGCTACTAGTGAGATTCTTTAACCACAGAGAGCGCTGAACTAGAGTACTGACTACTAAAACATTACTCAAGTAGGATTAGTTTTCACGACTAGTGTTGATCTGCGATGTCTGCACAACGTCAACGCTGGCACAATGACCAGAATACAAAAGAATACTCGTTCTCCAAATAATACACCTTGGCTACCGTTTTCTATGGTATAGGTAACTATACTGAATCACTTGTTGCGTACTAAGCGGGGGAAATCCAGTCCATCGCAGCGCCACGCCGATATCGATGACAATAGACTTGGTAACAGCCTCGCGACCACGAATTCCGTCACCACCTCCCACGTCGGGGTGCCACCCCGATCATATTACTCCGTATAGACCGAAGAGATTTCTTAAGAGCACTTCTCAGAAGAGAGGACCCTGCGGATGACGGATGGTTAGTTAGTTGGATATACCGCTGACAAACAACGAGGCTCAATCTGATGGAGAACACCCCCCGAAAACTTGCGGGCTAATTAAACATTTTGCCTCCAGCGGGACGCGCTGTCTGTCACTTCTCCGCTTCGTCGACGGTCTCGACCAGAGGGTGACGATACGTTGGCGTGGCCGTACAGGGAAAAGAGAGGGCCATAATGATGATATCCTTCCTAAACAACCTCTGCTTTCACGTTCCTGAGAGAACATGATCCAGCCAGAGGACTCCTTGCATGGCCAGGAAACGATAACTCGTTACACTATGGTACGTACATAAGTACATACATGCTTCCTATCTCCAGCAGCGAGGCCGAACGCTCTGGAGACGGACGCACTGCGTTTGACGCTCGATGGTCTCGTACTAAATTCGTAGAATATTCTACTACAGCGGTTGAACTTCCCGCCGCCCCGTATGATTATTATTCTTAGGCAGTAATAATAATAATAATACATAATACAGCATCTGTCTCCACGCCGAGACAGCGGAAAACGATTGCGGTCGGCCTCGGAATCAACTAGATCCGTCGGGATCTTGGCGTTATCTTCTGATCTGTCAGCCCTACTCCGTACTCTAGATATGCCAACATGGTAGATCAGCCCTGGAGGGCCTCCACAACCGCAAAGCTTAGCAGCACTTCAAGTCATTCATTATTAGTTGCTAACAGTACCTCTTTCACTTTAGACCTCAGGAAGATCATGGATCATCATCATGATTCCATTCAAAACCGCCCCCTCTGAGATAGAACGAAGCGCCGGTCTGGAGGGATGCATGGATGTAACTAATAATCACTCCTTTGTCAACTGATGGTCTGGATCTAAATCTCGTGACCTCGGTGCTCGGCCTTTTACCATATGGTTCATCCAAATCCGGGTCGAGTGGGTCCGGCAAGCCAACCGCCGACGGTCCGTTCGTTGAAGTTATGCCGATTTGCACAAATCACGGGGCGACATGGCATAATTGGCACGGTTGCAAATTGACTCCGTTCCTGTTTGGGCTCATCTCTCGGCGGTTTCCTCTCGATATACTCTCGCGTTCCCCTGAAATCTCTCCTGAAACGCGTTATGGCTAATCGTATAGATAGTATACTTTGTTTCAGGATCCTTCGTGAGGGAAATTCTATTAATTCTATCAATCCTATCCCCCTGAATCAATAACCTAGGTAACTACCAAAACCAAAAAATGATTCAGCAGTGTCCTTTGATGACCCACGTGACATGACATCAGCTACGTACTTCTTTGAGCTGTCTGTCGACATCTTGACTTCATGGAGGACAACCCCGCCCTGCTCTGTCAGAAAAGCCGCGTTTATGCGACTGGCAGCTATCTCAATATTGGATCATCCCTTTACCCTGAGAGGAAACCTGCTACGTCAACTTGGCGTAGCAATAGGTAATGCTGCAGCTGGCCATTGACTGAGCTTCGTAGGACGTTTCTTTGGTCGGATATTCACATGGTGCATCGAGGGATACAATCATACAGACAGTGAAGAACATTCTTCAAGGAAATGATGTGCAAGTGAATGGTGGGAGCACATGTCCTTTTCAAATGGCTGGATTCCCGTGTCCTGTTCTTGATATACTACTGTGCTCTAGAACACTCAAGCTTGCTTGATAACTAACCAACTCACTGGAATCAACCGTCTTTTGCCCTTGAACCAGCGTCCTCTTGTCGGATGGAACTAGTCTCCTCTGTTTGACTCCACTCACAGGATCTAGACTGGCACAGCATCATCCAAAGCGAAAATGTTCCCGGCAGTCCGTCAGGCCGTTGTGGCTTCCTCCAAGCCATTCACATCTTCTCGACAGCAACTCCTCAAGGCTACTACGCCTGTTGCGGCGTCACGATGCTTTTCCACCATTCCTCCCGCCCAGAAAGATATTATCCTCTTGCAGGATAAGGAGAATGGCTTTGGATTCGCCAGGTCAAACCCACGACCTCCTAAGCCTAGGACCAAGGGCGTGACGGAGATCAGGGGACCGTACTATACTGTATGTCACAGTAGAATGCGATCTCTTAGCGATCACATCAGCTGGTGTTCTGCCTAGATGCGGCCACTAACATGAGGTTACAAGGTCATGGGGAAGAGATATCTAGCGGACGTTCTGGAGACGTAAGTCTACAACATATGTCTCGATATTTAGTAAGCATGGCCTAACAACATGCCAGTATGGGAACGCATGTCGATGGTCTCAAATTCGCCGGAGGTATGTCCTGAACGGTCGCATCAGTTTACAGACACACATTGATTAACTCCTTCAACTAGGATCCTTCTCCTTGTTCCCCGAGAAGCCACTGCGCGAATTGATCGATCTGGCTCACTCACACGATGTCTATGTCTCGACTGTATGATGTTACACTACCAATTGGCAACAATATTGTGGGTCGATGACTGACCTGGTATATAGGGCGGCTGGGCCGAGCATCTTCTCACACACCCAGACCCCAATACCGTCTTTGATAAATACCTCTCAAAGTGCAAGGATCTAGGGTATGTATCCTAAAATCTTTTCTATCAACCTGTCTGCTTGAACGACGACTGATCGTCTCAGATTTGACGTCATCGAGCTGTCTTCCGGCTTCCTCTCATTCCCTGCAGACGACTGGCTCCGTCTCGTCGACAAAGTCCACTCTTACGGCCTCAAGGCCAAGCCAGAGCTCGGTATCCAGTTTGGAGCTGGTGGTGACACTCCTGCCGCTGACCTCGAAGCCATTGGCACCTCAGACCCCGGCAAGCTGGTCAACCTGGGCAAGAAGTTCCTCGACGCTGGTGTCGAACGTCTCATGATCGAGTCTGAGGGTATCACTGAGAATGTCAAGTCGTGGCGCACCGACGTCGTCTCGACCATCATGAAGGAGTTGCCTCCCGAGAGGGTCATGTTTGAGGCGGCGGATCCGAAGGTCTACACCTGGTACCTTCGCGAATTTGGTGTCGACGTCAACGTCTTTGTCGACCATTCGCAGATCGTCCAGCTGAGCTGCCTCAGACACGGTATCTGGGGCACAGCGGATACGTTTGGAAAGCTGGTCACTTTCCGTCCAGAGTAGATGCTACATCCCATACCATCTACCCTAATTCTCGTCCTCAGCTGTCGTATCGGTACATCTAGCAGCCTTAGGAACGGACACCTCATATCGTAATAACATATTTGAATAACAATGACCCTCTTTTTACTGGCACTTCCCCGTATTAATAAATAGTATATAAACCATAAGTATGACAAATGGCGTAATAATAACTACCAAGGTCACCTCATTCACCCCCAAACGTCATATCCAGCGGATGCAATGATACCCTTTCTGAGAGCTGCTTCTCTTAGTTCCCAACCCACCACGGGCACGGAAGTCAGTCTCATAGTTTTAAGAAGGGGGAAGATTCATCATAATCCATTATTCATTGGAAGAAAAAGATAGTTACGTTGAAGAGATTAGAACATCCACAACTCGACGCGATCTTCGATCTCAGCCAAGGAATTCAATGCATAGTGGTATCATATCGACGGGCTCAAGCTTGATAGGATGGAAAGTTCATTGAGTTTGTTTCGATATGGCGCATCTTCAGTTCCTAGAGTCTGTACAGTAGGTCTGTCTTTTCTTTTCTTTTCTTTTCTTTTTTTTGAGACAGATTCTTGGAGAAAATCTTTGCGCAGTTTCATTATCTGCAAGTTCAATAAATAAATAGAAAAAGGACTAGGTAATACATAGATCTATCTAGATATGATGCCAAGATACGCGCGGTCGAAACCCACGTGCGGAAGTGGAGAAGAAGGAAGGGTCAAGGTGGGAAATCCACATGGCACCCACAGGCGTCATTTCGAGCTTCTATATAACTACTATGTACTTAGCAGACGGAATCTAGGTATTTATTCTTACACATTCCGTAATTCGGATATAGAATCAAGAAAGGCCCATCTAGTTCAGTTTAGTTGATTTGAATTTGATTCTAAGCTAAGTTTTTTCGCTGGCTGATGCTGTGCGGGAGAGATGTCCCATCTCAGGACTTATCTTAAGAACGGGGGGCATATACAGAATGAAAAAAAAGTCAAGATTGAAGAATGACTTCGACTTAGAATTCGCTGCGTTGGGTGGATGAGCAAAAGGAATAAATGACTTCAAAAAAAGAAAAAGAAAAAAAGGGTAGCCGTGGCATCCAGAGTGGAAACTGCAGTTGTGTAATAGGCACTAGTAACAGATGGCAACCATACGACAAGCAAAGAAGTCAACAAGAAAGGGAAAAGCGGGTGGTCCTATGTGAGATGCAGTTACCGATGGGGGATGATAAGAAAAGAAGAAAGGTCCAGTGACAAGAAGGGTTACTAGCAGGCAAATAAGATAAAATAAATGCAGAATTATATATCACGTGTTATTCACAGATTCCCCTGACATAAATCAAAAACCGAATGGGTTGGAAGGACCTTGAAGCAAAGTTTGTCAGCATGCATTCAAAACTACAGATATAGTATCAAGATTGATAGCAGACAGGGAACTTACTGGCTTGGGCGAGATTTGCCCTCAGACCCGTAGGCTGCGGGGCAAGCCTCTTCGCTTCGGGCTTGACTCCAAACCTGACAGGAGGCGGAGGACCCGTCTTCTGGGGCTGCAAAGGTGCTGCCGTTGGCTGCTGCGGAATCGGTGGAATCGGAGGCGGAGTAAACGTCGTGTTACCGAATCCATTCAGACCTGTAGGCTGCGGCTGCAACGGTGGAGGCAGGACCGAGTTGATACCACCCGTTGGCATAGGCTGCTGTTGCTGCGGGAATCCACCAAAGCCGGTAGGCTGCGGCGCAAGGCTCTGGAAAGGAGGACGGGGAACGGGATCCGCAAATGGGCTAGCTGTCGGCTGCATGTTCATGAACTGCGGCTGCTGCTGCTGCTGGATTCCAAATTGAGACTGGGGCTGGAACCCTGTTGGCTGCGGCATTAGGCCATTCTGGAATTGACCCTGAAGAGCAAACCCAGTAGGCTGGGCTTGCAATGGTTGCTGGAAACGCTGCTGGCTGAGTTCGTTCAAGCTCTGACCAGCCGGTGCAATATGGGGAGCATTATGGGGAATGCCGGTCAGTTGAGGCTGCAGTGGCGGCGGCAGTCCAAACGAACTCTGGGCCTGGAAATTTTGAGGAGCAGATAGAGGGCGCTGCGGAGGAGGCGGGATAAGTGAACTCTGACCAACATTCTGCGGAGGCTGCGGACGCTGCCTTGCTGGCTGGAACCCTGTAGCTTGAGAAGCCAGCCCTGTAGCTTGAGGTGCCAATTGAGCGAAAAAGCTCGGGTTAGCACCAGTCGGCTGGGGCTGGACAGGTGCCGGCTGCTGCACAGCAGTGGGTTGAGGCTGAAGCGGTGGCTGAGTTATAGTTGGCTGGGTATTCTGCACGGGCTGAGCAGGGGTAGGCTGCAGAGGAGCCTGCAAGAGGGTTAAATCGGCCATAGCACCAGTCAAAGAAGGCTGCTGCTGCGGTGCTTGCGTTGTAGCTGGAGAGGCCGGAGCAGGTTTAGAAGCAGCAGCGGCGGAAGTAGGGGCAGCTGGCTGTTTCGGCGGCTTCACTTCCCATGCATCATCGTCAAAGCCCTTCTTAACAGGCTCGTCACTGGCAGGGGTGGCCTGCTGGGACTCTGCGGTCGTTGAAGCGTCCTTCTGTTCGAAGGCCTTTGGATCGACAACGTCGCTAGTCTGTACCGGAGGTGCTGGTCGGCCCTTGCGTGTATTATTCCGCAGTGCACCTCCGGGGCCTGAGAATAGTCCACCTTCGCCGTCGATAACCTCCTCTCCACCGAAACTGACATTGCGCAACTTCGATTTCGCACCGGTGCGACCGTACAAGTTGTCCAAATAGCGCATCACTCGCAAAATATCACCCTCTTTGAGCCCAAGAGTGCGCAAAGTTTCGGGCGTGATATCCGGAAGAACGCTTTCGTCGATGGAATCCTTGTTGAAATTCTGAGAATATCTCTCACACTGGTGAGGGCCGACTCCTGCCTTCAAGAAGAAGTCGAACCAGTCATGCTCCTTGACAGCAGCACCAGCCCGGCTGGTTTCCTTGGGCTTGTCGGTGGTTCGACGACGGATATCAGACAATGGCTTGTCTTCATCCAGTGACTGACCGGTGACCTTCTCGACATATTCCAGATCTTCGGCAGACATCTTGGCGACTGGTACGGCAATCTTGACTCCATTCATCTTGTGAAGATGGATCTTGCCATCCTGGAGTGCGAGGAATTGCGCTTCAACCGTGAATGAGCCCGTTCGGTCGGTCCACGATCGCGTCTTTGAGGGGTCAGGCTCTATTTCTCTCGTCAGCTTTTTTCATTTCTTCTGTAAAAACCGAGCAGATATTCTTACTTGGCTTAGAGATCGAACCCTTATCCACTCTGCTTTCTCGTTTTCGCTGTGAAGGATGGTTATTACTCAATGCCAGCAAACTACCGCGCCTTTGGGGCACTTTGATTCCTGGGCCTACCTCTGACATCCGAGAATCATTGGAATCATGTCTTGATTTCTGCGCAGCTTCCTTGGTCATCCGAGATTCCTCCAGTCTGTTCTGTTCGACAGTCGATAGGCCAGCATTGACTCCGGTTGTTGGGACGGAAAGGAATCCAGTGATCTCGATATAACTGCTCGGCACGACACCTTCCCTGCCGTTCTTTATACGTCGCACCATCCACCACTCATCCGACTTGGTGTCATCCAAAATAACTACTTCATCACCGGTTGCCACCGTAACCTCATCATCTCCCTGGGCCATGAAATCGTACAAAACCTGCCCTTTCTTCTGAGCCGGACCGCCTCTTCCAGCTGCAATCACCTCCTTCAGTCCTTCGGCTCTGTAAGCTCCGGCGATCTCACCTAGGGCGGAAACGATTTCTCGGGCAGTATCCTTGGCCCCCGCGTGGAAATCGATACTTCTACTAGGCCGAACCAGATCCATAAAGACGTGCTTCCCCTCGATGGAGTAGTGGCTGAGCTTGTCAGCTGTCCATTCTTGGTGAGGTCCATCGTCGTGGTCGGGCGATATGAAGATTGTTCCCGTGGCAATGTTGATACCCAAAGTCGTAGGCATCTTCTTGCGTTTACCCATCGCTTCGACCATCTCGTTGACATTATAGATATGATATCCGGAAGGTGAGCGTGGTGTAGCCTCTCCGACACGGTTGTAAGGAGGTGATTCCTGAATACCACCATTGTGCTCGCGCTGTCGCACAACGGAGGAGTGAGTGCGAGCGGGAGGAGAGGGTTCAGAAGGCGAATATGGCTGCGCTGGCGGAGATGTGCGTTGGGAGGTTGGTCGCTGCGGAAGAGGTGGGGAGGGCACAGCTTCTTCCACGGGCTCTTCAGGGACATATACCGGACGCGGAGGCTGCGGAGGCGCGGGTACCTCTCGAGGAGTCTCCGCTGAGCTCACAGAGCCATGCTGTCTATGGAGAATACCTGCAATGGCGGCAGCAGGACCCTGCGCTGCCTTAGCTGGCGAAGGTGGTGTTGGAACAGACTCCTCCGGCTCAACCTCTGGACGCTGAGGTAGTGAGGGGACTGCGGGCGATGCGGGGGCTGCAGGAACAGCCGGAGCAGCTTGGGTCGTCGAATCTTCTATAATCTCGATATAATTCGACGGTGCGAATCCATATTCACCATTAATCCCGACCAGTGTCCAGTCCGGATCCGAGGTGTCGTAGACTACAAGCTCCGCATCTTCCGAAAAGGAGACCTCCTCATCCGTCTGTCGCGTGTAGTCGTAAAGCGCTCTAGCTTTGTGGGTGGGTTTAGCCTGATATCAGTGAGCATTTGTTAGTGATGATTCAATCAAGATCCAAGTCTCCTGTAACGAACGATAAACACAATCTCCCAGGAAGTACCGGCCGCATTCCGGTCAACCGCACAGCGAACTACTTCCGGGAAGACAATACCAACTGTCCCCTAATGAGCTCCCCTTTTGAGAGGCCGATGACAGAAATGAAACACGCGAGATCACCAGGAGGATCGCATTGATGTCCTTACCTCCTCGACATAATTGTTCGGCACCAGGCCTTCGGGCTCGTCCTCGTCCTCACGTTCGGCCTTCTTCTTCGCCCTCCACCAGTCGTCCTCCGCGTTCTTATCTAGAACGTACAATAGATCACCTTCATGGATCTCGAGCTCCCCTTCTGCTTGCGGCTGGTAGTCATAGACCGCGGTGTAGACGCCTAGAAAGGCCATGGTGGTGGGAGGTGATTATCCCCGGTCCAAGTCCCCTCCAGAATCGACTCCGTCAGTGGTGTTTCTGCCACTCTGCCAGCTTGACGGGGGTCTGTTGCCGGTAAGCTTGGTGCTGCTGATCACGCAGACGTGCGACGTCGCCCACTCGGGATCTGTGATTATTTTCCCAGGTACTCTGGTCCGATGGTGCTGGTTAGAGGGGCGACTGGATGATCAGGGTACAGTCCAGGAACAAGAGGGATCCGATCAGGTAGCGGACGGGGCTGCGTTACTGGCCCAGCTGGGTCGAACGAGTCGGTCTTGGCGGAACTGGTTGCGGATCAAGAGTTATTAGCGGCATCAACTGGAGTAACTCGTGGTGGCGCCGTTGAGGAACGAGATTCTGCTCGAGCAATTAATTATTTTCTGAGAAGCTGCTGGTCTCTGTTTCGAACAGATAAAAAAAAAAAACAGACCACCTCGTGCGGTCTTGAGTGCAGTCGCAATCCCAGTCACTTTACCTGGAGACGAACTCTCGATCCACCGAACAGAGGATGTACTGTACTACTAGTACTTATCGAGTAAACATGAACCGCCACAAGAGAAGAAGAGCACAACACCAGCCACGATATGCTGAACTGCCAAGAGAGATGAGATGATAGCAACTGACAATAATAGTCGATAGGGCCGTGATGAAGAATACCAAGACGCGATGATGTCGCGGTGGCTTCTGCTCTCAGCGTTGCTGGTCTCGACCCACCGCCTGACGTCCTCGTGCACTCCGTTCCTGGCCGTCCTAACTTGCTCCGGTTCTTTCGTCCTTCTGGAAAACGGTGGGATTCCAGAAGATGAGGATCAAGAAATAGTAGTAGTAATAAAAGAAGCGACAACTACAGATATGTGACAACTGAACAACTCTTGTCTATATTGTACAATCGTGATGATTCTTCTGCTGAGAAACTAATTAAAACAAGGGACTTCATGCAGGTCTACACCTGAAACTGGATACGCTTGAAAAAGATGACCACGGCTCCGTAGAGCAAATCACTAAGGCAATACTCCGTATATCCATCAAAATTACAATTCTTCCTTGAAGGTCTCCTCGCTGCCTTCTTTGGAATCATCGTTGGTAGACTCTGGAGGAGGAGGTTGGTGCGGTGGCCGCGTCTTTTTCTCCTTGAGCGGCTTCGTCTGATGCTCGTCCTGAGCGGTCTCCTGCTCCTTTCTAGCGTCTCCCTTCTTATCCTCGTCGGACTGCTTTGTCGAATCGGTCGATTTCTCTGTGCCCTCTGCGGATCCGTATTCGTCTTCGTCGTCATCGGGGTCTAGGATCCCACGGATTTCCCGACCCCCGTTCACTTCAATCACCTCCAGCTTCCAATCCTTGCCCTTTGCCAGCTCCTCAAGTCGCTTCTTCAACAGCTCGATCTTCTCCGGGTCGAGGTCGAATTTCTCCAGCTCCTCCTTGGACAGCAGTTGCACCTCCCCGCCCTCCTTCTTAGCCACGACTTCCACTCTCTCCTCCCCAGCAGTCGCCACACGTCCCTTTTGGATCTCCTTTCCTTCCATGCCTACCAATTTCTGCGCGCCTACCTCGATCCCTCCCACCAGGGGGAATTCAGCGCTGGCAGCCTCAACAAGCTTCTGCGCCAGTCGATGAGCCCGCGCCGCTTCCCAGTCACCGATTTCGTCCGGGGTAATGATTTCCCGGCATTCAATCAGGTGGACGTCGTCATGTTGCGGTGGCAGGAACGCGACATCATGGCAGAGCCGGGGAGTGTATATGATCATCAAGTACGAGCACGTTGTGAGCTCTTTAATCCACCCAATGCGGTCTGTCGACTGCGGATGGCAGTGGAACTGGATCTCGATCTTGCGCTCCTTGCCCGTCAAATCGCACTTCGTACCTCCGCCCAGCCGCTGCACGAGATATCTTGACTCCCCTTTGGTTTGTAGTTCCGCGACATCCGTGCTCATCTTCCTGTCTTCAGTCGCTTCTTCTTCCTCGTCATCCCCATGTCCAAATTTGCCTAGGACAAAAGAATGCGTGGTCGGGTCTTCGACAGGCGGGTAGCTCGGCACACCCATTCCAGACGGAAGAGCATGGAACTGCTTGACTTGGTTCTTGTAGCAGAACGAGTATGACCACCATCCGGACACGTAGTACATGCACTTTCCCTCCAACTCGCGCAATAGTTCCAATCCGCGGTCCGTGGCGCGGGCCAGCTCTTTCTCCTCTTCTTCCTTATTCCGGGCATCATCGGTAGCTGTAGACGTTTCTGTTTCGACCCGGGGGATCTGACACAAGTATGGTTGACCCTGCAGAATCATCTCCTCATACGTGCCGGCAAACCCATCCTGGGAACCGGGCGACGGATGACTGTTCTCTCCTTTTTGTGCCTTTGCCAATCGCACCTGTTTGTCCTTGTCTCCTTGCTCGTCTGAGGACGTAAATGCTGAATCTTGCGCTTCTAACAGTGCTTGTGCGTCGGACTCGAGGACAAATTCATCGGGGTAGACCACTCGAAACTAACAAGAAGAATCGAGTCAACATCATCACCAAGAACTCTCAATGTAAAAGGTAGACTCACCTGCGGAAAAGCCAGAATATCATCATTAATACTGAACGTCTTGGAACCAGCCAGCACGCCTGCCGTCGCACATGCCAGCATCAGCAGAGGCGCAAGCTTGCTTCTCGTTGAGCGCTTCATAATTCCGTCCGGTCCCTCACGGTAACCTAGCCTTCCACCCTGCCCATGCACTTGTAGATTGTTCTCTTCAACGACGTCCTGACCGGCTCAGGCGTAAAGCGGAACAAGACCGGACAATAACCCAGCCGAAATCACCGACCGGCAGACATTACACCAGTGCACTCGACAACTCTCCCTCACGAGAAGAAATCCAGCGCGTGAGAAGGAAGTAAGATTGCCGGATGCAGGAGGACTGTTCTGGACAGTTGTGATGATTGATCGGCACATGCGACAGGCGATAGTAGTCTTAAACTCCGTGCTTGACTTGGACCCACTGAGATCTGGCCTGTATATATATCCGCGTGGTTCGCGGAATCGGGCTTGGCGTCTAAACACATAAATAATTAGCAGTAGCAGAGTATGACCGTTGGTATCTTCAGTTGATTAATTGAAATTCACTGAGTATTAAGATTGATTCTGGTTACTTATTCTGTGTCGAGGTGCCAGATTCGAAGCGTCAGGTTTTATTAGGCTTGGAGTCAATATTATTGCTACAGTACTACTGTAAGTTAACTACTCCGTGGTAGGTGCGTTTATATAGTTCCATCTCGAGCTCAAACAAACGTCTACAGTCTCTCAAGCTATCATCGATTCGTACTTTGCAAAACCATCCCCATATACGCAGATAATGCACCATATATACTAAATTCGTATCTATGGTACAAATCCCCTACCCTCCATATAGATACCCTACACAACCAACCTACAGATAAACCAACACCGCCTCCGCCGCACCCACACTAACCACCGTCTCGCCATTTTCTCCCACATCCACATCCTCCACGACCTTATGACCCTGGATCGTACACGTCCCGTTCTCAAACGTCTGACCCGCAACAGTGACAATCCCACCCTGATCTATCCTCGCCGTGGCCTTATCCCCCGTCAACCTCACTGCCGTCACTGTACTAGAAGAAGATGAGGTCGATAGACCAGCCAGTGTGAAATTAACACCACTTCTTGTTCCGGAGCTATAGTAGTCGGAATTATAGAGGAGGATTCGAGAGACGGTGTCGTTCTGGTAGATGGCATATGCGGCGTAGGGCGTGGTGCCGGAGTCGAGGGGAGCGATGCGCGAGGCGCCGTTTAAAGACAGAGCGGCCATGTAGGCGCCGTAGTAGGGGGCGCCCATGGTGTAGTTGCCCCACCAGCAGTATTGGCCTATGTGGATAGAATATAATGTTGGTGAGGATGCTGGTGATGAATGAATGAATAGTGGAGATGGGAACGTACAGTTTCCAATTGTCCCTTGGTGAAAGAATAGTTGCTGTTTTGAGTCGGTGGATTAGTTACCTAGGTACCTAATGTATATTCAGGTCCCGATGAAGAAGAAGAAGAAGAAGATGATCATCATTTAAGATTGTATAGGGGCCTCACCTTTGCTCCCAGAATCACGGCTTGCATAACATAGTCCAAGATCCAGAGGGCGGCGCCATAGGTTGGACTGATTCCACCACCGCCTTGAGTTGCTTTATTCGAGTGTCAGTGCATCTATAGAATCGTCACAGAGATGGCTTTACTCCGATGGATTAGGTACAGAGTGCTACATACCAGAATTGGTCTCCCCAAACACAAAGGGCTTATCCAGCGACGAAGCTGCGTTGATATCATCCTCAAATGCCGAAACACCACTAACTATGGAACTGTGGCTCATCAGATCTGTCAAATTCGCCGTAGACCCTGACTGCGGATAATAATGTTCACTGAAAGATCGTACGTAACTTGCAGAAGCGCCTTCCTTGGCAACTAACTCCTCGACGCTGAATGATCCCGTGCCGAAGAAGACGCCTGCTTGGATGATGGACTCTTTGTCAAGAGCCGTAGCAACTGACTCCTGCCACGATACTTGAGAAGATGCATCTGCTGCAGCTGTCCAAGAACTTCCGTTGGCGATGGGGTCGGAGGAGACGAAGACTGGTATGGGTATTAGAAATCAATTTTTATGCTGTCATATAATAGAAGTATTATGCTTACAGTTTGGCTCATTGCCTAGTTCCAAGGCGTATAAATTTGGGATCACTGATACTGCTACCTTGGCTGCAGCAATTGTGTTTGAGATGCTATTGAGACGTCTATCCAGGCCTGTAATCATAGTAATGAGAATCAGTCAGTTATGTTGACTGTCATTTGAACAACGAGTCCAATACTCACCTAAAGTTACACTTCCATCATAGGAGCTAGCAATTTGCATAAATGATGGTCCAAAGGTAAGAGAATCCGGTGCGTCGGTAGATGATGCTACGGAGTAATTGACTGCGGTGCTTAGGCTGGGATCATATGTTGCTCGATCTCTGCAGAGCAAGGCTTCAGTTAGACTATGATCGTTGATATCACTACAGGTCTTCACTCACTGCGTGGTACCCCCGATCCTGATTGGAACTGCAGTACCCATAGCTTTTTTGAGGTTGCTCAGACAGACATTTGTTGCGGCTACATCTTGCATATATGCTGAAAATGCGAAGAACTCGAATCTAATAAGGAATATTAGTGAGGTCAGCTTTGATATTAGAATTGCCATGACACTTACGATACACCAACAGGAGCGGAGTCGAGTGTTCCACTTGCATTGGATGGGGGCGAGGAAGGGACAGCAAAAGTGAGGCTATAGATTGTTCTAGCGGAAAAAAGTAGGGCTGCTACAAGGAACCCTATACTCTGATTCGAATGCATCTCGATACGATATTGGTTGGAGGTGTCTTTTCATGAGGGATCCTCTGGCTGCGCTTTATCACCCGTTGTGAACTCAAGTTGTAGTAAAAGCCATATACTTGCCTGGCCACCGAAGAATGAAAGCGGCGCCGTTTTCCTTTCAGACTTATCTTGAGTAGAAAACGGAACCATTTGTTTGACACAGAAAGCATTCAAATTTTATTGTTCTTGAATTTGTACTTGACAGGGCTAATCTCATAGGGTTCAATGCCTATACTATCGTTGTTTAGCCGACATCCCTGCTAGAGCCCATATCAAGAAGTCCTCCAGGCGATCCAACTCCAATAAAAGCCCCTCATCAAAAGCGAGAGCCGATTGATGGAGAAATCTAAGCTTGAGAATGACATGGTTCACAGTAGTCGTTCACTTTTGCCTCACTGGGTCGGAGAGTATTGCCAGCTTCGTCGTATGATTGAATATTGTACTGTAGATTGGTTTGCCTCCATTATTTAATACAACTCTCCACAACAGCATTTCCCCGAATCACACTACTTCCCCGCATCCGTACTACTCCGGCGGCTCAATGAGATTCTGACAAGCTCCATGCCAGGACACAAGATAGTGTAGCTCTTTTCATGTGCTCGTAATGAGATAATCTCTTTGCTCAGAACGTGCTCCGATTCCCGTCCACGGTCTAGACATTGCATTAACAACTGGGCGTTACATCAATACGAGCAGACAAACTTGTCCTTTTGAGGTCAAAGATGTACAGAATCATTAATTGATTGAGCTCTGAATTATTCTTCGGACATCTGTCTCTGTATCTCTGGCCTGTGGCATTATGTTGTTGGCACCTGAGATCAGCGTCCTGGGAGAGGACCCTCCCACCGTGCACCGCCTAAACGCTTGTGTGTATCAACAATCCGCAATCACAAGCTTCGGTGGACTCCAATATGTCGCTTTCTACTCCAGAGATGGATCTTCAAATGCCAGATTTGTTACCCTTGCGCGGCGTAATATCCAAGAGGCGCCTTCGAACTGGCGTCAAGTGACCTTCACAGACTATGAACAAACCACAGATGACGGCCACAACACGATTTCGATTGGAATCTGTCGAGGCGATGGAACCATACATATTGCATTCGACCATCATTGCGATGTGCTGAAGTATCGGGTATCTCGTCCAGGCTTGGCTACTGATTTGAACGAAACAGCATGGAGTACAGAGAGTTTTGGGCCTATCCGCCATTCTCTTCCGGGCAGTTTGACAAACGAACCTCTAGTTGACGTTACATATCCCCGTTTTCTATCAACGGATGATAAGATGTTTTTCGAATGTCGTATTGGCAAGTAAGTCTAGACATTCACTTCGTTTATCGGATGCTGGGAAAAGGAGACTAACGAGTAATTCTCTACAGAGCCGGAGCAGGATCAGAAATCCTCTATCTGTACGATGCTGCAGGACAGTTCAAGTTGATTGGGAATTACCTGATCGGGAGACAATGCAACCCTTATCCCAATGGTATTTCATGGCATCGTCCGACACGTACACTACATGTAACATGGACAAATCGGCACTTTATCGACTACGAGGGGGCGACCAACCCAGAATCTACCGCTCACAAGGCGCAAACTGGCCCAAACGGTCCTGAGAATAACGAAGGGCTCTATTATGCTTACAGCTCTGATTACGGTCGAACGTGGAAGAGCCATTCGACAAAAGAAGAGGTCGCCACTGTCTCCTCGAAACCAGATACTGGGATGGACTCCCGTGACCGCCGGCTTTTGGCGCAAGAGATTCCCAAGAATAGCGGTATCATGAACCAAGAGGGCCAGATGGTGTGTCGTGATGGGGATATCCACGTTTTGAATCGGGAGAACACTAGTGGAGAAGAGCGCTGGATACATTACCATCTCGATGTTACTCATGGATGGAAGTTCTCAGCACTACCTTTTCTCAAGCCGACCGAATCTGGCCCACGCGGGAAAGTGGTCCAACACACTCAGTCCGATAGCATACTTTTCGTCCTTCCCTCCAACACAGATTCCAATCTGGTCATCATCCGAGCCGCCCGTGGTAAGACACAGAAGTGGTACGATGAATACGATGTCGTCTGGAGGGAGGAAGGGTATACAGGAGAGCCACTAGTCGATGAAGAAGCACTGAGTGAGCATGGAATATTATCCATCTTCACGACTCGCTCACAAGGAGGAAAGAGGGAAATTGTAGTGTTGAATTTCGATTTGAGCAAACTAGTACTCGCATAGGGTAACATGCTACGACGCCATTCCATCATGGATAAAATATGTAATTATATGATTCAAATGCTTCCTTACCCAAAAAAGAAAAGCGCCAGTGATTCTCAGCATGTCCATAAGAATCATTTTTATAAACGATTCATATCATTTTGGTCCCGCTCCCTTCTTCATATTTATCGCCCATCATCTTGATGCCTTAAACAAAACGAAGCCATTATTTAGAAACAGTATCTACGGTGAATACGCTTTGTGGTTGTTCATCGAGATCTAACAATCACGGACTCATTGACGCAGCCCTTATGAGCTCGGGGTCCATTGAACCGAGCAATCCCCCTTAATTCCAACCTGGTTGGTGGAAACAATATCAACGAGACCTATTAGCGCCCATGCTAATACTTATATTTTATCCCCATTGGTATGTGGCACCGCAGCATACCGCCTGGTAATAACCCCGGGATTAAGTTGAAAGTCCGGGGAAAGCATTAGCTTCAATTCAGAATGCGGGGTTCCGTACCTAAAAGTCGCATTGTGACCGGCCATGGATAGGCCTGGCTAATCAAACAAAGAATGGATGGTGGTAGAATGGTCAGATCTATAGCTCAACAACCATGCAGAGATTCTCGTAGATGACTCGATCATAGTAATTTCCATTGTCACTTCCGGAGCTCTTTTACTAGGTACATATGCAGATAACATCTGCCCATATTTGAGTCCGTCCCCTTAATACGACACGAATTGAACCTATGAATCGCATATAATCAGGCGTAGCGACAGTCACACGTCCTCCAGAACGGCTGTATAGATGTCTTCCAAAATGAGATTCAGAACCCAGCAACATGTTGACCGTCAGGCATTGGAACATACGAACTTAAGCAATAACAAAAACGTGCCATGGTGGGAAGATAGGGGCCTTCGGAAACTTAATTCCATGTTATTCTTTCTCATGTTCAGCGAGTTTACGCAGGGCTATGATGCGTCGTTGATCAATAATGTGCAACAGTTGACGGTTTGGCAGCGAGGTATATCCCATTCTGTTTTCATTGAGCTCTATTGGAAGAACTTGTTAACAGTATGCGATAGAGTTTCATCATCCACACGGTAACATTCTCGGTGCCATGAGCGCTGCATATTGGATAGGTGAGTGTCTAGTACCAATCCCCCTTTCAAGCCTATCAGCACCAATGTTTACTTTCAGGCTAGGAAACATTATCGGGGTCGTATTTATTTCCAGCGTATCAGATCGATTCGGTCGACGGTGGTGTCTTATGCTAGGATCTATTTTATGCCTTGCCGGTACTGGTCTCGCTACAGGGGCCTCGGAAGCTGGAATGTTCATTGCAGGAAGATTGCTGCTGGGAATCGGGGGTGTCATTACAGGAGCAATTGGACCGATGTGGATGGGAGAACTAGCATATCCAGCACATCGGGCTACGGCCACGTCCATGTCCAATACGACTTATAGTGCTGGATCGATTTTGTCTGCGTGGGTTACATTTGGGTCTTTCCATATGGCAAGTTCATGGTATGGAATCTATCCGTTAAGATCTTCGAGATGGGAGTATCTTCTCGGCTTACTGACGTGCAGTCAGGGCGTGGCGCCTACCGACTATCTTCCAAGCTTTACCATCCATCCTGCAAGCAATTGGATCCATTGTTTTGCCAGAGTAGGTCAACCAGACCCCTCATTGTGAATCTCCCTAAAAAGCGTCCACTATCTCCTATAGGTCGCCCCGTTGGCTTATCAGTAAAGGCCATGAAGAAAGAGCTCTTGATATCCTCACCGAGTACCACGGGAACGGAAACAGTGACGACCCCGTCGTCCGGTGCGAATTCAGAGAGATACGTGATACTATCGAACTGGAAATTGCCGCAAGGAAGACCTCCTGGAAAACCCTTATCAGCACCAGAGGGAATCTACGGCGATCATTCATCTTAGTCTGGTGCGGTACGTAGCCATATCCCATTCTCTGTAGTGGTTACCGCTAACTGGCGAAATCTATTCTATACAGGCGTCTGCAAACAATGGTCCGGAAATGGCCTAATTAGCTACTACCTTAGCAGCATGCTCAAATCCGCCGGCATAACCAAGGAGATCCAAACTACCCTGATCACCGCTACAAGCGCCATGTTCAGCTTCGCCAGTTCCGTAGCGTTCGCATTTCTCCCCGGTCGAGTCGGTCGACGACCGCTTATGCTATGGTCAATGGCTCTCATGTGGCTAGTCTTTTCGCTCATCACGGCCTGTACGGGAGTATATGTTGAAACAGGTAGTAAATCGGCCTCATACGCAACGGTTGCTTTCATTTATTTATACAATGCGGCACATAATCTCGGTTGGACGGGTGCTATGATGTTATATGGTGAGTGACTCCTCCGAAAACAAAAGCTTTCTCCCACATGTTTTCTATATTAGAATAAACACTGAAACTTGCAATAATACAGTTGTTGAAATCCTCCCCTTCGCCATCCGCGCCAAAGGCCTCGCACTTTTCTGGCTAGTCACCGGCGCAACGGGTGCATTCAACACCTACGTTAACCCTCTCGGCATCGACGCTTTCGCGTGGAAGTACTACTTTTTCTATGTCGGGTGGATTATCATACAGTTTATTATTGTGTACTTGTTTTTTATAGAGGTATGTATATTCCGTTTTCCTTACCTAGATATATTTATTTTTTTCTCTCTCTCATGCTCGATTCTGCTTCAACATGCTGTAATTCATACTGATGAAATAAAAAAAGACCAAAGGTCCAAGTCTGGAACAGATTGCGCTTCTATTCGATGGAAAAGACGCCATCGTTGCGCATGTCAATCCCGTAGCGAAAGAATTCTTGGAGACGAAAGCTGAGAGTAAAGATGGGTTGCAGACAGTGCAGGTTGAGAGAGTTGGATAAGGTATTCGTCGGTGCATAAAGACGCTTACAGGTGACCTGTGATATCATAGGTCTGCAGCAGATTGGCAGATTATCTTGATTATTTTAGTCATAGTAGGACCTAAAGAAAGGTATCTCTTAGAAAATATGACCGTATAAATAGGCCAGTGAAAAATGACTTTGATATTCCCGCCTTCTTTTGTACATATGCAAGAGAAGGGTATCGAAGGCTCTATAACTATAAGAATTATCTATGTTCTAGGCACCCGTTTATACACCACGACTGTTGTCCCATCGTTCAGTTTCTCGTGCTGGGGAACAAGTTTATACTTCCCAATCCATGGCAACAGCCTATACCAAACAGCCCAGTAAACAACCGCCGCGACCAACACGCCGATCCCAACCACGGCGTATAACGAATACGGTAGAGAAGTATCTCCTTTCCCACCCGGCGGACGGAGGAAAGGAGCAATAAGCTGAAATGCTTGTGCAGCCATGAAGAACGCTGCGATTGGCCACCACACCTTAAAGGGGCGTGGTATTTTGGGTTCCGCCCATCGTAGATAGAACAGACCGAGGACAACGAGGAAGTTAATCACACTTGAAGGATACCCTTCCAGATCGAGGATAAAGTCATATGCATCACCGAATGGAATGGCCACGATGACGATGAACGATGGGATGAAGTGCAGTAAGAGACCGGCAGAGGGTGAGCCAAATGGCCAGTTCGATGCCCAGAAGCGGGGGAATGGGATGACTCCCTCTTTGGCCAGTTCCTGATTCACACGGGCTTGTGCGAATGTGATTGACATGACGTTTCCTAGGGCAGATATCGCGACAAGGACGCTTTTGCAGCTGTTAGTCCGGAAAAAGGTAGGCGCTGAGGTAAGTGTCTTACATACCTCAATGCGCGTTGTGCAGCTTTCCCAAACACTTTGAGCATGAAGTAGGCGGCGACGGTTGATCCACTGTTTGCGATCTCCTGAGGTGTCGCGGCAGAGAAATAGGCTACATTGGCGAGCAGATATAGAACACCACAGATAAGCAGACCCAACGGGCCTGCAATTTTCAAAGTATGAACGGGGTTCTTTACTTCATTCAGGACGTAGGCTGCATTGGACCATCTAGGATGAATGTCAGTGGTAAGAACATAGAGAGGCTCAATATGACGAGAAAGCACTCACCCGGCATAGGAATTTAATACTTTAAATAGAGCCGTGGCGTAGACATTGCCTGAATGCACTGAGCCTGCAAAGGCATTGCGGAAACTCGCATGAGGGTCTTGCACTCGATGGACTCGGCCACTGAGGACTACCCATCCTGTAACGACGATAAAAAGAAGGGTGATAATCTTAACCGTAGTAATGAAGTTCATCCCACGAACGCCTAACTTTGGCAAGAATGTATGAAGCAAAGTCACGAAGACAATGACAACAATTGCGATTCCACGCTCTTCCCATTCGCTCGCTTCTCGATCCGCAGCAACCACGATATTGGAGGCGAAAATGATACAACCGGACGCTATTATTTTGCGTTAGTCGTATTCCACCATTCTCGTTCTGATCGTCGAAGGCAATGCCAGGAAAGATAGCACATACCTGTAAATCCTAATGCGATCGCCTGCACGGCGAATACAACTGTGATTAACTGCTTTGGCCGACGATATACAGCTTCCAGATAGACCTTCTCTCCTCCACTGCGAGGAATCATGCATCCAAACTCAAGCCAAACGCATAGGCCAGCCGCAGAGAGGAACAATCCTAGGACCCAAAGCATCAAAGATGCACCGACACTCCCTACGCCCTCCACGATCGAGGAAGGTGTCGAGAAGATACCAGTTCCGATGATGCGACCGACACTGATTGCAACATAGATTTGGTTAGTATGTACCGTTGTTGGTTATCAAGGGAATTAACCAACATCAGGAATGCAGTTGAGACAATGCCCAGATGCCGCCCGAGACCACCTTGGGTATACTCATCGAAGGACAATTCACCCACTCCATCTGCCTGTGCCTGGATTGACGTGCTCTGAACAACGTCCTCATTTTTGCCCTCCTCTGGACCATTCGAGGTCGAGCGCGATAAGGCAGATTGCAACGGACGGACCAGCGACGCCATTGGGAATGTTGGAAGCAAAGCTTCCGGTGTGTCCTGGACGTCAGTCTTTTCTGTAATCGAGGATCATCACGTCCATGATTCGACGGCTGTCCATCCTATATATTAATCCTTGCTGCTCTCTGAAGGCGAGACGTCGCCCCCACGTTGCGCGTTTTAACACAAGAATTGCAACATGCGCTTTCCCCCACATCGGTGTGACACTTTGCTCGCTAGATCTGCATGGAATTCTCCTGATAGCAACCTGTGGCCATTCTTGCGCATGCGACCGATCTAGATGTGACACAGGCCGATCCTTGAAAGGCTTAGCATTACTGCGAGGCGCTTCTTGCAACCATGGACCTGCCTTCGAGGGCTAGCAGCCTGCCGCAAACCACATCTAAAGCCCAACCATCATCACCCTTATCTTGTCACATCCTCTGTATCCAAACGCTGCTTGACGGATATACCCGCTCTACTTATTAATGTCTATGTTTCCAGAGTAACGCGGACCAGGAAGTGGGAAACTCACAGTGTTATAATTTTCGAGCAACAGGCTAATACACAGAGAATATCTTGCTCTTCGCGTCGCATGGTACCGAAAGAGGGACCAATAAAGGAAGCAGTTATACGTAGCGTGTTTAGCGATAGTTTATTTTCCTCAACTGACAGAATTCTGTGTAAGATATAGCGACAAGATTATTATTATTAGCAGAAGTCTGCCAGGGATATTGATAGACAGTCTATATTCTGCGCTGTCAACGATAGCTCTTCAAGTCGGTGGTCGCTTCCTATGTCCCTAGAGGCTGCCCTGTCAATGAGAAGTACCATGTATATTGAATTTTAAGCAATCCAGTAATTTTTATATTTCCTTGACAAGAAACAGACTAAATCAAAGCCCTTTATTTCTTAAAAACAAATGTTTCAGTCGCAGTCAAAATAAATAACATGAGCCAGGCTGGAGCTTGGGCCACGTCTTGGCGCTCTCCTCCGCAAGTTCAAGTAGACACGCGGCTTTACAGCTTCAGAACGATCAATTCCAGCGGCGCTCTTTGTCGTTCCACCAGACCGTTTTCTTCGAAGCTCATTAATGACCTCTCCATAGCCAATTCTACCATATACTCTCCCTAATCTTCCTCTTTCAGCATTCATAATGGCGCCCAAAAAGCAGGCAGGCTCAAGCACTCCGGCCGCATCCTCCGCCGCTACCTCCGCGAAGACCACAGGTCCATCCCCCTCCGCCAGTGCTGTGTCATTGTCTCCGAACTCCAACGTGCAGGAAATCGTTATCCATATCTGGCAACAGTATATCGCGAAGACGCCACAGCGCACATTGCTGCTGGATGCGTTCATGGGATTCCTCGTCTTGGTCGGAGTCGTACAGTTTCTCTACTGCGTGTTGGCGGGTAACTACGTAAGTGAGATGGGATATTTATGGTTATTCGCACCTCTATTTGGCACCATGAATACGCCGTCCAATTTGGATTGGATACCTATGCTCTTCGCGTGGAATTGTTCCATAGCCCTCATCGTGGATATACCCCAATTGCGATTGTTGTCTTTTTAAGATGCCGTTCCCAGAAACCTATCCCACTTCAACTTCCTCGTACCCCAAAATTCGCCATTATTTACCACTCACTCATAAACCCTCTAACAGCCCTTCAATGCCTTCCTAAGTGGCTTCTGCGCTGCCGTCGGCCAATTCGTCCTCACAGCCAGCTTGCGGATGCAAACGAGCGACCCAACCAGCGAAACCAAGACACCATCAAAGGGAAAGACTGGAAAAGCCAATACTGCAGAGGATGAAGCTTTCTCAAGTGTCTCTCCGGAACGGTAAGCAAACGGTTCCCCTCCCCAATGAAAAGAAGACAGAAAAGAAACCACCCGCGACTAATCCTTGAATTATTTATTCGTATAGAGCCTTTGCCGACTACGTCTTCGGAAGCATTATCCTTCATTTCTTCTGTATCAACTTCATCAACTGAAGCGGTGGGGTCAGATGCGGGAGTGGTCTTCGGGCCGCCGTCATGTACTTGTAATTTTTTGAAATGTGAAATAGCTGATCGAGGGACGGGGGGAAAGAAGAAAACATTCATGATACACTACGTCTCGATTATTTTGCCGTTTACCTGGTCAGTTCTGTTTTCACTACACCCTCTTAAGTTATGCGTTATAGAATTTATGCCATATGGAAGCGTGGCGGATATTTGTCAACTAGCCTTCGTTCAATTTTCAGGCAACTAGGAGCAGTTTGCTCGAGGCTCTCTAGGATCCGGGAATTATTGGAGAATCCTCTGTTTCAGAGTACAGGCATATATCATGGTAATAATAGATTGACAATTATTCTATTGTACACGGTATGACATCGAAATACGGCATGCTTCTATGTACAGGTCATAACATCATGCATGAGACGGAAGGGGTATGCAACAAGCTTTTGGCTATACAAAAAGTCACAAATGCAAGGCGGAGAATATCCGTTTCCAATTGTTGCTTCAGTCCGCTCAGAAGACCCTACCAGGCTTTCTGGGTCCGTTTGGTCGCCGCACAGCGCTGCCCCCAGAGCTACCTCCGGTTCCGTTTGATGACGGTCTCGATGACGAGGATGAAGATGTGACCACGCCTCCAACCCTTCTTCCTGCTCCGATGACCGGCCGTCGGACAGCTGATCGTCCGCCAGTACCAGCTTCGATTTCCTTCTTCCGTCTCGAGGGATCATTGAGCTCCTTTTCGCGCTCTTTCTCTGCAGCGGCGCGCTCGCGGTCCACTGCAATCTGAGCCTCGATTTCCATACGACGATTGAACTCTTGTTCCGTCACGCGTCGCTCGCGGTGCGAGTAGCCTTTTTCTTTGACTGAGTAGAAAACGCCGCCGAGTTCTGCGAGCCACTGTCATGGGCGTTAGTATTTTGATTTTTCGAATTTATCATCTGGAAAACAATGATGGAGACTTACGTGAGGGTCAACAGATGTCACGGTGGACATGTATTCCTTGCTTGTCAGGATCAACTCATGGTAGACCACATACTCTGGCACATAACCAAGTCCATAGAGCGCGCTGGTTGGGTGCAGTTGCACCGTTACGCTGGTGCGAAGATTGATGAACTCGCCCAAGCCCTTGACCTTGGCAGCCTGGTGGTAATATCCAGAACAGATACATTTTCGGATGACGTCCCAGTCGGTACCACAGCTGACCAGAGGCATTTTCTGCACAGTCATGATGTCGTGCAGTTGCTCTCGAACCTCCTTGGCCCGCCTCAGAGCCTTGGAGTGGAGGAAATGCCGAGTACACCATGCGTCCGAGTATCCATTGGCCTTCCACTGTGTATACACATGTAAAAGAGTAAGGTGGTCGGATTCCGGGACAAAGAACTTCTCGCGAGCAGCATCCGATTCTTCCTGCCGCTCTTTCGGGCGATAGAAGACGCTGGGGACAGAAAGCATGGAGACGATAGTCAACATTTCCTCGCTGCAGCTGTACTCGTCGGCAGCCATAATCAGGAGTTTGGCCAGAGGTGGGTCCATCGGAAACGGTGTCATACGACGGCCCAGCGGCGTGAGATCACCAAGGTTGTCCAACGCTCCCAGTGACCAAAGTTCGAAAAGAGAAGTCGTTATCGTTTCTTGTGGCGGGGGGTCCATAAAGTCAAAGTCAAGGAGATCCTTCACTCCAAGAGACTTGAGAAGAAGCACCGTATTGGCGAGACTGGTCCGCTGAATTTCAGGTATAGTCTGGAGATAGAGCTCATTCTTGAAAGCCTGCTCAGTATAGAGACGGTAGGCCTTCCCAGGCCCTGTCCTCCCTGCTCTGCCCGAGCGTTGGGACGCGTTGGCTTGTGATATAGGCGTGATCTGAAGGGTATCCATACCCATCCGCGGGTTGTATACTTTCAACTTAGAAAAGCCAGAATCGACAACGAACATAATTCCGTCGACAGTCAAACTCGTCTCTGCGATATTTGTAGCGACAATGACCTTCCGCACACCAGGAGGCGCCTTCTCAAAGATCCTCGCCTGTTGCTCAGCCGGCATCTGACTGTAGATCGGCAATATACTGAGCTTTGGCGGATCATTCAACAACTTCAGCCTCTCATCGATGAGCTCACATGTCGCTTCGATATCCTCCTGGCCTGTCATAAACACGAGAATGTCACCCTGACCCTGAGAAACGTGGATAGCCAAGACCTGCTTGACTGCACTGTCGACGTAGTCCTCACAGGGGGAACGGGAGAAATGGACATCGACCGGGAATGTCCTTCCGGGAATTATGAACTCAGGTGCACCGCCGTAGAAGCGCGAGAATCGCTCCGAATTCATCGTGGCCGATGTTACTATCAACTTCAGGTCACGTCGTCGAGCTAGGACCTTCTTGATCAGGCCCATCAGAACATCAGTATTCAAGGCTCTTTCGTGCGCCTCATCCATGATAATACAAGAGTATTTATCAAGATCCGGTTGCACCAATGATTCTCTCAGCAGGACACCGTCAGTCATATCTATGCCCATGTTAGTTATAGTCCTCAAAGCAACGGGCTGGGTAGAACTTACATTTAATGACTGTCTCGTCACTGGTGCAGTCTTCGAAACGAATCGCATAACCAACGGTACTTCCGAGTTCGACCTCCATCTCTTCACTCACACGTTTAGCGACACTCATGGCAGCAACTCTTCGCGGCTGTGTACACCCAATCATGCCGAATTTCGAGTAGCCATCTTCGTGCAGGAACTGAGTAAGCTGCGTCGTTTTACCCGATCCCGTTTCGCCAACAACAATAACAACTTGATTGTCTCGGATCACACGCAGGAGCTCCTCTCTGACCGCAAAAGCGGGTAGGAATTCTCTCTGCTCCCGGAGCGTTTTGTTCTTGCTGAATGCACTAGAACCACCTTGATCCTTCTTCATGTGCTTGGCGAACTTGTTGCCTCCTCGGAATTCGTCCTCAATAGGCGCAGCCACCGCACTATCTCCCTCATCTTCCTTAATCCCCATTAGATTACCCAAGGCTGTGCCTGCCATGTTGGTCGCCTCCTGCGCCTGCTTCTGCCTCTCGCGCTGTTGCCGTCGTTCCCGAACAACCTTGCTGCCTTTTCGACTGAAGACAGCCATATCACTCTGAGGATCGCGAACAGCTGAGATGGGTTCGAGCTGTTTGGTGAAAATGGTCCGGCCATCGAGGAACGGCGGGCGCAGGTCATGGACCAGTAGGTGAGTTCGAACGCCCTCATCATCATCAGGTGCGAAATCGCCGCCATAATCTCGTCTCTGGGCGACACCAGATGTGAGCATCCGGTTAGTCTCCCAATTGTCAATGTCGCGGCGTCTGGCATCGCGGATAGGTGGCGGCAGGTTAGAGCTCTTCAGCCTCTTGGCCGGAGGCTCTTCGCGCGTCATTCTGGGCAAGGAGTATTATTTGCCAGTAATAGATAGAACGATATACAAAAAAAGAGGCTCGGAAGTCGTATGGCAGCGCGAAGCAGCCGGAAGAGTAATTGCCGCTTAAAAGTCGACGCGCATCTAGCTATTTCGCCGGCAAACCCCAGGTGAGATGACTAATGTTATCACCACGTGATCACGCCCCATCTGCCGTCTGCAGCATAATAACTTCTCGACAACTGCAAGCCTTCGAGTACTGTACTATGTGTATTTATTGTTATCTGTCTCCTAATAGGGCAACTAAGTCACTTTTAAACAGTTGATGAAGTTGGTGCTCCATCTTCCTAGACTATGACCTTGCTATTAGTTATTTACTGGTTGGGGTGTGAATATCTGCGTAGACTAGTTATTCTACTTTAAAATTTCCGATATCGATAAACCACACTCATGCAACAAGTTTGACCAGATATATTTTCGTTAAGTATTTATGCAGATGTGTCTACTTGAAAGACCTTCCGTAGATACTTTTCAAAATGATGACTCTATATTAGTGGGGTTGGAGGCTTCTAAACGCTCCTCTAAGTAGAAGCTCCCACAGGTCGGCGGCGGGCACGCTTGATCTTGGCGGAGTGCCGTTCAACTTTCACTATCGCCCCGCGTCATAGCCCACCAGCTCACTGTGGACGGCATCGCGACCTCAACTGTCCATCATGGCGAGCCAGCCGCAGGTCAGTGTCAAAAGGCAGCAAGGTAAGTCGCAAAGTGCTACATTTATTCGCTCTATCGCGCCAGGTGAGGGGAAACTAATGTCTGGCAGAGCTGCAGCTCCAATACTCGACTTTCAAAAACACACTGCAACAACTTGCGCAAAAGATTGGTGACATCGAACAAGAGACCGAAGAGCACAAGTGAGTTTCACTTCCGTATATGAATATACAAGATGTGGTACTGTGGCCAGATGTATTATCGCACGGTTTCCTGCCGCTCGAGGGAGCCACAGTCGCATTGTTGTTGTTCTCGCCATGTATATCGAAACCTTGGAACTGATCCGGATTTCTTTAATATTTAGACTCGTAATTGAGACCCTCGAGCCTCTCCCTCAGGATAGAAAATGCTTCCGGATGGTTAACGGTGTCCTGGTCGAACGGACTATCAAGGATGTGATTCCGTCGCTCAAGACCAATTCTGACGGACTGAAACAGGTCTTGGATGAGCTCCTCAAGCAATACAAGGCCAAACAGACCGAAATGGACAACTGGAAGGTCAGTAAATAACTTATCTTCATTTCTTCTTCAGGCTTTCATGGATTGTGCCACATATCCCCTTCCGCTCCTATGCCTTCCTCAGCGTCGCGCTATGAAACGAACTGGAGACTGATATGCCCCGACCTACAGAAGAAGAACAATATCCAAGTGGTCCAGCAGTGAGCGAAGCATGAAATCCGCAAGGAGTTAGACATGTTGAGGGCAGGGTCTTCAACAAGCTCGACCTTTGTGCAGGCGAGGGGGATTCGTCGGAACGTCGGCAGACACGGCCACGACGATGGATGTACAACCAAGGATATGTGTCACTCAGTTCATGCATGATTTTACGGCTATCGACTTGGTTATGAAACGAGAGTTGTGAACTGGACGGACTTCTAGTCCAAGGCGTCCTTGAGGCTACGCCAGCTAGCATGCTGATATCTTTCCACACGTCACCAGTTGAAAAACGCGAAGATTCAGTGAGACATCACAGGAAAGGCCGAATTTGAGTTGCAGCCATGCCTAGATAGGTTACGTTGACACGAGAGGAAGGACTTTACACCCTGACTATTGCAGACAGAGCAAATTCGTATACTGCGTTAGCAACACTCATCCTCTACAAGTTCGTAATCTTCCTCGAAAGTTAGAGATTCTCTGCCACCTTGCTAGTAATTTTCGTCTTTCACTGTATCTCTCGTGCTCATAGAGGCATCCCATCTACATGGAAGGTGAGTTGTCTGTTCTATGCGCAACGGCCCAATGAAACGGACATCTGCAGGCGAGGTAGGTATGGAGGGTATGGGAGATCTTGTGTATGGCTGACTGCCCTTGATTTACCGTGGACCTCAGCCGTCTCGTTGGCCGTTAGGCTAGCGGCTTTCCAGCCGGCATCATTGGACATCACTGCGACTGTCGCGTCCTCGTGATTCGGTCGACCGTGTCAGGTACTGTGTGTTTCTGTCTTCGCCTTCACTGATCTTCCCACATCAAGCTGAGGGCCGTTCTAGAGAGAGCGCTGAGACTTCTCTGTTGCAGATATATCCTCGGGAAGACAAGCAAAAACAACCAAGCAAGTACGGTCTCGTGCACCTCTGAAATTATTTTGATCGTATCCTGCCAGTGATAGGGTAGCTGTTGACAAGGAAGTAACATGGGCTGCCGAGAGGCGCGGGGTCTTCACATCGGGAGTCCCGAAGTGGAGAACTTCACGCGGCAGCAAGGACAGTCCAGGTGGATAAATAAGGACTTCTGCAGGAAATTAACACATGTTCATCTGATCTGATGCACCAAATAAGTGCTATCATGAACACGTAGTCTGACGGAGCAGATCTAAGTGGATACTCTCCTCCTAGGAGACTCTAAGTGAAACAGGGCGAAGGGGGATAAGTTGAGTCAAGCCATTCTGACTTTTCATGATCGACAATAACTTGTCCTCCTGTGATCCTAGTGACCACAGAAACAATTGTCAGTCATTAATAGCCTCTTCAGAGATCGTGCTCTCCGGGTTCGATCCGTGCGCCTGTATGTAGTTCAGTAGCCGACTAGTCGCATTTTGATTGATGCATGGTCTGGCGTTATCAACCGCACAAGAAATCGATGACTTTGTGCTGTCCTCTGCCCAAGTCCGCCTCGTCGTTGCCCTGCCTTGACTGTCCGAGAAACCCCTGCTTCGAATGGCGTCTGCCAGGGAATATCCGGTATCATAAGCATGGTCACCCAGAAAAGCCTCGCAAAACATCTCATCTTTCTACCCAAAAATGTCAGCCATGCTTCTAGCTGAGTGACAGAAATGCTAGCAACAGGGTATGGTGTGCTGGAGAACAGTCAGATTGGCTGTCTTCAGAAGCTTTCAGTTGCGGATGCTGTAACTGGGAGGCTCGAGATAGTTCTGAACGGGAGTCGCAAAGAGACCAGAGGCATGTCGGTGCCATAAGAGTGATGCTGATTGACTGAAAGGCAAGTTAGAGTCCCGTGCCGTTCCGTGATCGATTGAGTCCCAGGGACCTGGCATCAGGGCGATTCGGATTGCTGGGAGTCGTTCTCGTGTGCTATTCGACGACTTTGGCTTTTGCATTGATACCGCTTCCAGACTCTTGAATCCGTCTAGCCATATACTAGACTTGAGCTATCTTCAGCTCATGGAAAACCAGGCTTGTCGTCAAAGAAAAGGCACAGAACGAGATGAATGGATTGACAAAGTAGTTCATAGTACCAGTCCTCGTAAGGCTGATGGCCCCCGCTGCGTGGTACACTAGATCCAGCCAGAGAAGCCCCGAAGAACATTGGAAACGGCGTCTCGTTGCATACGGTATCCATACGCGTCGATGGGCGGACCCCACAGGCGGCGTGGCCGAAGATGGGCGACGGTATCGTACCAGGCTGTATCCGGCATGGAATTGATGCCTCAGGCTGCCGAGATGGAAGGCGAGGGAGATGGCGAGAAGCAGCGCGAGAAGGCGATTTCGCCGTCATCATCCCGTCCTGGTCAGGTCTCTCTTCGCCGCATCCTTCATCGAAACATCATCTCTCATCCTCCTCACCCGGGTGAACCGTCACTGTTGTTGTTGTCTTCGACATCGCCCTCATCCGCCAGTCAGGTTCCGTTGCTGCTTTGCTGCGGCTGTGGAAGCTCCAGCCGTCCCCTGCCGGTCGCGTCCGCAACGTTCTGGTTCGCCAATTGCTGGCTGGTTGCGCGCATCAACAAGAAGCACGGCCGCTGGGTGAACACCTCTCGTGCAACCAGAACCCACCTCTACCTGTATCCAGGTATTATTTCTTGATCAGTCGCACAAGCGCTGCCCTCGTTCGCTATCTCTGCCTCCATCCGCGCCAGCTGTACGGAGCACAAGTCTTGTCTCCTGTGATTGAGACCCCACTGTCCTCCGCGTTCTCAGCACGCGCGATCTAGTTAGCGCTGCCTCTCTCAGGCCCGCGCACGCCTCGATATTGAATCTGCAGCTTGCAGGCAGACCTGTCGGACGGTGATCGCAATTGCGCATCTTTGATTGTGTGGGAAATCCCCTGGGTTGCGCCGGCAGCATCTGGAAAAGTGCTCTCATCGGAGTGGTACACCGCCAGAGAAGCTGAGCAGAACAGCATAGAACAGAACTACTGCCCCGATTCCCCCACACAGTTGGCAGTTCCCACGTTCGGGCGATCGTGAAGCAAATCGCTGCCCAGTCCGACGCCCCCTGACGCAGTGCCGCATAGCCTTTAGAGCAGAGATCCTTCTCGCGCACCTCTGACGTGGTCATTTGCCAGCAGAGCATCCCGAACGATCCTCGCCTCAAGCCGGTATCCGCTGCACGTAGTCAAACACCTAAAATCATGTCTTCGGCCTCTCCTCCAAAGGAACCTGAAGTGGAACCTGAAGCGCAATCAGGCGACGACCCGGAACACATGGAAAGGGATAATCAAGATACACAAGGACAAGGCCAGGGCGAGTTCGAAGTGAAGGAGCAGGATCGATGGCTCCCAATTGCAAATGGTAAGTTTACGTGTCCTTGCAGGTCCTCTGTCCTCCTGATTTGTGCGTACCTTGCCTCTGCTGCTTGCAGGCGACCGTTCGCCTTCGCGATACCCTGCCGGGGTTCCAAACCCCGCGATGTCCCAACTGGAAGGATTGGATTTAAGCATATTTGAACAAATGCTCTTCATTCGTCTTCTGTACCAGCCGTGATCTGCATCGCATCGCAAGCTGCTTGGTTGGATGTATTGGCGCTGCCTTCCGCATCTAGCATCTTTGGATGATTCCCCGTCATTGTCATGCATAATCCTTTTTTTACATCATAAACGATGGGCCGTGGAGATCAGCTTCAGATACTAACTGACCACTTTACAGTGGCTCGCATCATGAAGACCGCCCTGCCAGAAAATGCTAAGATTGCGAAGGAAGCAAAGGAGTGCATGCAAGAATGTGTGAGCGAGTTCATTTCGTTTATTACCAGTGAAGGTCAGCTCTTCCTTACTTCTTCTTTTTAATATAAACTAGTCCTACTGACGCTGGACAGCTTCCGAGAAATGTCAGCAAGAAAAGCGCAAGACGGTCAATGGCGAGGACATCCTCTTTGCCATGACGTCTCTGGGGTTTGAAAACTACGCTGAAGCTCTCAAAATCTATCTGTCCAAATACCGTGAGGTAAGTCCACAACGAACCGCCTATGGCCGGCCAGGGGCGCCCTTCGATTTAGGATATTCTTTTTCCAAACATGGGATATTGGAACTGATTATCTTTCTAGACCCAGTCTGCGCGCGGTGAGAACCAGAACAGACCCACGAGCAGTGGTTATACGGGTGGTCCGGTTGGCGGTTCTGTCAGTGGCCCTCAGGTCGGTCGTGCGAATACCGCAACCGCAGACCCGGGTGCCACAGGCTTCCCTGGTGCTGCGGAGAACTCCAACAGCATCCTCAGCCCGAATCTGGACCCGTCCCAGGACGCATCGGCCTATGGTTACACGTCCATGGTAGGCCAAGGCCACAACGGCACCGGCGGTGAGTCCTACTAGAGGACCACCACATCTGGACTCGGGAATATGCTCTGTCGGACGCTGATATCGAATGAATCCTCTCCGCTGCATGTGCAATTGCGAACCGAAAGAAGTTTCCAGCGGGTGTATACGCACCCTGCGGGAAAACGACACTGGCCAGACGCAAACTTCGTGTCTAGCCAATTTGCGGCTTGAGAAGCGGACTACCATAACCTGACGGATGAGTCGCAGTGTCTCGAGCGACTGTACTGTGAGCTGGGAGGAAATTTGGAGTGGATCTCCTGTATTCACATCTCATGAAGGAAATTTCTTTTTCTGGTGGCGCACTTGTACGCTCGAACAAAAAGGAACCCTCCCTCTTTGTACACTCATTATTCCCCTTTCCCTTGATTTCTTTTCAGATGCGAAAGACAGGTATTCTACATGAGACCAAGGGTAGCCAGAACCTGTCTCTCTGTCTCTCTAGCTATATAACTTAGCCGCCTGTCTGTGTAATGTTGGGAGGTCGATTCACCGGATGAATGTTATCGGAAGCTCAAGGAGCAAGGATGGCGGCCGGGGCCCAGGCGCTCAAGGTGGGAAAATCATGGATCGGACATGGGATGGCACATATACCTTTTGATCTTTTTTTTTGTCTTGGTCCCCCTCCCCCTTTTGTTTCCATTTAATCATTTGTTGTGATTGTATTCAAGAATGCATTTATGAATTGTCCATCTGCTATACATGTATCTCTAGCAAATGCATCCACCTATCTGAGCCAAAAAAGTGCATTCTCATGGTATTGAGAGTGTTTGATATCCGGTAACGTAGTGAAGGAAATCCTTCTCACTGTGGAGGTTGCGGAGTCCAACCTGGAGTTATGAAAAGGTATACAAATCCTTTCTACAGCACATTTTGGGATGTAGATGCACATATTATTGACTGGAATAGACAGATCTTCAAATACTCTGCTTAGTTATTCCATCTGCCATTTTATTCCACCCCGGATCGCTAAGTTGAAACATCGCTAAGATCGAGACCGTTTGTTTCGCCTTTCTCCGCATCCCACGTGATCTGCTTATCTCTCCCCGCTAAAGAGAACAAGAACCGTTTGACCCACAGATGGTCTGATCCCATCTTCACGGCTGTTCGTCGCGTGTAAAGTCCAGCCTCGGTTTGTACGGCAGGCCCATTGAGAATGCTACGATCATGACCGCACCTGTAGCACTGCGGCATGTAGTTCGACCAATGTGTTTCTCGACGTCGACATGTCTTCCGCAGCGAGCAACACTCAGATCCCCGCAGGCGGCGGTGGAGTGACGAAGCGGAAGTCGGGTATGATTCATCTATCATCCTTGGATGATATTTGTGCTGTTGGCCACTTTATATCGAAGGAGAGATTGCGTTGATGTGGTCATGAGTTCTGACTGTATTTGTGTTTACCAGGGTCCGCTGCTTGCGTTCATTGCCATCTCAGAAAAGTCCGCTGCGACGCCCGTATCGTTGGGCTACCATGCTCCAATTGCCGGTCTTCTGGTAAGACAGACTGTCGCATACACGAAAAGAAAAAGCGGCCAGTTGTCCGGTCGATTCTTGATCCAGTCCCGATACGTTGCCGGCCGCCGTCTGTGCCTGACACTTCCTCAAAACTGCTTTCGCCAGTGTCTCCGATACGGGCGGCATCAACAGTAGCTTCCAGTCCGCGGAGTAATATCCCTCCTCAGTCAGCTTATACAGGTAATGCTCAGGGACCACAAAATGGGTCCAGCATGAACCAAAGGCCGGGCTCTTACGACCAGCAACCATCATCTGAGTCGTCAACCGACCATGAAGACCATCGGGGGCTGGAGAAGCGCTTAGTGAAGCTGATTGACGAGGATGAGTTGGATCAGAGAGAGATCCAGAGAGGTGTACGTGCGATATATGTCGGACATGATGTTTCCAATATATCGTTCCTCATTCGTCAACAACGAGGGAAAGATGGTGACGTGTATCACTTTGCGGGAAACGATATCCCTAAGCGCCATCTGAGAACAGGCCACGATGAGCTTCTCAAGGATGCCGTTTCATTACCTGAGAAGGCGCTGGCAGACGAATTGGTACAAGCATATTTCGCTCATGTGAACCCTGGATATCCCATTGTCGACGAGGATGTATTTATGACACAGTATCGGAATCACGATCCATCGGATCCCCCACCAATATTGGTCCTCCAAGCCATCTTGCTTGTGGGAGCTCATGTATCTCGCCCTATGCCAGAGAGAGACGCATTGAAAGAGACCTTCTTCCGACGGTGCAAGTGGTTATTTGACGCGAGAGTCGAGCGGAACAGAGATATTCTGGTTCAAGTGGCTTTGCTCCTGACATGGCACTCTGATTCTACCGATGATGATGTTTCCGCTAATGCTTACTATTGGGTCGGGGTGGCAGCAAGGCTTGCTACGGGTATAGGAATGCATCGTAACCCTGTTTCGAGCAGATTTACTGCTGGAGACCGGAGAATGTGGAGGAGAGTATGGTGGATTCTGGTGCAATTCGACGTTATGGTCTCATTGTCATACGGGCGACCACAGGCCATGTGAGTTGTCTGGGATCCTATTATGACTCTCTCGTCAAATACTAACGAGGATTCAGAAATCTAGACGACTCCGATGTTCTCCCTCTGACCCCGTCAGACTTTGAAGGCTGCGGCGCCCAGGTGCAGGTTGACTTTGTTATCCACTTCACAGAGCTGTGTACGATGATATCGTACATTCTCAAAGAGAGATTTGGCTTGAAAATAAGCCCCGAGCGTCGAAAAGCCGCTCTTCCGCAGGCTGACGCCGCTCTAGCAGACTGGTCTCTTCAACTACCAGATACTCTACGGTTACGAGCTTCTGATTTGGACCCATGGTCGGCCGTGCTTCATCTGACGTACAATAACTTTCTCATCCTTTTACATAGGCCGCATCCGAGGGCATCTGCCTACTCAGATGACTACGGTCCCCACGATGCTGAGATCTGCAGTACTGGTGCTGGAGTCATTGCTTCAATTTTTGAGGAACTTCGTCAAAAGGATCGCCTGAAGTATCTCTGGAGCTCATCGGTTTACACCCTTCTCACAGCTATGATACAAGTCAGGGTTGAGCTGCGGTTCTCGAACCCTGTGTTGGCCATAAATGCTCTGAGACGATTTGATTCGACCCTGTATTCTCTCCGTGAATTGGCAGAGTATTGGGCACATGCAGGAATGGTTTTCCGACTGTTTGAGGGCTCGAAACGACTGCAACAGGACTTGCGACTGGCCAAGACTGAAATGCCCGGACAGTTCAATGGTTCTCGCGGGCACAGTGGGAATTCGGATTCTACATCCAACACCGCAACACCAATGGTCCAACGCTCTCAAGTGCCCCCACAATCAGCACCGCAACTACAAAGATCCCACTCACATCTCCAGCAATCTTCTCCGTCTGCAGTGAATCTACAGAACCAGAATTATGACCCTTTCATCGTTACGCAGCCCCGGTTTGCCGATACCTCTTTCGAGGGGTCGGAGGGTATTCCGCCTCCGGAGCCGGTGGAACACTTAGAAGAAACAAGGGGGTATTCAGACTGGCGACAACTCTTCCCGTTCGTTGACACCGCCCAATCCGTGCCTATGGCGTTTGAAAGCCTTCCAGAAATGGAAGACGAATGGCGTCAGCTTTACTGGCAGGAGCCTCAGATGTCAGACTTGTTCCAGGACGGGGGCTGGATGCATGGCTGAACAACTTTGATGCTTCTCGCGCAAATATTTTGCAGCGCGCTATTTTCACCTCCTCAATGGCCTAAACATTGGGAGCAACAGGAAAGAGATTAACATACTCCTTACTACTATTTTTATATCGCCTATATACATTATTGTTCTGGGAGGCGGTTTTACTTTCGCAGTTTGAATTTAAGATACCATCAGGCGCATGTACTACCCCGGATGTGCCATTTTCGATGTATCTTGTCTCTGCGTTTCGTTTGTCGTCCGAGATCGAGAGCGGTCTCGTTCATGGAAGGGAGTCCAATCGGTGTAACTTTTGTTTTTTGTCATTAATGACAAAATGCAACTGAATGAACATAGTTCGGAAATGGCCACTCGTGGTCATTCACTAGTTCGATACATTGCCGTAATTATCAAGAACGCCTTGCACTTGTCCTAATGTCTGAAATGCGGCCTCATCCCGAGTTGTGTCGATCATAAGACCCGCGCGTAGCCTGATACTGCTCTCTAACGGCGCGTTTCATAACATGAACAGGAGCCGGTCGACCAGTCAGGATCTCAAACTGAGCAATTCCCTGCTCGACAAGGACATCTAATCCATCAACAACGATCCATCCGCGTGATGACCTTTGTATCATTTGTTTCATGAGGGGGGTAACTAGAGGTTCATATGCAAGCTATATTGAAGAAGAGTTAGTTTGAGTAGAGGATGAGAATGAATGCTGTCGGTGTGTTATTCCGTACCTCGATAAAGACGCCACCGGTTTTGCTCCCCAGCCATTGCTCGGGGATATCGAATGCTGGAGGTTCCTGCCCTCCAATCTCGTGCGCGGGTCTGCAAGACATGATAATAGTTGGTTGAGACATGTTTGAGGGCCAGGGAGCGTTCAATGACTCTAGCACAACTATATGCAGTGGAGTACTTGCGCGAGAGGTGGCCCATTGGCGGAAACGCTCCGCAAGATGTCGTGCGTTACTTGAAGTTCGATTGAAAATGCATATTTTTCTGACACCAGCCTGGTAACAGGCATATATTGCGGCTCGTGCTATTCCCCCAGCTCCGAGAATCAGTACACTGGTTTCACTAGTGATAACATTCGCCGGCGACAGATTCCTCTCCATGCAGATCCGTACTCCCATGTGGTCCGTATTATATCCTTTCAAGAACGTTTTCAGTGTCCCGTCTCGGTCGTGTTGTCGGTCCACCACGACTGTGTTGACAGCACCAATATCCCGCACATCAGGTGTCATCTCATCGAGAATGGATAAGAACTGCACTTTGTAAGGCAGTGCAATAGCAAGACCGCCTATCTCGTCATTTTGCAGAAGACGGTTAATGTCCTGAAATTGGTTGCTTTCGGCGGTATAACACGAGTGTGGCATCCCGCAAGCACGGTATGCCGCATTGTGCATAGTTGGTGACAAGCTGTATGAGAGACTCTGGCCAAATATTGCGAATCTCTTTTTTCGTAGGGTGAAGCTAGAGTATAGAGCATGCTGTGCTTGTTTCAAGGTGACTCCATCTCGTTCCATTGAGGACAAGACAACCGGCGATAAGGTAGGACTGAAACAAACGGATGTAATGCCAATTAGTCCAACGTTGTAGCCCATCACCGGGATCTCACATGGCTGGATAATCCGCATCATGAAATTGATACAGTCAAGGTTTTCCAGAGGCGAGGTCGGAATTCGCGTTATCCTGACGGCATCGCAGCCTAGGGAATTTGCTTTATCGTATATTATCTGCCATCGCAAAGAATCCTTTTCGGTAGGCCACCGATCAGATAATTGTGTGGTCCCAATGATTTTGGTATGGCACTTAGCCACAGAGAGGACATCAACCAAAGTATAGTCGGTGTCCAGGGAGACAGTTATCATGTCTGGGAGTTGGCGGAGTGCAAGCTGCAAGATATCCGCGTGGCGTGCCTGCTCCAGTCCATTTTGGACATGGATATCTAAGATAATTGGAACTCTGGTGTGTCGTCTCAGAACAGCAATCTGTCTCGATAGAGATGATAAACATTTTTGTTCTGCGAAACTGGGATCAAAGATTAGATTGATTGAATCGGCACCAGAATCCAACTCCGTAAGATCGACGTCTGATCTGTCTAACCAGGCTGCCGGAACTTGTAGGGCATATGTATAACTGCGGGATAGGGCATTCGCAGAGCGTACGAGACATGGTCGTTGATTAAACACACCACGAATAAAACGGACAAAGTCTTGTTCGGTCTGTTTTAATTTCAGAGGTCCTATCGCGTTCGGAGTGAATTGCTGCGTCATGTTGAAATAATCGAAATTAGAATATTGTCCGCATAGCCTATTGCTTATCTCGTATGCATGCTCGGCCTTCCCTCTGTCATGACCTAATGAATCCAAGAGGTCCCCCTTGTCACGCATGACATGAATAACGGGGTTCGTTTTGGATAGTTCATGCAACAATTGGCATTGTCTGCGATCGGCCATCATAAAAAAGCCTGCGAGGACGCAGCCTTCCTTTTTAGTTCTCAAAACTTCGACTGTTATCTCATACTCCACAATGCGATATGCTTTCGGTCCATGAGAAGCAATGTAAGCTCCACGGGAGAGTTTCGTCTTTCGTTCAAAAATCGCATCAAAATCCACAAACTCTCGGCGCAGTGCTACCGATGCAATAAATCCGAGAGTTCTTTTTCCAGCTCCCCAAAACCCAACCAGAACGAGGCTTTCGTCTCCCTTATATTGGTGACGAAGAGGCCGTGGCTGATGATTGCATAGTTGATGGCCGTCCACATCAGACTTCAGATTTGATATAACATAATTGTCGTCAGTTCCCGTTATGTCACCTGTCACTCTTAGCTTATTGCTAGGGTATTTCGCTTGGGGCTCTCCAGCTTCAGACGCTTCAGTTGTACCCCAGAAGGCGCGTTTCCGAGAGCCAGGGAGCCCAGTATGATGTTCCATGCCCGACTATGTCCCCTCCAATTTCTTCTCCATGTCAACTGAGCGAGAGATTTGAGAATTCGAGACAGAAATGCCGAACCGTACATCTGAGGAAGATGGATGTAGATATAGCCGGTCACGGGGTCTCCTCCGCATTTTCCCCCGCATTTTCCCCAGAATCAATCGGATAGTTATTCCCCGCGTTAGTAATCCTCGGCTGTAGATATGTCTGCAGATAGAGTAGAAAGCGTAATATTGAAATTGAAACACCTGAAGCATGTTGAAAACAGTCAATGTCGGAATCAGAATCAGCCTCAAAGCGCCAGCGGATCGGCCAGGCCTGTGACCATTGTCGGAAACGGAAATCAAAATGTGACGGAAAACAACCCACCTGCTCGGTCTGCAGCCTCTTCAAACGGAATTGTGCCTACCGCAATGCGAAGAAACGGGGATTACCATCAGGATATGTCAGAGGCCTCGAGGCTTTATTAGGACTGTGCAAGCAACATATACCGAACTGCGAATATGTCATTCAGGCCTTGATTCGAAGCAGTCATGGCGGTGCCAAATTCCATGATGCGGAATTCTTGGATTACGCAGCAGATATATGGCGCAAGTCACAAACTGCACGAGAGCTGGAGCATATATTATCTATAAGAAATGATGAAACCACACAGCCAACCACTGTTGAGACAGCTGACCTTCCTCCTTTCGAAATGTTCCCTCGACCTGCAGATCAACCACGTACCCCTGATGCTCTTCAACAGAACAATGAGACCACTAGTGCTCAGTCTCATGGTTTTGAAAAGTATAAGGAGTTAGAAACACTGTCCCCAGTGATATTTCCGGAGAACACCCCAGACCTGGTGGATTTCTACTTTCGAACAACTCATTGCTGGTTCCCGATTGTGGAACGGCGCGATATACTCCGCATTATGTGTGAGGACAACACGACAAATAATCTTAGCATCGAAGATGAAGGGCACAGACTGTGTTTATGGGCCATTGTTGCTTATTCCACGGCCTTCAGAGAAGTGATTTCTGACTACTCCGGCAGTACCAACCCGGAACATATTCAAATTTATGTTCGATTTCGCCTGGCTTTACATCACGAAGCATATGGGGTTGGACATGTCCAGGCTATCCTCATAATTATTCTTTTATATCTTATCAGAGGCCACTTAAGTGCTGCATGGATGCTCATGGCTCAAGCGTCTGGGATTTTAAGGGCCGTCGAAGATGCAGATGCACAGAAGTCCGAAAGACATCGACATGTTTGGCATGGTTGCGCTTACATCGACAAGCTGCTGTCTATAGTTCTCAGAAAAGATGCGTTTCTTTCGCATGTCAGCAATATTCACCTTCAAGAACTGGACCAGAACGGAGTAGATGAATGGGAATTGTGGGCACCGCCGGTGGCTGAGAAAGAAAATGGAGTTCAACGACATGAAAGGAAACCATTAAGAGTTCTCAGTACCTTCAATTTGTTGACACAGCTCATGGGAAAGTTGCCCTCCATATATGAGGGTGCGCTTGAAGCGGACCACCTCGAGGAAAGGATCAAGGATCTTCAGATCTGGTACAGCACTCTCGGCAAACACCATCAGTTGCGTGAGAACAGCAACCCTCCGCTATTGACTCTCCATCTAAGCTATAACTTTGTTCTTCTGTCTTTCTTCAGGGAGAACTGTGAGATTAGACACCATTTGGTACCCCTGATGGAAGAGACACTGCATTCTACATATACCATGCTAGTCCAATACCTCAATCTCACAGAGATTTCTGGGGCCTCGGGCTTACTGATTTGCTTTGGTTTCCAGGCCCAAAGCTGTCTTCAAACCTGCGGCCATCTACTTCCAACTCAGGTCCACAGTCTACTGAGGCACAGATATACCTTGATTCTCGAAAGCTTGAACAGACATTACGATGGCAATCGAAACGAGTTTGTGCAACCTGGCACTTCGCAAGGCTACTATGCATCATCCACCGAACAGAATCCCGAGGTGAGGTCAGGGATAACGACCAGCGCTATAAATCATCCCAGGACCACAGGAAATTCCATCGTCTCACCAGGTAGTGCCGCAGCCAGCGTTCCGGGAAGTGATGATCATGTAAGAAACCCTCTTCATGTCCTTGCGAACTATTATTCTCACCTTCTGTCAAAAGGGATCGTCAGGAACTACAACTCTCGAGTCTACAAATGACTTCTATTTGGATAGTCTCTATGATGATATGCTGTCGATTTTCCCGACTGGAAGGTAGGAAAATGTCTGCCTTCTTGCAATTCTTTGGCTGATCACTGGGCAGATACGATGATGAAGCAGACCAATTTGCACAGAATCTTGGATTTCTCACCAACGACATCGACACTAATCCTTTCACCTTTCCGTTTACCCAACAAAAGCTATGATACCCGCATTAGACCTTTATAACTGCTAAAAATCCTACAATGTGACAAAAGTCAAAGCATTCCTCTTTTGGCCAGTCCCAGTTCCGTTTGAAGCTTATTCCAAGCGTTGATTCCTCTTTGTGCATGTTCAGAAGGCACAGTAGCCTGAGGATCCCACATCGTGCGCGAGAAGAGTTCCATTGATACCCAACCTCGATATCCGAGATCCTTCAATATCACTCGAGCCACGTGTATAACTGGGAGATAGCCACCTCTGTCCTGTTCATAGGGAAATAGCCGTGCATTCCGGCTCCAGGACATTCTGGAAGGTTGCCCTTTGACATAAAATGGGTGACCCTCGAGTAAAGGAGACCGCATTCTTTCCCCGTCGACTAGCTGCATCAGGAAAACCTTCTTTATGTCCATGGTTCTCCTCAGTCTCTCTAATGAGATTCTCAAGTCCTCATCTGCATTTGGAGTTTTTCCCGTTGGACTAGCTGGATCCGCCCAGACTCTCCCGACGATGTTGAAAGTATCCAGACAAGCACCGAAATTTGGGCGATCGACCCGTTGGACAACCTCCCACGCACGTTCCCATGTGTCAATGTATGTCCCCCAGGCCAAGCCCTCATACACAAATCGAATTGGAGGGTTTTCTCGTAAACCAAGTTCAGCGACTTCGGTCATATCTTGTACAATCAAATTCATATCACCAGAAACGTTTTCAGTCGCGAAGTTCGATGGAATTAGGATGAGGTCGGTTCCCAATAGTTTTGCGAGCTGCAGCCATATCTTCAGAGTCTCAATTTTCTCCTTGTGCTCTTCTCGGTTTGTTAGACCCTCATAAAACATGAATGGCTGCAAACTGATGATTTTAAGGTTGTTCGCGTCGCATAATCGCCTTGTTTCTTGGGCTGCCTCATAGAGGCTGCCAAGGGTTATAGCGCCATGGGCGCTGGCGACATATTCTAAGTCTTCGTAAAAGATTTCAACGCCTTTGAAACCAGCTCTAGCTGCTTGTGAGAGCTTTTCAGGAAGTTCATGGACGGCCGCGCGGCCTAAGGACATGGAGGATATCGCAGGTATGCACTCCATATCAGATATGCTTATCTGTAAATTTGAGGGTCAAATATAGGCAGTGCGCGAATAATAGAACACGAAATCCAATATACTCTTAAATCAATTGCCGGGATAATGTGGAATTATTACCTATATTATCACTTTTCTACTACTGTCTCGTTTCACTTGTCACCGCCTAAGGATCCCCCTTAGTCGGTATCGGTGGTATTTTTAACCGTTATCTACGTATACGCTCCACATAGTGTACTTATGGTTGAAATAGCCAACCCCATAGTGGCTATATTACCACTTATTATCTGCTCTGTATACCTTTGCTGCGCGGTCAGTAGAAATCTTACTGATTCCTATCTCTGAGCACTACTAGTGCTCCACGTGATAGGCTGATACAATAGCCGTGGTACCGAACATTGACCTTCGGGTTACAACTTTTTTTGCGTCCAGGACGCCCTTTTCGCATTTTTAATACTATCCTCGGATGGCCCTAAGCCGCGGGTGAATGGACCAAGATCGTAATCAATCCTATGAGTCCGATATTGGACCCACAGACCATGAAGGAATGTGTCTAGTTCTTCCTCGTTGAACTTGGCTTAAAGAAGCATAATAATTGAAACATCGCGGCTAAATACCTACTACATACTATGACTTCGTACTTCCACTAAGGGAGGTATTCTAATTGTTTTTTCCCCATACATCAATGATGCCTTCTGCCTATCAAGCACCATCAGACCTGGATACGGTCCTAAGAGACTCTTTTCGCTATGGATCCTCCTTGTTGGACCAAAGGCCCAAATTCCAAAAAGGCGACATCTATCTTCTTGGATATCCCCTAAGACATTCACTTGCACCGATCCTCCACAATAAACTATTTTATCTGAGAAATGTACCATGGACATATCATGCCCTCGAGTCCAAGGAAAAGCAAGATCTCCTGAATCTTCTATCTCAGCCGGTATGCGTTGGCGCAGCAGTGACCATGCCACACAAAGTCTCATTTATTCCACTAGTGGATGATATGACCGAGGAGGCCAAGGGCATCGGGGCAATTAATACCATCTTTATCCGTCTCGATAATTCCGGAAAACGCAAATATATCGGCACAAATACGGACACAATCGGGGTCAGAGAATCATTCCTGCGCAATTCTACACCAGAAGAACTGAATAGAGGGAAGAGGTCTCCTGGGTTGGTCATTGGGGCCGGTGGTGCTTGTCGAAGTGCCATCTATGCATTGCACCATTGGTTGCAAGTGGATGAAATCTACATAGCAAACCGACTGCGAAGGGAAGTAGAGGACATCATGTCGTCGTTCGCCAAAGTCGGCTCCTTTAAGGCGAAGCTTCGGTTTGTCGGTTCTCTCGCTGAAGCCGAAAGCCTCCCAGCGCCGTTCTTTGTTGTCGGCACCGTCCCTGATTTTCCACCGCAGACTGACGGCGAGAAAGTTGCTCGACAGTGCATGGAGGCTTTAATGACCAGGGCGGATGGGAACCAAGGCGTTGTCTTGGAAATGTGCTATCATCCAAGTATCCGAACGTCATTCACTGTCTTTGCGGAAAATGCAGGATGGAAGGTCATTCCGGGTACAGAGCCTATGATATGGCAAGGCATTACGCAACAGGTTTTGTGGACAGAAAATGGGAAACTACTGAATGAATTCGAGTACCAGAAGATAGAGAAGGTTATCGAGGTTGGACTAGCAGCTCACAATCCTGCGGGACGAGGTACAAGGTCATCTTTGTGAAGAGAGCCTGGGCTGGCGTTACAACCTGTGTTAAGATATGTCACATGTTGATAGATACGTGTCCATTTATGCGAGAAGCACGGTATAACCCTATATAGATTCACTGCATAGATCCAAGATAAAACTTACACACTAGTATCTACAAATTCTACGAGTACGTAGGTCCGGTAGACTATTTTCGGTCATTCAATCCACGGATACGTAGGCAGTATTTTCCTCTTTCCTATTGCGAGAAATGGTAAGTAGTTACGAGCCCATCTTCCGTGTCAAGCCAACCTTCCGTGTCTATATCGCTATAGTAGAAACTAAGTAAGAGCACTAACAATCCCATTTGAACGTAACTTTGTCGACTTCGCGATCAGACACAATCCATATGAACGGCTCCAGGCTTATTGTTCTCTTCTCCCTGGAACGCGGCCCTATATTGCATCTCCGAACCGCGTATTTCATCCATAACAGTTTCATGAGCCTTCCATGGTTTAAGCTCCTTCGAAAATAGCATATCGATCTGCTCAAGCGGCACACCTTTCGTTTCAGGAAGTAAGAAGTAAACGAAAGGGACAGACAACAGCTGCAGCCCCGCAAAGAAAAACCAGACTCCATATTTCATACTCGAGAACATTTGAGGTGTAAATCGCGCGACGATGAAGTTCCAGAACCAGTTGTTCGCGGCTGCAAAAGCCTGAGCGAACGTTCGAATATTCTGGTCGGACATCTCGCTGGTTATGACCCAGGGCGTGCCGCTCCACGATACTCCATAACAGACAGTGTAGATGTAAAAGAAAGCAATTGCAGCTTTTCCGCCTGCACTGCTTCCGCTGTTCGTAGATGTTGATCCTGTTGGGTTGACAGCAGCGAGATATCCTCCCACCACCCACAGGGATATCGACCCTCCTACCGCGCCACATAGAAGGAGACTGCGTCGGCCCAAGTAGTCAATCAGGAAGAAAATCCAGATGAATGTGACTACTGTCTTTACAACCCCGAATATACCGGTAGAAAATAAGCTTGCGTTCGTTCCAGAAACACCAATGCTCTTGAACGCAGTCGGGCTGTAATAATTAATAGCGTTGATGCCGGAGCCATTCTGCCAGAAGAAGAGGGCTCCGCTTAGGAATAAGCGCCATTGGATATTCTTATTCCTCAAAATACCTCGGAAAGGTGCCATGAAGCCCAGCCCGATTGAGTTCGCGACGTCATCGACAGCCTGGTCGATCTGAGCAATCTCTTCATGAAGGTAGGCATGATCTAGAGGTAGGTTGCGCAAGCGTGACAGTGTATTCACGCCCTTCTCTCTTTGACCGTTGAAGATAAGCCATCTCGGACTTTCATCACAGATTAGCATACCGGCCATCAACAAGCCACCGGGAATCAACTGGACGCCAAAAGGAATCATCCACTGGCTTTGGGAAGGGGCCATAGTTCTGTTGACAGCGTACTGGCAGCAAGTTAGCAAGATACTCTCGTTTCAAACAGAGATATCGCTCAATGTAGGGGAAATCACATACGTTGATCCAGAACCCGACAAGACCTCCGATCTGCCAACCGACCTCATAGAAACCGACCAATCGGCCACGAATTGCAGGGGGTGAAAGCTCTGAAATATAGATAGGTGTCAAGTTCGAAATGCCCCCAATACCGACTCCTGCCAACACACGTCCTCCGTAAAGAATTCCAAGACCATGCCTCCCAGCGGCCCCCAGCATGATGGCTGCTCCCACAAGAAAGATGGGCGTAAAGATAAGTAATCCTATTTTTCTGCCCAATAAGTGGCCAGCAGGGTATGCGAATAGAGCACCAAAGAATGCTCCAGCCTGATAACATGACACAATGTTTGCTGAAATTAGATCGACCTCGGAGGTAGACAGGCGATCGAATTGAAATTCATCTTTAAAGGATGCCAACGCCAAAGTACCCCCAATGAATGCGCTGTCATAGCCTATGAGAGCCGCACCAGAGGATACAATTGCTGCAAACAGATATGTCCTGAAATTGTAAATTTCTTTCGGCGTTGGCCGATCTTCTGTCTTTGGGAAGAGTCCCATCTTCGGACAATTTGAACGTCCTCGCGATGATTGTGAGGGATAGGCGCGAGGACAACCGTGAAAGGGGTCTCCGAAGACCTATATGCCTGTAGCCAGGTAGTAGATATTTTCTACCTCGGTTGTCAATATGCATAGAGACTTCAGGGCTCGTAGAGAAGAATCCGGGGTAGTTAGCGGAGAGATCCCGCGGGCAAGACTTCAACCGACAAACTACGGAACTTGACCGAGGGCACGATCCATTCTCAAGTATACGGTTAATAAGTGAACTAAAATAATAACTTGCAGTAATGTCGTTGGGACTACTGGCGTATAATTTCCGTGATTACAGGCCAAGGTCTTGTGAAAAGTACGGGGAAATGGTCTCTTGGGAGCGAACTGGGTCCATCTCAAAGAGTAGAATGCAGTTCTTTCTAAATGGTATCTTTTAACGTGTTCTCTATCATGCGAAGAGTCTGCTCAATGCTAGTTAAACAGTGGACTGAACTCATGCCAATTTTATACTGAGAGTTCATAGACAACAGGTTTCCTTTCATCCCCAAAGTCTGTATACTTACCTCTACAAAGTTACTAGATACGTATGTTCCTACAATAGGCACTATGGCACGATCAGTACATGTTGATGAGAAATACCTATTAGACAGTCGAATATCACAAGGGGGTCTGCCTGTTCGTAGACCCCGTACTCACGTATCCTCGGCAGAGCCTTATGCCGACTTTCAATCAGCAAACTAGATACAATATGGTAGGCAGGAACGATAACCTAGTGTTTGAGATCTAAGCTGCTACAAGACACTTAAAAAAGTATCTGAGGCCAAGATAGACATAGCACAACCGAAATATTGTCTTTCGCACACATACACACACAATCTTCCAAGTCCCAAAAAAGAACCTACCACCATGCCTTCAGTCCTTCTCCTCAATGGACCCAATCTAAACCTCCTCGGAACCCGAGAGCCAAAAATATATGGTACGACAACTCTGCAAGATGTCGAGAGGTTCGCAAGGGAATTCGGCGAACGCAATAATGTCCAAGTGGAAGCGTTTCAATCAAACCACGAAGGCCATATAATTGATCGAATTCATGCCGCTCGAAACAACTCTGATGCGATTATTATCAACCCGGGAGCGTTCACCCACACGAGCGTAGCGATTCGTGATGCACTGCTGGGCGTGGCTATTCCCTTCATTGAGGTCCATATCTCAAATATCCATGCTCGAGAGCAGTTTCGACACCATAGCTATTTTTCGGATCAAGCTGTTGCTTGTATAATCGGCCTGGGGGCTTTTGGATACGAGGTGGCGTTGAAATATGCGGTCAGGAATCTTGTTAATCGAAACCAGAGCGTTTTGTAAGAGAAGAGATATGAATGCAGCGTTTCTTGGTTGTTTTCTGTGATGTGCACTGTTTGGTGAGAGAGTCTATAGAAAAGCATGCGAAATGATTCTGTCGTCGTGCCTAATCGCTGTATCCCAGTCAAACTCCTGTGTGTAAGCTGGAATTTAATTTATATTCCAATTTGTATTCAAGTCCATAAAGGAAACGATAAATTGGAATGCTGCTATTTTCCGTAACTCATACGATGTACAATAATCACTTGAATAGACCAGATCATGATTTCTCAATCGGCGATATACCCTAATAAGCTTGTCAAAGTATCTATATTTACATACGTCTATATCTAATCGGAAACTTTTATATTATTTCGTCCAACACATTTCCTTCATTGTTCAACCAAACACGAAACGCTTCCAGTTCTCAGCCAGACGCCTCACTCCATCATGCAATTCCCAGCCCCGTAGCTGACAAATTGTCCGCGCGATCTGCTCGAGTAGCTCATCCATTTGCTGGCCTGCACGATGGAGGTCGCTCTCGATGAGGATTCTGTCATCAGGCAGAGCTTTGATGACTTCAATGACCTTGTCTGCAGATGGATTGGTAAAGTTTATAACACTAGAGAAAGAGAAATACACATCCGAGGGGACGGAAGGACGCAGGAATTGTCTAATTGGCTCTGTAGGGCCAGAATACGAATGCATACATATCCGTGGTGGGAAAGGCAGCGGGTCAGAAGGAGTCGTGGACGCTAGCGGCTTTTGTGTTGCGGAATGCGAAGATTCAACATCTGTACGATGTGCAGTTTCCTGTTCGGCATCACTCAGATCATGAGCGCCGACTGCGCTACCACGTCGTCTCCTCTCCCGTCGGGATGGAACCTTTCGCTTATGGCCTTTCCATAGCTCCTGGAGGACCTCAAAGACGGCACCATGGGCCTGTACACTGTGGACGGAGACGGCCCGTCGTAGTTCCCCAGCCAGACGCAGCTGGGCTTTAAACACCGCTCGCTGATGAGTTGGTTGTACACGATACGGGGATAGTTTCCTTCCTTCCCTGGACCCAGGCGTCAGTGACGCATCCCGTCCTTCAAGTTCCTCCTGCACCCAAGGGCTTGGAAGGCGGAATGCGCGATCGAGCCCAATCTCCCCAACAAGGGCATATTGGTGCGCATTGAGCCGTTCCCTAGTCTCCGAGATCAGAGTAGATAGAGGCTTAGGGTCTGGGAGAGAAAGGAAAAAGCGTTCGTCGTCTGTAGACGGGATCAAGACCTTTTTGTAATGCGCTATTTTGGCGCTCCTCACCGCTGTATCATCACTGTCACCATCTTTTCGAGGCTCTGAGACAGAGGATATGTCATCTAGGATCTGGTGCGAGAACCACGGATGCCAGCCAAAGCACGGGAGCACACGTCCTATTTCTTCTGTCCCCTGCTGCTGGTCTGCCTTTCGTTCTACCCCTAGTTCAGACGCGACCTGCGAGACGAGATCCTGGTCCTCTCCGCGGGTGGCCATCACAGTCAGTGTCCTGGCTCTCATGTGCGGGATGGACGCGATTGATGTCATCGTATCCGTAGGGTGGCAGTGGGCATCAAAGACCCCCAATTCCCAGGGAAAGGGAACCTCGTCGTGGTCAGCCATATCAACCGTCACTGCTTTGCAGTAATAAACGCCTGTCTGTTGCGAAGGTTGAAAAGACGGCCGGGGATGAGATCGAAGTAACAAATATATAACTGTCGAAGGGAAAGATCGTCGATGCGCTCGTTGGACGATCGCGGTGGGGCATCACACGTGCCGGCGCTCTCCGCTTCGCCTTCTCCGCATTCGCATCAGCGGCGTTGAGTCTCAAGATAGAGTCGACTCTTATATATCCCTGGCGAGAGCAGAGAGAGAGAGAGAGAGAGGCTTAAAGTTGCCATGCTCCCATCATTCCGTTCGTTTCTGTGGTTGACGTTCCCACTCAATATCAGTTGAACCGTATACCCCGGGTTCTCTATGGTTTCCATCAGCCTGTCCAGCATTTTCCTAGGCCCCTTGGTTGTCTTGATTTCCATTCCTCTCTTACTTTCTGCTTGTGTTACCATCTATTTCTCAGTGCTGACGCTTTACCTGCGAGCCTTCGTTGTCTATTTAAAATTATTATACGCCATTGTTACGAGTTTCTTTGCGTTCCCAACCTCCAGCTCGTCCTTGCTAAATTTCTCTGCATCCGGAGCTACCACTCCCAACGTTTCCCGATCAAAGGGACTCAAGAATAGCTCCGCGTCTCTTGAATCTTTTCTACAGTCGTCAGAATTCGGTCCTCGGTTACAGTCTCATCAAAGCCTCCGCAGTGGCAACAAACCTCAGCAAGGAAATGCCACACTCCTTTCGGAAGACGGCATTCTCAGAAACTATCATCTTCAGCTAATCTCCAGTACGAGACGTCAATCGTACTACAGAGGTGACGCCTCATTTCCAGAAGGATTCCTAGGTCTTACCACCGGCGATGCAAATCGCGACTTCGAGGGACTCGGAGGTTGGCGCTCTCTGCCGTCGACAGAAGGCTCTCAGAGCATCAACGATGATCCAGACGAGAGGGCCTGGCTGTCAATAAATAATCGTCTGGAGCTGCCTTCGCGCTTGCCGTCCATAGAGAGCTCAGCATCTGATACTAAGGCAAAGCATCACAAGCGCTCCGCAACTACATCCGCACTGACCAACGACGGCGGGGCCAGCGCAACGGGATCATCACTCAAAGTACGAAATGCCTCAAACAGCACCTCCAGTGTCGATCTTCGTCCGCAGTTCTCGAGTCCAAATCTCGTCCCAGAAGGACTGGGTGCATCTGCGTCTCGTACATCTCTGACTAGTCAAACATCATTCCCAAAACCAAACATGTCCAAGTCTCGCAGCCGCTTGACAAGCAGTCCCGAATTTCATAGTGGCGATGGTTACTTCGCTCTGCGCAGACCACGATCCAATAGCAAACCGAGTAGTAATATGGGTGGAAACACGACTCCGCGCACTCCAGATGAGCGAGCCAGTATGAACATTGGATTCTCCATCTCTCATTATCCGACCAGTCCTGGACGGAGAAGAAGGACCTCCTTGACCGGCGGCGGTAGCGGTGGCAGTCCTACTTTCAGGACAGCCGTTTCCCCGACCTCAGCGTTGTTGGGTGTTCGACCAGAAGTTCATGATGATTTCCATGCGTGGTAATTATACCCAGGACGAGAGCTGCTTTTGTATGCAATTATATCCTATTAGTACCTGAGCGGAGCGACTTTGATTCTGCATATTCATATATACGATCAGAAATACACTTGTCTGAGGACAAATATATAACCACATATTTCTTCATTTCACGTATCAGTTATTATATATAATAATTCCCATAACGGAATTGAAAATTATTCTTAAGTCTAAATTCGGGGTTGACTCGTCTATGTACAGTGTAAACGTGATAGAGCGTAGTCCCCTAGGTAGGTAGGTAGGTAGGTATATCATACATCTTGCATAGGCATAGGCATAAGTGTTGAAGACTGCCAACGGATAACGGGAAAATAAACAATAAACACGAAAGCCCAATACGAATGACCAAAATATTCATATCTCACGAACAGCTAACACGCCAAGGATGAAAGTTGAGGAATTTATCGAGACTTTGTACGCGAACGAGATGCAGTAATGCGGATTTCTATTGGCTCCTCTGTCTTTCCCTTCGACTCACATCTTCCATCTCCTCTAACACGACCTGGTTGAATTCATCCGGCCCGTCAAGGTACAGGTGGTGACCGGCATTCTTGATAATGACAACTTTAGCGGAAACAGTGTCTGCCTGTCTCTCCTCTGGAGTCGCCTTCTGAAGAATACGGCGCTGCTCTTCTTCGATCTTTGCCTTCGCTGCGTGGCCACCCCTGACGTCCATCCAGTCGTGGTCTCCGTACATGAAAACGACAGGGATTCCATTCTCGCGTCTTTCCAGTTGAGAATTGGCAGTTGACTCCGCGGCAGATAAAGAATTAGTGGAGGAAGCAGCTTCCTCTGACGATGGCCGGATTATCTGTCTGCCTACGCCGTGTATTCGCCGAATAAGAGGATTGCGTGCGAAAGCTCCTGGTGCGAGTATATAGGCTAGAGCATATTCACCGCTGCCTCGGAGGCGGAATATAGAGTACGAGTAGTCGTGCAAAGCCTTAGCCTCCTCTGATGGTAAATGAGAGAAGCGTCGTGAAGTCCACGCCGACACGATACGAGGGCCGAATGGTCCAGTCCATCGCACAATACTGAATGGGGAAACGTTTTGATCCCAGAGATATGCAAACCACTTGGGCAGAGGTCTCCGTGGTGCAGACTCTGCTGCCTTCGCGCGAGCATTCATAACATTGTTGCCATCGCCAGCTCTGGCCGCCCGGCCTTCCGTGATACTTTCTTGATCCTGTGTGAATTCGTTTGCCAACCCAGATTCAGACGGTTCAGGTATATCTGCGTTCACGGCATATGGATCTTCTGGTATTCCCACAGGAGAGGCAAGAATAAGTTTGTTGACATGGCCGGGATACTTGAGCGCATATGCGACTGCCATGTACCCGCCGAGACTGTGACCCAACAACGTAAAGCGCTTGATGCCTCTCTTGATGCGCCACTCCTCTAGAGCATCAATAAACCAAGCTTCCGCTTCCGCGATGGCCTCCTGGCGGTTCTTAGCCTTAACCTTGAACGGTGGTCGAGTACTCCGACCCATCCCTAGCATGTCGAGCGCATACAAGTGCCAACCCTTGGGCCGACTCAGAGGCTCAAAGTTCTTATAGAAGAACCCCAGACCAGCACCGTAGCCGTGCAACATGACTAGGTTCTGGTCAGCTTCCTCCCCAACCCGCTCGACAGAGAACTCGTTCAAAGCGCGATTCTGCCCGCTCAATTCAACCATTGTTGATCGCCATCGTCGTGGTCCGTACGGGTCGTTGACTGAATTCGCTGATACATCGCCTTGTTGGCTACGGTCCTGTGTCTCCAGAGTATGCGTTGCGCCAGTTGGGGCATCTACGGTGTTTCCGGTCTGCCGCTGCGTTGGAGGTTGTTGTAGGAAGGGAACAAAAGATAGGACGCGATGCTCCGCTACTGCTGCTGGAATACTCGCCCACTGTTGTAGAATTAGCTTCTGGAACATGCACGAAAGATATGCAGAGCAATTGCCATACCCATTGGCTAAATCCCTCCTTGTAGCCTAGCGGAAACATGCTAGACTTCACGGAGGCTACATTCCCATAGGGCGGGTTAGGAGGCTCGGAAGGCGTTGATCTCTGCTGGTTACGCCCACGGGCGCCTTCATCCGGAGCATTCAGCGACTCTGACGACATGGTAGACTGGTAATGGGAAGTCTGCGCAGTGGCGGACAGCGGGGAGCTGGAGAAGTATGTCTGGGAGCGGCGGCTGAAGCGGGGAGACGATGGAACAGATAACGTCGCGTCTAAGGCTGACCAGGATCTATGGAACTGTAGCAATGGGAAGGACTGAAGCCGTGGTGAATACACCTTGCCAAAGAGTGCTGGAGTGACAGAGATGCTCTGCCACTCTCACTGGAATGGCTGCGACAGAAGACCATAGAGCGAAGGGAAGGGCCTTTTTGTAGAAAAGGCCGTGGCCAACAAGTCAACGTGCTAGCAGGCAGCACGATTAAACGTGATAAGAGAGCGTCACTGGTTCGTCAGCGTGGTGTTAGTCAGTTAGTCTTAAAATAACTGACTAGTTAGATAAGTCTGCCACAGAAAGAGAGAAGAAAGGAAGAAAGCGAAGTGGCGGAGTTAAAGACGGACGGGATCTCCATCTGATTTCGTCCCGTGCAGCTGCTGAGCTCCTGATACTCCCGACTTCAACCTCCAGCCCAGCAAGACCATCTTCGCCAGCGCCTCATGCGATGAGAGTGCAGTTGGCCGCAAAGGCCTGACTGTTCGAGCTCACCCCAAGTTCAGTTCAGCCCCTACACCGCTAGCCAGCCCCAACCTCTCTCGACTGCAGTGGATGCGAGCTCCGGATCTGGCAACGATTGCAATATTGCCATCATTCCACAATGGCCGCCTCGCAACTTGACCAGATGGTCAAGGGCGCTCCAGCTCCTCAAGCAAAGTCTCCCGTCAAAGAGCCTCCTACGCCGCTGCCTCGATCCTATCTCGAAGGTCCTTCGCAACCCCAACCCTTGGCACCGGATCCTCTGTCGACGCTCCCATCTTCTCCGCCTCAGATCTACCTAAACCTGCTCATCCTCGAAAACTCCCTCCGCGCACAGTATCTGGCTCTCCGTGAGCGTCGACGCCAGAACACCTTTTTCCTGCTGATTCTAGGCATCTGGATCGCCTATTTCTTCTACGCACTGTTCTTCCGGCCTCGTGAAGATGGCCGCGGGGTGGGTGGATCGGTATACTGGGTGGTGGAAATGGGCGAGAAAGTCGCCCTGATGGGAGGCGTCGTAACGGGCATTCTCATCTGGGGCACAGGACAGTGGGAGCGTGGAGTTCGCTGGCCGCGGCGCTGGCTCGCCGTCGCCAACCGTGGCCTACGCAGTATCAACACGAAAATCGTGATTATTCGGGGCCCATGGTGGAAAGAGCTGCTGTCCTATTTCTCATTTCTCTTCCCTTACACGTCCTTCTTCCCATCGCCTGCGAGCTATCATTATGTGGAGCAACATCCGTCCGAGAAGCGACGGCAGCATCACTCGTACGATAGTGAGCACGAAGCCGGCCTTGTGGAGGAAGACGTTGCGCCTGGAGGAGACTATATCAAGCTTCTCCTTCTCCCCAAATCCTTCTCTCCGGAATTCCGCGAGAACTGGGACGAATACCGCACCGATTACTGGGAAAAGGAAAACGAGCGACGCGCTCAGCTGCGGCAGAAAGTACGTGAGCGGGAGCGCCAGATCGCCAAACAGGAACATGGTTGGCTCTGGTGGTTGCCGATCTGGAAGAGCTCGAAGAGACGGAAAGTCGCTGCAGCGACATTGAAATCATCCGACCATCATCATCATCACCACGTGCACCGCACCAGTACCGCTAGCCTCAAACCCTCCCGGCGTAGCACGCGCTCGGATTCTAACTCGCGCACTCCATCACGGAGTACGACACCGGTCGATGGAGACGACCGTCCACCCTCTCGGTCTTCGATCACGCATTCACGACGAGGAAGCGCAACCCCATCCTTCACTGAGACAGAAACAGGACCGCAGCGACGGAAAAAGAAGACCTCATCAGGCGTTAAAGGATTATCACCTCTCACCCAAGCTCAGAGGAGGGAGAGTTCGCCATCTGCAGCATCGATTTCTTCAAGATCATCAGATGACTCTTGATCGAAAAGCCACTGAAAAAGCAATCCATTTCATGACCTACAAGTTGATATGAAGCTCACAAGGAAAACCGACGGTGCAATCCTCCACAAAAGTCGCGAATGCTCTACAGAAAAAAAAAAAAGAAAAAAGAAAAGTTCACTTGGATTTTTTGTTTGTAGACTATAAACAACAAAGGCAACACATCATCTGTCAAACTATCTGAACTCGAACTCTGCAGTCTCTCTACACTCAATATTCTTCTCCCCTTGTTTATTTCTATACATGCTTAGGATACGGAGTTGGGACCGTGATTATGTCGGGACATATACGGTATACTTTATATTTCTCGCGGTATAGTCAAGGATTCAAGTGTTATGAATTGAACTCGAGTATACGCCTGTAATTCCAAGCAGGTACTGAATACAGATATTCATTTTAACTAGCATATTGCTTCTGGCATCTAAGATACCCAGCATGTCTTCATTGATATTGATTGGTCTCAATAGACATATCCACAGAGACGCCTGACGCCTGGTAATTCTTCTTTGAAAAATCGAACACAACATGTTTTAACATGGCAAGTGCGAAACACCCTGAATACAGGAAAGAGTTCTCATTGAATCAACCGAATGAAATATCTATTAAATCCTGTAGACTGTTTCGTCATTCTCGAGGTACCTATAAATGCAGTGGTTAGTCTGGCCCGAATGAAGTTGATATTGATAAGGGAACGGAACTTACATTAACTCGTTTCTTTCATTCATGGCCTTCAGGGCCTCGAGAGCCTCGCGGCGCTGGAACACATGGCTCTCGCCCAGAGAAGGTGCTGAGCGAATAGCAGTGTTCACTGCGCCAATGAGGGTCTCGACATCTGCTGTGTCTTCGTTGGTAAATAATTTGGTTCCCATCAGAGGTCCCAGGGCTTGACGGAAGATTGTCAACCGCTGTGGCAGGAGTGGTTGCGAGGATGACGCCGTGCCGGTCTGTGATTGCGAATTGTCGTCGGTCTGAGAATGAATGAGCTGAGATGCTGGCTGTGAAGATGCCACCGACATCTGAGATTCTGTCTGCGTCTGAGTGCGACCCGCGCGGCTGGACTGAGTCCTCTGGCCACGAGGGCTGGCATCATATAAGCCATCACCATCCTCTGACATGCCATCCACGTCTGCATCGACAGAGTCAGCCAAACCGGCACGAGCTGCTGCCCGAGTATTGCGAGACCCTGCCGGGCGCGGTCGTGGAGTAGTAGTTGAGCGGTTTCGGCTACTTGGCTCATCATCATCGTCGTCATCAGAATCGAATTCGCTGGACACATCACTCTCCTCGTCAAAAGTAGTCCTGCGTCTCTTCCGGCGCTCGTTCTCAACAACTTCTTTGAACAGTGCAAAACGCAGGATTGACTCGGCAACGTGAGCGTCTTTCTCCTCCACTCTGCTGGACAGGCGTGCTTTGGCATGGGCAGTCGACAGACGGATCAGGGTCTCCAGCGTACGAGCAGTGATCGGGGACGTTTTGCGCTGGTTTCCGGACAACTCGTCATTTCGAAGGGCAGAATAGGTGGCCACGATGTGATCGGCAGCTCCCTTCGTAAGTACCGGCTTTATTCTGGACTTGGCATACTGAATGTATTTCTTGATGAATGGCATGCTGAACACCTGAGGCTCTCGTCCCTTGCCCCGGCTCGTGGTGATCATGCCTGCGTGCAGCATGATGTTGAACTTCTCATACATCTCCGTAGGCCGACTAGCATCTTGGTTGTCATCTAGACCGACGCCCAGAGTCTGGTTAGGTTGCTCTCGGATAGGAGCGCCCTCCTCGGTTCCAGGCTGACGGTAGCGGTGCATGCGTAGAACATGCTCAGAAACAAGTCTGTCCCTGGTGTCTTCAATGTCGTCTGTAACGACAAAGAGTAGATCGAAACGGGACAAGAGAGAGTCTGGAAGCGCAATGTTCTTGTGCGGGTCCTTGTGAGGGTCATACTGACCGTATATCGGGTTTGCTGCTGCCACTACACTACATCGTGCATTCAGTGTAGTGTGAATACCAGCCTTCGCGATTGTTACCGTTTGCTGCTCCATGACCTCGTGAATAGCAACACGATCGACATCACTCATCTTGTCGAACTCATCGATACAAACCACTCCTCGATCACCGAGAACCATGGCACCTGCTTCCAACCTTCTCTCGCCAGTTTCTTTGTCGGAAGTGACAGCAGCCGTCAGACCGACACCAGAAGAACCACGACCAGTAGTAGCAATCGCCAACGGAGCTGTGTTCAGCACGAACCGCAGAAGTTGAGACTTTGCAGTAGACGGGTCACCGACCATGAGGATGTTGATATCACCACGAAGATGGGTGCCATTGTCGAGGTTCTTCTCCATACCACCAAGCAGCATCAGCAGAATCGCCTTCTTGATGTAGTCATGTCCGTAGATACTTGGTGCCAGGGACTGCGAAAGCATGTCAAAAATGTTCTTCTTCTTGGCAGCCCTGTTGATGTTTCGAATATCCGTGTCGGTTATAGTTGCCTGTGCGATACCACCACCAGATTTGGAAGACAGCTGAATGATATTGTTTGCCATGATCAAAGTGCGGAACGTCGAGGAACCTGAACCAGCATTACGGTTTCCGAGAGACCTGTATATACCAACCAGTTGGATACGGTCACCCGGTTTTGCGCGGTCAACCAGGTCGTCATCAAGAATAACATCGACACCTCTGGGCAGCTGGCCCGCGGGGGCTCGCTCCGGCATTTCCTGGATAGAAATGGTCTGGTGGTCCATGTACGTAGAATATCCGTACTCAGTAATGAGCTGTGAAAATTCCGTGAGCATTCGCTATTCATGCGATGAAATAGATGCACCTACTGGATTCTTTTCGTCGTCTTCCTGCGGGTACACATTCAAGCTCGTGGCACCGCTAGCAGTCATAGTCTGATCTCTGTATTGTCGTGCCAAGAATCGGTCCTTCTTCTCGCTGTAGTGGACACTTTGGATGATCTTCGGTCGGACGAGAGAGCATTTTGTGACAATACCCTCAAGAGAAATCATCCGATTCAGGTGGGAGGAACTCAATGTCCGAGGATTGCAGGCAAATTCACCGAAGGCTCCAACAAATGCACAATAGTACCTCTATCCGCTGATTAGATCATTATAATGATGATGGAAACCGACATAGAGAGCACTTACCACATCGTCTGCAGTTTCTCTGGCGGGTCGATTCGGCAGAGTCTTAATAACCTCCTTAAGAGCCCTGTCAAAAGCTTGCGAATACTCAAATGGCGATGTGAGTAGTCTGTCAACCGTCAGCACGCGCTATTTCTCCCTCTGGCCAGTCCATCCTTACCCATCTGCAAGCTCTCGGTTGTGGGCTCTAATTTCATCGACGCTGACCTGTCTCAAAGTCAGCTTCTACCCCAAAAATACGAACCTCAATGGATGAACGAACCGTCAACCGTCGTAGACCCCGGTTGAGCATCAACACTATATCTGCTCGATAACTGTAACGTCGTCAGATCATGATCACAGGGCCGAGAAAAGGGCAGGGGTTGGACTGATTCTGCTGACCTCCTCGCTCGTGCATCGCCTGAACTCGAGTCAGTATTCGCTCCGAAATCATATCCTCTTCATCATCTCAAGAACTCACTGGGATCGAGAAATTCGGTGGCGGCACGCTCGCGATCCCTCGCGGCCTCGTCCCGCAGCTGAACGCCGTCCATGGTGCTAGCGAACTGCTGAATGAAAAGGCCAGAGAAAAAGAAACCGATTCACACCAAGTATCAGTGTTGCAGGAACCTAACACAGAAGGATGAATGAGTTGGAGACCGGTCTGCGACGGCCGTTGAGATGTTCTGGTCCTGTCCACTGCGTTGATCGAGGGATTTGGGCTAATGGGAGGATCTTTCTTGTGGACGCGCTGTCCCGATCGGGTAGAATTGGATCGCGTCCAGGAAGAGAAACGCGTGTGCTCAACGCGTTGCTTGCTGACTCAGCCGGTGCCCTCCATTGTGTTGGGAGTTGGCTAGGTAAATACGTAGTTATTATTTCCTGGAATAGAATCGCGTTTCTTTCCAGAAGTTATGACTATCTATTAGTAGTATATCTTAATGGTCTATGAGCTGACGCTTATGTAGCTATCTGCTTGTAGATTTTAGGACCACTTCAACGCACCACTTGGCCATTCAAAAAAGAATGACGAGGGCATATGATCAGGCTCTCGAAATACCTTACCATGTACGAGGATAGGACTTAGTCGGAAAAGTGTACTGGGTCGTTGGAGAAATATGGACCAGGGTTTATGTTTATATACAGCACAGAAAGGATATATCCATCATAGTTAGACCGGCACTCTAGGCTAATCGGAGATGAGATATTCAAAGACAAATAGATATGTTAGTAGAGTACAAAAAGAAGTAAGTATTATATCACAGCTCTTCATTCATCCGTTCATGATTCAATGTAGCTGAAGAGTTGGCTTCTGAACCGTCAGCGGTCGTGGACTGGTCGGTGAGAGACTTCCTCTCCGCACCCTTCTCGACGGGCTGTTTGTCGCGGAGGCCACGCTCGGACCGGATCAAGGACAAAATGTCAATCCAGCGTTGTCCTTTGTCAAACTCCACTGAACCATCTTGCTGGAAAACATCAGTGTCTGAATTCCGGCGCTTGTTATGCAGGAGAGTTTCTGCCTCCATGTCCTGTTCATCTTGAACGGCAAGTGTCTCCCTTGGAGTCTCAACCGCTTCTGCATCGCTGATATGAATCGACTGCGCCTCATTATGATCCGCCTCCGAGTCTTCTTCAAATGAATCGCTCGCGTGGCCGTTCTCAGAAGGCTGCTGTGATGCAAATGCAGAAGGATCTCCCTTCTCAATCACTGCCTCGTCATCCAGTGTCTCAAGATCACCTGATTCCGTAACAATTCGGGACTGGCCTTCGACGCCGAGAACACCACCAGTCCACACAAAATACTCATATGGTTCCATAGTAGCCGTCTTGTCACCACGCTCTTCGCGGCGACGGAGAAGAACACCCTGAAATTTGTCTCGAAGATAGGGCATATCAGCAATCGCCTGGATAGTCTGTGGAGCGGCCGTATATAATGCCCTCAATTCGGCGCCACCGTCAACGATGCTCCTTTCGCGGAAGTCAAGTAAGGCGGAACTGAGATAGATCATAGTGATGTACGTAGGCTGCATGAAATCGGGTTGCACTTTGCTCCAGATTTTGCGCCCGGCTTTACCCAGATATCCGCGAAGGTGCCCCCTTCGAGGATCTTCCACTTCATCGATTGTCGCAGGCACTCCTTCTGGTCTGACGCCAAATCCTTTACGAAGAGCCCTCCACCCAGGGAAATTAGGCATAAACTTCTCTTCGAAAATGGTGAACGCCTTAAACTGGTCAGAGCTTCTCTCGGAAGTGGTAAGCATCTGCACATAGGTAGACCAGTTGTGGGTCGTTAAGGAAAACCCGGCGCTCTCGATATCCGCGATGACGTCCGAGATTTTCCGTGTCTGGTTTCGATAAGCCAAGGATCTCATATATAGAGACAGGCATCTTGACAGTATGAAGCGGCGTGACTGCAGTATAGGTGTTGCCGCATCAGTTTCATCCATTAGTCTGGTTGGAGAATCCAGAACCAGTGTCCCTTGACTCTGAACGGAGCCAGGCAATGAAGGTTGAGGGGGCTGCTGAGGCGCTTCTATTGTTGGCCTCGTCTTCGGAATCCATGATTCAACGGCCGGGCGCTTAGATATTTCCAGAGCTCGTTCCGAGGCCATCTTCCAACAGTCCTCAACCTTGCTATATTGCCCGGCCTTCAAGTGCGCGAACATCAAAGAAGAAAGTAGACGAAGTGGAGGGGCTTGGTCGGCTTGGCCTTGAGTGAGAGCGGGCACGACCGTGTTGTATTCGTCGAACAATTCCTTTACCCTATCCATGGCTCCTGCCGCACCGTATGCCGTGATGATATATTCATAGTACATGGAAGGGAATGCTTCTTTGATAGATAGCCTAGTCGACCCGTGCTGCGGATGCTTTGAGACCAAACTGTTCATGTCGTATTCGGCAATGGTCTCTGCCAGAAAAGCCTCGGATTTCGCTAGACGTGGCTTCGTACCATCTTTTGATCCACGACCTTCCCTGATCAATTGCAAGTCACGTTCGATGACACTCTTGAAAGCTAGAAGCCGCGAACTAACCCCAGGCTTCTCAAAACGTTCAAGGATCTCACGATAGATGACATATACCATGTCACGGTTCCTGGCTTTCACATATCCAAATAGGACTATGGCGTAGTGAAATTCAATGGCGTGCATGCGGTGACTCTGATGAAGAGTCCTCAAAAGACGTCGAGCAGAGTCAGGCCTTCCGATGACTACTAGGCTCAGCATAAGAGCTGCGTAGGTCATACCATCAGGCTGAATACCAGCTGCTTGCATGCGAGACTGGATTCTTGACATGGATATCAGGTCGGCTCTACACGCGTAACTCCATAAGAGCATGTTCCACATCCGAACCCGTGACCCCGTAACATTCAGATCCAGACAAGCCTCTGCCACAGTTTCTGCATCTTCTAATTTCTGGTTATTGCAGCAAGCCTCGACTATCGTGTCGATGAGAGGGGTCGTAATTTTCACTTGTCGCTCCTTAGCAACTGTAAACAGGTGGAGAACACCGTCCAGATCACCCTTATTCGCGCAGAGTCCCATCAATGTCCCAAAGCTGTGAGAATCTGGTTCAACACCGCTTTCCAGCATACGCTCAAATGTGCGGAAAGCACCGGCAATATCCCACGCATTTGCAAAGGCCGTAAGGACGATATTCCAGCACACGGTGTTGGGCTGCATGTCGAACTCCTCGGATATTCTTCTAAATTCGCGCAGTGTACTGTCCACCCTCCCGGATTTGGCGTGTACATAGAGCAGTGGGGTCAGAAGGAATCGGCTTCGGGGGTTTCCGTGATCTTTTAACAGTCGTTCGAAGACCTCGTAAACGTGTTCAACGTCGCTAACTCTAGCGAAAGCCAATAGTGCCTGTCTGTAGGCCTCAATGTCGGGTTTCCCATAGAGGGCCGCGTATTCGTCAAGCAAATAGAGAACGCTCTGCGAAACTTCAAAGGAAGCCAGTATTCTTAGCATCTTTCTTAGGAGTTTCTGAGGAGGTTTTTGATCAGGGATCAGGAAGCGGAAATTCCTATAGACAACCACTGATTTCACGGCCGTCGACCGGACCTCAGCCAAGAGTAGAGTCTCTATAGCATCAAAGTAGTGAGTGGGTTTGAGGAGGTCTAACTGCTTGAAAACCCGGTTCAGTTGCAACGTCGTCTCTATGGCCATGTTTCGCATCATATCGGGCGACTTGAAGAGAAAAGTGAGTAGGAACTGAGCTAATGATGCGGCTTCGCCGTTCTCATTACCATCCCCTTTCTCTTTAAGATATTCAGCATACGCCAAAACCAAACGCGGAAGCTCTGGCGAGAAGTGAAGCTCGGACAGCGCAGCATGTGACGGGTTATGTTCTAATTCATGAGGCCGAAATCCCCATAAAGCCAGCGCCTCTTCCCACCTCCTTGTCTCGACGAAGAAGGTAAACGCGATGGTCCATGACTGAGTTCCAATTCCCCTTGACATTGCTTCCTTGCATATGTTTCTTACATCCGTATGATCCCCAGAGCGCAACAGCGACTTGATCATGTGCGTGTAGGCCTCGGGAGGACGGTCGTTCAGCGGGATCCTGTCGAATAGTCGTCTCATACGTCTTCGATCGACTCTCCTTTCTGAATTGCTCAGGTATAGCAGAAGATTTGAAAGTAATTCCGGTCCTTGTCCCGAGTTTGCATAGAGCCTCCATGCCTTGTCATAGTCTGGAAGGGAGTTGGCACCTAGGACCTTCAGCAATTCCGCTGTCTGCTTTTCCTTGTCATCTTGGCTCTGGGGAACAGCGACTTCCGCGTTTGAGAAGGGCTTTGGGATATCTTCGAGAAGGTGAATGGCCTCGGAAGTGTAAGGTCGTACCACGTTTGGTATCAACTGTCTCCTCTTCCGCACCGCAACTCGTCTTCCCGGACGTACCAGCCAGGAGGCTGCAAAGTCTCGCGTCCGTGGAGGGTACAAAAAATCCAAAAAGGGACTATTCGCATCCTCGGAAGCAGAGCTCGGTCGTTGGGCAGACCTCAAGACGCGAGGCGAACGTCCTCCCGAACCCTGGATAGGGGTCAAGGACCATAATGAATAGTCTGGCTCCGTAGTTTTATAATTCCAGAAGCGCGGGTGCAGCGATTTTCGACTGCGAATTGGCCCACTGGAGTCCCGGAGGAGACGCTGCCCTGCGTTCTCGAGACATCCGGAAGCCCGCTCGAGCATCACCCTCAATTGCTTGCAGCTTCAAAGCGGGATCACCGAGATTGAGAAACGGCGCACAACATATCGTGTTCTAAACTCTAGTATGGTGGCCTCAATGTCAGCGGTGGTCGTGGGCGGTATTCCGTTGAGACCAGTCGGGTGGTACGGACACCAGAAAATGCCAACAGGCCCACTTCGAGATCTGTTGGGCTTGCGAGATAGAGGTAGAGGGAAAAAACAGTATGGGGCAGGTAACTGTCAGCAGAAGACTCAGCTAGACAGCTTTGTCTCACGCCGGTGATGCTGCTGTTGGTAGCTCTGAGATGTTTTCCGGCGACAGTAAGCTCGCGGAAGAAGTTCCACCAAAAGATCCTGCGGAAGTGATGGACTGGTCGGCTAATTAGTTTGCCCGAGAACTGACCACCACGCCAGAGGGACAACACTGCACCACAGGCCGGGACAGACATCAGATCCCGTTTTCAAGTCCCCAGGCCACTTCAGCTCCAAGGAGGCTTCATCCTCGAATTATAGGAGCCATGGAGATTACCGATTTCATATATTCGCGGCGACAACAGGCGTTTTTGGTTGGGGATTACAACACTTACCGTGCGCAAACCACCCGCCGACTGCACACCGTCCGCAAGAAGCTTGCGCAGACCACACCCAAAGGCCGCAAGTACACAGCCAAGCCTCCAGTGACAGCTGAAGATGTCGCCAGTAACGTAGCGTATGTACTTGTGATGTGCCATTCGAACGTGCAAAGTGCTAATTTCCCTGCGCAGTTATGTTCATCTTCTGCTGCTCAGTTCGGAGCGGGCATGGGCCAATGCGATGTATATGAAGTCAGTTCATTCGGCAGATCCCTCAGCGAAAGGAATTGCCGGTGCCACGAGACGCCACATCATTACGCGCCTACACAAGGCGAGCGGCTATGCCTCCCAGCTTGTGACTCTGCTTCAAGACCATCCAGCTTCTCACGCGAGCGACATCGACCTGCTCGAGGCACGTGCATACCTGGCATCGATCTCAGGCGCACTGTGGTTCGAAAAGCAGAGATGGGAAGAGAGCATTCAAAACTTCTCTGTTGCCCGAGTTATCTACACACTGCTGAGCCAAAAGGACAAGAAGGATGCTTATCGGGAACTGCTCTCCGGCACCATTGACCCGAGTATCCGCTACGCAGCGTATCAGCTCAAGCTACCTCGTTCCAAGGCCGTTCCATCTCTAGCCATCCAGTTCTTTCCCTCCAGTGGAGATGCTCGCGCTGAGGTTGAGAAGATCGACCCAGCTTGCCTCAGCGAAGAGGGAGTGGGCGCGAAACGAACTACTGACGGAGAGATCCAAAAGCTGCCTGAGAGCATCACCTGGCGCAACCGGACCGTTCCAATTGAAGACGCATCTATATCACAAGCTCTAGCAGCTACATCTGAGGCTGAGTCCCGTCTGTCTGCCTGGCTTACAGGTGCCGGAAAGTCTGCTCTTCCTAGAGACAAAGCTGCCGCCTACGACAGCGTAATCAGTGCGAGTCAGGATACAGTGGACGCTACAAAGGCTGCAATTGATGAACTTGCCGGGGAGGGGGTGGAACTAGGCGACAAGAGAATGCAAGCTCTGCAGATTACTCGGACGGCCGTCAATTACGCTCTCATCGGGTGGAGAGTCGGGCGCAACCGTGTCCTATGCGGCGACCAAGACGGCCTGCACTTTGATTCTGAGCAGACCAAGACCACCAAAAGAGGCAAGGGTGGCGTGAAGAGGGAGGAGCGGACTGGGAAGAAGCTGTCCAAGCTGCGAGAGAAGGTGGCTCTGTACGACTCGACTCTCCAGAACTTGGATATTGTCCAGGAACTGCCCGGTGTCGCGGGTGACGCTGATTTCGTTCGTGAGCTGGAGGGCAAGCGGTCCTATTTCCGGGCTTTAAGGTATGATATCCCGTGCTTATATGAGTCCTTGCCAGTTACACTAACTTGAAGCTATAGATGCCTTGCCATTGGACGCTCTCACAGTATTTTGGAGAGACCAAAGAATGCTCTCGCACTATTTGCGCGGGCTCTTGACTTGGCTTCCACTTCACTGTCAGCACAACAGGCCGCTCCTGAGGTTGACGGACCACCGCGGCTTGACATTTCCTCTCCGCAAATCCAAGCAGTGGGGTCTGTCCTTCGGGGTCTGGTGGCACAATACCGCGGCTTGGTGACGCTAGAGAGGCTGTCCGGATCAGAAACAGCCGGATCAGGTGCTTATTCGTCTGTCCTCGACTCCATGAACGAGTACACCGCCGACACGCTCGACCTGAACAACATCGTGCCTTATCCGCCCAAGATGCAGCCCATTCCGGTCAAACCTCTCTTCCTTGATGTCGCATTCAACTATATCGATTACCCTCGCGAGGGAGCGGCTGCGTCACGACAGGCTGTCGCAGAGACAGCTGCACCGGAAGAAAAGAAAGAAGGACGACGTGGATGGTTTCCCTTTGGCCGGTAATCACAGTAGCCCTGTTACGCTGTCTACTTCTCACCATGTAGTTGTTGCATCATGAAGGAGATAATGAGACGGTATGGTCGAGGTTTGCGTCTGTTATGATAACTAGATGAAAAAATATGCTTCGATATCCCAATGAGTTGTATCCCCAGTTGTCCTTTGCCCAGATCAGCGCCTAGTTATTATTATTAGTTATAGAGTATACCAGACTCGTCGATGATCATAACTTGTCCCTCCACGTGCCGCCCGGAGCGGATTGTGGCGGCCTCAGGCAGTTCTTGGCACCCACAATAATAACCCTAGATAGATAAGAGTATTTACTCTGCTTCTCCTCCTTCCAGCCGCCTCGGATGTTGGTTCTCCTGTCTTTTATCCTCCGTCCAAGCCTCAGATTCACATCCCACCCGCATTGCCAGACAGTGCAACCGGATCCGTGACATCCGAAGATCTCTGGTGATACAGTCCGCCAGGCACAACGCGTGGATTACTCTAGCGTCCAGCCCCCACGGCTTAGGCGGGATCATCCAAGCGCCTCCCTGTTTGGTCCGGTGGATTCCCGGGGCTTTTCATTTCCACGACGGGTCCCTCCTTTTTCGCTACTTGCGCTGCTGTCTTAATATTTCTTACTTATTTCATATTTCTTCTCTCCCGCCCATTCGTCTCTCGCTCTGTCATTGCCTGTGATTCTTCAGGTCTTTATCTGCCAGCGTCCATCGCCGGGTTACTCTGAGCCCTGAACCTGGACCTTGGCGTACCCCTTGCCGGTCCCGAGAACCTCCTCCTGGACGGACACCATTGATCAACAATCCATTCATCATGGCTCAAGTCAACGGGAGCTTTGCCTCCCCGTCCGCGGATGCGACCATCACGGCGCAGCTGGCTGATCCGTCGACTCTGTTGAAGACCATCTACAATGGCTTCACGGGCTGGACGGCTATCCTGGCCTTGATTATCGCCGCTGTCGCATATGATCAGAGTACGTAACGCTCCTGATACGATGTCTGCGCATCCGCAGCTGTGCAGCAGTAGGATGCGCAGAATATCACTGCCATTGAGTTGACTGAGTCTGTTCCGGGAGCTAATGCACGTTCATCACTATAGTCAAGTACATCTGGCTCAAGGGTTCCATCGTTGGACCGGCCATGAAGATCCCCTTTATGGGCCCATTCCTTCAGTCTGTCTGTCCCAAGTTCCATGAGTACAAGGCGAAATGGGACAGCGGAGAGCTCAGCTGTGTTTCCGTCTTCCACAAGTAAGTAGACGCGACGCCTCGACATTTCTCATATATCCGACCTGGTCTAATAGCCAATCAGATTCGTCGTTATCGCTTCGACTCGCGACATGTCCCGGAAGGTCTTCAATTCGCCCACCTATGCGAAACCCTGCGTGGTGGATGCCGCGCACAAACTCCTAGGCGAGACCAACTGGGTCTTCCTGGATGGAAAGGCCCACGTTGAGTACCGCAAGGGACTGAACGGTCTGTTCACTCGCCAGGCTATCTCTCTGTACCTCCCAGCAATGGAGCAGGTCTATGACAGCTATTTCAAGTCGTTCATCGAGAAGTCCAAGGGGAACAACTACGAGCCCATCCCTTGGATGGCTGACTTCCGTGAACTCATGTGCGCGCTTTCCTGCCGCACCTTTGTTGGCTACTACATGAGCGACGAGGCGATCAAGAAGATCGCGGACGACTACTACCTCATCACTGCCGCCCTCGAGTTGGTCAACTTCCCCATCATCCTGCCGTACACTAAGACCTGGTACGGCAAGAAGGCCGCTGATATGGTCATGGACGAATTCGCCAAGTGTGCGGCTAAGAGCAAGGTTCGCATGGCCAGTGGTGGTGATATCACGTGCATTATGGACGCCTGGATCAAGGCCCAGCAGGACTCTGCCAAGTATCGTGAGAAGGTCGAGAAGGGTATCGCCGTCGATGACTCTGAGAAGCCGCCCATGGTTCTGCGTGACTTCAGCGACTATGAGATTGCTCAGACTATCTTCACTTTCCTGTTTGCGTCTCAGGATGCGACCAGCGCCGCTAGCACCTGGCTCTTCCAAGTTATGGCTGACCGCCCTGAGGTCCTTGACAAGGTCCGCGAGGAGAACCTCCGCGCCCGCGGTGGCGACCGTAACGTCAAGCTTTCTATGGATCTCATGGACAACTTGCCATACACCCGTGCTGTTGTGAAGGAGATTCTTCGCTACCGCCCTCCTGTCATCATGGTTCCCTACATGGTCAAGAAGGACTTCCCCATCACCGAGAACTACACCATCCCCAAGGGTTCGATGATTGTTCCTTCTGTGTGGCCTGCAACCCATGACCCAGAAGCCTACCCGGAGCCTGACACCTTCAACCCTGACCGTTGGATCACCGGTGACGCCGAGAAGCAGACCAAGAACTGGCTCGTGTTCGGTACTGGTCCCCACTACTGCTTGGGTCAACAGTATGCTCAGCTCAACCTTATGGCTATGATCGGCAAGGCCAGTATGCACATGGACTGGGTGCACCACCCCACTCCGCAGTCGGAGGAAATCAAAGTGTTCGCCACTATCTTCCCGCAGGTGAGTCTCCATCTGTCTTTGTCGCTAATTGCATGGAGCTAACAATATTCAGGATGATTGCCCTCTTGTCTTCCGTCCTCGCGAGTAAGTAGTTAATGCCGGTTACGAAATGAAACGCTGGGCAGGTCGCTTAGTGCAACGACACTTGGCATGACTGTGATTGCAACTTAAACCGAAAATCATGGGTAGAGAATGGAGCAGATGGGCCACTAGAGACATGTGCTAGCCGTCTGTCTGCTCTGCTCATCTGTCCCGGAGATAGAATTGCAACGATTTGCTTTTCTTCAAACAGCCCACGGGCTATTCCACGCCCACCCAGCGCAAGTCTGGATAGCGTGCGTTTCTTCTTTATCCATTGACACTCCGAGATACCCTCCGCTGAACGCAATGACGATCGGGAGGGCTCCGAAGCTCGAAGACCGTCAGCGAAAATGGATATCACAGCAGCACGCGTCGGACGCCGAATGCTGCTGCTGTTGATTTAGGGTTATGGACTTACGGGCGGAGTAGAACATGTATATGACATAGACGTAATTATAATAACAGTTCCACCTTTTTTTTTTTTTTTTCTTCTGGTCATTTTCACATAATTTGGTCTTTTTGACTTGAAAAATAATAATCAACATACAATTGGTTCCAATTTACTACTTCTAAGCCCTCTTTCTGTGCGGTCACTGCTGACATCATCCGAGGTCCGCCAGGCTTAGCTTAACTTAACTATGATTAAGTTACTTACCGAGCGGAGAAGCAATGTGCTCGCAATCTTTCAATCTAACTCGTCTTGTCTGTCCTTTTTCTAAAGCTGACTCTGTCCCTAACCTATCATTGTGAGTAGTCAAATTAAAATCACGCTCACATCAATTGACCAAAAGCACCAATGTCCGCCCCTCGATCTTTCACGACCCTGGCGTCCCGCGCCTTGGTCCGGCCGACCACTCCACGCAATGGCACTATCTCAAACGTCCTCTGTTCATGCCAAAGAGGGTTAAAGAGCGCGGCGGTCCCATCACCAGCTTGGGCTCTGCGCGTCGGACGCAAGAATGAGCAGATCTCATTTGTTCAGAGGACGTGGACGTCGCGGATGAACCAGCTGCAGCAAGTCCGATGGCAGAGCCAGAAGGGTGAAGGAGACGCACCGGAATGGAAGCAGTGGGGATTCGAAGATGTACGTCGTCTCTTTTGATTCTGTTCTATTCTATCTATCTCGTTACTTTGATCTCATGAGTAATATACTCTACAATTTTCTTTCTCTATATAAAGAACTAATCGTTGAAATCAATTTTGTACATACAGATCAACGCCGCCCTTCCCCGCCGGGATGCAATCCTGATTGACGTCCGCGAACCCGTCGAACTCTCTTCAACCGGCATTATCCCCTCTGCCGTCTCGATCCCACTTGCCTCCCAGCCCGACGCTCTATTCCTCACTCCCGAAGAGTTCGAGACCCGATTCGGTTTCCCGAAGCCTGGAGTTTCCGAAGAGGAAGCCAAGCGAAACTTGGTATTTTACTGCAAAGCCGGAGTGAGAGCCCGCGCTGCAGCCCAGCTTGCTGCGCAGGCTGGTTATGATCCTGCCAGAATCGGAGTGTATGATGGTAGTTGGCTTGATTGGGCTGAGCGCGGAGGAAAGGTTGAGAAGTGGGAGCCGGAGGAGTAACTTACCTACCTACTTACTTACTTACTTACTATCTAGGCGGGACTACTCGAGGGTATTTATTGGTAGCAGTTTTGACATCAGGCTATAGTTCTGCGTGCTTGCTTGTTGCGGTTTGTTTGTATTATACTTGTGTGTTAGAAATCTCTTGTGAAAAGATGGTTAAGAAGCATGCCAATATTCCGTTGGTTGTTGTTCTTTAGTTTAAATCGATACCAATCACTATGTGGTGTGGTCCTCATTATAATGATATTCCACTAGATCAGGTGAGAGTTGAATTAGCGGTAATCCTTTTTTCTTTATACTTCTACTCCGCATCTCTTCTTTTTCATCGCATTTTCCGCGTATTCCAAATATCTGCTTGATGCTGATGGGGAGATACCCTCGGCCATAAAGGCTGGGTGCTCAACCGACTTCGAAAAGCTTAGTTCGTCAATCTGGCACGACAAGGAACAAGTCGATAATGTATTCTGGACCGTGTATAACCGCAATATGGGAAATTTGGTGCTTCATATTGATATCAATATGAGATACGTAGATGTATGTACATACATACCTTCCTTTTGTGCTTGGCGGCACCCATATACTTCAATTTCCAATATTCCCTTAGAAGCCTAGCCTGTTTCTCAAAGGCAATATCAGCTTCCTCTGTTTTACTGTAGTCACTCTTGATCCTATGTCTATAACTGGGATTTTGTACAGTTGAGGCTAGTAACAACCCGCCGAGATCTCAGAATGAAGATGGAATGCTGCTTTTCCCCTAGTCTATTACGGCACGATAAGTATACTATACGCGCTTGGACAAATGCAAGTCAAACATCTCAGTTACAAACGACTATACGAAGAAGACATAAAACGGGTCCAAAAGGAACAACCGCAGAAACGAAATGAAGAACAGGAAACGCCAGAAAAAAAGGAGCCAGAAGAGAAATGGACATGGATCCTCCTGCAGATGCACCCGTCATGGTTCGTCCTTCAAACTTCCATTATATCGTTATTTTGATCATGCTTCATATGTCATTCAAACTTTTTTGGCTCTAACTTTTCCTCGTCATGACATCCAGCATCCATGGTGCATTATGTTGACCGCAGAGAACCATTCGCAGTGGTCTTAAATTGTACACGATGATGTTAGAGTGAACCCGATCATGGGATATCGAAGAGGGGCTTCATCTTCTTGATGAGTGCCCACTCCTCCATAGAGACATCCGGACGGTAGAACTCCTTCAAAGTATCGATACTGGCACGGGAGATCTGCGAGTAGAGAGTATCCGCCTCGTCTAGTTGACGTCCGTACATGGGCTGGTTCGCTGCCTCTATCTTCACGGCCACCGCGGGCTGGCCCTTCTTACACAGCTGGATCTGCTTGTGCTCACGCTCGATTGACACACTGAGATAATGTTAGTACATGATTTCGCGGCATAAGGCGGGGGGTTATGAAACTTACACTCTGCCGAGAGGGACAATCTCCTTGGCACCGGCAGCGTTAGTCCGAACAGCCGCAATTGGCGTCAATGTTCGCAAGCTTCCTTCGACGACATCAACACCAATGACGATCGGATCCTTCTTGTTGAACACAGCAAGAGTCTTGAGGACACAAGGGAAGACGGCAAGCATCTTGCTTTCCTCCTTTCTCTTCTCGGTGATATCTGCCATGTGCTTTGTAAAGTCATCGAATAGGTGGTAAATGATATCAGCTGTGAAGATCTTGACACCGATCTCGTCGGCGTAGGCCTGTGCTTCCTTGTCTACCTTCACGTCGAAACATAGCATGACTGCATATTCAGGAGCCTTGTCGAGCATGGTGCCTGCAAGCATGACATCACGCTTATAGACGGGACCGATGGAGATGTTGCAGACGGGGATCTTCGAAACCTTGAGGAACTCGAGCAGAGCCTCAAGGGAACCAAGAGTAGAAGCCTGGACAGTGACACCGCGGTTGTCCGTAGAAACCTTGGTGAGTAGGTTCTCCAGATCGGACATGACCTCCTCCTCGAGGTCTTCTTCGTCATCATCAGGTCCAACGACGAGAAGACGAGAACCAGCAATAGCATGTTCTAGATCGTTGGCCGCGATCTTGACACCGAGAGCTGCCTTTACTTCCTTGTTGTGGACATACTGCGACTTCAGACGAAGCTCCTTCAGCGGTGCAGGCGTCAACAACGCTCGGATATTTGTCGCTATAGGTCCGTTTATACCACACAGCACTATCCGATCACCTTCCCGCAGAATACCGTTTGATAGAACGACATCAATGGTGGTACCAAGACCTTCGATGACCTTGACCTCAAGAACGGTACACTCGACCTCGGACAGGTACATCAGAGCACCGGTCATACGCTCCTGGGTCAGCATCGTGAGAAGCTTCAGCATGTCAGGAATACCCTCTCCGGTGTGTGCAGAGGTCGGAACCAGTGACACGTTACGAGACAGTGACTTGTTCTCGTAGAAGAGCTCCGAGTTGAAACCCTGCTCGGCAAAGGCAAGCTTGATCTGCTCGAGACGCGTGCGGAACTCGTTCTGCACACCCTTGTTCTGCATGGCCAAACTCTCCTGGAAACCATTGTTATCAATCTTCTTCCAACCGTACAGACGATCAATCTTGTTCAGCGCGACAATGAAGGGAGTCTTGCGCTGTCGCAGAAGTCTCATCGACTCGAGTGTCTGCGGCTCCAATCCGTGCATGATATCGACAACCAGGATAGCAATGTTACAGAGCGAGGAACCTCTGGAACGCAGGTTGGAGAAGGACTCGTGACCAGGCGTATCAATGATCAACAGACCAGGGACCTTGAATTCAAACTTGCCATCCTTGTTGACGACAGCGGTCTTTTGACGCAGAGCTTCGACTGGGAAGTAAGTGGCACCGATCTGCTGCGTGATACCACCAGCTTCGCCCTCCTGCACATTGGTCTGTCGAATCTTGTCCAGCAGCTTGGTCTTTCCAGTATCGACGTGTCCCAGAATACAGCAAATGGGCGAGCGCAGGTTGTCCTTGGATCGAGCGGCCATCGCTTCTTCGTGCTGCTTCCTTCTCCGCTCAGCGGCTTCAGCCTTTCTCTGCGCAGCGGCTTTCTGGGTGGCAGTCTGCTCCTCATCGGATTCAGACTCGGTTTCAGACTCGGACTCGGACTCGTCTGACGGTTTGGCAGCTGGCTTCTCCTTGGCTTCTCCATTGGTTGTGGGCTTCTCTTTGGCTTCTTTCTCCTCGTCAGACTCGGCGTCCCAGCTGTCCTTGACTTCATCTTCTGCATCAGCTGCCTTCTCCCAGTCCTCGACCTCACTTTCGTCCTGGGCAGCAGCAGCAGCAGCTTCAGCCTCTGCCTTGGCCTTTGCCTCTTCTTCTTTCCTCTTTCGTTCTGCTTCCTCGGCCTCCTTGGCTTCCCGCTGGGCCTTTGCTCTGGCAGCGGCAGCCTCGAGGTCGTCCTCCTGCTTCTTGGGGCCCTTCTTCTTCTTCTTATTGTCAAAGACAGGCTTCTTCTTCTCTTCAGCCGTCTTCTCTTCCAAGCCAGCAACTTTGCCCACACCAGCCTCAAGCATCTGCCTCATACGCAGCTCATTGCGCTCCTTGGCCTCCTTCTGGGCCTTTGTGAGAAGCTTTCCTTCCCTTCTGAGCTGCTCCTTCCTCTCCTTCTCCTTCTCCTTCTTGCGCTGACGAGCTTCTTCTCTCTTTCGCTCTTCCTCTGCCTCAATCCTGAGCCTCTCCTCCTCGAGGGCCTTCTCCTCGGCCAGACGGCGGGCCTCATCCTCCTGCTGCTTTCTCAAGAGCTCCTGTTGTTTCTGAAGAGCAGCCAGCGCCGCTGGGACCTTCCTCTTCTTGGCGGGCTCTGGAGCGGCTGCAGCTGCAGGGGCAGCAGCAGGAGTAGCTTCTTTCTTCTCCTCCGCGACAGGCTTTTCGGGTTCGGCCTTAGCCGCAGGACCGGCAGCTTTCTTCTTAGCAGCCTAGGGAGAGTCATGGTCAGTACCTACGATATGAAGTCGCCAGTGGGCGTGGAGAGAACATACCTGTTCCTTTTTCCGCTGCTTTTCACGCTCCTTCTTTTCCTTTTCCTTTTCCTTCTTGGACTTCACCTTTAGTTCCTCAGTGGCGGCCTTGGGAGCCTCCTTGGCAGCCTTGCCCGCAGGCTTCGCAGGGGTTTTGGGCTTCGCATTTCCAGCGAAAACATCGTCGTCGTCGAAATTCCCTTCCTCGGGCTCCTTGCTGGCAAGGTCGACGGCACCGTTGGCATCCTGCGTGGGATCCTCACCCTCGACCCAATCGTTCTCTGGCTTTCCCTTCTTGGCCTTCTTGGTCTTGTTCTTTTTCAGAGCAGCCAGGAGACCACCGCCACCTGCAGATTCCTCTTCCTTGGGCGCATCCTCCGCCGGCTGCTGATCAGCCTCTCCATTTGTAGGGGCAATGGATTCACCCAGTTCCGCTTCCCAGTCGTCCTCCTGCTTTCTGCCACCCTTCTTCTTAGGTGCCATCTTGTCGGACGGTTAAACCTTGGTTTATAATGAAAATCTGCGATGCAAAATCCGCAGAAAATTATCCAGTCGCTTCTATCAACCGCTCAATACGTGGCGACATGCGAGGTCTGCAGGGAATATTGCGGGTTTTGTGGGTAGTGCGACCTGCGGCGAAACGCGGAGAAACAGAGCTTTTTTGAGAAACCAAAATCCAGGGCCAAGCGACCGCGAGAGTGGAAAATAAAGAAACAAAATAGAAATGAAAGGCTAGAGGGAAAAGAAACACAGGCCCTCTTTTGTATACCTTTCCTCGGAATAGGTGAGTTGATAGGATTGATTCCGGAGAGGGGAAAGGATGTGAGAATTTTGGCTTGGAAGGACGTTGTTGCTTTTTGGCGGTGGTGGGGAATAAATCGCCTGTCGGGTGAGGTCACTGGCTGCTGCTGCTTCTCCGCCGGGTCGTCGAGTACCATAGACCGCGTTGGTATTGATGGTTCCAATATACCTTTTGCCACCTGTGCAGGGCCATGTATATTATTTAACAGGCATGTTCTCAGTTCTATCGTATACTATCTGTGGCTTTACTATATATTGAAGGAACTTTTGGAATTCTTGTTGTAGTGAATATTTGACTTCTTTGACGTTTCACTGGTTTTATATATTCACTCAAGTCACTACTAACTACTACTATTGATACCTACCCTACCATCTTGCAGACTGCTACTCGAGGATATATCATGGGAATCCAGTTACCATGTCCTATGTCAAAGAAAAAGCCTGGAAAAGAACTCGTTGTGATGTGAAATAATGCCATGCTTCGTTCCTTCTCGCTTATAAAAAGATAACCCGTGCTACAGCTTCTACTGTTAAAGTAGAGAAAAACTTTTAGTCGTCCTAATAACAATGTCGAATGCAGGACCCAAAAAGGCCAGGGAAAAATGGAAGAAAAAAAAAGGGGAAAGAAAAAAGAATCAAGGAAAGCTTCCTTTCCCAAGTCATCCGCGTAGGCAGCGCATAACAAGGAACAAAAAGAAAATATAGACACCGCACTAGTAACTATTTTATCTCAGAGGTTGATCGCGAGTATATTCCTCAACCACTCGATTACGTTCTTGACGGGATTCTCGGACTCCCCGAAGACTTCTACAGCGAGGTCGGAAAACCGCTCCATTGCAGTGCTGGTCGAAGTTGTTGTGTTGCCAGTGCCGTGGGAGTCGTACTCTATCGATAACATCTGTCGGAGATAGTCGCTGCCGTGACTCAGGAGTCGGCTCAATATGTCACCATTCACATGCATGGTGGATGGCTTGGTCGTCGAGGGTTCGATCTCTGCGGGGATCCAGCGTCGTTTTCGGACCGAACCGAAGGGACATATTATGGGGTCTCTCATGCATATATTTTGCAAGAAGCGCAGGAGACGCCATTCTTTCTCCGTGAGGGTTGTGAGGCGGTAGACTGTCCCATCGAGAGCGGTGCCGTAGGTGACTGTAGCTGAGGGCGAAGATGAGATGGTGTGACTGGGGTTGAGTTTCATGATTGAGACTGGTAGATGGGCTTCCGCGAGCGGTGCTGGCATGACTTTATCGTTTGTTGTGACACCAATCTCGGTCAGAGCGCTGACTGTACCACCTCTGCTTGTGGCCAGAGTCAGCTTCGCTTCTCCTCCGATGTGGAAATGGGAGACACCCTCTCGTTTCACTCTGTCATGAGAATATAAAACCAACTTGTCATCAGTGATTTTGAGAACCACCAAGGACTCTCTCGAGGTCGACAGATACAGGAATGGCTCGTGGACACTGATCGAGACAGCCGGAGACGTCAATCTGTACCGGGCCGATCGAACCCATCTTTTTTCAGAAAACTTCGGCTCCAAGGGAACGATATCATAACCGGTAGCAACCATCAAGGTGAAATCACCGTATGGTGCGACAGCATGCACAGCACCTTCGAACTTATGGACATGTTTGACAACACACTCGATCTGCCCGGTGGCCCGGTCGCGCTGAGTTTGAAGGAAAATAATGCGCCCTTTCTCTTCCTGATGCTTGCGTGCCGTTCCAATAACGATAAAATGGTATTCAGCCCCATCTCTCTTCGGCATCCAGTCCAGGAGGCAAGTGATCTTCTCTCCTGACGCTCCAGAGGGCCTCCATGGCTGGCGGGCATCCAGGTCTCTCATAGAAGGTCCTGGATTCCTCACCTCTGGGTTTTGAGAATCAAGGTCTATGAATTCGATGGTTGGTCGCGAGTAACGCTTGATAGGGTCCGTTTCCGTGTCGAGCTCCACAAGCGTATATGACACAACCAGACTGTTGAGATACTTCGAATATATCAATCTGTTGGCACTTCCTGGGAGATGAATACGGCGAGGGACAGGTCCCGCATTCTTATCTAGGGTACAAATCAAGAGTTGTCCCTCACTGATGCAGACAAGTGAACCGGCGAGACTATCGGGTCTGGGGTCGTCCTGCGCATCGATCAAGGTCGCAACGTCTATGCTCCCTTGTAGGTAAGAAGGCTACAAAATGTCAGCAACGAAACGAGGTGATTTGAGTCGCTGGAACTGACATTGCTTTGGTCTGTCACCCATATTTTCTGAAGCGTATAATCTCCGTCATTAGCATGTTTCAAATGCCAGAACTTGTCGCCACAGAGAACCAGAGCGAAGTCTTCTTGAGTTGGATTGCTGCTCAATCTGACAGTTGTCTGTCCAAGTCTCTGAATATGCACTTGTTCTATCCCAGAACATATAAAGATCAGCAGAAGCCATACGAGTTTGTGAAATGTTCATACCTATCTTCTCGACGCCGCCCTCTGCGCTGTGATGCATTTCCAGGGGTACTAGTATACCACTTCGGAGACCGCAAAACAATGTGCACCTTGCTTCTTTGCCTCCATCATCTGAACTGACCATAACTAAGCTTTCGATCGCTTTGGATGCTTCGATTTCTTCGGTGAGAACAATGTCGTGCTCAGACCATAGAACGGCATGATTCTCCTCGACACGGTATACGATAACTTTGCCATTTGCAGTGCCGACAAATACCAAGGAATAGGGACCCAGACTCTGTATCAAAAGAGAGATCGGCTCATGAGGAAACAGAAGTGGTTCACCAACCCGTTCCACTGTAAGAGCAGTACTGGAAGAAGATGCTTTACCGAGGTGGACAAATACATTATCATTTACCCGAACAGCGGTAGCAATAAGCGATAGTCTGCCACTAACGGCGGCAGTAATAACGGATTCATGGCTCTCATAACGGAAACAGTGGTCGAGGAGTTCAGTGCGAGGCGAGGTAAGGTTAATAGAATGGTTGGTCACCTGGATAATTACACCAGACGGCGTGCAACCCCCAGCTAATGTATGTGCAAAAAAGTCCAGGCCGGATTGGGACTCATCCATTGCATATATTTCCTCGCCCGTGTCTGTAGGAAGGTAAAGAAGTGTGGATGAGACCGGGTCTGAAGCTAGCAGGTACGTGCCACCTTCGACATTGTCAGACATGGTCCAAATGTCCCTCGTGCCCGACAAGTGGTCAAGCGGGATCACTAGACCTACCCGCGCTTCTATGCCATGTCGAAGTTCGACTATAGCTCCCTGGCCAATGGTGGAACCGGTGCAGGCAAACAGACGTTCATGGGATAGATTGCCTTTCGATGAAGGATGACGGCTTCGGCCAATGTCACTGGACGTAGTGTCCACTATGACAGAATCGATAACAGGTGCCCAGTTCAAGAATTTCTGGACACATGTCGGATGCTCTCTAGCCTTTTGAATAAAAAGTCCTCCATCACCCATATTACCTGCTACTAATAGAAGGTCACCACCTTGGAAGCCGATATCGAGAATGTCAAAGGCAGCATCCACATCACAGCCAAGCTGCCCTAGATGGGACTGGTGCTCAATTTCCCCATCATTTCCGATCTCAAGGTAAAATATCTTCCCATCTTCTCGACAAAGATATATGTCATCGTGCTTTTGGTTGTACAACCAGTTGCGGAAGGGTCTCGCCCATCTGGTCCACAGTGGGCAGCGTCGCAGCTCTTGATCAGGCCTGGGAAGTGGATACCTATGAGGTTGTTTATCCGCACGTGGATCGAGGATGTTTCGGTAGACCGCCATCGAAACAGTGGTAATAAGCATGAACGAAGTGGCCTTTGTCAAAGGCACAAGGATGGTTGGCAGTCTGTCTTCAGCAGGCAAGGGTCTCGTTGTTACCCGGGGATGCGCCTGTTTCAGGCTTCCAGTTGCTTCCCAATCGTAACATACGACTTGTGTGTTTTGATTTTTAGAGACCAACAGCAAAAGGATTATTCGATCACCATCTTCGGCCTTAGGGTAAAGGAAGTCCATGAATAGGATATCACCATCAACCCGGAAGAAACGCTCCTGTACGAGACAACTATGTTAGAATTTCTACACGAGGATGCTGCAATATGTCAAGCATGGGTTAACAGTACCTCTGAGATTGGATCTAGATTTCCTCGCATCATCTGCGACTGCAATGTGTCGGATGACCTCAAGATAAACACGCCAAAATAATCGGCTGAAGCAGCTACAGCCATTGCGCGCGATCTGGAAAATGTAAGTCCGAGGAATATTTCAAGTTCCACATGAGCTTACCTCGGATCAACTGCCACATGTCGACCAAATCTCTCCAGAGAACTCACATCACAGGGCAAAGGCCTTCGAAGATGTATGAAATGGGGATCCTTTACAGGCGACTTCACTGCGCAATAGAGGAAGACTAATTCCCTGGACTCCAGTGTGAGGACTAAAATCTGAGGGGGGAGTGCATCGTGAATATCTGAATTTTGAGAGGATGTTGCATTTCCAGCCCCCATCTTCATCTGAGCTTCCCATGTCAACTCTGTGCACGCATTGATGACTTTTGCAGCGATAATGTTGGAATCGAAGTCAGCCTTCGTTGTCACATCTTCTAGATGGACACCTAGGACCGCTTCCTTTAGATGCACGGACCGTTCCCCGACGAAGGCGACATCGTTGTGGAACTTGCTTCGCAGACGAGCAGGAAGAATCCATTGAACAATTGGACTTCGAATGACTGTCTGGGAGAGCAGTCCAACTTTTGGCCTTGGAGGTTCAGCGTCCCGGCGCAGATCAGGCCTCCGTGCGCGATCTTGGACCAGCAGGTCACTGATATCTATACGGCGTGTGGTCCACACGCCGTTTACCAAGTGTGCTGCTTGTAGAGCCATGACGCCGATGCCATACAAAACAAACACATGAATAGAAGACCGGAAATTTGACCGTATTTGACAATATTAAACGTTGGCCCCTCTCACGTGCCTTGGCAGCAAGCTTCGAGGGTGGCCTGAGAAACCCTTAGAAATGGGTCAGATGCACCAGAAAAAAAAAGAAAAAAATTGGTCAAAACAGGAGAAAGTAGGGATTTTTATCCCAGTCAATTCTGTCTCCAATCTTGATGAATCAAGTTTTTTCAAGTTGTGCTAGAACTTCATAAGCGGCCTGGTGAGAGGCAAGACTGTAGACGGACCATTGAGGTGCTCGGACACTGTCATGATGTGTTGCTGTATGCCCATGTGTTGCATGCAGTAGTTGGTGATGTGAAGACACTTAAAGCACGGGCGAGATCTAATAGAATGAAGGAGCTAGTACCCTCTCTGGGCAGGTCCCAAGTGCATCAGATGCTCGTGGTTGACCAACAGATATTCTCCTGAGGATAAGTATGGAAGGCCCCTGTCCTGAGGTCGGGTGTACGCCCTAAAGATTGGTATGCAGTGCGTGAGGAAAGCGATGTATGACCATCGGGCCGACAGGTTGTCCGGACGAGGAAACGGGCCGGCGATGAACGCAGGTACTGTAGAAGTGATCCTTAGTACCGCGTCCTCCTGTTATCTCGAACTAACTCAGACTCTCTGGCTCATCTTTTGTTGTAATCTGCTGTTGTCGTGATTGTGGGTAGTTAATCGGAGGTGGGCTGCGGGATGAGATCAGCAGCGTCGTTTCAACTTCCACATTGGCAGGGTCGATCTAATTGTTTCAACGCCCAGGCCCGTTGACGATAGACTAACGGCCTTGCAGAAGTATTTTAAAGCGATTATTATTGTAGGGGACCGGCTATTAACTACAGCCACTTCCGCGAGTGGGTAGTTGATGGTACGGCAGCCGTCACAGCCTGTAATTAATCTCCCGCGCAGCCGACGTGGACGAATCACGGGATGTCGACTCTCTCTCCAATCGTGGCAGCCGCGGAGCAGCGTCAGCGCTCGACCACGGCTCTGTAAACAGAGATTCGCTCCTGGTGCCGCGAGCCTATTTAATAATTGAGAGCCACGATCTGGCGTCCTTCTTTTTCTGTGCTCGGCAAGGAGTTGCTGTCATATTGCGGTTGGTAACATTGTTCCCAGAGCTGCTGCAAGGAGTAGGTCACTGGTACCGGCACAAGTCGACCAAAGGCCACGGAACGGCTGGGGAGAAAACCGAATGGCCACGCAGTGCTAAAGATTCTTTCTTCTATCTCTTGTCCGCTAGTCTCAATCTGTCAGTCTCTGTCAGTCAAGGCCATCTTGTTTCTGTCAGACTGGTGTCATTTTCCCGGTTGGCCAATTGCACCTGTTACGCTTGATCCCCGGTCTATCTATCCCCGCGCGACATGGAGGGGCAACCGCAAGACACATTCGTCTCTGGAGAGGAGGAGACGAGGCAGCAGCCGGTTTCATATGAGGCTTCGGAGACGTCCGAAACTCCAGAATCACCTGGAACTCCAGACCATGTAGCCGAAAAGAGGGAGCATATTCGTCGAGCATGTGCTGCACGCGATTTGGGTGCATTGGTCTCGTATGCTACTTCCGAAGGTGGCTTACTAAACGATGAACTTCGACGATCGGCTTGTACGTGATCTCAAGACTCACTATCAATTCCATACATCGTAACATCGTGCATACAGGGCCTATCCTCGTAGGAAGTGATCGAATTTCCGGGCGGGATCAACCCGCGTGGTCGAGCCTGCCACGCCACGTGGACGAGGACCAAGTCAAACTGGATGTGAATCGTTCGTTTGTATACTACCCAAACTGTCAGTATGCGAGCTTCTACGCATACAGAAAGAATGGCTAAATATTATCTACAGGTACGGTTAAAGAATTGGACGGTAAAAAGGAAGAGTTGTCAGACCTCATCACGGAGATTCTGAGGAGATACCCAATGCTGTGCTACTTCCAAGGTTATCACGATATCGCTCAAGTCCTGCTCCTGGTTCTTGGTGCGCAGGATGCTGTTTCAGCTTTTGCTCGCGTATCACTGTTCCGCATCCGGGATTATATGCTGCCATCATTGTCCCCAGCTCTCAAGCATCTTCAGTTGATCCCCGCAATATTGGAGAAAGCAGACCCCAAACTGCGCCGTCACCTCTCCGGGACACGGCCCTTTTTCGCGCTGGCAGCTACATTAACGCTGTATGCCCATGATATCCAGGAGTACGGAGATATCGCTCGACTCTATGATTTCCTCCTGGCCCACGAACCTGTTGTGGCAATCTATCTCTTCGCAGCCATCATCCTTTCGCGCAAGAAAGAGTTGTTCGAAATTCCGATTGATGAGCCGGAGATGCTTCATTTCACGCTCTCGAAACTTCCCCAGCCACTAGACTTGGAGGGACTTATTTCCAGTGCGGTGAAGCTATTCCATCAGTATCCCCCGGAATCACTTCCCTTCAAGGCTTGGAAGCAGATCCCACAATACAGTGTGTTGAAGACGTCGAGAGATCTTGCCACAGAAGGTACTCCGGAACAAGCAAAGGAGTTGTTCAATCTGCAAACTCGTGATATGAGGAGGGAAGAGCTCAGACAGAAGGCTGTTGGTGTGCTGTGGAAGTACAGGAAACCGGCCGGATCTGTGGGCCTTGCCATTCTCATTGCTGTTATCTCCTTCTGGATCCGCCGGAACGGACTCGACATTACGATTTGGAACTACATGGGAAAGTTCAGAGAGGCATTCCAAGACCTTCGATGAGCACCTGTATTATAATGCGGCGTTAGGGGCCTCACATATATCGGCTCTATAATATGTGATTCGTGAGGATATACCTACTCTTAGGGACATATGGAGCTGGGTGTCTGGTCATAAAAATGGTTTCGCGAGAGATATTTGGTCTTTGCTTCTAGATACCGCAGCATACTATGTACATTATAATCAAGAATTACTGTGACTCCATTTGTGACACGATAATGAAAAGTATTTAAGCAACAATAGGTTTTTTGTATGGTAGAACACTAGCGTAGTGATTATTGTTACTGCTGGGTCGGCTGTCCCCACAACGCGTGGCTGATGCGTGGCTCCAACGCGGGTGACGACTACCTGTACTCTTGCATCTCAGCAACACCCGCCAAGCTGTCACCATTGCTCGTTAACACATCGCCGACAGACACATCTCAATATGGCAAATCGAGGCTATGATGTGGTAGTCGGTGTCGATGCCGAGGTGAGATTCGAGCTCCTTTTCTCTATTCTCTATGACCCTTTTCACACTGACAATCAATAGGGAGACCTCGGGCATACCGACCTTCAAGAGGACCTTGAGTTCCACCCATCCAGTATGTCTCTATAAAACTAATGGTGGCAATGCCCATTCTCAGACAGATCTAACCATAGATTCTCTATCTACATAGATTTCGAAAACGACCAACGCAGCTCTAAAATCCAACCGGACTCCGCTCCCTTCTTAGGCGGAGGCCAATCCTCCCGCGGTGGTCGCCATAGTCGTACTCCCAGCGCCAGCGCACCCTCCAAGCTCCGTCTGTGGTCGATCCATTACTACTCGCAATTCTTCGACGTCGACACAAACGAAGTCATCCGTCGCGGTGCAGCAGCTCTGTACCCACGGACCAACTTCCTCGATGTTCTCGATGGTAATCCGGACCTGTACGGCCCCTTCTGGATCGCAACGACCGTGGTCGTCATCCTCTTCTTGACCGGTACGATCTCGCAATATCTGTCCAACACGAGTAGGAAGCACTTTGAGTATGATTTCCGACTGCTCTCTGGTGCGGCTGGCTTGATTTATGGTTATACTGGCGTTCTTCCTGTCGCGCTGTGGGGGTTCCTACGGTGGTCCGGTAGCACGAGCGCGGATCTTATCGAGGCCTGGGCGCTGTATGGATATGCGAATATTGTCTGGATTGCAGTTGCGCTGGTCAGTTGGAGTCCGCTGACGGCGCTCAATTGGGCCCTTGTTGGTGTGGGATTTGGCTGGTCTGTTTTCTTCCTTTTGAGGAATCTGTACCCCGTCATCATGGCGACGGATGCGAAGAGAAGTAAGATCTTGCTTGTTCTGGTGGTTGTCCTTCACGCGGGGTTGGCGATTGCGATTAAGATCCTGTTCTTTGCGTAAGTGCTCTTACCCTTTATTATACATGCTGTGTTCCCCCCTCGAGTGCTGACATGATACTTGCAGGCATGGAAGCCCCGTCTCCAAGAAGAACAAGGACCATGGCGACGATGACGATGACGACCACGACCACGATCATGATGACAAGAGGCGGATGATGATGTTCTAAGCGTGGGAAGTGAGGTGGTGGCTTTGTACGAGTACCAGTTACCAGTTATCCGGCGCCTAGTGTTATCCGTCATGGCTCTCATCCAAGTTGGAGGAGTTACGTAGTCTTGAGGCTCTGGAAGCATATTTTTTTTCTACTTCGTTACTCAATTATGTAGTTCATAACCTTTTCTCGAAATTGCTCGGTTTCCCAAAAGTCTACCCGGTTCCAAAAGAAAAGACTTATCATAAGATATAGTTATATTATCTGCGAACATGTTTACATAAATATTTATGAATCTGTTGCTGATTGCGACTTTTCTCTCGGGAGGAACTCTTTGGGGTTCTTTGAAGTGTTTTTTGAAGGACATTGAACTAGCTTTAATTTTTTTCCGCTATATCATCTCAACGCCTGAACCTCCCTTGCCGTCAATCGGGATACAAGATCCATGTCATCACGTCCCCACAAACAGTAGCACATCCGCAAGTAAAATAACGAAGCGTTTACTTCAGCTTCTTCTTGGGGCGCAGCTGGTTGGTGTGACCGCACTTCTTCTTACGGCAGTTGGTGGCACGCGGGGGGAGACGAGCCTGTATGGAAGACACGTTAGTTGATTGTTGCTGGTTGAAGATACGGAATCCGTATTGACGCGGGGAACGGGTATCGACGTACGTAGCACTTGCGGCAGATGGACTTCTCGCAGTTGTACTTGGAGGCCAGAGCCTTCAGGGAGGGCTCAATGATACCACCACGGAGACGGAGGACCAGGTGAAGGGTGGACTCCTATATATCGTAATTCATCCGTCAGCAATCTTGTCGCGAAAGTGAACCTTGCAAATCCAACTGTTCGTCCCATCTTCCCGTGGCTTATCCGACCACATGTCGTCCCAGCGCAATCCCTGTGTCCACCTCTTATCGCACAACCAGTTGCATCATCCATAGCCACCGGGAAGATCCTCCGCAAATCTCAAGTGTTCACAAGAAAGGGGACGTGGCAGAACTCGTCCATACCTTCTGGATGTTGTAGTCGCTCAGAGTGCGGCCATCTTCGAGCTGCTTTCCGGCGAAGATCAGACGCTGCTGGTCCGGGGGAATGCCCTCCTTGTCCTGGATCTTGGCCTTGACGTTGTCGATCGTGTCGGACGACTCGACATCGAGGGTAATGGTCTTACCCGTCAGGGTCTTGACGAAGCTATAAGTTGGCAAACGTCAGTCTCAAGTCTCAGTCTCACAGCCTGTCTTTCTATCTCCGTGTCGCCATTCCATTCTTCGGGATAGTGCGTTTTCGTTCGTTCATCGCGGGGACAAGGGAAAACACGTACATCTGCACTGTAAGACAGGGAAAAGCGACATGTTAGCACCTCTTATCTTCACACTGAATCCGGTCAATAATACGGTCCTGGGGCAAACGTACTGGTTGCGATATTCGTCCGTTGCTGGCTGATGATCGTTCGCTGGTCAGTCGTTGGGAACGGGTGACAATTTGAAGATTCTCGCTTAGCAGGGGCGAGCGGGTGGGTCGGAGGCGAAACATGCCCTAAGCCCTAACTTCTATTTCCGTCTGGTCGACTGCGGGTGGCTCGGATGGCTCCAACTGGGAGTATGTAGGCATTGTAGGGTTTACTTCTCCGCATTTATGCATTGCATTGAATTGACGCTAGTGCCAAGGTGATGGCAACTATAGAGAGACGTACAGAATACTTTCTACGTTACACATAAATTCCATCTCTTTCTAGACGTATTTGCTATCCTCGTATTCTTACCAATCCTGTTAATTGTAGTATTGTCTGATGACGATAAGATAAAAGAATCCATGCAATGCCTAGTACAGATCAAATCCCATCATCTTCTGGTGCAGAGAACTCCCGCTCATCCAAATATTCCAGATCACTCATATCTTCATCTTCCTCACCTAGACCAAACACACTAGTGCCAGCATCGGTCTCAGGATATTCTCCATGGTATTCCATTCTCCTCTTGCTATCCAACCATTGGTCAAGTCTTCTTTCTGTCTCGAAGACTGTTCTGACGAGTCTATGCAAAGACAGCCCTACGATCTTGGAGGCAGCTTCGTAGAAGGCCCTTGCTGTTTCTGGAAGATCACCTTCGGATCTGTACCGCTGATATAATTCACCAGGGCGAATGATGTCGTCTTCGCGACCTTCGATCTCTTCTTTGCTAAGGGCTTTCCTCGGTTTCAAAGCCCCCATGACCGTGTCTAGTTTCTTTTGCAACGGATCTTGATCATCCGTCATCGAGATAGGCTGTGGCTCGTCTTCGATACCGGTTCGGCCAGCGGGAAACATATCCGCTAGTGGATGCGAGGCTTTTAGATAGTTAGTTTCGAACTCACATAATGAAGCGATGGTGCAGTTCTTACTTCTCACATCGAGCCAGCTCTTCTCATACCAATCCATATACTCATCAAGCTGGAGTGTTGTCATATCAAAAACGTCCGTCTCGTTGACCAGAATCTCATTGCCTTTTCCAATTCTTCCACCTTCCGTTGTTCGAGACTCGAACTGTTTCTGAGCTTCTGCCCAAACTTTCCAGTTCATCCTTTGAGATCCTGGTTCTTTTGTTGATTCCGGATATCGTTCAACATCATCGAACGGGAAAAGAAGTTTGGTTGAAACAACAATTAAAGACATTAACTGCACTTCTGGCATCAGGAGATATGTAGCTTTATCCTTAACACTGGCTGGAAACTGAAACGTGAAACCTGTAAGTTTCTGTAACTGATTCACTGCAGGATAAATCTCAACTGTTCCTTGTCAGATTTTGTATCCAGAACGCATTATTTTTCATGGCCGAGAACACTTACTGGGAAGCGAGAGTTGTTTAACGTGGTTGAACAGGATAAGCGGCGAATTCAGTGGAGGAAAGGTGACACCGAATCTCTTGTTGTAGAGAAGTGCCAACTCAAGCACGAGTCTATGTAAGTGCTCTGCTTGTAGAAGGCGCTGCTACAAAGTCAGCAAGGATAGAAGCAGGTACCGTGGGAACATTACCCTCGTATCTAATGCACCAATGTATTCCTGAGGAAGACGGTCTCTCATTTCACGAGGAACTTCCCGGACAGCCCTGATAAAGGGAATCTCCTGTCGCATGGCGAATCTTGATGAGAGAACATTAGCGCATACGCAGCATGCCACATATCTAGGTAGTTTCCCTTACCTGTGGAGATCCGAAATACCAACTGGTAATCTAAGCAGCAAGGCTCCTAGGTAACATAACCCAAGTGTTTCAGCTAGAGTTGGGTTGTCTGTAACCTTGCCCCAACGCATTCGAGGCCCATCCTCGTCATCCTCGGCTGCGATGGCCTGAGAGCTGAAAATTTGCGCATCAAGCTCTGCATCAGAAGCAGTTTCGATCTTTTCAGAGAGCCTTTCCAGTCGAAGAGCCCAAAGATCTTTAACCACCGTCTTTTGGTTGAAAGGGATATTAGCAATTTTCGCCCGGGATTCAGAAAAGTGAAGACGGATAACTATGCTGACCTCGAATTCGGAAGGGAAACCCTTCTGCTGCACGAGAGCAAAACATTGCTTCCATAGGATTAACTGGTAAATCTGCAGGAACAGAGTAAAAGCGCGTCGACCACGATAGGCTGTATCGTGATGTTAGAAGATAATTACTAGCTTGTGATTGGATGATGCCGATGAGATACAAGAAAATTTCGATGCTCCATCAGGATGTAGACGTACTCTTTTGAGTCTTCTCTGCCGCTGCTTTCTTTATTCTGTTTATTTTACCCTGTGTCCCGAAGTCTTCAGGATCCTCCTCGACTTGTCGTCCCTATAAAGACCAAACGGATTAAGCCTCCCGTCAGCGTTGTCGATCTCTTCCAGCCATGTGCGACTGCGATGCATGGTGCACGTACCTCTTGCTGGTGACCACGCAGACAAAACCAGAGGCCATTATCAAGGTAATACCGTGTCTCACGACATCCTTCCTGTCCACATACCCCGCGCGTGACATACTCCATGCCGACCAGCGTGGTTCATGCTCGTGACATCGAGCCGGTAATTGCGGGGTCTGGGCTCCTCGGGAGATGAAAAGCCGCCTCCACCTGAAGGAACTTTTTCTAGACCTCGCTTGTTAAGTTGCAAGGCTATATTATTATTACATCGCCACCACGAGATCTATTTCAACTACGTCTCGCTTGAGTGGACCTGGTGAGGATATATATAAACTTTATAAAGAAATAAAATAAGGCCTACGCTCCAAAGATCAAGTAGTTATTAGGTATGAAATTTGACACGAATCGTCTGTATACGCTGAAATTTTTTTATTCGTTCGTCAAAACTATCGTGAGGTGCTGAACTCCAAACTGTTCTTCGGACAAGGCGTAATTATACTGCCAATCGAGAGCAATCCGTCTGTAGATCCAGCCCACATCTCGTGGCACATTGACCGATATAAGACAGGGACAAGCCAGCCGAGTATCCCAAGATCAAAAATTCCACGGAACGTTTCATGATCTCTGGGGTGGATTTTGACATAAGCACAATGAGAAAGTAGCTCAGTCGCATTACGTTTAGGCACCACGGGGAGCCTCCTTGGCATCGACGGCGATTTCCTCACCCATGGAGGTCAGGACAACGACGTCTAGGACCAGTCAGCAAATTGTATATCCAGGATCTAGAATAAGAGAACATACTAGTGTCCTTCTCCTCCTCACGGAAGAGACGGTTGATCTTCTCACCGACTTCACCCTCGGGAAGCTTGACGTCGTCCTTGGTGGCACCGGTGTCGTCCATGAGGGACAGGAAGTCATCGTCAGTGACATCGATCTGTCATAAGAGGTCAGTTGCTATTGCACAAAGGCACTCGTCCTCTCAAGCGTCACTTACGAGCTGGTACTCCTTGCGGTGGACAACGGGGACGTCCATGTTGTGGGTGGAGGGAGACAGATCTTCGAGCTTCTTGCCAGTGAAGATATCAATGGCAACGATGTGGACCTTGGCGTGACCGTGCTTTCCGGTCTTGGAGGTGGACATCTCAACGATCTTGCATGGGCGACCCTTGATGACAACGTGACCGTTCTTCCTCAGGGCAGAACACTGCATGGGGAAGGTCGTAGAGGCACCGGCATCGGCGCTCTCGAAGGTGTGCTCATGCTGTTTGATAGCAGCGACTGTCAGTATCCATATAGACTGAGATTGCTTTGACTTGTGTTGCGCAGACAGGGATTTTCCTCGCCGGCAGGTGAAGATGCGGGGCAGAATAGAAAAGAACCGTGCAGGTTGGACAGGGCAAGAAAGGAGCTTACCTGGGCGTCGTCGGCCATGGTGACGGTAATAGAGTCTTCCTGGTAAAAATCGAAAGACGGATGAAGAGAAGGACGGCAGATGAGCACGCAAGGAAAATTGGAAGCAGAGAAGGACGGGACGAGAAACGGGGAATTCGATGAATCGAGCGAAAAGGCAGTTTTTCAAGTCGCGCACTTTCGTTGTGGCGGGGTCTCAGGGCGCTAACACAATTTGGTGCCTTAGCGTTAGGCGTCTTATGTAAGCATCTCGACCGCCGCCGATTAACTAGACGTGCGGAGCTAGCAGGACAGGACAGCGAACAAGCTCCAGTTCGACTCTCACCAGCTCTCTGTTCTCTTCCATCTGCCGTTCCTGGAGACTGGTGGAGGCGAATTGGCCCGGATAGCTGTCTCATATTCATGCTTCCGGTTGCGCATCACGGTGCCTGGGCGGCTGACCGTGCTATCTGCTGAGGATGTGGCTGGATCGTCTATCTGGTCATTCAACGCCCTCGGGCTCTCCGTCTCCATACAATAACCGCAATTATTCGCCTCACTCGCGCAGACCCTCCCATCTTTCCCCTAATCCACCCTCGAATCGCCCAGGGATCAATCCGCGGTCATCCTCGTTGTCTCTATTATCTATCTCGAATGACTCCACGGCATCCCTCCCAGGTACTGCTCGCGCTTCCAATGGCGCGTCCCAGAAACAAGGAACGTCCAGTTCACGTCCACCCGGTGTACCAGATCCCATTGACGTGCTGAATGCTATCATTGGAAAACGGAGTGACGAGAGTGGCGGAACAGGCCTTGATGCAGAGGCAGAGCCCGCGGAGAAGCCAGCGCAGCTCGTGGAGACGATTGACTTTGAGGGCCTCAGCCTAGAAGAATTTATTTCGAAGAAAGATGAGACGAACGTGTTTCTCAAGAGTGAAGCAGGTGCCCAGACGATCCAGCAATGTATGGCCTGTCCAGTTCGAGCGATTATATTGCAGAAGTTGTTAATACCGTATGTAGTTGAAAAGGAAAGAGATAAATTCCAAGAACTCCATAATGCCATTACCGTATGCTGAGTCCTCCATAAGACATCTCCAGTCTCCATACTGATTGAATTGCCCAGGATTGCGATGATATCCTGAAATCAGTCGAGTCGTATCTCGCGGATTTCCAGACTGAACTCGGGGCTGTTTCTGCTGAAATCGAGACGCTCCAGTCCCGTTCCATCCAGCTGAACGCCAAGCTTGAAAATAGAAGGAATGTAGAAAAGCTCCTGGGACCAGCAGTGGAAGAGATCAGTATCTCTCCTAAGGCGGTCAAAGTGATCGCTGATGGACCAATCGACGAGAACTGGATGAAAGCCCTAACTGAATTGGAAGCCCGCGCTGCTACCATCGAAGCCAAGTCTTCTGGATCGAATAATATCAAAGCGATCGAGGATGTCAAGCCATTATTGACAGACATCAAGAACAAGGTGGGTATATCTTCCGCTTCTGGCGACAGGTTGTGCTGAGTAAGAATGCAGGCTGTCGAAAGAATCCGCGACTACTTGGTCTCTCAGATTAGAGCTTTACGATCGCCAAATATCAACGCTCAGATCCTGCAGCAACAGAAGCTGGTCAAATTCAAGGACCTATATAGCTACATCTCCAGGGCCCATCCTACTCTTACAGAACAGATAACGCAAGCATATGTCAACACGATGCGCTGGTACTATCTGTCTAATTTTACACGGTACAATCAAGCCCTGGAGAAGCTGAAATTGCATACCGATAGAAATGATGTTCTGGGCGGTGATCCTTCGTCTCAACGCACTGGTGAGTGCTCCGATGCTGTCTGTTTAAGTGCACGGTTACTAAATGTGGCAGGAAATATCTTAACCACTGGTCGAGGTGTGACTGCCGCCCACGATCCTTTCTCTCTGGGAAGAAGAATGGATATACTCAGAACCACCAACCATATGGCCATGTCGTCGTATCTTGTGGATGAAGACAAGTCGGTTCATGGAATTGAGGTCCCATTCAGAAACTTCAATCTTGCTCTGGTTGATAATGTCTCAGCAGAGTATTCTTTCATGACTGAGATGTTTTCCACTAAGACATTCCACCAGATCTCCCGCAGAGCCGTCGAAATCTTCGAGCCTGTCTTTGCTCTCGGGCAGTCGTTGACCAAACAATTGATCGAAAACAGTACTGATAGTCTTGGTGTTCTGTTATGCGTCAGATTAAATCAGCAATCCGCCTTTGAGCTACAGCGCCGCAAGATTCCTGTGGCAGACTCGTACGTCAACGGCACCAACATGCTATTGTGGCCGCGATTCCAGAAAATTATGGATATGCACTGCGAGTCATTGAAGCGCTTGTCGGCTTCAGGACGAAGTTCAGTCCCCTCTCTTTCATTAGGGGGAGATGACAAGCACTCATCCGCGCCTCACTTCCTCACTCAGCGATTCGGTCAACTGCTTCATGGCATATTAGCTCTGAGTGGCGAGGCAGGTGATGACGAACCCCTATCAAACAGTCTTGCAAGATTAACTGCCGAATTCGACTCTCTTCTCACAAAACTCAGTCGAAGCACTGGAGATCCGAAGAGAAGGGAACGCTTCCTCTTTAATAATTACTCTTTGGTTCTAACCATCATCAGCGTACGTCTTCCTTCCCTTAAATTTCTGATTATCGAGTAGGTTCACTGACAATGAACAGGATACGGATGGAAAACTAGCAGCTGAGCAGAAACAGGTATGTTTTAGTCACTCACCCTTTCGGGAGAAACCAATTACTGAACCATATACAGCATTTTGACGAGTTGCTCAAATCGACAGCGAAAAGAACCTAACGTTTCCGTGTACGGTTTCCCAGGAATATTTCAAGTGTAGGCACTTGCTTTCCGTTTGCGTGGACTTGCTTTGATTCTGCTTTTCATGTCCATTCAATACCCGAAAATCTGCACTCGCGTTTCCCTACTCTTATTGATATCCGGATAGATGGTTAAATATTTTTAATGAGTTTAGACGCGTCAATTCATCGTATTACACTCATACACATAGACGAAGAGTTTCTTCCGCAACTCGCAAATATCTTACAAGTTACCCAAATGCTGAAAATGGGCAAATAGGTGCACCCCTCTCAAGGTCTGAACCATTAGTAAATTGTCATTTTACGATTAAACAGTACAACTTCCGAACAGACCATACGTTCGTGTCGTTATCAACATCTTGAAGATGACGTTGGTATTCTCTCGAGATGTCGAGAGTGGGGGGTTAAGTACTCCATATTCCGTATTTTACCAAACGCATGTAACGAAGCCTTCATCTTGAAGCTGGCCATAAATATACAACCGCAACTTGATGTTGAAAATATGCCATTTTCTCCGTGCAACCTCATGGATTTACATAATCAGCACAAGACCCGGTTTCCCCGTCCTCCTCATAGACCCATAATACAGCCAAAATAAAATATTACCCAATAGTAAACAAAAGACAAGATCGATAAGACCTCCATATATTCTCGGGACGATTTACTTACTTAGCGTGGGTTTCGGACTTATCGCCGAATCCACCCCGAGTGCGGAGAACCGCAAGTGACGACAAGATCCCAGGAATGGGGGCAGATCAAAAAATAACAACTCTCCTCCCGAGATTGTATTCCAGACAACGACGAGACTTCTGGCTCGTTGGAATTCTTTTCTCCATTGAGCCGCCATGGTCGGTCGGTCGTTGTTCGCGCCTCAAGCCCTGCGCTCCAGACGGTTCTTCTCGACCACGCGCGCCGTCAATGCGGACTTTACTCATGCGGTACGTCTGGCAATTCTCCCCGTTTGTTGGGCATTGTGTGAATTATAGCTAATAGCGCACTTCAGGTCATTGGAGCTGGAGTAGTAGGCCTTGCGGTTGCTCGGCAATTGGCCTCGAGAGATGGCACGTCAACGATACTGTTAGAACGGCATGGAGCTGTGGGGATGGAGACAAGTAGTCGGAATTCAGAAGTATGTCCCTTCGCCAATTCCTGTGTGTGTGTGTGTGCTTGCAGCTAACATCACGGCGTGCATTGTAGGTCATCCATGCTGGTATATACTACCCCGCAGATTCCCTGAAAACGAAGCTCTGCATCAAGGGTAGAGAGATGTTATACGACCTATGCGAGAAGCGGGATATTCCCCATCGCAACACGAAGAAATGGATCGTTGCCCAAAATGAAGACGAATGGAAATCCTGTCTCAGAGTCCACGAACATGCGCAATCGATAGGTGTACCGACACGACTGGTCAGTCAAGAGGAGGCGAAGCAGAGAGAGCCAGAAGTCAGAGCGCAAGCGGGCATCGTGGAGAGTTTGACTACAGGAATTGTGGACAGTCATTCGTTAATGACATGCTTACAAGGTGACTATGAGAATCAGGGGGGAGATGTCGCCCTCCAAACGGCCGTGACTAGGATCGAGCCCTTGAATTCCGGCAAAGATGGATATCGGATATGGGCACGATCTGAAGACGGGTCTGAGGATTCGATCACAGCAGAAACTCTCATAAATAGCGCAGGAAATGGGGCTTGCTATATCAACAACTTAGTTCTCCCCGAGGAACGACACCGCACGCCGTATTTCGCGAAGGGGACGTATTTCTCTTACTCGGCATCTTCCCCCAGAACTTCGACGTTGATCTACCCGGCCCCGATGCCAGGACATGGTGGGCTGGGTACACATCTCACTTTGGATCTGACCGGACGCATACGATTTGGACCTGATGTTGAATGGATCAGCGACCCTAATGATCTAAAACCGAGTGCTGCCAGGCTTCAGGAGGCACTACCTCAAATCAAGGCGTATTTGCCCAACGTCAACCCAGAGGCAATCGATCTGGATTACTGCGGCATCAGACCGAAATTGAACCCGGGTGGTGGAAACACCGCTGGGAAGGGCTTTCAGGACTTCATCATTCAAAAGGAAGAGGGGTTCCCCGGTTTTATCAACTTATTAGGCATTGAGAGCCCTGGATTGACGAGTGCCCTAGCTATCGGAAAGATGGTCGAGGGTCTTCTGTATAAGTGATGTCGAGATTTCACCCTTGTATATACGAATGAAGACGATAATATGCGGAAATAAAGGTAAATACACTTAGGTCATTCGCAGTTACAAACCAAGATCAACCGTAAGGGAATGAGAAAATGAGCGTTTACAATCATCGATACCTGAACGGAAGATCCATACATGCGCTTTACACCTATCGACTTTTGAGTCACATTCATCTATACTACAATGTTCAATGGATTCTAATGCAGCACCATTTCATACGTATGACCCAATTACGCAACAACGCCGTTCTGCTTTAGCGTCTGGATCTTGTCTTTATTCAATCCCAGACCTTCCAACACCTCGTCAGTATGCTCACCTAGAAGAGGTGGTGGTGTCCGAATACTCGGGTCTGCATTTGAATATTTGACTGGTGTGTTGATCACCTTGATAGGACCGCAGACTGGATGGTCGATTTCCTTGACCATACCGCGAGCCTTGGCTGTAGATATATCTATATTAGCAATTTTTTTCCATGACATATAGGATTGAACCGGTGGGATGCATCAACTTACTATGTTCGTGATTGAACGTGCCCATAACGTCGTTAACAGCAGCATAGGGCATTCCCGAGCCTTCGAAAATATCCAGCCATTCCTGAGTAGTCTTTTTCGTGGTCTCAGCCTCGATGAGACCTTCAAGCTCTTTTCGGTTTTTCACACGGTCATTGTTGGTGTTGTATTTAGGGTCCGTCTTCCATTCTGGTTTTCCTAGTTTGTCGGCCAAGATCCGGAAGAGTTTGTCGTTGGCACCGCCGATGAAGATGTCTCCGTCGGCAGTTTTGAAGCCTTGATAAGGGACCACAGAGGCTGGAAAACTCGTCAGCTATTCTGTTTTGACAAATGCCGTGGTTAGAAAGAGACTCTCTACTTACGGTGTGCTGTCCCCCATCGTCCAGAGTCCTTCTTGCCACTGATGAGCACTGAGCTGCCCATATTAGCCAACGTAGCCGTCTGGCAGTCGCTCAGGCATACGTCAAGATGCTGACCCTCCCCAGTGTGCACTCTATGCAGCAGCGCCGCCATGATTGAGTTGCACGCATAGAGTCCCGTCGTCAGATCTGTCACTGCCACTCCCACCTTCACGGGCGGACCATCCCGTTGTCCTGTCAAGTGCATCAAACCGAACTCCGCTTCGACCATGACATCAAACCCTGGCCGATTGCTGTAGGGCCCGGTCTGACCGTATCCCGTGATACTGGCATAGATCAATTTGGGGTTGATCTTCCGAATCGTCTCGTAATCCATGTTGTATTTCGCGAGGGAATTGGGCAGGTAGTTCTCGACAAGCACGTCGCAGGTCTTTGCCAGTTCATGAAGGATTTCGACGCCCTCGGGATGGGCGAAGGAAAGTCCTAGGGACTTTTTATTTCGGTTCACCTGGGAGAAGCCAATTAGTTCCCATGTATATTGTTGGATCCAGGACGAAAAGAGGTTTGGCTTACAGAGAGATAATATGCACTCTCTCCGGGACCTTCCCTTCCATCCAGATATGCAGCAAATGGGGGTCCCCATGCTCTTGTATCGTCTCCTCGTATGGGATGCTCGATTTTAATAATCTCGGCCCTTTATCAAATCACGAACACAAGTCAGCAAAGTCCACAGAATCCATCGCGACAGAGAATAAACATCAATACACAAAGCCCCACGCCACTGCAGAAGAAGAACAATTCGTACAGAACGTATCGACATCAGGGATTCATGGACATCCATACCCCAGATCACCTAGTATTTGTGTACAATATGGCTGCGGGAATCGATGAACCTCAAGTTAGCTTCAGAGCTCACGATTTACTCGCCCGCATTTTCTCCGCATTCGCGAACAACGGAGATAAAAGCGAATTTCTAATGAAGTATTTTTGGAAGGACTCCTCATACCCCAGCTAGAACTCTGCTCATGTCCAAAACCCGAATTCCCGCCAGCGGTAACCTCTTATTCGTCGTCGTCGTAGCATGTTGACCTGTTGCTGTTGTCGCGAGTCCTCGATTCGAGCTCCAACGTGCGGAGATGTAGGCGGATCTTCTGCCGACAACCGACAGTGACCGCAGAGGGTGAGAGTACATCTTGGAATGGGTGTAGGAATTGAGGTCGGTCCAGGAAATAATTCCTCTCCAATCAATTCATAAGTGCTCTTCTTATAACTTGGTTAAAGAGGAACGAATGAATCCGTCTTGTCAATAATCAAAAAGTTCAAAGTGTATGTTTTTTGACTCTCTCCGCGCAGGCCCTTGCTAGGAGAGCTGGAGGCCCCACGGCCGATGAAGAAGAGCTCGGCGGGTCTCAATACTTAGGAGTCTCGAAGACCCCACATGAGACACGAGGCTGAATTCAGGTGGACGAAGGATGGAGAGTGAATATTCTATCATCAACGGTGGGAATAATGTATAATGCAATTTATGATAATATGCTGCAGAGTTGTTGTATTACTTGATGGATTAAGATGAACTAGGGATAAGACTGGCAGCTTATGTTGGGAACCTGATTTAACTCCGTTATTGGGCGTACAATAGCTACTTGACGTATTTAGCTATCTACCTTAACATGCATAATTCCTCTTGTATCCGGACTCTAACCCAAATTGCAAAATGTAAGCTCGTACGGTCTCTACAATCGCGTTGATCCGGGGGCCGGGGCAACACCATCCCCTTCAGAGGACTGGCGACCTTCCTTGCCAATCTCCCACCCACGTCCTCTATAGCGAGCAGGCCAAACACCCGATTTTCCTGGAGCCAGGATACCAGCTGGGTCAAGGCAGTCTTTGAGTTTCTCGTTGAATCGCATGAGGGCATTGTTGTTCCAATTGTACGTTCCCGCAATCTGGTCCATCAAAGCAAGATGTGTGCGGTATTCTCCGTAGCCAGCTTTCGCTGCATCATCGATCATGGCGCGAATGCATTTGTCCACATTCTGCCTCATCGTGGGGTTGTTTCTGTCAAAGACTATCTCGACAATGAGGTGCATCTCGCGCATTCCAACACAGTAGGTTGGGAAGAACTCCAGTCCGTACTGACCACATCGAGTCTTTGCAAGCTTCCACAGCGCCGTGGCATCTGGACCGCGAACCGGGGAGACGGGGCTAAAGGCTATGTGGCCACCGTTCGGGTGCCAGTTTACCCAAGCCAATTCCTCCAAATCAGGGATTCCAGCTGCGATCCGATCCCTGGACCAGAAATAGTCGTTTTTCGGTAAAGTGGTCGGGTCGATTCGACGAGCTCCCGGGATCTTCATGAACTCCTTGTGGATGATGTCCAGCTTGTATTGTCTGATCTCCTTGGGACCATATGCCATACCGTAGTACAGCCAGGTGCAGTCACCGTGGGATAAGGTCTTTGCCACTTCATGGATAACATGATCTGGTATAGCTCCTTCGCCCTTCCAGTAAGTGCTTCGGGGTTTGCCCGAGCAAGCAACTTGTTCGAGCACATGCCGGAGCTGCGCGACATTCTCCAAAATGTTCGCGATTCTCAACGGCCGAATGATTTCGACCTGTATAATGTAAGCGACTGCTGTTAAGTTAACACTAACCGGTGTGGATTAACTACTTACAAGTGGAGCAAGATCCTCTTCCTTCTGGAAGGTGTACAGCTAATATTACTGTCAGCAATGTCCAGTAAATGCTCTAGAGCCATACTCACATAGGACTCGTAACCGCCAGGATCCGGCATCAATGCCATTCCCAACTTCGTGACTATTCCGAAGTTGGATTGTGTGAAAATGCCACTGTATGATGAGGTTAGCTCTTCGATCTATATAGATCTCCAGCACGAGGCACTCACTCGGAGTATGGCCCGAAACCATACGGGAATATTTGCCAGCTGTTGTTGTTTGGCAGTGCACCCATTCCGGTTCTGATCACCTCTCCTGTGGGCAGTACCACTTCCAATCCGGAATGGAAAGTCCAATGGTCACCATAGGGAGTGTAGCCAACACCGCGGTCTAGGGTATTGCCCATAACAGAACCGCCGCCCAAGTCGGGGACATCGATCCATAGATGCTTGTGACCTCTCCGCTGTATTTCCTCGTAGAGCGCAAAGAACGTGACTCCCGGTTCGACCAGACAGGTACAGTCATCCGGGTTGATATCAAGGACCTTGTTCATCCGTCTGCCCAGATCGATCACCACGGATCCGCGTACGCGAGGAGCGGCCCCACCATAGCCGACTAAATAAAGAAGTGTATTGTTAGAATTTTTGACAGAAAGCAATCAAGTTGTCAAAAAAAAAAAAAAAAAAAGGAATCAACATACAGTTCCTTCCAATAGATATTGGGAAGATGGGAATCCGGTACTTGTTCGCCCAAAGTACGATCTTCTGCACATCTGCCGTGCTACCGGGATACACGACCGCTGAAGCAACCAGCTCCTCGTCATCTAGAATGTGCATGCCGTCGTGGGTGTTGGGATCTGCAACTGTTAATATTCCGTAGTTCCCCAAGTCAATATTTTACGACGGAAAATCTAGACTGACTCTCCATGTACCATCCATCCACCAATTTTTCTACGAGCTCGACATTCTCCGGGCCCAGCTGATTCTTCAAGTCTTCAAGGGCTTCGAAGAACTTTGTCTCCTCAATTCCCTGAGGAATTGCGATTTTCTTCAATTTCTTTTCTTCGGGCTTCGTGGCGATGTCCCATATGGAGGATTTCGCATGGCCCGCCTTGTCAAACAGTCTGGCGGGAATTCCATTGTGCTTCTCCCCCAGCTGCGGAGTTGGCGTGATTCCGGATTTTGCCATGGTTTATAGGAATTGAGATCAAGGATTTGAGATTATACAACGACGATTGTTTGAGAGCTGACAACTTTCACAGCAGAAGACTCGAAAGCCTTCTATGGCTACTATATATGTATATATATATATATATATGTCTGCATAATGATCTTCAAGCATAAATATAATTGACCGCGGCGTATATAATTGATCGGTATATCCCCGGATGATCCTCAGAAGCGGGGAGAAACCCGGGGTCGATTGCTTTTCTCATACAATGTGTGTTTCAGTGTTCTCATGTGCCTAGACTAGACACATCATTGTAACTATCAGTGTATGTTCATAGTAATACATGTATCTATGTGTTGCATAACTAGCAAGCGATCATCCACTAGTATCCTTTACCGATGAGTGGGGTCGGAAGGCGGTCGCCTGTGGGGTGCGGAGCAGCAGCGGATAAGCACATTTCCCCCTCGATGATCCCTAGCCGATTCTCCTTCAGCTCCACGAGCTCACTTGGACTTCTTCTTTTCTTTCTCTTCCTTCTTTCCTTCTCATGTGCACCAATTCCTCCAGGACAGTCAACAGGTTGCGGTGCTCAGTATGAAGGCGAAGGTCAGTCCGCTGTTCAGCCCCATATGGCGGCGGAACTTCTCCGCATCCTCCGCCCAGAGGGCGATCGACAAGGTCGTTCCCTCCGCCGCGGAGGCTGTTAAGGACGTGAAGGGAGACTCTACGCTTCTCGTGGGAGGATTTGGTTTCTCCGGTGTTCCCAACACGCTCATCAATGCCCTGCGGGACAGGCCCGAATTGAAGGGCTTCACCGTTGTCTCCAACAATGCTGGCATGCCAGGAGTCGGCCTGGGTGAGCAACTTCTGGAGCGAACGTGAATCTAGAGGATATACACGGCTGACAGCAAGAAATGTAGGCCAACTCCTTGAATCCGGTCAGATTAGCAAGATGATCGCTTCCTTCATTGGCGAAAACAAGGTCTTCGAGAAGATGTACCTCACCGGAGATCTGTCTCTGGAGCTCACTCCTCAAGGCTCAATTGCAGAGAAGTGCGCTGCTGGTGCTGCTGGTGTCCCCGCTTTCTATACCCCTGCTGCTTATGGAACTATCGGTAGGATCCAATGGCAAACCCAGTTATTTCTTACAATCAGGCTGACCGTCGAAAGTGCAAACTGGTGAACTCCCTGTCCGCTACAACAAAGACGGAACTGTCGCAGAAAAGTCGAAACCCAAGGAAACCCGTGAATTCAATGGCAAGCAATACGTTCTGGAAGAGGCTATCTTCGGTGACTACGCTCTGGTCAAGGTCCACAAGGCAGACAAGCTTGGTAACTGCCAGTTCCGCAAGGCCATGAACAACTTCAACGAGGCTATGGGAAAGAACGCCAAGGTTACTCTCGTCGAGGCCGATCAGATCGTCGAGGTTGGCGAGATCGCTCCCGAGGACATTCATCTGCAGGGTATCTACGTCGACAAGGTCATCCAGAGCACCGAGCCCAAGAAGATCGAGAAGTACACCTACGCCAAGGACCCGAACGAGTTGCTGAAGGCCGGTAAGTCACTTCCGCGCACCTGTCTTTATCCCTTGACTGACGTGTCTTCGTGTATCAGGCAGCGGAGATGCCACTGCTCGCCGTGAGCGTATCGTCCGTCGTGCCGCTAAGGAGTTCAAGGACGGCATGTACGTGAACTTGGGTATTGGAATTCCTCTTATCGCCCCCTCTTTCCTGCCCGAGGGTGTGGAAGTCGTCTTGCAATCTGAAAACGGTATCCTTGGACTTGGTGGTTACCCCAAGCCCGGCGAGGAGGACCCTGACCTCATCAACCCGGGTAAGGAAACCGTTGTTCTGGGCCGTGGCGCTTCTCTGTTCGGATCGCACGAGAGTTTCGGTATGATTCGCGCTGGTAAGATCGATCTCACCATGCTGGGTGCGCTGCAGGTCAGCCAGTACGGAGGTAAGTCTTTCACCCGCTTCTCGGCCAACTTTTACCCATGACTAACGATTATTAGATCTTGCCAACTTCATGCTTCCCGGTAAAGTCAAGGGTATTGGTGGTGCTATGGACCTGGTTGCGAACCCTGAGAAGACCAAGGTCGTCGTCACCATGGTATGTACCTATCTACACAAACACACCCCCTTCTTGAACAAAAGTCTAACAACCAGCAGGAGCACGTTGATAAGAAGGGCAACCCCAAGATCCTTTCTGAGTGCACCTTCCCCCTGACCGGTCCCCGCTGTGTCTGGAAGATCATCACCGATCTCGCCGTCTTTGATGTCAGCCCCACCGAGGGTCTGACCTTGAGGGAGTTTGCTGAAGGTGTTAGCGTTGACGAGATCAAGGCTAAGACGGCCGCTCCCTTCAAGGTTGCAGATGATCTGAAGCCAATGCTTTAAGTTAATCTGCATGATATTATATATGTACGTTTCATCCGTCATGGTGTCGGATATGTCAACTGGATATGATATTTAGCCATGTATAGAATGATTACAAAATCGAAATTTTCTTTCAAATAATAGCCCAGTCTGAAAATGCCTTGTCTTGTCGACCACGTAGAAGACAATAACAAGCATAAACCGAGTAACTATACGCTGAGACAGTTAGCGGGGCCGTGCACAGTCCCGAGGTCCCGATCTTGGATGAACAAGTTAGGCATAGCTTGGGATAAGCGCTCACCTCGTTTTAGCGTCGCGCGACGCGACAATGCTTCCTAATAGTCTTTGCATCATATACAAAGGGGATATGGGTTATTTGACCCTTACGAAGGGTTAAGTGACCTGGGTACTCGCTGCTGCTAGACGGGGGGCTGGCGTTGGCGCTTATGTTGTTCATGACTTTTCCCCGTTCAGTTAACTACACCACTCGCCAAGGTAACCGTGATCTTACACTTCTGAATTTCCATTTTCTTTCGGGATATGGGGTTCCTTTCAAAGGGTTTATTCATTCGAGTATGCAACTTCAATGTGAGAAATATGAGTTCGTGGTGCAGCAATCGGGACCTATTTGAGTACACCTCAGGGCGGTTCTTGTGAGTCGTATTTAACACGCTCCCATTGCCTTTAATGACTCTGCTGATATTTGTCTGGTTTATAGATTTAACGAGGAGCTTCGTCTCACCGAACGTCGCGTGCAATTTGATGTCGATGCTCTCGCAACAGCCATATGCCGTGCCGTCAGCCGACCTGTGTCTGACCTTGCTTCAATCGTGAAGCTCGCAGAAGGAGGCTTCAACCGTGTCCTTCAGGCCACATTCAATGACGACTATGCAGTACTTGCCAGACTTCCTTACCACACAACGGTTCCGAAATATCGTGCGGTTTCTAGCGAAGCAGCTACACTTGATTTACTGCGCTCGTGTGGCGTTCCGGTCCCTAAAGTCCTTGGATACTCCCCAGACCATACGAACCCCGTCGGTACTGAATACCTTCTTTTGGAGAAACTTGATGGCACGCCCTTGAGTGATCAGTGGTTCACCATGAATAACAAGACCCGAGTCAAAATAATGAGGCAAATCGTTGACGTGGAGAAACAATTCATGAGCATCTTGCTGCCAGCGAGCGGGAGTTTGTACTATCGCAGAGACCTTGGAGAGTCGGAATTCGCTATTGCATTGTCTGAACAATCTGCATCTGATCAGATCGTTGTCGGTCCGACTGCACAGTTTGAATGGTGGTACCGGGAACGAGCATTATTAGACGTTGACCGTGGTCCATGTACTTCCTTCCGCCCTTTATATGCTGACGACATTTATTGATGAAAGGACCAGGGAAGACATTTCTGGGATGCTTCGAAGCTCCCGCAAAACGCGAGATAGGATTTTGTAAACGGTTCGGCAAATCTCGCCTTCACGTTGAACGGTATCTGCGCGAGTTGCACCAGTTCAAAGAGATGTCACCAACTGTTCACATCCAGTTACTCTCTGATTACTTGAAATTAGCGCCCTCTTTGGAGATCTCGTCAAGCCATCGCTTTTCTCGACCAGTCCTTCGCCATCCAGATTTTTCGCCGAATAATATATTGGTAAATTCTTCTAGTGACATAGTGGGAATCATTGACTGGCAGCATGCCGTGGCTTTACCACTCTGCTTGTGTGCCGGCATTCCAGATCATTTTCAAAATTGGGGCGATCTATTGTCAGAAACACTGGCAAAGCCAGAAGTCAAATTACCACAAAACTTTCATAACCTAAGTCAAAATGAACAAGAGGCGGTGCAAGAGACCATGCGAAGGCGCCTTGTCCATTTCTACTACGCTGCATTGACCATGACGCAGATACCAGATCACTTTGACGCTATAAGGAACGAAAACGCGATGCTTCGAGCCAAGCTTTTCAACCGCGCTGGGGCACCCTGGGAAGGGGACTCATTGTCTCTCAAGTATGCAATGATCCAGGTGTATCAAAACTGGCCGATGTATCTTGACAATGCGGCGCCCGCAGAATCAATTGACTGTCCAGTGGAGTATTCTGAAGAAGAGATACAACAATGCATAAATGAACATAGCCAGGAGCAGGAGAAGCTGCAAGAACTGATCGAGATGAGGAGCCACATAGGTATAGATGCTCTCGGCTGGGTCCCTGATGATGAGCAACTGGAAAAGTCGAGAGCTGTCGCTCAAGCAATCAAAGCGGGATTGTTGGAGCACTCTGATACTGAAACTGAGCGGGTGGCCTTGCAAACCCATTTTCCTTTCGACGACCATGTCGCGTAGTAGTGCATCATAAAAGGGACATCGCTCCGAAAGGATTCGACTCTATAGCTCTCATGAGATCAGCTTCGGTGTATTGTGGTACTACGCTTGCAGTAAACCGTAGACAGTATGTATGCATGACCAACTCCACAATTCTCCTTAGTATTCTCTCACATAATACGTACTGTGCGTTGTTGGCAAAATTTGGAGTAATAATCATGATTGTTTATAGTTAGTTGTAATCTTGGCTGAGAGCTTGGAGAACGTGGGGCTGTCAACGCTTACGCCCCACGGGCAGTGACCGCCAGTAGTAGAGGAGCTTAGTGGGCGGCTAAGTAGATACCCCGTATTGAAGAGTCCGGACTGCAGTACCTAAATTAACCAACTCCGTAATGTATGTACTACTATGTAGTTGCAGGAGCTGCGGAGTTCACTTAGTAAAGATTCACTGGTTTATTTTACCTTCTTTCTTGAACGCCAATTTCGATCATCACGACGGGTAATTTCTCGTTTCCACCATTTTGAGATTTGGAGTCTCTCTTGTATAGATTGCAGAACACCACCGCAGGGATGATCGGCAAAGCAGCGAGGGAGGTCCTCAAAAAATCACCACAGGACATTGTCGTCTTGTCCTCGGTGCGGAGTCCGATTGCCAGGGCCTTTAAGGGCGGGTTTAAAGATTCATGGCCGGAGGAGATCTTGATTCCGGTATGATTAAGTATCTCCGTCTTCTTCGAGGTTATCTTTATGACAAAAAAAAAAAAAAAGAAAAGAAGCGTTTTCTAACATGCGAAAAATCACAACAAAATAGGTCATGCAAGCCGCCGTAAAGAAAGCCAACATCGAACCAGGCCAGGTCAACGATGCGATGATTGGAAATGTCCTCTCTGAGCTGGGATTCGCCAAAACGGGACGAATGGCATTGAATGCGGCTGGTTTCCCTAACTCGACGACATTTCACACTGTGAATAGACAATGCTCGAGTAGTTTGCAGGCCATCACGCATGTTTCGCACTCTATCATGGTCGGTCAGCTCGATGTCGGGTTGGCGGGTGGTGTTGAGAGCATGACGCGCAACTACGCCTCGCGCGGTATTCCCGTTGATGTGTCTCCGACGCTGAAGGAGTCGCCGGTTAAGGATGCGCGGGATTGTATTTTGCCTATGTTGAAGACGTCGGAGAATGTTGCTCAGCGGTATGGGATTGGACGTAGGGAGCAGGATGAGTTTGCCGCCGAGAGTCAGCGTCGGGCTAGCGAGGCGCAGAAGAGTGGGCGGTTTGAAGATGAGATTGTCCCGATCACGGCGCGGTGGATTAACGAGGAGACCAAGGAGGAGACTACGAAGTTGGTGACTTTGGACGAAGGTATTCGACACGGTGTGACGGTTGAGAAACTGGAGAAGTTGAAGCCGGTGTTGGAGGGAGGAGCCAGCACGGCCGGGAACTCGTGAGTAGCTGGCATTGCGCTGATGCGGAATTCTATTCTGTGTCCTTGAGATCTCTAACGTGCAGTAGGTCTCAAATTTCTGACGGTGCCTCTACTACGATCCTTGCGCGCCGTGCCTGGGCTGATGCCCATGGGTTGAAGCCGATCGGACGTTTCGTGGGCACGCAAGTCGCTGGTGTCGCTCCGGACGAGATGGGCATTGGACCTGTACCGGCAATCCTCAATCTCTACAAATACTGCGGCGTTGAGCAGAAGGACATTGATATCTTCGAGCTGAACGAGGCCTTTGCTAGCCAGACTATCTACTGTATCCGCGAGCTTGGACTGGACCCTGCCAAGGTCAACCCCAACGGCGGTGCCATTGCTCTGGGCCATCCTGTCGGCGCGACTGGAGGCCGACAGACTGCTACTCTGCTTGCTGAGCTCCAGAAGCAGGACAAAGAGCTCGGAATCGTCAGCATGTGTGCTAGGTGAGTTGAACTTGTAATTGGTTTGGTCGTGAGCAGCTACTAACACGCGCTGCAACACAGCACTGGTATGGGTGTGGCGTCTCTCTTCATCAGGGAGTAGGCATAGCCACCTAGCTATCCACTTGGTCTCCGCTCGCACAGATGCGTTGTTGGTTCCATGATTCCATCTTTCTCACCGCGAGATCGTTGCGGGACTCGATAACAGAATCGATGGTGAGGCTCGGGGAGGAGCTTGGCGGATGGAGAACACAAGAAAAGGCCCCACGAAATAGCGCGACGAAGTTATGCGGGGAAGCTTGGGTAACTTGGATACTGTCAGTAATTAATTATTTAATATTGACTTAGACTACTACTTATGTAACTTACAGACAACGCAGAAATGTGAGAGCTGAAAGCCCCACACTAAGTTTAGAATTGAGCTGTCGACGATGTGGTGCAGAGCAAAAGGTCCATGTGCGTTGTAATAATACTACATCTGGTCAATTATTGTAGATGTGCTTTTCCTTCCAATCAAAGAGCTATTGGTTCAGATCGTCGCGCGTCAAGTGCTGCTATAGAGACATCCCTGATCACGCGTTGGAGACGCTCGCTCGCTAGGTCCTGCCAGCGCAACGACAGCAACCAACGACCCAGCTGTGTGAGATACATTTTCGAGAATTGATCAACATGTCACTCTTTGCGCAATTGCTGCGACACTCACAACGGGTCTCTGCTGTTCCTCGAATTCGCATTGCCAGCCAGAGAAGACTCATGGGTTCAGTCAGTGCTATCGACTCGGGCATCTTCCGGACGCTGTTCGGCACGGAGGAGATCCGGAAGGTATGATGGAGATTCTTGATGATTTCTTTCTTTCGTTTCTACGTTCATGCAATGCTGATGAGATATACTTCTTCAAGGTGTTCGATGACAAGGCCTACATCCAACGCTGTGTCGATGCGGAAGCAGCACTGGCACGAGCGCAATCGCGGTGCAATGTGATCCCTCCGGAGGTCGGTGACATGGTGACTTCCAAGGTGGCCCAGTCAGAGCTGGATCTCGAGCGACTACGACACGAGACGGAAATCGTGGGTTATCCCATCCTGCCTCTCGTCCGACAGCTGTCGGCCATCTGCGGCGAGGAAGCGGGCAAGTATGTGCACTGGGGCGCGACAACGCAGGATATCATGGACCTTGCCAGCGTCCTACAGATGAAGCAAGGCCTGGCCATTGTGGAGCGCTTGCTAAAGGACGTGATAAAGACCTTGCGAGATCTCTCGGAGAGGTACAAGGACACGCCAATGGCGGGAAGAACCCATCTGCAGCATGCGCTGCCTGTTACTTTTGGTTACAAGTGCGCCGTTTGGCTGTCTGGTTTCCAGAGACATCTGGAACGGTTGGAACAGCTCAAGAGCCGTACGCTGCTTGTCCAATTTGGCGGTGCAGCTGGTACCCTGGCGTCGCTGGGAAATGGCGATGACGGTCTCAGGGTGCGGAGAGCGTTGGCTGAAGAATTGGGCCTGGCGGACCCTTCCATTACCTGGCACGTTGCGCGCGACGGTGTTGCGGAGATCGTCAACTTCCTGGCCCTGATGGGAGGTTCGATGGGTAAGCTGGCGCTTGATATCATCGTCATGTCCTCCAACGAGCTCGGCGAAGTGTCGGAGCCGTTCGTCCCTCACCGCGGTGCATCTTCGACGATGCCGCAGAAGCGGAATCCTATCTCCAGCGAAGTCATCCTGGCAGCCTCCAAGATTCTGCGCTCTAATGCTGGGCTAGTCCTTGATGGCATGGTAGCTGACTTTGAGCGTGCCTCGGGGCCCTGGCATCTCGAGTGGGTGGCGGTGCCGGAGAGCTTTGTGATCGCGGTCGGTGCCCTTTTCCAGACACACTTTGCGTTGTCCGGTCTGTCTGTGCACAGCAAGCAGATGCTTGACAACCTGCACTCCACCAAGGGCCTGATCGTGGCAGAGGCCGTCATGATGGGCATGGCCCCGTATGTGGGTCGCCAAAACGCTCACGACATTGTCTATGCAGCGTGCAAGGAGAGCATCGAGAAAAACCTAACGCTTCTCGAGTGCCTGCTCTCCAAGGAAGAAGTCACGTCGAAGATGGAGGAAGAGCGTCTGCGCGCGCTCTGTGACCCTGTCAACTACCTGGGAGCATCACAGCAGATGGTCGACGATGTTCTCGCGGTGAAGTACTGAGAATTGTAGATACCTGAGCGATTTAGTATTGCATTTATGGGATAGCATAAAGATTGAGTTTTGTCTATATCTACCATCTACATGATTTTGCTCAATTTCCCAGAATTATTTTATCTACCTAGGTAGTTAGTTACATTCTGGTCGATTACTTAATCTTAGTTGTCCCAATTGTTAATTATCACCACGTGAAAGGCTTTCAGAGAGCCTCATCTATAGCTCGAATTACCCCGCAAAGTTCGGTTCGTTCAGCACCAACAACATATCATTGATATCTAGGTAACCAGTAACTGGAACTGTGACTGGCAGTGGAGCACGGCCGTTCCATCAACTACCTACCTTTAACCCAAACCATCATCGACCTGCAATACTGAACGGCATCCATGGATTCTGTCAAGGGACCACTTCGCCATGACATCAGTGGGGTCAAGAGAAGTGAGACAATCTGGCCTGATTTCCAACGCAGATCCAGAGACTGTGGCAGATAACGTCTACAGCGTTGGTAGTCTCACGTTGGAGACGATGGAGCCGTCTTCTCCCACCGTATCGAAGGAGGTCTTCGATTAACGCAGATCCTGTCTATGTACGCAAGTCCGGCATGAACCACTCTCCTAGCTGGCTTCTGCCTGCGTAACTAATCAAGTGGGTGATGCAGTACATCGCTTGGATGGCTTTACATGGTGATATCGCCCCTCCGGTACGGGCCAAAAGATCAAATACTTATTGTACGCCTAGGCGATCATGCATCTTGCTCAATTACAAAACCCTCAAATGGCGACTTGACCCCATCTACACGCTTTTCCTCCACTTGTTACTAACTCATGGATATGTCTTTGTGCTTCATCCACCATCGTTCTCCACATGCCAGCCCCGCAAGATACTCGGAGCTGAAATGTCGCCGCGGGTGCGAGAGTGGGCCGATATAGTTCTCTAGAGAGTCTTTGCGCTCAAAAGACTCATGTAATAATAATTATTGAACGGACTTGAAAGATCGGAACGAGGACCAAACTTTTCGACTGTCTTAGCCTTTCTGCCTTTGAGTTGTCAGGACGGACAAATATCTCCTTGTTTAATATACTTTGCTCTATTTTGTATTATTCTACTGCATCCAACAACAAACATGCCAGCACCCCCGATCAAAGAGAGGAAGCCCGTGACGGACCTCCAGAAGGTGTTTCACTATACAGATACTCAGCGCCGCAAGCCGACGCGTGAAGAAGATCCGTATGAGTACCAGGCCGGTTGGGGGAACCGTTTCCAGTCTGAAGTTATCCCGGGTACGCTCCCTGCTGGCCAGAACAACCCGCAGGAAGCTCGATTCGGCCTGTACACGGAGGGTATCACATATTCGGCCTTTGCGGCTCCTCGCCATGCCAACTTTAGTACCTATCTCTACCGTGCTAGAGTTGCTGCTGCTCACCGTATGTTGTGTACAATGTCTACCTGTCTATGAAGATGGTTCTGGCTGATCATGATTCCTATCAGATGGCTACAAAGCAAACATTGAAACAAAATCGCATATCGAGAACTGTCTACTCACGCTGAACCCGAAAGTTGAGACACTTGCTGAGCAGGCTGAATGGCTGCCATTCCCGCTTCCCAAGGAGGATGAGAAGATCGACTTCGTTGACGGGTTGCACACCCTGGGTGGGAGTGGCGACCCAAACTTGCGCGAAGGGATTGCGTTGTATGTGTTCATGATCAACGCGGATATGGACCATCGGGCATTCTGCAACACGGACGGTGACTTCCTGATTGTTGCGCAGCTGGGCAACCTGGACATCCAGACGGAGTTGGGTAAGCTCTTCCTGCAACCCGGCGAGATCTGTGTGATCCCGCGTGGAATCCGCTTTGCTATCCGACGTGCCCCTGGCCATAATGTTGCTCGTGGCTATATCACGGAGATCTGGGGCTCCATCTGGGAGCTCCCTGACCTGGGTCCGCTGGGTGGTCACGGGTTGGCTAATCCACGAGACTTCCTGTATCCTGTTGCTTATATCGATGACGAACTACACGAGGACTGGAGTATCGTCAACAAGGCGAATGGAAAATATAATGCCATTCAACAGGATCATAGTCCGTTTGATGTTGTGGCGTGGCATGGTAACGCCGTTCCGTACAAGGTGCGTCCATTCCCTTCTTTTCATCATTTCCATCAACGAGTTACAAAACTAATTGTACTGTAGTACGACCTCACCAAATTCGCCTCTCAAAATGCCACATCGATCGATCACACCGATCCATCCGTGAACTGCGTCCTGACAGCCAAGTCGCGAGACCCTAATACTCCTCTGGCCGACTTCCTCTGGTTCGGACCGCGATGGGACGTGGCATCCAACACGTTCCGTCTGCCATACTTCCACAGGAACTCCGCCACGGAATTCCTGGCCTCGCTGTACGGTAACGGATTGGGTCGATCAGATGAGTTCCTCCCCGGCGGTGGCAGCGTGGAGATCAGCCACACGCCGCATGGCAACTTTAGCGAAGATTATGTGTGGGAGATGCGCGTGCAGGAGAATGAGCCGCGGAAGATTTTGGAGAGTGAGTATTATCCCGTCGTCCGGTTTCTAAGCCAGACGAATGTCCTATATCTGGAGAATGGGAGAGACTAAACGCATGTACAGACCAAATGACAATCATGGTCGAAAGTAGCCGCACGTTCCTGTTCACGGAATACGCGCGCTCGATCTGCGGCACGTTCAAGAATCAGGGCACCGACCCGAAGGTGTGGGATGTTCTCCCGGTGAGTCTTTTTAACTCTCCCTCAGAGCATATACCAGGGAATGAAAATAAGTTCTAACGGCTTGCTTTCAGGACAAATTCTCATCGTATCCGAACATCAAGGAGATCCTGGCGCAAGTTAAGGCCGACAAGGCGGCACAGCGAGCGCGGCTGGACACTTACTATGATGATGAGCGGCTGGCGCAGGTCGCGGCGCAGGGACATGTCAAGAGCAAAGAGATTGATGGCAGCGCGGTGGCCAATGGTAGGAATGGCACCAATGGACATGCTGTGGCTGCTGTATAATCTGGATTATTAGGCATAATTTATTTGATCATATTTCATTTCATTGTCTCTGTATCCGGTTTCCCGTCACGGTAGGTAGCTAGGTACCTAGGTAGTTATGTATCTATGAACCACGCGAGTAGATTAATTACCTAGTAGTAGCAACATAAGGAAAGAAACGAACGCACGTGGAACAGATTTATTATTTCTTTAAGTCTTGTCATACCAAACTCCTGTCCCCACCTGATTCAGAATCTATAAGATCGGCCTTCTTATGCCTATTCTGAAACCCATCTATCTCACCGACAAGACTTCGGCCCACGCAGGCGATACGAACTACCGTGGCCGAAACGATGGTGGTACGAGAGATACGAGAAGAATATTCCACCTGCCCAATCACAAATCATAGAAACGGGTCTTGGTCAGCGAGACTCGTCACGGACTTGTCACAAGATCCACCGTTGGACCGAACACCGTTCGTTGAGTTCAACGTTGTAACTCGGGAGTCCAACGGAGTCGGTCCAGCAGGGATGGAAAGGTCTTGCTGGCTACCGTTGCTATCATGAGTAATTAATTATTCCTCATTGACTGACTGACAGATTGACTCGCTCGATGTGTGTGAGTCTGTGAGATGCGAACGCCACAAATGCCGGAGAGGCGAGAAGAAAAAAAAGCCACCATGCGCTCGAGCGGCTGCGCAGATTGGTGATCATTGGCCGTGATTCGATTTCCCCGTGGGGTAAATATTAACTAGCAGACGAGCGACTCTACGCTAGAGTACCAATACAGGAATTCAGGCTTCCTGCTAACGAGTTAATTTAGTTGCTTTAACTAGCAATGGGTTGGTGAACTTCCTCACTGACGACCCCACCTCAACAGGTCGGCTACAAGGCTCGGCTTAACCCCCCGGGCTGCTTTAGCCGTCAGAATCCAGATGCATTGGCGATGATCGTCCGCTGTGCTGGAACAAGACTGAGACTGCTGGGACGATCTCCCCGGTAAGCCCGGATACAAAACAGTTTAGGGCGGGCGCACTTTGCTGGCCGGGCTGGGCGCGACTGACGGCCTTTTTCTCGTGTAGTCGGGGACGATTTACGCCCATTACGCCCATTACGGTCACCAGGACACGAAGAAAGCCAAGCTGAAGCTTTTCTCTGGCCCCCCAAGGACGGAAGACGTCTCTTTCCCCTCTCCGAACTTTGCTTTCCCCTCCTTCTCCAATGCCCTCCGCCTAAGTGTATAGCGGGTAGTTGGACGATGCTCCTGGCCCGGTCCCTTTGCTGCCCTTTCCTCGCATCATCGCGAGAGTCGTCATGGTCTTGAGAAAGTGTACCATCTGCGATCGCCGGTTCAATAAGACAGAGCATTTCAAGCGTCATGAGCGTTCACGTATGTGGTTTGGTTGCTTGATACATGTTTCTCCGCATTGCGGATCGCTGACAGGTGTATATACAGACACCAAAGAACGACCGTATGAGTGCAATGTATGTCACAAACGATTCTCCAGAAGGTAAGTCCGCAGGACTAGTTCCCCACGTGCAAAATTGATCTTATCAAATTTTCCGTCTGCGATGTAATAATAATATGTGCTGATCGCGTTCTACAGTGACGTTCTGAGCCGGCATGCCAAAGGCCATATAGCGCAGGCTGCAACAGCCACTGCCAACGGGGCAATGAACGGGAAACCGTCCGGGACCGAATCCATCCCCGATCAAAGGCCCTCGGCCGTCAATATCACCCCGTCGACGGCTAATCCAAATGATGAGACGCCGCGTCTGCTGCCGGGCCTGCCACCGGAGACGCAACGCCTCCCTAATCTTCCCCCGACTCCGCGGGATGTGCCAATATCTGCCAATGGGATGCAATCGACGTCGTTGGACTTCCTGGCTGACATCTCAGCCCATCATGCCCGTACGGAGTCGGATATCAATCCCATGATGATCGATGAGCAGCAGCCGTATTTCGGGTGGAATGAGGTGACGCCGCTCAATCCACCGGAACATGCTTCGCAGCGTGGAGTTGCATTCGATGCTATGCACAACGACATACTCCAGTTTTGGCTGGAACCCAGGGGAGACAGTGTTTCTCGTCAGGGTTCTCTTGATTTGATGAGAGATACCAACTTCGGGTTGGTTGGGGAAAACCTGGCACTCTCCCCGGAAAGACATCACCGGCACTCGATAGACACGACTAAATCTGGTGACAATATCCCAAATGAGCGGTTCGCCAAAGTCGAACGCTGCTGGCTGGCTCCTTCTAATACCGTGGGTCGGTTAATGAACACGTTATGGCGCGATATGGCGCATAGTGATCTGGACAATCTCTTTTCTGTCCACAACTTCCAGCCCTTGGGGCATTATTCGGACGGTCCACAGGGGTCAAGACACGGCCTAGATGAGGAGTGTCGGATGCAGCTGCAGGCGGTTTTTGGCATGGCGCCGTCAACACTCTCGCATATTAACTCCCCGGGAAACGAAGCTTTATCTCCAGCAGCGTCAGCTTCCGGTGGCTCTGCGCCTACGTTCCCACCAGCGGAGATCCTGGACATGGCATTGGACCTGTATTTCCGCCATTTTCACAGGCTGGTTCCATTCGTCCATCTACCGACATTCTCCGCAAAGAAGGCACGATTGCCTCTATTGTTTGTGATGTGTCTTATCGGAATGATTATCTTGGGAACAAAGGGGACAACAAGCTTTGTGGCAAGGTCCTTTCCGGTAAGTGCTTATCTCGTAATAGCATCAGTCGAGTCGCAACTAACGGGAAGCAGGTGGTCTTCGAAAAGGTCAGTGCTGAACTAGCCAAATGCTCTCTGGGCAACGGCAAGCCAGCAGGGATCATGACAACGTTTGCGACGGCCTTTCTGTTCCTTAATCTAGCAGCGATGACAGGGGTGCGTTATTGCGAATCTCAATGGCCTAGTAGCGATGCTGACTGAGTCCAGGAGAAAGAACACTTGGAGCAATGCCAGATGCTTTACGTGAACCTTATGGCGGTATGTGATGGTCTTTCCCCCCCTAGCTGTGATAACTGTGCTCATACTTCATAGGTCGCTCAAAGACACGGTCTGTTTACAGCCAACGAAGGCCAGATACTCGACATGGCCCTGTTTGAAGCGGTGCCTGATCTTGACATGCGATGGAAGGCGTGGAGCCGGGTGGAGTCTGCTAAACGGTTCGTTCCAAGTTCCTACCTTAATGTATAAACTATAAACTAATGCCGGGACAGGTTGATCATAGGTCTACTGCTTATTGACTCCTGGTACTCATCCTTCCTGTCAACCAGCCCTATTGTGGCGCCAGACTCGGTCCAGATCATATTACCCTGCAATGAGACGCTTTTCAGGGCAGGCTCGTCAATCCGGTGGATGCAGCTGATTCGTGGTGGGAAGCGCATTTTAATGCCCACTGTGACCTCACCGTCTGAAAACACGAGTCTTCCGGTATTAGATGCTCCAGTGGACGATTTCTGTATGCAGGGGATACTGGCGATGCTGCAGCTGCGGTTGTCAGAAGCGTATCATCGACTGCTGTCTAACCGCGCGAGCTATCCCTTTGCCCCATGTCATACGTATGCTATGGATGGTCGTGCGAGATGTTTACCCTCACTGCAGGTCGAAGTCGTTAAAAACTACGAAGAGATCCTCGAGAGGCTGAATCCCAACTCCATCATCATGTGGCACTATATGTGCATGATGCTCTGTGCTGACATGCAGATATTCGATCTCGCAGCTGGACGTGCCGGGCCTTTGCCTGCACGCAAAGCACTGGACGATATTGCAGCTTGGTCTCAGACCACAGCAGCCAGAAGAGCCTGTCTACATGCGGCACAGATCTTCAAGTTCATGACCAACCGCAAAGCGTCGGACGATACTATGTTCCACTCGGTATTTGCGCTCTTCTCCGCTGCACTCGTCCTGGGCCTCTACACCTTCATGGTGCCCCATTCAGCGGAGACGCAGGTTGGCGCCACATCAGTTGAATTGCTGGAAGATATCGACTGGCGGCAAATTGGTGCTGAGGGTTTTACCAGCTTCATGGAACCACAGGGGAGCCAGCCATACGGTACAGCTGACAGTGAAGCCACGAATTTCATCCGCAACGGTGGCACGATATATATTCGTGGAGTCCCACATCAGGGAGGCTACCAGTCTGCGCGGCGCATCCTGCTCGACTATGCGGGACTTCTCAAAGACACTGGGAAGTGGAGCGTGCGGAAATTCTCCTACGTGCTGCACATTATGAGTGATGTGTTGATGGAGGTCGAGTAGATCGCTTACGAAGCTGACACGATCTGTATCTGTCTGCTGGATATAAGAGTTGACAAAGAAATATGTGGCTGCTATTAGCGCTTGGACAGGAGTATGATGGATGCAGCGATGGTTTGATTCGAACTCGGAGGCTCGTCCATCTACCGCCTTTATTTCAACCGCTATATCATGAAGCATCCTCTATTGCAGCTTCTTGTCTCAAGCTTCAAGCGAGATCTGGTCTGCCATCAAAATTATGGCAATGACCGAGTCGGACCCCTCGCATCCCTTACCAGGGGGAGAGAGCGTGGATTTGTGCATTCTTTAGCTGAGCTGGGTCTCCAGCTCTTGCTGACCGCACATAGAGTCCCTTGGGGATAGGGACTGTGGGAGATGAACGGCTCATTGAGGCCCGACCCTCACTTCAGGGTCTGAGAAGTAGATCTAAACCGACTGCGCCACCAGATACACCAGTTAGGACGCAGCAGTTTTTGTATATTAAATGAATGACATTATGTACGAGCATTATCAACGGAGGATACGGTCTGGACGCGCAATATAGTATAATATAGCTATATTTTCAAGTACGTGTCAATATATGTCGCTATTACTCATGTCAGATACTGTTTGTCAAATAACTTACCACTGATACTTTATTCTATACATCGAGACCATGCTTGCTAGTAGATAGAAGAATGGGTCTTTATAGTTACATCTCCGAGAACTTGAAAAAGAAAAAGACAGATGGAGAAAGACAGAACTCGTCACCACAAAAACTGTCTCTGAAACTTCACAGGTGGCGCCGCGATCCACGAACTCAGCTCCATTGGCGCTGTCGGAGTCGGCGTCGACGCATATATTGAATCCACTATTTGGGATGGCGTGGTTCCTGTATTTCTGTTTGCAACTTGATACTCTCTTCCATCGGCTGAAGATGGTACGGTCCCGTTGGCATGCAGATCGTTCTGATCTTCCGCCTGCCGATTCAGATCCTGATACTGTTGTATTATCCCCTTTCTGGGAGTCTCTTCCGAAGAAGAACAAGAAACCGGACCCCGCATTCCTGGCTCTTGTTCCGATTCTCGTTGAACGACTGAACGACTATCACTCAAACTGGTTCTCTGGCGTTTCCTCGGGCTCTGCCCCAAAGGAACTGGTGGATCTTCAATCACTGTATCTCCAAAATGTGTTCGGGCTGCTGCACCTCGCGACGAGCTATCATCTATAGATGATAAACTCAGGTCTGTATCACGCCGGACAACACTATCGCCAGCACCAGCAGAACTCGAACATAAACCAGAAGACACACCTCCCGTCCAACCCGCATGATGATGAAGATGATAACAATCCCTCTCCCACCTCCGAATACTCTCAGTAGAAGATAAAGGGAATCGTTTCCAGTACTCTGCGCCTGTCTTTCTCGTAGTGGATGATAATGATAGTGGTGGTATTATCAAATTATTCTTCTGGTTCTGGTCCACGTCCAGATTGGTATTCGATTTCGAGTTCAAGTTTGAGTTTGAGATGATGGACGATGTGACTTTTCCTTCTGAAAGAATCTTAGAAAGCTCATCATCTGATACATGACCGAGGAGTCTTAGTAGTAAATGCTCTGTTTCGTGAAGACGGTGTTCGAGGGTTTCGATGTAGCCTTTTGCGGGGCCGCTGGGGTTTGGATTTTAGTTAGGGATCGGTACGTTCATATTTCTAAAGACAAGTTCGAGATTGGGTTGGGATTGGCCCTTGTTTTGTTTTTTTCGTGATGTATTCATCCCGATGAGATGACCATATGTATATATATGTGTGTGTGTGTGTATGTGGTCTGAGAATGTATATCTATAACGTACCGTTTAAGTTGTTCTGGCCAAGCGCAAGGACGGCCGTATTCGAGACATTGTTCGCATCTTGGTCTTTTTGCCATATTGCTTTTCGTTAGTTGATGTTTTCTTTCTTTTTCGAGGTTGAATCATCAAATAAAATCTTCGGTTTTCACTAAGAGTCAAGGGTTTGCATAGCGTAGGAGGAGGTATATTTATCCTCGACTTGGAACAATAGACGGTTTCAATTAACATACCTTTCACCACTACACTGTATGCTATATCAGCCGCCTTTTCCCTTCATGAAAATGAAATTACACCATTACAGCGAATTATTTGAGTTCAACTTACCTTTTGCTTCCGCGCTCGACATGGATTACACGCCGTGGTGATGCGAGAGGCTTTTTTCTCGCGTGATGTGAGGGCCATAGGGATGAAATGAATAAATAAATAGATAATTATTGTGGGTAGTCAGATAGTAATTTATGGTGGAAGAATAGATTATGTAGGGTATAGAAGATTATTCTGAAATCGTGCAGGGTATGGATGGTATGGTATATTGGTCGGTTGCGCTGGGAGATGAGATTTCCCAAGGGTCCGCGCAGCCCGGCTGAAGGATCAATGGATAAAAGACCAAAACGTCAAACTTGTCGGTAGAAATGATATCTCTTGAAGTGTAGATGCAAAACCACCAACTACTAACTAGCCAGTATTAGCACTCTCCTGTAGAATTATCTTGAACGCGGGGGAATGGGGGTCCATATCGGTAGAAAAATCAGCCGATAAGTACACTTAGCTTAACCCCTCACGTGCACGGTCTTCATTCCGATTTGTCCAATTGCGACCTGCACAGAGAGCCATGACTGGTAATTATTGAATGTTATGGATCATTCTTATAGTGAAAGGCTGATCTGCCTCATGGTGAAGGTTAATCGTATTGGCGATCGTTTTGCTCATCGTCATTAGGATGAACGTTCAAGCATAGCCCCGCTGTCCGATGGGGACGATTCTGGGGGTATTAATATGTCTACATACCTACCTACCTACCTATCTGCTAGATTCCTATCTTTAAGTCTTCATCAATCACTTGAAAGGCCCTACAATGTCTCCAACATACCGCATCGCATCTATCCCCGGTGATGGAATCGGCATAGAAGTCGTCGCGGCGACGATACAAGTGGTTGAGAAACTTGCTAGGACTCTTGGAACATTCAATATTGAATTTACGCATATCCCGTGGGGAACTGCTTATTACAAACAACATGGCCGCTATGTCTCAGAAGACGTACTAGAGACGCTGCGCGGATTCGATGCGAGCTTGTTTGGTGCGGTTGGGGCTCCAGGTATGTTTTACTCTGTCTTCCCATGTTTAAATGCACATATTTTGTTTTTTTGCGAGTAAGTTAGCTGATCCATGGCCAGACGTTCCTGATCACATCTCTTTATGGGGCCTCTTGCTGGCCATCCGTGGCCCATTGCAGCTATACGCCAACGTCCGTCCCGTTCGAACGTTCCCCGGGACAAAATGCCCGCTGAACACCGTTTCCGACGCAGGCATTGACTGGGTCCTCGTACGCGAGAATTCAGAAGGAGAATACTCCGGTCAAGGAGGCCGGTCACATCTCCACCAGCCATGGGAGACAGCCACAGAGGTAGCAATCTTCACTCGCGTCGGCATTGAACGAATCATGCGCTTCGCATTCGAAACGGCGCGATCTAGACCAAAGCGTCTTCTGACGGTGGTTACAAAGAGCAACTCCATGCGCAACGGAATGGTGCTCTGGGATGAAATCGCTGCGGAAGTCGCCAAGGACTATCCTGATGTCACATGGGATAAGATGCTAGTTGACGCCATGACTGTGAGGATGGTCGCGAAGCCACAGTCACTCGACACCATCGTCGGGACAAATCTCCACATGGATATTCTTTCCGATTTGGCTGCTGCGCTTGCGGGTTCCATTGGCGTTGCGCCATCGAGTAATCTGGATCCGACAAGGAAGAATCCTTCATTGTTCGAACCAGTGCATGGAAGCGCTTTTGATATCACTGGCAAGGGAGTCGCTAACCCAGTTGCGACGTTCTGGTCTGCCGCAGAGATGCTCTCATGGCTAGGCGAGAAGGATGCGTCGAAGAAGCTTATGGATTGTGTTGAACGGGTCTGCGCTGCTGGCATCCTGACTCCCGATCTTGGGGGTAAAGCAACTACGCAGGACGTGGTGGATGCTGTTAACAAAGAGATCGAGGGCCTCTCTAATTAACCAAGCCGCGTGGATTTACGTGCGTGTTGTAGATATTTTAGACCGCTTGTTTACGTTGCGCTGATTAAAATGTCACTTAGTAGTGCCACAAGTTCATAATGCGACACCATTAACGAACAAATCAAAGTCAAATAATAATAATGTCGAGTAGTAGATAGACAGACTTGAAGAAAATACAGAAACGAAAGAAAAGTTCTTCGGGGATACTCCACGTCCTTCGCAAGATCCGGAATTCTTCCAGAAAACCTGGCAGGTAGGAACGGCCTAGAAAATCCCACTGCAGAAACATGCCACTTCGCATGCTCGAAGTTCTTACAGCAAGTAGAAACCTGAGTAGTGTTGCTCGTCAGCACTATATGTCTTCCGGGTACTGGTTTATCTGAATACGACTCTATTGATGATGTTGATAGGGATAATCTGCCTTTCTTTTTCGTATAATTGGTTGGTGATTCCGATTTCTGCATTGAAAATTCGGAAACGGGACAGTCCACTTCAAGGCAAAGGTCTTTTTTTCAACAGTCGAGGCAGTTTCAATTACCAAACACAAGACATGGTCTACGGATGGTTAGTATATGAGACAATGGATTATCGTGTGTAGCCCTCAGTATGTTCGGATTGTGGGGTCGCTTGAATTATCAGCCGGTCGATCGGGAGCTAAAATATTACTATGAATTTTACTGTCATGAATATCTTTGTCTTGTCCATTCCTCCGCCATTGATTTCACTGGTCATATGTCTTAGTCCCTGACCGCATTGAGCCAGAATCATATCATAATAGTTGACTAGGTAGTCAATACTTCACAAGTCGTGCTGTACTGCTGACTCATCGTCGCCGACTGCTTCGAACAAATGATAAAACGATAAAACCACCAGAGAAGCCACGCAGTGCACGGATGATCGGATGATTGGATATCACAGCTCATAACGCAGATCCTGGTTGCCTTTTATATTCAGGGTCTTCTGCTGCCAAGCTGAACAGGATGCCTCGCCAAGCATGGCGTCGTCAGATTTCATGTCTCATACCTCGGAAGTAGGATCCCTGACGACGCACTCGAACGATGAGAGCCAGTTCGTCGGGAGTTCCAGCGGCGTCTACTTTATTAAAACGGTCAGACAGGCCTTTTCTCAAGGCGTTACACCGTCAAATGATGAGACACAAGGGCAAGACTTTCCTCACCCGGAGGATACGATCATTGGTAGCGAAGACTCACCGTGCGAGAAACATCCTCCCACGGCTTACGGGACCCCGTACAGCAGTATAGATGCTGGGACTCGTCATCATCGCTGGGAGTACCATCCGGCCGTCACACAGGCCTTGGGAGAAGCTCCACCGCTTCAACAAGCGAAAGAATTGATGATGATGTATTTCAAAGTCTGGCATCCGCTATTTCCGTTCCTCCATGGACCGACTTTTCTGCAGGAGATGGAGCTACTATACTCTACAAGCGGGGGTGCATCATCGACTATAAATGTACAGTCAGAACATAAAAGTGCCTGCTGGACAACGATTTTTCAATGCGTTTTCAACCTCGCCAGTCTATTGAATCCAGGTGTCAACCTACCGCAAGCGTCCAAAATCAAATCACCCACAAACATCCATACATTGTTAGGGTTGCTCGTCTACAGACATGACACTCCGGCTCTTCAGGCAATGCTGGCCGCGCAATTATATCTCCTAGCCACGATGTCACTTCGGACGGCGTCGACGGTAGGTGGCTGTATCCTTAGATCAATGCTTCATGCTGGCTTGCATCGTTGTCCGTTCCGTTACAAGGAACTTACCTGTCATGATCGTCAATTGCGAAAGAGGATCTTTTGGAGCGCATACGCTATTGACCGCTACCTGAGCCAGGCACTGGGTTTGCCTCTTGGGATTCAAGATTCGGACGTTGACGTTTGTCTGCCGGGTGCACATGAGTTGCATAATCCGCTGTCCTCAAGCAGCATTGCACAAACTGAAGCATCCCCTAATCGGACAATCCCAAAATCACCTATGCTGGAGAATGGACGGTCTGTAGGAAATCCATATCTCGGAAGGACTGAACAGAGCCCCCATCCTCAACCTTCGAACGACGACTCTAATTGGCATCAAGAACAAAATAACCGAGAAGCTGCGCTGGCAAACTACGTTATATCTGGAAGATTGACTGGCCGAGCATTAGAGCTCTTCCACAAATCCATCCACGTCCGTTCCGTCCGACGCAGCTCGGTTCTCTTTCTGATATCCGATGTCCACAAATGGTGGAACGGACTACCACCAAGCCTACAAGGAACGCCTCCTCCTAGGCGCAACTGCGAAACAAAATCCCCTGAAGCTGATGAACCTTTCGATCTGGGACCGTTCTTCACGGTCCTTTACCAGCATCTTATTCTCCTGATTAACCGACCATTGCTGTCTCTAGATACCTCAAGCCCGGACTTCTGCTCTGGACTTCAGACTTGCATTGGTGCAGCTAGGGGTATCTTATCCGCGTTACAGGCTCAGATAGACGGAGGCCAAGCGCTGTTCTGGCCGGGCTTCTTATCAGCAGCATGGATGTCGGGGTTGGTGATTGTTTTTGCTTGTCAACTTAAACAATACGTTCTTTCGAAAGGTTGTCAGTAAGTCTAGACCCTGCACTGATACCTCCTCTTACCCGCCAATTCATCCCTGAAAACCAATTACTAACAATCACCCCAGAGAGATCAGCGAATGCCTCGACATCCTCAACTTGATGTCCTCACAATGGGATACCGCCAAGCAGTGCCATACGGCCCTTTCATCTCTCTTCCTAAAGATAAAACGCCAAAACAGCAACGACAACAACAATCCCAACAACTTACTACTCTCCTCAATTCACGACAACTTCACTCATCACGCCCAACCCTCCTCTCCAACAACCATAGCTCCACCATCATCAAACACACCCACCAATCCTCACGATTACTATGACTTCCACAGACACAAGCGTCGAAAAACAGACCCGACGAACGATCCTTCGGATCAAAATACTCGATCTACACAGCAACAACAGCAATCCCTTCTTCTTCCTCCACCTCCTCTTACTCAGGCATATAATAGTAATAATTACAACACCGAAACAACAGCATCCATAACTAACAATAACCCAACATCATGGAATCTAAGCGGTCTCGAAGATCTTCAATGGCCAGGTGGTTCTGAGTCTGCTACGAATTTTGATCTGAATATGACGGATCTGTTTCATGGGGATTGTTTGTTTGATTTATCGGGACCGTCTGCGGAGTCTTGATTCGAGATCGTGATGATTCATGTTCGGTTCACGTGCATACATATACATGTGTGTGTGTGTATGTATTAGGGCAAGACATCATCGTCACCTAGAGAAAAGCAGAAAGAATTCATAACTATAGTCATGAGCTGCGATCACTCATCGTTGTATTTTGTAGATGAAATATACACGACTGAAGATATCGAATATCGAGCTTAATTCACTATCAAAAGTGGTACGAGAAAATCTATGTCGACATAAGAAGAGAACAAAAGAAAAAAAACGTGACCCATCATCATCAAGCCCATGCATGACACAATAAAAAAAAGTAGACCAGTCCAGCTTTTCCCTGCACCCGCCCACGACATGGTAGCATCGCATCCCATCAAAGAGCGCTGAGTCAAGACTCCTGGTGCCTCGTATCCTGAGCCAGTATTGTGACACCCGGCCCAGTTTTCCATTGGGAGATCAGTTTACCCTTCGTTAAGCAGTGCTATACCGAGTTGTCAGGTATCGCGCAACCACGATAGACTACGTACGCCACTTAGGGACGGCACGCGAAACCGCGAGGAAAGTCATGACTCTATGATACAAAGGCGTGAAAGTAGATACGAGGTAGGGACGATACAAAAAGACGTAACACCTCCCCGTCTCACAAGAAATAGACAAACACCGCGCCCGAGTACTTTTTTCGTCCCAAATTCCCTTCAATGTTGCTTGGAGAGTTCGCACCCACGTCTCCGCCATGAAGGAGAAGACCTGAGTGAATGACATCTGCACACGTACATAGCGAATTGGACTGAAAGGGACCTGGTAACCCGAATGTTGTCATGAAATAAGAGCCGGATGGGAGGACACCGTTAACAAAACTTTTCGTAACCGGGGATATCAGGGCCAGGAAAGAAAAATAAAAGGAAAATTGGAAGAGGAACAGAAAGTCATCGAACACGTAAATCGAGACTCCACATCAACCATGAGGTAAACTCGTCACCAATCGAAGAGGCACATCTAGAAGATCTACGACTTAGTCTCCTCTGCAGCCTCCTCCTTAGCTTCCTCTTTCGGCTTGGCAGTCTCTCCAGAAGCAGCGTTGTCGCCACCTTTGTTCTTCATGTACTCGTCATAAACAGTAATAGCTTCATCGACCTTGGCGCGCAAAGCGGCCTCGTCATCGATCCTAAAGGGGACTGTCAGCAAATGTCACATCTGAAGATAGGAGGAAATTCTGCAACTTACAGGCTAAGGAGCTCAACATTGTCCATCTCCAGAAGCATACCGGTGATCTTTCCAGCCAGCTCAGGCTGCTGAGCCTGGATCTTAGGGTAAATAGCTTCACCTAGCATCTGCTTCTGCTGAGCGGGAGGAGCGGCAGTCAGGGTAGCGAGAGTGAGACCGCTAGGGGCAACTTCAGCACCGGCAACGGGACCAGGAGCGTTCTGTCCGCGACCACCCTGGCCAGGGCGGATCTGCTGAGGAACACCTCCGCGACCCTGGAAGCCAGGGCCACCAGGACCGCGCATGCCAGGAACGTTAGCCATGTTGGGGGGGATACCCTGGATGGGGACCTGTCCGCGGCCACCGGCACCACGTCCGAAAGCCTGGACCTGGGCAATGGGAGGGTAGCCCAGACCGTTGGGAATAGCACCAGGAGCACCCATGGGGATGCCCTGAGCGAAGTTAGGAGGAATGGGCTGGTTGGCAGCGATTCCACGTCCTCCCTGCTGAGGGAAAGGAGGATATTGGCCAGGACGGCCACCGGGCATGCCAGCCATGACCATACCGGGCTGAGGAGCGAAGGCCAGGCCACCACGGCCAGCAGCACCAGCGGGGAGGAAGCCCTGCTGGCCGGGTCCGTAGAAGACGGCCGGCTGCATGTAGGGCTGGGGCATACCAGCGGCGGCGGCGGCCTGCTGCTGACGGATGGTGTTGCGGGCCTGAATGGAGGCCTCAAGCTGGCTTCTTCGGACATCCTTACGCTGAGCCAGAGCGACGTAGAGGGGCTTGCCGTTGACCATGCGCTGGTTCATCTCAGTGACGGCCTTAGAAGCCTCATCGGGGCTGCTGAAGCAGACGAAACCGAAGCCCTTGCTCTTGCCAAGAGCCTTCTTCTCGCCCTTCTCGGACTTCTTGTCCTTCTTCTCCTCCTCCTTGGACTCCTCCTGCTTCTCTTCAGCCTTAGTCTCCTCACCCTCTGCCTTCTCCTTTTCAGCCTCCTCGCCTTCCTTGGTCTCCTTAGTCTCCTTCACGTTCTCCTTCTCGGAGTCGGAGCTAGAGCGCTCAAGGGTGTCACGCATGACCCTGGCGGAGGTGATAGTACCGTAGGGGCTGAAGAGGTCCCGGAGCTTGTCGTCGTCAATGTCATCCGTCAGGTTCTTGACGTAGAGGTTGACGCCCTGGTACTTGGACGCCTTCTCGACGCGAGCAGCCTCATACTGCTTGCGGAGTTCCTCCTCACGCTCGTGCTTCTTCTGAGCACGGCCAACGTAGAGCTTCTGGCTCTTGTACTCCTTGTCGTTCAGTTCATCAACGGCGGCCTGCGCACTCTCGTGGGTGGAGAAGTTGACGAAACCGAAGCCACGGCTCTTGCCAGTCTCCTGGTCACGGCTGACGGTGGCAGAGGTGATATCACCGTACTTTGAGAAGAGTTCACGGAACTCCTCGTCGGTAGTCTCGGGGTCGAGGTTCTTCACGTAGACGTTGGTGAAGTTGGCCTTCATCTCCTCGAACTTGCTCTGACGGTCCTTCTTGGCGATGTGGTGTCCGACATAGACCTTCTTCTCGTTCAGCAGCATTCCGTTGACGTGCTTGATGGCGTTGTTGGCGGCCTCAGCAGTCTCGTAGTGAACGAAACCGTAACCCTTGGAGTTACCAAACTCGTCCTGAGCGACCTTGCAGCTCAGGATGTTGCCGAAGGCAGCGAAGGTGTCGTGAAGAGCCTTGTTGTCAATGGCAGCGTCCAGGTTCTTAATGAAGACATTGCCCTGACCAGTCTTGCGCAGAGCCGGGTCACGCTGAGACCACATGATACGGCAAGGACGGCCCTTGATCAGAGTGTAGTTCAGGTCCTCCAGAGCACGCTCACCGTCAGCGGTGTTGTTGTAGTTAACGTAGGCATATCCGAGGGAACGTCTGGTGACGGCATCACGGCAGACACGGATGGAAGCGACCTGGCCGATGGAGGAGAAGAGCTCGAAGAGCATCGCCTCAGTCACCGAGGGGTCCAGCTCGCCGACATAGAGGGAAGCGGAGTGAGGCTGGCTGGCGCTGGTAGACTGCGCAGACTCAGTCGCGGGAGTCTCAGAGGCGACATTGGTGTTGGCCACGCTGCCGTTGGTATCAGGGGTACCGTTGGCGGTGTTGTCAGCGACGGGAGCAGTAGACACTTCCGCAGACATTTTGATGATATCTAATCTAAAATCGACGATGTCAGTGATGGGTCTTCGGTATCCGGATGATGCTCTCGAGCTAGCGATGTCCTCTTGATCGCACACAAAGGGGCGGAGGTAATGTTTTCGCAAAAAACAAAAAAAAAAAAAAATTGTTTCGAGGAAACGTACCTGATCTCCTGGTGTAGAAGTCAAAAAGCAACGAGAGGTCGCGCCACACCTTAAGCCGTTAGAAGCAAAGGAGTGGTGTGTCTCAGCGTGTCACAGATGGATCTGCTTGGATTCTCCACGCGCGAAGAGGCTGGGAGAAGAAGCAACGATGCAAAGTTGGGCCGATCACGAGGGATGGAGACAAAGGCGGCGGCAGGCGAGAATAAATAGTGCACAACAACCACACAGAGTCCGGATGGGCAAAACGGGAGGGGCTTTTTTAGAGGATTTTCCGATTTTTTTGAAGGTTTTTTCCGCTTTAATTTTTTTTGAGAAAAGGGAAAGGGGCAGAAGGGAGAAATAAGAAGGATGCTAAGAGTAGCAAAAAGGATGCGAGGGTGGTGGGAAGACAGAAGTGGTGAAAGAGCTTTTGGGCCTTTTGTCGGGCTTTCTGGAAAACTCAAAGGGAAATTTCGTGAGTAGTGGCGCTAAGCCCGATCGGGACCCAGACATCGAGGGTTTTTTTTTTTTTTCTCTCTTTTTTTTTCTTTGCCCTTTGGTGGCAGCGGCGAAAATTATTTTATCTAAGCTCTCGCCTGGGTCCCTTGGTTTGACTGCCCGATCGCTGGATCGCGTATCAAAGGTTCTTCCTGTCCGATGGCCCCAGCTATACCCTGCTGGAATTTCGTTCTAGCTTTGAATCTTCGAGGCAGATTGTGGTAGAATGAGTGAGCATCCAGATCGGCGGTGATTGGTGGCGATAATCTTGTTTGGCTACTACCACAGTTCATACATACACCTTCCATGAGGACATTCTACGCAGGGTATGCCAGTCAACATATCAAGACCCTGTCGCTTGTTCACTGGCGCCTGCAGTTTATTACATAGACTTTCTGTGGCGTCATGATCGCGGTCCCTGCACCATCTGATCTATACACTCGCCACAAGAATCGGATGTTCTAGGCAACGATACATTATTAGGACTACACATATCTCTATTGGCATAGCAAGGCATAGCAAAGCAGTATATCGCTAGATCGTTAAAAAGAACTCCCGACAGACGCCCCAATATGCAATTGGCCACATCCGCATTCACGCCAGTGCACGTTAAAATAACGAATCAAATGCTCACATGAAACTCTCCCTGGCAAACGGGTTGACTGGATCGATGGCAGACAGATGGTGGATCAGCTAAGATCGAATCCAGCTCCCGAATTGACAGCATAAAGCAGCTTCTCCTGCAGGACCTTAGGGTTCGAGTACCGAGGAAGCTTCAGTAGATTGACGCAGGTGCTGGTACTGGGAAGTCGCTCCTGGTCATCGCCAGAGTCACGGATGCTAAACCGGGGATTCAAGTGACTGAACCCCAACAGAGGAGCTCGTGGTGTCGAGGTGACGAACTTGAGGACTTTCGCTCGTTCCTCGTTGCTCATAGATTCCATGACCTGCCAGAACATCTTGACCGTTGGATGTTCCTCCTTGTCGTCTCCAATAGAGTAGACTCCCCCGTAAAGCGTGTTCCGCCGCAGATCCGCGACGTCAATCTCGCCGGAATCACCACCTACAAGTGTCTGCAATTCCGACTGGTTGAACATGGAAAGCCACGAGGGTTGAATGATCTGTCCCAAGCCCTGGAGGAAGGCATTTGTCTGCAAAAATGGCTGCACCTGCAGACGGTGACGTGCAATATAGGAGATATAGACGAGGCGATTCTGATTCGTAACAGGGATGTTGGAACCGTTGGGCTTCAGCTCTCTAGTGATAGTACGTGTGGCAGCAGGTGTTCCATCGGGATTTGTCGGGCCTGGAAGAGGTATTGTATCTGTGACCGTGAAGTTGAGGGCAAAGTCTTCGACATCACCAGGGTAGTTCTTGAGTTGTAACTGTAGACAATATTAGCACTTATTCTGTATAATTGCATGGCAACAACAGCTTACCAGGCCCTGGTAGAGACCTTCGTCAAGGTCTCTCAGATCATTCAAATTCGCCCGGTATGCGGATTCTCTCTGCGCAGAGCTTGTTCCGCCGGTCAGAGACCATTTGAGGAGGAAGAAACCAGCAAAATTGACGTCTACTAGTATTCCTTCGTAGAGGCACTTTCCGATAATACGACCTAGGAATTCATAGCGTCGAAGCAAATCACGGACTTGTTCATTCCACTCAGCACTGCCTTCGATGAAGCCTGTCTGTCGTAGAAGCTCCTTCCGTTGTTCAACAGCGGCAGGATTGGGGTATAGCAGGTGATGGTCATTCTCGACAAACAGATCGAGGCCGTTAGAGGGCTTGAACGCTTCGTTGGTCACGCTGGTCAGGAATTCCTTGGTTACACCACCGCCGTCGATTCCAGCTTCGACAGCGCCAAACCTGTCGATGAAGCTAATCTGGATAGGCTCTTTCAGGCCCTCCCCTAGCCCGTAGAACTGGTCAAACGCGTCTTCAAACACGCTTTCACGCCTAATGTTCGCATGATGGCGACTAAGAATATCGTGTGCCGCGGGTCCACCGTCTAGCATGCGGCCCATCAAGGCCTGCGCGACAGACATACGCCAGGCATCAGGATCGATGAAGCCGTGTCTTCGACGCATCTGATCCCTGTAGATAAACTCCCGGAAGACCTGAACACGTGTAGCAAATGGTATGAAGAAAGGCATATTTCTGAGGATTTCCAGTCGAGGAGCGACCGCCTCCAGCTGCTTCCTCCTAGCCACTTGCTGCTGACGTCGCCGAAGAGCTTCGATGCGGCGAGCTTGTTGGGCTCTTCCTGTACCGATCAGTCCCAAAGAACTATCAGCAAAGTCCTCTAAGAATTCATCCTTATTTTCATCCTCATCTTCGTCACTCTCCTGGAGTTGATGCCGGTTCTCTTCTTCTGCGACGACGGCGGGAATGAAGCCTTCCATGTCAAAACGGCCAGTCATGAGCCAATGACCGTCAGGTAAGAACTTCCGTCTCGAACTGAAAACGGTTAGCAACGGTCCAACCAATTGACAAATGTGGTATGATACTTACTCTCGCTCGTGTATCATCCTCAGCAGACCAGTCACGAGACCCTTGAAATAGTCAAGAGGTATCCCAGTCACTCCAGGCAAACCCTTCTCCTTATTCCTTAATTCCAAGTCTTTGACACCTGGCAAAGCGGACGAATTGAAGTAATCTCGGATGTTAGTTGTTTCTTGCTGAGGATGCGTTTCGTTGAGGTCTGCTGCATTCCAATAGAGAGTGAATCCTAGGTTCTTCAAGAAAACGGTCATATCTTTGATCTCGCGCAACGGAAGTGCGCTTTCTTTAGTCCATGAGACACGAGAACTCGAAGATACCGGAAGAGATGCGCCGCCAGAGAAGAATTCATCATCGTCCATGACTTTTAAGACGAATGTATACAACTCAAGAAACAGAAGAATGATGGTCCATTCTTGATCCCTTTCTCGTTGCGAGTTTTCTGGGACATTTCCATTCGCAAACTCGGAAGGTTGCAAAGGTTTCAATAGAGGGAGCACTTGATTCGAATCGCGGCTGATGTGGGCGAATATTTTCGTAGCACGCGAAGCCTGCCAGAAATACTTGATAGCAGGCACACGTGAGGTAGACTTCTCTCCCCTGTCATTTGCAGAAGCAGACCCCAAATACAGCCACATACGAATGTCATCACCCCGTCGTGGGAACACTCTCAAAAGTGTCAGGGCGTATGTAGCAAGAAACTTAGCTTCGCCTAACTCTCCAGGCTCGCCAGCTGAAGGAGGAGTAGACGGTATTTGAGACAATAGACCAGTGATGCTATTCTGGTTCACGAGACTGATAATCTGTTCTCTCACAAACGGATGAAGGGGGGAGGCCTGAACTTCTTCGCTCTCAGTGGAGTCATCTATTTCAAGACGACGCGATACATATGAGGCGACAGAGTTGAGGAGCGAAGACACTACTTTCACGAACTCAGGCTCAGGAGCTTTTTGCACAACACCTCCAAGAGCGTGGCGATAAATGAATATGAAATATGCAAGGAGCCAGAGACGGTCTTCAGTATCTTCTGGGCTTGACAAAATTGGAGGAGCTTGAGATATGTGTGTATCCAATGCTGACGCAAGCAGCCTGTAGTTGATATTTGTTGCAAGATCCTCGATTGTCCCTATGTGACTATCAAGGTCTGGGATGGTGAGGTATGCTCTAGCAAACCACTCATATGCACCCAGAGTCTCTGATGTAAGCGGACGCAGCAAAGCGAGAACGCTCTCCACCAACATCTCTCTCGTCAGACTTGCCCCCTTCGAAAGTACCGAGAAATTTCTTGTCAATGCAGCCATAGCAGAATAGTATTCATCTGCAATCCGTGCTAATTGTCTCGGTACCAAGCTTGTCAGGAAGACCAGCAAGCGCAGAAGCTCATTGATTGCAAACTTGGGGGGCGAGGAAGAGGCGGCAGAAACTTGTAGCACGCGAAGAGTTGTTTTGGCAAGGCGTACCAGTAATGTCGTCCATTCACCCTCCGTAGCTATCGAAGGCACTTCCTCAAGTGTGTGTTGGAAGGCTTTTGAAAAGTATAGCAGACGCAGGATATCGCCTGCATTCCTTATCTCAAGGAAATGCAACAACAATCTAAGCTGTGACAAGCAGTCCGTAGCTGTCGAATAGCGTATGGGAGGCTGTGCTTGCAATATATCCTGTCCCTCAGGACCTTCGAAGGAGAGCCTAGCTGAGACTCTACCCTGCTCGACAGCGTCCCATTCAGATCTCCAGATATTGCGTGTTATCTTCCGACTCCTGTAGCCCCGCCATGTTCGTTGTATTCTGAGGCATGCACTTAGCCGTTGCCTCTCTTGTTGTCTCAGGATTCGCTCTTGCTGTGCTATAGCCAAAGTATTCTGTGTACTGCCTCCGTGAGGAGCTCCTCTTCCTGAAGGAAATCCAGCAAAAGGATTTGCATTGCGGCTCCCCAGATTCACCTGGCGTGGGCGGCGTGAGCTGCCCGTGAAGGACTGGAACATAGCTTCGAGCCGATCGAAGGATTAGTCGTTCGTTGACGAAGCTCAGACCAAGTGGCTAGTGTTTCCTGTAGACGCCGCGTAGCTGGACGCAGCTATCTCCATCGTTGAAGTGAAGGGAAATTAGTTTCAACGACACCGGTCAGTGTTGGTTACGACATACGCTCCGTGATGACGGCCGCGCATGAACGCCGGGGCTCGGGATGGTCCGCACTCCAGGCCGAGCTCGCATCAGCCCACGAGGCTCGCGCTTATTGCCACCGCCAGAAGGCCGCCGAAGAATTCTAAAGACTTCGGCAGTATTTAATAATTAATACTTACTGCGAGCTGACGAGTTATGCGCAAAGATTCTCTATCAGCGCTTTAGCTTAAATCTATGACAGCTTACCACCTTACACTGCTGGAACAATATGAACAGAAAAAGCAGCCGTTGAAATGGTAGAGAAAAGACCGGGAGACCTCCCAGTGTTCTATGCTCTGTATATTCGAGCCTCTCAATCCAAGAAACAGTATGATATCACCTAATCTCGCCAGAGAAACCACAATGCGTTATATGGTACAGGAATAGTAATAATAATTCTCGCCCAGTTGATTTTGCATCGGCACATATGGTGGACGTAGCCTTCTGCAGAGCCGTCTGTTTGCCAGACGCCTTGATATTGCCCTCATTGGGTGTCGATGATCCCATGGATTGGTATGCCAGTACTTCCCAAGAACGGATCATGAGCCGCCAGCTGGAAACAATTGGAAACCGTCGTCTCTCGCTGCGATCTCATGAACTCTTCGGTTGAGCGGCCTCGGTCTGCTCTGGCAGCGCTCCCTCCGCTTCCAGTCGCTCGTACTCGAGCACTTCCTGACCGTTATCTGACATCCACATCTTCAGATAGTCTTTTCCATCGAATGCTCGCTCCACGATGATTTTCTTGCCGTTCTTTTCCAATTCCTTCGTGTATTTACTTCTCGTCGGGGCCATGCGTCGCGTGACGAACGGGGTGAGCTGCAAAAAGATCAGATACTGAGATTCCATCCAAGGAAGAAGCTTTCAAATTACCTTGAATTGATCAAGTTGCTCAGGGACAACATAAGTGCGGACTTTCTTCCAGTCGACCACGTAGGAGCCATTTTTTGCGAAGTATCCCATCGCTCCCGATCGGTTTCCCTTGTAGTAACCACCGTTGACCTGCTTGGTGGTCAGGCGCAAACGCGCCATCATGGGCTGAGAGGGCTTGAACATTGTCTGCGACGGACGACAGAGACCAGTCGCTGGCAGATTGGACGATTTTCAACAAGGTCGACGGTGCTTGAAGAGGTCGCCGTCCTGGCTGAAGCGAGTCCGCATCGGCCTCGAGAGATTCTAACCGCGCTAGTAACTCCGTCTCCGAGAACTTCTTGGCCGCCAAAAGAAAAAAATACCATACCACCCCACACTTCGCTGTCGAGCTGCAACACGCCCATGTTGACTGCTATTTGCTTCTCCTTTATCTAGAAGTAAAATATACGCAGCCATGCCTGGCAGACAGTCGAATCAACTGCGGAGGCCCGAGGATAACGGTCCTCGGAAAGCAAAGCCCAGACGCAAGCGCGGAAAGAGTCTTAATGCGCTGACCATCGCGGAGCACCAATTCCCGATCAAACCAAGAATCCGCCGTCATCGTCTTGGTGAGGATGAAGAAGATGATGATGCTTCCAAACGCAAGCGCCAATCCCGTCACGCCGATGAAGATTCAGATGGTCCGGACACGAAGCGACGCAGAACCGGTGACGAATCCTCAGATGACAGCGGCGAGGGCGGAAGCGATAGTGAGGGACACCAGTGGAAAATAGGACAGGTGGACAGTGATGATGATAGCGAACTGGACAGCGATGAAGCCATGGGTGAGAGCGACGAGGAAAGATTCGATGGTTTCTCTTTCCGCGGGAGTTCTACGATGAAGTCCAAATCGGGGCGAGTTTCTGGCGGGAAGAAGTCAAAAGGCGCTATAGATCTATCTGAAGATGGTGACAACATCGAAGAAGACTCTGAGGACGATCTGGGAGAGGATGCCGTGGATCTGGCTACCGCATGGGACATGAACGCTTCTGAAGATGAACAAGAACAAAAGGCTCCACGGCCTAAGCAGAAAGCGTCAGACAATGCATCCAGTGACATGCAGTCTGAAGATGATGACGATGAAGCGGAGCTCAGCGACGACTCCGATCTGTCGGTGTCGGACGATGAGGGAGACGATAACCAGCGCGGGCTTTCCAAGCTCCAAACTTTCGTGAACTCGATGGAGACAGAAGTAACGGCGAAACCATCGCGAAAGCTCGATTCTGGCACAGAGAAGGGCAAACCTACAGAATACGGCCTAAACTCCTCACGAAAATTGACTGTTGCGGACCTTATACCTTCCATCACCGATTCTCGCTTGAAGACTTCTCTTAAGTATTTGGACCCTACTGTTGCGTCTAAAAAGTCTGCATCTACGGGCATTCCTGGAAAATTGCAAGCACCTCTTCCCAAGCGTCAACAAGATCGGTTGGAGCGAGCTGCTGCTTATGAGAAGAGTAAGGAGACGCTCAACCGATGGATAGAGACGGTCAAGGCGAACCGGCGGGCAGAGCACTTGTCCTTCCCCTTGGTCAATCCTAACGAACAACCTACGACGAAAATGGATGTGGCTAAGCCGCAGACGGATCTCGAGAGCACTATCCAGAACATCCTGGTAGAGAGCGGACTGGCCGACTCCACTGAGAAGTCCGCAGAACAGCAAGTTCAGGAGTTCGAGGAGCTCGAGGCGCGAAAGCTTTCTCTTGAAGAGTTACAGGCCCGAAGAGCAGAGCTTCGCAAACATCGCGAGTTACTCTTCCGTGAGGAGGTCCGCGCAAAGAGAATCAAGAAGATTAAGAGCAAGTCCTACCGACGTGTTCATCGCAAGGAACGGGAAAAGATGGAGCAAATGGAGAGACAGGCCCTTCTGGAGGCGGGAGTGGACCTGGATGAGGAAGAAAGGGAAAAGAATGACCGGCACAGAGCTGAGGCTAGAATGGGAGCGAAGCATCGCGAGAGCAAATGGGCTAAGAGTCTCAAGCAGACTGGACGTGCCGCTTGGGATGAAGATGCTCGCGTAAGTGTAGCAGACATGGCGAGAAGGGATGAAGAACTTCAAAAACGGATCGAGGGTAAGCGGGTGCATCGCGAGGATGACGACTACCTTGGTTCGTCGAGTTCCGAGTCTGATGACGAGGATCCTTGGGCGGAAGATGCGTCTGATAGGGAGACACGCAAGCTTCGGCAGAAGTTGGATCAGTTGGAAGCAGACGAGGGTGCCGAAGACTTCAAGGGGCCGCATTCAAAGCTGCTTTCTATGAAGTTCATGCAGAACGCAGAGGCATCGCGCAAAGCACAAAATGACGCGGAGCTCAGGAGGCTGGCACGAGAGCTTGATGGTTCTGAATCACAATCAGAAGCTGAATCCGAAATTGGCAGGCAGAAGTTCGGTTCTACCAAACCCGATAAGCCCGAGAAAGAGAAGCCTTCCGTCCCGCGGAATGAGTTTGAGGAGCCTGCAGGGTCAGATGAAGAGGTAGAACACGCGCCAGCAGAGGACAAAGTGGAGATCGTTGCCAGTAACTCCAAGAACCAAAAACAAGCACGCGCTTCTGTCAAGACTTCCCGCAACCGTGCGCAGGAGGGTTGGAGCAAGTCAGACTCGCCCCAGCCGGAGGACAATCCCTGGCTTGCTCAAACTACCAGAAACAATCGCCGCCGTGGAAACGACATTTCTGGAGAGACGGTCGACATCACATTACCGGAGCCCGTTCCGGGTTCCAGTGAAAAGAAGGCTGAGAAAATCAAGAGTCACTCCAAGGCCTCTTCCAACGGCCATCTAACAGCCAAGAAAACATTTAATGACGAGGGAAGCGGCAGCGACGATGAAGATAACGTTCCGGTCCTCCTAAAGAACCATGACCTAGTCAAGAAAGCCTTCGCTGGTGACGAAGTTGTTCAGGACTTCGAACAAGAGAAACACGATGTCATAGAGGAGGAAGGTGACAAGGTCGTGGATAACACGCTGCCAGGATGGGGAAGCTGGGCGGGTGAAGGAGTGAGCAAGAAACAGCAGAAGCGCCAAAAGCGTTTCCTCACCACTGTTGAAGGGATAAAGCCCGATAAACGCAAGGATGCCAGACTCGGGCATGTGATTATCAATGAGAAGAGGGTCAAAAAGGTGAGTTCTGTCAATGATCGCTTAAGAGATCCTTCTATACTACAGTGTCACAGTGCTGACTATCTTTTACAGAATGTGAAGTATCTAGCTTCTCAACTGCCTCACCCGTTCGAGTCGAAACAACAGTACGAGCGCTCTCTCCGTCTGCCGATTGGTCCCGAGTGGACTACCAAGCAGACTTTCCAGGATGCTACCAAGCCTCGCGTGATGGTGAAGCAAGGCATCATCAAACCTATGGAGAAGCCGATGATCTAACGCGTCTCTGTCAAAAGTATCCTCGCATCGTTTTTTTCTCGTTACTATTTGTATGACCGGTCAAAAGGGAATGGCATCATGGGTAGATCTCATTGGACTTATCTTTTCATTTCCCTATAGGGTTTACAATGTTTATAATGCAATAAAATGGCCACTCCAGATGGAGTATCGTGGGTTTGACACGGAAAATCGACCTTCCGTCCTTGTGTAACCTCAACTTACTATATTGTAACCCTGGGCCTTACCATTACCTCCTTTCTGTTACTGGCATCTATAGCGTATATATTGGGCTAGATGATCTTGTCAGATGAGTATACCGCTCGGGCCACGCCTGCTTGCCCCATAATAAGGCCATATGACAGCGGGTGAGGCTGCGGGGGAACTGGAGCCTAGCACTAATCCATTCAAGAGATTGATGGCACCCGACCACATCTCACTAAGTTTGACAGGCAATAATCTCTTCATTCTCAGTGTTCCATGAGGGCTTCGAAGCCTCGAGGTCTGGACACAGCTAGCCACGTGCCAAGACGCACCATCGGACAACCAGCCTCGACGAGCATTGGAATGTAAGACTGACCAGTCATAGACGGTTTGGATAATGTGTGGATCACGGAACATCTTGACATGATAGAAGATCAGTTTGATTGATGTAGTGTGATTCGTCCCCGTTCACATGGCTACATTCTTTCGAGCGGCGAGAGTACTTATGCCCCAGACAACCACCACCCCGCGGCATTCGGGAGGGATCTCACTCATCGGGACCAATCCGAGGGCCGACAGTGCTGAACAATGGGTATTCTTCTCGGGCTGTCTATCAGCAGGTCTCATCATCCCGATCGATTTCCATACCGTAGTGTCCTCCAGTGGGGCCGAGTGTGCGGAAACTCGACATGCAATTGGATCAACCCTATCTGGAGCTTGCATACCTGAACGTGGAGGTAAAAGCACACAGCTAAGCTAGACGTCTCTTCTGCACAGTCTGACCTCTACAACTCCCCAACCTTCCAATATTCTTCCATTCCACGATCTAGAAGCTCACGATTCACGCTCTCGGATTGGTCCTTGTCTCCTAATACATCGGAAATTTTGACACGCGTCCCGCGGGAAGCTGTCATCTGGCGTTCTTTCTCGAGGTGGAGGGCATCCAGATCTCAAGTATCACACCTGCCTCCAGAGAGATATATATATGAGTACATGTAAGAAGATGTCCTATCTCATTCTTCATTCTCTCGCTATACAGCCGTTGTGCACAAGCACGGAGACACAAGTCCTTTGTGCACTATCCTATACACTCTTTCTTCTTTTGATCTTCCCAGAGGCATAGCCTCGAGGGCCATTCAGGGACTGTTCGAGTCTCGATTCTGTCATTTCTCCCTACCTGAGGGATTGCATATCTGTGTTCATTGGATTCATTTGGATTGTCGCCTACGGGAGCATTTCCTGGTGACTGGAACACACTTACCATCGTTTCTTCATTGGATGGTTACTTTTATATACCTTCCCTTTTTCGAAGCAATTTCTATATACCACACTTTGTGATTGGTTGAATCTTATATTCTCTGCCTACACTATTCTACCTAATTGTGACCAACCATGGCGCTGCCGTCTTGGTTCATCGCAACCATACTGATATGGCTCCAGGCTGCAGAGATTGCGCATGCTCTCCCTCGTCCTTGTTCTTGTTCAAACGGACGATTGCAGTCTGGATCTGAGACTACCTCTTTTAAGACCCAATATCCTCCAGTCATTCCTGGTGCCAGAGTGCTCGCGCCTGATACCACAGGGGTAAGTACAAGCCAATGTATTATGACTTATATATATGCAATCAGTCTAACATATACTCCAGGTTATAATCACCACCTTAGAACGTGACGGACACCCTTACTTGCCACCATTTCCAACATTCACGCAAAGCTCTCCATCCGCTACTAATTACCGTTACAATCCGATCGTTACAGCGACGACTAGTCCTACCACAGCTGCCCCTCATCCAAGCAATATTGCAAGCGCGGCGGACACAGCATTGACCACCGCAATGACTAGTCAAAATGTCTTTCAGCCCATTTCTATGGATGCAATTCCATCAAACATCAAGACTAGGAACGATCATCCTGTGCCGAGGCTAGGTATTGTAAGTGCATTTCACAACCTATAGTTTCTGAGGATGTCTACTTATAATTATGACAGAGAAGCACTGGACCGGTTTCGACAAACAAATTCTTTGCTGGATTCTTCCTTGGTAGCCAGACGAGCGCAGCATTTACTCATCCTTACTCCCTTGCGTGGGCTAAAGGCAGTGGAAATGCCCAGAGCTGGGGCCTGGCTATCTCTCACATCAACGCCGGGATGCTTGCGTATGGTCAGCCTGATGACCGTATTCCAGGTCACCCTGTCAGCTACTACATTAATCCAGTTGGCATCCAGTCTATGATCTTGTCCGCTGCGGAACTGGGTAACTCGACCGTGATTTCTACTGATGCCTCTCAGCCCATGTCCGCTCAGGTCATACTGCAACCACGCAACGGAACTTCTTCCAATATTACATTTCCCATCTTCCAGGGGATGGGCTATGTGACTGGAATCTATACCAACCTGCAGCCTCTGATCCAGTCCAGCATATTTTTCCAGAAGGTCGTGACCGCCGGCTCTCCACGCGCCGGTGTCTTCAAATATCGTGCCACGTTGGAGGACAATACATCCTGGCTCATATATGTCATACCGTCAAATGGAACAGACCCTAATCTGCATCTCGATTCGAACACTAACCTCCGCGGGCCTGCTGGGTTTTCGGGTGTTATTCAGGTGTCAAAGAACCCTGCGGGTGACGCTGGAGAAAAGTTCTATGACAATTCTTCTGGTGTCTACCCGGTGTCTGTCAACGTGACAGGGTCTGTCACTAACAACACTGGTACCTACGGACTGTCATGGCAGAAGGGGGGAAAGGACGTCGCAAGCACTCCATTGCTGATGTTTGCATTGCCACATCACGTTAGCTCCTTCGATAACTCTACGCAGTGCCGGAAAATCCCTCTTCAGCTCAGAACCACCACCAAAGGTAACGCAACCGCTGTCATTGGAGAAAATTGGACTATGGTTGAGCCGGACCTCCCGACGGACATGGGATTCGCACCTTGGTCGCCCTCGAAGGGAAACGTTGCAACGCTGTCGACTGCAGCTCAGCAGGTGTTGCTCAATGTCGCTCCTACCGAACTCCAGCAGAACATGAGCGCTCAAACGGACCTGAATAGCATGTACTACAGTGGAAAGGCACTGAGTAAATTTGCTACTCTGATCTACACAGTTAACACATTGGCAAACAACCCTAGTCTTGCCGCTCCTGCTTTGGCGACTTTGAAGAATTGTTTCGCCGAATTTGCCAACAATAGACAGCAGTTCCCCCTGGTCTACGACAACGTTTGGAAAGGCGTTGTCTCATCTGCTAGCTACGTCACGGGCGACTCGGGAGTTGACTTTGGAAACTCCTATTACAATGACCACCACTTCCATTACGGATACTTCATCCATGCTGCGGCCATTATTGGCTCTCTTGACCCTAGCTGGCTTGCTCAGAACAAGGACTACGTTAATACGCTTGTCCGCGATGCAGGAAACTCGGTGTCGAACGATCCGCTTTTCCCATTCTCTCGGGCGTTTGACTGGTTCCACGGGCACTCCTGGGCCAAGGGTTTGTTCGAGTCCTTCGACGGAAAGGATGAAGAATCGACCTCTGAGGACGCTATGTTCGCATATGCCGTCAAGATGTGGGGTAAGGCTGTCGGTGATGCCAGTATGGAGGCGCGAGGCAACCTCATGCTAGGCATTCTCAGGCGTTCTTTCCACAATTATTTCTACATGGAGAGCAACAACACGAACCAGCCATCCAACTTCATTGCCAACAAAGTGACAGGAATTGTACGTTTACTCTCTATCACGGTCCCAAAGATTATCAGAGCTAACCATAACACAGTTGTTCGAGAACAAGGTTGACCACAGCACCTACTTCGGTAATAATCTCGAGTACATTCAAGGGTAAGTCGTGAGGTAACGGGATACCAAGTCTCGCAGTTGCTAATTAACCGAGTAGGATCCATATGCTACCCCTCATGCCGAACTCTGCATATTTGCGAAGCCGGAACTTTGTCTCTCAGGAGTGGAATGCAATGTTTGCACCCAATGCCTCAGACCCTGCCCAGAATGTCGAAGGCGGCTGGAAGGGTGTGCTATACGCCAACCTTGCCCTCATTGATCCGAACGCTTCCTGGAACTTCTTCTCCCAGTCGAACTTCAGTTACAGCTGGCTCGATGGCGGAGCCTCGCGAACCTGGTATCTTGCATATGCAGCCGGCCTTGGAGGAGGCCCAGCCTAAAATATGGCGGTATCACAGTCCCTATATTGACCCACTCTGGTTTGATGGCAGCATCCTTGCCCTGGACCTGAGAAGGCCCATGCTATCTGCCATTTGGAGAATTTCTTGCACATCCTTTGCGGCGGAACATTTTTTTGGCTATCTTGCCACCGTTTCACTCTGGCCGATATATTCGTTGTTGAATTATTGTTTAGGTGCGATATCGCGGTACATGTCCAATCGTGACTAGGGTTAAGCTACCGACAGAGTCTATTGACCTGCGTAGCTGATCACTGGAAAGTATATATATATATATATGTGTGTGTGTGTGTGTGTGTGTGTGTGTGCACCTAGCTTTGCCCAGCTGAATGGGTTACCTGTCAGATAGCCTAATATAGTAATATCTACTATATCGAAGCCCACTACCAGGGACTTATCGCATTGATTTAGTCGCTCAATCGAATGTTTGAGTAGCATTCTTTGGTTCCAGAATCGTTTGTGACATATGCTATGCGAAGCGTGGTTGGAAAGCTTGATACACACTGCTGTGCCATAGATTAAAAGTAAATATATATACCGTATGCTGAACCTCAAGACTCTATTTTCCCTCTCTCCCTTTTCCCCACTCCGGAAAGCTGCACATTGACAGGCGGGGTTGTGAGAGCAAGGACCTCATTGTATCCCCCACGTCCTCGATCTGAAGAACACTAGCTTCTGGCGGTGACCTGCGTCATCTGTATGGCTATGATAACCATCAGATTTCCAGGGACATAGCGAGGCTTGGCAATATTGGGATGGGGAGCCAAGCTTCGGGTTGGTGTCAATAGCGCGCGTTAGGCGGATCGACTAATATTCGCTTAGCCCGTGCAAATATCAGATCGCAAAGTGCTCCAGAGCCAGGATGGGACGACGCCTGATGTCAGATACTTTCTTCATCACCACTTGTCCACCTGGCGATGCTCCTCGCAAGGCTTGCCCGTCCTACAAACCGGACATGACACGATCAGCGGCTTTAGAATTACTCTTCCTGTCAGAATCCACCGGTCGATAGGGAAAAAACCCGCATTGGAATGATCGAGCGTGGCAGTGCAAGTCTTGGCAAGCTTGGGGCGTGCCGTCCCAAGACGAGGGATTTGGCTGTTGATCCGGATTGGATGCGTTGAGATTGGAATTGGGTCGTCTGCTGGATTGCGGACATTGTTATCCAGAGTACGCATTCAGTATTGATATTGAAGGACCATTCGTCAAGGCTTCAAGCAGTGGGGGATCTCAATGAGAGGGAAACGCGCGGTGAAGCTCGGATGCAGACTGTGCCGTCATCGACTAAGAGAGCAAACTAGTGAGCAGGTATCTAGTCCTTGTAGCTCAGCGGTATTTCTCCTTTACCACCGACATTATTATTGATCTCCAGCAGCTTTGTCCATCCGTCTTCGGGCTTTAATTACCATCATCGCCAAGTACTAACTACTGTACCCTCTTAATTGCATGTTGCCAAGGTGAGCAGGAATTGGCTTTTTCCTTTCCCCCGTCTTGACGCGCCTCAATTACATCCGTGAAGCACGAGGCGGTGCGCTCGACATGAATCCATCCTTGTGATCCGAGAAATCGTATTACTTTGCGATCACGATCGTCCCATAAACTATCAATCATTCAATGATAAGAACTGGGATTGATGGAATCCTGCCCTATCACTTCCTAGCACAGCCAACATAGCGCGTCTTGGACTACACCACGTGCGGCCATATTTCCTTCCCTTTTCTTTCTCATCTCGCATTAGGTTGGAGGGAAATTCCCTCCATCACAACTAAATCGTCTAGCTTGTGCTCTCAAGATATTTCATTCCTTGGCACTCAGCGTGGGTTGATTTGTTCGCCTCCGCGTTGACATTGGCCCTCGCCTGGAAGAATCTCTGGAAGAGCTCGGAAGCTAACATTTAACTCGTTCGGCTCTGAGTACAGCTTAGGGCGTCTAAAGCGAAAGCATTCTCATTGACAGCCGTTTTGTAAACGGTATTCCTAGACGACGACCGTACCACGGATACTCTTGAAACGTGGCTGGAGCCCTTGTATCGACTTTCGAGGCTCCGGGATCATCTCCACCCCCTCCAACAGCGTCGATCTCTGTCCGCAGTCCGTTAACTTTCTGCCATTTCCTTTCTTGATCCGGATTTCTCGGCCTCTGGGCAGTGCACATGTGTAGGTGCCTCGTCTTCCTGCATTGGTTCCCTCCGCTCCCTTCACTCTGTCGAGACTCTCAGCTGTGAGCGCTTGGCCTTCGTCTTTCCTTACCCGTCGCTCTTTTTTATTCCATTAAATTATTACTACCCTCCTACTGGTCCATAATATCGGCGACCTCAGCCACTTTGTCCCTGCCTTTATCAAGCATTGTTCGCTGTTGTGGCTCTAGCTTCCAGGCGCGACGGGCTCCATTTTATCCTTCTCCCCCATAATCTCCGCACTCTGGAAAATCGCAAAGGGACTTGCGCTAACTAATCGATTGTGCTGTCTTTTATTGCCATTCAGCGTCATCACGCAATATCTTCTCTCGTTTTCGCACCCACAGCTGGGGTAGAAAGAACAGCATGGTTCAGGGGAGAAATGGCAGCGTTCTGCCGGAGGAGCAGAGTCTGCTGAACAACCACGGGCATGAGTCTCACACTCGCGGCGGTCGTTTAACCAAGGATCACCGCTTCTGGGTTCGATGGCCAGTGCAGACCGCGCATCTGACATATGCGACTCTAACAAACAACTATGTCAATCTCTTCCTGGTTTTTGTCCCTCTGGGGATTGTCGCTGGTGCGCTCAACTGGACACCGACGGCCGTCTTCGCCCTGAACTTTTTCGCAATTATCCCATTGGCTTCGCTGTTGAGTTTCGCGACGGAGGAATTGGCGGTTACAATGGGTCAGACCCTGGGTGGTTTGATGAATGCTACCTTTGGAAATGCAGTGGAATTGATCGTAAGTATAACATGATATAGAGATTTTGGGGGACGCCCAGTTGCTAATACAGGGTCACAGGTGAGCATTATTGCCCTGAAGGACCACCAGATCCGTGTCGTGCAGGCCAGTATGCTTGGAAGCATTCTTTCGAACATCCTTCTGGTCCTTGGCTGCTGCTTCTTTGCGGGCGGTCTGAGATACCATGAGCAGAGCTTTAACAGCACTGTGGCATCCACAATGTCTTCCCTCCTGGCTTTGTCATCGGCGTCTCTGATCATCCCCGCCACGCTCTACAACGCCCTGACCGGCCTGAGATCTGATCATGACACCGATAAGAACATCCTCTTTCTCTCTCATGGCACTGCAATCATTTTGCTCATCATCTATGTGATGTACTTGTACTTCCAGCTTAAGTCGCACTCCGACCTCTTCGAGGAGGCGAACAACGAGGAATCGGACATTGAGAACCAGGAAGAAGGGCACACCGAGGAGCATCTGCTCAGTCCCTTTGCGGCTGGTGTTGTCCTTATTATCGTGACGCTCCTTGTCTCTGTCTGTGCCGACTATCTTGTTGGAAGCATTGACAGCCTTGTAGAGAAGACCGGAATGAGTAAGACTTTTATCGGTCTTGTCCTTATCCCCATCGTTGGTAACGCGGCCGAGCATGTGACGGCGGTGGTTGTTGCGTGGAAGAATAAGATGGACCTGGCTATCGGTGTCGCAGTCGGAAGCAGCTTGCAGATTGCTCTATTCGTCACTCCGTTCCTGGTTGTGCTCGGTTGGATCATCAACGAGCCGATGACTCTGCACTTCGAGACCTTCGAGACAGTTGCCTTCTTTATCTCTGGCCTGGTGGTGATCTTCCTTATCCAGGACGGCAAGTCTAACTACCTGGAAGGTGGTCTGTGTTTAGGACTGTATGTGTTATGATCTTGGCTTTTATGTCGTTACAGTTTGCTGACTTTTATAGGTATATGATCATGGCTATTGCATTCTACGTCTACCCGGATACCCCCAACAAAAAGGATCCCATCGGCGGACTTGCGAACGTCGTAACCAGATCCTTCCAGTAAAGGCAAGCGGATACTATATGTGAAGGCCAGTGATTGAAACCTCACGTCTCTCATGTGTATCGATACGTGTGTTGCAATTCTGGGAGACACTACACACTACTCAATCTTGTCTCTGTCGTGTCACTCTTTGGCATTTCTCACTCATTAGCACCTTGTACTTTGTTCCGGACCGGTTTGAATTTCTTCCCTTGTAAATTTGCGGCATCGGACACTCCACTATTTGATTTCCTCGGCTGGATCATTCGTTTGCAACGGTTTTTTTCTTTCCCGGGAAGCAGGGATTACCTCTGACACGGGAGTAACTATAAGCATGGATACTGCCTGGGGCTGCGCAAAAAAGAAGGTTCATTCACTCAACCGATATAGGAGATGATGCAGATGTATGTATTTTAGATTGTTCAATTCATGACTTGCACAGTATCACAGTTGCGGGTTATACTTCGTGGCTGTTGATTTTTCCCGTACTATCCTGTTCCCTGATCCCTCAAGACATTAGATAAATCCTCGTTTTATCGGCACATAAATGACATGGGGATGATACTCTGCGTACCTTACCATTTAAATCGACAAAAGCTCGATTTTAGTTTCCTTGTGGTGGTAGTTGACCTAGGTAGTTAACATAGTTAGTTGGATCCTTGTTTCGTCATACGGCTGACTAAGCTAAGCGGAGCGGAAAATCACTCCCAGTTGGAAATCTCGGCGAAACTTGGAATCGATACTGCGGCACGCCTGCGCATCTCGAGCAATCAACTTGAGTGCTTCCTCTCCCATCCGCTCTGATCCTGGATAGGAGAGGCTCAATTCCATCTTCCGTCGTCGACTTATTCGGAACGGACTCCTCAGGAGGATACGTACGCAACGATGCCGCCCCGATTGAATCTGTTCACCGCACGGAGTGCAGTCTCCGCTCTCCGCCAGCCCTCCGCATTATTTTCAGGTTATGTCAATGCCAACAATAGCGCTGCTTCTTCTCGACTGTTTTCGCGAAATGGATCTGCTCCCCAGTTCGCTGGGCTTGCGTCCTCTGGAAGAGCTCAGCGGAGGATGAACTCGTCCAACTCTGGTGCGAAGGACCAGGCTCAAGAGCAGCCCAAGGGCCCGACTCAGGACCCTTTGCCTCATGTCAACGAGGAGGCTGCGGCCATCGATAAGATTCTGAGCGGGAAGAAGTGTGATGGTTCTGCCCCGGGTAGTCCCGAAATGGAACATGGTTCGCCGGTCGAAGAGGTATAACCTGCTTCTATATGATTTTCTTTTTAGCTATCAATGGAGCTTCGCTGACGACAGTTTTGTCACAGATTCTGAGCCGTGACGAAGAAGCCAAGAAGTACGCACCGAAAGTATTGCAGGCTCAAATAAAAGGGTCGAAAGGCACCCGATCATATTCAACTTCGGCCAGACTCCGACAACAGGAACTGAAGAATAGCGTGGCTGGCCCGGATGATCGGTCGACGTCTGTGGTCGCCAACATGATTGCACAAGCGACGCAGGAAGCTGTTGAGAGGCAGCCTGGTCTGAAGTTCGATATGCCTGAGCTGCCTCTTCCGAGAACGGAGAACTTTAGACATCGTTATGACCCCCTAGTTGAGCAGTTTACGAAGCTGCTCATGGAGGATGGAAAGCTGAGTTTGGCTCAGAAGGTATGATTCATCTCTAGGTGTTACTAGAAAAATGGTTGTGAGCTGGGGACTAATTCTGCTTTCCTGTTTAGAACATGGAATACATCCTGAACCACCTCCGTAGCGCCTCGCCGCCCCAGATCAACCCCAAGCGCCGTCTGCTGCCCGGCCCCCCCGCTCCTCAGTTACCTCTTAACCCCATTCTATACCTGACTCTGATTGTCGACTCCGTCGCTCCTCTGCTCAAGATCCGACAACAGAAGGGTATCGCTGGTGGTGGTGCGGCTCTGCAGATCCCTGTCCCATTGGCTATGCGACAGCGTCGTCGTACTGCCATCAAGTGGATCCTCGACGCTGCAGACAGACGCCGTGACAGCAAACTGGCCGTGAGAGTCGCTAACGAGCTGACTGCTGTTGCTGAAGGCCGCAGCAGCGTGTGGGACAAGCGGGAGCAAGTGCACAAGATTGGTATTGCTGGACGCTCCAACCTCAAGTTGGTCACCCGCGGAGGTCGATAAATTTGTGGGGATTAATCATCAAGGACCGTCATGATCTGGAGTATTGACGGCAGACGGGTGCCATTTGTACGTTTAGAAGATTCCATTGTCTTCGGAGCAACTATTGCGTGTGTATATCTATAGCAGTGAATTGGTTCTATCGTTTGTGACATCTCTTTTCGGTTCTCATTGCTGCGGTTCTAAGGTAGATCTGATCAGTTCCAATGAATATATCCCAAACAGGAGACATCCCGAGTGTAGATTATCTGAAACAACAATGGCTGCGATGGGTCCAGCGCTAATAGCATGCTTCTAAGGACCATCATTCTAATTGTTATCTTTGCCGCACAGCCTCCCCCAGGTGGGAAGAGATGGCACCTCACGGTAGCATCGAAAGAGGATGCCGGAATTGCCAGGCGACTGATTGGCCTATCTGATGAGGATGGCTGTATGTATGGTACTGTCATCCATCATTTTTATGCTCAGCCCCGTGTAATATTAGTCATCTCTGCATATCAACCTGCTCAGCCCATCAGCCCCTCGCAGCCTCAGCTGGCCATATAAGCGTAGGATTGTCCTCTACGATATCTGTTTCCTCATCTTCTTCACTACCAAGCGGAAGGGCTCTCCTCGCGCAATCATCACCACCACTGCCCCTGGGGCCTTTTTAAAGAAGCCCCAGCGATTCGACCATGTCGACCACCAGCGCTCAGATCAACGCCAGCGTTAAGAACATCGCGGGTTTCTTCAGACCAGCGATACAGGCCACATGCCGCAGCGTACCATAATTTCCAGCAGTTTGATTCTTCTTTCTATTCTATTGATTTTCTACCCCAGTCTCATCCGGATCTTCAATTTGATTTCTCTTCCGTCCCGTCTGAGCAATTAGATTGCTCGGGTCTTGCTCAAGGTCTCTGGGACGATTCGTATCTGGAGACACAGCAAGAACAGCTTTCTCAACCATCTTTATCATCATTTTCTTTCGATCAGTTTGGTGTCTCGGATTCCCAAGATACCTCTTCAGTCCCTACGCCGCTTGATCAATTTCTTGCATCTGCGACTACATCTGTTCCTCACTCTGAAGCTGGCGAGGTCTCTTTCACTGGACTTATTTCATCTGCCGAGATCTTTCCTCAGGATTTGGCAGAATCACAGTCTTTCTCTGAATTTCCTGGCCAGTTTGATTCTTTCTGTTCTCCTTCTGAAGATCTCCTTTCATTGGCGAGAGAGGATTCTCACGAGGGACAATTGGTTCAGACAGAAGGTTCGTTGAGTGGTTTGAGATTTTGTTCTTGTTTCCTTTTACTAAAGAGTAGAGACAGAGCATCAAGATTTAATGAGTGGAACTATCCTTCAACAACCCACGTTCAACCCGAGAGCTGAGCGCCTTTCACCCTCTCGACCTTCACCGAGCTGTCTCTCTTTCTCAACCTTCCAGCTCGGTAATCGACTATCAGCTAATAGGGACCATGCATCGTCTCTGACTTCTTCGCGTACTGCTGACCATTATCAAACTTCTCAAACTTCTGCTTCCGAAGCCCAGCCAACCAGTCCGTGCTATTCCTCATCTAACTCAGCATCCAACCGTGAAACCGTTCTCGAGCCATCGAGGCGAGGCAAGCGGTCGTTTGACGAGAGCACGTTGCCTAGTACGAAAAGCGCGGAGAATTCGGAAGAAGATAAAATCGTTGAGAAAAGACGACGCAATACTCTTGCCGCGCGCAGGTTCCGTCAGAAGCAACAGGATCGAGTTACGAATCTGGAAGCGGAACTGGCCATAGTTACGAAAGAGCGCGATGAGCTGAAGATGCTGGTTGCGAGGTATCAAGGGGAAACGGAGGCGTTGAGGAAATTAGTTGCTGATGGCAAGAAAACATGATTCTCCGCATATGGATTGATAACTTTCGAAATAATATGATGGTAATACAATCTCATTCACTATTAAGGACTTTTTCCACCCACCAATGTAGTCCATGTCACTCGCCGTAACCTACATATCCTCGGGAAATCACCCCCTCTTCTGTATCAGAACAGTTAGCATCAATCCGCACAGAAACCACAACCGATAACTGATCACCAAAAAGACGTGAAAATGCGAAGCACTCAGACGATGTCGGCCATCAACTCAACCCCGAAAAGCATTCTCTTCCTAGATCTTATGGGGGTTCCTCATATGATAATGATAGTATAATCAGAAATGGTCTGTAATATCTTCATAGTGCCCCAGGGTCTTTTGTCCTTATCGGACAATGCCTCGCAATTGCGTTCATATAGATATATGGGGAGGGGGTGCCTTACCGAGTAATATATCTGAGAGAAAAAACGGATGAATGATATACCTGCGAATTATTCTTATCATGAGAAGATGTAATCGCGAAAGAATACAAAAGCAATATAAGACATCTAGGAGATTGTCTAACTAACTATATGTTGCTTACGATCAGTTTATACTGTTAATCTGTATACTACAACACTATTATAATAATAGCAATTGCTACGAGAATCGAAGTGATTACTCAGTATCTCTCATCTTTTAATTAATACTTCTGTAGTCATCTTTTGTCGAATGTTACTCTTTCTTAGGAGTGTTATGTCTTGTGCGAATAGATGTTGATTCTATTCGTGTTGGATAGATAGTTAGTTACTGGTCCATATGCTAACCCTGCTAACAGTGACAGGGGTGATGAAGTTCGTATGGCTAGATGTGGTAAGTCGTCCTAGTATAATGATGGATTGCGAAGGATGAGCAATTCTTATTCTTATTCTTACTCTCGAGGTCCAGGGAGTAGAATCACAGTATCTAATTCGATGAGAAATATATCGAGTTGTCTTTCTTCGTCGGAGGACAGATAATATCTTGTTCTTTTTTTTTTTTTTTTTTGCAACTTAACTATCTACTGCATTTTGGGTATTCCGTGCCTGCTAACTATTCCCGTCTATTATTAATTTCCCAGGAAGCCTTGCATCTCTTCTACGCAGCAGCTGAGAAAAAAGTCCGCACAGCCTAACTAACTGCATAAACTTAATTACGGACGCTTATGCACAGTGTCCGTATTGTAAGGTGAGATACACAGATTGAAACGGGATTAGCGCGAATGAGTCATTCTTGCTCATCGTGAGTGATTTTGCGCTAAGCCTGTCTAGACTCGGGACTTGTGGGGATTGATGCATTGGGGTCTATCTTTAACTCATCTGGGACTAACTTACGGGATGTGCTATGTTGAAGCGGTGTCTACGGAGTAGAATACTATTATGTTCTCTAGATTGCGGAAGTCGGGAGAGTTGCTGTGTTCTGGGGATGCAGGACAGGAATAACTTGGAGCTGCTTGGCTGGTTTGAGTCTAGAGTATTGGGCCATAGTCTTACTGTAGCTTTTTTTGAAATACAGCTGTCGATATTTTGGACTCTCTATTTTTCTCCGGATGAAATAGAACAATAAGTCTGACTTCCATATTCGATTACCTGAAATGGAGACCAGACCTATCCTGTGATCTCCGTGGCTGCAGCTTTGGAGAGCTACTCCGCACGGTCATGCTGTCTTAGCCACCAATGATGTTGCATGGTACACCGATCAATAAGAGTGAGATTTACCATCCCAGGAAGGGAGTTGATTTTAAACGCCTGGAAGATCCTCCATGGACTAACAGTCAATGTTCTCGTTCCATGATCACAATGCTACTCTCTCTGTATGGAGTTGATTCATTATGAGAGAGAGCTTGGCCAGTGCTGCGGCGGCTGCCGGGATAGCGCGCAAGCTAAGAATGACAGTCAGCATGATTTCCGAGACAGCTGGTCTCAAGACCTCAGCACAGATGGATGTATCGAGTGTCATTGATATTATCCCCATTGAAGCTCACAGTCCAGCGCGGAGGATTTGCGTTAGATACTTGAACTTCCGATCGCGGGGTCGCGGAAACGCTGCCGGCCTGTAGGTCGTGAACGTGGACAGCTCCTGTTCTGCTCTCGCCGCCCGAGCAAGACCGCAACTAACTAGCCTCAATCTGGGGTCTGCCCTGATAACGAATTCAAGGCCACGTCCCACCGCTACACCACCTTCTCCGCCCATCGCTCTCACGACCGGTTGATTCTTAATGTGTTGCGGAGAAAGTGGCACGCCTCAGGCTGTCTTCGTTCCCCTCCGCGGGTGCCTTCTCCGATCACGACGCTGCCGTGGCTCCATCTCCCACGCAGAGCATCGAGCTCGTCGACTTCGATCGGGCGCACACCGGTGAGCGCAGGCAGCTTGCCACCTTCCGGGATTCTGACACCGCCGAGAGACACGGTCCTGAGGTCGGATACAAGGATCGTCTGCCTGAAACAGGGCAGGGGCTTGGTCGTTCCGGACGCGGAGAAAAGGACGCAGACGACCTTTGTCAACAGCACGTCGAACGGAAAAGATACTGGGAAGAAGCAGTTAGACATCGCGTTCAGGTCGCGCGGGGCGAGAGAAAGGAAGCCAAAATGAAGTTCTCCCACAGTCTTCAGTTCAACTCCGTTCCGGACTGGAGTGCCTACTACATTGGATACAGCAATCTGAAGAAATTGTACGATTGACAGACGACCCTTATCGCTCAATCGATACAGATGCTAACCGCACTCTTCTCAACAGGATCTACGGTCTGGAAAAGCAGGTCCACCAACCGGATGGACAAGATGCCGGAGATGTCGAATCCGCTCCCCTCCTGGATTCATCCATTGATACAGATACGATCTTTCGACGGGCTCTCGACGCGGAGCTGGAGAAAATATGCTCGTTCTATCAGGTCAAGGAGATGGAAATCTTTGCTGAAGTCGAAGACCTGGTGAAAGACGAGCGGGCCTATGCTGCTGACACCGATGGCATCAACATGGATCCAGTCAGCGAGACCGTCATCAAGGCGCGAGGGTTGAGTTTCAATTCGAGACAGCGGCCCGGCAGCTTCTATCGGACTCTGACCGTGGCCCGTGGTCGACGTGCAAGCACAATTAGTGAATCTGCCGGTGAGGAGGAGGAGGGAGATGATGGTGATAGTGATGACGAAGATCAACCAGAGTCCCCGAACGGAACGAGACGAAAACGCTCCCCGTCTCGGTCTTCTCGTTATCGAGACTATGATCCCTCAGAGGGAAATCCTAGCGAACTCGGAGATTCGAGGCTGCTAGCAGACTCGAGGATTCTGGGCTCGGAAGGCCGGTCCACAGGTCGCCCGGCACTCCACGAAGACCACTTGCAGGACCCGCGGTTTATGATGCTATACAACGCCGGCGTGACACTGAAGAAACGGGCCATCAGTGTCTATGTGTCTCTCTGTGAGCTGAAGTCGTATATCCAGCTCAACAAGACGGGTTTCTCGAAGGCGGTGAAGAAATACGACAAGATACTGGATCGGAACATGCGTCGTCAGTATATGAACACAACGGTCTCTCCCGCATACCCCTTCACGGATGCGACAATGCGGAAGCTGGACGAGAATATTGCCCAGGTCGAGAAGGTATATGCAGATATTGTAACCAAAGGTGATGTTCGCCTGGCAAAGCGTGAGCTGCGTCTGCATCTCCGAGAACATGTGGTATGGGAACGGAACACCGTCTGGAGAGAGATGATTGGAATCGAAAGAAAGGCGCAGGCAGCAAATATGGGAATTCGTAGGACTCTGCTGGGCGGAGACCAGTCTCCTTCTACTGCTCAACGGCAAGGCGATGTGGAAGGGACTGAAATTACCGAACTCAAGACTCCTCTTGGTCGCTACAATGTCCCAGGATGGCTCTGCAGTTTGAGCTTCGGAACCCTGATCGCTATTCTGATAATTTTCGCTGTGCTCCTAAACGTCCCGATTCTGAAGAAACCCGAACAACAAAATTGTCTCGCTATGCTGGTCCTTGTCAGCTTACTGTGGGCTACTGAAGTAGGTATCGCCGTCCCTTGCACTTCGACCCGTACTGACTAGTTACTGTCAGGTTATTCCCCTATTCGTTACTTCGTTGTTGATTCCTTTCCTCGTAGTGGTTCTGCGTATCATGAGGTCCGAGAGTAAGCCCCATGAACGTCTAGAGCCAAAAGCTGCAACCGCCGCGGTGTTTGCGTCAATGTGGACTCCTGTCATCATGCTGCTGCTTGGTGGATTCACCATTGCTGCTGCGTTGTCGAAGTACGATATTGCCCGTCGGATGGCGACCTTTGTTCTCAGCAAAGCCGGCACAACCCCCCGGACCGTCCTTGTCACCACCATGTTTGTCAGTATGTTTTTGAGTATGTGGATTAGCAACGTCGCGTCGCCGGTTCTGTGTTATTCCATCATTCAGGTAAGCCCATGTACATTATACTCTTATTTCGACTTGCTAATGCGAGATAGCCTCTGCTTCGAAACCTGCCTGCGGACTCGAACTTCTCCAAGGCTCTCGTTCTAGGAATTGCTCTCGCTGCAAATATTGGAGGCGCTGCATCGCCCATTGCCTCTCCTCAAAACATAATCGCATTGCAAAATATGTATCCCAGTATCAGCTGGGGCACGTGGTTCTTCATTTCAATTCCAGTTTGCATTTTGTCGATTCTCTTGATCTGGGCACTCTTGCTCGCCACTTTCCATCCCGGGCGAGGCACCATCATCGTCCCCATTCGGCCCGTCAAGGACAGGTTCTCCGGCGTACAGTGGTTCATTACTATCGTCACCGTCGCGACGATCATCCTGTGGTGCGTTAGCCATCAGCTTGAACACATATTCGGTGACATGGGAGTCATTGCCATTATTCCGCTCGTGCTCTTCTTCGGAACGGGTATCCTCACCAAAGAAGACTTCAACAACTTCCTCTGGACGATCATCATTCTCGCTGCCGGTGGCCTCTGTCTGGGCAAGTCTGTCACCTCGTCAGGTCTTTTGCACAATATCGCTGGTGCCATCACCGACAAGGTCGACGGGTTGAGTCTCTATGGTGTACTCCTGGTCTTCGCTTCATTAATTCTCGTGATCGCCACTTTTATATCTCATACAGTCGCCGCTTTGATTATTCTCCCACTTGTCCAGCAGGTTGGTGTTGGGATGAACGACCCACACCCGAACTTGCTCGTCATGGCCAGCGCGCTGATGTGTTCCGTCGCTATGGGTTTGCCGACAAGTGGATTCCCCAATATGAGTAAGTCGCCTTTTCAATCCGACTTCGTCCATTTTCATTTGTTATGTGGAGTATCCGCTAATCCATCTACCCTCAGCTGCTATTATGATGGAAGTTCCCCAAACCGGCCAACGCTACCTCCGCGTCCAACACTTCCTCACTCGCGGTATCCCAGCCAGTCTGCTCTCTTTCGGTGTGGTGGTTACTCTCGGATACGGCCTCATGGTCGTGGCGGGCCTATAGAGACGGTTTCCGTGCCCAAAGTCTCATGTCGCGTTTTCCTGTCATGTTTTCGATCTAATGACGACCTAGAATGCCTTGCCTGGATCTTGCGCATTAGATATATACCTACGCCATTTTCAATTCTTTTGTCTCTGATTGGGTACTGTGATAGCGATGTCCGCTTAAGCCGTCAATATATACTATACTACAGGCTTGGAAGACGATAACATGTTTTCCTAGGGATAATTATATTCTAGAATCTTTCAATATGCAAATCAATCAAAACCGAACCAGGATGTCTCGTCTAGTGCGGGGTTAAAATGCGTATTGCTATCCTAGGCGCCAAGACAAACAAAGAAAAGGAGGTCGGTGAAAGCCGTGTAATCATGAATCCATCCATCTCCTCTGCAGATCTGCAGTCTTTCTCTCTACCTCCAGATTGGCCTGGATTTTTTTTTTTTTCTCTTCCCATCAGTTAGCTACAATGGCCTGCGCACTTCAACCAGAAATGGACCAGGCCACAGCAGATCTTCTTATCCAGCTGCAACTTGAAGATACGGGCCTTTATTTCGAAACGTCTAAAGGGAAATCCCGAGTTCTCACAGATGAAGAGTTAGCATTTCAGTTGCAATCCGAAGAGTTGACAAGCGTTTCCCAATTCCTCTTCGACAGGCGGATGGCTGTGAGTTTTGCAGCTGCAGTTCAAGCAGACGGGCAGATTCTAGTCGAGAATTCAGTGGAAGAAGAGCGCGTCGCCAAAGATCGTGATATTGCTCGTCGCTGGAGAGAAAACGACCGTTTCGCAGCGACAGAAGATGCCCAGTCAAGCCAGGACTCGACGGCCCTCGATGATGAAACCCTAGATAAACTCCAGGTGTTATACGTCTCCGGCCCTGAACCTTTCTACGACGATATAAACAGCATTGAACCCGCCAGTAGCGAGGCCGAATCATCTTCTTGGGCAGAAAAGCGAAACCGCCAGCCATCTTCATCATCATCATTATCGCGAATACGTCGTTGTGTAGCTTGCAGAGAAGAAACAGACTTTGTTAACGTGGCCCGCGTACCCTGTCGTCATGAGTATTGTCGTTCCTGCTTGAAAGATCTCTTCGAGGCTTGTCAAACAGATGAATCCTTATTCCCTCCGCGCTGCTGTGGACAGCCCATCGTCATGAACATCGCTCGCATATTTCTCACACAAGACGTGGTGCAACGGTATGAGAAGAAGAAGATCGAGTTTGAAACCCCAAATAGGGTATACTGTTACTCGGCCGAGTGCTCTGCCTTTATCAATACATCCCATATCGATGGGGAGATAGCTACATGCCCTGACTGTGGGTTGACAACCTGTACGAGCTGCAAGGGGCGAGCACATGTCGGTGATTGTCCGAATGATACTGCTATGCAACAACTTCTAGCTACTGCGCAGGAGAATGGATGGCAACGCTGTTATTCCTGTTGGAGAATGGTCGAATTGGAGCATGGTTGCAATCATATGACGTTAGTAACCCACTTCTTCTCTCTTCGCTGCTCCTGATGGCTAACTAAAGACGATGATAGCTGTCGATGCGGTGCCCACTTTTGCTATAACTGTGGAGAGCGCTGGAAGAACTGCAGATGTGAACAATGGGATGAACACCGTCTTCTTGCACGCGCATATCAGATAATCGATCGAGATCGAGAAGTGAACCCTCCTCCCATTGCCGACCCTCCTCTTCCGGATGAAGATCATCCTGAACTGGAAATTGGTGGACCTCAACCAGAAATTCATCAGCCTCAGCCAGACGAAGAGCCTCGCGCAACTGCAGAAGCAGAAGCAGAAGCACTACTACCCTTGCAGGAAAGGCCCGTCACTCACACCCAGACACCAAGAGACATATTGGTCGCTAGAACAATCCAGGAGCTCAAAGAGAACCACGAATGTGACCATGATAGATGGAAATTTGTACGCGGCCCTCATGTGTGTGAAGAATGCGTCCATTATCTGGATCAATATATCTTTGAGTGCCGTCAATGCAGGCTTCAGGCTTGCAATCGGTGCAGAAGGAATAGGTTGTGATAGTATCAACATGATTGGGGGGTGCTAATGGGAGTTTCTAACCTAATTAACTAGACTAACTGATGTAAGATTCTCGGCCATATTGATATTTTATGTACGGATGGGTGATTATGTGTAGCTTGATAGAGGAATGATAGAAAGATTCATCATTATAAGCACCGCCGTTTTCAATTTGGTGTCGAAAAAGATGTCACTACCTCCTATATCCCGTACTGTGGAACCTAGCAGGTTATACGTTGTTAGACATAACTTAATTCAACATCCTCGGGTAGCTAGTGTACAGTTAACTATACCTTGCATTCAAAGTGTTGGTGCCAGGAGCGTGGCAGCACATGCAGCCTGGCAAGTTCCAAACGCTGCATTACAGGCGACGATTGACGCGGGCGCAGAAGCTCCCAGGGTCGCTCCCCATGTAAATCCCGCTGCAGAATAACATGCCGTTACCACAGCCGCGCATCCAGCTTGGCATACACCGTACGCCGCTGGTCCCGCGACGGCTCCAGTGGCTAAGTAAAAGATAACACAAATAACTGCAGATAGAAACTTCATTTTTCGAGAGTAATAGATGGGTAACTTGAGTTGTCTCCAGAAGGTGGATGTTTAGCCCCTGGCTATGAAGTTCGTTGATGTTGTTCGCTGGTATGAAAGTAGAAAGAGGACATGGAGGGGCTAACATGTTGAAGTACTTATATTGTCTAACCCCGCATCCTCTCAGCCTTGCTGTGCCGCAGTTTGAGCGTCTTTGTATATTCTCTGTAGGCTGAAGCTGCCTGGAGCCTGGATTCTCCACCAAGCGCAGGCTGTTCACCTCCATTGTTGGAGCTCGCTCAGGCAGAGGCGTGGGAGAACTCCGCCAGGGTGATCCTAGATAGCAATCTTCGAGATATATGGTTGATCTCTCTAATACCTACCTACCTAGTTATACAATGTATCAATAAGTCACATGATACTTTTAATAAGATACAACAAAACAGCGGATGTTTTACAAATATTCTTTGAGTGAAATATAGCTATTTACTACAGAAAAAGCACAACACTGCATAGTATAACAACGAGTCATAGCTTAACTGCCTGCTACTTTCACAGACCCACAGTATTCTAGCATAAAGAGCTCGTGATTTGTTTTTTTTGTTTTTTGTTTTTTTTTTTTGTTTTTTTTTTTTTTTTTAGGTGTGTTGACTCTGGCTTGCGCAGGATCATGCCTACAGCAACACCAGACGCGTTAAGATCTTTTATGCTTTATATGACTCACTGCGCTCCCACAAAGATGACACACACTGAATTTTCTGATACTTTAAGACACCCCCTCTTTCTGTCTCCATTTTTGAACCAACCCTCAATCCAAGATATGGTTTCTCGTCGGGCCCGCAAGGGTATATCTCGCGGTGAGCGAGATCGGAAGAAAGAACAAAATAAGAACTTAGCTCAACCCTCTGCAGTACAGAAGAAGCTGCCATCGAAGTCGAGAAGGGATCGAAAGAAGGCAATTCAACAAGCTTCAAAATCTACCGTAAGTACATACATCCAGTACCATCTCTCTCTTTAACAGAATCTGAAAAAACAAAAAACAGGCTGGAAATCCGAAGGAAATACACACAACTCCTCAACCTGGCGATATCTACAACGGGATCCCAACCACGGCTATTGAAAAGGTCTTCTCCTTAGCCCTTCAATACCGACATATGAACCCCAGCATAGATGTCATCACCAGCCTTAGCAAGACAAAACTAGACAGAGATATCGTCTCTTGCCTCATAGAATCGGCACTTCGACTTCTTCCTCCACCCACTACACCAGAAGGAATCAAAAAGCAACAACAACTATCTGAAAGAAAGAGAGAACTTGCTCAAAAATCTGAGAATGAATTCATCGACGCTCTTCGCAAAAAGGGTTACGAGTTCCTAACTGAGAAAGAGCAACAAAAGAAGGGAGATAAGACCGGGGTAACTCCCGACGTCCGATTTAAAGACCCTGTCAATATCTCTGGACATGTTTGTTCTTGGCTGGAATATAAGAGCTTTTTCGGGTTTCGAAAAAATCCTTTTGTAGCCACGAAAAATAGGAAGCAGTTGAGGAAGTATGCGATGGAAATCGGACCAGGTGCTGTCGTGTACAAATTCGGGTATGAGATGGGGCATTTGGATATGGATGGAGTTAAGGCTTTTCGTGAGAGTGATCTTTTGGCGTAACTACAGTAGCTAGGGCCTACAGTAGCTGAGGCGTGGAGGAGGGACACTCGTTACAGGAGACCAGCGATTGGTTTTAATAAAACACTACTGCTAGACTTCTTGCAAGTACGTATATATCTTTACACGAATCAGAGATTAAGCTTTGAGGTATATATCTTAACACCTCAAATTTCAGGGCACTCTTAGTATAAGGTTACCAAGTATAGCTAGACCAGGTAGACCAGCTCTACTCTGCTTTTCACCAGCGGTATTCTTACTGTGGTAAGACTCTGCCTTGCTCTAGCCCTTCTTTGCTTCCCCTCAACTCCTCATCTCCTGACTTCTCTCCTTATGTATGTACATACAAATGAGATCCGTTCTCCTATTATCATGCTCTATTTTACACAGACCTCCCCTACCCAATAGCGCCGTCACGTCATGTTACTCCTGGATTTAATGGCAAAAAAGGAAAAAAAAAAAAAAAAAAAAAAAAGGAGAAAAGCATCTTATCAGTAATTTCTATCAGAGATGGACAAAATAACCAAGCATAAAGAGGACAAAAGAGCAAAGAAATATCAAGAAATCATGAGAAAATAGTCTAGTATCATGCAATAAGAACAATGCATATCCCACACTCTCAGATCAGCCAACCAAGAACTCACCGCGCTTAACTTGAAAGCCTCGTAAGGATAACTTGACAACGTAACTGAAAAGTTAGGAGCCGAAGAATATCGGAGGAGCAATAGCATGTAACTTACCTAGATAGGTTCTTACCAGCATTCTAGCCCTTGGCAACAGGTCTTATTAGCATGCTCGGGTACACAAACTCGGGCGGCGTGACCACGTAGATCGGGAGGCCACGATACGTCCGCGAGTTGTAATTGTAGAACAACGCCGTGAGATGGATGTCTTGGACCTGAACCCGCCAACTGCCTGGGCAAGAGAAGTAGTTCATTATCGAGGCATCGTCCCGGAAACCGAAGCGTACAGACTTGCGCAGCTCTGTAAACTCGTGTCGCAGGCCCAAGATGTGCCCGATTTCGTGGGCGAAGAAGTTGGCCATGTACTTCTTGTTATCCTCGCGAAAAGCTGCACCGTAAACGAACAGCGTACGGCTCTCAGGTGTGTCGGCGTTGGGGAAGAAGGATTGAGCGAGGGTTCGGTTGTCCCTGCTCGCTGGCATCTGGCGATAGACGAGCCGGAACGTGGCCGGACAGTCGCGGTCTACAAGCCTGAACGTCACACCGGTGCCCTTCCAGAGGGCTACCGCTTCGACGAGCTTGCCCGTGGCGTAGGTGGCCTTGTCGCGGGTTGGGAAGCTTTCGGCGCAGACGGTGAAGGTGACGGTCGAAGCCCTTACCCACCGCCAGATGGCCGTGCCCATCCCGAGACGGATCGAAGTGATATCTCCGCCGGCAGACTCCTCCTCGGTGGCGCAGTAAGTCTGAGGTAGGCAGACTTCAGTGTGTCTGGTGTTGAAGAGTCCAGAAACTAAACCAGCGACCCTGGCCGCCATTTCCGCGAGGACGCCGGTAATAGTGAACGAACAACCACTTCGGAGAGGAGCATCAGGGACATCAGGTTCGGGTTCCCTAATGACCTGCTCGTCGGCACAGTCGATGATCGACTTTGTTGGTCGGAAGAGTTTTCCAAACATTTTGATGGCACGTAATCTGTGAAGAAGAGAATAAGGACCAAGAGACAGGAACGCTTCCCTGGATAGCTGATTGTGCCTCGAAGAACGCGCATGCTGGGTATCATTATATACGTCGGATAGACGTCGACATAATAAAACGTTTTTTGAATCCTGAGATTAACAGTTGCCCTAATACTCCAAACCATTTCGACTTATTCTGATGTGGACTGCTGTCTTTGGGAAGCCGCAAGAACGACACAATATCTGTCGCAAGGCATCGAACCATATACATTGCTGAAGGCTGAAGGCAGACGGCGATATCCGTTGCTTGAAAAAGTTTCTCTTCATATTGATCAGACTTATCTCTCCAGGAGGGAGAGTTGTGGCAGTGAGAAAAGATGTTAGGAATCTTCCACTTATGTGCAGACTGTTCGCAGTGTGGATCGTTTTTCGATAAAACTTTTGTCTCTCCAGTATACTGCTGTAAAAGTTTTGGGCTTCGGTGGTAGATGTAAGTCCAATGACGGCGGTTGCGAACAAAAGTTTTAACCCCATCGGTCAGGTACTATCAAGATTCGCCAGCAAACTTAGTTACTTGGCTAAAATCAGTTGCCGTTTTCTGAGAGCTGAGAGCTGTGGCTGGCTGATAATACCTGGCGCTAACTAACTATTTCAAATACTTTATGTCAGTACTAAGTATCAGCGCGAAGAGATCATCACCCGTTTCTTATTGTCCCTTGAGCCTGAAAAAAGAAAAGATAATAATGATATATCAACCTGAGTACGTGTCGTGTCCTGCACCCCATGCCTGGTAGATGGGCTTGTCAGTGTAATGCCTATAGCCTTATATAGCGAGAGCAGTTCTTAGACGTTGCCCAAGAATCCTAGTCTTGCTTCCTGGCGCAGCAGTTTAGCTCCTAGAATGCTCCCTAGGGGTTAGGTCGTGACAGTCAGGAAAACGAAGTATCATGGACTCTATGGAATAGACCGAATTTGAAATATGTATGTATATATGTATGTACAAGTACATCCAGTAGCTAGAAATATGATCTTGAGTAAATCGCTAGCCAATCTAATCCGCAGACCCTGTGATATCTATATTTGTTACGCTATGTAAGAAGATGACAATGGAGACTCTGCCTTGTTGCCCTTATTAATTATCTCCGTCCTGTGGTCGCCCCTTCTGCCTCTCCGGTCTGTGCTGCCGAACCTGCTGTGGAAATCCCCAATCTTAGCAACCAGCTCGGATTTGGGAGCTGGACGAACCGCTTGCTTGGCCCAAAGGAAGTGATCTCGGCGAAGCATGCGGTCGGCGCCACCGGCCATGTCTCCCTGCTTGGATGTCTCTGAGAGGCCTTTTTCGAGCTTGTTGCGGTGCATCTCCCGCACGGCCTCAATGGCAGCCTCCCAGACAAAGTCTCGGAGATCGGAGCCTGTGTAATCCTGCGTTGACCTGGCGATTTCGGCCAGGTCGAGATCCGGGTCCGTCTTCTCACCAGCCAGATGGATTTGCAGGATCCTCTCACGGCCTACGACATCAGGGATGTCAACCATGATGCGTCGTCCCAAGCGGCGGAGAATCCCCTCATCGATGTCGAAGGGCCGGTTAGATGCCGCGATCACCATGGGCTTGTTGGCACCCGCGGCGTTGATGCCGTCCATCTCGGCCAGGAACTGGTTGAGGTCGGATAGATGGCCGCGGCAGTTTCCCTCTGCTGATCGGGATCGGAAAATGGAGTCGGCCTCGTCGACGAAGATGATGCAGGGATAGTGCCGGCGCGCATATGCGAACATACGCTTGATTTTCTTCTCGCCCTCGCCTACGAACTTGGATCGGATGTCCGCACCGGAAATGGCAAGCATCCTGGCGTTGGCTTGTTTAGCAAGCGCCCGGACAAGAAGAGTCTTGCCGGTTCCTGGTGGCCCGTATAGGAGGACTCCAAGGCTCGAGGACTTGGATAAGATCCCAACCTTGAAGGCTTTGGGGTCCTGGATCGACAAGGTCAGGACGTCGAGTGCATCGAGCACGTCGGGGCTGACGTGGACCTGCTCGAATGTCTCCGTGACATTGCCTAGACCTGTCAGCACAGCCAACGATCTCCAACATGAATCGGCTGGGAGACCCCTGTCTGGAGTTCCTTACCAGGCTCGACGATGCATTCGCTGAATTCTCCGTCGCTGTTGTCATCGTCGTTGTCACCGCATCCCAAGAGCACGCGCATTCCAAGCGAGGCGTCCCCGAAGGTCTCAATTCGCGCCTTCTTCCCACTGCGGTCCTCCTTGTCGTCGATGTCTTTCCGCTTCGAAGGACCGCTTGATCCTTCCGCAGTCGAAGAGCTCGCGCCGGACGTATACTCTGGATGCTTGGGATACGATTCAGCCTTACTCGCCTCAATGGCTCGCCGCAGCATATCCTCCTCTATGATCTCCGTGATCGCAGAGAAGGACTTAGACATGGCGCGAAAGAATTGGAGTCGACCGGGGCGGATTCTGTCTGATTCGAGAGGAACAGGAGCAAACTAGTATTGATCAAAGACTCTCAAGCGTATACAAAATAGTATACAAAATAGGCGAGGAAACCAGAAACGTTGATTCTCATATAAGGCAGTGCTTGCTTTCTGGACAAGAAATGTTATCTTCTATAGTTCGGAATCGCCGTCACAGATTAGCTTGAAAAGCCTTATAACACGTCGAGGAGTTACCTGCAGACTAAATTTGAGGTCTCTGGTTGCCTTTTTCTACATGTCGGATGGCGGACGCCCTAGCCATTCAGATATCTCAGTGGAAGATATTTCTCTTTTCGCGCTCTCAGCAAGCTGAGTATTACGTGGCAAATCTTACGCTTGTTTCAGTTGCTGTGAAATGTCGAGGCTGAGATTCATGCCCAACAGTGCCTGATTCGCTGTGAAGAACGAGGCAGTGAATGCCTCGACATAATACGTACATCGCGTATCACAGTCAAAATGGCAACTGGAGAACTCGACAATCTAGCTCTTTTTCTGTCCACTCTTGTCTTGTTTTCCTATACTCTCTTGTTTTCTGTTAGAGATCCAGGCAGACTAACAAGGAGTTCTCCTTTTTGGTCGACTCATTTGCTCTTTGGATAAGACGTCAACCGAATCAAGCTGTGAATTTACCGCCATTTGCAGACTTCCCCAAAAGACACACGCCCTCAGAACCATAGCAATGCCAGACTCTTCAGAGCCTTCTGGGATGTCCAATACCGTACGTGGACCCCAAAGAGCACTGAGGGCATCCAAAATAGAAGATGCAAAATGGGAAGAGCACAAAGACACGATCAAGAAGCTATACATCGATGAGAATATGAGACTGGACGATTTGGCAAAGCACATGGAGAAGGAGTACAAATTCAAAGCAAGGCAAGTGTACTATTCCAACAGCACAATGATCATGTGGTAGCTGACTGCGTTGGATTCTGCTCCAGTGACCAGCAATATAGAATCCAATTCGCCAAGTGGGATCTACGAAAGAACAGAAGGAAGAATGAGAAACGACCTGCAAGCCCCGGATTAGGTATGTGGCCCTGGCGCGAGGTGTATGAAACGTCCGAGAGCTTGTTTACAAATACCTAAGTGAGATACTGAATAATATAACTAGATCAACCAAGAAAGATGATGGGCCCCCCATCCGGTTGTAATGGACCACTGGATAGTTTACAGAGTCGTCGTGGCGCTCAACAAAGCATCGATGGGACTAATATGGATGCCTCTATGCAATTTAACTCACTACTAAGCCAACCGTTGGACTTGGACACCTGTGACAACCCCATTCCATCCACGTTTGATCCTATATTCTCCGCATCGGACTTTGGCTTTGGTACGGGACCTTGGTCCCCTGTAAGTTTCCCCGCGCCCTTCCATTGTATGAATGAGGCTAAAGTGGCGTGAACAATCATGGCAGACGACACTATATCCGTTGCTATCAGGCCAACCGTCCCTAATATCTCATCAGAATTCACATGGAACCTCTTTTCCAATGGCTGTTCCCTATAATTCACATGCAGCCTCTTTCCCGATGGGCACGTCCTATAATTTAGGACAATCATCCCAGGCATATTATCACAAAGAAAAGTCGCCGGGCCATGAACGAGTGAACATAATCGACACGGTAAGCAGGAAGCAGTCACAGCTGAGACAGTTTCGTGGCAGCAGCACCGGCAGATCCCCCATGAAGAGGCAAGCCATCCATCAGGCAGTACAAGCCGGCTCTCTAAATGCTGTCAAACTTTTGCTCAGCGTAGATCCTAAGTGCGCTCATAGTCATACGACGGAAGGCATAAACACGATTTGGATCGCAGCTCAAGGAGGCCATGCCAACATCATCGGGCTGCTGATCAACCAACAAGTCGATGTGAACGCTCCCGCAATTGAGAGTAGGCGTACGCCAATCCATCAGGCTGCTCAGAACGGACATCTGAAGGTCGTCGAACTGCTCCTGGAACACGGGGCTATGGCAGATCCAATCGATTCTGATCATATAACACCTCTCTGGAGCGCTGCTCAAGAGGGGCACTATGATATTTGCAAACTGCTTCTGGAAAATGATGTGGCGATCGAGGTCGAATCTTCTGATGCAGCTCGCCGTCCGATGCATCAGGCAGCTCAATGTGGGCATCTGAGAATCGTTGAGCTGCTATTGTCTTACGGGGCAGCCCCCGACCCGACAGACAATTCCGGTATAACTCCCCTTTGGAGCGCAGCACAACAGGGCCACGCCAAGATCGTACGTCGGCTGCTGGAGGCAGACGCAAGGGTTGACGTGACTTCATATGACGGATCCCGACAGCCAATTCACCAAGCGGCCCAAAATGGTCACCTTGAAACCGTGCAGGTTCTTCTAGATTTCGGTGCGAAGGCTACACCAGAGGAGGACAGTTTTGACGACACGACTCCTTCGCCGTTTTGGCTGGCTTGTGGCTCGACGAATGGCAATACCGACATTGTCAAGCTGTTTCTTCATCATGGAGCAGATGTAAATTTCTCCGTGGCAAGCTCGGGAAAGAAGCCGCTCCACGCAGCGGCATACAGGGGTCACGTCGACATCACGCGACTTCTTATCGAGAGAGGATGCAATGTCGATGCCAAAGAGGATGACGGCTGGACGGCATTGATGTTGGCCTCACAGGAGGGTCATTTACCGTTAGTGAACCTTCTTGTAGAGAAAAGCGCGAATGTGAACGCAGAAGAGAAAGATGGGGCAACGTCTCTGTGGATAGCGTCTCAGCAGGGGCACACTGAGATTGTCCGAAGGCTTCTGGAACTGGAAGCCAAGCAACTACCCACCAGGTCTGCGCAGAGACGGCCGATCCACCAAGCCGCTCAGAATGGACACCTATCTGTCTTACAGATGCTGTTGAAGGCGGCTCCAGAAGATATCAACGCCGAGGATAAGAATGGGGCGACGCCTCTATTACTCGCTGCACAGGAGAACCAGCCGAGATATCTGGCCATAATGAACCATCTGATTTCAATGGGGGCTAAAGCCTCGGTCTAGCTAGTTCGTGAGGTCATAATCTGTGTGGATAGGATAACTGGCATTAGCCCACCAAAAGGCCTATTGTTATGATTAGGTTATGTATGTAGCTCCATTATTCACACCAGCGTTGTAGACTACTCTGTTTCTTCTGCGGTATCAGATTCTCTTTTCTAATGAGTCATGATTCAAATTATAAAACCTAAGATTCGTGACGATATCGGAGAAATGTAATACAAGAGGTACGTGAAACGCGACGAGATCATAAAGGGTAGTGGTGATATACAGGATCAACTAGGTATAAGAGTTCAAAGTTGGATCAAACAGAAAAGAAAAAAAGAATAAGTAAAATTACAAAGACAAGACGCCCACAAGGGAAGATTCAAGTTTGTTACCTCGGTAGGTAGAGTACTTCTATCAAGAAGCCAGGCCAGAGTGAACTAGACCAGACCAGAAAGAAATTCAGATCATCTTTTCGTTCGAGTAGCTGTCGGATGGGGTAGGATATGATAGCCCCTCGATGCGTATAGCCGGCGAGGGTCGACTTTATAAAACGGTTGTATCGATCGTGCAGTGTACAGAGCCGGTCGGTAGAAGGTGATGGACGCGGAGTATCGATTGAAGAGATTGCGAGAAAGGTATATTGTGTCCTTCTTTTTCGTCTATGCACTGCATTTGTTCAAGACCTTTTAGAACTCTAAGCTCTATCCAAGTGAATTTGGGAAGAAGGAAGGGGAAGAGAAAAAAGAGACAAATTAAGGGAGAGGGAAAACTTACAGCAAAGCCAAGGTCAAATCACCATGGATACTAGCCTTCAATTCGACTTCCACGTCCAGATTCAGCTCGAGCTTGAGCTTCAATCCTTCCTCGTCGTCAATAGAGGTTTGCTTGTTCTGGTTATCGGCCGTCTGGAGACTCTGGTTGGGATTTCCTTCTCGCATGGGGATCTCTCCCCGTTGAGCGCGTGCGTAGGTGACTGGTCCATCCATGGAGGTCTCTGGAGGCCCGATGCGCTCAAAGGGCTGCATTGACTTGCGTGCGGACTGCGGTGATGCTGTCTTCATACCCTTATAGTTTGGGTCGATGTCATTCTGCTGTTGCTGTCTCTGCGGCTGTTGCTGTCGTCGTTGCAACTGCTGGTGTTGTTGCGGCTCCTCATCGTCGCTGTATTCCTCATCTGAGAAGTCGGAGTAGTCATAGTCGTCGCCGGAAGAGTAGTCGTCCTCCTCGACGGGGGCTTGTTGTCTTTTTTTCTCCACGGCCGACATTGTATCTTAAGTGTTTTTTTATTATAAAAAGGCGATGTAGGTTTTGCGAGATGAGTAGAAGGTTATGTAGAAGGATATTTGAAGAGAGTCTGGATAAGATCAGAGGGGGGAAACGAAAACCACTTGAAGAGTACTACTCGATGATGTGCAACTATAAACTATTATTGTTAAGCGCTCGATCGGTTTGCCTGCTGTCTTGACGACATCATCCCGCGATGGCTATCATTGTTGGTCTGGATGACGATAGATAGATAACCATGACATGACGTCTGGGCTGGGGATCATCGTGGCTGCGTCAACCAGGCACGGTTAGACATACTTAATACTCGTCGAAGTATGGTACCATAATTCTCCGACTGGGCGCGTGGCCAACGTCTACTATGGTACCGACATAATTTAATTAGACTGACGCCCCACGCAACCTTCTAGAGTAGAGTAGACGCTTGGACACTTGAATCGGCCGATCAGATCGATCTGTTACAAGTATGGTATGTATGGCAGATCAACAGAGACATGCATGCACTTTAGCCCCCCGTCTAGCGCTCCCAACCGTTACGAGGCCCTCATACTCCAACAATGATAATTACCCTAACTGATGCGAGTGTAGAATAATATGCATCCGATCATCCTAACCATCCAGAAATAGAAACATAAGTAAAAAGAAATCGAAATCTTCGAGCAAGATTGACCAGTTAGCAGCGTTGGCAGACAGTCCCGCCTACAACCCTAAGCCCTAAGCCCTGTGGCCGTCCCAAAGGATCCCGGACGCCCTTCACGTCATCACGCTTGAGCCATTCAACAATGAGAGCCCATCATATCGTATCGTATCGACAACGGCCTTTCTGTGCTAAGAATAATTTAATAAAACTTGATCCTACACGGGCTGGATAGACGGCACGTCCCACCGAAATCTGTCAACCACGTCGGACCCGTTGTCCAGTCTGCTTTCCCATTCCCACTTCCTGTCATATTTGACCCCCCTACCAGGGGTCGCCCTGCGGGACAGTAGAATCGTTATCTCACATCGCTCCTTGATATACATCCTCCCACGTTGTTTCTCGCTTAGGGAACGTCATGGGTGTCCGCGTGGGTGCAACCCCTCCCTGTCATGGCCCTCCTTGGTGGAGAGGATGACGCTGTTTCTACAGATGATGTTCTGGTTGTCTTCATAATGCCTTGCTGCATCTGACGTCGACGGCAACCAGCAGACCAAGGTTTGATTGCGTGGATGATATTTCTATTCAAGTGGAATACTCTACGTCCTTCGCACGTCCAGACAATCTTGTATGATATTTATATGATATTTATACTTTTTAGTTGAAAAACACAGACCATCCGTCTTATTATAAGTTCCTATATCCCAGACTTCCTTTCTTATAATTCCATTTGAATCCTTTTCTCGATATGGCAGACACGGAGAACAAGGAACAGCGTAACAACCCTGAAGGTGTCGACACCCAGAACGGCGAGTCTAGCAGCCAGTCTCAACAACCGCAGCAGCGGCAGAAGAGATCCCCGCCCAAGCTGAACAAGAAGCAAAAGCAAGAAAACGAGGCCAACGGTGTCGAGAACCAGCCGGACGGCGAAGCAGAAGACGCTCAGCCCAACGGTGAAGAGCAGGACATCAAGCAAGAAGACCAGGACCAGGACGAGGATCAGGATCAGGATCAGGACCAGGACCAAGACCAGGAACCTGAGCCTGAACCCGAACCTGAACCTCAGCGAAAGCCTCGACGGCAGCGACGCTCCAGACCGGTTCAGAAACAAGACACTGACACCGAAGAAATCCCACGTCCCGACATGGATTCTCCTGGTGGCCGACGCCAACGCCGCAGCAAGCGCGGTAGCCAGCAGCAGGGCGATGGCGGTCCTCTCGGTGGCGTGGACGACATTGGAAACACTGTCAATGGCGCTGGTGAACTCGTCCAAAACACCGCCGGTAAGGCCGTTAACGGCGTCACCAACACGGCAGGCAAGGCAGTCGGCGGTGCCTTGGGTGGTGGCGGAGGGGACAAGGGAGACGACGGCAAGGACGAGCAATTGCGATTGAGATTGGACTTGAACCTTGACATCGAGGTTCAGCTGAAAGCCAAGATCCACGGTGATCTGACCTTGGGACTTCTGTATGTCTCCTTTCCATCCCCTTTACTCCGCGGCGGATATTCATGGGCTATTGCTAACATCTCAGATCGTAGGAACTAAGAAGTCTTCATACCAACCAAAAACCTCAATGGACCCATCACGGATACGTCCGTCACTACAGATATAATGGTGTCATGAAAACCTACCTCTGTTCTTCCCTGTTTCACTTTTTTTATCAGCCTTGTTTCTTCACGTGTACAACTATGTGCTTTTCTGCGATATACGTCTGTACTTTTATACTATATCCGTTGCCTCAAGGCATCATGTAATATGATGCGAAGTTATACGAAGCGATGTGATGATACGCTGTTTCTTTTACCTTTGTTTGTTTTCTCAGTTACTAGAAATCTACCTAATGTAACTATACCTCCTGTGAGCCTTCTCTCCGTATAATCCCTCGCTGTAGACATATTAATCACACTCTGACTATCCTTGTATCAACATTCTGTTCTGTAAGAAAGATCGATTAGGTGGGAACAGCTACAGGATAGAGCGTTATAGTTCTCTGACAAGATAGATCGCAAGATTGAAGCACAAACCTCGCGTCGTTATATTCTGGGGTAGTAACGAAATTGGCTGCGGAACTTGAGAAATATTTATTACTCTAGAGAAGCTGAAGATGGAGTCAATTAAGAAAATTTGGAAAGAAACATCTCAGTCTAAAGTATCTCGCTTTATTTACTGTAGAGTCGCCGTATCCTATCTCGAGATCGTTGTTATCGCGGAGACATGATACTTACTTAGCGGGGTGCAAGTGTGGAGCGGACGATAGTGCCACGTGCAACTTCGAATTAGAATTCTACACACATTCAGGTCACCGAGTTAGCGGAGGGAATCATATCGAAATTGCTATGTGCTATATGAAAAGATCTCTAGAGGAGTCTAAATCTATGCAGTGGGGACACGTTCGTGTGAGATCGTGGTCATTGTGTTTTCCTGAGATGGGAAGAGATCAACCACCGGCTTCGGCATCTCAGCCGAGGCATCAGAAGTTGAGCTTGGCATCGCCGATGGACAAGGAGATCGGGACCATCTCGTCCATTTCATAACCCGATTGCTCCTGCTCACTAGCAAATTCCAGGGCATTGTTACGCAAATACCACCTTCTTGCCAATCCGACGATTTACGTATAGAAAAAGAAACCGATTCCTTTCACCATGGCCGAGGACGAGAAGCAGACAGCCGCCGCCAAACAGCGGATCATCACGCACATGAATTCAGACCATCAAGACTCTCTCGCGATGTTCCTGCAGGTCTACAACCGCCTCAACGCCTCGACAGCTAAATCCGCCCAGCTCGAAGATGTCAGTCTCTCCGACATGGTGATCAAAGCCGGCGACGGCGCGCAATACACCATCCCCATCGAACCGCCGATGAAGTCCCTCCTCGACGCACGCCACCGCTTCGTCGACATGCATGACTACTGTCTGAGCAGTCTGGGCATCTCCGATATCAAAGTCGAGCAATACAGCGCTCCTCGTGGCCATCATACTGTGATCTTCGCTCTCTGCCTCGCTACATACGTGTCCTTCTCGCGGCGCGAGAACTTCCTACCGGGTTCGCTGCTCTACGATCTGGTGTTTAAGCATTTCCCGCGTTTTACGCTGTTCTGCTACGATATACAACCGCTTCTTATCTCGTTGATGGTGGCGATCCATGCGTGCGAGGCGACTTACATGGCGCTCTATCGATTGAGGCCGTATCGCGTACCCTTCCTGTCGGGGTTGTGGTGGACATGGATGACGTCCTGCTTTATTGAAGGTTTTGGATCGTTTCAGAGGTTTGACGCGATCGTGAGAAAGGAGAAGGCCAAGAAGCAGCAGCAGAAGCCCAATCTGTCGGGCAAACCATAGAGAGAGAGCTCTCGTGTCTGGTGGTTGAGGCATGTTTGATTGTAGATGGAGTGTTGAGTTTCATACCCAGTTAGACGATGTTCTGATAGTAAATAGTGGCAGTTCTTTCTGCATGAATGTGATAAATAATCAGTGAATAATGATAATAAGGCCGTTGTGTTTCGAGGTTTAACTCTCAGTATAGTAGTAGTAGTACTGTAAGTACTTAGAAAAATCACAGTACGAATTGGGAATGCTCGGCTGGCGGGCGTGTTGTGCGCTAGTCCACATTAGGGTTAGTGCGCACTTTCGGGTAGGGCATTTTCGACAAGCGAGCCACACTGCGAAATTCAAGACAGCCGACGACAAGCACTTAACAATCGACCACCCACCCACATTGCCCGCGCCGTTGTTCTGGTGAAGGACTGCAGGTTACGAGGTTAGTATATTTGATGCCGTTGTCGCCGTTTGCATTCTCTCGAGACGAAATTGGACAACTTCGTGGTCGGGTGATACTCCGCGGCGGATTGATGGTGTCGATATCTCGTGAAGGAACCAAAGGTCAACAGAGCTTGGGTCAAAAGAGTCCTCGCGAGGAAAGCAGAAGAAAGAGAAAAAGAGAGACCTCGCGATCTATCACCTGTCTACGAAGTTTCCTACGTTCATCATCGAGAGGATTTTTTCTGCCGTCGTTGTGCCTCAAGAGAATCGCTCACTGACATCTGAATTTCCAACTCGACAGTAGTCCAGTCCATCAACCGCAAATATGGGTATTTCTCGCGACTCCCGTCACAAGCGCTCGGCCACCGGTGCGAAGAGGGCCTTCTACCGCAAGAAGAGGTATGGCACATAATGCAATACTGCAGACTTCAAGCCTGCGGGTTGTCGAGGAGTTTTCCCTTGTTTTCTTCTGTGCGGTTTCTGACGGTTCGATCTTTATACAGAGCCTTCGAGAAGGGTCGCCAGCCTGCCAACACCCGTATTGGCACCAAGAGAATCCACCTTGTCCGCACTCGTGGTGGTAACCAGAAGTTCCGTGGTCTCCGTCTGGACTCCGGTAACTTCTCCTGGGGTTCTGAGGGTATCTCCCGCAAGGTCCGCGTGATCGTGGTCGCCTACCACCCCTCCAACAACGAGCTGGTCCGCACCAACACCCTCACCAAGTCCGCTGTCGTCCAGATCGACGCTGCTCCTTTCAGACAATGGTACGAGGCCCACTACGGCCAGCCCATCGGCCGAAGACGCCAGCAGAAGGCCGCCGAGACCACCGAGGAGAAGAAGAGCAAGTCCGTTGAGAAGAAGCAGGCTGCCCGCTTCGCCGCCAGCGGTCGTGTCGAGCCCGCCCTCGAGAGACAGTTCGAGGCTGGTCGCCTGTACGCTGTCATTGCTTCCCGACCCGGCCAGAGCGGCCGTGTGGACGGTTACATCCTGGAGGGTGAGGAGCTGGCTTTCTACCAGCGTGCTATCAGGAAGTAAAGGTCCGGCGGGTAAAAAGGGTGGTTTCGGAGTTTCTTGTCAGCAATATTACTTCCAGAAAAAATCTCATGATCTGGGCGTCCGCGGATGCAATGTCTGTAGAACTCTGAGCTGTCGAACCAATCGGAATGATTTCATTTTCTTACGCTTTGTTACTCCTGGAGGGCGTGTCCACACAATATCGTTTGCTGGGGATCCCGCTGGGTGTAGGCATGATGGTTACTACCGGTATTTAACGTCTCAGGAAAAAAAATCAATCAGTGTCAGTTTCAGCAACTAGTCCAGACAATCAACCGGGTCTTGATCAAGTCGTCCCAGCAGCGGTGCGTTCAAGTTCCGACATAGTATCTACCTCACTCTGCCCACTTCATTGCGAGACTAGCCCTGCCATGTAATAATATATTCTTCTGACTTTGCCTGGTCGCCTCTGACATCTCAACTTCCTCAATGAATGGGGGAATTATCAGCATCATGTTCACTGACGCGAAGGTTGTTCCCTATCGTCTCGTAGCCCGTGGTGCTTGCGGTAAGCGTAGGCCTTGTACTCCACCGGTAGTCCGCAATGTCCATCTTATCGGCAGGCGTTCTTCCTTCCGAGGACGGCCTATAAATCAATTCAAATCAACTACGCCGTGCTACATTCTCCTAGACGTATCTACTTCTTATGCTACAGATTGTAGCATGAGATTCAGATGTCCTGTTCTTTCGACGACATTCCATCGACCCAATACGTCAGCGGGTAACTATATCGCGGGTTATAGCTGCCTCCGCAAAGAACCCCTCCCTCTGTTACTACGAACTGTCAGCACCATCATATCCCAACACGCTCACTCCATAGAGTCGAGCAAAAGAAACCACCACAAAATGAACACAATACCAGACTCCCCCGCCCTGGTCAAAGGCATCAAGACGCGGATATGCATGATCTCCGACACGCACACTTATGCCCCCTGCCCGCCACAGCAGACGGGGAATCCTTATCGCTATCCGCTGCCCAAGGCGGACGTGCTCCTCCACGCGGGCGACATCACCATGGTTGGACGCAAAATCGAACACCGCAAGATGATAGACATGTTGAAAGAGGCAGATGCGGAGGTCAAGATCGTCATTGCGGGGAACCACGACATTACGCTGGACGAAGAGTATTATAAGGAATTTGGCTACACTCGACATCGATGGGGCGGGAGTGGTGGTGGCATGGACGGCATCGAGGACCCCGCGGAGATCAAGCGGATGTATACGGGTGAAGAGGCGCGGAATGCGGGAATCGTCTATTTGGAAGAAACGCTGAAGACATTCACATTGAAGAATGGAGCTCAATTCACCTTGTATGCGTCGCCGTATCAGCCGGAGTTCTGTCGATGGGCGTTCGCGTACGAGCGGGATATTGACCGGTTCAATCCCTCGCCTCCGGTTGCAGAATTCCAGGCCCCTAATCCGGTGCCGAGTTTCCCAGATGTCGATATCATGTTGACTCACGGTCCGCCGTATGGTGTTCTAGATAAGGTGGCTTTTGGTGGACAGCACGTTGGTTGTGAGCATCTGCTCAGGGCAGATGTGCGGGCAAGACCGCGCTTGCATGTCTTTGGACACATTCACGAGGGCTACGGTGCAGAGCGGATAGACTGGGAGACTAGGACATCGACCAAACTCGAGCAGGATATCGAGGATGTACTCGATGCTCGATGCGCGTATTTTGATCTGAGCAGTAGTGGAAAGAAGCCGCTAAGATTTGGGGACGAGACATTGTTTGTGAATGCGAGCGTGGTGACGGTGAACTATAAGGCGATAAACGCTCCGTGGCTCGTGGATCTGGATCTTGAACCAGCTACAGAAGATGTGAATCCGGATGTAGAAGCATAGAGAGAGAGGAAATGTCTTCTACAGCGAAGAGGCTTGGTAGGGTCTGGAATAAGCGATAAATGCTGCCTTAGAAGATCTGGAGGATGATTGTACAGTACATACAAAGTACACTCCCAGCCTCCGATATCAGATGAAAGAAAACCGCCATCAGGCAGTCACTTCGCGTATTACCAGCCACCGCTACTTCCCACAAGACCTCCAGGACTCACGAGACAGCCCTTTAGCTAGCGAAGTCCAGCGCACAATGTTCTCCTTTGACATACTTCCTGCCACTTCGTTGAATCCCAAAAAAACCACATCTCAAACTATCTACCATCATCACCACTCCTCAAACTGCGAGCAGATACGAGAATAGAAATTCAAAGAAAACCCTCACTATGGCAGACTCGTTCACTCTCCCTATCGACGAAACCCCTAATCCAGCTCCGCTGGACCTCATCCTCTCCAACGAGGCCACTATCACTGCGTCCATCTCCATGACCCTCGAGCAGTCTCCTCGTGGACTCGCAGAAGACAGACCGCCTCCACTGTCCGCTGAGCCTGGTCCTCAGATTGACTACAAGCTGCTCCAGGCTGTCCTCAGCAGGACCAGAGGGCTCCTCGCCCCAGAAGACCTCGAGGCCATCTCCAAACTCATAAGCATCCGCAAGAAATACTGGATGGCACTGAGTGGATACACTCAAATCCACAGACAGATCCAGGACATCTGGGTCCAGCGACAGAGACTAGTCGACCAGGTGGAATCCATCAAACTTGCCGCAGCGCGGTGGTTGTCGACTTTCGCGGCGCAGATGCAATCGCCTCGTTTTAGGGGAATACGTCCGGAAGATGTTCGTAACGCTTACAAGGCCAAAGTTCAGGCCCTCCTTCGCCAGAACGCAAATTCTCAACTGCTGAACGCTAAAGAGGCTCGTGATGCAATCGGGCGGTACTATATCTACGCCAAGGGGGTTATGGGCCTTTCATCGAAGTTCATTGAGGTCAAATTGGAGACTATGCCGATCATCTACAAGGCGCAGAACGTGCTGCTGGCTTTCTGGGGTGATGAGCTGGCTGCGGCGGCTGAGGTGACGTCTGAACCCGTCTATGGAAATCCGACTGCCCATGAGCTTCCTCCCGTTTGTCAGGGAGATGGAACTGGAAACCAGTCGAAGCGCGAGAAGAGAAGCTACGATATGGTCGATAACGAGAATGACGGACAGCAGACGATCCCAGAACCGAAGAGACACCATGGGATCGAGGCGGCATCTGCCCCTGTCTATGAAAATGCAACTGCGTATGAACTTCCTCCGCATTGTCAGGGAAATGGAACTGGTGCTGGTGCTGGTACTGGTACTTCCAGCCTTTCCGCTGCTATTCAGGTCGTCGAAAATGAGTCCTCCATCTCCGTTGTCGATAACACCCGTACTTCGACGAAGGCTAGTGGGAATCAATCGAACTGCAAGAAAAGAGGCTGCGATATGGTTGATAATGAGAATGATGGACCGCAGACTATGCCAGAGCCAAAGAGACACCATGGGATTGAGGAGGATGAGAGTTGGTGGGGAGAACTGAAGCCTCTGGGCGAACCCCTCGAAGCAGACTACTGGTGATAGAATGGAGCAATAGAGGGCGCCTTTGTCCAGATGCCCTTCTTCATGATTCACTGGTTATTCAGGTAGTGGGAAAGTACCTTTGGGGGACTCCCTCGAAGGAACAATAGAGGTCACCCTTGGTCAGACATTCTTCTTCATGAGATACGATTCACTGGTTATTCAAGTGGTAGGAAAGCACCTTTGGGGAAATACGGAAGGACCAATTACAAGGTAATGATATTGATAGATTCTAGATACGGCGCTAGGTTTGGTCGCGAGCTTAATGAATTTCATTTCAAGTTGTGAATGGATACTGTTTCTTTTGTAGCCATATAATTGTATGATTCTTATGGTTCTATTGTTCAACTCGGTTTCAAGTCCTATATAACTGCTCCCTATTAAACCCTACTACCCCCTTATTATCTACAGTTTGAACCCACGCAAAGCATACGAGCTGCAACCAACGCCAGAAGTAGCCTGAAGCTCGAACCAGGCACAAGCCAACGGTCCCAGGCACCTGACTGCACTTAGGCAATAACATGGAATTTCCTAATCCAGAAATACACCGCCTTCGAAGCCATATAAACAGCTCTTATCAACTGCAATGCATCGAGGGTTCGACTCCAGGCGTACTCTTGATTCAGTATATTCACCAGGGGCCCATACGCGCTCATATCCGCGGTTCAAAGGGTTCAAAAAAATAGATTTCCATGGGCATAACCCGTAATCTTTTTTCTGAGATGAAAAGAACCACAAAAAAAGGTCCAGGGACCATGGCGCTGTTATCTCCCGCCCTCCCGGAGTTTGTCCTGACCATAGTACCTGGCGAGCCTTTCTTTGGAGGGGAATTTGGGGACCGGGGGGGCCCGCAGTCCTTAACCACTAGTCCACTGACTCGTTAGAATAGAATATTCATACATTGATATATATATCTACTCTCTGGAGGAAGTCAGGTGATGGCTGGGGAGTTGAAATGGACCAGAGACAGCACGCAAGCCCCCATCTCTACGGCATAGATATACTCTTTCTTTGCGATTCCTTCTCTTCTCGTCGTGCATGGCCTGTACTATGTTCCTTTTTTTTCTTTTTAATTCTCTATTTGTGCTACCCAGAAACCGCGCATGGCTAGTTGCTAGAAGATGGTGATGTGCAACATTGGATTGGTCCGGCGACGCTAGAGTTCATCTTTGGATTATCGGCATACATATAAGTTTGATATTGAAAGTATTCTGCAGTGGACAGATGGGCTGAATTACTTCCCAAAAACCTCCTTCAGAACCTCCACAACCAAACCATACGCCTCCTCCCTCCTCTTCTTCTCAATGTTCCCCGTAAACTTATCAAAAGCATGTCCCACCCCTTTCAACTGCACATTCATCACCTTCCTCCTCCTCCTCCTGCTCTCTTTGCCCCCTTTACGCTTCCCACCACTCTCCTTCAACTTCTCCGCCAATTCATTGCCCTCTGGCGCCAACGTATCCCCCTCACAGGTGATAATCACCACCGTATCCGGAAAGTCCTCCTCATCCACAAAAGAAGGCGAAATGAGCGGATTCCGCATAACGGACCTGTCCCGCACACTATCCGGAACATAGCACGCGTCGAAAATGCGCCCCAGGGCTGGATGGATCGGATACCGTGGTTTAGGGACGATTTTTGCTTCAGGGAGGATAGTCAAGTTCGTTACGGGGTAGAATGCCACAGTGGCTTTGATATCGAAGTCATCTTCTCCAGATGGGAGGAGGAGATTCTGTCTCAGTTGTTTCTGGAGAGAGGACGATGCGACAAGAGCTAGATTCGCACCGGCGCTAAAGCCAGATAGGACTATATTATGCGTGTCGAATCGTGCAGATTGGACCGTGATGATCCAGTGGAGGACGTCGAAGACATCCTCTGGCGCCGCGGGGAAGGGATGTTCGGGTCCCTTGCGGTAATCGGCGTCTAGGACGGGGATTCCTGTTGCGTTGGCGATGTGCGAACAGTATCTGGCATCGGAACCGAGAGAGGGAATGACGAAGCCGGAGCCGTGGAAGTTTATGATTATTGGAGTTGGGTTGTTATCGTCGTTATTGGTATCGTCGTTGTTAGTGCTGGTGTTGTTTTGTTCAGGGGTATATAAATCGGCGAGGATGAAGCGGCCTGCGTCGCGAGAGGGGATGCGAAGACGCTGTTTGTTTTTGTATTTTGGTTCTGGATGGAAAACGCGGGTAATATTGGCGATTCGGACGATGCAGCGGATGACAACAGCGATCAGTTTTAGGCGCATGTAGCTGAGGAGAGGGAGGGTCATAGTTTTATACTTTTTCTTTGGGGTTGGTTAGTATTTGAAGGTGCAAAATGAGGGCAGGACCGCCGACTCTGCGCTGTGATCGGTTGCAGATATTTACACTTATATCTTGAGGGAAGGTAGATAGAGGAATTAGACGTCTTGCTTCAAAAGACAGAAATTGGTTCGAAGCTGATTGAATCAGGCCACCAGCGCTCTTCCCCCGCTCCCCCTCCCCCACAATCCGACTGAAACGCGGAGCCTTTTTATAATAACTAGTCAAATGTTGAGAGACGCTTAAATAGACTACATGTATTGATGTGGGGCTGCACAGAATAGCCGCGGTAGCTTAACTATTTGATAGTTTCTTCCCTACTCTAGCCGCGGTAGGGACTAATTAGGTATCATGCTTCAATGGCATAAATACGATATGGATAATTAGGTAAGGACAACCAATTGATTGGTGACTGTCCAAGCTGCAGCCTGGAGTAGATAACCGGTCTATGATTGAGCACTTGGAGTTTCATATTACGAGATTAACAAGTCGAAACTCAAGGCCAGCGCTACCAAGTCACAGTCTGGGTGATATCCCCAAATGCCATTTTCAATTCCATGCCACACGATAAACCGCTACAAGGCAACCTCACATACAGGTAATCAAGGAGAACGCTGGTATTGTAATATACATACATGAGAAGAATATGAAAAGCAGCACCCAAGGTGCCCGAAACCCGGACCAAACGAAAAGAGATGTGATCGAGATAAAGAAGAGAATAAAAGAAAAGAGGTATCTAGCAGTCGTTATAGACCTGTGTACGTCGGGCTTGATGCTGTGGTCAAATAGAAACTCGAAAAAATAAGACAAAATTCACGAGGGAAGAAATGACACTATCTATCTAGGATAGAACAGAGTCAAGATGAGAGAGTCAACAGAAAGGAAAAAGAAGGAGAGGTATCCACAGTGGTGTAAAATGAACGTGAGAATAGAGATAGAATTCCGACATCAGGCCTTTATGCTGAAAACATTATTCACACAAGATTCGAAGGGGAAAAAGAAAAAGAAATGCCATGTCCCGTCGAAAATATAGATGAAAGAAAAAAAAAGGAACGTCACGTATTTACTCCTCGCGGAGCGGTTCATTGAACCCGTTTCCGCTGCCTAAGCTTCCGTTGAGATCTCCCATGCCGAGACGGCCGTTCTTTCGTCCGACGCTTTTCAGCAGACTGAACCGCTTCATGACGGAATCCCGTACACCGCCAGTGTTCGTCGCGGGTACGCTGTGGTTCGACGAAGGACTGGCGATCACTGACTCTTTAATGGATTGGCTACGGCTGCCTGACGTCTCAGGACGCTCATGGTTGCTCGCTGAAGGAAGAGCGGATCTGCTTGCATTCGATGGTCTCTCTCGTTTGGAAGAGGTGCGGTGCATAGACGAGGTACGATGCATTGAACTGGAACGTCTCCTGTCAGGCTGGCTGCGACGAGATGCAGTCGACGCTTGTCGGCGTGGGGTTGCGTGGGCATCTTCCATCGGTATCTCAGCCGCGGAGACGGAAGGACTGAACTTGTGCGACTTGTCTCCGCTAAACCAGCTTCTGCGCTTCGAGTGCGTATCGCTCCTGCCTCCGCGAGAACGGCTGGTCGTCCGACTATGGATGGTGGCAGCGTCGTCGTCGTCATGAATGGTCTCTCCATTAGACTTGGCCTCGGAAGGACGTCTGCCGTCAGAATGGCCGTTGACCGTCACGACAGACCCAGACGCCAGATGGTGAGCCCGCTTGAAGGGGTTCATGATACTGATGCGATGGCCGACAGAGTGCTTGTCACCATGCTTGCGGTCTTGGGAACGGCTGGAGCGGATAAGCTCCTGCTCAGGGCTAGTAGACCGCTGGTGGGGAGACTGTTGTTGACCATTGCCAAGGCTAGGACTGCGGTAGCCAAGTAGATGAGGGGACTCCTGTGACTGTGACTGCGACGGCGGTGGTTGAGCCGAGAGCGACGCAAGCTCAGGTGCAAACGCCTCCTCGAACCGTCGTGTAAGTTCTGCCTGCGTGGCTAGGTGAGCCGGCCGAGAGAAGAGGTTCAGGCAGTGTTTGATAGCCAAGGCATGATCGATAAGAGCCACAGCCAGAGCATTTTCTAGCGGGTCAATTGGCCTCACAAGCTCCTCCTGCTCCTCCAGTCCCTCCTCTTCCTCTTCCCGAGGCTGCTCTTCGGTTAGGAACTGCCGGTACAATGCCACACAGCTGGGCGAAGACGAGTTCAACTCGAGCAATTGACTAAGAGCCTCAGTCAAGGCGGAAAAACTAGGGTCATCGCCCGCTTTCGCGCGCTTCTCCAGAAGAAGAAGTTCCTGCGTCTTGCGCCACGTACGCTCAATAGCAGTCTGCAGAGGCGACAGCGCTAGGTCATCCGCCGCAACAATCTCGCTTCTGCGTAGGATGTTCGGGAAAGGTTCCGCAGTCGTAAAGATAGTCTTTTCAACCCATTGCTCCTTCACGTCAGTTCCACCAGTGTGCTTCTTCGAGGTCATCGAGAATTGGTTCGGGACAGAGATCAACAGATGTTCCCGCACGGTGCTCGGAAGCTTTGACCGCTGATACACCGGATGTCCCATATCTCGGTGGACGCTAACAGAATTGATCTGCAGGAATTGCCCCTCGAGATCGTCAATCTCACCCGAAGACATGATCCGTGCTGCAGGATGTTGTTTCCGCATGCGGTCCGTGAAGGCTGCCATGCGTTCATAGGGATACGCCTCGTAGATATACTCCTTGTCCCGAAGGGTAGCCGGGAAACCCAGGCCCTTGTACACGACCCGGAAGTAGCGTGGGAACTGCTTGTCTTCCTTGGCCACGGCGTCGTAGATCCTGGCGATGGAGCTGTGTGTCCTCGAGAGTTTGGAAAAGTCCATAATCGTAATCTCATACTGGTACGCTAGCTCCCTGTAGCAAGCAAGGGCGTGGGCCCAAGCCTTTCCATCTTCGAAATATTGGATGATCTGGAAGTAGAGTGCTTCCTTCCTCTCGAACGACGACTCCTCTGGAAGTGGGGGGTTGAACACTGCAGGAACAAGTTTGTTGGGATCCCACTCGTACAGATCGGCATGGAACTGAAGAGCAAGACCGGCCTCAATGTAGTTGCGAGCAGCAGCTTGCACATCAGCGAGCTCATGCACGTATCGGATGAAAATATCCTCACGGCCCATATCCTTCATGAACTCCATCAGCTTGAGCGTATGTAGGCTCTCGTTCATATCGCCGCTGTGAGAAGCCACGAGCAGATCCAAGAGCTCGTCGATAGTGGCAATGAACTCTCTCACAGAGGCTGAGAGACCTTCGTCTGAAGTACGACTAGCGTGGAAAAGATCGAGCAGCTCATTGATGAACAGCTTCTGCGTAATACTCTCATTCATATGCTTTGTCTTGAACAAGTGGTCGAGACTTGAAATGACCTCCGTCTCGATAATCGCCAGATCCTGGTTCAGATTCCATTCACTGATGATCATCGTCTGCAATACTTCCACAGCAACATGTCGCAGGCCCTCATGAACACTGAGACAAAGCTCAATGATAGGCGGCACAAGGCCAGGAACATACTGGACCTGGTAACCACCTAGCCTCTTCAGACCAAACCGCTCCCTCTCTTCGTCGGTGGTCTCCCAGCCGATAGCCTCCCAGCTCCGGCGCAGCAGCTCGGCTCCTAGTTCGCGAACGTCACCACCGATTTTCCAAACCGCCCGACGCTTCTGCTCCGGGAAGGTCTCCAGCGCGAGTGCATCACTGGAGACGAGCTTCAACAATGTTGCGAAGAAGGCCTCCCACAGTTTCATGTCGAACGTATCAGCATCGTCCGGCGACGGAAGTAGAGACTTGATCATGACGGATGAAATAAACTCCAAGCTCTTCATGGCAGCGCGGTGGTTGTAAATATGCACACTGAGCCAGCTCTCAGGGTATGCGTCACAGCTGAGAACTGAGAGATGGGATTCCAGGACCTGCGCAAGGAACGTGGACAGCTCAATGGGTTTCATGACAGGCAGCTTCGGGTTCCGGATCTTGGCAATCGCAGCCATAAGGGCGGACAGCTCTACAAGCCCCTCATCGAACTTCTGCTTGGTAGCGGAAGGCTTGACCTGGAATGGGAAGGACTTGCTAAAGAGCAAAGAAAGATAGTTCGTATCATCTACGCCCTCGGTTTGGATGGCGCAGTAGGTAGACACGATCTTCGGCATGAACTCGTACAGCAGAGGATCGGGCTGCTTCAAGAGCTCCGCCACAACAGAGCAGCAGAGTCGCACCTGATCGCGGTATTGGTCAGAGACATCATTAGTGGCGCCCCAATACGGTGCCAGCCAGCTGATGCAGCTCGAAATCAGAGTCTGTCGTTCGGGCCCTGAGGCGAAGACCGGTATCCGGGTGTAGTTCTGAATCAGGACCAGCTTATAGAGAACAAGCAACCCCTTGACGTCTTTGCAGGAATCCATGAAGCTCAACGAGATCATAACAACCTCGTCATTGCTGAGGACATTGCTCAGCTCAGGCAGCCAAGTGTGCACGTGCTGGACAATGAGCGTCTTACTGCCGACCAAGATCGGATTCGGGCTCCTCATCAACCCTTCGAGCGACTTGAAGATTGAATGGATATCTCGACTGAACGAGGTCTGGATCTTTGTGATTCCGATCTCTTCTTCCTTGGCCTTCTGTTGCGCTCTGGCGTTCATAATAAACTTCATGAGATGTCGGCCAACTTTGAAGGCAGCGCGCAGATTCCGCGACTGCTGGGTATCCGTGCTGGCCTGCAGCAGCCGCAGGTAACTCCTGATCAAGCAAGGGGTGGCGAAGGGGAAGTTGAACTGCTTCTCGGCGTAGTGGTCGACCAACGGTCCCAGGTTGAAACGGCGGTCGTGCACAATGCCCAGCACCATCACCAAATCGTTGAAGATCAGGTCTTCGTAGTCCTCTTTTCCGGCATTCTCAACCAGAATACCGAATAGCGCGTCAAAAACTCCACTGAGCTGCTTAACGATTTCGATTTCGGGAACGAAAACAAGCCGCTTGAGGATCTGCAGCACCTCATCCGCTGACTGCTCTTTCCAGTTAATCAGACCGAGCATGATTTGATCCTGCGAGTATTCAGTACTACAGAGATACGTCTCAATACGCAGCGTAGCCACCGATCCAGTAACGGTCTCGTCCTTGGTCGACTCCTTCTTGCTAGCTGCGCTCCAGGGAAGAGACAGATAGGCACCTCTGCCGTTCTCAATACTAGAAGTAGTCTTGTCGTAGGCATGCAAAAGTAACGAATGGGGCCCATCGTGCAGGAACGCCTGCTGGTCCCAGAGCGGCATCCAAGCCAGAGCAAACGGGAATTCTGGTGCATCGGCTATACTCATAATCAGATGGGAGCCGGGTACCTGATCCGTGGGAATCTTGAGCCTAATGGTCTCATTCCACGAGGCGTCCCGTTCCGCAACCGTGGATCGCCAGGCTGTATGGCCGTTGCTGTTCGAAGATGCGTATATGCACCGTTCCACACGAGCTCCCGACGAATTGCGCACTTCGAAAGTCAATTGTAGGTTCCGCAATCCTGACGCCATCGGGACAGGAACATGACCAGCCTGTGGGTGGGACAGGAAAGCATCGTGTGGGAAGATGGCGCGAGATACAGTGATATAGATGTCCGATCGTGGCTTCGTCGGAGCAGTCGGGAATCCCATTCTCCTGGTCTGGGTTACATTATGCATGGTGGTAGGATTACTTCGGATCAGCGCATCGGCGTCATCGCTAACAAACGGCGATAAATGCGTATGAAGACGCGCTGCCCGCTGCGACCTCGTGTATTTTCCGGTGGGACTGGGAAGGACACTGCGAATGAGCTCATCAAAGCCTTCCATATGGTCGTCCTCCTCGTCATCCACACCTATCGGGGACCAGATGTTGATCACCTGCTCGACGTCCTTATTCTGCCTGAAGACCTGAGATACCTCAATGACACCAGCTCCAACAGTACGGACAACCATGGCGTCATTAATAGGCGAGTCCTTCCGGTCCTGACTACTCGCCGTGCTACCAGCAGAGGGAGGTGCCCTGATATTTTCCTTTCCAGACTCAATGCTCGGCGATGCCCGTGGTCTCGAAGTCCAGATCACGCTCCGTCGAGCCTTCAGACTTCCCTTGGAGCCGCCGCCGTTGACTTGATTCGTGGTCTTGTTGGCCAGTGCCCCATCCCTCGACGCAGAAGACCGTGCTCTCGGGGGTAAATTGGTCTTCGGGTTCTGGGCTGTCTGCACCGTTGCCACAAGATAGAGCTGAGCATTGCCGCCGGAGACTTCACCAATATCCGTTGCGGTAATTTCGGTGAACAACGTTTTCAGCCTGCTGCTATGCGCAAGACTCGCAAAACTCTCAGGCGAAGGAATGTCCAAGATGTAGGTCTCGGAGAGTGGCTTCAGCGTTCCGTTATCCAGCTTGGTGCTGAGATACATCGAAACCGTCACGGGGCCGGAATTCGTTCCTGACACTGCATTGACCTCGAAAAGAAGATTGTGCAGTCCGGCAGGCTCTGCATTGGTCGTGGCGCTGCTGTCCAGCATGCTCATTTCCGATTGAAGCTTCGTCAATTGAATGGCGGAATCCTCCCCAGTGAGCAAGCGACCGCGCTGCTTGGGATCTCTCACGATCACCTCCCCGCTCAGCATCTTGTTGCCGCGCACCAGTGTCCACACTGTTTTCTCCCGCAGTGCGGCTCTCTCCTGTCCGGTGAGGACATTGTGCAGCAGTTGCCTCCGGGCCAGATCCAGCTCCTGGACAATCTCCGACATCTGCTCCAGCACGCTGTATTTCCGGGCGAGCAGCAGCTCGTGCAGATTGGTGGAGTGCCATTCTCGCAGGCATGATGCGATCTCATCCACCAGCGGTTCCGACGACGACGTGGGGGTCTCATCCCCAATCTTCAACATCGGTACCGGTGCTGCAGGTTTGGGCGCATTGGGGTCTCGGGGGCCAACCGACAACGGCGTCAGCGGGAAAGACGGACTCCATGTCGTAGCAGTAGAGTGTCGCTTGAGGGCCTCTTCGTCCAATTGCAGTACCGCGATCTGTGACCCTTTCGAGAATCTGCTCTCCTTCGAGAGCAAACTGTTAAACCCCTCGTTAATCTCCCGTGTAAAGGACGACGTGCTGTCCCTCTTGTTGTGCTTGTCGCCGTTGACCCCGTTCGGCACGTCCGCGCTTAACTGCGCCTCGCTCTGGACCGGTTTGCGCCCCTCTCCATCCCCGAGCACCTCGCGCACCTCGACACAGTTCTTCGGAAAGATGCCGGAGAAGACTCGCGCCTCCAATGTCTGGCCCTTGACGCTGGTGAGTCCGGCGAGGAGGGACGGCGGGGCGACGAGATAGCCGCGGTACCACTCGCCGTGGACCCCTCCCTGCTCGATTATGTACAATTCATCGCCCAGCTCCAGCGGCAGGTCCGCGGGCGACGAGGGTTGGAACGGGTATATGGCGACCGCGAATGCAATGCGAGGCAGAGGCCGCCAGGGCATCTCTGCTGCTTCTGTAGGGGGATAATCTTGGTGTCGCGCACCAGCCCCGACGTGTCACGCGAGTTCGAGAGAGAGAAAGTCGGACGTTCTGCTCGGGTTATCCGAGAGGTGTTGGGGGCGTGGAGATGGTGTTGGTGGTTCGAAAGTTCGAAAGTTCGAAAAAGAGACCGACGGGTTCCTCTCTGTTTGTCTCAGGGAGCGACATGCAGGTCGAATATCGCAGAAAATAGCCAGTGCGGCGCAGTTGCGGTGTGTAACATGCGGCTGAACAGTTGGAAAAGGAAAGAAGAGCTTCTATTCTATTAGATCACAATTGGGAGGGAATCGTCAGTGTCAGTCGCAAAAGACCCTCTCCAGACATGAGTCGTTGTTCTGCCTCCACGAACGGAGAATTCTCCAATTTTAAAACACCTGTGGAACGAGTATTCGAGCCGTGAAGCTGGGGGGGATGTCCAAAAGATATCTCTCCAAAGCTTTGCTGGCCAGCCCCTAAGCCGGGACCAGTCATTGCAGCCGGGGGACGCAGGGGAGACAGAACAGAGCGGAGTTGTTGGGGATCAGACACTCACTCACCTGGGCACAGCTATCTAATTGATTATTTGAATTAATTTCCCCTCAAGCAGTCCTGGTCACGGAAAACGACAATGTCTTACTCTCACGGAGCGCATCCAGGGCCCGTCTGTCTGGAGAGGGGAAAGAGAGACAGCGAGAGAGAAAGAGAGAGAGAGAGCGTTGGAGGTTGAACCGCGCAGGTCAGACAAAGTCGGGTCAGGAACCTGTTCCGGGTCTAATTAATTAATTAATTAACTTGATATTAATTAATTAAATTAATCCAGACTTCGACTGGAGGAATCAGTTAAGGTTTGGCTCGAGAGAAGAACGGCGGGGCTTTCATCTGTTAGTGAGTGATTCGAGTTCTTCGAGGAGAGGCTGGCTAGTGCTGTGATAGTCTGGTCTGATTTCTGGGAAGGACGAACAGTCCGTTCTTCAGACGACACTTCTTGGTAAATAATAACTAATGATCATTATAACTACGGACTACGAGGAGCAAACGAAGCTGCTGGAAAGACACAAGAAGCCCCTCGCAGGAGACGGTCTCACCGCAACGAGGCCTTTCCTACAAAGTAACTAACGAACTAATAGTAATAACCACCAACAGCATCTACCAAAGCAGCAGGACTGTACTGTCGCCGTGGAGGATGCAGGACCCGACACTCAGGACAGTATCAGATGAATCATACAGGATCCCACCGTTCGTTCGTTAGCCAAATCATAATTATTCTACTATTCTCTCCAGATCGTTCTCACTTTTGTTCCCCCTGAAAACGTCTGGAAGAATCGGAGGCGCCAATCAGATCTCCGGCGACGGGTCCGCGTGTGCGCCAAAAGGGGCCGAGAGAAGAAGAAGAAGAATAACTAACCTACTAGGTATTAGTAGGTAACACAATCCAGCCACTAAGAGATCCACTGCAGATCGGAGCAGACACGGAAATCTGGATAATACGGTACTGTACATAAGTTCATGTCATATACTCTAGAGTACAAGTACATTCGATATCTCCGTCCACGCGATCGACTGCTTTTACAAGGTTCACGCGAGAAAGGAAATGGAAGATCCTGCAAAATGCATTCAAGAAGAGCGAAAGAGAAAAAAAAAAAGAAAAGAGGACGCGGGAGTATGCCTTGGCAACAACAGCTGTATCACATCCGCGACAGGGACGCCGTCCAAAATCATCCATTGCGCCCAGATGTTCTCATCTTCATGACCCAGAAACGTCTCACATCCGTGCCCGAGGAAAAGAAGGTGGCAAAGCAAATCAAGTCAAAGCAAGCCCTCATCACCAGCATTAGATGTTATGTTGTTATGAACAGAAACGCAATTCGAGGACAGCGGATGAGGCACGCCCAGAAAGAAAAGATGAAAAGGTGAAAAGAGAAGAAGAGAAGAAGAGAAGAAGAGAAGAAGAGAAGAAGAGAAGAAGAGCACGACGCATGAAGGCGGTCCATCACCTCATGTCGCTTCACCGCTTGAACATCGCAGTAGCTTCTTCCTTGCGCCACTCCAGGTCCAGCTGGCCCTCGTAGACCGTGTCGATGATCCGCAACGTCCGGTCGTACGTGCTCGCGTATCGAGCCTCACACTCCTGCAGCACCTTGGCCACCAAGTTGCGACTGAGCGTCGTGTCATCCGACTCGCCAAAGTGCTTCTCGACCCGCTTCCTCAGCAGTTCAGCGCCCCGACGCACCTCCTTCGCATCGTAGCTCGCAAACACTTTCTTCGCCACGGACCGCGAGTGGCTCGCCCGGGACGCAACGTCGGCGGGATTACTGGTCGTCGCCATCAGCGACTCGGTCGACTCCACAAACTCAAGGAGCTTGCCAAGCGGTCGACGGATCACCGCATCCATGTACAGCCGCATGTGCTCGCCCATGTCTTGTATCGCCCGTTCGCGCCAGCGCTCCAGCACTGGAATGCCTCGCACATCCACTTCCTCGACGTAGTGGTTCATGTTCTCGATCAGCAGGATATGGTAATTCAAGGCCTCCTTGTCCTCCGGGTCGCCAGCGCCCGTCGTAGCACCCGGCTGCTGGCCGGGCGCCTCCTTGGCAATGAATTTCAAGCTCTCCCACATTGCCTGGTTGATCTTGTTGTACGCCTCGTTGACGCTCAGACGGATATCGGAGAAGTCCTGCTCCGGGGCCGCCAGCATGTTCTCAATGGCAGCAGAGAAGTTCGGGAACGTCCGCATGAACGAGATGACACCCTTCCGCTTGTTGACCTTGACCTTGGTCTCTTCGATGCCGCGGATCTGATCGTCGACGAAGCGGCTAAACAGCCCCGACAGCCGGGTGTGCAGTTTCTGGAGCGAATGCACAATGAACTCCTGGTTGGTGTCCTCAAAGTCCGTAATGGCTTTCTCCAACGCGTGTAAAATGCCGACTCCTTGCCTGCGAGGAAATGTCATGTCAGTGATTGTAGCTAAATCATAGCCAAGGTTCGTTCTTTGCTTACAGTTGATCGGACTTGATGGCCCAGTCGACCAGGCTCTGGACATCATTCGGCCAGAAGGCATAGATGTCATCCATGATCTGTTCCACTTTCCGCGCCATCTCACGGTCAGGGTCATGCATCTGTCGGACGCTCATATCGGGTTTCCTGCGGCGCTCAGGATCGCTACCAGCCACCAGATCAGGGAACTCGACGGTGGTGAGTGAATTCAAGTGGAAGAACTGCACGATAAAGTTCTGTTCCTCGGCAATCGATCTCACTGTCTCTTGCAGGGTGCCGGCAAATACTTCGCAAGGCTCCAACTTCCCACCCTGCTTCTCTCCGCTCAGGGAAGGCCGGAGGCCTTGTCCGATCTTCATGGTCTTGCCTCGTCTCACGGTCAGTTTACGGGCAGCCGTCGTGATGCCTTCGCTCTCTTTTTCCTTTTCTTGATGGGTAAAAAGCAGTTCATGCTCGTCGCCCGTAGGCTTTTTGGCGGCTTTCTTCCAGGCAAAATTATTCTCCCGGAACTCATTCTGATAAGGTCCCTTGGCTTCCTGTTCATAAAGCCCGATAATTCCGTTCCATTCGGACGTGCTAACTTCCCGGGCAAAGAGCATAAGAGCATTGTAGATCCAAAGCTCCTGACGAGCCGCCTCACGAGGGGCGCTGTCCAATCTCAGAGGGTCTTTAGACGCGCTGTTTGCTGCATCGATTACCTTCTGTTCTGCCATCTTGAACGCAATCGACATAAACTGCCTCAGGCGCTGCAAGAACAGCCGGGCTTCAGACCGGTACTCCTCCTTCTTCTCTCTGATGGCCCGCATCTGTCCCACTTCCGTATCGGCATAGATACCGATACTACCTTGCTCACCAGCAGCGTCAGCCATACGCTTCTTGTTTTGACCGATATTAGAGTCGATCATGAGCAACGCTTTGTACAACGTAGAGAGTACCACTTCGGTCTCCTTGATGCCATCTGGATTACTGAGAGAAGCCTCCTTCAACGGCTGAAGGGCATCCGAGGAGATGGAAAGAGTCTTCAGAAGATTCTGCAGCTCATTCTGGAGGAGCTTCTGATTCGCCGTCTGCACCTGCAGACCCTGTGACTGAGCTTCGATAAATGCGACGTCGTCGTTAAGGGTATTCAGTTCATGCGAATACAGCGTGAGAAGGCCGTCCAGCTCCTCACACTCTTCGATTGTCTTGTCGATGAGCTTCGCGAGTTGGTCTACCTTCCCTTCCTGCTGCTCCAGATTACCCAACCAGCTGCTAGCCTGGACCCGGCCAATCTCTCGACGCACATCTGCCTCGAGATCTTCGATCTTCTTATCATCGCTCAGTCGACCGTTCCATCCCAGGTCTGTCAAAATATCATCAAACTCGGCGCCGCGTCCTTCAAGGACAGCCGGATCGATGCCAAGGGCCTCGCAATACTTGGCGGTACGGTCTTCGCGGCGTTTCCTGCGCCGTCCACTTGGAGACGGTGACTTAGACCTAGACCTTTCCTCTGTAACTTCTTTCGACGCATCGAGAGCCTCATCTTTTGCCACCTGGGCTGCCTGTTCAGCCGCAGGTTGGGTAATCTCGAAAGTAGGCAGTTCTTCTGAAGGCGTAACTGCCACTGGTGTAGCTGCTGCTGGTGCAACCGCCGCGGGTGCAAGTGTGGGTGTCTCTTTAAGCGGTGTCTCGGGTGCAGTATGCGCAGACTGCATCGAATCGTTGCTGGTCCCGCGGAGCAGCGGCGCAGGGACGACACCAGTAATACCGTCAGGCTCATTTGCTGCGCTCTTCTTTGCCGCAGCCATCAGTCTCTCAGCAGCACCTCCAGCTCTGGGCTTGAAAGCCCCATATGCGGTGGCTGCCTTCCGGAGAGCACCAGCGAGGTCTTTGCCGGGTTTCTTTTTTACCATGGGCCCAAGGCCGGGCCGATGCGCCTCTTCCTCTTGGGCCTGATCAGCTGTTGGTTCCGTTGCAGATCTTTCTAGTGGCTGAACTGCAGGTGTCGCAATGACGGCTGGCTCTGTAGCCGGTTCGCTAGTTGTACCTTGCAAAGGAAGACTCAAGTCATCTGCCTTTTCTTTCTGTGCCTGCTCCTCCGCCTCCGCCTCTGCCTCTGCCTCTGCTTGCGCCTCCGCTGACAGTGCTGATGTGGTTTTCAGGATACTGCTGCTGGAAGAGCCTGGACGAAGAGAGCTTGGATAGTCGGACACATCGCGAGTCTGGAGCCTGTCACTTCCACGAGACGGCGCCTGATCTCTGCCGGTAGTTTCAGACAACATCGTTCGCTGCCCTAAACTGACTGCTGGACTTTGCGCTGTAGGTTGAGCCTGTTCAGATACAGAGGCGGGAGTGGTAGGTCGGAGTGTTTCTTTGTCTCGCGGGTAGTCGGGGGCTGCATCTCGAGTTCTGCCCAGTCTGAGATCCACCATGCCTTTGCCATCTCGAGACGGGGGAGGTCTGCTCTCCTGCATCGCTGTACCCTCAGGCCGTTCAGGCCGCTCAGGTCTCGCAGGGGGCTGGTCTCGCGACGATGAGAGCGCAGGGACAGGTAGTTGTTGACCAGGTCTCACAGGCGGTCTTCCCATCTGTTCACGACTCCGTTGGCTACGGAGCATCGGCTCATCTGGACGCTGTCGCCTGGCATCCTTATTCCCATCACGACTGGGGGCACGACCGGAATATGGAGATTGAGGTCTCCGTGGAGACGGTGGGCGTGGAGGGGGCAATGCGGCGTCTGGACGTTGAGCAGCCTGGGGGGGCATTTTGGCACCAGAAGCCGCGGCGGACCCTGCCCCAAGGAGCTGGAGTCGTTCACGCTCGTCGAATCCAATGAGGTTGGGGACTTTGCCTGCAGTGTACTTCTTATAGATTTTCACCAAACTACCGATGAAAAAGTCCTTTTCCTTGGCCGTGGCAGCCTGCCAGTAATATGGCTTTCCAATTGTAACCACGAATCCAACATTAGAGGCCCATTGTTTGTACTGTTGCTCCTGAGGCGAAGTCGGCTGCAGGGCGGTATATGTTTGAATGGCGGAGAGATCGTCCAACATCCATGTTTTTCCAATGGAGAATGACCCGTCACTATTTTCTCGAGCTTTGTGCATGCGCACCCTTCCTGATCTCCTAACCGCAACAATAATCACTCTTGCCTTTTTGTTGTCGGGTGCCGAATTGGGCGGGGCAGGGCTAGATGGATACGCGGCATCTTCTGTGATGCGAATGTGTGTAATGTATGATTCCGCGACTATATTCATGAATCACTGATTAGCCATAGGACACGACACGCGGTAACAAACAGATAACACGCAAGTGCGCAGTATCTGGGCAACCTGGCAATCACAATGACTGCAGATTCCCGCAACCACAAACACAAACAGCTCTCTCTTTGCCGTCTCTCCCAACCAGAGCCAGCTCTGGCTGCGCATTTCTCCTAGGCAGCCTCGAGTCTCCCTTTGCAACAAAAGCAGCGGCAACAAGACTTACCTGACCCGTCACTGTCCTGCTTTGAAAAACAGCTCCGGACAATCCTCCGCTTCTCGTCCTCAAACTTCTCAGCCCTTGACATAGACCCATCACCAGGCCGTGGGCCACTGCCATTGCGGGCATCCCCCATGGGCCGTCGTTCCTTTGGAGGTGAGACGTTACTGGGCGGATACCCGCGCAAAGGTTCACGACCGTTCATCATCGCGTATCTGGGGGTTCGTGAGAGTTCAGGAGATCGTGGAAGTTGTCATCTTCTGTGTGATCAGGGCCAGCACAGTTAAGGAGAAGGCATCAATGAGTAATCGAAATCGTCCTGTCGTCTACAGACAGCACTGAGGTGTCCTGGTGGGTGAGGGAGGAGACATCAACTGCTGGCACTGTTGGTGTAGCCACCGTCGGGGATGGAGCAGCTGGAACACTTATGGTACAGCCGCTAGCGGCGGAGACCCGGCGGAAGAAGCATGCTTGGGGGTTGCTCAATAGCATCTACTTAGAGTGGCCTGCCAGTGCACACAAGGCTTTTCTACAGGTTCTGGGCTCTAGGATATAGCTAGAGAACGTTCACAGGAGGTTACGACAACCACCATCTCCATCTATCTATCGTGATGATTGCTTCGTGCCATCTGTTGAGCCTCAATCAATGTCATCAGGATTGCTGCGGGAGGATCCACGTGAGCAGGACGCTAGGATGTTGCTGTGTCCAATGGGAATGCTGGATCTCCTACCGCCTCGCTTAGCGTGCTTTCTTCCAGTAGGAACTTTTTCCTGCTGGTGAACTGGAAAAAAGATTGCAAGAGCATCTTCTGAATTACAGAACAGAAGGTTGTGTCACAGACAGGCATCATGGCTCCGCGCAAGGCTGAGAAGGCTTCCACAGCTGGAAATGCGGCCTCCAAGGCTTCTGCTAAGAAATCAGGCGCAAATGAGGTATGATCTGCAACTTATCTCAGGTGTTATATGTTGTGTCGCTAACACCGTATGAATAGGCCTCGTTGCCTCCACAACTCATTGCGTCCGTCGCCGCTTTTCTGTCCGAGAACGGTTTTCAGAAGGCCAGCGAGGCATTCCTCAAAGATCGGAAGGCAGGAAAGACTGCAACGGAATCCAAGGATGTCCCGTCTTTGATCGATCTCTACAAGAGTTGGGAGAGCCAGAATGGCAGTGCCGGTGCTAAGAAAGCTGCCAGCCCAAGCAGCTCCAGCGAGAGTGACAGCGAAAGTGGCAGCGAAAGTGATAGTGAGAGCAGCTCAGATGAGTCTAGTGACTCCGACGTTGAGATGGGTGATGCTCCCAAGAAGACCAGCAGCAGCTCCTCTTCATCCTCGTCCTCTGCTTCCTCCTCCTCCTCGGAGTCAGACAGCGATGCCGATGATGAGTCCGAAGAAGAAGCCCCTGCTCCCAAGTCTGGTGGCGTTAAGCGAAAAGCCGAATCGAGCTCCTCCGAATCCGAGTCCGACTCTGAATCTGAAGATGACGCTCCCAAAGCGAAGAAGGCTAAGATCTCTAAGAAGGAAGAGTCAGAATCCTCCAGCTCTTCCTCCTCTGAGTCTTCTGACTCTTCTGAATCTGAATCTGAGTCGTCATCCTCTAGCTCCGAATCCGAATCTGGATCCAGCTCTGAATCCAGCTCTGACTCCGACTCCGACTCCGATTCTGATTCCTCCTCTTCTGACTCGGAGAAGGACACTTCCAAGAAGGCAGACAAGGCCGCCCTGAAGCAGGCAAAGAAGACACCTCTTCCTCCTTCCGATTCTAGCTCGAGCGGCTCGTCTTCGGACTCCTCGTCTTCTGATGAAGACGCCAAGCAGAAGTCCTCTAGTGACAGCAGTACTACTGTGAAGAGCGCCTCTTCTAGCTCCGGAAGCTCTTCCGACTCTTCCAACGGTTCTTATAAGAAGGCTGCCTCTGCGACTCCGAGCGGAACCAACAACGGTCCCCAGAAGAAGAAACACACCGGAGCCAAGCCTACCCCTTTAGCTGAGTTGAGCGCTAAGGCTCTGCCGAACGAACACCCGTCCAACGATTATGTGCCGTACGCGTACGCTGAGAAGGCGTACCGAGACCTCGTCGTGACACGTGGAAAGGGATTCACCAAAGAGAAGAATAAGAAGAAGCGCGGCTCCTACCGTGGCGGTCCCATCGATATCGGCCCTAACCCTATGGCCTTCAAGTTCGAGGACTAGATCCGATGTCCTTCCCTGATACCCGTGTCCACGGACCCGTCAACCAAATTCACCCGATACTCCAACAAAAAAAGTTTTTTATTTCCTTTCCGGACCTTTGACGCATCTAGCAAGGCGCTAAGTGGAGCAGTTTGTACTACCTTCTTGTGTTGATATTCTAATTCCTTCGAATTCCAAATTCCATGTCTCCCTGTGCTGTATTAGACATGTTATGGAAAAGCAAGCAGGTTAGAGATAAAAAGTTACTTCTTTTCGTATAATTAGATTTCAATCTATCTGGTATCATTTCTTTCTTGGTCGAGACTCAAGAAGTTGGGGGTGTTCAGAGTAGTATACATGATAGGAATATTCAGAAGAATCCGATTAGAAAGAGAATATGTGTCTTTTGTATTCGCAAACTAGATACATGGTCTATGTAGTTCTATTTCCTGTAAGTAGTCAACTTTTGCCGCTGTACTGTTTCTATCAGCTCCGTTTTGCACTGTACTTTTTCTTGTGATATGCCAAATATACACATGTACAGTTTATCAAATGCATAGTATAGATTCCCTATCCATGGAACAGAAAGAGAGATCCCATATTGTTGTTAAGACCGTTCCTAATCATTACGTCGCCTCCAAGCCGCGTCCTCTTCTAATCTCTTCCATCTCCGATCCCACCCCGTCTCCCTTTCATGAAGGACATCATCATCCGTAAGCTCATGGAAAGCTTTCTGCGTTCTCAACCGTGCACTTCTGCCCATTTCCTCGGGACCAGGTCGCTCGTAGCCTGATAGGTCCAGGATCCTCTGGCCTGGAGGGGCAGATTTGCTGGTGTTCAGGTCCAGAGCGAGGTTCGTTTCGTACCAGGTGCGGCAGGAGCCGGTCAGGTCGTCTGTGGAAGCGAAGTCTAAGCGTACAATGCCATCTACTACGCCTGCGTAAACGGTCGCTGAGGACGGGGAGGGAGATGACATCATGTAGATAGGGCCGCGGTAAGTGCGATTTGTGCGCGGGTGGAGACGGCCTGAGTTGATGACGATTGGGGGTCGATGGGAGAGGAAGATGGAGAAGTCTCTGCGTGGGTAAGGGATGGTTCTTGAGGCGCCGTTGGTTTTGTTGTTGTTGTTGTTCTTGTTGCTTTTCATGGGCGGGGGTTTGGAAGATGATGAAAGTTTCGCGTCCAGATAGCTGTATGTCTTTGGCATGCGGAGGTCGAATATCTTCACGATTCCTTCGGCGCCTGCTCCGACGAGGAAACGGTCATGTCCGAAGGGATGTATGCTGTACATGGGATTAAGATCTGTCGTGTCGCGAAACGTGGCATCGTATAGATCGTCAGAGCGGACGTCATGAAGTCTGATTCCGCCGTCGCTCCATGCAGCTAAGAATGTATCTCCCGGAGAGCCACCTCCGGTGGCTGATATGTTCAATGGTGAAAATGCAGTGACGTGGGCTTTTGGGGTGGTATAATGTACATTTGCTAGATCCTGGGGATCTAGCAAGAACTGGCGCAAGGTTGACACTTCGCTCGGCGTTATTGTGTACACGGACGCAGAGGAATTTCCAGCGCAAACCGCAAGCCTGTCAGAGGATAAGAACTTCGAACATTTTTGACGCGACAGCTCCTGCGACGCGGCCTGCAGCTTTGAAAACGGTTGCACCTCAGGTTCTCTGGTCGTGGTGTGGAAGAAAGCTATGCTGCCGTCGTTGAAATTTGCGGCCAGGATTGATTGTGGGCCATTGTTCAGTTCAATCGCATCGATCTCGCTTCCATGTGTAATGAACTTTTGCCTATACTCATGGGTGCCCTTATCCGGTTCTATAGCCATGTGAACAAGGTCGCCGCGGACTCGTCCAAAGATGACATGTTCGTTGTCGACATCCTTTCCTGGGTGGCCTGGTCGCAGCAGATGTACACCGCAGATATCATCGTAGCTGCTTATATGGTCGAGATCATTGAACATCAGCCATTGCTCGTGTTTTCGACGACCTGACTCTTTGATCCGCAAGGCCAGTTCATCTGCGGCGCCCCAGGCCAAAACTTCTCTTCTATCCGACCAGCGATCACCCAACCACACCTCATAACTGTCTATTGCAGGGCGATAACCCAGCGTCGGGTTGTCACGCCTCGTTGCCTGGTGAGCTCCGACCTTGATTGCGTCCGGTGGCGGAATGACAAAACGACCGATGATTGCATGTCGATCGAGCGCTCGAGCGCGGGAGGTAAGAGCTTGTGTCGCATCCTTCCAGAACGGTGGTGTTTCTATTGTAGGGAATCGGTTCTGGACAAAAGCGCGAAAGATGCGCGCGTCTTCTGCGGTAATAATGTTGTACAGGCGACGGCAGGTCTGCGCGAGATGGACCAGGGCGCTAGCAGTAGGCAGAAAGGTCGCAATATGGTACACAATCTCAGAGGGTAATTCAGAAAGCATTTCGGATATTGTCAGGATAGCCCGTAGGACATAGTGCTCGATCTGTAGAGGTCCAATGGTTATCGTCTGTTTCTAGGCCAACACACTACTGTGTATCGCAAAGCAACGCCGAGGTACGGTCTCGTCAGCAAATTAATCGGGGCATACTCACAGCTTGACTTGGCAGTAGCAAGAGATTCTTATATTCCAAAATCTCCACTCCTCTCTTTCCTGTTTTCTCCAATAAAGCTTGCTCTATATCTCTTTTTATGTGTTGGTATTGTCGGGAAGTTGAAGCCAACACGCTCTCGCTTAGCAGGTTAGCAATCACTCCTCACACCGACACGCTGCAAACAAAAATGATGGTCCATGTTAATGACATAAATATTTTGAATAGAACTGCAGGAGCCACTAGCTAACAGACAACATGTTATAGGTGATTCGATGGCGGGAGGACTTATTCGCCTCCTGTCGTGTGTGATGCTCCGGTGTTCGCACAGATCTGAGCTGGCGATGTCATCAGCGCCTCTTATCGAAACCTTATCGATAAGATCGATAAGTCCACATCGACGTACAACAGCAACATCGTTCAACTGCTGTTGGGTCTGAAAGCAGTATCTGTGTCTATGGATCAAAGACATATCAAAGACATCGGGCAGCATCATCCAGGAACGTAACGTGCTATGGTGACTGTCCGAATAGTTATGATCCTCCCTTGTTGCAGCTTCGGATGCCGGCGCTGACCGCTCTGGGATCCAGCGGTCATTTATGGAAGGTCGTTGCGAAACCGTGGGAAGTCAGCTCAATTAACTGCTGCAGGGCATGCTGGAAATATAACCATCTTTCTCCCGCGCTCCAGGGACTCCAGTATAGATAGAACCATCACAGTCGCTTTGCACCGGCTCCAAACGGTAGCGGCTATTGCATATTGCTATATTGCAATATGATCCTCTCGCCTGTTTCCGCCCTGGCGGCTCTCGGTCTATTCATCGTCTGTCTCTATCGATATATCATATATCCAGTCTTTCTGTCGCCGCTTGCGAGGATTCCAAATGCACACCCCACAGCCCCAGTATCTTCGGCCTGGATCCTCTGGAGACGTTTCAAGGGTCAGAATAACCGGACGATCCAAGCTCTCCATGAGAAACTGGGTCCAATAGTCAGGCTTGCACCGTCAGAAATATCTATTAACACCGTCGACGGAGGCATCAGAACTGTATATGCTGGCGGTTTCGAGAAACATGAGTGGTATCCCAATGTATTCGGGTCTTATGGGTGAGACCTACCACACAAGAGTATAGAATAACCAGGAGAAGCAGCAAGGAACTGACCCCAAGCTAGTACCGTCAGTATGTTCACGATGACTGGGAGCAAAGCCCACTCTGCCCGGAAACGGATGCTGTCCAACATCTACTCCAAGTCTTATCTACGGTCCTCGCCGCAGCTGAAAGTCATATCACACACAGTGATATATGATCGCTTGCTTCCAATTATACAAGAAGCTGTCTATTCGAAGCTTCCTATTGATTTCCATGAACTCAATCAAGCGCTAACGATGGACTTCGTCTCGGCGTATCTTTTCGGCCTCCGCAACGGTACGAACTTCCTTCAGGACGTTCCCAGACGGAAGTACATGCTTCACGTCTACCAATGCAGAAAGCCTTTCGAATTTTATCATCAAGAAGTCCCAAATCTAGTAACCTGGACTAGAAGACTGGGAATTCCTCTGATTCCGAAATGGTGTGACGAAGCGAATGAAGTCATGGATGCTTGGGGTCTGGACATGTGCAACAAGGCAGACGAGTATCTTGAAGCAACAGACCCGGAGTCTGAACCAACGGTATATAAGCAGTTGAAGCACTCCATGGAGAAGCAGCTTCCTTCCAAAGAAGCCGATAATGTGGCCTACAGAGTGGCCTCAGAGAAACAGCGCCTTGACATCGCCTGCGAGATGTTTGATCACCTCACTGCGGGCCACGAAACTAGTGCAGTTGGTCTGACTTATTTGTTCTGGGAGATGTCGAAGCGCCCTGACTTACAGAAAGAACTTCGGGAGGAACTTCTGACTTTGTCTCCCACCATCACATATCCTACGCAGTCATCGACCACCCCTGAACTTCCCTCACCAAAGTCCATCGAGGCATTGCCACTCTTGAATGCGATAGTTACAGAGACATTGCGCCTCCACGCTCCGATTCCTGGCATTCAACCTCGTGTAACACCATATCCAGCTTGCACTTTAGTCGGATATGACAATATACCTCCCAACACAAGGGTAAACGCTCAAGCTTACTCCCTCCATCGGAACCCAGACGTTTTCCCTGATCCTGAAACATGGCAGCCAAAACGATGGCTCAAGCCAGCAGATTCACCGGAACTCGAAGAGATGAGACGGTGGTTCTGGGCATTTGGAAGTGGTGGTAGGATGTGCGTCGGAAGTAATCTGGCCCTGCAAGGTAACAATACGCCCAGCTGAACGTAATAAGATACATCCAGCTAACGCACTATTTATCTAAAGAGATGAAGCTCACCGTTGCTGCTATTTACACCAACTACACTACCAGCATCGTTGACGATGAGGATATCGAGGCCATTGACGCGTATACGGTGAAACCAAAGGGTGAGAAACTCATACTCAGAGTCGAGCATATATAGGACCTCTATTAGTGTTCATTCCCTCAAAGCTAGGGTTGTTCAGAAACAAAAAATGAAAATCCCTCTAGATCTCAGTAACAAGCTGCTCGCTGAGGCTGTCATTAATCTAAGCAGTTCCAACTATAATTTTCCGCTTATGCTAAAACACACCAATCCTGTTTTGCTTGATTCAGGTTTTTGTCTGTCTCCGTAGAGCCGAACAGCGATCTCTGTCCGAGGAAGGATTATGGTTCCGACAATGCCTAAACAGGCTGACCGGCGCAAAAGTATTAGTGGGCCAGAAAAAACAGACACCACGGCGGGGTACCTTAAGAACCAGCAATAACCCCGTTTATAGTAATAATATTAACATAATAATACTGTCACTTGAAATCACCAAGTATAAATCCATTATCACTGATTGGCCAGCGACATTTCATCATCGTACTTCTTCAGCACAACTTCCGAACATGCCCGATAAGGACGCGGGGACACCCCGCGTATACCTCGCTCGTCATGGTATGTTGCTTCCCCCTTTTTTTCACTCTTTACCATGCTTGATTATACATATATATAAACAAACAAAGAAAATCAATGTACAAAGAACAAGAAATAGAAACATATCATCCAGCACACAAAACTAACTAACCACTATTACACACCACAAGGCGAGACGGAATGGACCAAAAACGGCCGCTACACCGGCGTGACAGAGCTAGAACTGACTCCTCACGGAGTAACTCAGGTCCAAAACTCAGGCAGAGTACTGGTTGGACCAGGAAAATTGATTGACCCCTCGCGACTGGCTCATGTTTTCGTGAGTCCGCGAAAGAGGGCCCAGGATACTTTTGATCTGCTCTTCGAGGGCGTAGGCAAGCATGACCTTGTGGATAGTGGGAGGGTCACGACGACGGAGAAGTTGGCTGAATGGGGATATGGATTGTATGAGGGGTTGGTGACGAAGGAGATTAGAGCGTTGCGGAAAGAGCATGGATTGGACCAGGAACGACCATGGAATATTTGGAAGGATGGATGTGAGGAGGGAGAGTGAGTGTTATTTTCTCTTACTTTTATTTATACCCCCTTTTATTTGAAGTTTGGGTTTTCGAGGTCCGAATTGATTCTGATGCTGATGCTCATTTTTCAGATCCCCTGAGGAAGTCACAGCTCGTCTGGATAGCCTGATTGAAGAAATCCACGCTTTCCAAGCTGGTAATATGCACGGTGAGAAAGCGGCGGATGTACTTCTCGTCGCGCACGGCCATCTCCTCCGGGCTTTCACCAAGCGCTGGCTGAAGTACCCAATGGAGTTTCCGCTATCGCTCATGATGGAGCCCGGTGCGATTGGAATCTTGAGGTATGTTCAAGGCTTTTCTATTTATAGTTGATGGAGACTACACAGGACGTCTTTTGCTAATGGTACATTTCCAGTTACGAGCATCATAACATCGATGAGCCCGCTCTCATGGTTGGAATGGCATTTCCCAGTCAAACAGCACGATGAGCCACCATACAGGGGGAAGGCGGCGACAACAATTAGACATAGACCTATAGACTAGAATACGTTCTCCAGCAGGATAGAGATTTTCAGATAGATAGATCTTGGAATTTTGCCTCGCTACCTTTTGGATAGAGATGATCATGTGGTATAAATATCGCGGAAGTAGAAAACATGAAAGTAATGTACATATATCAAAAGCCAAAGTTCCAAGCCACTCTATCCTCCAGGCAAGAGAGGCATCTGCATAATTCGATACCTCAGTGCAAGCGTAGAAGGGAGCGTTGCTCGTCGTGGTAGTATGTTTATCCCCCAACTCCTATTCATAATGCGAACATAGTATCACAGATTCTAACATCCCTTGCACCTATCCTCACACCAAGAGTTTTCTCAGTTGGTCTAATCCCGGTAAAGGAGTCGTCGGCTGGGCGGAGGTAAATGCGCTGTCTCGATTCGATCGTATTCGATGTATTTAGATCCTTTAACCCAGAACACCGTTCTTCTTGCGGGGTCCAGCAACCTTGGGGAACATTCTCATCAGGTGGTAGTTGATGGTGTTCTTCTTGGTGCCCTTCGATTTCTGTGCAAGAGGAAAATACAGCATTAGCATCATTCCAACCAAAGACCCAATATAACACCGCAAGAGTATATAACATACCGGTGCATCCATGCATGCTCGCAGCTGCTGCTCAACAGCAGCACATCCCTCCGCGCTGTATCCGGAAGAAGCCCAGCAGTCTGTTGCAGTCCGAGTTAGCCCGTCGTTTCCCTTATTGTGTATCAAACCCGCTCGAACAACCCCCTCTGGGTGCCTCGGTCAATTGGATCGAAATTTCAGGCGAACGTACTCAGAACAGACGACATGACAGTGATGCAAGAGTTCTGCTCATGCTGGTTTGGGCGACGCACGCGGAGGTGCTGGATGGTCTGCAGACGGACCGGGTTGAGACGAGTCGGGGCACCCTTAGGAGGCATTGCGGCGGTTCAAATCAACAAGGAATCACGAGGATAAAAAGAAAACCGGATCGATTCAACCCCTGCTCTGCCGCGGACCGCTGAGTTGGATGAGCGCTTGATGTTCTCCAACGACGAACCTCGAACACGCGGAAACCAAAGCTTTCGGAGGTGCCAAGACCTTTTCGCCGCCGACACTTTTCTACTGGCAGGGAATGAGCTGACATAAGCTTCTGGCAGTCGAGGTATATCAGCTCGCCAGCGCTGATAAACTCGGAACTTCCCAGCTTGCAACTTGCTACATTATCCCCAGGAGGGTGCACACATGGAGGCTATCATGGGCGGCCGGACTGTTTCAGCCAGAGGCCTATGCGCCTTCTGCCTGCAAGCCCAACGGCGGCATTTGTTGATGTCCGGTTACTCCAGGATATCAAGACCATCTCCGAAGTCGTTCTCTACAGTACCGCCACTTAGACAAGATGCGCCATCTTCAACGAACAACGAAGAAAAGCAGTCCGCACTTCCAGACGATGCATCCCGAGAAGAGGGAGCCATGTCCCGGAGACTGGCCGAAATGACTGAACAATCAATGACAGAGGGAGGTCGATCTGCGCGCAAGAACATACAGGAAGCGGGATTTTCGGAGGAGTTGAAAAAACAACTGGAGGAAAGACTCGCAGCAAGTGCTTTCAAGAGTGAAAACGCTGCTGCCATCTCTGTTGCCAATATGCCGTCCAGCGCCGGCCGTGGAACTCAGGATATCGCCGCAGCTCCAGCTTGGACTGGGTCTGAAAGCGTTCAAGACGCCACTCTCCGCATGCTCGACGACGCCAGCAAGCCAATTAAGACTCCTTACAAGATCCCAAAGCCCGGCCTTCCATCAGTTAGCCTCGCACCGTCACCCAAAACCAAACAATCCTCCGGTCAGCGCCTCGCCAGCGCTCGCGAACGCACCATTAACTACTCTCTAAGCCAAGACTCCGGCATGTCGGAAGCAGAACGAGAGGCGCTGCGCAAGGAGTTTCGCGAGCGGTTCACCCCGGGAGCCAGAGTCATGCCGATGTCCATCCAGGGCCTACAATCTCTCGCGAACGAACGGATAGAAGACGCCATGGCCCGAGGCCAGTTTAAGTATATCCGTCGCGGCAAAGGCCAAGGCACACAGGAAGACCACAATGCCAACAGCGCTTTCATCGACACAACGGAATATTTCATGAACAAAATCATCCAGAAACAGGAGATCGTCCCTCCCTGGATCGAGAAGCAGCAAGAACTCGCACGGGAGGTGGACCGATTCCGCCAACGCATCCGCAGTGATTGGAGACGACACGCTGCCCGGCTTATCGCAAGCCAAGGAGGATCTCTCCTGGACCAGATGAAGCGTGCGCGCGCCTACGCTGCAGCAGAGTCTCGACTCACCGCCCAGCGGCTGGCGTCAGTAGCATCTGATTCGGATCAATCCGTCACCCAAATCAACTCAGATGGACGCATAGTTCCATCCCGAACTCCATCATCAGAGCAGGACTCTGCTTCACCACCCACAGAATCATCCGAAGAACCACTTCCTCACCTCCCCCCTCTTCGCGACCCGGAGTACCTCTCCATCGAGCGCGGCTACCACGAACTCACCATCAAAACCCTCAACGCCTTAACCCGCTCCTATAACCTTCAAGCTCCCGCAATGGCTCAGAAACCATATCTGAATCTCGAGAGAGAACTAACAAACTGTTACGCGGATGTGGCGCCCTCACTAGCAGACGAAATTAAGCGACGAGCAACGGAGCGGGCGAGGGGACCTGCACTGCCGCCGAGCCAGAGGTCCTCTAGTGTGTTCGAGATGCTGGCTACGAAGCAGGCGACGCGAGTTTACAGTGAAGATCCTTCCAAGGAGTACGGGTTCAAGGATTTCTGGAAGGACCTCTTTGGAAGGAAGAAAGAGGGCCAAACGGGATAGAGACCATGTGCTGTACATAGCATGCAGGCCGTTTCTATGGTCTTCGCAGCTTTCAGTGTATCATATATTATCATGTATTGTCACGACCTTTATATACCCTTGTGATCTAAGATGAACCAGATAACCCTTTATTGTTGCTATTCTCGGTCTATCTATCCCCGCTGTCAGTAGAGGCCGTTCATCAGCACTCGGCGAGTTTCATGGGTCTTAAATTAAATATCCAACAAGGAAAGAACAAGAGAAGAAAACAGAGAAGACTGTCTCACCGTGTCTACCACTACCGTGAGCTGTAGGAAAAGAGTAGTGACGGAGGGATGTTTGGTGCTAAAACGAGAGAGGAGAAGCTAGCAACCAACAATCTATGATGACAGATCACTTTCCCCTCATGGTGTGCTTTCAATACCAATAAAACACTAATTCCAGTCCGTTATGCATGATCATCTCGTCGAATGGCCGCTGTCAGACGTTCGGCAGTGCTTTCGATGGGATGGGAGAGACATGAGTGCGACATGGCACATGGCGAGAGTTATTTCTGATCAACGCGTTCTTGATCGTACTGATGCCATCGGGGCCAGTGATCTCCTGCAACTGGGAATCGTGATCCGGTGCGCTGTCCAGTGTCGGTGGTTTGTCCTGATAGTAGCCAGGCGGTGGGGTCTCGTCCTCCTGGGTGCGTTCTTCAGAAGATGGACGACCGTCAGGATGCTCAGGTCTGTCTCCTGCCGTATTCGTGGGCGATATTGGCTGCCCAAGACTCATAGTTTTCCGCAGACGATAGTAGTTCATCCACATACCAAAGGATATTCCCGTGCATAGGACGATGGAAACGAACATCGATATACACCAGCATATGGACACAACGGTGTCGAATACACCCCAGTCAGGGTTCCCACAGTAGAACAGGGCACAAAGTGAGTGGCCATCGAGGAAGACTAGTACGAGACCGACTATTGCACATGCCGTCGTGAGAATTGCACCGGTCTTGTATGCGCGTTGCTTGGTGAAGAGACCGTCCTTGGTGGATACGATCCGCTGTACACGAAGAAATATCTCGCCTGAAGTAAACATGATAGTGCATATGAGGCCCATAAGCAGAATGAAGATGAAGTGTAAAGTCCAATAGCCTCCAATGCGGCGGAATGGGCAACCGGTGGCCTCACACATAGCCCCGCGCCGCAGATACTGCGAAAACTCGGTATTGGGGGTTGTTGCCTCCATATCACGGGCGCTGAAAGCAGATGGGTGGTGGTGAAATGATTATCTCGTACGTCAGGCGACGGGTGGTGGTAAAGGTGGTGTAGTATATGTGATCTGACGAGGGAAATAGAAGAGTAGTCGGGTATATGAGGCATGTCAAAGAAGACTTGGATGTTCATCTTACGACATGCGTTCTGATGGCACAACTTATTCCTCACTGGTCATAGATGACGATTTCGTGGAAGGAACATGGGGCAATATCTGCCAAATATGGCAGGTTTCAGCCAGTCTCATCTTCGTACTTTCATTTGACTTCCCATTTCGTGGGAGCACGGAATGCTTTTCGAGTCTCGCGGTTCGAATCACTTTATGATTGTGTTCTTGTCATCTTGTGCTCAGTTATCCTTCAGGCCTTTGTGCGGGCCTTTGTTGAGTCCGAGAGTTGGACTAGTGAAACGTGATGCAAATATATATATACAAAGTTCACGGCAAGCTCATGTAAAACCCACGTCTAACCACCGATTTTTGTAGAGCAATGGAAGAAGATGGCTATCAAATGCTGACCGAGAAATGAGTTCTGCATTCATATATGCCTGACCCTGCAGGTTCTAGTCAGAAGTGGTCATCAATATTACCCCAGAACTATCAGCAGCTAGTTAGCAGGGTTGGCTGATAAGTACAAGTCTGAAGAATAACTCCATACATGAACTTCATTTCCTGTCAAGGAAGTAGTGAGAGGAGCAATACCGGTTGGACGCGACATCCTAGGATCATAAAATATCTCATAGTATGTTATTACCGAGACATCTTATTGCCTTGATCGTCAGGATTGTTGATTGCCACAGATGATGGAATTAGAGCACATATACCAAAGTTCCGCAAAACCTAACATAACATCCCAATTGGTGTAGTGGCTAACATCGCCGTCTTTCACACGGCAGCCAGGGGTTCGATTCCCCTATTGGGAGAACATCATTAGGATTTCTTTTTTGGTATTTATTTTTCCACTATTCCTCCTCGTACATTCTCTGGTCGCCTTTTTTTTTTTGGGTTTAAGTTCTCCTAGATCCAGGATGCGGGGTTCTCCTCTTGGTCAGTGGTCTGGAGATCCAATAAATTCTAATATGGAAAACCTACGACAGCGAAATACTCGGGTTTCTCGAATAGCAGCCAGGTACACATATACATCAATAATGCCACATGGAACAATTGACCGAACGGAAGATCACACGGTCACACTGCGAGCAGTCAATTGAATAATTACTGGGCGTTAATCTGACTGAACTAGCTTGATCACAATCACCAAATACTCTGGCTAACCCCGCCCTCCAATCTGGACAGCTCGAGCCAGCGCTTTGCCGCCGACCATCACGGGCGTCGCGGGACTCTGGCCATCTACTGGCTACAGGGAGTTTCCAGCTGCAGACTCCCCTGCTGCTCTTCACACTGTCCGTCGATCGGTCTCATCCAATTATCCTGTCCCAACCGCCCTCTCCATCGTCCGCTTTGCAAGTCGTCCAGCAAGCGCAGGCTGTCTGCAGAGTGCAAATGGCCTGCGCTGCATATAACGGCGGCCGGCCCAGGTTGCCCCTGGGGCCAAATCGATCTTCTTTCCGTAAGAGATTGACAGGAGCTGTTTCGAATGTCTTGCGATGCTCCGGGATGATAGTAGCTAGGGGCGAGAGGCTACACGGTATATGATGCGCCATCGGCCCTCGATGCTCTCGACTCTTGCAGTCGTCTTGTCCTACGTTTCTACTACCGGTGCCGTCGCTATCGTCCCCGTTGATCTTCACGTCACGCGCGATACGATCCAAGTACGCTCTGAGTCCCCTGGGCTGGACCGGAAGCTGCTATCCATCCAGGTCGGTTGCATCGTCGCTGCATACGTGATATCGATCGTTTTCACCCTGAGTCTGTTCTTCTTCGTGGGAAGACGCCTGAGAAGGGAAAAGCAGACATCTAACCACTCTCTGGAGATGATCATGATGCATCCAGCTAAAGAACCCGTCACCACAGACCCCAGTCCCAGCTCTCCGTTGCCTGGAAAAGGTGGCTTTGGGATGTCGTTGAACAGCCTGGGCAGAAGCGACCGGATGACCCATGCTTCAGCCGACGACAGCGTGACCAGCATCGACGAAAATGTCGTCGAGTCGGATCGGAGACGAGCCCAGGAGCAGATGGAGATGCTCTATGCAGCCGTGATGGAACACGACGCGCAGAAAGCAGCCGGTATCCCGACTGTAGAAGAGCATCACTATCCGGCTCCCAGGTCCCCGTTGCGGAGCCCACGATATGCTGGCTATTCTAACCCCCCAACGGAGGAACCTGTGCTCCAATCAGAAGAGCGGCTCTCGAAGAAACGTTCTAGCTCGCGGTTGTCGAGACTGTCGAATTTGTCCATCTTCAGCACCAATTCACGCTCCTCCGGGCCTCTGAGCGGCAAGCTCCGTTCCCCTCGCATCTCGTTGAGGAAGCTACCGATTTCCTCGCCAGTGGGATCGCCCGCGGGGGATGCGTCGGATGCTTATGCGGAGAGCCAGCCACTGACTCCGCGTATTTATACCCCGGGGCCGCCTCCTCCAGCGCCCCAGTCTGCGACGTCGAGTAGAACTCCCACTCAGACAAACCACACGCGGGCTCCTGCTCCTGCTCCGCTCACCTTCAGTAGCCATGGTGCGACCAACAGCTCGTCCACGTTGCCCTTCCGCCAGGCCTTCAACCCGCCTCAGAGCGCTCCGGCTACGAAGACAACTATCCTGGAGCGCCCGATCCATGCAGGCGGGCCCCGGACTGGCGTGCCCACTCCATATAGTCCGTATATGCCTTTTACACCGGTGACACCCGTCACACCGAGCCGGATGGTGACGCGAAAGGAGCGAAAGCGCATGGAGAAAGAGAACGGTCTACGGGTGCTGAACGAAGATGATATGGTCAAGAGCGACGAAGAGATCTGGGGAGTGTGATCTTTCCAGTCTCTTTTTCTTCTCATTTCTTGTTTCCCCTTTCGCCTCTGATTGTTTATTACCGGTTACGCTTTTATATACCATTGGTTCACTGGATACATGGACCTTCGCACATGATAGTTGATATATCACGCATTATCTGGCCTTGATGGCTGACAGGCATGGGGACACACTAGCTTTTCATATATACCATATACATAATTATAACCCAGTGCTTACTGGACACACGGGTCTTTGTTTGATCGTCAGACTGCTACATGATAGACCTTGACAGAGGGTGCTAGATTATTCCCGAGATATCCCCATTGGGTGGGATCGCGAAGGCGGCCAGCCGATGTTCTCCGCTCCGCCACAAGATCGCCTCGATGTGGATGATCAATCCGATCAGTTAACTGAGGGAAATAATACCTAATCAGGTTCTGTTATCATCCCGCTCGTCTGAAGGGGTTAGAAGGGTGAAAGAGACTGCTAATACTATAGGCAATAATGTACCGCTCAGATCCGACGGATCGCCGAGAGCCCCTCCCCCGCGGATGACGTCGCATAGCATTCCGTGTGTTTACACGCCTTCGGCACCAAAAATAGACCTACTCTGCGTTCCGTTTCTGTTGATATAGGATTTACTATCTCCCGGATAGGGACCCTTGTCGATTCACTAGTCTCTCGTTCTGCACTTCCTTTCTACTTCCTTTCTACTGCTGCCGGTTTCCCACTTCTTCTGGATGCCTCTCACAGTCCTTAGCAACGAGCAGCTTCGCTCATTGCTCCTCTCCCTAACCCGCGACGAGGTGCTTCAATTACAGAAAAATCTCGCTCAGGCACTGAGAGAATACTCAACAGGCAGCCAAGATAAGGGCTGTTCGGCAGATTATCAACCGCAACGGACGGCCATCACGAGGAAGGATGGTAGCTCGACGATCTTCATGCCCGCCAGCACGGGCAGCACAATGGGAATAAAGATCATTTCGCTGCAAAGTGGAGGAAAGGCAGGGTATAGCACAGGATCAGCAACACGGGGAAGGGAGAGTAGAGTGCGATTTGCGCCAGAGGCTTCAAGGGATTCCAGACCTTCTATCGGTTCGGACATCAGCCGGTTATCGATATCTTCGCAAGAAGATTCCGACATTTTAAACGTACCGTCCGCCAGCATCAATAATCGTCCTTTGTCACCGGTATCGAGCACATCATCTGCTTCGCGTACCGGTCTATCATCTACCTCCGGGGCCTGGTTTGGAGCGGGAACCCGCGACACGTCTCCGCCCGGCACCGTGACTCTACTGGACTCGAACAGCATCCCGTTTGGAATTATCCGAGCGCAGGAATTGACTGCCTTTCGGACAGCATTAGCGTCGATGATGCTCTTTAATCGGCGGAAGAAGGCCAAGACAATCACCGTGTTCGGCGCTGGAAAGCAAGCATACTGGCACATCCGGCTGGCGTTGGTGCTTCGCGACGAGATCAAACGTGTCTACATTATCAACCGGTCGTTTGAGCGTGCCGCCGAACTCCTGAAGGATATTTACGGCCCGGAGAACACGAGCTGGCGTGGAAACGTCAAGTTTTCCGCCTTCAGCAGCGACTTTGTCGAGTCGGAAAGACTCCTCAAGGAGGCCGTGCGGAAGGCGGATGCCATCTTCTGCTGTACCCCGTCGACTGCTCCGCTCTTCCCTGCTGAATTCTTGACTTCGTCAGAGGGACGGCGGAAAGGACGCTTGGTTTGCGCTATCGGATCGTACAAGCCGCACATGACGGAGCTGCACCCGGATGTCCTGCGCGACGAAGTCACTCCTCATCATTCTTCACACCACCACCACAGGCATACCAGACGGAGCGGCGTTATCGTGGTCGATACGCTCGACGCCTGTCTTCAGGAGGCGGGCGAGATCGTCCAGGCTGGTGTGACGCCACAGCAATTGGTGGAGTTGGGTGAATTGATGATGATTCGAGAAGCTGCTCGGTTGGCGATGGAACAAGGTGGAGAGGAGGAAAAGGGCCTGCTGGAGTGGATAGAGAGTGGCAATGTGATATTCAAGAGTGTCGGGCTGGGCCTGATGGACCTTGTCACCGGAGGTGATCTGATCAAGCTCGCACAGGAGAGAGGAGTGGGCACGACTGTTGAAGAGTTCTAGGGGATGGGTTTAGTTACTGTTCGGTGCTTTGTACATCATACCGTTGATATCCTGTCGAGTCTCGATTTGATTTGCTATTGGAAATGATCTGTTTTCCCTTTCTTTTTTTTTTTTTTCCTCTTCTTTCCTTTTCAAAATAAACTTGCTTTTTCTCGCGTATTCAACATCAACGCCACTTGTCGTTTAGACCACACTGCTTCGCCAACGTGAAACCACTAGTTAGTAGTTCATAGTTAGTCAAATAATACTGGTATATGACAGTCCATCACTCTCCTAGCGCAAGAGACATGCTTTTTCCCACGAAACAGAGATCACGCGACTAACTATGTCACCACCGAATCCTCCCGATAATCGTGTAGGGCGAACATCTTCCCATCCCGCTGGTCTAGCCGGCACCAAATTACCAATTATATCTCTGATAATTTAATCCTTTCCCCTCTGAATAATAAATGAATTGTCTCTTATTCCCCAGATAGACCAAGACCGGGATGCGTCCGAAACTGACGGACGGAGTGCCCCGCCGCCACGGAAATATGTCTGTTGGAATCAGCTCATGAGTCAGGAAATGCGCATACCTAAGGTTATTCGGGTTGTGTATAGTCCGAGTTGGCTCATTCCCGATTACTTTCGCCACGGTAGGAATTAGGATGTTTTGTGTCATTGTCATCGTGCCTTTTGCTAGTGATGTGTGTGCCCCGCGTTGGTGGGGGTTGATTACGATCGCTGGATATGATTATGTAGTTGGAAGTTGTTGTTTGTGCCAGGATCAAGTGGCTCATTACTACTGATTATGTATATATGGATCTTGTAACTTAATTGAGCTTCCATACCACATGAACTATCACTGCTTTGAAAGGATTAGATACAGTCAGGCAGGTTTGCTTTTTTCTATAATATCACCATCCTTACCAAAGGTTAGTTGGTTTCTGAGCAATTGACCCCGCAGTTACTTTGCTTTTGTGACCTTTCGAATTATTTCTATCTGCGCTCTTTCTCTCTCTCTTTCTTTCTTATCAGCGACCGCAATTGACATTGAGAGTCAGCTGTGGAATTGACCTATTTACTTTCCACTCTAGCTTTTGGTTTGGGTGTAGCTTTGGTCCGCGACTCTTGACATACATAGGACATCATTCCGCACGCGATCATCCGATCGTTTTGTCTGTCGCACATCTTCTTTTCCACCACAGGCGCACGAAATAAAGAAAGAAAGAAAAAAGCCGAGGAAAAAGAGATGAGATAGGGACTGGGTTATGCAATTGCAATTACAGTGCCAATGCCGTCGTCCACTTGCCATCTGCCAAATGGGCAGACGTTCAGCGTCACGCCCGTCTTTGGCGGGGTTACTTTCAAGTCGAATGATATGAACCTTCACCACTCCGTCTTCCCGCCCGGTTGGACCATTGTGATTCAGACGGAGAAGCCGATTGAGGATGGCTCTGAGGACGGAAATCACAATGATCTTGTCACGGAGGGAGATGCGTCCAGTACTGCTGCTTCGACGACGCAGGATACGACCCCGCAGGGGAGCAGCAGCTCTGCAGAGCGCCCGGTCAAGACGTATCGCTTCTCGAAACCGACGCTGCGAAATGATTATCTGTTTCTTTCGTCGATTACGAATCCGTCAAGTAACGATTTTAAGCCCGCGACGTCCCCGACGAGGCAGATTGCCATGATGCTGTGGGCTTCGTTGTGGTGGTACTTTCATGAGCCGGAGCCGGACTTGCACCTCACGACGGAGGCTTCTGCGAAGACGCCAGAGCTGGGGAAGCCCAAGGGAGATTGGAGGATTAATATCAGACGGGAGGGGATCTTTCGAGGCCGGAATCTGCTGCAGAAGCTCGAGCGCATGGGCATGATCGCAAGTGAGGACTCGTCCGTGGGATTGGATGCCTCTGGCACGCAGAACTCCCCCGGTTGGGATAATATGTTCATCAGTCGACGCACCTTTTGGCAGCTCGATCCGCGTATCTTCCTATTCACCTTGTCGCCGGCGGGGAGTAATGTGCCAGCATCACCATCTCTTCCTCCTCACCACTCTTCCAGACCGTCGTCGCCCTGCCTGGCGTCTGATACGGTTCCTCCCTCGCCCACTGAAGGCCCAATCAACAACCCCCCAGGCCCATTTACATCGGGGAGCCATCTCCCAACTTACTTCCCTCCCCAGGTCACACAGTACACCTTCACCAATGGGGTCCGGCACCCCATACGGCCCAAGCCGCCTCGACAAGGCGAGGTGTTTTATACTCGATACATCCCCAGCGTTGATCAGTACCTCTCATTCCGTGTACCCAAACTCCCCGCTCCCAAAGCTACCGGCCACCACCATGCCTCCTCCAACTCGTCTACTCTCTCCGCCGCGAGTGCGCAGTCCCACGCCTCCAGCGTCCCATCCGATCTAGACCTCCTCCACCAATGGATGAACGAACCCCGGGTAAATGCCGCCTGGGGCATGGCCGGCCCGCATTCCGTCCAGGAGGAATTCCTTCGAGAAGGCCTGACCAGCCGACACAGCTTCCCCGTCTTTGGTTGCTGGGACGGGAAGCCTTTCGGCTACTTTGAGATCTACTGGGTGAAGGAGGATCGATTCGGCAGTCTCCTCGGCGGAAACGTCGACAACTACGATCGCGGACTGCACGTCCTGGTCGGCGAGCAGGAATACCGCGGCGCACATCGCGTAGCCATCTGGTTAAGTGCCCTAGTCCATTATTGCTGGTTGGCAGATATGCGCACTCAAACAGTCATGTTGGAGCCAAGAGTTGATAATATAAAGTACGTTTGACCCCCAACCCCCAAAAACCATCACAGAGTATAGAATTCTCTCATATATCAAGAACCCAACTAATCTGTTCTGTATAATATCAGCTTCATCAACCACCTCCACCGATCCGGCTTCTACAAAGAAGGCGAAGTCAGCTTCCCGCATAAACAGTCCGCCGTGATGAAAATCAAGCGTGATTCATGGGAAGCTCCTGCTCTATGATTGATCCATGAGATATATGAAATTTAATGAAAAAAAAAGAAAATCATTTTTTCTCCTCAGTATCTGTCTAGTTATCCAAACTGCATTATACCGCATCGCAAGCAATTGCATTCATTATATTACCTTCAGTCAGTCAGGTGAAATAGCCGGTTTTTATTTAGGCCTGCTCTGCTCTGTTCGAGATATTTTTATTTTGAGTTCTGTTCTGTTCGGATTAGAATCGAACCCTGCTCTCTGGATTTCAATTATAGATTTTCTCTTTGTGAAGGAAGGAGATGAGAACGGGTCATGATGCCATTGATGGATGGATGGATTACTTTACTTTAACATAAAAACCACGCGATGGAATGAATACATACATAATCCCCCTCCCCTATTTCTAAATCCCACACGGAACACACATGTGTAAACAGACAAAAATGCTATGCCTGGAATATCCAACAGCGTCAGTTCAGAACAGGGGCTCTATCAGACAAAATTAGGTACTGCATCTACGCTATCTACCATAGCTTAGTTTAGAAGAGCAAAACAAAAAAAAGGGATAATGTAAATAAATACATATTAATTAAAGTTTCCATACGTAACTTTATAAAACACGATTAAGGTTAACTAAGAGTACATCGTTCTTCTTCGCGAATAATACATATCATGTCTACATATCTTCTTGGCTTTCTATAGATCACATGGGCGGGGATCAATTGACAAGAGACGAAAATAAAAATATGGAGAATACAGCAGAGAAAAAAACCACCAAATGAGATTTGAAGATAAAAATTCGGATCTCGTATTAATTTATCCAGAAACATATTATCGTATCTATCACACACGAAAAAGACAAGAAAAAAAAGAAAAGAAAAAAAACGCCTGTCGCCATGCCCTGATATGCTTCAGACTGGGGGGGTCAAAAGTGCCTGCCTGCTGATTGGTATTTGTGGTATGATATTGACCAAAGTGATAAAAGAAAAGACTGACAAAAAAGAAAAAGGAAATGGTAGAGACATGTGTGTGAGAGAATAGAGGGAGATATTATTAATGTCGCGGGGATAGTAGTAGCAGTATGTCTAGCTGTCAAAAAGTAAAAAAAAAAGAGGAACAAGAGAATCAGAAACAGATGACCCGCAACGCCAAAGTATGCAACATAAATAAGTCGGACCCATAGATTTTTTGTTCTCAGGGTACCGGACTGAGGGTGGTGTGTTTTTGTTATCTTTCAGAATCGGATGCATTCCACTGATCGGGGGATATCATGTTTTCGAGCAGCGATGCAGCTGAGACCAGCTCAGCGCGGATCTCGAGGGTCGGTTCGACATGGAGCGTCTATGCTAGAGGCCGGGCCATGCGTCCTCCCATGTATGTTCCGGCGGCCGAGGCGAGGAATCGAGCAACCAAGCCTCCAGCGCTTCCACCAATGCTTCCGGCCATCTTGACCTTCTTGCTTGGCTGATGAGACTCTTCCTGGAGGCACTTGCTTTCCGGACGCGTAGGCTGGACGTTGACGTAGCTGTAGCTCAACGTGGAGGCAGCCGGACTGTGGCCGCAATCGGCGACCATGAACTCGTCTCCCAGGCTAGATGAACATGTGCTGAGACTGGCAGGCGTACCACGGGAGCTTGGCGCCAGACTGGATGAACGGGAGCTCAGGGAGTTGTAAGTATCCGCACGAGAGAGGCCGGGAACGTCCTTGACGGAAGGCGGAGAGATGGAACGGTTGTTCATTTGACGATATTGAGAGACACGTAGATGCTGGTAGTGTGCGTTGCCCGTACGCTCGACGTCGTCGATGCTAGACATGGGAGAGCCGTGGATGCTAGAGCTCGAAGACACGTGGATGGCAGGGGTACGCTTGGAGACACCCTCGCGCATGCGACGAGCATCAGTGCGCGGCTCCTGCTTCTGGCGACGGAGACGGTTGGCCAGGGCCTCTTGCAGACGCCACCTGAAAGATGTCAGATAATCTGCAAGTACAGTGTCAGACAGGTTGGTTGTCTCTACTAACCATTCACGGTGGCTGTTCAGCTCATCCTCACGCTCCTGCTGCAGCATCTCATAGCGTCTTCGGATGGGCGCCAGAAATGGTTCGAAATACTCGAAAAGATCCTCTTCGTTGACGCGAGTGTCCCAGTCGAGAAGGAAGAGAAGCTGTCGTTCCATCAGGTTGACCTCAGCGAGAGAGAAACCAAAGCCATCGTAGCCCTTGACGACGGTGTATCTGGCCCAGTGCTTGTTCTTGGGGCTCGAGTCATTCAGATTCTTAGCGGCCAGGATCAGAGAAGCAAGGAAGATACGGTGAACGGTGCATCGCATGCCCTTGGCGACAGGAGGCAGGCGTGCACGCAGTCGGCCCAGGAACACCAGGGATGTCATCAGGGTCGGGACCTGAACCTGGGAACGGCTGACCAAGGAAGAGATGAAGGCCTCCAGCGACGGCAGTGGAGGCAAGCTGTCAGCTGGGTTCATCGGAGGTGTACTCGGAGGAGTAGGTTGACCATGTCGGTTGAGGGATGATGTGGTCACATGCGGTTCACAGCGGATGACCTCTGAAGCTTTTCGAGCAAGATAAGAGATCATGTCTCGGGAGACAGGAAGCATCACAAAGTCGTTCAAAGCAGCCCTGTTGAGGGCCAGCATGTCTTTCTGGTCCATTATGTTGGTGGGTAGTGAGGATGTTGATGGAAAGTATTGCCGTGTTTCACTGTCAACAAACGTGGAGTTGATGGTGAGCAAGTATGATAGAACAGGTATATTCCCGGTCTGTGTTTAAAAATGAGGGAAAGATTCGTGTGAAGCGTGAACAGCTTCTACAAATCTATATGCGGCTGGGTCCTGCAGTGAAGGGCAGATGGTGAAAACAATGACTATTCAGCCTGCGATGAGCCAGCCCCCGACAACAAAAAAGAAGGTCGCGTTGACAAAAAAGAGGTCGGCAACGAGCGGTACAAGGGGTGACTGATAGTACAAATTCCCGCCCAGCGGAAAATATCCGATGAAAGAATGCTGCAAAGGATTGTCGGGGTTGTCGTGTCAACCCGGCTGACGGTGCGTGTAACTTTAAATCGACAATTCCTATCTATATCTTCCACACGACAGCCCTATGGCGGACTGCTTCGGTTTGGCGTCAAAGCTTGGGGAAGACCGAGCAGGCTTAGTTAGGCCGGCACTGGGGGGCGAGACTAGCGGCGGGCGATATAGATATCGAAAAAGGCCAATTTCCAGAGGGAGAGAACCGAGAGAACGGAGGGTTCTGCGAGAAGATTTTAATATTAATGAAATACTGAGAATGTGCGCATGTGCCTGATGCTCGTGAAGAATTGAAGGCAGCCTGCCGGCATATATGTACATGACCTGGAAAAAGCTCCTAGGGTGGGCGGCTGGTGGCTTGTCGGCCAGCGCTGCAAGGACCATCATGGACCAGTTGTTGGATGTGGGGAGATATGAGCCCGAATTGGCCAGCGCAGGGGGCCGCCAGCATAACTCCAGAGTCCAGGGAGATCGTGAACGCGTCGAGCAGCACGACCCTTCAGTTAGCGCGCGATTCGAATCCAGGGACTCTGATCACCATCGCGAACCGCCATTCGCTGTCTTGATCTGGAATGCGGCGGACTTGCTGTTTCATCATGGCCGGTACCGCTGGTATACATGTCACCACGGCTCAAGCTGCTTGCCGCCGACGACGAGAGCTGTCGAGTCGAAGCCGTGTATCACAGACCGACAGTTGCTCCCGGCCAGAGGTGTATGTGTCGGAAGGTTACGACCACACCCATGCCCAATGATGAGCCAACAAAGGATCTGAAAGCGCAACCATCGTCACAAGAATACAGTTGGGCTGTTGCAAGCCCGAGACGCGCCGGTTGGTGAACACGCGCACTCAAGTCCGGTCATGCGAGGAGCAGGATGTGGCTAGAGACTCTCGGCCTGACTGTCCATCATTGCTGTTTAGCCTCCTGTTTGGGTAAGAAAGAAGGATCCTGTCAGATCCTGTCGCCCTGCGCCCTGCTTTTCGCTCCCATCGGATTTCCTATCCTGTCTGTGCAGGACCGCACTACCACTGCCAAGAAAGGGAATTGTTAATAGGACCTCGATGGAGTAGAGTTATTGTTGTATCCCTCCCAGGCTTTCCCTGTTGACTTGACCATGCCTGTCGTATCCTCGCGGCCAGTGAGGGGCCTCAACGGACCTGGGAAGACGCGCTGGAAGTCTTTTTGCTTTCCACAATTGATTGTTCTTGTCCGTCGGCCCTATCGACCAGAAACCGCTAGGCAGGATCGAAACATTGAAACCTATTCTGGTCTCTGGCGGATCCAACCCCGCCGACCAACAACGGAGCGACGGGGAGATTCGCTCAGATGGGATCTGCCAACACATCTGTGTATGTACTCTAAGACCGTTGGGTCCTCGATTCCCACTTGAGTGGCGGGGGCGAGAGAGCTATCGACAAGCGTATGAGCAGCATCTGGTCAGAATGATTCGGCGGCTGGCGGGAGATGCTGGCTGACGATGCGGCGGCAGCGGCTTACTTACTACGTACTACTGTGCTTAGCCAGCCACCACTAGTTAACTAAAGTAGAGCTGGCTGCTCTTGTTTCTCTGTGCAGTTTCATCCACCTGGTCTTCCAACGTAAATTATGGTAGACAGATTCTTTCTTCCCGGCAGATCTTGAATGTCTGATCTCATCGGCCAAGCGCCAACTCCATTGCTAATTCGGGATCGACAAGCCACCCGCCGACAAACCTCCAGTAGCTGAGCCTCGCTCCACACACGGGATGCGAATCGGATACAGAGCGAACAGTATGAAGGAGTAACGTGCTATTAGCTGCTAGATCGAGAATGGATCGAGCATTGTCTTACTGTCAGCTGGGGTAACGAGGAATGTGTCCGCGGGTTCGCGCATCAAGGTTGAGTGAGTGCTAATAATCTATCTCACTACTTACATGCCAACTCTCCCCAATTGAATCTCCCTTCCGTTAACCCTCGCAGAGTATTTCTTCCGCAGTATAGAGAGCCGATGACTTCAGTCGCCCCCCGTACACTGACCTCCTTTGGCCACCATTCATCCAGAGTTTAGCTCCTCCTTGATCTCCCCAAGAGCATTGATCTGTCTGTGTCTATCTGCAAGTCTCTACGGTCTTGCTCGTGCCAATGCATGGAACATGCAATAGTTGCCGATCTACACTGTTCCTATACAATCTTTTTTTCCCCCAAACGCGCTATGTCTATACTTGAATGGCAAGGGACGCAGCTTCTCCGGGATAACGAGGGACTAACAATAGCGCGTGTTGACCGAAAAAAAAGTGTCGCTCTGGTCTTCGTTCAGCTCTGGTGTTCATAGGTACTTCTTTGTTCTCTTCTCCCGTGGCGCTCTCTAAGCGCCAACATGGAGCCATTTGATGCATGGGTCGCCAACGCCAAACCCTGGTACGGCGCTTATGATATTGGGACGGTGCAACCGACCTTCCCGATTGCCTAAGATGTGACTGAGGATATCTACCGCTACGATCAGAATCGGGCGGCTACTGAGTGTTATTCTTAGAGTGGTCAGACGTGCTTCGGACGACGTGCTCCGCTCCATTCCAGAGACTTGACATATCTGTAACAAGTGTGGCATGAGAGACGGCCCCAGATCAGTGTGGACAAGATCCTATAGGATGGGAGCTTCCTCCTGACTCCAGTAGTTACTTCTATTGCTTCTCATGGGCCCGGTACCGTCCGCAGGACACAGGTCACCTCACCTCGTCGGTCATGTGATTCTCACCTCGCACGGACCCTTTTAGAGCCCACCTTACCTCGTTAAATTCTAATCCCACCTTATCCCCTAGTTATCCTCTCCGGGGGAGACTATAGTTAAAGGTCTTACCTAGGAGGGGGTTGCTCCGGGTCCCTAGTTTATATTAGTCGGCACGCTTGTATCTTATAATCCCAAATATCTTTCCCGGGTTTTAATACCCGCCCGGTGAGATCTTTACCAGGAATAAAACCCCTTTTAACTATTATATTTACCTAGAGTGAAGGGGGTTACTTTAAATAAGACCTTTAATTATATTTAACAGGAATGACCACCAAGAACAGCACAGTGGCTAGTTATATAACCTTACCTGGGAGGGATTATTATAACAAGATAAGGTGGGCTTACAAGGCTTGGCGCTTTTTTGGTCTGTGCGAGGTGAGGATCACATAACCGAAGAGGTGAGCTGACATATAGTCACGTACGGTCCGTCATATTATCATCCTCAGAGGATCGCTTCGTCGGTGGATTATTTCGTCTTTTTGGCCTCCACTATTAATCAGACCAGAATGGACTCGAGGCAGCATCTCGTTCGTTTGGAATTTCGAGGACCAGTAAAAGAAAGCGTCATGAGAAACACGGTTGACTTTTCAGTCCTCGTCGTGGCGTGGCGGCCACGCTCGTGTTCTGCATTCCATCGCTCGCTCTCCGCCATGCCATAGAAAAAAGCGCGTGCACGCCACCATATTTTCAGCTGAACCTCATCCATCCTTCTTGTAATCAATGACATCCACTCGGAGGCAAGGACGCGAAGATTCACCACGCAATTCCCACAGAACAGTTTATTCCACATGAAATCCAAAGACTCTTAAGTGACGTTTTCCCTGTTCTGGAATGTGCGTACTTGTCTCATGTCTATTTCCGGCCATTATTCACACGCAAGGCAGATGAGGAGTTTGTGGGGAGCCTATTTTCTTGATGCACATGATAGAGGTCTCTATCGATAAGAATGCTAAGTAATGGTTAAAAGGGCAATCGATAACTACACCACGAAGAGGCTGACTTTTTGCGATTTTATTGGAATCAGTCAATAACGGTGAAATCAAATTATCCATCTGATAATAACCCCTTTCTTCCCTTTGGTCGTTATAAGACTCATCACTGTTCTTGATCTCGGTGCGCTCGCTCCATATATCATTGTTGACGCCTGAGACATCTAGATTACATAAGCAATACAGATGATCTGCAACCACCTCTGTTCGTTCCTGCATTCGCAATGATTATTTTGATCCCAATGATGATTTCTTTTCAAATCGAACATTTATAGTCTCATAGTAATTGTTACAGTTATCAGCAGAGACTAGAAAGGGTCGATGCTATTTCAGAAACTATGGGGGCTTTGTGTATGCTCCCGCCGAGCATGCATATGGAATGGAGCTGTATTCATACTGCATTTCTATCATTGAAAGCAATATTATATTCCTCTTGGAATAGCTGTTATCGTTCATCCCCTGGAGAAGAATATTCTACAGTTAGTGGCCTGAGGACTTGTCAGGGAGATCCGACAGCAAGCCAAGCCGCGAACTACTTAATTAGTTACGGATACTTACTTAGTGCCCCATCCCCAAAGGGTCAAATTAAAATAAATCACATCGGTGTCCCCGGACTCCGTCTTCCGCATGGGAGCATTTCCTCGTTGTTTGGTTCTTTCTTTTCTTTCGCAGGGAGTTGTTCCATCTTTTCTTTCGATCCCATTGATTATTCCTGCAGGGCAGAGCTTCAATTGCTTTCTTTCCCTTTGGTCGGCCACCCCCTGAGATCTCCGCTCCACAATGCCTTCCAAGAAATCTTCCAGCAGCGCACCAGCGCGCCAGAATAAGTGCGGATGCTTCTCGTTCCGCAAGCTGGGCTTCCTCGCTGTGATCCTGGCCCTGCTGTCCTCAGTCGTCGTTTACCTCGAAGCGCGCCTGGAGTCGTTCTACATTTTCAGCCCGGACCATCTGCATGATCTGTCGCAGCGCGCGATTGCGGCGCATGGCAATGACACGCGTGCTGTGGCGCACTACATCGTGGCAGAGCTCAATGAGAAGGAGACCAGTGCTCATCTGAACTTGGATGAGGAATGGGTTTTCAACAATGCCGGTGGTGCTATGGGTGCCATGTGGATTATCCACGCGAGTAAGTGCCCCTTACAAAAGTCCTGGCTGGACTGGACGCAATTTTGGAAAGGAAACTGGTGCTAACAGCTTTGTTGTAACTAGGTATCACTGAGTACCTGATCATCTTTGGTACGTTGGCCTCTTTAGCTCCCAACAATGACTTTCAACAATAGCTAATGCAAAGACACAACAGGCACTGCTATCGGTACCGAAGGCCACACCGGTCGCCATACCGCCGACGACTACTTCCACATCCTCCAGGGCACACAGCTCGCCTACGTCCCTGGCGAATACGAGCCCGAGGTCTACCCGCAGGGCAGCGTTCACCACCTGCCCCGTGGCCAGGTCAAGCAATATAAGATGGACGGATCGTGCTTCGCTCTCGAGTACGCTCGTGGCTGGATCCCACCCATGCTGTTCTTCGGCTACGCCGACACTTTCTCCAGCACCCTGGACTTCCCGACTCTGTGGGCGACGACCCGCATCACCGGTCGCGAGATGATCGGAAACCTGCTGAAGGGAAAGCTCTAAATAAGCGATATGGTGTGATGACGAGCTGGTAGTCTGATACGACTACTGCTAAGATCATGTAATTGTACTGTACATGTGCTGTATTATCTCGTTGCATATAGAAAGATTTGTGTGTGTGTTGCCTATATGACGATTACGCGCTGTTCATGGTCTAGACAGCCCGAAAAAATAATCTAATCCGTTTTCATGAAGAAAAGAAGTCTTATTTCATTGCCAAAATTCATCTCATGTACACCTTTCTTTTTCGAAATCAGATCGTCCGCTGAGATAATCAAGCACGGACCACATAACTACTAACTATCCGGAGAACGAAAAGATCCCCGCGGCGGGACGTCTGTAGACCCCTCTATGACTCCATAGCCTTTTCAAAGTGAGCGACGGCTCTGGAACGAAAAAAGAGAGAGAAAAACACTGGAAAGACAAAAATGCCTCCCAGTCTGTGCTTCCGCTGCAAGGAAGCCAGAGCAGTTATTATCAGACCGAAGAACCGCCACAAGCTTTGCAGATCCTGCTTTTTGCACGTCTTCGAGACCGAGATCCACGAAACGATCAGTTCGACTTCCCTATTCCAGCGTGGTGAGCGCATCGCTATCGGCGCTAGTGGTGGGAAAGACAGTACTGTGCTTGCGTCGGTCCTGAAGACACTGAATGAACGCTACGACTATGGCCTCGACTTAGTTCTGCTGTCTATCGACGAGGGCATCAAAGGCTATCGCGATGACAGTCTGGAGACGGTGAAGCGGAACGCACAGCAATACGATATGCCTCTTGAAATCGTTGGATATGACGAATTATATGGCTGGACGATGGACCAGGTCGTCGCGCAGGTCGGGAAGAAGGGAAACTGCACCTATTGCGGAGTCTTTCGCCGTCAGGCTCTTGATCGCGGGGCCGCGAGACTGGGCATCAAGCATGTGGTCACCGGACATAATGCAGACGATGTGGCGGAGACGGTGATGATGAATCTTCTCCGAGGAGACCTGCCTCGTCTGTCGAGAGGGACGAGCATCGTTACGGATTCAGATGCCTCCGAGATCAAACGGAGCAAGCCACTTAAGTACGCTTACGAGAAGGAGATCGTCCTCTACGCGCATCACAAGAAGCTAGACTATTTTAGCACCGAGTGCATCTATTCACCGGAGGCTTTCAGAGGTAGTGCTCGGACCCTGATCAAGGATTTGGAGAAGATCCGCCCTAGTTCCATTCTCGACATCGTTCGGAGTGGCGAGGATATGGCTCTACTTGTTCCGCCGGAGGTAGCTGGGACGCGGAAGTGCATGTCTGGTTCTGCTGCATCTGCGGAAGCAGATGATTACTCTACTGGTGGCTGTGGAAGTCAGAATGGACGATCCAGCGGTGGCGAGATGGCAGAGATGGAGAAGCAGCTGGCTGCAGATGAGGCGGCGCGTGAGAACGAGACTGAAATCACATTACCGCCAGTGAATCGGCCGTCTACTGCCGCTGTTCCGCTGAAGAAGAGGGCTACTGGGACAAAGGCCAAGGGTGTAAAGCCTTTGAAGTTGCAGAAAATGGGCAAATGTGAGCGATGTGGGTATCTTTCGAGTCAGAAGATTTGCAAGGCTTGTGCGCTCCTGGAAGGTCTCAACAAGAATCGGCCCAAGACCTCGATCGAATTGACCGTTGGGGTTGAGGACGAGGAGAGCAGCACGACTCTCATGAGACAAATGGAAAGCATCGAGCTTACTAGTGGATGATTCCTGCCTGCAAGATGACGGGCTATATTTGGAAAGAATTATTCACATTTATAAAAGGGCTGCGGGAGACAAGGGAACGTCTAGGACAGCAGGAGTTCATACAACCCATGCAAAGAATTCTCCTTGCAGTACCTAAAGGCAAGGTGCTCGCAGTCCCTCCAGGGTACATCTAGCAGGTCGAGTTGGGCCCCGACTGGAGTATGAGTACAGCTCAGTTTCTCCTGGAAACGGATCCAAGATTGTGCCTATATCGCTTTAGAGCAGTGCAATATCTGAGATCAAGGCCTCGAGCTGTCCGGTCTCTATATTCTCAGATGCCATCCCGACAGCAAATGTGGTGGACAGCTTCAATACAGAGCCCGCATCATGATTGAATATGGGTTATACTCCACAAATCATGAAGATGAGATGTACAGGGAAGCTGTCGGAGGGTATAGATATTCACATACCACCCACCATCAAAGATGGAAACATGTTGATAAGACAGATAGATTATCAGAACAACATGCTTCACTTCCGAAACTTCAAATTCAATTTCTTATCGAGTTCGAACTACCTGTCCTAAGAGCGGAACTATACCTCTGGCACAGCAGTTATCACTCCATGACGCCATCTCCGGTAACCATCCAAACAATAAACTCCTCAAACCACAACAATAGACCCAAAACGTCTGAATCTCGAAGAATATTGTAACAATATCCCACAAAGAGCAATGGATCTCTAACCGCCTCATACGCCTCTTTCCTAGGTCATACATACACTACCAAGTACCAACTCACAAACACAAACCCATCAACCATGTCCGTCTTCAGCCTCCACGAATACCTACCCACGCACACCCCCGAAGAAACATACACCACCCTCCCAGCCCTCCAAGCCAGCATCGCCTCACACTACGAACGCATCTCCAAAACCACCACCAACCTCCAAGATGAATTCATCATCGTCTCCTCCGTCCCAGATTCCATCATCGACACTATCTCAACCAGTCCTCACGTCCTCCAGAACGCCGTCCTCTGGGCTTCGAACACCTCCTCGTCTGAAATCATCCTTAAACTCCAGTCTCCGCTCTTAGCAGTCGCCAGGGCGGCTTTTATTGCGAGTTTCAAAGCGAAGCTCGATAAGATGGGTGTGTTGAATGATCTCGTCTCGTTGGGCGCGAAGTCCATCAGGACAGGTGCTTCTGGGAAAGCGCCCGATGCGGCGTTTAAGCCGCGATCGCGAGGTGGTTCTGGTACAGAGGAGTCGGATGCGAATGCGCATGCGAATTGGCCTAGCATGATAGTCGAGGTGGGATTTCGAGAGACAGGTCCGCCGGCGCTCCGCGCCAGCGCGACATGGTGGATTCAGAACTCAGCTGGGCGAGTTGGCGTTGTGGTTTTGATCTTCGTGCATGCTGCGGAGCCGCGCGTGTCTGTTGAGATGTGGGAGTTCAGGACGCCGGGTCCGTTGGCTTCTAAGACGCAAGAAGTGATTGTGGAGAAGAGGGAGAATAGGAGACCGGGAGAGGATAGGGAGAGAGGGGTGGCGGTGTTAGGGGCGCCGATGAAGGTTCCGCTGCAGAAAGTTTTTTCGAAGGAGGGCGTGAAGGGAGATGGTGAGATTGTATTTGATGAGGAGGATATGAGGAGTCTGGCGAGAGATGTTTGGATACAGCAGGGGTTTTGGGAAGTAGAGGCTACGGAGACGTAGATGGATGGATGGATAGATAGATAGATGGATCTTTGGCTTCTGTTGAGCTTCTTTTATTATTGGGCGTCTGATTATTTTCAGGAAGGTCTATTGGAGTTTTATATAATGATTTTTCTATCTCTTTTTATCGTACATTCAAACTCTGGTATTCGGTTTGCGTTGGAGAGAAGTAATTGGTATCCTTGTCTCGGTCACTTTCAACTGTCCAGATCTGTTCGCTTTCTGCCTTTCAACCAGACAAGCACAGAGCATCATATGTCTTCCGTAAGGTACATATCCGCTCCACTGGCCCATCTGGATGGTATTGGCATCGAATCCCGTAAAGTCAGTGTTACAATGTGCCGCTCAAGAAAATCCGACTGCACCGTACTTCCAGATAAGTCATCGGGCCCCAGGAACTCCAGTCAAGCCTTGCAACGCGCCCCATTGACTAGAAGCGCATGTAACAACAACTCGCGGAATGTCAGAAGTAGCGAGTCTCTCCGTACTTGCATCATATACAGAAATGGAGGCGATAGAAGCTCGAGACTTCCCACTCAGATCACGCACAGCTGATCATTCATCTCCATGAACAGCGTGGCGAGACCCAAATAGAAATATCCGCACACGTCCGCAACAAAGGTAAGACCAACCAACGCTCTGCCCGATTATCGAACAGGTTAAATCCGAAATAGAGTATATAGCAAAATCGCATATGCATATCGACAAAGAAGAAGCATGGGTATAGCGCATAATCATCGATCGAATCGATCCCTAAACCCAGAAAGAGCGCAAGGACACCCAGTACCCTCCACAATTCCATTCCTTCACAATGCACCAAAGATCGAAAAAGAAGATAATAAAAACTTCTCCTTTTTTTTATTTCTTATTCTCCTCATTTTCGACAGGCAAATCCAACCCAACCCTCCGCGCCGTCAAGCGTACCCTCTCTTCCTGGTCCATGTTCATACCCGGATTATACCGATCGAGGAGCGTAGCATATGTCCTCTGCGCGCGAGCATACTGGATGAATTGGTCTGCTTCTTCGAGCTGCTGGAGCGCCGCGTCGCTTTCTTGCGGAGCAGCCGATGGGTGAAATAGTGCTCGAAGACGGCTCTGGAGAGGCGAGGGCTTTGACAGTGGACGCGGCGGGAGTTCGCGGAGAAGAGCCCTGTAGAGGGAGCGAGCTTGAAATGCGTGGTTCGAAGACATGGTTTTGGAAAGCTGTTTCGAGCTGGGATGAGGTGTTGGTATGTTTTATGCAGTGAGTAAGTAGTCCATAGAGTTTGAAGGAAACGCTAAGTACTTACGAGTAAATCGGGGAACTTTCGCCTCAGGCCCGCAGGAGCTTGATATCACGTGACATTTGGCTGACCAGAGTATTCCGTTGGTGGATATCATTTGTAAGTAGCACTTGGTCTGACTAGTAGGATATATATTATATATGGACTTGATGATAAGAGCTTGACGGCTATGTCAGAAGCGAACTGATTCTGCGTTTGATAGAAGTCTGGGTTGAGCACTGCACGCCCCTGATATGCTGAAAGAACACGACACTAGTGGTAAAGAAACACAAGCATATGCACATCAAAGAATAAAGATAGCCTCCCGTAACAAGTGAGCTAAACTCAAGGCATAGTCTATCCTGTAGTACACCAAAGTCAAAATATCAAAAATGATGTACAGCATCAGACGACAATCCCTTCCAACGCCTTCGCTTGACCTCATGCTCACAAAACCATTTAACAATGTCTTGCTTTTATGTCAAAATAACAGGATCGATAAGCAAGGTTATCCTTGAAAAGCTTGCAGGCAATATGTAGGTCAAGTTCGCGGCAAGTACAATACAGCGAAGACTCCCTTATGTACAAGACGTGCTTCAGAAAAATAACACGAGTAAAGTACCCTCCGTCACCGTGGTATCAAGTCCACGATAATTCAAAACAATCATCAATATATCAGTCATAGAAGGCATATCAGCGTAAAAGGGGTATGAGTACATATTTTGGCAAAAGAGAATGAGCGACTTTTAGTTTGCAATGGTAATCGTCCAGAAGGATATGAGAACAAGGAGATAATCCGATCCATGGGAAAAGAATTGAGCGGCGAGGCTTCAAGATTAGGAACGCAGCCAAGCAAACTTCTTGCGATCTCCCGTAGCGGACGGTTCAACTTGCATACTCCGCGAGTAGAGATCCTGAAAGATGTCGTCAGCGGACTGAATCAATTATATAGCAACGTATACGAAAAGTCTCACCTCCTCGTCATTTGAGAGCTTGGTTTCCAGCAGCAGCCGCATTACTTCCTCGTGCTTCGGTATGTAGGGGTAAGGTGTCTTCTGACTTCGTTGAATTCCTAAGACAACCTCTCCCATGATCTCAAATTTCTTCCAGTTGACACGGGACTTATCCTCGCCGACGAAAGTCTTGTTTCCTTCTTCCGCGGACACCAGATCGCGACGATGGAGGGGAAGGAATGGGATCCGTTCCGCAAAGGAATTTTCCCACGCCAACCGGTAGGCAAAATGGCTCTTCTGAGTGCCCATGAGAATGACTAGCCTCATGAATTCCTTCTGCACATGAAGAGGGACAAGCTCCCTGGTCTGGGTTAACCGATGTACAGGTGTACCATTAATGCCAGCGATAACCGCGCCGAGGGAGTTGTAGTTGTTTTGTCGTCGTAGCCTCTGAAATATTGATTGTAAAGTTAGCTGCGCAATGCCGGGAACCAAGTGAAATATATGGCGATACTAACCTGAGCTATGTTCATAAATTTTTCCAGGGCCTTGGCTCTGTGTTTGGGCTTGTCTCGGAACAAGATCATACTGGCAACAAAGAATGCGACGTGATTGAACTCTTTGATCATCCGATTGACGTTCGCCAGGCTCTTGATCTTATCCTTGTCCTGGCTCGAGATACTCACGTGGCGGACTAGGTCTCGAGGCCGGAACGAGTTATACATTATCCAGTCGATTCGTGTAAGCTCTTTTGCGAAGTCGTCGTCCGGAATTTCCATGAACTGTCTCCATTGGATTTTCGTCAAGGAGATCTTGGGGGTAAGCTCGAGCGTTTGTGCTTCTCTTTGTGCATTCTCGACGGAGATGAGCGTAGAAAATGACTGATTTGAAGTGCTTGCCGATTTTCCATGGCTCGAAGCGTTTGACAGACTCATAGAGTGACCAGAATGGGCGGACGATGCATCGGGTATGTCGTCATTGAGGTCCAAAGAGCTTGTATTGTATATCGAATAATCCAGGAGTGACGACCCGGAAAGGAAGGCCATTGGAGAACTTCGAGCGGAAGTGTTGAGGAAAGTCTCGAGTCTGTCTGACTTCTCTGACGCATCAGAATCGCTGTCGCGAAACGGCCACCCAGTCTCGTCCTCCTCCACAATTAGATCCAAGTAAGAAGCAATCTCTTTGGCAGCGAACATGTAGACATGGTTCTTCTCCAAGGCAGCCACGAAGTCCGTCAAGCGTCTCCGGGTCTTTGGGTAAGCGAAGTCTCCAGGATATTCAGAGACCCATTGTCCGACAACGTTGAGTAACCTAAGCTGGTCTGCAGATTTGCTTAATTGAGCTGCCGGGCTTCTCTCGGTTTTCTCGAAGCGATTGATCAAGGCGTTCAGAAGTGTACCAGGCGCAGCGAATTTGCGATAGAGACACAGAAAGATAGCTGAAAACTTCGAGTCTTGCTTTGACATCGGTACCGAGACAAGACGGTCGACAAGATCCTCAAAAGTCACTCCGGTGTCCGCTGCTACATATTCTCCGGGCCTTTCTTTGTTTCGATCCGGGCTGTTCTTATGTTCTCCATTTTCGTCATCTTCCATGTCCAGAAAACTGCTGAAGGCATCGGAACCTGCGCTATGGCGCCAGGTGGGCTGGAGCCGACGCTGTCGACTGTTATCTCGATTCGGCGGGCTCTCCGCGGCGTTACTGGAGACAGATGGCCTGCGGGGATCTAACCGTCCCGCAGAGGGAGGCGTTTGAGGTCGTACAGGGTGTGAATTGCTCCGGACATACCTAGAGCCCGCGGCATTGAGAGCCAGACTGGCGCCGTTTGCCTTGTCGGTGGGACGGTTTTCGCCGTTCCCATCGACTCTCTCATTAGACGCAATGGTTTCGCTGCCAGAGGCCTCTTCCCGTGCGGTCTCTTTGGCTTCCGCGGCAGTGTAGTTTTGCCAATCCTGTGTTGGAGAAAGTGGCTGCCGCACCTGCGTCTGTCGTAACGTTGATGATGAATTGGAATTGGAACTGGAATTGTTTCCGTACAGGTGATTGCGAACAATATCTAGCGTCGAGTTAGCCCGCAGAAATTTCTATCTCCGCGATCAATGGCAGCAATCGCGCATTTATCCTCTCCAACTTTAGCCAAACACGAGCTACGATCGGCGGTATTAACAGACAGGGGTTCGCGTGCGTTAGTTCAACCGGGGAACGACCCGGAGAAAAATAGCGCGACTCGGTGGACCATGAAAGGGGCTGGACGTCTCAAGACCCGATGCTGATGCAGCCCGACAGCGCCAGTGTACCAGATCAGGAAAGATAAGTGGCTCCAAAGGGGACAGATAAATGGTGGACTTGATGAGGGTTGGTGCGACGTGCGGAGGATATTCGGAGACGGGGAAATCGGGACGGGATCTTGCTTACCAGGTGTTTTCAAGACGATGGATCGCAAAAGTATGGAAATGCATCGCTTCTGTGTTCGCGGCGAGTCCGCTGCTGTCCGATGCAGCTCCTTTCCACTGATAATCCTGCTCATCTTTTCAAATGTCACGGCATCCATCTTTTGCGGACGGTCCTGGAGGTCGCATTTACATTGTACTAGCACATATGGTATTGACGACTTAGTTAAAGCACCTGTCAACACAAGATCCGTTAGCATCGAACAACGGAATTGTGTCCTACGGAATGGATGATAACCGCTTCCCTCTCCAATGGCACGTAGGGACAGAAACCTTGCGGATCTGGAGCATGGATCACGGATTCGATATAGAGAACAGGCAAGATGCCTTGCAAAGGGGCTAATACTTACTCAATAATCGTGAGGCCTCGATGATGCCGCCAGGGCTAGTCACATCGTGAAGAATGAGAGCTCCGTCCACCGGGGGGAGATTGTTATCGTCGGAAGTTCGAGGCCAAACAACGCTCCCGTTTGTGTCAAAGCTGATGTCATCTAAAGATATCTCCAGCAAGCGGACCATATAGACCGTGCCGTCCAGTGACATCTTCTTTGAATTGGAATGGGAGGTCGGAAGATGCTTCATATCCAGCGCACATTGCACGAACGTCGATTTACCTACTGCCTTTGAGCCAATGACAGCCAGACGAACATGGGGAAGATTGGCCCTCGAATTCGAAGTCTGTAGGGAAGTTACTCGTTAGCGTTTCTTGACCCTTCAAAAAGTGATGCTCGACCGGTGGATCAATTTTCTTGGAAGCCTACCTGATTGTTTCCTTTTATAGTAGAGACATCGTCGTCGTCGATGGGACGGTCATCGACAGGAGAAGTAATAGGACTCTCAGATTCCTCAATAACTGTCGTCTGGAATGTCTTTCCTTCCTCTGCTGGCCCCTTGGAGCGATCTAGCTTCTGAATATCACCGGCTGGGGCTGAAATTGTCCGGACTCCCAGTCGAGGTCTCTGCGGAGGCGTAACGGGCGAACCCTGGGCCCTGTCACTGGACGACCTGGCCCGTCGGGACTGCTGCTGGGCATCCATCGTGTATAGTTTTCGTTAGAGGTCAATCGTTTGCTGCAGGCACGAACGGTACCGAGTGGGAACTCTGGCGGCCCTTAGGAAAACGATCGAAATGCAGAGGACCGCTCATCCATTGTCGCACTGTAGACGTGAGATGCGGTGATGGAATGGTAGATCAGATGAGAGGTTTCAGCTTCTGAGAGTTGCGTCTCGAAACGAGGCTGGTAGGAAGGGATAAGTCAAATTGGTGGCTTGATGTATTTGTCGTTTGATGTTGTTCGTTACGAGCCGTCGAGAGGGATCTATTGCGGCGCAGGCCCGGTCACGCCATGTGAAAAAGCCAGCAGCAGCTCGTTGACAGAGCAGTGAATGCAGGCGGAGAAGGTCCAATTTGATGGATCGATTGACTGCGAGCAAGGACAGAAAGACGCTTTGAGGATCCAAAAGGTCAGCTCAGTCTTTTCGGCCTCGACTCCGCGCTTTACGTGTGTGCCGGTAGGTACTAGGGGGCCATTGACCGTCGGGATTGAATGTGGAGGCCGAGCGGGCTTCTTAGAAGTTAGCACAAGCCCGGCTAACGACTACATACGCCAGAGCTGAGCCCTGATGGCCACCCCCGCCTGGCCTTTGACGGCAGATTGGATATCCAACGGGCGAAACAACGGCCAAGGCTCCCTTACTCGTCAGATGCGCTGCTGCTGTGTTCCAGAGCTCCTCCACAGCGACCTGCGCCATGAGGAGCCATCATCACCCATCTTGCGATCGCCAGTGGACCGGACTGAGACCCTGCACTCGGATCTTGCGGTAGATCATTGTTTGGCCTCAACTGACTGGAGCATCATCTCTAACTACTTGAGGAAGGCCAATAACTAATACTTGATTGCAGCAAAGGTTGAGAGCCGCCATTTGCTCGCCTCCTGCTATCAGCTCCCATCCTATCTCTGGACCTGGACGAAACATGCGATGCACTGAGCCGCCGTGGCGCCATATGCGCTGAATAACCGAACCCTTTTCTTTCTCAGTCGATCTGGTGCCTGGGACTTCAGACGATCCCTGTTCAAGGCTTACGCTGTTCAATGGCATAGTTACTGTTACGGCGACATCTATGTTCCCAATGCGGTCTCTCCCTGCACTAACTAGACGCTGTCTGAGCTCCATCGACCTCCGTCCTCCTCCCAGTCGGCGGTGACGAGTCACTAACGGTTTTACTCGGCTCAACGAGTCACGAGGGATGAAGCGCATGCATGAGCATGGTTCTTCTCTTCAAAAAAACAAAAGGAAAAAAAAAAATAAATAAAAAAAAATAAAATCAAAAATTAAGAAAGGCCGCCTCCTGGCGGGGTGGTTGCATATGCAGCATCGTTTTCTGTTCATGCTTGGTTGGCAGCTGCAGCATGCCACTGATTATCTCTCCTACGTACCCTGGCCGATCACGGTTTCATCACCCAGACTCATCCTTGGTCGTCCATTCGGTCACAATTCCATCTCTAACCAGGCTGTGTCGTATTGGCTTCGTCGTGATAAAGAAGCTGAGGTGAAGTGTCTAAACGAATCCGAGCTCACAGCCTCTGCAAGGACAATGCTTCTTTATGGACACCACCCAACAGATACTACCTCAGAGCACAAAAGAATACGACTGGCCGCATTTCGTCATAGTATACGATGTGAATGCTACAGCCTACAGGAGCCCTCAAATGTTGTGGCGACACATCCCTGTAGGAATTTACATATGCTCCTCGGCTCAAGTCGGCCCCGTCACTGCCCATTTTTGGCGATCTTTGTTTCCCCGTTAAAAGCAAGGCAACATGCATGGGCCAGCGAACCAGTCGAAGTCTGCTCACTACAGTATTCGGTATTTTACCCGACTTCGGAAAATGCTAAATGCAAGCTGCAGGCGCTAGCAGCTTGACAGCTAGGGTTCTGCTGCAGGAACTATGAGTCTGCTCATTTAGTGGTCAAAGTGCATAACCTGATGTTCTGACAGTTCTCATCTTAAGCTATCTTTGACAGGCAGGACGAGCTCTTCACAAACTCGTACCAGGAAGACTGCAAGCTAGCAGTGGTTTGGGCACTTTACGAACCCAGACAAGGTCTTCTTCTCCAGAAGTCGGATTCTGACCCCACTCATAGACCCTGCACAGCACTGACATACTGCAGATAGCTGGATCAGCGATGTGTTTAAAGCACACTGAATGCGTATGCTCCATACTCTATGTATATGTCAACTCAGCTCGGAGCCCCGCGCGCGTAAGTCTGAGTGTTGACACGCTTTTATATCGTCGATTCTGTAAGTTTACCCAAAAGGCTAGCGGAGCAATGGGACGAGAGCGTCTCGGAAGGGTCACTTCGTAGTGTCTCTTCCAATTCCGGGGTGGTCGGAGACCCTGCACAGCTGGGGAAGCTGAGCTGATGTTCCTCGGGCCTTATATAATGGTGTCAAGACCAGACCCCGTTCGCCGCAAATGAGCCACATAGAAGATAGCGGACCAGGCCCCAGTCTATGTAACCTAGCCTTATCTGCCAGGAACTATAGTCATGGACCGCAGTGATATGCCGTCGAGCGTCACACTGGATATCCATAATTTCCCATAATAATATGGCCTAACTCTGACTGGAGTTTCCGCCGTTGACCAGGGCGACAAATTTCATAAACCCTTCTGCATCTGGGCCAGTGCTCGATCCTTCCTCGCAACTATCCCTCCACTTCCTCACCTTTCCCAATCCACGATTGAACCCCTTCTGAGCAGTCCAAGGCCCTCTGCTTCCACCTCGTCCCCTGCCATGAGCGCCGCGGCCCCTCCCGAACCCGCGGCCACGAACAGGAGGTCGTGCTTCGACCCATTCATCCTCCAACGTCACCTTGTATATATCTCGTAGCCGGCTGCGCAGTTGAGGGTATCTAGAAAACAGCTCCTGTAGCTCTTTCGAGGAAGACAATGCCTCGGGGGTCGGGAGGACGGTAGTATCCTGCGTTGCCTGTTCCGGTCCATGTCCATTTGTTGCAGCCTGCGCAGCTCCGGTATCCGTCACGGTAGGAGGCTGTTTCTGCGTCGAGGCTTCAGGGGACTTTGGCGTACAATAGACCTTATGCGACTGAGTACAAGCTAGAGAGCAGCTGTACTGAAATGTAAGTTCAAGGCACGCTTCCATAGTTTGTTACATGAGTGGCAAGGCAGGTAAACTGACCTCATAATCCCACAGGCGGGACATCGATACTTTGATGGCTCTGTAGAGCATACTTCGCAAGTCCCAGCCATTTTGCTATATGTCCGTTATCTCTATACGAGATCCACCGGTCTGGGTAATTCGATCAGTTAGAACATGATAGAATGGACTGAAAAACGGCGAAGTAGCTAATCCGTTCAGTTCGTCCTGTGAGAATACAGCCTCAAACTTTCACCGTTAAAGCTCAATGATAATAATGTCTTCTCTCTGACCCAAGAAGTTATCAAGACAAAATGCTCGAGAATTTCCCCGCAAGCAAAAGGCGTCAGGAAAAAGCTTCCCAGCTCCGCGTCTAACTTCCATTGTGGCCCGTGCGGCTTACCGCTTTAATGTTACCAGACTTCACTCCCAAAAGCAATAAATGATAATGGAGCCGCCCAGACCAAATGGAAAAGCTGCTATCTACACTACCATAACCCATCTGAGTTACAACACAGCTGATTTGTTCGGCCTCACTTAACCTATACTGTCTGTCATTCGCGTCAGCGCCGGCGACAAACCCCCGAATCGGCTACTTTCCAACGGCCTATGGTATTCCCTCCCCCTCCATCTTAACTCTATAGAACATGTAATAACTAACAAACTCTTTCGGCCGATTCTGAAGCCGAAATGGTCAAAATAACCTTTTCTCTAAAATCAAATCACCGAGTTTCAGTTTCAGTCTAAAGTCTCGATAAGTACGTCAACCGCAAATACGGAGTACTCATCCCGTCGTCCCGATCATTACCAGACAAAGATAGACCCATTTTCCCCTTCCCCGTCCCTTTTACGCAATAGCACAGCTAGTATTAATCCTCCCCATTCTAAAGTGAGAGGGTGGTTAACTGAAGTGAAACTAAAACCACCCATGCATATAATTAAAGTTCGAAAACGTGTCAGAGAGAACAGCTTATCCAAAGATGGAATGAATGACCAAGTCAACTCCATAACTACTACTACTAGTCTAATACCAACTAGTAGCATCTACTGTGTACGTCCGTAGGAAGTTGTGTTTTCCCGAATCAGGACGCTATGCTCGGCGACATCAGACAGGCGGAACTGTTAAGATCTCCACAATTGTTTGAGAAGTAGCATGGGAATAATAATAATAATAATAATAACAATAATAGTATTAATATTAATAATAAAAAACGTTAAGATTGTTTTCGAATGAGCTGATCGCTAGGCAATTATAATCCTAATAATAACACTGAAATTAAACCATGGTCGGCGATTAGGTTCCTCCGCTCTCGGAAAGATTCTATTTTAGCGGAAAGACGTTGAAACGTTGTAACTAACTATGTATGGGGAATATATGCGATCGTCTCCATGCTGCAGTAGTTGCTTCGAAGAGTCTGCGGGTGGATGGACCAGCTGTTACCTGCAGGAACGGAATAGGAGCTCTTTCTGCTACTTTCGCATCCTGCAGGCAGGTCATGTCATCTGAGCTCGTTAGTGTATGTATACCGCACTGTCAGAGCGGTAGATAACCCGATTGAAACAGCCGATTTGCTTTGTGGCCTTAACTTTGTGGCCTTTAATGGTTTCTATCTTCGCCAGCTGCGTAAACTTGCTGCTTTAATCTGCCTATGTGAATGAAGTGCGGAGAGGTCGGAGCCATGAGCCTCACACCTCGCTGTAGTTATTTCAATTATAACTATTAGTGGTCTTGGTATATGTGGTTAATGTCTCCGAAACCCGACTCAAAGAATCCTAGACACAGAAAGTTCACTAAGAGTATGGTATCAACTGCTGAAGGATATAAGTGGGGTGTTGGCCCGAGTTCGTTGAGATTTATCATGTCTTGGTATATGCAAGTATTATCTATGCGAGTTAGTTTTTCCTTTCCAAAATGTGGCTTTTCATATTTACTTGCAATATTGTACAGCCTGAATTATATCACAGGCCTCGGATCTCATTTCAATATGAGAAATTATCACATCCTCAGTCCTGGGTGACAGCGTTGGCCTGGTCCTGGTCGTTAATTCATGGTGATCGTTCTCTAGTTTATGAGATGCGGTCCCTTTAGCCCTCCGATTCCGAGATGTTACTCTTCCTGGCGCGAGGAACGTCAAGGGCTTCACATTATCATATCCAAGACATACGAGCCCACGAATAGAACATCTGTTGCATACAGGACGTGTCGAGTCGCAGACTAGGCGGCGGCGGAGACATTCCCAGCAATGGCGTTTTCGATCTTTCTCGATCTGCGATGTTTCCTTTTCCTTGGACGACTCTGCGCCCAGGTATGTCATGTTTGCAACATGGAGATGTCCGAATAGAGACCTTGGCAATCTAAGATAATTAGGATGCCTGAAGCAATTGTTTCGAGGCCTAACCAGCACATTTACAACGATCGGAGATCGGCGTGACGGAGTTCTTGGCCTTTTTTTCTCCTATTTTGGTTAAGGTTCAGTGGAGAAGTATACCCAGGCCTTTGTTCGCATTGGTCGATTGTAATTCAGCCCTAGATATACCATAACCTCTACCAGAGAGATACCCTATAACATGTAAAAAGTTCCCTGACCAGCAAAAGCTCTGAACTTCAGGATTTATGGTTTTATCTTGAGATGTGCCTTCTGAAAAACAAATTAATGGATAGATTGTAGAATCCTTATGCGGCCTTTCCAATGATACCGCTTTTGGGTTAAAATGACCTTTTTATGTTATCGTGCATGTCTAATCCTTTGTCGAAGTGTACAAGGTGGAGTATATATCCCTCCATTTTCCCTTTTGAGCATTGGTCTGAGCCTCAATCAAGAACGGACATATTCTTGACCGGGACCTGTGTTAGGCATCAGGATACGTTATAAGACAGGAGGGGAAGGAGAGATAGCATGTAGACACTACAGAAGCAAAATCTTTTCATTCAAACAATGTCTGTGTCCTGACAACATTATTTCCAATTTGGCTATTTGAATTTATCCTTCGCCCTGCTTCGGCTCTGTTCCTTTGTGATATCCCAAGAGTCCTACTCTTTTCCTCCGGCTGCTTCGAGTTTGTCTCAATGGAGGACGGAAAACCTGGTTAGATTCTCGAAACTCTTACTTGTAATCCATCATCTTGACACATAGCAGTCGATGGAAGTCTCTACGTCTACGCCCCTAACAAGGGGGCACCTATCTTCTTCGCTTTCGCATTTACTGTTTCGGCGTTCTACCATCTCTGGCAGTGCTAGTAAGTAGATCGTTCTCCTTCCCACAACGGAACCAGATATCCTGATAAAATTTATTACTAGCCGCTTCAAATGCTTCAAGCTAACGGGCCTGCATCCGCTCTGTGCAGCGATGTTTGCTGCTGGTTTTGCTCTGCGGGAATACGGAGCCTTTCACTATTTATACACTACTCGTAACTTGATCATGTACATTGTCAGCCTGATCTTGATATACGTGAATCCGTGAGCTACATCCAATAGACGCAGAGAACTTTGGAATACCAACTGATCTGGCTCTTTACTATATAGCCCGCTTCTTGAACTCGCGAATTACCATGTCCTCGGTCGAACACTGCACTACGTCCCATACTTCTCGCCCCTTGATCCAGGTCGAGTCCTGACCATTTTCGGTACTCTGTCTGCAGTCGTTGAAGGCTTGAACGGAACAGGTGTATCCTTGCTCTCCAATAAGGGTGCAACGCAGAGCAATCAAAATATCGGACGCGCCTTGACAATGGTTGCCCTCGCAATGCAGCTCGTCGTTATCGCCATCTTTTCCGTCCTCGCAGGGATTTTTCATTGGAGATGTATAAGAGCCAATCTTCACGCCAAGATCACGCCTTCTCTGATTACACTGTACATGAGTACGTCGTTGATCTTCATACGTTGTATTTACCGCGTGGTAGAAGAATCCGGTAGCACGACGCCAAAAGGAGACGATCTGATGACTCTGAGTCCCATCTTGCGGTATGAGTGGTTCTTCTATGTCTTCGAGGCGACGGTCATGCTCCTCAACTCTGTCTTGTGGAATATACGACATCCAAGGCACTATTTGCCCGAGAACTCCCTCGTCTACTTGGCACGAGATGGCACGACCGAGCTCGTAGGGAGATCGTGGACAGATAACCGGCCATGGATAATTGCTCATTTTGATCCTTTTGGTATTTTTGTACGGAAGGAGAAAGAGAAGCGGCCGTTTTGGGAACTCCATGAATATTCTGGTATCAATCGTGAGGATTGATGTACTGATTTCAGCCATGACTGCCTGCAAATTCTCTGTCAGTTACCTGGGGTGCATAGGGTGTAAAGAATACCAGGTGCCATGGTCTAAAGATCTAGGATTGTATTTCCTTTTCTTTCTTCTTCTTTCCCCCAAATTCAGTGTGCTTCAAGACTGCTGGTCTTATTTAGGAATCATCAAAACCAGCAACTGATCACGTAATTTTTCCTTGATATCGATTGTATCAGAGTAAGGGAATTGGGCTTTCAGGACTCGTAGCTAATCGCAAAAGCGCCAACATGTGACGTGATGCGAGTAGCAATAGTATCACCACTAAGGGCACAAACTCGCATCAGAAGAGATCCTAGCACTCAAGTTTGAAACGAGAAATTCTCCGTAGCGTAGCGTAGATCCAAAATGCATGTACCTGCGGGAACCTTTTACCATAGAAAGCTATGGGCGGTATGGAATTTGAAACGAGTATCAGTATCATGTCTCTCTAAGGTAGTAGTAAACTGTAATCTGTCTAGCTCCAGCACAGCTCCAGTTTTAGGTACCAAGTCCATGATCCCTGACTAGCGTTCGCACATGGGCGTTAATCTTACCCTTCTTCCAAGAGGCTAATGAGACCATATGGTTCTTACTATGGAACCGAGCTCGTGGAGGGATTGGTTCCGTGGATTTCCGGGGACCAGGTGAGTGATTACTTAGTAGTGGACATCGTTGCGTTCTCTTTCTAGATATTTTCATCAGTGCCTGAGGATTCTGGGTGACTCGAGGTGCAATTCTAGGTAATATGCCTCGAGACTATAATAATAATAGACCCAGAGCGTTCTGATTCACTCCGTCAAGCGATTACTTTTTGCTTGCCAACTAGAGTATGTATTGCCTTCACTGTGATTGGCCAGAGTAGATCATTCACGTGATCTTCATTACGTCAAGTTCCCTTAAGATGGGGCGAATTCCCTTTCGGGTCGCTTTTGTAATCAAAAAAGCCAAATGACGAACAACTCCGAGGAGTAATTTAGAAAGTAACCATCTATTCTACAATATCGACCCCAGACAAATTATCGAAGCTCAGAGTTGATACGAGTCGGAAACCTATACATATCATGTCAATGCAGACAACGTCGAGACACGTCCTTAGACGGACGCTTTTCAGTTGCTCCAGACCGGTTGTCAGGGCCGCGGCCGAACCCGCGCCTTGGGATATTGCTACGCCGACAGTTGCGTTGAGGGCATCGAGGGGAGTACACTATGCGACCCGCCTGCCGACTTTCACAGCATCAGAGACCCGGCGGAGACCGAACCTGCGGCGGCATCATCAGCCGGTTGCGCCGTCGCCCGTGAGAACCATATTCATTCAGACTGAGACGACGCCGAACCCTGATGTAAGTTGGAATGAATTCTTTTCCAGTCCATAATCTCCCGCAATTCGGGACTACGTGCTGACTAGGTTGGTTTTTTGAATAGGCCCTCAAATTCCTCCCTAATCACCCGGTCCTGCCAGAGAACTTCCCTACGCCATTCCTCGAGTACCTTTCTCCGCGATCGACTGTTGCTCCTCCCCACCCGTCGCCTCTAGCGGCAAAACTCCTCAATGTGGACGGTGTCTCGTCCGTCTTCTACGGTCCCGACTTCATCACCGTCACGAAGCAGAGCGATGCCAACTGGGCGCACATCAAGCCGGAGGTGTTCAGCCTCATCACCGAAGCAGTAACGTCCGGCGAGAGCATCGTGAACACGACAGAGAAGACCGCCGAACACGCCCAGGAGGGAGGAGGTGAAGACTCGCTGGCCTACAATGAGGACGACGACGAAGTAGTCGGCATGATCAAGGAGCTCCTTGAGACCAGAATCCGACCGGCCATCCAGGAAGACGGAGGAGATATCGAGTTCCGCGGTTTCCACGACGGACTCGTTCTGCTGAAGTTGCGGGGTGCTTGTCGAACTTGCGACTCCAGCACCGTCACCTTGAAGAACGGCATTGAATCGATGCTGATGCACTACGTAAGTTCAATCGCGACTTTGATAATGACGTGCAAGGAAAAGCGTGTGATATATGCTAACTATCAACAGATCGAAGAGGTCAAAGGAGTGGAGCAGGTCCTGGACCCTGAAGAAGAGATCTCTATGCACGAGTTCGCCAAGTTCGAAGAGAAGCTCCGACAGCAGAAGGGCGAACAGGCGACCGCTGGAACAATCGGAAAGGGAAGCTTGGATACCGTAGAGGCATAGAAGACATGTTGTCCCATAACTGTCTCCGTATATGATCACATGAAGGCCTAGCTAGGGCTGAATCGCCTGGTGCAGTCTTAGTTGTTCAGCCGTTTTCCACGTGGGATACCAGATTGATCTCTTTATCCATTCTTGTATAACATGCAGAACTTTCTTTTCCGTTGAATTCCCAATGTGCAATACCTAGAAGACGCCTTGCATGCACAGTTCTCGTCCTTTTCATTCATTGTCTGAACCTATTATAAGATTAATGACTAGAAATTAGACCAATATAAACGATCAAAAATGCAATAAACCGGCAATTACTCCCTCGCCTATCAACCACAAGTCTCGTATACACAAACCTTCAAGTCTTGGGGACCAGATGACACTAAAAACACACATGGTCACGAGATGAGGGGTTTAGGTTAGTTCGCTTACTCTTGAGTTAGGTAGTAGAACAAAGGAAGCGGTCGATCATGATTGACGGGAAGGACAGCAATGAACTCATTTCTCAAGCATAGCCACTTTGCTTTTTTCATTTTCATTTTTACTTTTTTTATGGCTTTAGGGTCGGGCCCACCGCTTGTGGTTCAGAAAAATCTGGGGTAATGCATGATCGACCTTTCGCGCGAAGATGGTTACTGGAACAAGACTAAGGCGTTATCGGCCTCGTGTTTTTGAGTACGCATGCTTTGCCGGGATTCCGAAAGTCAATTTAGGTCCTTTTCTACGTTATTGTGCGGATGTGAAATGGGCGACGTGTGAACCGTTATGGATGGGTAGTGCATGCTGTTGGGAATTTACAGGGTTTGTAGGAAGTTGGATGGAGAGTGACTTGAAATCTAGCAGGAAGGTATCTATCTACACCTGGGGCTTTCGTACTTATGGAGAGTGACAGGTAGCTGTTTCGATGCAAAGCTGGAGCAAGGACGGGTGGTGCTGAGGGTTGATATTGTTGTACCATAATGGTAATGCTCCACAGCGATACTGTGGCCAATTTCTAAGAAATTGATAATACAATCAGTTGATCCAGGGCATGATCGTGCAAAGGGACCTACCATAGGTCGTAGCCATCTGTTGCCAGTGTTCATTACAGGCCTTGAGCGCTTTAGGATGAGATGAGGAGAGTGACCAACCAGAATCTGCTTGCGAGTCGTTGACGCCACAGAATGACTACCATACGTTCCCCACATTGCGTATCGAACGGCCGGGATCAAGATCACTTGCTGCTGTAATACAGGACAAGAAAGAAGAAAGGAGAGGTGTGTGCGATGCGATGCTGGTGTTAAAAACCGGGATTTCTAATATCGCGAAGATGATACCTAATCATGTAAAATCTGGATCTGCCCGTATGAGAAAGACAGTGCCAGTGGCGATCCCAGTCGCAGGTTCTCGCCTAGAAACGTTCAGTTGGACCCGAGAAAAAGGGCCGAGACAATTGGATGTCAAGTAGTATTGTCATGTATGATCTTAGATCTATCTATGGGAGAACCGTTGATAGCCTTGGTGGCTTGAAACCGTTTGATTTCATCTCCATGGTCGAGTAGTTAGCCAGTCAAGCATCGTCTGACTAGATATCTAGAGTAGAATCGGCTCGTGCTTCGAACGGCTCTAGACAGAGCCCGCGTCGGTTTCCGTCGTGGTGGCGGGCGGGGTCCGTTGGTCTCTGGATGCCACCATCTCAATCGTCGGTTTCCGTATTGATTCTGATTCCCTCACAGGGTCACAAGGCCGCTGTTGTCCGTCTGCATGCGTCAGGGCGGATCGCAGCTTTCGGCCTGGGCTTCTGGTCTCTTGGCTCGACTGATGAATGACCTGGTCGCCGCGAGCGGTGGTGATGCTGTGATGTGAACCGTGGAAGTTGCCCCGGATCTTACGGAGCGGACGTTGAAGCTCCGGAGTCTAGTCTATCTAGCAGCATGAGCTCGTGCAGCTTGCTCTGAACCGGCCCATGCAGCCAGCTTTTGAATGTCGATCCATCCAGTCGCGAATGGGAAGGATGGCGCATTATGACTGTGAAGAAGAGGGGTCGGGACTCGTGAAGGCCCCTCCTGAAGCTCTCCCCGCAAGGCTGACGGGTGATCCTATCCGGATTTCGAAGCTCACCCCTTGCGCTTTGAAGTATTATGGTACTGCTAAGTGCCGGACGAGGCCCCTCCACATGGTGTTCCATGATGCTGCTTATACATATCTGCCAGACCATAACTAACTACCAGCTTGGCTATGCGGCAAGTTTTGCTTGATGTTTGCAGCGACATTATGTACCGGATCTCCGTATGAAAGAGGGCGACACCGTTGCATAAGGGAAGGAAGAAAGAAAAGACTAAAAAATAAATAAAGAACTAGAGAAAAAAAAAGAGTACCTGCCGTGACTATGTGTATTCCGGGTCTGTAACAATGCTTCCCTGGCAGTTAATCCATCATTACCTCGTGCTTCTTATGGATAATCAGGGACCACAGCAAAGACCCCCACTGAGTGTCCATGCCAGATTTCCATGTCCGTCCTAATGGAATCTGATGGCCCCGTCGAGACGGGAAGTGAATGAAACGATATGACGTGCCGAGCCAGGACTTCGTAACGGATGCATGTTTGGATTCCCTGCTGGTCGAGGGCGACATCGAGTTGAGGAGTAAGTAGTAAGTAACTACGGAGTAACTGGTAGTAAGTAGGACTCTCTAGATAGTCGTAATATGCAGCAGCGCCCATTGGGACCACCCCCGCAAAAGAGCACAAGCTCTGGTGTGGTGCAATGGCCGGGTTAGCGTCCTAGCCATCGCGAGGATCGCACACAGCGGTTGGTGGGACGCGAGAGGAGGCCGCGATGGGAAGCATCATCCTCTCCGCATTTTGAGCCAGTTCGGTAAGGGCTCGCTGGGTCCCTGGAGAAAACGCATCTCTCGCTGGCCGACCATCGCAGCAACAGTATCCATCAACCCAGTCCGAGCCCCCGGCCGGCCAGTCATTATTATCATTGTCGCCTTCCGTCTCCGTCTCCATCGCCCGTCGTCTGGCTCGCTGTCATACGCCCTGGCCGCTGAGGGCACGGTGCTCCTGGTCGTCCTCACTGCCGCTAGAAAGCGTCCTGACTTAACTGCTTCATCTCCAGCTTCAACTTGCCTGGCGCCACTTCTTCCAGCCCCAACCCCGTGGCTCTTGACCTCGTCGATTCCTTCATCGTCGCTACACCCCCCTTCGTGTCCAGAAAGACATTGTCAACTCGACGGGTTAACTTGGGATATCGCTTCCTCGACGCCTCCCCAACGCCTCCGCATCTTTATACAGGTTCCGCTTTGGGTCGTGAGCTTAAGTCATCGTCCCCCCCCGTTGCTCTCCCCCGGAACACCGACGATTGCGACCAACTTCACTCTGTACATCACCCGTTCCCCAGATCGCCTGAACCAAACTGACACTGCCTCGCTTGGGCGTAGTTCGTTTAGACAATGTGCTGCTTCTAAACCGTGCCTGCGTCTGCCCGTCGGTGCTGGGAATCTAATTCCGAGGTCACGCAACCATCCTGGTGCTGCAGCATACCTTCCACACACACGAGAGAGTTTCAGACTGGCGAAGAAGCCCACAGACGAGACACAAACCATACAGAGCTACTTCTAAGTGGCGACGACATTGAATAATATCACAAAAGGAAGTCGATCTCCAGAGCGATTCCGCATTTCGGGCAATCCTGCTTCAGTTCGACACTGCGCACTTCCTCAACGCGGCTTCCGAGAACCAAAGAGCCTGGTTGCTATTTGTGGTTCACGATTTCCCTATTTCTACGCAAGAATAAGGATTGTAAGGTGACAATCGTTGGTTAGAACATACAGGTTTCTGGAGAAGTTAGTTTTGAGCTTGCGCTTCGGCTCCAGGTCCCGCTTCTAACGCCTCGGCCGTTGACAGATCACGATAAGACGACTGTCGCATCGCTCACACAGATTTGTGCTGTATTGAGAGTTTCTGATAATTAGCACGATAGGTAAGCTTCGGATTTTTTATTCAGATTGCATCGTTGCGCTCCGTTATGTCCCGCTTTGGTATCCGTTTCCCAGTCATCCGACCAGACTCCAGTAAGAAAGAACATGCTGCAGTAGCATCAGATGATGCTGGCGTTTCAGACGGTAGTTTAACCGTCCTGAGCGCCGAGGCTTTCCCTAGCATTGCTCCTCTCCTTTCCTTATGGCATGATCCCCGTGGGGCTAGCACAGCGACTTGCGTTTGCCACACATGGCTTGGCCGTGAAAGATAGTTGATCGAGTACATCTGGAAAGCTCATCTATGTGATATTGCGGGGTGATTGCATTCTGTATCCGCTCCAGTTCACCTTCTCACCCCTTGCTTTGCTTCTTTACTGGATCTTCATTCACTCATCTCCAAAGCAAAGTACTCCCGTTTGATCATCGCACACCTTATATTGGTTTCTTTACTGTTGTACTTTTCTTACTTTCCGTTTCCATATTCCATGGCCGCCTCGATATGAGATGCTTATCTTGCCTTCCCATGATTGACGGACCTACGTGTTCCAGCTGAGCTGACTCCAGATCGCGTCACTCGCGTATTAACAGGCTGGACTTTTCGCACGAAAATCACGGTCAAAAAATAGATAATACCCCTGTGACATTTCTGATTAATCATAAAGTGATATTATATTGAAGGTAAGTCTGCGTGAGCTCATTAGCATCCTCGAGGCTAGGAACGGTCGCTCGAGCTGTGTTACACTGTGTCACCTGCTGTCCTGCCCCGAAAGCCAATGCACTCTTCTCAATTTCCACTTCATGCGCCCTCTACTCCCGGATAACACGATAAACGCGGTGTTCACGCTGACTTGGCTTGTGCAGTTGCGCTGTCGAATCCCATCGCCGTCTGTTACCAGAATCATTGTCTCTCAACAGCCCATCACTCAGCTGTCAGATGTCCAGTTCCTCCTCGGGAATTCCATGTAACTATTAAAGCCACCAAAGCACATCTGAAGGAGTCGAACGCCCTCTTTACCTATTCAAGGCGTCATGGCAGCACCATCTAATATCCCGTCACAGCCTTCGAGGCCTGCGGTAACAACTGTGCCTAGCAATGCGTCGCTCCGACTGGAGAAGAGTAACCCCGGGGTTCGTCGCTCTACGCCTGACTCAGACGCGCTCGCATCCTCTGAAGATGAGAGCGAGCACCAGTCTTCTCAGACCGTACCTTCTGCCTCCATGTCAAAGCCGGTGCGACGTACCTCATGGCTGAACGAAGTGCCCTCCGGTTTCCCAAGGAAAGGTTCGTTGACTACTGGAAGTTCCTTGTCTTCAGCAGCTTCAAACCCTGCGACTCCTGCTACCGATCAAACCTGGGCCCCGACCACAAGTCCCAGCTTGGCAGCTTCAAGTACTTGGGGTCATGCTGGCGGGAGCACTTTTGCATGGGGCACTGGAATTTGGAATACGGAGTCACGCAAGGAGCCGCCACCGCGTCTGGCAGAGATGGTCCCATCCCCGACCATGTCAATTCCTCCGAATACGAGCGGCAGCGTCGCGGATGAGCTGCTCAGTCCGATAACCCGCACCATCTCTGGTGAATCCTCCATACCGTTTACCATCCCTCTTCATCCGACGCCGAAGACATACCGCTCTCAGTCTTATTCTGTTGGCCAGTTGGACCCAGAATCCATCGGTCTAGCAGTGAGACCCACTGCGTCCTTCTCTGCCGGCCGCGGTAGAAATGCTGGACAATTCTCTGCGCTACAGCACCGGTCCTCTCGACCTAGCCTGCTTGGAGAGTTGGGACATGATCCCGCCATGTTGGGCCGTGTCCGTGAGGACGATGACGATGGAGATAGCGCAAATGAGTCAGAAAGCGGTTATAACTACGCCTCGCATCATGCCCGTACGATCGAACAACTCGCGAGAGAGAACGCACTCCTCCGACAAGCAGCAGGCCAGCTAGATGGATCACGATTTAGAGAACGCACGATGTCCAATGCATCTGCTAACAGCGGATTTTCCATGGCCAGTGGTGCCCATAACCTCCATCGTATACACGGCAGTGTCCCTGAAGAATCCGATCTTGCTGTGGAGGACCTAGATGAGCTAGGCAACATCCCGGGCTATAACAATATCCGGAGCAATACAAGGAGAAGGTTCTCCGAGCATTCTGCTAACCTGGAAAAGCAGTTCTCTACATTTACTCCCCTGGAAAATCGGACACTGGAGAATGTCAAAAAGGCCCATTGGCAGACCTCTCTCGGTTTCGGCAGCATTGCGGATCTTCCACAAAGCCGACGCCATTCATTTGCAGATATACCCACGAGACACGCATCAATCGGTTCGGCAGGCGAGTCGCACGCCAACCTTTCAGGCATTGGTTCTCGGTCTGGCCTAGGCGACCGAGACGATGGATTCGTGAATTACACTGAAGGGCCCCTTTCATCTACCCCAGGAGAGAACCGTGAGTACCAGTATTTTCGTATGACCCATCATGTTGAAGAGCGTGAATTAGAACTGGAACATTTACAAGCCCGAAAATTTGCAGCATCCTATTTTTCTGGTCGGGACCAAGCGCTTCGAGTCGAAACCCTCCCCGCCCAAATACCCCCGTCGCTCCACCAGGCGTACAATATGCCGACCGCATACGGCCGTCAGCACCCGAACCTAGCACACCCACATCAGAACCAGCTCCTTTTCATCGTCACATTCAAATGCCACCGTGCCGATGTCTTTTACATCCAAGAGGACACAGGTCTCCAAGTCAAGCCGGGAGATCTTGTGATTGTCGAAGCAGATCGTGGTACAGATCTCGGAACCATCCAGCATGCCAACGTATCCTTGCAGAAAGCTCGCGAGCTCAAGGAACAATATGCTGAAGAGCACTACAAATGGTTAATGATGTTTTCTAGACGAGCACAGGACGGGGCTTCGAATGTTGTCAACCCAAATGGGGCACTGCCAGGAGTGGGAAATAGGAGCGCCATAGGAGGGATGGGACCTCCAGGCTCTCACGGCGCGCAAGAATCTCAAGTCACCGAGATAAAGCCCAAGTTAATCAAGAGACTTGCACAGAACCATGAGATTCTTACCTTACGTGACAAGGAAGGTAATGAAGCGAAAGCTAAGCGGGTCTGTCAGCAGAAGGTCGCTGAGCACAGACTTAACATGGAGATCCTGGATGCCGAATTTCAGATGTGAGCAAATTCCGTTCATTCCTCCATGAAGGTTGCTAAAGTTAGTTTCCAGGGACTGGAAGAAACTCACCTTCTACTATTTCGCGGATTCTTATATTAACTTCAACTCCCTGGTTACCGATCTGTTCAAGATCTACAAAACAAGAATCTGGATGTCCGCTATTAACCCGGCTTCCTTTGTAACTCCCCCCACTACCGGCCTGCAACCTCCTACCGGAGTGGGAAGTCCGCTAGGTTACGGTCAAGATGGCCCCCATGATCGTCGTCATCATCATGACCACAGATCATACGCTCTTGCCCCGGCTTCATCGGGTAATATCAGAGACCCACTGGAGTCGAGCCGAGATGCTATCGCTAGCCCAATGGGTGGACCGCGTAACGCTTATATTGATGCTTATCCACCATTTGGTCAAAGTCCTCGTCAGCCTGAGATAGGCTTTGACGCAGTTGCGCAAGCTTCAAACGACCCTTTCACATCATCGTACCTACCAAACACCTTTGGTAATGCGGGTCTGGTGGACTACGCATCCGCGAACAATGTTGCCCCAAACGCTGCGCAACGAGCTCATGCTCAAAGCGAGTGGGTGAACAGATTCCAGGGCTTGTCACTCGGGTCCTAAAGATGACGATATTGGATCCGTTCTATATGCTGTACGCAGTGTGAGCGATCTACACCACTAATATGAACTTCAAGTCGGTTGGGAGAAAGACGTACGATAATCTCACCGGTCACACCCCTCTCGTTCAGTGTTTCGATCTTCTTTTTTCTTTCCCGATAAAACTAAAATAGATATCTCTCAAGAGTCACTTGTAGATCAGACGGATCTACACCCTGTCTTTTCCTTTGATACCTCCATAGACTTTTCATAACCCGCAAGTCACCGGGTCGTTTCGCTTATTGTGTTTCCTGTCATCACTGTTACCTCTCTACTCCCTTTCTGCGCTTTATGTCAGTCGATCTTTGTTATATCCTGACCATCTCCCGTCGGGAATGAGATTGTTGGACGGTCTAAAATATACGAGATCGAGGACAATTTCTTTTCTTTTCTTTTTCATGTTGGGTCACGGGGAATTTGTTCACTGGAAGTGCACTCACGATCAAAAGAATGAAAAGCGGAGAGTAGAGACCGTCTCCCGATGCTGAAATGGGAGACCTTGGGACTCTGCATTCAGCTACGATCGGGTTCGGTCTGTCTGTTCCGCTAGAGACGAGCTAGACATAGATGGCACACCCTGCTATGGGTTGGTTATGTTCTCTTGTATTTATCTGTTTGCCATTGTTTTCGAGGGACTCGAAATCGTCTCTTCTGTGATTCTGCTTAGCAACTGCTCTGGATAACTTGAGCTCCATGTCTTTCTTTGTTCAGCGTTGGCGTGGGCAAGAAAAGCAGAGCTGGCTTCGACGACGGATTTTGATAGACACGAAACGGTACTGTTTAATTCTCCAAAGATCGTTATAGCAAATTTAGACCAGTTTTCTTATAATAAATGTCAATATGCTTTCTGTCTTTCCAGTAACTGAGCGATGGTCGATACCTAACTAGTCTATACCCTCTCCTACTCGACTTTCCCAGCATGGTCACCTGATCCCTGTGGATGTTCAGAGAGATTGTCCGCCACGAAGAGGTGACACACCATCGTCTAAGTTCAATCCATGGGCAAAGCGTCTCTCTCACAGTGCGTATAATCTAATTTAGCATTATGGCTCCATCAACACGAAAGCGTACTAAACCAGGTGAGTCCGCCATTCTAAAGACTGGTAGACTCGTCCCTGACACTGGGGCTGTTTAGCAAAAGCGAAATCAAGTCAAAAGAAACAAAAGAAGGAGAAAGAACAGGACCAATCTCGTGATAATGTCTCTCATGACGCCAGCGACGCAGACAGCTGGTCTCTTTCGTCTGGTCTTTCAGACTGGGCCTCTCTAGGCCAGCCAGAAGAAGCAAGGTACAGCCTGACAATCAGATCTAAGGCCCATCTAATCCTCCTCGTCATATCACAATATATGCAGGTATCATGATATCTAATGATGTCAATATAGAGAGATGATCGCTTCGTTACAGAATATACTGGAATCCGCTGAGAACAAAGATGATTTCTGGGAGAGCTTCGAATCTAGTGTGAAGAAAGATGAGAAAAGGCTCCTTGGAATCATAGATGGTTATAAGAAGCTGTTGCATGTCTCTCCTTACTTCCGTCTTGATATCTTGCGTGTACTGACGCTATGGACATCCGATAGCGAAACTGAGGATGAAGAGTTCAACTCGCAGTTTGCTCAACTCATGGCTGCGGCCCTCGCACCAACCGGCGTGGAACCTTCTCTGTCTACGGATATCCTACCTGGGGATTGTACTCCCGAGAACCATCCGCTATATGCTCTATCACGGAGCCTTGTTGATCGTTCTAAGACCTTGGCGCATGAATACGATAAACTTTCCCAGTACGCAAGCAACTTGAAACTCCCCGAGGATCCAAGACCCGTTATAGAAAAGGATTATGAGGAAGTACGCCGCATCATAGCCGCTGGTAGACGAGCCTCAGAAGCGCAGATAGAAAAGAGCTTGGCTTCTAATGAGAAAGGGAAGAAAGGACGCCGGGGACAGACTTCTGCACTTGTTGGGGGTGACATGGGAATCAAAGATAAGGTGTTCGAGGAGGATGTGCACCTTCAGGCTATGTTGAAGATGGGGCGTGAAGAACTAGAGAAGGGTGATGATAGTAGGGGAAAGAAAAAGATCTACGGATGGGGAAAGGCTGTTACTCGTGCTCAAAAGGCGATGAAGGCTCTTGTCAAAGTTCTGCCAAATGAGGATAGGGAACGATACTAGAGGAAGGAAATCCTAGGGAGCAGGAGTGGATGTAATAATTGATATGGATTATATGAGAATAATCAATTAGAATAATTAATTATCACTTCGAGAATATCATGGCTCATATCAATCTTTTCCCGTAGATATACTTTCTAGCCAATCCTCGGCGGCACTCCCGCGAAGACTGGTGACTAGAGCGGTGATTGGCGGGTTGTGTGCAGCTCGCCTAATTTTTAGCGTCCCACACACAACGACACTTCGACAAAGTTGTCTCGCAACTTTCAGTTTTCAGCAGCGACAACGACGACAGCCGACAACAAGCCCACGCCGACAAGGTACGTTGTTTCGATTATATCCCACGATTCTGATCGACTTCTTCCAAGGTCATCGAAAAACAATTGGAAACGGACGCAGTGAGCTGATAATCGATTCCAGATGGGTGCCCTCAAGTACGTGGAAGAGCTCCAGAAGAAGAAGCAGTCCGACGTGATCCGCTTCCTGCTGCGCGTCCGATGCTGGGAGGTGAGACCCCTCGCAAATTCCGATTGATATGCATTACTCGCCGGAAAACTCGTTTGCTTTGCCATAGGATACCTAATTGTGGTGTTGTCTGGGCGGGCTCGACTTTACCTGCCGGCGGGTGGATGTGGCACACAATCCGAAGCAGATTTTTTGGATGCTGTGTCTTGCTATACACTCGTTGAACTTTGCTGAGAGTGCATTAATATAGCTCCGTCAACTCAATGTTATCCACCGCGCTTCCCGTCCTTCGCGCCCCGACAAGGCTCGTCGTCTTGGTTACAAGGCCAAGCAGGGCTACGTGATCTACCGTGTCCGTGTCCGTCGTGGTGGCCGCAAGCGCCCTGTTCCCAAGGGTGCCACCTACGGTATGCGATTCCCAGGCTCGAAAAATTGGATGATCGGTTTTCTTCTCTGAACGACTGCTCACACTACGGGAAAATTTTAGGCAAGCCCACCAACCAGGGTGTTAACCAGCTGAAGTACCAGCGCTCCCTGAAGTCCACTGCTGAGGAGCGTGTCGGCCGTCACGCTGCTAACCTCCGCGTCCTGAACTCCTACTGGATCAACCAGGACTCGACCTACAAGTACTACGAGGTCATCCTCGTTGACCCCCAGCACAAGGCTATCCGCCGCGACCCCCGCATCAACTGGATCGTCAAGCCCGTCCACAAGGTTAGTTTTGATCAGACAATTGGATCAGTATTAGTGATTGCAGGACTGACGTATAATTTCTTAACAGCACCGCGAGTCTCGTGGTCTCACTGCCACCGGCAAGAAGTCCCGTGGTATCAACAAGGGCCACGGCTACACCAAGACCACCGCCGGTCGCCGGAAGACCTGGAAGCGCCACAACACCCAGAGCTACTGGAGATACCGTTAGGTGTGAGGAGTCACCCAGCCCCGGATGGTGGTGGCTATGGCATCTGTTTCTCATGGTGGTGCTTGGACCGGATAATAAAAAATGCTACGACTATGTCATTGAGCTTTTCCAGCGTGTGCTTTATGCCAGGATCTTTTCAGATCGGATATTTCAGCAAGGAATGTTATCAATTTCTTTGCTCATGGAGTGCCACCAGGATGCTTTCAATGAGCTAGAGTTTCAAAAAAAGTATTGGGTGTCTGCCCAACCAAGGTCGATCCTTCCCACCCTAACACACTATCTATCACCGTTGTAGCGATGCGTACAGTTGTAGAACAGAGAAGAACCCCGCCTTTGGATCGAACTCAACCGGATAGGTGAACTTGTGAAGTGATAGGCCTGTGGGTTCGCAGTAGTAGCGGAGCGTACACGTACTCACGCGCAACTCAGCAGAGTAACTAACGTCTCTGGTTGACGAATGGCTGCTAAAAATAGTTCACTAGGCGCTCGAAGGGGGTTCATGAAACAAGAGAATGAACAGCCTCAGGCTGTTCAGAGGCATCCATTCCTGAATTGGTCGAGCAGGAAACGCTGGTCCAAGCTTTATTTCCCTGAGGTTGATCCCCCTCTCGGCCCGTAAATAATACATGATCGCCAGGCTGTATCTCAGTAGGGGTAGATAGAGAGTTATGGTTACCTTCCGTTAACTTACCGCCCTTAGAACCGGTTCCGCGAGCTTCCTGGCCCGGATCTTCCTAGTCCCTGAGAACGCCGGCTAACTTGACCATACTGTTACACTTTCTGGTCCCTAGGGAATAGCTGGGAACGCACGGGCAGGTACCTGTGTCCGAAGGAGCATCTTCTTCCTCGCATTCTCCAAATACGAGCAGCTAGCTCTTGCTATTCGGTGACATTGTGTCTTGTTTCTTTAGTCCCTTGGCAGGTGCAGACGGGACGACTGAGACATCCCTCCATCTGCGTATGCGGAGCAACAAAGACGATCCTGGAGCTCCCCCATCTCCCTTTCTTCTCTACACGGCCTTATTAACTATCTTAATTCGGGGGATTTTCTACTGAGACTGAGGTGAAGGAGAACAGATCAACGATATTTCTTGCAACTTTCAGCAATTGAACTGTGCATGACTGGAGGGTGTTCAAGTCTGCTCCAAGTAAATGCGTCCATATGCCGTCCTGGTCGTCACGATTACATCCGGGCCCGTCGACGTCGAGCTCGAATGCTGCTCATGCGAACGTCTCATCAGCGATTCCAGTTGCAGAAAGGACGGTACCGATACCCGTCAATAACGATGTCCCCGTCCTGATCCCCTTCGAAACTCCACACCCATCGGCTCGCCGTTCACACTCCCGCTCGATCAGTCACCCGTTTCCTTCGTTGTTTGGAGGAGGCAACAGGAAGAACAGCAAGGGCGTTTCGAAGCAGGATTTCTTGGATTCGGATGATGACGATGATATCGTCACCTATGCCCCGGATCCCAGGTCGAATAGTCCGCGCAAAGCGTCACAGCGGCCGGGGCCTGCAGAGGATGTCCACACGGGTAAATGCATGACATGCGACTCTACCGTGAAGTGGCCCCGCGATGTCAAGGTGTTCAGGTGCACTGTCTGTCTGACGGTCAATGATCTAGAGCCCCATCGTGGCTCGGGGGACGCTCCGCATCATGGTCCTTCCGGCCGGACTGAGGCACCGGCGGCTAAGGGCATCCACAGAAAAGGTACGATGGTGCAAGAAGGCAAGCTTGAAGATGGAGCTAATGTATTGAAGCTATCCCCATATCTGTTGAACGGACGAAGAGGATTGTCGATCAATGCGTCTCGTCCTACCTTCAGAGACGCTTGGATATCCTCGAATCGCGCTTGTCGTCTACGGGTGTCAACGGTCAGCGTTTCGATATCTCTCCTCTGTCTCAGGCAAACGGCGAACGCGGGGCAGAGACACCGGGTAATCAGCGCTTTCTTACCCCGGATGCCCAGCTATCCACGTCGCCAAAGGAAACTTGGGGCTCTTCGGGTGGTTATCTGTCTCCACCGAAGGAGCGCGTAGATATCCGCAATGGGGAAGGAAGCCGTTCACATCTCTCGCCATATGCCGCCGATGCTGAGAGGCGACACCTGCGCAGGAAGAATCGTTCGAGTTCTGACATCCCTGCTGTGCCCGGGAGGGATCGTTCACCAAGGGGAGCAGGTCACTCAGCAAACGAGACCTCACCGAGGGGGCCGTCAGACAATCGCCCATTGATCTTCCGGCCGCTTGAGGACTATATTATATCATGCTTTAGAGGCTGTGAATGCCTCAGCAACTCATTCTATACTGCACGCTCCTATTCTCAGACTACTCATGAAGCCCCCGCACAACGAGTAAAAACGGAGCAGAACCCGACGCTAAACCCTCTACCTGATCCCGCAATGTTCGAGCCAGATGCCAAGACTCTGCTTCTCGGAGATGTTGCAGAGAACTCTACGTGGTGGTTAGGTCAGCGCGTCCGACGAGGCGAAGTGAACGACGCGAAACGAGACAGATCTCCGGACCCGCCCAGACACAGCGTTTCTCCGAGAACGCCTCGAATCGACTGGGCAGAGCTTGCAGAGTGGTACCGAACCGTACTGAGTGCGGGGGAATCCTGGCATGAGAAGTGGTCGATGATGACGCTAGGAGACACGAACACTGATCGAAGGTCATCCGGAAGTAAGAGATGGGACACAATAGAGCTAGACGTGATAGAAAGAGAGATCACTGAGGCCCGTTTGCATGCTCAGAGGACGCTTCTGAAAGCAACAGAGAGTGTCCTCAAGCGGCCAAGACAGCCCCTGAAGACTCCGGAGGATACCAGGTTCTTGCTGATACTTCTGGCGAATCCACTGTTATACTCGTCTTCTTCTTCGTTCAGACGACCTTCGGCCACGCCAGCACCGCCCTCGAGGACTGAAGGGCAGCCATCAAGGCCAAGGGGCAATAACGCATATCCTTCAGATAACCGTTCACCTCGCGGAGTGGCTGCCCCTAGAAGACCGAGAACGAGTGGGCCAGGCAATCACTCAGGCATCATAAAGAGGATCTTGGGATTGATATCAAATCTACCGAATGAGTGCCATCACTACCTGGTATTGTGGTTTTCCCGTTTCTCTGAAGGTCAATTCCAGAGGACAGTGGACCTTGTCGGTGGTTTTGTGACGTACCGTCTCATGCGCCAACATGGAAAACAACGAAGCGAGTCTTCTAAAGACGACAATGGGTTAATCCCCACTTTGCCTGGTCCCATTGGGAATACGGCTGCTCAACTGCATGCTGCGCTTAGCGGAAGGAATCAATCGAAACAAAAGAATGATAGTGGTCCTAAGCCGGTAGTCTACGGAGAGGATTGGCAGATCAAGGCCGCCGCTAGGGTGATGTCGCTCCTGTTTGCAGCGAATAATTCCAGTTTTTCTCGAAAGCAAGACGCCGTTTTTGCTGATGGCCGATCAAATGCTGGTCTCATTGCCCGAGGCAACGCGCAGAGTCGTGGCCAGAAGATTCCTATTAGTTCTTTTTATAATACTCTCCTCGATTATTCAGATCTCGTGGCTGATTTCGAAGCATGGGAATCACGCAGTGGGAAGTTTTCCTTCTGTCAATACCCTTTCTTCCTCAGTATTTGGGCCAAGATACATATCCTGGAACACGATGCCCGTCGACAGATGGAAGTAAAAGCGCGGGAAGCTTTCTTCGATAGTATACTCAGCCGCAAAGCCGTGAGCCAGTACCTGGTTTTCAAAGTCCGTAGAGACTGTCTCATCGAGGACAGTTTGCGTCGTGTCAGCGAAGTGATAGGTGGCGGCCTGGAAGAGGTCAAGAAGGGCCTACGTATCGAGTTCCTCGGCGAAGAGGGAGTGGATGCTGGAGGTCTTCGCAAAGAGTGGTTTTTACTCCTCGTAAGAGAGGTCTTTGACCCCAATCATGGTGTGTTCTCTGTCCCTGGTTATTCTCGCAGACGGTCAACTGACAGCTTCTTTCAGGACTTTTCCTTTACGATGAGGAGTCACAATTCTGCTATTTCAACCCCTACTGCTTCGAATCTTCGGAGCAGTTCTTCCTGGTCGGCGTACTTCTAGGATTGGCTATATACAATTCGACTATCCTCGATATCGCCTTGCCGCCTTTTGCGTTCAAGAAGCTTCTTGCATCAGCACCACCATCGAACGGGCCTGCTACCTCGACTTCGCGTTCGACGTATAGATGTACACTAGATGACTTGGAGCAATACCGGCCGTCCTTAGCTAAAGGCCTACGAGGTCTCCTGGAGTATGATGGCGATGTGCAGGAGACATTCTGCCATGACTTTGTGGCCCAGGTGGATCGCTACGGCGAGATTCTCGAGATCCCGCTGTGCCCTGGAGGCGAGCGGAAGCCGGTTACGAATTCCAACCGGCGGGAATTCGTGGACCTGTACGTCCACTATATGCTTGATATCGCGACCGCAAGGCAATTTGAGCCGTTCAAGCGAGGTTTCTTTACCGTGTGCGCCGGCAATGCCTTGTCTCTTTTCCGACCGGAGGAGATTGAGCTGTTGGTGCGAGGATCGGACGAGCCTCTGGACGTTGCGTCTCTCCGTGCGGTTGCTCACTACGACAATTGGGCGAATCCCCGCCCTGAGAATGAGCCAGTAGTACAGTGGTTCTGGGAGCTCTTCATGGGTGCGGATGCCAAGGCGCAGAGAAGGCTGCTCTCGTTCATCACGGGCAGCGATCGCATCCCGGCGATGGGAGCTACCAACTTGACGATCCGTCTCTCGTGCCTGGGAGACGACGTGCAGAGATATCCGACGGCGCGGACGTGTTTCAACATGCTGGGACTGTATCAGTATCCGACGAAGCAGAAACTAGCGGCTAAACTGTGGAGCGCAGTGGACAACAGTGAAGGATTCGGTTTGAAATGATGATCTAGTTACGTGTTCAGGGTTGTTTTGCTTTATGGGCGCCAGGATATTGCAGGGCCAGGAATGGGTACGTGGATAGAATACCCCATGTGTATTTGGGACAGTAGCGAGATATCGTTAGCGAGCTCTAGCAATGAACAGCCATACACGAGCTCTGTTCTTTTTTTTTCGTTTCAAAACAGATTTTCTCACCTGATATCTTCTTCGTAAAGCTTTTATGGGATTGACGCTGGTCTTAAGTAGTACGGTGATGGGTATTGTGTCGAACTAAGAGATCATGGAAGCAGATAACTAGCTGTGCAGAATATATAAGATATTGGGTCGAGGTAGTAGAATCTTTTTTCTTGCTTAATATCCGGGATGACTGGAATCTAGCTAACTTCTAGTAACTACTTATTCATCATCCAGGCCCTGCTGAATACCCCAGAAGCGTCTATTGCTGCGTCAGCGGTTTGTCTTATCTACTTCCCACTTCCTATGTACTAGTATAAACCATCAATTAATATCCGTATAGTTGCTGAACGCTTTTTTATTTCCATATTTCCATATAGCGAGGATACCGGTGTCGGGAAAAAAGAAAAAGAAAAATTATCTGTTTAACTCTCATCCATTGAACAAATGTTACTGGGGTACTACTATAGATCACATGGGCGTCTGCATGCAGCTTATCTGCAGCGAAGGCTTTTTCTATGGTCCTAGATGTTAGAATGGCCTGAGGGATGCGTGGTCTACGATTACTTATTGAAGGATGATGGCGGATGGCTGATAGAGCGGTGAGTGAGTGAATTCCTTCCAGTGTCGAAGTTTGTTGTCTAGTTTAGTCCATCCATTTTGAAATTGGGACTTCGACTCGAGGTTGTACATACTTACTGCACAAGTGGGAGTGGAGGGGAATACCGACCTTGTTTTTTTTCGTTCAATGGATGACGAGGAGCTAGACAAGGAACGGGATCAACGTGGCTCGCTTCGTTGATTGATTCCAGGGACCCCGATTATGCGTTCAGTGGGAGTACGTACGTATACTCTATACAGTTATCCGTCGCATCAAGAACGGGAAACAACGGCGCCTGGGCGATTTGCGCGATGCTCCCTTATGTCATTTCTACCGTTCCAAAGGGGATTCCCAATGGAAATACCAGTATAGAATACGATATTGATTCACTGGCGTACGGCACGAAGATAGCCAAAGAGTGGAAGCGACTGCAATAGTCCTCCGGTCTTTCCATCAGGAACCCGATCAGAGGTGGGCTGTGAGGAGGGGCACGGAACTCGCCGAACGAACTAACTGAGAGCCTGGGAGATCAGCTTTGGTCGAGGCATTTGTCGCTGGTCGACTAACCCGATTGACTCCGGTAGCGCATCGTGGAGAGTACGCTAGGGTAGAGCGTGGAAACCGCTAGAGAGAGCAAAGTGTCAGATCTGGGGAAACCGTTCGAGACCGGTACGGTGAGATAAGATGACATCGTGATCCGATAGAAGACGGGGGGATTGACGGAGGAGGAAGAGGATGCCAATTCAATGGAAGAGACTAAGTGTCATCTGCAAGATGTCCTCGATTCGTCTTTTTGTCGTCCTTTTGTCAAGCAGTCTGACAGCCAGGGGGGGCAGCATTTGGACCAGACAGTTATTATTAGTTGTTTTGGTGGCGGCACATGACGCACGGCTTCATCCCGCCTCATTGCTTCCTGCTGGCTCCCCCACTTTCTCTCCCCCAGCGACTTGGATGCTCGCTGGCCTTCTGTCTCCTTCCACGCCGAGGAGGCTCTGGAGAAGTTATATTATTCTCTTGTCTTGTCGCTTCTAGTATCCCTTGACAGTGAGCCCTGTCTCTGACAATTCGTCCTCAGTCCACAGCTTTGACCTTTCTGGCTTTCATACTTCCGCAGCAACACAACCGACGCCCTGTCAACAAGCAACCACAACAGTCTGATATCCCATTGTACTCTAATAATATTTAATCCGACACCATGGCTGGCAACGCTGGTAACCTGCCCAAGACCATGAAGGCTCTCAGGTGAGTGCAATCTTCTCTGCTGGCATCCCTCTCATACGATCCATTCGCGCTGGAACCCGGATACCGGTTGGTGATGGCATTGGGGAGGAACAGCTGGCACAGTCCACAGTGGTTTGGGAAACTGTCCCTGCATCTCAGAGAGGCTGTACTCCCTGGCGACTCAGTCACCAGAGATGCGACATCCTTGCCCGCCACGTCTCATCCCAGCAGGGGCCAGGTGGAAGCAGTCGTATGATCATGTGTAGCCATAGCTGACACCAGAGTTTCCTTGCCATAGATACGAGAAGCCTGAGGTCTTTGACGTTGTCGAGGTTCCGCTCCCCACTCTGCGTGACAACGATGTCCTGGTATGGCTCCCCTGGCTCTCTCAATTCCTGGACGACACGATCACTGATACGCGTTGACCGTTTGAACAGATCAAGGTCAAGGCCTGCGGCGTCTGCGGCACTGATCTGCACATCCATGAGGGAGAGTTCCTTGCCAAGGTACGTAGTACACTCAGGTACCTGTTTTGGTCGTGTCACAGTACTGATGATTCGCAGTTCCCTCTCATTCCTGGTATGCATTAGATCCATATGAGAGCGTCGACAGACAAGTCCTAACCTGCCCTCTAGGCCACGAGACTGTCGGTGTCGTTGCTGCCACTGGCCCCAAGGTGAAGGGCTTCCAGCTCGGAGACCGCGTTGTTGCAGACAACTCGGAGCTTTGCGGCGAGTGCTTCTACTGCCGCCGTGGTGAGGAACTGATGTGCGAGCATTTCGAAGCCCACGGTGTCACCATGAACGGCGGTTTTGCCGAGTACTGCGCCTATCCTGGTAAGCTGGCGTGCTTCTCGACATGGTCGGCCGGATCTGACAAGTGAGTAGCTGGCCGTGTCTTCAAGATCAAGAACCTCTCCGACGTCGATGCCACCCTGCTGGAGCCGGCCTCCTGCGCCGCTCACGGTCTCGACAAGATCGCTCCCAAGATGGGCTCCAGCGTCCTTCTCTTCGGTGCCGGTCCCACCGGTCTGGTAGGTCACATAACTCTGTTCTCAAAAGCGCATATGTTAATAGGGACATAGATCCTTGCTCAGATGCTCCGTCAGAACGGCGGTTGCCATGTGGTTGTCGCGGCCCCTGAGGGTCTCAAAATGGACCTGGCCAAGTCCCTGGGTGCTGGTGACGAATACGTCGCGCTGTCCCGTCAGGACCCCAGTGCTCAGTTCGAGAAGCTGAAGGCCGAGAACCCGTATGGCTTCGACATTGTCGTTGAGGCCACCGGTAGCGTCAAGATCCTGGAAGACGCCATCAACTACTGCCGTCGCGGCGGTAAGCTGGTCGTCTATGGTGTCTATGCCAACAAGGACCGTGTCTCCTGGCCCCCGAGCAAGATCTGTAAGTTTTAGATGAGCTCCCGGTTATTAGTGTGCCATACTGACGGTTGGTTTTCCGTAGTCGGTGACGAGATCACCATCCTTGGTAGTTTCTCCGAGGTGTACAAGTTCCCTGCTGCCATTGACTACCTCGATTCCGGCAAGGTCAAGGTCAACGGCATTGTGAACAAGGTGTTCAAGATCGAGCAGTGGAAGGAGTGCCTGCAGGCGATGAAGAACAAGAGCGCCATCAAGGCTGCTATCACCTTTGACTAGACGGGAGAGATCTTTTAGACGGGGGGAAATAGACCCTTTCAGGTTATGAAAGTCACGTAGACGATTAATGAGCTATGTCTAATAAAAGCGACACGATTGATAGTTCCAATACAGAGACAAAAATTGACAGTTCATCAGTTCATCAGATGGTTCTTTTTCCCTCGTAGAGCTAGCAAGGGTAGATAGGGAGATAGATAACTTATATATTGGTATAGCGTGGGGAAACGAGGACCTTGACGAAAGCTTACCGCCCGGTGACGCCTTCTGCTGCGACTTGATTGCCGATCGCTTTCCCCCAAGGTAAAGTGCGAACAGCTGGGTAACTAATAATAATAACTCGATCGAATGCGTAATATATCCGTCCTGACTGGGAATTTTTCATTCCGCCCATGATTAACTGATAACAATCAACTTCGGGAACATCCGAATTATCAACCTTGGAACGGAACTGGGGTAGACCATAGCGTCGGATGAATCAACCAGTGTGATTATTTTTATTTCCATTAGCAGACAGCACAGATGTGCGGAAAAATATCGGATATATCTATATGCGTGTCGCATCAGGAATTCTAGAGTTATCCATTGACTGATAGCTGACATCTACATGTACATACACTACATCCATCATCCATACTCATAACGGACGGAATGTGGAGCCCGTTCACGGCTACAGCGGTGATGAAGTGATCTTATATATATATATATTCGACAATTCGATTCCCAGAATAGAAAGTGGGATATATTAGTTTGAGAGACAATTCTCAGTATTATATAGTTACCGTATTCGTCACGTAATATAGAAACCCAGAGATCGAGTTCATAAATTACCGTAATTTACACCGCCCGAACGACCCTCCTACATCATCGCATCCACCTAAACTACCCTAGCTAACTAGCTAACTTCCAACCCAGCTGGAACTGCTAGTTAATAGCTTCAACGATCCTCACCATCAATTGCAATTAATCAATCTCTCTCTCTCTCTCTCACTGCACTGAAAAAAAAAGATGGTAAAACCACTCACATTCAAAGGCGACAAGCCCAAAAAGCGCAAACACCGCACCGACGACACCGATCCCACTCAACGACGGATCAAATCCGACCCATCATCATCATCAGCCCTCACAACCACCACAGGCAGCGCAGGCCCCGCCGAGGACGAAAACGCCGAAGACACAAGTTGGGTTTCTGCAGACGTCCCGACGGATATTTCCGGACCCGTGATCATTGTCTTACCATCGAGTAAACCGTCGTGTGTCGCGTGCGATGCGAATGGGAAGGTGTTTGTTTCTGAGTTGGAGAATTTGATCGAGGGTGATCCTGCGACGGCGGAGCCGCATGATGTTAGGCAGGTTTGGGTCGCGACTAAAGTGGCGGGGAGTGAGGGGGTGAGTTTTAAGGGACATCATGGGAGGTGAGTTTTGTTTTTTTTTTTTTTTTTTTTCTGTTTTACCACTGGAGTGTTTTGTATTTGGAAGAGAAGATGGGGATAGATGAGAGGCAGGAATTTACGCGACGAGAAAAGGGGGAAAAAGGAAGAGAGAAATTAACTGTTTGCTTCTTGTGTGTCTTTTAGATATCTCAGTTGTGATAAATACGGCATCCTCAGCGCCACATCAGCAGCCATCTCACCGTTCGAATCATTCCGTATCCTTCCTGCGCCCGACACACCGGGTCTATTTTCCTTCCAGACCGTCGGTGGAGACTCTGAAACGTTCCTATCCGTCAAGGAGGATGAAGAAGGCACAAGCAGAAAAGGCTCCTCGTCAAAGGTCGAAGTCCGCGGAGACGCAAAGACGCTCGGTTTCGAGACGAGTTTTCGCGTCCGGATGCAAGCGCGCTTTAAGCCGAGAGTGAAAGCGTCCAAGGAGAGCAAGGCGAGGGAGAAGATTAGTCGACGAGAGCTGGAAGAGGCGGTCGGTAGAAGGTTAGAGGATCATGAGGTGAAGAGGTTGAAGAGGGCGAGGAGAGAGGGGAATTTTCATGAAGAGGTGCTGGATGTTAGGGTAAGGGGGAAGCATGATAAGTTTGCTTCGTGAGAGGCTTTACGAGTTTCTCTCTTCTTATGTTTGAAAGAGATTGGATCTTGGGCCAGTGCTACTTAGTCCCTGGGCGGATGAGTTGCGAAGAGCCGCGGCTCTTTCGAAGACTGCGACATGAGGCCATTTCCTATCTCTCAGGGAGCATACACACACATCGTTCGTGCTCTGTATGCGGCAGTCGACTTTTCCAGGCGGGAAACAACACCATCGTATGCTGCTGTCTAATGTGGAGCTGAAACCCACTACAAGCTATGTGGCAGTGGTCGATGGAAGACAAATGCAAGAGCCATGTATAATCCCTGCAGGCACTATAGTTTCGAGACCTGGTAGACTACAACGTCTGTACTACCATGGGATAGAACACGTCGCGGATGCCTACTATACATCGAGTTGAGCCGGAAAATGTCAGCGAGCAGGCAATGATAGAAGGCCATGCTCGCCCTTTACTGGGAGCATAATTCAAGAGACATTCCCCGAATGACGGCCAAGTCACGTAGATGAAAATTGACCTTTTATGCATTAAAACATCGCTAATATCATATCTCAAAGTATATCAAAATATGTCCAACATAGGGTATCACAACTCCATGACAAGAAAGATAGTCGAGCTTGCGCCGGTCCCAATGCTGCTCAATCATACCTACCGTTGGCCTTCTCGCTTGCAAACATTCGACTGGGTATCAAGGTTGATTAGAAACCCAGTGTTCTGTTCATTACTTTGCGCCCTGGGAGATTCCACAGTTAGCCAACTAGGCTTTAAACACGTCCAAGCACACTTACACCGAGGCAGGTTTTCCTGCTGCTCTCTTTCCTCCTCTTCGGACCCGACAGGATTACCGAGCAGGGCTACAGCCCTCATTCGCATAGCTTCCTGCCGGTCTCGAGATGATGCGACGCTGGTCCGCCTTGAAGAAAGCTGACTTGCTTCGGCCGTGGTATTCTGCCTAGAAAGCGGAGAGCGTGCCGGTCTCCTGTTCCTTGTGGTATAATGGCTGAGTTCGTCAAGTGAGGGTTGGCTGCCGGCGAAGAATATGAAAGACCCAGTGGATCGAGGATGCAGGAAAATTCCGGATACAGAGTTGCTCCTCCGCGTACGGGCATTTCTTGTCCTGTCGCTTTCATGAAGTCGATGTGCTCTTCTCAGTAACCGTTCGCGACGAACCATGAGGTTGGTTACTTGTGTCGGGCAGAAATCTGGCGGAAGGACACTCTTCTTGCACATTGGACAAAGACTGCTGTTTTGCATCAGGAAAGCGTCGATGCACTCTGGGTGGAAGATGTGCGCGCAAGGGAGCTCACGGACGACAGACGACCCGGGAACAAAGTCATCCAGACAAATTGCACAGGTGGGTTGGCTGAAAGTCAGGCGAGCTTCTGTCTTGATGTCCGTAATCGAATCCCGCATCGTTGCCAATTCGATCGTTGAGACGTCGAAGTCCTTTAATGTTGAACAGCTCATGTCGGGATCGGAGAATCTTGGCATGGCTGGTGCTATCGCGGACGCATCATCGTCCTTTTCACGCAGTGTGCTCGCCAATGTCTGCTCGTCGCCAAGAAAAGCCTTTGGTGGAGCAGTAAGAACAGGATATGTATATACGGGAATCTTGTCCAAGATGTCCCTGGGTACTTTCATCCGCTTGATACCAAGAGACTCGATGTCTACTTCGCCCGCCTCAATACGACGACGCAGGTTTTCGCGACGTCTCCTCTGGACCATCCGAATCACCACAATCGACGAGACGACGACAAATATCAAGACTCCCAGGATGGCGAGGATGAATACCCACAGGCTCGGTACGGAGCTGCTGGGTTGTTCTGCAACCGTATCAGTGGCATACTCCAAGCCAATAGCTGCCAGTGGGGGAGGTTACCTAGACTGATAAGAGCGTAAAGCCGTGCAAAATTAGTAGATGACTGAACATTGGATAGGTCGCTACTGTTCTCCGGACTCGTGGTATTTCCCGAGTACTGCGCGAGCTCATTCATCAAGGTGTTTCCTGCAGGTCCCGGGATTGCATATACGGGGTAATGGTTATTCTGTCTCCAAGCTCCTCCATCATTCAGTGTCCAGACTGCATCGCTAATTGGCGGAGGCTTTTGAGTGTCATGGCTACCGGCTCGATAGAAGATGAGAGCTGAGGCTGGCGCGTTCCTAGCTGACGCAAGATACGACTCCGTGCAATCGATCGAGACCCATGGGGCCAATCCAATTAGATTGTATCCGAGATCAGGCAAATCTGCTTCGCGTGTGACATTCTGGGGGACAAAGGGCGCGGTGACGTTGTTACACGGGTCTTCAGGGTCGAGAGTTGGAACAAATAGTAAGCCACTGATCGAGTCCTGGTTGGGGGAGTTGTTCGTTGACAGCGTCTGAATGGTGCCATCGAGAACAAATCGAAATGATATGCTTTCCTGGATGTGGCATGCTCAATCAGTTGCTGGCTGACAATAACAGATACGGTTGTCTCACATTTACTACTGGCGCTTTCTGAAGAGGCGTGCTTGAACTTTCGAAGACAGTGACCGCCGCCGTCAACGATTGTGCAGCTAAAAATAATAATTATTAGTTAATATTGATTCTCTCTGCATAGGTTGTGTTCGCAGGGGACATGTAATTTTTGAGAGTACAGTATATGCAAACGGTTATCGGCGGGGAAAAACATACACATGCTGCCGATGAATGGTCTCTCCCGGAGAGACAGAGAAGTAGGAGGACCTCAGACTTGACGGACCATGCTGAACAGGACTCGAGAGACTCGGGGCAGCCGATGTTATTATAGACAGCTATGTTGCCATTCCGGCGAACATAACTTGAGGTCAAGAATGCGACGGCAACAACAGATCGACCAAACAGGCAAGTAGCGGGGAATTGATCTGATTGGATTATCCGGCAGCCCATCCGCCATCGATGTGCTGGAGATTGTCTGGGATGGAACAAGGACAATTGCCAAAGCGCAGAGATGCTGGATCACTGGCAATGGACGCCATCATAAATGCGGTGCCATCTTATCGTGGTCCTCGCTGGGAACGCAGCTCGCAGTGATCGACCTGCGCATGCGGGGCGCCCAGGCGTTTTGACAGGTTGGTTGTGCTGCAACCAGACAAGCCGTTCATCGTCCTTATCTTTTCTTGTCGTCCAGTGGAACGCATCTTGCAGAGCGCGCTGGAAACAGGTTTGTTGAACAAGCGGTCTGGGAGACCTAGAACACTGGCCATGGTGCCAACTGGTGGGAATCGGGAGATTTAGTGTAGAGTCGAGTAGATTAATTGTAATTAATTATAATTAATTACATGACGGAATGCGACCCTCTGCTGTCTGGAACTCGTGGAAGATGAATTATGCGACAATCAGTTAACTACTTACGGGGCGCGGACCGTTCAGTGGAGAACAGCCCTATGGCAAGTGCGCGTGCTTGACTCTCTCCTTGCGCAGGACTGACTGAGACACAGAGAGAAAGAGAGAGAGAGAGAGACATTCTCGAAAACATCTGAGATACTTGAGACATCTTGCTGCTCGAAGAGGCCAGCAATTATTAATTCGAGTTATTGAAAAACACCGCAGATTGCTCGTACAGTACAATAATCCCATAGAACTTCCTCCAGTAACCAAATAGTGCGGAGAGAGTGGCATCACGTGATATCATGGGAGCACGGGCCAGATCGATATCCGACGACATGTCGAGTGGCCGTCCTGAAGCTCGATTCACTCCTGCTGCCATCTCAAAGCAGATCTGGTCTTCTGTGTTCGTCCAGAAGATCCTACGTGCACGCTACTTCCTCTGAGGGGGGAAATGACAGCGCTTCCGTGTCTGTGACGTTCGTGACTCGTCGAGGTGCCCTACCCCGGACACGCCAACACAGCTGCTCCTCGCGCGCGACAACATGGTTTGTCGGACCACGACGGCATAATCCAACACCGTTCTCATATATAACACTCAGTCGCGATCCCGGAAATCCCCAGCAACATCTGTCTCGGTCCCGCTGAGCCAGTGCTTGACTTGACGCCCGGTCGGGTTCTTCCTACCACCGCAACCCCGCCTACCCACGATGCCAATTGCCAACAAGGGCAAAGGAAAAGGCCGCGAGACGAAGCCATCGCGCAGTCGCAACACGACCCCGAGTTCGGGTCTTAGCGCAACAACGGCTCTCTCGTCGGTATCTGGCTACCTGGACAGTGATGTGTCGAAAGTGTTCGTCCCCGCGAACCCCCAGTATTCAGAGATCTTGGAGAAGTTAGGGAACGGAGGCACAATTCCAGACTCCAAATCGTTGGAATCCCTAATCGAGCACCTCAAGACGCTGAGTGAACTGGCAGAGGCCCGTGGTGAGGCATGCAACGCCGGCATGCGCGAACTTTCTCAGCGCCGGAAGGAGGTGTTGGAGGATCAGAGAGAACAGGAACAACTTGAGGCGGAGGAACGACTGAAGATGAAATGGGAAGCGGAGGACGAAGAGGATGGAAGCCGTGCCTCAAAGGGTGGCAAGCTGAAGAAGCGTAAAGAGCGAGTTTCCAAGGATGAGCGCCCGCCGGCTCATGGAGCCCACGAGCTCACCAAGCAGGATGGCAGCGAGTTGAAAGTCGAAGGTGAGTCTCAGTATTATCAATCTGTACCTGCTTGCGCCGTGGTTTCCTGCATTTCCATGATCCCAGTGCTTTTCTTTCATCGACTAACATGTTCTGACAGGTGACCGCAAGCGGAGTCGCGAGGCTGGTTCACCATCATCAAAACGGTCGAGGAATCTCGCGTCTGGCAGTACATCTTCTTTCTCACCTCCGTCGTTGGCGTCACCGCCGCCGACCACCGCTGTCAATGAGCCGGTTGCACCAGAATCTCCTGGGTCGGATGCGAGCTCGGACTCGCACCAACCGGAGCCAGCACCTGCGGTTCCTCAGTTCCAAGTCTTCGGGCCGGACCCGTTGAAATTCGATGACCCGACCATATATCATATTCGTGATGTGACGCCTGGGATGAGCGATGAAGAAAAGAAAGAAATCTACTGCGTGGCTCGGTTTCCCCAAAGTGACCTTAGCCACCTGATGGCGGGCACTCCACCAGACAAGGACTTCAGTAACGCGAAACCTTCGAATCAGGTCAGCGCGAACACGTTCGCTACATATATCGAACCCTATGTCCGGCCTCTAACAGAGGAGGATATTGCTTTCTTAAAGGAAAAGGTTAGTCCCGCATTCTACAGACTCATCGACGGTGATTGACGTGACTCAGGGAGATCGTACTACCCCGTTCGTGATGCCGCGACGGGGAAAGAAGCACTATACAGAAGTGTGGGCCGAGGAAGACGGGGCGCTTAGCGTGGACGTCTCGAATCCTGACCGCGATCGCCTTCCTTTGAATCAGGGACGGGGGAATATCGAGCAGGTCACCGACGATACCTTGGAAACGGACAAAGTCTCTGTTGCACCTTTGGTCAGTCGTCTCTACTCTCTTCTCCGTTACGAGCACCGCGCTCCTCCAGATGAGAACGCCAACGGAGCCGCCAACGGGGAGACTTCGACAAATGGCGTCCTCAACGGCGATTCCGCAATGGATATTGACCACCCTCCCGGTGAGCCTGAAACCAAGCCCATGCCTTCGGCGACATCCTTCCCCGATGCGTCTCCTAGCGGTTTCAAGGTGCCAGCAGCAAAGCTTGAGCATGCGCAGCTGGACGAGCGCTTAAAGGCAGAACTCCGCTACGTTGGTTTTCTTGGCCCGGACGACAATCCAGACTATGACGCCCACTACGATGATGACATCGCACAGCGCCTGCGTCTCTTGCAAAGTGAGCTGAAGAAGCAGATGATCATCAACGGCGCTCGCAAGAGCAGACTCCTTGACATTGCCCGCGAGCGGATGGCATACCAGGAGTACAGCACTATCCACGATGACCTCGACTCTCAGGTACAACAGGCCTACTTGAAGCGTACCCGTACGCTGGGGAAGAGCAAGAAGGGATCACAAGCAAAACATCGACCCGGTGGAGCTGGCGGTGGAAGTCATATTGTCAGCGCAGCTGGCGTCGGTCGTCCAGGCATCGGCGATGTCGCGAGGACTCTCATGGACCGCCGCAAGCGCTGGCGCGACTGCATCGGTCCTGTTTTCAAGGACAGCAAAACGACTGTTCCGAGCAAGGACGAAACCGTCTTCGACCCCGCAGTCATGGCGGAACTCGAAAAGGCCGAGCTGGAAGGTTGGGACGAGGAGCAGGAGTAAAACTGCCCCTAACATACGGCCTGTAGTCTGTATATACCTGTGACATCTTTTTTGAAACATCTGCATTATAAGGGTTTAATCGGTTCTTTATCAATGCTGCAGATAATGCATTCTGCCGGAAAGTTGTGGGTTGGGTTCCCGGCATGATCATGGTTTACGGGCTGGCGTCACAGGGTGGTTTTTTTACCGTGGGGAAACAGGCTTTGCTTTGATGATATTAAATTCTATTCCGCGGAATAAGAAATTGCGTTCTCTCTCGTTTTTTTCTGATAATCTTCGACGTTAGTATTCTCAGTATACGTAGGTAGTATAAGATTTTCACATTCCCCAACGCCCAACCGCTATAATGGATTAATAAAGATCCCCAAATCATTTCCTATATCCCGTTTTGCCGTCCCAAATACTCATACTATTAACCTCCAGTATATATGTCTAGTCATCATCGTCATCATCGATGAATAATCTGCACCTCACCAGGATACCTCTTCAACCTCGACATCAATTCCTTCTCACTGATCTCCAACTCCGTACAGATCTGATCGAAACAATGCACACCATCCAAATACTTGGATAGCGTCCGATCATCAATATCATCCTCATCGTCCTCGTCCTCGTTACTTCGAGAATACATCGCAGGAGAGGCGGAGCGCGGATGACCACCTGTTCGCGAGAGTGATGAAGGAATACTATCGTTGTGGATGTGGGTGGTATCGTTGCTTTGGATACTTGATGAAAAGGCCGCTGCGGCAGTGAACGAGTCAGCAGGGACGCTGGATGCGTTGGAGCTGATTCCGCCGTGGAGGGAGACTGTTGCGGGGGTAGTGGTGGTTGCGGTATTGTGTGGTGCAGCGGGTGCAGGGAGGCCTGTTGCGTAGGCGTATTTGTGAACACGGTATAAGAAGCCCTTGATGATGCCGAAAGTGATGAAGCGTCGGACGTCGATGTTGGCGAGTTGTTGGCTGTGTTGGGCGTACCATTGTTTCACGCTCTGGCCTTGTTGCAGACTGGCGTATAGCTCGACGATGCCGACGCCGTCGACGATCTCTCGGAGGCTACTATTGTTGTTGCTGTTGATGCTTGTGCTGCCTTTGCTGAGACCATCGCTGCCGCCGACGGAGGGCCAGATGTCGTCGTCGTCGTCATGGCGATAGACGCTGGCGTAGGTCGCTGGGATGTCGCTTCGATGGCTAGATGCGGCGGCTCCAGGGGCGGTGCTCATGGATGGTGATTGCAGGCTAAATGGCGACGGGGCGAAACGGGTGTTGACGTAGCGTGCGCATTCTCGCTGCATGTCCTCGTCTATGGCGATTGTTGAGCTGAATTGAGCTGTGGGAGCGTATATGGCTGAGAAGGAGAATATGTCCAAGAGGAGAATACAGCCGTAGTAGAGGAGGTGACGGATGGCGCGGCAGGTCAGGGAGAATTCGGCGTCTGCGAGAATCGAAATGATGCGTATGCTGTTGACGCCGTTGATATGGGGAACGATCTGGGTCTGTCTGTCAGTATAGGTCGTTCAGCACGAGAGATAAATGAGTGGGCGCACCCTTTGCAAGGTAAGATCCCAGTTTTCATCCATAAATGTCTGATATCGGACCGTGAACAGCGGGACCTGCCATGCCTTGACATGCGGAGGAGCTGGGTAGATAGGAAATAGTTTGATGTTCAGAGTATTCAATTCATCTGGAAACAGTTAGCCAGCTTCGCCCTTCCACTAAAAAGATATACTCGGGAAGTGATAACTGAGCAAAAATACGTACCGATTGGAATCATGCACTCGCAATAATTATTCAAATCCTCCATCAACGTCTCACATAAACTATACACCTTCCCCTCTCCACTCTTCGAATGATCCCTCGACAAAAACCCGCTCTGCTCCTCCAAACCATGCATCAGATCCGCCAATTTCTGCACTACGCTCTTGTACGTCGTGAAGTCCTCCTCCTCAGCCAGGACGATGCAGAAGTTGAAGATGAACTCGTTCCGGTCATACCGCGGAGACTTCATGCAGATCGGGTATCCCAGAATGCGATACCCGCCGGTACATACTTGGAGCAAGTTGCCGCATAGTTCCTGACGAGGGATTACGAAGAAGGATATGTCGGCGAAGGTGAGGATGTGTTGCGTCGGAGCGGTCGCGGAGGGGACGATCGCGCCATCGGGGACTTGGTGGACGACCTTGGGGCCTGAGGATGGTGTTAGCAGCGTGTCATATGGAATAAAGCTTGAAGTGGAGATTTATTTGAATTGGCTCACCCTCCTGCGTGTCGAATTTGCTGTAAAAGATAGCTTTGATCATGTTGGATCTGAGAGAGAGCTAGAGCTATCCGGCAAAGCAGAGATCATTGATAGCAGCATCCCAATGGCAAATATGCGGTGTTGACAGAGAAAGAATATTCAGAAATTAAAGTAATGAAGTTCATGACGCGCCAGAGGGCTCCATGGTGGAAGGCATACTAGGATCTGCCTGATTGCGCAGCCTGCGGTCAACGCGCAACCGAGATATCCAAATCGGCGTTGCGGGGAGTCGGCCGCTTAGGTATTTATCGATGGCCGCAAGACGACCGCTACTAAACCCCACATTGAACAAGATCATCCTCTCCAGAAGCAAAGAGCCAATAATATTCGTCACAATATATTATTAAGTATTTCGAAATGTAGAATTTATAAACTTAGGAATTCATAGCTTATCTACCATGGATGGATAGAATCTCCAGTTTGGTATTCATGTATTATCTAGTTAGTAAACAGGGACAGGATTGTGACTTGCACATGTCAATGATAGCAAGGATAGCTAGCTACACATGAAGTGTGAACAGAATGGATTATGTTCTCAAGCAAAACACATTGCGCTGCAGTGTTGCTGGACGGAGTTGAACCGGTTGGACGTAGCGGAAGAACCACCTGGGTATTCAGTAAATTCGCTGCAACAGGACAGGATGAGCAGATAGAATAGGAAATCTATATGCAGGCTAGACAGCGTCAGCTGCTTCGAAAGCACTTTCGCGGATTGAAAGACATGACAAAAGAATCTTGAAATAAACGCCGATGGGCCGATGGATGCCGGAACGCGCCATGAATGCATCACGAGAATTTCGCTCTGTAGCAAGCAATGATGGTAAGGAAAGATGATTTGGGAAGGAAATATATGCGAGGGTCATATGCGAAGGGGTATCGTATCAGGTAGGATGATGATGTCTATCTGGCAGCGCCAGATGGCTGGTTTGAAGGTCGAATAGAGCGATTGGGAGGCGGAACGGTTGCCTGTGTAGATCGACTGCGCGGTTCTGCGACTGCTACTGGCGCCGTCACAGCAGGGCTGGTCTCGTCAGACGCTCGAAAGAGTGCAGCCCGACTTGACACAGAAGAGACAGCGGCGGCGGCACTGCCAGAACCAACGAACGGAGGGGCGTCCGATCTGCCGCGAATTGAATTGATCATGTCAGGGTAGCCTCCTCTTTCCACCGCTTCTTTCAGCCACTGTTCCCAGTCCTCGTCAAGTGGCACATTGGCACCTCGTTCACGCGCGGCTGTAGCAGCTAGAAGACGATGATTCAGCTCCACTCCGTAGCTCTCCACCTCTTCGTCGCTTGTTTCTTCTTCTTGTTCTTCATCACCTTCCGATCGGTAGGGTGTCAACCGTCTCTGGTCAGGTGTGACACTCTCTTGAGAGACCTCGGTTGCTGGTTCTTGTGTGCTGTGCAGCGCTGCGACATCCTCGGAGTGGATTTGAACCGATGGTACTGGCGGCGGCGTCGCGACTCGGACGTTATCCGCTGTTGTGTCTCGAACTGTACAGTCTTCCTCTTTCTCATATCTTTCGCGCGCAGACTTGGTACCCTCCCATCGACATAACGAGGAGATCTCTGCTTCCGTGAGGCCCAGTTCGTCGAAGACCTTGAATAGCTTGCGATGCCACGGAAACCGGCCCAGTCGCATCCGATGAGGACCGTAGGAGTAGTCGAGACCCGGATATTGAGCTTCGATGCAATCTAGCGAACCGTAGAAGGTCGATGTCTCAACCCGAACTTCAGGTACCAAATTCCGTGTAATATGGGCGGAGAACGAGGCCGGATCACTCGTACGAGGTCGCGGAAACGTTGCATTGTAGACGAGCTGAGCGAGAGATGGTTTATGCATGGTGGATAATCGAGCGCTACGGGATCTTGTATCCTGCAATTTCAGAAGAGAGAACAGTCCCAGTGTTGTTCGTGCAGCGGGTACTGCCGGCAAATTCGAGTTCTGCGAGAACACGTCTCTCTGGCGTAAAGAAAGCGTGGTCAAGGCAATGGAAGTTGTATAGAGAGCGGAACGGGGAGAAGCCAGGCTGCGACCGCAAGCATCAAGGGGTTCTGCTTTTAAGTTAAGGACGGGTTCAAGCAAGCTAGGTTAGCCGATCTTCCCTCGCCTTGCAGAGGGATGTTAGGACGATAGCAATTGCACAAAGAGGCGTCACCACTAGACGGCAGGCAGGCAATGGTTCGAGTCTAGGGTTCCGCGCTTCCATTAACCAGATACGATATAAGGGATGTGAACCAAGGAGCGGAGAGTCAGAAGAACGGGCAGACTGTAGGCACTAGGCGTCTCGCCAGTGGGGCGCCACGGAGTGAAGCGCGTGCTGTTCACTGGAAATCGTACGCAGTTCCTGAAAGTCTAATGATGTATCGCCCCGTCATGAAAGTTGATTCTGGTGTTTGCGGCAAAAGACCGTGTTGGCGAAACTAAGTAAGGGTAGGCTGAGTCCCACTGGGAGCGGCCGGGGGAGGGCTTCTTATTATATCCTCGTGAGTCGGAGGACGTGGAGACTCGAATTTGGTTCGAAACTGCCAGAGATCTGAGATTGGCGCCCCCTGGTACAATAATATTCAATCGATAGTATCAATGCTTGGGGGATCTTCGCGAGTGTGACAGCAGCTGGTGGACCTCGAACGCTGGACAAGACAGGCAAGGATGTGAGACGGCAAGGCGTTTAGCTCCAGGAACACTTCCTTTCGCACCGGTTGGTTAGCGTTTCGTCTGGGATGACTGTCGCTGCTTCGTTCCATGTGTAAGAATAGTAATAATAATAAAAATCATCATCATAGCCAGTAGTTACCTGTAGAATCTCTTCTCTCAATGCTGCCTATTCCCTCAAAAATCTACCGTACACGCGATCGCTGCGCTGTCCAAACGACTAAGCTGGTGGTGGCCCAAACTTCGGGCTGGTCGCTGAGTTGGAGAATCCGAGACGAGACAAGGCGACTCAACTGCGCATCGTGGTGAAGGGAGATTGTTCAGAACAGAAGAGCGAATGGCCCAGCGGACAAGGACGCAGAGAAAGAAACAACAAGCAGCGACGCAGGGTCTTTTTAAGGCACCGGGTGGGCAGGACGATGTGAGCTCAGTGGCCACAACTACGAGCAAGTGACCAACACAGCGTGCTGCGGGCAGTGACAAGTTACATCTTCTTTTCTTTTTGTTTTTTCGCTCGTCTTTCTGCAGGGCTGGGGTGGAGAGTGTTGGACATGCAGACAAGCAGACGGTGAAGCCGCCGGCTAATCACAGCGACACGGCCACTTGGTCGCCAGCACTGCTGCAGTGTATCCCGCCTATCCTGACCCTGCAAGCTGTAGTAACTTCGTCCACGCCCTCATCGTGGAGCCTCCATGGTGGCCGACAACGGTCTTCAGCGTCAATGGTCTCGCGCTGAGAACCCGACCTGGGAAAACGCCCTGGAAAAAGGATCGGTGACCTGTAAGCTGGAGGAGCCTCGTGTCCACCAATCCATCTGCTGTTCGAGCCTTCACTGGCTGCTCTCTGATCGTCGAGAAAATAATAAGACAGGACTCATTGGTCCTCTGCTCTGCTTTTTTTGCCTTCTGGAATTGATTGCTTAATTGCTTGATTAATTAATCGATAATTCGTTCGCCATCTGCGAGATCTATGAGTCACGTGGCACCCTGCGATCTCGCCCGGCGAAAAAGCCGTGGGACTTCTTTACAGGCTGGCCATCGAGCTGCAAAAGCCACTCATCCAGCCCAGAGTCATCCTCATGGCCATGGTCCCGACCAGCGCGCCTGTAGATCCGATGCGTCGACGTCAGGATGTCAACCTTCGATGGCATCGTTGAAGGTATGATCCGGCCAGGAACGCCATACATCCGTAGTGGACTAACAACGACCCGTCAGAGTTCCCTTTTATCAGAAGTATGTCTTTGTATCTGCGTCGAGTTTCGATATGGTAGCTAAGAATCAAAGTCGATTATTTCCGCAAGAATCCAGATAGACCATCCCCGTTGGCATGCTTTCTGAGCCATGTCCATAGCGATCATCTCCAGGGACTGGAGTCCTTGCGGTCTCCGTTTATCTACTGCTCAGCGGCTACCAGAGAGGTATATTCTTTGTCCCGTTTATTTAATCTAGATGCAATCATGTTGTCGTGCTGGAATAGGTCCATACCGTCTCTGACGCCTTGGTGTCTGATGAAGAACCACCGTTATCATCCCCTTGGTTGGTTGGATTTTATTGCTAACTGATATTCCATAAAGTTACTTCTTCGTATCGAGAAATATCCTCACCGCATGAACTTTAGCAAGGGCATTCTGGAGTCCCGGAAACAGCACTACAATCACTTAGCGAAACTGCTGGTGAGTTGGCACGCCGGAGAGAATGGCCGCATGTGCTAAACTAGTAAAGCGACCTATTCCATTGAATACGCCAACGGAAATCGAGTTGACGCCTAGGTTACGAATCCGAGTTACTCTGCTGGATGCAAACCATTGTCTAGGGGCGGTGATGTTCCTCATCGAAGGCGACGGCAAAGCAGTTCTTTATACGGGCGATATTCGCGGTACGTCCTCCACTCCTGGTTACACCCTGTATTTCCCAGGCAACTGTAGCCAACTGTAAGAGTTGTTATTCAAAGCTAATTGAAATAGCTGAAACGTGGTGGGTCAACAGTCTGATCAGGCACCCCGTGCTCATCCCGTATACTCTTGGAAACAAGCGGCTCAACAAGGTCTACCTCGACACGACCTTCGCTATCAAATCTGATGTTTACCGTAGCTTTCCATCCAAAGCGGAAGGCATTAAGGAACTCTTAGACAAGGTTTATGCGTATCCAGACGACACCGTCTTCTACCTGCGAGCCTGGACTTTTGGCTACGAAGATGTGTGGCTCGCGTTATCCGCGGCGCTCAATTCAAAGGTATGCTTCTACCGGCTTTCTAGAGCAACCCACTTAACTTCTATCAGATTCATGTGGACCGATACCAAAGAAGGCTTTACCAGTCACTTCATCCACGGAATGATGGAAAGGTCCCTGAGGCAGCTTTTCTTTGCGGATTTGAACTGGGAAACAATTTCTCTCCAGGCTGTCTGACTGGTGATGAGAGTTGTCGGATCCATAGCTGCGAGCCAGGAATGTTCTGTCCCGTGATCGCTTCTGGAAGAGCGGTCTATATCACACCAATAGTTACCCGAAGTGACGATGTAGAAGTGCCCGAGGTGGGCGCTGGCGGCGGTGGAGGGGATCTATACCAAAGCCACGAACTAGAGCTGCCAGATGAATCATCTGTTGAGCAGCTCGAGAAATTATGCCTGCAGCATATACATGACCCTAATATTCTCACGCGGACAAAGGGAGCTCTAATCGAAGCTTTCAGGTCAAAGAAGAAAACTTTATCACTCGATAGGTATGGACTCAAGGATGAGAATGACATTTCGCTCCAAAGACTTGTCGATGTCCTCAGCCGTGGCCAGTCACTTGATACCACAGGTAGTAACCAATATGAGGATAAAGAAAGGGCTGCTGGTGGCCGTACAGAATCAAAGCGTCAGCTACCCAGAAAAATAGTAAGTATAGTCAGGATCCGGCCATAGCAGTCAAAGAGATCAAAGCATTACTAACAACGAACCAGACGTTTCCTTATTCACGGCATTCTTCATACGCAGAGCTGTGTGAGTTGATTGCAGCCTTCAGGCCAAAAGACATTTATCCATGCACGGTTGACCCTGAAACCTGGAGCGAGGACGTCTCTATGGCGAGACTATTTGGCCACCTGTGTTCCGGAGATATCTTCTCGCATGATGAGTACATGTACAAATTCCTATCAGAACAGCAACGACCACAACAGCAGATGCAGGATATTAGCTCATCTACGCAACCGAGCCAGCAGTCCAGCGAGCAGTCAAGCCAAATATCCCACGCGCTCTTTTCTCAACCTGCAACGGGTCCTACTGAACATGACAGAGTTCCAAAGACACACACCCGCCAACTTCCTACGGGACCGTCTTCAGATTCATCTCACACCCGGAATGATGCCCAACCCTCAAATTCAACCACCACCTCTCTACAGAAAAGCGCAGCCCCAACATCAGAGCATCACAGTCCCAGCATGAACCACGAACCTCCCCCTATCCCCGAACGAACCGAAAAAGCCCGCAAACATCGCAACAGCATCCGGCGGACGTGGTACAAGATCGAAGAACTTCGAAGACAAGGGAAATGGCACTTTCACAACGAACCTCTTCCCACCTGGTGGCCAACAGAGGAAGAAGATCTATATCACGCTGAAGAACCATCGTCAGATGAGGCCTCAGACGTCTCGGATCCTGATACCCCTTTTCTAGTCACAGAGGACCCATCTATAACCGATGTAAATAACATCGCACCTATCGACCCTATCGACACAGACGTAGATGCAGATGCAGATGCAGATCTTCCATATTCTCAAACAAGCACTCTCTCCATCTCCCTCTCCATGTCCATGTCCGAATCAGCCTTCGATTCTCAAGAACAACCACCACCACCTCCTCCACCACCAGACAGCACTCCCCAGACCACACCCAATATCAACGATAGCAACAACAACAGAATCACCAACGGCAGCAACGGGAATAACAAACGCAAACGCCTCCCTGACCCTTCAATCCGTAACCGGATCCGTGCATACCACGCCGCACGAAGCGGGAGCTGGAGCGATGTATCGTTGCTATCTGCGGGGAATAATCATACGGAGGAGGAACAAGAGCTTTAGTCTATTTCAGTTCAGTCTGATTCTGGTTTCTTGAAGAGTGTTCTATTTTAGAACTTGTGCATTACACTACTTGGTTATGGATATGTAACTAGACGCTTAGCTCAGGACGGACGGATTATACATGCTAACTACCTAACTAGTTAATAATTGGAAAATGACAAAAACTATGATAATGAAAATAGAATTGAATTGACCGAGACTTTTTATCCCGTCAGTATGTATATAAGCATACTATACTATACTAGAGTGACAAAAACAGGTTGTGTGAATCATGTCTTCTTGTTCTGTCCCTTCCCCCTTGGGGCCCCTTTTTAGCAAAAACAATCAACCAACCCTTCCGAAATTAACATAGCTCCTCCATCATCAATACACATAATACTGCTGCGTAAGAGGCAACGAAGACGCCGGTTCCGCTTCACAGAGCATGCCGTCCGCTTCAACGGTCTGGTGAAAAAAAAGTCAGCGCGGTTCTTTAACATCCCCTTCAAACGAACTAACTCCCAGATGAAGAAATAAAAGTTCAGGGTAACTATAGTATGGGGTGAATCTTACATATCTCTCTGGATCAACCTTCATTTTTGGCATTGTATCGTTATATTTCATATCTTTCTTGCTAATGTCTCTGCAGTTCTTGACGGCTTCGACGCGTTTCTTCAGGTGGTATGATTCTATGATGCCGAGATCGATGGAGGCTTGAGAGACGAACATGATGGATGTGCTGGGGAGGAGGGCCTGTTTATTCATGAGTTAGGAATATATTGTGTTGTATTGTATTGCAGGTTGTATTGGTTGTTAGAATTGGGTGAAATGGAAGTGTGCAAACTTACTCCGAATTGTGGTCTCATGATAATTGGCTCGACGGTCGGGATGGATGCGTTGGGATCGCCCTGCAATTAATTCTTTTTAGTTTCTGTGCCAAAGAAAATATATAAAAAAGAGGTATGAGGGTTAAGTGGCTGTGTTGAAATATAGCTATACATACCATCTGCGCGACTGCAATCATTCCACTCTTCAAGACCATAGCAGGCTTAGTTCCAAATGTGCTCGGGTTCCACACCACCAGGTCGGCCACCTTGCCTACTTCGACACTTCCGATGACATGGGACATGCCCTGCGCGATGGCTGGGTTGATGGTGTACTTGCTGATGTACCTCTTGACGCGGAAGTTGTCCGCGCCGGTCCCCTCGTCTTCCTTCAGCGGACCGCGTTGGACCTTGTTCTTGTGGGCTGTGTTCCAAGTTCGTAGGATAACTTCACCGCAGCGACCCATGGCCTGCGAGTCAGAGGACATCATGCTGATGGCACCGAGGTCGTGGAGCACGTCTTCCGCAGCGATTGTCTCGGCGCGGATGCGACTTTCGGCGAAAGCGACATCTTCGGGAATATTCTTCGACAGATGGTGGCAGACCATCAACATATCGAGATGCTCATCAAGCGTGTTCAAAGTGAAAGGACGAGTGGGGTTTGTGCTACTGGGAAGTACATTCGGGTGTTCCACGACAGATATAATGTCGGGGGCGTGTCCTCCACCAGCGCCTTCTGTGTGGTAAGTGTGGATCGTACGGTTCTTGAAAGACTTGATGGTTTGCTCCACGAACCCGGACTCGTTCAAAGTATCCGTGTGAATCATGCACTGGACGTCGTATTTCTCGCAGACGTCGAGACAGGTATCAATGGCCGCAGGAGTAGAGCCCCAGTCTTCGTGTAGTTTCAGTCCAGCCGCACCAGCACGACACTGCTCCTCGATACTGATCTTTCCGCTGTCGTTGCCTTTTCCGGTGATACCAATGTTCATTGGTAGGTTGTCGCATGCTTGGATCATTTGACGCATATGGACGGGCCCTGGCGTGCAAGTGGTGGCATTCGAACCGGTGCTTGGGCCGGTTCCACCTCCCAGCATCGTCGTAATACCAGAGGAAAGCGCTTCATCCACCTGCTGAGGGCAAATAAAGTGGATATGCGTGTCGAAACCACCAGCAGTCACGATCTTGTTCTCTCCAGCAATAACATCGGTAGAGGAACCAACAATCAAACCAGGATGGACGCCGTCCATTGTATCAGGATTTCCAGCCTTGCCAATACCCACGATATTGCCATCCTTTATTCCGATATCAGCCTTATAGATTCCGGACCAGTCGACAATCACTGCATTGGTAATGACGGTGTCTGGACATTCGACCGCAGATCTTCCCGTTGCCTGGCCCATTCCTTCTCGCAGAGTCTTGCCTCCGCCAAATGTGCACTCATCACCGTAGACTGTATGGTCCTCTTCGATTTTGATCCAAAGGTCAGTAGATCCCAGTCTGATCAAGTCTCCCGTAGTGGGGCCGAACATGCGTGCATATGCTTCGCGCTCCATAGAGAACGGTTCAATCAACGAGCTGTCGGCAGTAGGGTCAGGAACATGTGCAAAACCCTCCGACTGGAGGCGCTTCACGATCTCATCGGCTCGGCCCAGGTCGATCTGCCCTGACGCTAGGAAATTTCCACCGCAGATGATCTTGTTTCCGCCGATTTCCACCAGCGTCACGGTCTTGGTGTCTCCGGGCTCAAAACGGACCGAAGTACCAGCTGGTATATCCAGCCTATATCCATAGGCCTTGATCCGGTCAAAGTGTAGTTCTGGATTGGTCTCAATGAAGTGGAAATGGGATCCAACCTGAATCGGTCGGTCTCCCTTACTCATAACCTTCAGTTTAATCCTCTTCCTTCCCTCGTTCAAGACCACCCTCTTATTCTTCACCGGAATCACAGCACCCGGCATCTTTTCCGGCTCATAATCACTAGGATCGATATCCGGAAACGCTTCCTTTGGAGGAATTGGCAGAAAGCTACCATACAGCGCCTTTTCCAGATCCCCGTCATCAGTGCTGATGGGATGGTGCACCGTGACTAGATACGTTCCCGTGGTGAATGTGCCTTCGACCTGGAGCTCAACCAGAGAAGACACGACTGAGGGAAGAACGTGGCGGCGACCAAGCATGGTCTTTCCTGTGGACATTAGGTCTGCGACGGTATGGTTTCCATCGCGGATAAGCTAGAAGTTTTTAGTGGATCTCCTATTCATTTCTATCATGGGATATAGCATGCATAGGGAAGGAGAAGAGAGCTTTACCTCCTGTAGATTGGCAGAAATCAAAGCCTACTTGATAATCAGCACATCCATCATATCATATGAGAGTTTGCGGTTTGGTACGGGGATCTGGAATACACCCCGATAAGACTGGAGAATCACATACGGTAGCTTCAGCATGATTCAGTCGAACACCGCGTGCCAGACGACGTTGTGCCAGAAATCCCAGCTGGGTGATGACGAGCTTGTCAAGCTAGACGGTTGCAGTGTTGGTTAGTCTCATCTATCTCACATAGCAAGCCATATCAACTCCATTCATAGCAGGCATCTAGCGATGACTCAGGAGTGCAAGACGACGATTCAATTCGCCGGCCATTGAGCCCAATCCGTTTCTCACACGGTCACTAGTAATCATAGAGACGTACCTCTTTCGGAATAAGCTGCATCGTGAACGTTTCTAAAACGCACAGAGCTCTGTGATCTAGACGTTTTCAGAACGACACGGACCGCCAGACTGGATGCTGATAAGCGCCCGGAGTGATGATTGTACCGCAGCCTCAATGCGGGGAGAAGGAAGGAGATATAAGATGGAAAGAAAGAAGAGAGGTGTTAGATGCAAGGTATCAAGTCATCCCGCAACTTAGGCTCAAACCTGGGGTCGAAGCATCAGGAAAATTGGCCAGCCGCGATGGATTTGATTATCGGCGTGGATGGTGGGGTAACTAACTAAATGCTGGGGAGCTGATAAGGTCCGCGGGCCGTCGCCGGATCCCGACGACAATTAGGTATATATCTATTCCTCTATATTATTGCAAGTTTATATTATTATGTTATTCCAAGACAAATAGCAATAGTCGATATGCTACTAATTATATAAATTATGACTAGCAACGCGACTGCGATCTTCGCGTTTCCGCGCTTTAATGGCCCCGCACGCTAACTAAGTACGTAGTTTCTGCTGGGGCATCGTCAGACAATGCAATCAGAAAACAGCAGAAAAGTCAGCTCGCGCATTCTACCATTGAATTGTGTATGTCATAAGACAGTCCTACAATATCCGAGGAACGTTAAGTCCTGCGACTACAGGGAACTACGTAGTCGATAAAAGAGTTAGTTAACTACGGGATTCAATTCGTCAGCAATGCTTTTTTGCATTCGCGTTACCCAACCTAGCAAACAACTGTATACCAGACAAAACGCTTGAGACAAAACCCCCGTAAAACGCTGCAGATGGTCCAATCCAGATTCACTGACAACTTCGTGCAGAAAAGCGAAAAGACGCCCAAGACCGTCCGAGCCCACCGAGATCAGCTTTTCAAGATCATCGCCCGCAACATATAAACACAACTCCCCAAGGGGACAGGACGGGTCATATTTCTAAGACACCCGTAGACAAACACGCCGGAAAGAGACAAGAATATACAGATCACATAGACCAGCTATGGCTTACTCGTCGGCAGCCTCGCTCTTGCGCTTCTTCTTGCCCCGCTTGTTGTCAGCGGCTCCGCCGATGGATTTGCGGCCAGTAGGCGTCTCCTTGGGCGTCTCCTTCTCTTCCTTTTTCTGAGCAGCAATGGCAGCGCCTCTCTTGGGCTTCTTCTCGGGAGAAGCCTTTTTGCTGACGGGAGAAGCGACGGGCTTGATGTTCTCACCCGTGCGGCGGCGCTTACCACTACGGGGAGGAGTGGGTTCCTTCACGGGCTCTGGGGAGGACTCCTCCTCCTCGTCTTCGTCTTCTTCTTCCTCTTCTTCCTGCTCGGACTCCTCGGACTCTTCAACAGAAGGTTCAGCACCAGCGGCAACATCCTGCTGGAGCTGGTTGGCAGCCTTGGCACTGTCATCTTCAGGGACAGGGAGGCCGGCCTTGTAGGCCTTCATCTTCTCCTTGTAGACAGCCAGGTTGTCGGCATACAGCTTCTTCCAGACCTGAGAACAGAACGTTAATATCAAGACAAATCAAGGTGGTGGCTAGAGCAAGCATCACATACCTCCTTCTGTGCATCGGGCATTTCGGACCAACGGCGAGTGCCTTCGTCAGCGACTTCCTTGGGCCGGGCATTGCTGCCCAGTTCCGAAGCAATCTGGGCGCGGTTGTGCTGCATGTAGAGAAAGTACGGAGTCAAAGCACGCTTGGGAGCGTTGGGGTCATGAGGAGCACGCTTGCGCTTCTTCTTCTCGCCGACCTCTGACTTGGCGCCAGGGCTGGCGTGACGGCCACCACCTAGGAGGCCATTCTCCAGCAGGCTGCTGGTGATTCCCCCGGTGATGCCGCCAATGTCAAGATTGGAAGGGCCACGGTTCAGGACCGTGTTGGCATGGTTGATGTAAGCGCGCGACAGGTCCGAGACAGCGGACTGCAGCGTCGCGAGACTCACGATGACCTGTGACTGCGTTAGACGGATGTGCTCTTCGGTATGCGAGCCAGCCAGGGAGCGGATGGCCAAGGTAACGGCGCTGGTCAGCTCGGTGGTGTGGTTGAGGGAGGAGAGGAAGTCATGCGCAGAGAGCTCGACGCGTCTGGGGGACGCGGCGCGGCTCATGTTGACAACACCGGGTGGCTACCAGGGAACAGAATGGAGAGAGCTAAGGGTAGGTAGAAGCAAGATACAGATTTTGCGGGAAACGCGCAGTCCTCAATTTGAGGAGATCGCAATTATGCCTGCCTGTGGTTGGAGCTTCTGTTCTTGTTCTGTTGGGGGGAGAGGGTTGTTGTGGAAGGGTGCTGCAGAGCAGAACACAGGTGCTTGGGTGACAGAGGGGAAAAACGAAAAAAGACGGGACAGGAAAAGTAGGCTTAGAACTTACGCTGTCGCGAGTGCGGGTGAAATCATCGATATTGACAGTCACAATGGCGTCCTTCGCCTTGGAATCCTCCTTGCGCGACATGGTTGATGGAAAAGCGTGGTCAGATACGCCAGGAATGTCGCGGAGAGCCGGACGGGAGAGGAATGGGGGATGGATGGGTTTCTGGTTAAAGAAGAGAAAGGGTGCGAGAGCCGTGGCTGAGCTGGGAGGGGAACGAGGGAAGAGAGAAAGGGAAGAGGAAGGGGGGGAAGAGAAGATTTTTCGCTTGGGGGGGGGGGAAAGCCGCTAAATAGTTAAAGCGACGGGGTGGTTCTCCTCCGCCCAGGCTGCCTGTGGTGTTCGCTGCTTTAGGCCTAGAATGGCGTGCCGTGACTTCCCGCGCGTCCTGCTGGCGGCCCCCTGGGGAGAGTGAATAATAGAGAAATCACTAGTTAGTTAATCATTATTATTAACTAAACCAAGGACAATGTTGGCTGGCCTGGCGCTCCTTATTGGGCCGCTGGGGGTGCCCCTAGTACTGCAGGTCCTGCACGCCGCCCCAGCCAGTGGCCCTCCCAACGCCCGGAGAGCCTGCCAGCTCCGGGGCGACCGTGGGCATGCTGGCGGTGCTGCCCTCGCCCAGCATGCCCACGGCCCTAGCGTCTCCCGTAGGCGCTAATGAGCCCCAGGGCTCATCCAGCTAATTAACGAGCAACCTTGCGAATGCTGCATTGCCTGCTCCAGCGGCAGATCAGAAGCGCACAACCCGTTCCCCCGCTGGCCACCTGGATCGTCCGGGGAGCAGCCGCTATTTGGATGATTACCACGACGGCACCCTTCTAACAAGGTTATTTGCGCAAAGCACAGTGTACGTTGTCGGTGCTCTCAAGCCTGTCTGCCCCAAGACGTCTCTTTCTGCTTGACACTCTACCATCGACCATTAACTAACTCGTTAACTATACCTAGCTGTATCGTTTGCGATGGACCCGACAGCGAGATGATCGGTTCACTTTCGAGGCGGGCGACACCTCACTAGAAGCTCTACCCTGACCCCAGTGATCTCTCAACGAGCGGGCAGAATCGTCAAGCGAGCCACCTGCTAGTTAGTTATCAGTCCTCCGCCACTTCGCCCACTCCCACACCCTACGTCTGATTACCGCCCAACCACCACAAGATCAGACTTTCTCTCTGCTTTGGAGGATAGTCTCAGGTCTGTTCTCAAGTCTCAAGAAATATTACCTCCGTCCTATATCGGTGTGGACGAAGATCAGAGTTGGCGCAAAGCGACTATGGCGACGCGCACCCCAACAATGGTGGGGTATCGCCCAGCTAGCACCTCGATTAGTTAATGAATTAACCAACTACTGTAGGTACCTCTCGGGCAGTGCACGCCCCGCTCCGTCTGAACTCGCCTCGCTCTCCCGGCTGACCTGCTGGCCCCCGGAAGTGCGAGATACTTGCAATCTGCTTATCTTCTCAATTTCGTATACCCACGAGCCAGCATCACTGATCCTGATTGCGCAATTCCTGATCCGCATATATCTAATTAGGTTGACTCTGTACAAAATTAACTACTTTGATTGCAGGGTCTTGAATCGGATTCAACTTCTAGGACAGCTATGTTTACTGTAAGCTGCCCGCAACGTAAGCTCCGGGCCTGGATGCTGCTCGATCATCTCTAGCGAATTCGATCTCCCGACTACAATACCCATACAGCGGAACCCGGCTCTCTAACTGATCCTAGAGAGCTGTCGTAGAGCGAGCTCTGAGTGCAAGTGCTAGATCAGCACGACGGCCATAGTTATGCGATCTGATCCGAGCAATCCAAGTACGTACAGTACTTACCAGTTCTGCCACAATGCGCGTCTGACAGATTTACCCCGCTCTGGAAGTAAACGACATCAGCCAGCTGATTTTAGCTAGATAGAACTGTCGCTGGAGGCATATGCACTGTTCTACGGGACTCTCGACGAGTTTGCGCTTAGATATGCTACAACTATGTACAATCATCTGATCTATAGTTTAGGCTCAAGCGTTCTGGTGAAGCTCGTTCCCGCGGCCCGTGGTACAGTGCCTCCCGCAGAGCTTACCTAGATAACGGCGAGGAATTAACTAATTCGGATACCCAATTTTAAGCACGCCCTCTCTATATATAGCAGTAACTCAACTGTAATAATGTGCCAGTTCTTCTTGAACTGAGGAAGGACCTTACATGTCCCGCAACAGTCAATATTTAGAAATATAATGTGCAACGAACTTGATCGTAACTAGCTATATATATATTTACTATCCTGACATGGACTCTCATTAGTAACTATTAGCCACCCACGCGTTATAATCATATATACCTGCAGTAAATAAAACTCTTAGGACTACAGCGTAAGGTACAAGAGTTAGGTAGTCTCGTTTTAAGGGTAGGAGATAACTTTGGAAGGTCTAGGAGCGTGTATTATAGTTTAATCGACTTCCTTGAGGAAGCTGGGAACTACTAGGTACGTAGTTAAGCTTCCGAGAACTAGCTTCTAAGCCGTTCACAGGGTATAAGAGTATTAATTACCTGGTAGTGAGTCGATCTAGTTTCGCGCAAGAAACGATTCCGAAATATATAAACTTCTCTCGTGCCCTGGATTTTTATCTCGTTGTCTCCTCATCGTGTCGGCGCACAAAGCGAACGCTAGGTAATCAGTCTATTATCCGTTCGCAGCAGGTTCTTTGAATCCTAAATACAGAATGGAACCTACTAGATCGCTAGAATCTAGAATTCTTTGTATGCTGTAGGAGATAAATATGGGTTCAACTGCCCCCTCACCCCCTAGAGCTAGATTTAAGCAAGCAGTCCCAGGTGGTTCAACTCATGACTATGCTTCCGTGCTATTTGATATCTGTGGAAATCTAGGACCACGGAAGCAAAGGTTCTAAAGGAGCATTTGATACGGGAATAAAATCTTGATTGCTTCGAGAATTAAAGGTGACCGAAATCTATCAGCTATTCTATCCTGACATTACAGCTGCCTGGAGCTGAAATGAACGCTGTCTCAACCGTTCCATGGCTCCAGCTCCGTTGCTTTGATCCTACACCAGTACAGGTGGATCTAGATAGCTTCCGTTGCAGCTGCTACCCGGTCTGTATGGAGTAGAAGCAGCGGATTGCAGCAGGTTTGCAGCTCGTCTCCACAGAAGTCGTGAGCGCTGACAATATTCTACAAGTCCAAGGTCTGCCACGAACTCTAAGCTTTTTATATAGTTCCGAACTCTCGTCGTCTCTATAGGCGACTAGTTATGACAAGTATATAAGATGATGCTTCCACTTTTCTTCCGGATGAAATAAATGACTCGTTTCTTTCTCTCTATTCTTCTAATTACAGAAATTGGCTTTTGCTCTTTTTTGGTTGGGCAATCAGATACATGATTAGTGAAATTTTTCTTGGTCAATATAGTTTAGCTATATACATTTCCGTCCTGCTCTGGGTTGTACCGTAGATACCTAGGTAGATTAATCGTTAGTTTCGTCCGATACCTTGTAGTACACCGTCAATCGAGTAGTTACGTAACATTTCTGAACATACATCTACAGAGAAATGAGAGACAAGTAGGCCGCAATAGCCTGGATGTCAAGATGTAAACGTTTTGATACATACCTGTAGAATCCAATCCCATCTATATTCATGACTGAACGGATCCTGCGGGAGCGCCTCGCTTTCGGGAGCTTAAGTAAAGTAAATTTAGTCAGTGCTTTCGGGAACTCTAACTTACTACTACCTACATTATCACTTCGGCTCTTTTTTCTTTTCTTCACATAATCATCACGACCAGTCGATTAAAATCGCCGACTACATACATACTGTCTTCCCGCGACAGCCCTTGCTCTCTTATTCGGTAATTCTTACACGCCTAAGCGCTTTATCATTCTGACGTCCTCTGCTCCTACATTCCCGTAATTTCCGCAACCGTACAACTTCGCAAAAACAACCTCCAACTCCAACTACGAGGTTTCGTATACCGAGAGACTTACCACAATTAATTGGCAGATATCAATCTTCGAGGATGAAAATTCCTGGTTTCCCTTCCATTGATTGCTGCTCGCCAAAGTTTTCTCTCTTCCACACGCGCACTGTCTGTTAGCAGATAATAGGAAATATGGAAGATGATCCTGGAACGAAGGGAAGGGGAGAGGGGGAAAGGGAAACGGTGTCGTTGAGTTTTGTTTTGTTGTTTTACTCGTGATATTACTCTTATAACTAATCTAACAATGGTATTTAATAGCTCTTCTTTCCCCCCCCCCTCTGCTGGATGGATTTCTTGAGAGCAGAGTGTCGAGTTTTGTTTCTCTCTACTTCATCTATTCCAAAGACGTTCGTTATATAAATCTATATTACATACAAGCTTAATAACTCATATATCAAAATCTCTTTTGATAATACTTTATTACTACGCAATCTCTACAAAAATGAAGTCCTCCATCTTCGCCTGGCTCCCTCTCAGCTTGGCCCTTCTTCCTTCTGTACTGGCCAGACCCAGCGCCGTATACAAGCGACAACACCACCACCACCACCACCCCCCGAATCCCTACTCGGTCGAAATCATCCAGGGCGACGCTCCCCCCGACCTCTTGTGTGAAGGTCTCCTTCTTAATGCAAGCTCCGTCCTCGCTCCTGCCCATTGTCTCTGGTACGCCGACCCGAAGTGCATCAATGTCCTGATCAACTGGAACGGAGAAATCATTCCTGTCAAGGAGATTGGGTTTGATCCGAGATATGATCCGAGTACTGGAGAGTTTGATGATGCCACTCTCATCTTAGCCCAGGCGGCTAATTTGGAACTTTTCCCTGAGCCTTCGACTACGCCTTTGTCTTCGACGAGTGCTGCTGCGACTACTACTTCCAGCTCTATTCCTAGCGCCATTCCCACTACCAGTGCCAGTGCCAGTGCCAGTTTAACTACAAGTGCCAGTGCCAGTTCCACTACCAGTGCCAGTGCTAGTTCCACCGCCAGCCCCAGCGCCAGCGTCAGTCTCAGTGTCAGTCTCAGTGCCAGTGCCAGTGTCAGCGCCAGTGTCAGCGCCAGTGCCAGTGCCAGCGCGAGTGCGAGTGCCAGCGCGAGTGCCAGCTCAAGCGCCAGCTCCAGCAGTGCGAGCGCCAGCTCCAGCAGTGCGAGTGCCAGCTCCAGCAGCGCCAGTGCCAGCTCCAGCAGTGCGAGCGCCAGCTCCAGCAGTGCCAGCGCCAGCTCCAGCAGTGCCAGTGCCAGCTCCAGCAGCGCGAGTGCCAGCTCCAGCAGCGCGAGTGCCAGCTCCAGCAGCGCGAGTGCCAGCTCCAGCAGTGCCAGCGCCAGCTCCAGCAGCGCCAGTGCCAGCTCCAGTTCCACTGCGGCTGCGACTACTGCAGCTGCGACTACTGCAGCTGCTACCGTGACCGTGACTCCTGTCCCGGTTTCTATCTCCGGTGGAGGAATTTAAGCCATTCCCTCCTCTACCCCATGATCGAAGTAGAACATAAAGCGCTTCGTACAAGTTCCAGACCATCAAAGTGGTCGTGGTCGCTTCGGGAGATCGTGATTGTTATTATGGGGATGCTATGGATTAGTGATGGATCGGTACTTATGGCTGTGGTTATCAATATTGCGCGTGCTGTTCATTTCCATACCAGGAGCCATACTTAAACAGAAAAAGGCGAGCAGATTTTTCTTCATTTCTGAGGATGGAAGCGGGCAACTTCGGGGCATCAACTTACTGGATTGTTCGGGATAGCGTTCTCTGGACAGTTTTTCTGGGAAGGTTACTACTACTAGGTAATAGGGACGATGATTGCCTGGTGGGAATGCTTGGTGTCACCGCAATCTGTCATGTCGACACAACTAATGTTCGCCTCTCTTACATGTTATGTAATAATCAATTAATGCGCGCTCTACCAATGGACCATAAGCAATACTGAGTTTTCAGGTAACAGTTTACAGCTTCTATTGAAGATATGCTAAAAAGCCGTGATTTCTCCAAAATCTAATGAGACATTGTATCTTTGTACGCGGGGCTTCCAGAGCTTAGAACTTGTAGACCTGGTCCGCGCTGTATCCAAGCTCCTTCAGGGCACCGCTCAGCTCACCCTGGTCCTTCGGGCTGACCTTGGGCCCACTCAGAGCCTTGTACATGGCAGGAGGACCACAGACAAAGATCTTAATGTTCTCCTCCTTGGGCTCAGGCATGACGGTCTTCAGGAGCTCCTTGGTGATGTAGCCCTTACCGCCGGTCCACTCGGGTGGGGGGTTGTCGAGGAGGTAGAAGGCCTTGAAGCGCTGGGGGTAGGTGTTCTCCAGCTCTTCCCACTCCTTCTTCAGAAGGATGTCCTGCTCACTGACGTTACCGAACACCAGGGTGACCTTGGTCTTGTCCTCGGGGTTCTTGAAGATGTGGCGGGCGAGCTGGTACATGGGAGTGATACCAGTGCCACCGGCAAGCAGGACAACGTGGTTGTGCTTGTTAGCCTCCCAAGGGTACTTGGGAAGGGGACCCTTAAAGTTCAGACGCTGACCAACGTTCATGCTGTGCAGGTGCTCGGACATGGGGCCGTTCGGATAGCGCTTGACCACGAGCTCGAGGTAACCCGGAATGTCTGTTCAATTGTGAGCGAATGCTCCCGATTATGATTCTTAAGGATCGGCAAATACCTTCATCGTTGGTGGGAGTGTAGGGACGCAGGATGGGCTTGGATCCATCCGGCGGCTGGTACTTGGTCAACAAGGCAGCTGGTGATATCTGTGAGCTTCCTGTTCGATAATTGATGCTGGACTGAACGACTCACAGGTGACAGGAAGGCCAGAGACAGCATCCTTGTCCTCGAACTCGAAGCGGAACTTCTTGGTGTTGGGGCTCAGCTCCTCAATGGCAGCGAGCTTCAGATCGACGAAGCCCTGGTCCCCGCCCTTGAAGACCTTGTCGCGGGGCTTCTCCTCAGCAGCTGCGCTGCCCGCGTATCTGTAGGTACCGACAGCCAGACCAGCCACGCCAACGGCGAGGTAGATCGGGGTCAGGTTCGCCTTGCCCTTGGGGGCTTCGGTCGAGTACTTGCGGAAGCTCTGCAGCTTGTCAGCAACGCACACTTTGCGGAGGGCGAGCCAGCCATTGTGGGCTGCTCTGCGCTTGGGAGAACTTAAGCGCTTAGGAGAACTTACCTGCTTCGCAGGCTGGCAGGTCCTGAAGAATTGACGGGCGAACATGTTGGATGGACTGTTCAGCGATACCGAGAGTTCAATGGAGGTCTTAAAGAATGGACAGGACCGGCAAAGGTGGATGTTTTGAGTTCCCGGGGAGGATTACTCATGACGCAATCTGGTAGGCTGCATGTCGGCTCCACATCCCTTGCGATCCGAAAGTTGGCAAAGGAATTATTCCGTCTTATAATTATTAATATTGTTGATATTAACTAGTTATATTATTATAATATTCTTATTAAATGATGCTTCAGCAGCAAATTGTCCTTGCTGTGTATTACATCATCCCAGAAAACTGGAACTACTATGGAGACTACAGAAACTGATACCTCCATGCCGCAGGTATGTGCCCATCCCGATGTATAACAGGGGATTCTCTAGCCTCCTTGCTAAGTTCATACTGCTTGACCAATTTTTCTGCTTGTCTATTGGGAATATCAGGGCAAGGATTTAGGATTTAGGATTTACTAGAACGAATTGGGTGGATCACCCTGGCGGAGAGAGCTGCAGCCAGTGCTTGCCGAATAACAAAACCCCGTTTTTTTAAGATGATATTTGAGAGATTCGCTGTAGAGGACTAAAGTGACATCGAGACCCTCCCTCCCCATACGCTGGGGGACTAGGCATATATTCTGTCTCTGTCCGGTCTTTGTCCTGCAAACATGCTATGGCCATAACACAGTCATTTAACCACACGTCTCGTTCCCCAAAACCCAAAACCTCACATTTACGCGAAAGTGGATGGGCGAGAGTAGGCGTACAGCTTCTTTCCGGCAAGCTTGGCGGAGCGGTGGGGCAGAGGGAACTTGAGGTTCTTGGTGAGGAGCTGCTTGATGTAGGGGCGGCGGATGGAGTCGGCCTTCTCGATCTCAACGACTTTGAGAATCTGCGGGGTTATCAGTATACCAGGTTCAGGAAGAAGAAATAGTCGGTGCAGATGAACGTACGTGGATGGAGCCGAAACGGGCACGGTGACGGGCAGCCATGTCCTGGTACAGAGCCTCAACGGCGTCGGTTCTGGACAGCTCACGGAACTCCTTGTACATGTTGTGGGTACCGGAGCGAGAGTCGTAGCGGATCCAGATACCGAAGTTCTTGACCTTGAGAGGGCGCTTCTCGTGGATCTGCATCGGTTGTCAGCGCTGTCTGGAATCGACCATTGTGCGCACTATCGGCCACGAAAACCCAGCGCAAGGTTACATACCACGTTGAGGCTGACGATCTCACCGTTGGCCTTCTTGACCTTTCGGAGCTTGGTCAGGAAGTACCAGAACCGCGACTTAGCGACCACATCGTTGGGCGCGAAGATGCGCATGCGGTACAGCTTGGGGGTCGGGTTAGCCTCGGTGGGCAGGTGACGCCCGATGACCTGGTACTCGTTGAGACGCCCTAGAACAGAGCGAGTCAGCCTGTGTTTCAACATCTCTCGAGTGCGATTTCAAGGCCTCGACTGGATCGCAAAGCCTTTGTGTGCTCCGGCGGCTCGTGTCATCGATTATTCGTGCGGTCGAGAATCCAGCGAATTGAACAGCGACGATATCCCATTCTTCCCTCAAATCCAACTCTTCCAACTTCGTTCAATAAGTCCCAATCCATTTGTCGTTTACCAAGCCCTCCGCGATTCACCATTTCGACTACTCTCTTTTTCCAGGCACGGCATTCTCATCTCTGAAGAACCGACGGGCACACAAAAACCAAATGCAGTGTAGGATGGAGGGAAATTACTCACCCATCTGGAAATCTGTTAGTAAACCGGTAAACGCTGTACAGTGATCTCAAGAAGCACTTACTTTGATTGAGGATGTGGTGGTTGAGTCTCGAGAGGTGTGCCGTTGACTGTCGCCAAAATTGAAGATTTGTGAACTTGTTGTGCTAGGGCTTGAGGCCCTCCGGTTAAGCGAGCGGAGGCTTGTACCCGCGCTAGCCGTTTATGGTGAACTAGCCACAGCCGCCGAGAAGGCCCCGATAGTCGATAGTCGCGCCTTTCCCCACAACCACATCAAACCACTCGATGTCTTCATCTGTTGGTGCTTCTTCTACCTATTTGATGGGGGTGATCTCTTCTTGAATAATAGACTCGTCATTCCTTTGAGGAAGCCTATACTGTCGTTTCTATCAGACCACAGCAGCGTAGCAATAAATAGCCACCAATCATGTCTGGAGGAAGCTCTGTATTTGCCGATTTCAAGGAAGCCCAGTCAGTCGGCTCTGGTCCTCGTTTGGCGGCAGCTCTCACTCCAGCTGCTCCAGCACAGTTTCCAGACAAGCTACGTTCCTTTTACTATTCCACAAATTCTGTGAATGTATCTTCGGATCTTCGATACACACTGTTCCAGGACCGGAGCACAGGCGTGAAACTGCCTAAGCAGGAACAGAATGCTTGGCTGGAAATATTCACTGCTTACTGGAAAGCGGTGGGGGAAATTCTGAAGGTCGAGGAGTCGCGCAGCAGCTGGGCCAAAGTATTTGATGCTTGGAAGGAAGTCGCCAATGTTCTCATTAGGGGTTACTCGAACGGCGGCCTCCAGGCCTGGACAGTGCCATGCTTATACGTGGTTGGACGATACCTACGCATATTTGCCATGAGGGCTGATGCTGAGACATCCTCGCAAGACTCAGGTTTTGGCAATGGATTCCAAGATGATGTCGTGGGGGAGTTCAACAAGAATGTGAAGCTAGAAGATGCCGCGCGAACAATCAACCGGATATTCACTCTTTGCCTCAGTGACAGGTACGCCATAGTGCTTAGAGAATCTCACTATATGGCTCTCGTTTACTGATAGAAAAACATAGAGCCCCAATTGAGGAATCACGGAAATGGGGTATATACGAGACTACGAACCTCTTATTCAAGACCTACTTCAAGGTAGGCTCAGCATCTAGACCCATATTCAGACTGATTCTAACATTTCCGTAGCTCAACTCTGTTGGGCTTTCCAAGAACGTACTTCGTGCATTGGATGCGTCTTCAGCCGATATGCCCGAGCTGGAGGCATTCCCCAAGTCGCACATAGTCACATTCAAATACTGCGTTGGGGTAATATGTTTCCTAGACGAGAACTATGCTGAAGTAGGTCGTATCGTTGCTAAGTTCACGCGGAGATGCTAATCACACCCTTCTCTCAGGCGGAAGAGCACTTGACCTATGCATGGAATCTCTGTCACAAGGATGCCTACAAAAACAAAGAGTAAGCCCGAGCAAGACTGTCTCCTAGAAGCTGGCTAATGTAGTTAAGGTTGATTCTTATGTACCTTGTACCTTGCCATATGGTGACAACTCACACCTTACCTAGCAAGGACCTGCTTGGCCCATTCCCTCGTCTCGAAAAATTCTTCCGTCCACTGTGCACCTGTATCAAAAAGGGGGATCTAGTTGGCTTCGATCAAGCCATGTCAGCCAACGAGGACGAGTTTGTCAAAAGACGCATTTATCTGCCTTTGGAAAGAGGACGTGATATTGCTTTGCGGAATCTCTTCCGCAAGGTCTTCCTTGCTGGAGGATTCGATCCGCCAAAGGAGGGCATGCCCCCTATTCGACGGACACGTGTTCCAGTCGCAGAATTCGCAGCGGCTTTGCGGATAGGGACACATAGCGAAGCTAAATCGCGAGTCGACTTTGATGAAGTCGAATGTCTCTTGTCCAATCTGATCTACAAGGTTAGTCTGATAATCTACTTGACTTCGCGCTTTTCACATGACTAATGCGTAACACAGAACCTCATGAAGGGCTACATCGCTCGTGACCGAGGCATTGTCGTTTTGAGCAAGAGCGGTAACGCGTTTCCAGGAACAGGCATTTAAAACTGCGTTAGGCCTATGGTCTATCGCTTATTGACTTTCAAGCATCTCGTGGTCCCTGCTTTTGCCAGGGTCTAGCCTCACATGTCCTGCTTAATGAACAGCTCTGTATTTGACAGAAAGAGCCATGTATTATGATATGAAGACTCATTGCATCTCAACAGGCTCATATAGACTTCGCCTGCGTGGGTCGGTCATCTTCTCCTCCCGATGGCCTCAAAAGCACCGGATCCAAATATTGGACTGGCTGTTGCTCTGTCTCTAAACCTGCGGCAGACGTGAATCGCGTGAGGCATCCTCGTCTACGTTTAACATTCAATACCACGCAGTCATCAACATACATGGAGCCCTGGTACCATTTTGGCAAGGTAGTATCACCCAGTTTTTGCTACTTGTCAAGTAAAGGTGACTACACCCACCCCAGCTAGAGCTTCTGCAGCTCAGGCTCTCGTGCCATAGCGGACATCTACTTAGGGCATACTCCTTGCAGGTATGGGGCATTCACAAAGAACACAGTTTACTTACATTACCTTGAGTGTGAGATACCCAGATAGAATTGTTATCAATATATATTCATAAGAGAACCTTATCAAAACTTACTCATTGCAACCATACAATTAACAAGAATAACTACGAGAAAAGTCCTTACCCAGCAAGTCATTGTTAGTTGACTAGTCGACTGAACAGATATATCAATCCATTAACGAACAAGATAAGCTCTATGTGAATCTCCTAACCTTGATTCAGTGTATGTGTAGCATCTTAAAGTTAAACAGACCGTAAGATCTACCACTCCAGAGAACAGTAGATTTTGTGTGTCCATCGTGTATGTACAATTGCTAGGAAAGTTATTGATTTCGTTCTAAGGGCCTAGCATATTCTAGAAATATTGCGAATTATCTTGATCTGGATGGATATGGAATTCATAATGTACGGGGGGATGAATAATGGATGATTGAATGTGAGATATATGAGTATTTATACGCGCGACTTAATATACCCTCTTAGAACTTTGATATTGGACGTTTTCTATTGTTGCCTTTTCTATGATGTCCCTGGAACTATGTAGAATAATAGGTAAAAAAGACTGCGGTGTCGAAGGCATACTACTTAATCGCGCGGGAAGGGCATCTCGCATCCGATAGGTAGATGCTTACAGGAGAGATTCCGGTCAGAAGCAGTAACGGATGCTACTACTACTACTGCAAGGTAGAGTGTGACAGTGCGATTTATGGTATGGCCGCAAGCATGCGTCGTGTTTGTCTCGTGAGGGGTATAGGAACTGATTTCAACTATGGTATAGCTGTGGTCGATCTCGACAAACTAGACATATAAGAAATATGGAATTGTTCTGGATGCTTCGGGATATGAGTGCGTACCATATTTATTATTCGGCCGAAATAGCTATATTGTATACCATACACACCACCCTTCATGAGAGCCATCAAGCGTCATTCTTCTGAAACAGAAATCATTGACCCAAAAAAGTAACGGAGAGCATCAGTCATAAACAAGAATAATTTGATCTCAACCCTTCTTTTAAGACGTGATCTGTTTATCACCCGTCTTGTAGGGGAGGTAAGAATGGTATTGTTACATGATCACATCATAATAATATATGAGAATACAAAAGAGATAGTACCGAAAAGCACGTTGCCTCTCCTCTTCTGATGGTTGACCACTGTTATATGTAGGTCCCAAACTCAAGAGGCAGAGGCAAGTAATTGTACAAATTGGGTTCCTGTGTTTATTAATATTTTTTTTCTCTTAAGGACGAGAGCCTTTTCGAGTAATCGTCAAACAAGGCCAGAGAGGAAAGCGTCGTAGATTGAGGGGTGTATGATCCGAGCCGTGAGATCAGGGTGGAGAGGAGAGCGACATACAACCGGTCATCGGAAATTAACGAGAAAAGGGAGACTTGGAGGCAGAGGCCATGTCGTCCTGTCAATTTCGTGGGTGTCAGCGAGGGTAGGAAACTAACAGGAGCAGAAACTAAGGAGGCAGAGCTAACCATATGGTTACACATCGCAACAAAAAGGTCGAAGAAGAGTCTCCCTCCTTGCTCCATCTCCATCTGCATTGTACCACTACGTTTGAAGGTAGATCTGCTACGGATGATCAAGGCGAGGTAGTGTGCGCGAAGCTTTGAATCGGTATCAGGTGTATTTTCGTAGGCATACCGAGCGCTTGCCAGGATCGTGCTGCATTGGATGCCGCACTGGAGGCCCTGTTTTCGCAGGGCGAGGCGTTTTAGCTCTTGAAGGCCGTACTTCTCTGCGGCACAGCTGTTGATGGAAAAGGGCGATAGTCAGAGATAAGGAAGATCATAATACAGCTATCTGGATGTACAGTACTTACTAGACAGCTGTGTCTTTCAAGATCACTGCTCCTGTCGCTTGATGGAAAATAGAGCATTCACTTGCATCGTTATCTGCTCCTGTGTTCTCCAAGTGCCAGTTATCACGACGTTTGTTATGAAGAAGTTTTGGATAGTAGTCTCCTTTGTAGAGATACTCGAGAACACAGGAGAGGATCTCCGGCTGCTCTTCCGGTAGGTCGATGCGTTTATTGTGGGTTTCCAGGAACTGCTCACGGCAACGGGCTTGGAAGAAAGGAGACGCGCCAAGGACGTCCTCGTGAGCAGCGAAGAGACGCTGGTCGGAGCCGACACAGATCGTAACGATTGCAGATGTGAGGGACCTGCTCCAGTCAGCAACTGCACATACCCGCGAATTTGCACGGTAACATGAACTCACTCCCCAATGGGAGCACTATCTGGTTTCTGCGAAGTTTCCAGGCGTCTTGAGCTTGAAGAATGCTCCTTGAAGGAGCGCTTGGGCCTGGAGGTTGCTTTCCCTGCGCGATACTTGGACGAGAAACTCTCAGAGTGGCTGTGGTTGTGAGATGGTCTCCTGGCAAACATGATGCAAACTGGATAAGGTGGCTTCACAGATCTTTGGCAGTCTGCTTTTTGAAGAAAGGAGATTGCCAGATGAAATGATAGCCGAAATCACGCCAAGTACCACAGCCAGTCTCACGTTATGTTTCCCGTCTGTCCAGAACGGGATCCAAAGGCGTCAAGCAGCGGAAGTTGAGATGGAAAGCAACGACCGCTAAACATGTCGCGCGCGGAAGGGAGCGAGGAGCCTGGTTTAAGTAGACCATTTCTCCGACCAGGCATACTTTTACTGCGTAACACTCGATGCCTGATAATGCCATCCGTATACGTGGATCAGGAAGAGGCGCTGCCGATCTAACATTCGCGACCGGGGACGCGTAAAGTGCTTTTCTCCAATCGCCAAATCGGCGCGTGGTCACGGGACCTGGTCTGCCAATCTATCCAATAACACTTCCACAAAAAGACGGCAATAGACAGGGGAAGCGAGGGACAAAGGGCGCCAGGAACAGGGAAGGTCTGACTAGGTGCGCCATGGCGGAATCATCAGACGGGATGTGCAGCAGCAGAGCTGTGTTGAGTATGGTGGCCAAGGGGCTGTGATTCATCGTCGCGGCCTAGAGCCTGGAAAGCCGGTTGTAGGTAGCAGTAGCAGAGGCCGCTAGACTGATAACCTGCATATTATCCGATAACTCTCTTTCATCCTGGACTATCTTACAAGCTCCAGGGACCGACACTCCAGTGGGTATCTGCTGTAAGTTACTAGCTTTGGCCATTATCATCATCTGACGGCGCGGCTGAAGCCTCGAGCGGCACAGTTCACCCTTCCAGGATGATCGTGTCTGGAAAAATGAAAACCTTACCAAAGGAAGAGCAAAGCCACTGATCCGATTTGCCCATGAGATGATCGATATTGTCCGGAAATGCAGCCCGGCTGTCGGCACGTCTCGAGCTATATAACCACCCATCCCTTGTCACATTGTTTTAGTCGACGGATCGCCAACTCACAGGCAACCATGAAACTCAACATTGAGAACCTTTTAGGCTTCGAGCATATCTACGAATCTCCTTCCGAAGACAAGGATGCTTGGCGATTCTGAAAGAGACCATTATTGGACATGGACTATAGACTTATGCAACCCACCGGTCGGTAGAGAGCTTATCATGAGCGACTAAGTTAAAAGCTTGATACGTGCCTGTGACTGTCTATGGTAATGTCTATTTCCGGCTGTTATAAAAATGTTATGTTTCATCTCAGCCTTAGAAGATCATACGCGTATACGATGATGGGAAGAGAACCATGTCTCAAGAACGAGTCATCCCGGGACGGTGACAACGCACGGTTGCATTGCTACTTATGACACGTCAGTAATTTTCTATCCGGACCATATTTATGACTCGTGCAGGGGACGCTCGAGTCGTCTTGATAATTTATGTAGACTGTATATAACTAAGTGTCGCCTCGTTCCCAACTAGTATAGTTGCGAGCTTTTTATTACCCGCAATCGAACATCTATCAGCCATGATCCCTTGTGCCAGTAGCATACACACTATGGCTTCCTGGCCTCTAGCTTTAATTCTATCTTGATTACAATGTCTCCAGCCGTATGGGGCTTGCTAGTTACAGTAACTGTCAGCTGCGTCTTACAGTAAGATCGATAATACCCGTGTAGAGAAATAACAAGAGAGATTCCCAGTCTTGACGCTTATTTCGACCTAAGGAAATCCGTGAAACGCAGCAGTCATTTTTATACTTAAAGACAATCTGATTCATTTAATGTAAATCATAGACGTAGTGTCCACCGGAAGTAGAGACACTGGAAGCCCTCCATAGACCTGGCCATATATGCAAAGAGAAAAAGGAAATTAGACCTCAAAAGCCTCGTCGAACCAGACGCCTTGACCTCCTCAAATAACACGACGAATAACCCGGAATTTGACCTCAACCCTTTCCTCCTGAGAAAGCGCCCGACCAAAAAGATAACCCATGCCTGACGCCACACTATACGCGCAAATTTCAATGGAGTCACAGGAGGACCTTTCTCGCTTCCCGTGGATGACTTTCGTTGGGGCAATAAGGGCATTTGAATCTGCTGCCCTTGCTCAGCCGCGTTAGAGATTCCTGCGCAATAACGTGTCCACACGGCATCATCATCGGCGGGTTCTGGTCCGTCGTCTGCTCCTTGGAAACGGGGCATACGAATATCGAATGGAACAGATATGACGGAGGGAGAGGGATTTCGACCTAGGGAAGAACCGGATGTCAGAAGCTGATACGACAATACTCTTCCGCGCCAAATACTTACGGGAAGCTCATTCTGAGTGGTCCACTCGGTTCGCTTGGTTTTCATAATCGTATGCAGCTTATAGAGCGTCGGCAGAGCGATCGCACCCGCAGTAGCCGCTATGTAAAGAGGCGAATCCGCAGAGAGACCCAGAAGTGAACAGAATTCACGAGTAAAAGTATTTGCAACATCAGCCCATGCCGATGGATTGTTGAAAATCGCTCTATACGGCGACTGCTCCAAGTTGGGGCAGAAAGCCATCGCACCGACCAGCTGCTGGACCTCCCCAAGATATCTAGGAATGAACGTCTGGAATTCTTTCCTCGCATATTCCAAGGCGGCATAAGGGCCTGTCGTACCCGACGCCGGTCCTTCTTTTCCTCCATGGAAAAGCCATATGAACTGGAGCCTGCAAAGCTCAAACTCAAGGTTACTCCCTCTCATCTCCAGCGCATGTCTGTTTTCTCGAGACCACTGGATTGCGGGTAGTAGGTTGTACTCTTCCTTCAGCTCGTGAAGGATGTGATACATGGTGGCGAACTGATTTCGGATTTCGCCGGACTGCACTTGATCAACATCAAGCTGCATATCGATATCCTCTATTGACACTGAGGGGTCCAGCTGTGGTTGCGCGGGAGCCTTCTTATCCGCTATCTCCTGCAGAAACGTCGACGCCACAGAGAACTGTCCCTCTCTTAGAAGATGCATCGCGATGGCTCGGTTGACAAGAGCTGGCTGCGAGGCTAAGGCATCGTGGTCATTTTTTGGGAGGGGCTTGTCTTTGAACAGCTGTGTAGCAAAGATGCTGGTGAGATGATGGTCCAAGGTTATCGATTTAACATCTTGCGTACCTTATCCAGCGCCTTCCCATACTTATTCAAACCACTATGAGTCTCCTTCAACCCCTCATTCATGCCATCGAAAGACGCTTTCACTGGGTTCTGTAGCTTGGCCAAAGTGATCGAAGCTTTACTTGGATCTTCACAGTCGAAAATTCCGTTAGCCACACTCCGTAAGCAGCTTGCGCAGTCGCTCTCTTATCGACGGGGAAAAAGGAATCGAATAACTTACCCGCAGCGATAGTGTCGCGGGCTTCCTGTAGCATATCGATAGTGGCCTGCACATCCTTGATGTTCTTCGACGACTTGAGTCGTTTCCAGAGCCGCTCGTGTTCCTTCTGTAGCTGGTCCATCGTGAATCACGCCCGAGTCGAATACCAGCTTCGAGATGAATAGTTACCGCCGGCGATGGACAGTGAATGTAGAACGATCCATATGCCTGGAGAAAAAGACTCGTAGATCGCTGGGGCCTGCCGCAGTTCCAAGCATCAACAGAGAAGAGACCTGCGCTCCTGGGCCTAATAAAACCACTTGGTGGTGGTCATGAACGTGGATCATGCTGTCGGTTTCGAACTTGGGCCCAACGGCGGCGGTTCATCTCCGGCTAACGGAGGTTGCGGTTTAGCCCAGTCTCTCCAATGTCGTCACTGGACCGGCTTCCCGTGCGCGGCGCAGTCCGTGATCCTGAGAGAGACATGACAGCTATCCTCTCCCACGGCCATGAAGGCCTTCGCTGCCGTCGTCTGCGTACCCTGACCTATTTCTATTCTGTTGTCGACAGGACACCTTCCGACCTCAGATATGCCACTGTTGTCAACCGTCTGGCAACAGTGCAAGACCCCGCAAGGGTCGCTCGATCGTTTTGCTCCACCTTGACATCGCCTGGAACGCGGTTTTACGAAGATTGCCAAAGGCTACAAGTTGAGGAAATACAGCGGTCTGTATTTCTCCTCGTGGGACATCTCTCGCTATCATGGCTCCCCCGGTCGAGCAATCGACACCGCTGGCGGCCTCGGTCACCGCCAGTACGGGGCAAAACAGCAAAGTAACCCCGTCGTCAGTGAGCGACAAAGAAACGAGAGCGGCGTCATCTACTCGCGGTCCAAGCATTGACTCTCCTCGACATGAGCACTGGAGATTTGTCTTTACGGATCCAGTCGCATTCCGATACTTGGAGGAGGACCCATTGACAGTCGTACTGCATCGGCGGACCACGCTCCAAGGCTATGAGATCTATCTGGTAGAACAATGGGCTTGTTCCAGGGTTCATCCAACCTTCATAATCACAACCTACACGGGAGATCCGTCTCATACTGTCGTGGTTGGTGTGCTGAGTGTCCCGACAGACGAGAGTACTTGGTCTCCGCGGTTGAAGCTCTACTTCCAGGCGGTGACACAATACCACGCTCGGAAGAATGACACGCCGTTGGGCACGCTGATGGTGACCAATCTGAGTGCATTTCCATCTGTTCTGACTGTTATTCCTGTTCCAGACGGCGATGTTAAGAAACACAGGGATGACTTCATTGTCAATGAAGACCTAAAAAGACTCGGTTGTTCAGGTCGGGCAGGATTGAAACTGCAACCTCCTTCTCCAGCCACAGAAGCAAAGTTTCACCAGCTTTACCGGACAAGCGAACGGGTGCCAATATACAGTGCGGTCATAGAACTCGTGAAGCAATGCCAACTGGCTCTGATGATCTTCGACAAACTGGCTGCAGAATATGTGGACGGATTGCTGTGCGATGTGACGGAACGAGCGATAAACGACTGGTGGACGGATATTGGGACAGATCTTTACAATATCGAACCCAGTGACGGGATCCTGGGACCCACGACAGTTGCTGCCCTGTTGGGGACCTTGATGGGCGCTCGAAACAGACTGCATGCATTCGGTGCTCCAGTGGGCAAGGATGCGTTTGACATACCAAGTCTCAAAAGAGGGATCGGGAGTTTCCAAAAGTCTCAGAAACTGAACCGCACAAGACGGCTAGATAGACAGACGCTAGATAAGCTTCATCGCGTGACTGCCAAAGCGGCCAGCTCAGAGGGCTGGACCGATGCAGTGAAGTCTACCGTTGCGGAACTCAGTGGGAAAGGAGGCGAGATGGTGATGGGCATGGTAGGTGGAAAGGACAAGGCCGGCATAGCTGACATTGAAACGCTTGACTTGGATCGCTTTGCGCAACTTGTCAACGGACAAAGAGCCAAATGGCTATGGCGTGGTAAACGCTCGAAGACCGGTGCGTTCGGAAATGATCCAACAACAGGGGAGATGGTTTTTACTAGAGACGATCAGGGTGGCTATCTTTGGACAAGTCGCAGGCGACATTCAAACGAAGACCTAGCCCCTGGACGTCCGACTCCCGAGGTAGAGCGTCCAAGCAAGCCACAGGAGGTAGCTGAAATGACGGAGGATAGAGATCAACAACCGACTAGGGGTGTCCTTAGGGGTGTCAGTGGAAAAGTATCCGATGCTCGAATAGGCTTCGGCAGATTCAAAGAAGCAGTTGGCCTGCCAGGACTTCGCTCACATCACCATCACAAACACACCAAAGAGGGCGTCGATCTGGAAAGTGACCTCTCTTACACTCCTACTTTTGACAGTGATACAGAAGGCCCAACCACTAAAGAGAGCCATAAGCTGGCAAACCAGCTTGGGCAACAGCTCAGCCCTCGTCAACAAGAACAGAATGGCACCGTCGAAAAACAAGCCAGGCCACCAGATATCACTGTTTCCTCTGAGACCGGACCCCCAGAAATCGCTGTTCAACCTATGACCCCTGTCCAGGAATCGGTGCCACCAGACGATGAACGAGGAGATAAGCAAGAACTACTCTTCCCACCGGACGAGAACGACGATGACCGACTTGAACTCATCAAGTCATACTCCACCGAAGGTCCTTCAGACAGAGAACAGCTGGCTGGCCTGAGTGCCCGAATTCTCAGACGCTCGCAGAGCTTTTCGGCACCCCTGCAGGAGAGAGACAGTAGCAAGGACTCTCGTTGGCCGCGCCACTTGTCATTCAGTACTGTCGAGGAGATCGTGCTCGTCTGGGAAGGAGTTCGGGGCAGTAGGACCATGAAAAGGAAATCCGACGCTGGTCTGGAGGGTGCAATCCTTCAAGAGGAAATATTGACCTCGGATACGCAGATTTTTGGGTCCAGGATCCTCGAGCTGGGCCAAAGGACTCTTCCTTGGGTCGAAAAGCAGGTTGACGCTGTGGACAGTCTAAATCAGAGGGCCAATTCCCGTCAAGAGGAACTAGGCTCTATCTACCTAGAGCTACTGCACCAATACCAGAGCCTTCGAGAAGAGTCGGGGACTCTGCTGGCCAAGGAGAGCTCCGACATTACAGAGGGCCTTAAGCAAGTCGAAATGCTGGGAGCGAAGCTGGATTATGAGCTTAACGTCTTGGAGTCTAGAGTGGAAGACGTCGAGGCTGGGCTGGAAGAGTTCGAACGACACGTCATAGAAATTGAGACCAGGACAAAGGACTTGATCCAGGGCGAGAAAGGGAGAACCAACTCCTGGTTTTCTTGGATGCGCAGAACACTAGAGCATATAGTTTCATGATCCCCATGCATCCACAGAGGCTCTTTTCGAGATGTCTCGCAATGGTTCTGCATTCCCATATACCCAGTAATGTACATAAAGCGAATTTGCATGTCCCCTGCGCCGCATACCGCCCAACCGGCGGCCTGCCTCGTCTAGATAGACACAATCAATAGCGAAAAAAAAAAGACATCGGATATCCACATTGTTTTGTTGCAGAACAGGCGCAAACGAGATTAGCAGCCACTAGACACGTCATTATCCCAAAGACCCATCTGCCTACCAGTGGCATATCATTCCGTCTCGGGCGCATCAAAACAAGCGTGAGACAGGATGCAGCTGAATCCACCCCTCATAAATGGCCCATCGTAAGATTTAACCACTTTTTCTCACCTGTTGTGATCATGGCGAAGAAGAGGCTTTACATGAGGCCCATGCCACCCTGTCTGCCGGCAGCCTCGCCCTGCATCTTCTCGCTGACCTTGATGTTGACTTCGAAGAACTTGCCCACACAGCGGTCCAGGCAGACGGACTCGCCCTTGTTCAGGTCACCTTCGCGGTAGTCGGTAGGAATGCACTTCTGAACGCAGGACTGGGTCAGACTGGAGTAAGTAGCAGACGTTAGCCCAAAAAGGTCGCTAGAACATATATTGCGCATTTCTCTCGAATAAGCTGCTACTTACCGGTTGAACATATCGGAAACCATCTCGACCTCAGTCTCTGCAGCGGCAATCTTCTCCGCAGAGGACAATTGGGGGCGGCCACCGAAGAGGAAAGACATGTTGAATAGATGGAGAAGTGAGAATTAGACAGATGGTCTGAGTGAGGTAGCAGGGGCGAATGTATGTCCTAGTCAGGTATAAGAATCAGTGATTTCTGTAGATAAACAGATACTCAATTGTACGTACTGTCAAGCTTGATGCTGTGTCTTTGACCTTGATGGAAGCTTGAGGGCTCTGAATCTGTCTTCAGCGAGCGCGGCGAACGGGCGGACTCGGGAGTTGGAGCTTGGACCACCTCCGGAGCTGGACATCTTTTTTACGATCCGCGTCAAAGAACTTCCTCTTCGTTCCTCCACCACACAAACAACCCTTCACAGTCAGTTTTGCTCAGTGCTGGTCTCTCTTGAGCAGATGTTGGCTCTTCGCCCCAGGTGGGCATCCCAGCACTGCCTGGAACAATTTACGTATAGGTAAGCATTGATTGCACGTATATTCCCTCATTTTACCCGTGTTCATTTCACCCTTCATATGATGAGACAACCCCTCTTTTACAGAACCGCTGCGGATGATGCTTGGTCTTTTTGGCTAAGCAATGATCACAACCGGTTATATTATCTCTGACTATTGTTACATTGAAGTCTCTATTTCTCGAGAAAGACTTTTCTATGAGCCTCGCTGACAGTTGGCGCACAGTGCAGGGTTATCGACCTCTCGAACCCTATCCCAGGTTCCTCGTACTACATCTAGATATCTACTCTGTATCCCAAGATATTCCAGCACCGCTGCTTCTCCTGAGAAAGCTTTCAAGGATCGGATACAGGAAGTCAGGAATGCCTGTCCTGAGCCGTATCCTCGCCTTGCAATAGATAGTCGCACACTGAGCTGCTCAGAGTTCCGCTCTAGATATCAATATCTAGCCAATAATGAAACTGCTGAAGGTCACACTGTCGCTGTCAATGGTATGTGTCGAATTTTCTAAGTCGTAACCAAAAGAATAAAATTTGTACTTAGATTAGTAGGTAGGATACGTACCTACAGACTTGCCGGGAGCAAATTGATATTCTTCGATATCATTCAAGATGGCCAGAAGGTGCAGGTTATGTGCAACCAGCGCCGCCTGGATGGCGTAAGCCCAGAGCAGTTCAAAGGCTTCTATCGGCTACTCCGCCGCGGTGATGCTTTCTGTATGTATATATGAACCTCTGCGCAAGGTCGACGCGAGCGAGGCTGAACGCGTTATTGTAGCTGTAACCGGAACACCACAACGGACGGGACGAGGTGAACTCACGATCGAAGCCACCGAGTTGCCAAAGCTGTTGTCCCCGTGTCTGCATGACGTGCCACTCGACGCGAAGGGGCATGAGAATTCTCCTTATGCTCGCCATGTCCAGTTCCTCGCGGACCCGACGACAACTCATATACTCAGAGCCCGGTCGGAGATCGTCCAGTATCTACGACAATTCTTTCTCGATCGGTCCTTTATGGAAGTGAACACGCCTATAATTGCTACCGATGCTGGAGGAGCCGTTGCGCGTCCTTTCTACACGTCTGCGACGGAGTTCCCAGACAGAACTCTTTCTCTGAGGATCGCTCCAGAGCTATGGCTCAAACGCCTGGTTGTCGGTGGTTTCGATAAAGTGTTCGAAATTGGACCTTCTTTCCGCAATGAAGGTGAGTTTTACAAGTGGGCAATCGTGCAACGTGTTTTGTGCTGATGATGAAAAGGACTGGATAAGACACATAACCCCGAATTTACAACTTGCGAGTTCTATTATGCCTACGCTAATCTGGAAGTTCTCATGTCGATGACGGAGAGTCTTTTGTCGGGGATGGCAGCGCATATCCGCGAATTCAAGGAAAAGAGTGCAGAAACGTTGCACCCGACAGAAGTCGACTTCTCAACCCCTTTTCGCCGGATTGACTTTATCCCAGCAATCGAGGAGGCCATAGGTCGCAGTCTACCCGATCTTACCTCCCCAGGGGCTGCTGAAGAGATCAAAACTCTTTTTGGAGAGCTCTCTCTCACGGTCCCTGAGAACCCTACCCTTCCACGGCTAATGGATGAGCTCTGTGCAACTTATATCGAGCCCCAATGTCAGGATCCAACATTCATCATCAATCCGCCCGAGTGCCTATCCCCTCTCTCGAAGTCATTCAACCACCCTGTCAACAACCAACGTGTTGCCGCGCGTGGGGAGCTCTTCATCGAGGGCAAGGAAGTGGTCAATACATACGAGGAGGAGAACTCTCCGTTCGAGCAGCGGAAGAAGTTCGAAGAGCAGCTACAATACAACAAGGCAGCGAATGAGCCTGGAAACGTGGACGAAAGCTATCTGCAGGCGCTTGAATGGGGTCTTCCCCCCACTGGAGGCTGGGGTTGCGGTGTTGATAGACTATGCATGCTTTTCACTGGTGCGAAGAGGATATCAGATGTGCTGCCCTTTGGCAACCTGCGGGCTGTGACTAGGCGACGCGATCAACAGTCCGGTTCTGAGTCAGATCAGTGATGCTATACTATTTCTTGTCAGCGTCTAGAAGTTCCGCGGTTTGTCCAATGTCCGCATAACGGACATTTTGTATACTAGTGTACCGATTAGGATATTGCAATACCCCAATGCCATGAATGATTGTTCAATATATATGAATCAGTTCAGTTGACGTGTCGTGTCGTGTCCGCACGGGGGATTTCTGGAGATAACATTTCTGTTGCTGGAGTAGAGAAGAACAAGCCTTATCACGATATATCCCCATGGAATGCATTGAGAAGAGTGATTTCCAGATGAACACAATCCCTTCTCAACTACAAAAAAAATTCGGTATCTATTCATATGGATGAAATGAGATTTACCCCATTTGAAGAAGCTAATAAGAATACACTTACCCGCTCTTTATCACCAAAGACAAGTCTCTGTCGGGGCGGGCCGCGCCTATGAGCGGATTTCCTTCGGGACGCCGAGTCCAACCGCCGCCCGTGCGGCGGGGGAGGGGTCTATATCATGTTGATTTCTGCTTCAAGTTTTGTCTCCCCCCCTCAATTTCTGCACAGCATCTCTATGTATAGCGTATATATCTGCTAAAATGGATCCAAAGAGCGTGACGCACGCGCAGGCGGTTACGGTGAGCTTGAAGGAGCTTCTTGATGGTGAGTTAAGTACCTTATTTGGTGGTAATCTTGGCTGGCCGCAGATAAAAAAGAAGAAAAAAAGAAGAAAAGGATCAAGAAGTCGAGTTTCAGAACACAAATTCGCTAATTTTGTTATGTATTGTCCAGGAACTGTATCTTTCGAAACCCTTTCTGAAGCCTTTGGACCTTCATCTCTGGGTATTATCGTCGTGAAGGATCTTCCTCCGAAATTCAAGGATCTCCGCGCTCAAGTGTTATCCAACGCTTCATATCTGGCTGCACTTCCTGAAGAGGAATTAGGTAAGATAAAATAAAATTAGTCCCTTATCTATCTTTCCAGAGCCCTTTTTTTTCCTTTTTCTTCTTCATGTTCCTCCTTATCAGAGTTAACTTAGGTAACGTAACTAACCACCACCCACAGAATCCCTCACCAGTCCAGAATCCAAATACCTCGTCGGCTGGTCCTGTGGGAAAGAAACCCTCCGATCCGGCCACTTCGACACCCTAAAGGGCTCCTACTACGTCAATTGCGCATTCTACCAAAACCCCGAACTGCAGAATGCCCCCGCGGAAGGATTCCCTGATTTCTCACAGTACACGGCGCCTAATATCTGGCCGCCACAGGACCGACTGCCTACTTTCCGGAAGAGTATCGAGGATCTATGTACTTTGATCATTGATACTGCGGCGTTGGTGGCGAGGGCTTGTGATCGGTATGCGTTGGCGAATATTGAGGGGTATAAGGAGGGGTATCTTGAACATGTGGTGAAGACGAGTTTGACTACGAAGGCGAGGTTGTTGCATTATTTCCCTACTGTTGGCAACGATACTTCGGAGGAAAAGAAGGAGGAGGAGGGGGAGGAAGGAGATGACTGGTGTGCCACACACCTCGACCACGGCTGTCTCACAGGTCTCACATCCGCCATGTTCATCGACGAGGCCGCTCATCCCATCGACCCAACTTCCACCCACCCTCTACCTGAACTATCTCAATCCCCTGATCCCTCCGCGGGACTCTACATCCGCTCTCGCACAGGCGAGATCGTCAAAGTCAATATCCCCAAGGACTGTCTGGCGTTTCAGACTGGTGAGGCGCTGCAGCTTATTACGCAAGGGAAGTTCCGCGCTGTGCCGCATTTCGTGAAGGGGGCGAAGACGAGTGGTGATGCGCGTATTGCAAGGAATACGTTGGCGGTGTTTACGCAGCCGAATTTGGGAGAGGAGGTTGAGGCTGGGAAGACGTTTGCGGATTTTGCGAGGGAGGTTGTTGAGAGGACGTATTGATTTTGTTTTGATATCAGGGGAGTTTTTGGTACTGCTGTTATTTGTCGTTATATATATTATTTGAGCGAGATATATATATATATATATATATATATATATAAGCCAAGTCGAATGCGTGGGAAAGAAGAAATCCTGATCTGGTCAATTTAATACTCTATTATTGTACAGTACATACATGAATTTGTTTTTTTGGCCTGGGGGGATAAAAATGCAGTGTTAATAGTAAATGCAACAACAATTTCAAGTGAAACTAGCTCGTAGCTAAGTAGCTGGGTTTTTTTGTAACCGACTGAGAGCAACCAACCGACCAAACTCCAGGGATGTTTTATCATATGGTATCATACCATGGCCCTATTCAGTGGGATATTAAAGATACAAGCAATAGTAAAAAAAAAGGAATAAAGAACAGCAACGTTCGTCTCAATCGTCAAGTCGTTAGAGAGAGCGAGAAAAAGAAAAGGGGATGAGAAGAGGTTTTACGCGAAGGGGATATCACCCAAGGCGTTACCGTTCTGGGAGTCAGCGATGGAGTCTTCATCGTCGTCCTCATCTTCGTCAGAGTCGTCATCCTCTTTGGAGTCTTCAGAATCATCATCGTCGTCGTCGTCATCGTCATCGTCGGAGGAGTCGAGGTAACCGCCAAGACCGCGACTGACGAGGCTGCTGGTCTTGCCGACCTCCGCAAAGCTGGACCTGGAAGAGTTGGCAGCAGCTGGACGTCCACGTTCCATTGGGATCATGGCGTCGCGAAGATCGTTCTTGTTGTAGTTCCCGTCGAGACATTTGAGGATGGCGCGCCACATCTTGGGGAGACGGGCAGCGCTGTATTTACCGACATCATCGCCGTTAAGGGAATCGATTGCCAGGCTCTGGGTGCGGTAGTCGCCCCAGAACCAGTCCTTGCCTTCGGGGATGCGGTCATCGCGCTGGCGGGAAAACCAGCGAGCGTAGACGACGCTGAAGAGGTCAAGTCCGAGATGGGCGGGTTCCAGCTGGTCGGTCCGCATGTAAAGCTTGAGCGCTTCGGGGTTGAAGAGACGGCCGATCACCATGTCCTGCGAGATTTCAGACTCCAGGTTCGGATCGTGCTGGTGGTACCAGTTTCCCCACCCAGCCATTCCGACGTCTTTGAAGACTTGGACGATCTCTTCTTCACTGAGTGGCTTAGGGGGACCAGTCTCGCCCGGTGGACGGTATGCACGTTCAGGGGAAAGAGTGTACATTCTACCGTCGAGGCGCACGGTGTGCTTCTCACAGAGTAGGGGTGACTTGGGATCGTCGATGCAGTTATTCAAATCCATGCGAATGTCGGTAATAACCAAGACATCGGTGACTTCTCCCACGGGGTTGTCAAGGCTGTAGCCCCTGGGCTTGAGACGGACAACGTCACCGACCACGTAGAGCTCCGCTCCGATCCAGATGCCGCAACAGTAGATAGACGCGTTAGGCCAGTTACCCTGGAAAGCATTCTTTCCAAGGAGACTGAAAGAGGACATGACAGTGAGAGCGAAGACGATGGAGACGTGCCATTCGGTGTTAGGGATTCCGCTAAGGCAGAAATGGTAGTAGTTGAACGGCTTGATCGAGTTCAAGTGGACATATCTGTACTGAAGGGAGTGGTCCTTGTCGAGCGAGTTCGGGTCAGGGAAAGTCTCGATGCGGAATCCGGAGTAGTTGACCTCCCATTCCTTCTTGGTTGGCTTCTCGATGTCCTGCATCTTGACGGGATCCGTTTCGGGGACCTGTCCGACGGTGCCGGCCCTCCATTCAGGGGTACCAAGCCACTCATCCTTTTCAGGATCATACATCTGGATAACACCCTTCTCCTCGTTGTAACGAAGCTCTCCCTGGAGATGGGGGATCCACATAACCAGCTCGCCCGCACGAGGGATCCAGGAAGGCTGGACGTCAAGAGCTTCAAGGTAGGGCGGGAGGTGCTTCTTCAAGACCCTCCATTCGATGTTATCCATCTCCTTGATCTTGAGATCGACCGGTTCGCCTCCCTTTTCTTTGAGCGTCTGTACGGCCATCTTCCAGACATCCGGATTACCTTCTGGGTCAACAGGGGTCCCGCGAGAACGGGAGTAGCCCGGGAGATATCCCTCCCCCAAAGAGCGGCCTGTACAGCAGGTTAACACCATAGGAGTCTCATAGGAAGGCAATATAATTCTTACCCTTGGCCGGCTCGGTCTCCTTTTCCTTGCCTTTCATCTTCGAACCCTGGGATTCTCTTTTCCGTTGGTTTATGCAAAGATCACACCCGCAGTCGCCCTGCTTCCCAGTGATAAACCAGTAAAAGTGGGGGAAGAATCTATTCGGAGAGTTGAAGTACGCCCCTGAAGGGTGTCCCCAGAGATATTTGTCACGCTATTCGAGCGATATCAGCATCAGGGAAGAACACAACTCGGTCAGCAGAGCAACATGATATCAAGATATACGTACGATCGTGCTGTCAGACGGACGCGGCTTATCAAAGAGAGCGTAGCCTTCAGGAAGCCTCTCGAGGATGTAGTTCTCTCCTGTTTAGGTCGCGTTGAAGCATTAGCTAGGAGAAGAAGGACGACGCGTCGTTGTGGGAGATGAACTGAACGCTCCGAGAAAAAGACGCTAAGCATAACAACCACCACAACATGGCCAGCAACAGGTAACAAAGAGATCGGAAAGAGATGCCGAATTAATCCGACAGTAGGGCGGTGTGATTTTATTTTCACACATAGGCTGTAAACCTGTAAACCTTTCACAGTCCATAATGCTTCATGAACAGAACGCCCTCCACGATGGTCACTGTAGCCGTTGCTGACAGGATGGCACAACGGCCTCCTGTGCCCTGAGGATATGATATATTCCATGGTAGCAAGGCTCCTATATTGAGACTTGGGTCGAAAGCTAACCATATCAGAGCAGAGAAGTTGAACAACTCGACCGCGGAGACAACAGGGCCACCATGATACCAGCAAGTCTTCCTACAGAGAAAAGCAGAATGGAAATCAAAGCAGACAACAAAGCCAAGGACATTATAAAAGAAAAGCAAGAAGCAAGAGCAAGGGCAATACAAGGTCCTTGAAGAAGAAGGTGAAGGGGAAAGGGGCAACCAAAAAAACATCATACAAAACAACAACACTCCAGCACACATGCACACAAAATACGCCCCTTCTCAAACATCAAAAAGCACAATCAAAGAAAACGAACCAGAACAGAACAAAAGCAAAGGTAAGAAGAGGTTGCTTACCAGGCTCATACTCATTTCTCTTGAGCATCCACATCTTCGCGGTTTTCTCCCTATACAAGCTATCATCCGGACGGTGATAGTTTGGATCCTTCGGCCAAGTCTCCTTGTCCCCATCACTGAGGGAGTGATCGAGCGGGACCTGTGTCCATTTGATGTTGCTCTGAGACAACGCCATTGGTGCTTGCAACTTCTCAGGAGAACTTGAGCTGCATCGAAGTGAGCTACGCTCTGGGGATGAAGATTCGAGTCAGAAGACCCGGGTGAAATGAGGAGGTCTCGAGCCTTGCAGAGTATTTTGTTGTGTTTCAGATTGGCCGACAAGCAAACCAAGGTGATATGATAATGAATGAATGGTCCAGGTCTGTCATTTATTATGGTTACGGATCTAGACTAAATTCACCAAAGAAAACGCCCGGCGGCAAGTCGGAGTTTGGGCAGCCTGGCGGTGGATTAGAGGTCACATGATATGGAGAGCAACTACTGATCAAACAAGGGGATTATTGAGCTTCTGGGGTTTCACTTTGGGTCTAGGTCTTGAATTGAAGGTTCTCTCAGCTCCGTGAAGGTAAAATTCCAAAAATTCAGTTCACATTGGTTGTTTTGACATCTTTGGCATCTGAGGGGAAAAGTTCATGGATCCCGCACCCGATTCGTCAATCCTACAAGGCCGCTACAGCATGCATGAGGAACTACAACTATAACAGATCTCTGCTATTGAAATCTCATGAGAATAGGTGAACTATTCTGTGCAGGGTGGTGTACTGAACATTCACGTGAAGGTTCCTGAAATTGGAGGACTTTGGATATTCTTATAAAGAAGGCTAATGTGACTAATATATGGCTAGTGAGGGTTTGTTACATGGTCTTCATACATTTCATGCCAAGGGGATCGTTTAGTTCTGACTTGGTTCTTCTACAGATTGCTCCTCCGCTGACACGGCGTCATCTTCTGCTTCATAAGGTGGAGGGGCGAGCTCTCCCTCCTCGACCCAGACCTTGCGCAGTTCGTTCTCAATCTCCTCTCGGCGCCGCTTCCACTCTTCGACCTTATCCAAGCGCTTGCGCAGTTCCTGCAGCTCCTTTTCAACGCCGAGTTTCTCCTTTTCCGTTCCAATTCTCTCGAATTCCCATTCATCGCCTCGCGGGCCCAAACCCAACGTGAGGGTGAAGGTGTGATATTTCTTCAAAGAGGCGCGGGTCGAGATCGTGATCAACGTAATTCCCTTCTCCTTTGCCCTCTCATAGAGTAGGCCCTCGACATCTGACGAGACAGCAGATGTGCCCTCGTCGACAAAGGCATAGCTTGGCTCGTGGTACAACAGCCGGGCCATGCCCATCCTCTGCTTCTCGCCTCCGCTGAGTACATCCTTCCATTCTTTTCGGCAGTCCCAGCCGCCTTCGCGGTCGGGAAGGTAACCGAGATGCACTTCTTCGAGAATCCTCAGAAGCTCACGGTCCGTCCTGCCCTTATCACGCATATCCATCTCGGTATCTGGGTAGATGACCTGGTCACGCAGAGTTCCGACGCTGAGATAAGGCCTTTGGGGTAAGAACATGATACCATCGGTGCCGAATCCGCGCGGCTTGCTGACCAGACCGCGGTACACCGGCCACAAACCAGCAACGACACGGGCGATGGCCGACTTTCCGACTCCGTTCGGACCGGACACGAGAAGATGTTCGCCAGAGTGGACAATGAAGGTGAGGTCCTCAAGCAGCTCGTCACCTCCGTGAGGATAGAGAGCAGGTGCTACAATAGGAACGTGCTCGAGACGAACACCATCAAAGCCATTATGGATGGTTCCCTGAACATCAGAGAGGGAATAAATTTCGGGATGTGTTCCACGAGGCTGGTAGTATGCGTTTGCATATACGCGATGCAGGGCCGAAATGAGCGTGTAAACCCGCGACGTGTAGCCGGCCAACTCGGACAGATCCTTGATGCTATACATCATGCGACCGCCGGCGTCTGCCAGAGACAGCATTAGCCGCTTGTTCGTAATGAATTCCTTCATACGGCCGCGCTCCCGATGGGACTCCTCAGCTGCATTCGCCAGTTCCATGACTCCACCAAGACCGCCCCATGCTGGAAGGAACACGGGTAGCGAGGTGATCAGGTACCCGAAAGCTGACCAGGAATATTTCAAGATAATATCCTCGATCATGTTGTATCGTATCTTGAGACTGTAAATGCCTTCCATCCATCGTTGCAAGTCGCCAAAGCTCTTCACCAGGAAGATCCGCTCAATATCGGAGCCGCCATAGAAGGCGACCTCTTCCGCGTTGGCAAGCAGACGGGTGTGCAATCCTCTGAAATCTCCTTCCTTCTTGCCTTCCACTGCCTTCAGTTTGCCAAATGGAGGTGAAAGTTTGCGGAGGACAACCGCCGTGCTGAAGTAACCGCTGAGAATGCCAGTCAAGGCCAGAGGGCCTAGAGATCGGTAGAGCTGATAGTTGAAGACAAACAGGTCAACCAGCGGCTTTCCTATCGAGGAATAGAGAGCGGCAGCGGAAGAACAGAAGAGGGTGAGATCCTGGGTAATGAACTGGTCTGCTCCTTGACCCACACCACCGTCCAGATTCGACAGTTTATAGTAGCTCAGGCTGTCATTGAGATAAAGGTCGTGAATGTACCTAGTGAGCCGCGTCCGGAAGGCGATCGAGACCTTCGACTGAAGGAACTTGATCATAGCGTTTGTGTACGATGCGAACGTTCCTATACCGCACCATTTAATGATCCCCCAGATGAACGCTCGCCCCTTCCCAGCAACGAGATCTCTCACGATCTCACCGTCTAACCGGGCAATCAGCAGGGATAAATAGGTCCGCAGCAGCAAAAACATGCCGTGACTTAATAACAAGCCCGTCTCTTTGCTGTGCCATCGAGGAATCATGATGCTCAGCAAGCTAAGGAACTGGTGAAGAAACGCCAGGTTCAATCCTGGCTTGGTCGATGGTGGAGGGATCTCACTCAAGGGCTCTCCGTCAGTCATTCGTGCGGATCGAGGCGGGTTCAAGAACAATCTGCGATGGGCATCGAAGGTGGTCGGTTTCGTCGGATTTATGGTCACCTTAGATGTCGCGTTATCTCTGTAGGGGACGTAAATGATTCGAGATCCATCTTTGGCTCGGATTCCCGAATTACGACGTAGTAAACGTCGCCCTTGAGCCCGTTCTTTGGCCGTATCCCGCAGCCATTTGTATCCCCCATAACTAGAGCCCACGATGGAAAGCAGTAGCAGCACGGTACCAGCTATTCGCGTCGTTCGCGATGAGTGCCCTACCGTGGCACGAAACCGAGCGAGGTAGTGTCTGTACAAGGCGACGAGGGGATCCTCGGGCCGTCGAAGGGTCGACTGAGCTGCCATCTTGTCTTGTCTCGTCTTGTCTTGTGTTTGCTATCTGTTGTATCTGGCCCCTCTTCGCGGTCACGATCCGATGCTGTCCGACCGACAGGCTACACCTGCAGCAGCTCGCATGCTCAGAGCTGGAGGCCCAAAATCGTAGGGTTCGAATACAGGCGTCTGATGTCTGTGTCTCTCAAGTATTTACGCAGAACAGATGCGCAGGAAGGCAAACAATGGAGAGTGTATCGCATCTTCCGGAGACGTGGTCAGCGTTGACGTCGAGGGCCTAAAGCGGTTGTTTGCATGTGATGACCTCGGGCCAAGCCTCCCCCGCAGCTTTGCGGAGAGCTTCAGTAAGTATTATTAGTATTATTAGTATTATTTACAGAGCTGACCAGAAAAAGGCTGCGTAGATCGAAGGGTGGCCAGTGCAGATTATGCTACGATCTCAGCGACTAATCATTATTCTCTTTGTGCGGTTGCTCGGGTAGAAGTTTCCAGGAGTACTATGGTAGAGATCTTGCTGGGAACTGCAGCCCAAGTATAGTTATCATCAACGTTCTAGGTATCTCAGGAAGACAGTGTACACACTCATGACAATCGCAGCCGTGGCAAAAGCCAATAATAGGCAGCTGACGTTTGCTTGCCTGCCTCTGCGGACCTCCTGGAAGCTATGTATCCAGGTAGTCTATCCGATGGCCCCTATACTCCGTATAACTAAACTAGTTAACTAACTTGTCATCATCATGTATAGGCTGGAAGAGTCGGGTTGGACAATAATCAGATAACTAGAGTCTTCTAGCAACAAAGAGTGGTCCCCTTCTTTCCAAGGAGAACGTTCCTATCTGGCAGTGTCCTGCGTAAGCGCCCAGGTGTGTGACAATCGGATCACAATAATGGGGATGGAGGTGTGTGATTAGCCACACGCTCAGCCTCGAAGCACCGCCAAACGCGTTTCATTCGCCCCCATTGCCAGCTCCCCGCTGTGCTGTCGCCAATTGGATGGATGACAGACAGCTCCACGGAGGGAGAATGCCAGGAAGGGGTAACTACATATGTAGTTATTCTTCTGGAGGTCCTAGAAAGCACAACAATGTCCGGCATGGCAAGGAGGGCAGAAATTAGAACAGAACATGCCAGCTCCTTGACGTGCATCTGGGAGTCGGGATGTTCGGCTGCTGTTGATCATTTTTGTTTCGATCCCGGACAATAGTTAATTATAATTCCCTAGCCTGCAGCCAGTAGATAGTCACCAAGTCGGGCTCTTCCCCGGACTGCCTGCCTGCTAGCAAGCAAGCAGTCTTCTGCACGGGCAGCAGCCGGAAGGAGGGAGGACTGGCCGGGGCAGCCAATCCCTGAGGATCGAAACTGGGTGTGGCAGACCCTGTTTCCTGTCCCAATCAGCAGGACATTTTATTATTCATTCGACCTACTGAAGGATTTGAGTCTTATTATTACTGCCAGAACAGACGGGAGATAGACACAACGGCCAGTGTAGCTACATTTCCGGATCGGTTGTAGTTTAGCCGGCCAGTGCGCATGATGATTTCCATTCGATGCTCAACTGCGCGTTTGGCAGAGGCCTCCACGGGCTTCTGCAGGATGGAGCAATTAACAGTTAGTCCATTCCCCAGAGACACGCATGTAATACTTCTATCCGTTGTTATTGCAGGATAGCGAAACAAAATGATTGATCCCAGGCAAGACAAGCTGCTTCTGTCTAGAGCAAGTCATTATTATTACTTTGTTACTCACAGTGAGACCTGCTGATAGTCGACGGAGCCATCTCTCTCTCTCTGAGCCCACCAGTTGTGCTATTGAGTTATTACTACTAGATACTCTCAACTGTCTTCTGGCTTCAGGATTGCCTCTTCCCCTTCCAAGTTCCCCTTCGTCCTTGTGACCCCGCGAACGGGGAAGTGTATCCGTATCGTCTGTCCTGAGTCCTGACCACCCTCGAGATCATCACCACAGCCATCCTCTAGGAATAGATAAGCCAATCGATTTTAACTCTCCTCCATCTTGATTCTCCCTCCCTCGTTCTCTGGCTGCCCCACCGGTTGCATCCACGGGGGAGTGTCGGACTAGAGTATGTATCTGCCATCTGGTATTGTTATTATTCTTATTATTCTCTCTCGCTCTTCTCTCGTTCTGCCCCAGAAAGATTCCCCCCGAGCAAAGCTGGCCGGCTGATCGCGCCCGGAGATCATCCAGTCCAGCCCGTCGTTCTTCTTAGCGCCGGTCGACGGAGGTCGCTAGTGGACTGGCAAGCTCACTTGTTCCTTAGGTAGGTCCAGACCATCTGCCGCTCCCGCCCTCAATTTCGCTTCCAACCCAGGGGGGCCAACTACTACGACTACTACTGTATTACAGTATTATTTACTGAGTTGAGCCCATCCAGCAATCACCACGAGCTTGTTCCCCCCCGTCTCCTTGGCCTGCAAAAAAAAAGAACGATCCCGGAAAACAGCTCTGCTCAGTGCTGTGCTGCCACCAAACAACCCCGGCTCAGATCCTGGCGACTCTCCCACGACTCGTCGATCGTTTTCCCACGGCCAGTAATCATACAGTAATAATACTTAACTAATTAACTACTACTCTACTTACTATTACACTACTACCACGTCGGTCTCGAGCAAGCAAAGCAGAGCAGAGCAGAGCAGAAACGAAAAGCGAAAGCAAAGCACCGTACTACCAAGTCAAGTTTCACCCCTCCCACCTCCGTCAGCTTCATCCAACCCAACAAACAAAACAACGAACAAACCGACTGGATCCTGCGTGAATCACGGAATTAGTCGATTCGCCAGCCTCGCGACAATTCGACAGGGTCGAAGGTGGAAGGGAAGGTTACGGGCGCCGTGCACGAGCGTCAGGGACCCGAGGGTGTTCGCTCGGGAGAACTAATTAAGCAGCGAACTTGGACAGCCAGGAGGCGTGACTGCATCTTTCCCAACCGCCCCGAGCTGCAAGAGGGGGAAACCCGCTCCGCCCATCGACCTGACGGCGGAAACCCTGGAGGTGCTGTGCTTCAGTTTGTCCAAAAGCAGACGGTCGAAGCATCATCTTGACTCTCGCAGCCGCTGGTTCTGCTGAATCTCGCGGGCCCGCCCCCAATGCTCGGTGGGAGATCACAGCGGCATTCCTCACGCTCAGTTCAGGAGCCTCCAGCTCAAGCTGCATCCATGTCACCCACATCCGATCACCACGACCTGAGTGAGTCCTGCCCTTCCTTTTCGTCCTTCTGTCTCTGACAGACTTGCGTCTTGTCGCTATCGCCCCTCGAGGGCTTGAAGAAGGTCCGCTAATCTCCGTCCTCTCTCCAGACTCCGCATCATCCCAGTCGGCCGTTGATGAGAACTCCACCGGGAAACTCGACCCGTCGAAGGATGGAGCTGCCCTGGACCGAAAGTCATCTCATACTGCATCTGTTCGAGGAGTCTCATCTGCCCCCACGGATAACCCCCCTGAACGACCGAAGAAGAAGCGCTCGTTACTGCTGGGCCCATCTCGGACGTCGTCGAAGCTGAACAAGAAGTCTACCACAGAAGCCGGAAGCGAGTCGAGGCCGGGTGATTCGGGAAGCCCTGAAGGAGGTCGCAGAGGAAGTATCACGAAAAGGCGGAGAGACACCAGTCGAGCAAGCAGTCGAGCATCGCGACGGAGCAATCAAGAAATGGCCAACGCGGAAGGATCCAAGGCTACGGCGCCTGAGCTGACGGACGCGACGAAGACAGAGAAGAAATCGAAAACTTCCTCTAGACTATTCGCTTTTCTGAACTGCTGCAGTTCCTCCAGCGTGGACAATGAAGATCCTACACTGCCTCCCAAGAAAGCTTTCAAACGGGAACCGGCCCACGGTAGACAAGCTGGTCCGGAGAAGGCGGACGCCGCTGGAGGCGACTCCAGCATCGCAGAATCGCGCGAACCGAACCCTTTCGGTGACGAGAAGTCAAACCTGGCGGTCACGTCGGATCAGTCGCAGTCGCAGGTAGATGGAGACCGAAGTTCTGGCGCCGGAGGGGCCGCAGGGTCGCCGCAAGACAGCCGTCTCGACCCATCTGCATCTGCCCAGCGGAAGCCGTCCTTGCAAGGAAAGTCCGTTGATAGTTCCAACCAGGAGCCGTCGAGGAAGTTGTCCGCGTCGAACGCAGCCGCTGGTGCAGCCACAACGGTCGAAAATGGTGACATTTCCGCAAGGCCAGCCGATAATGACGCAGCGGCTTCAACCCAATACACGCCGTCCGATAGAGACGACAAAGACGTCACTATGGCCGATGCTCCTGCAATAGACAGAGACGAGGATGCGGGACAACCTTCTCATGACGAAGGGCAAGTTGTGGCTCTCCTCCCTCCACCGCCGCTGGCACCGACGCTCAAACAGCCGCCTTCAAGCGTCGGAGAGGGGCAGCAATGGTTGCTACCACCGCCTCTACCTCATCTGCAAAACCGAAAATGCCTCGTTCTCGATCTGGACGAGACCCTTGTGCACAGTAGTTTTAAAGTAAGTACCGTCTTCCACTCCTTTTCCTCCGTTCCCCAATGAAGACTAATTGCCCTTCCTAGGTCCTTGAGAGAGCTGACTTCACTATTCCTGTCGAAATCGAAGGTCAGTATCACAACATCTACGTGATCAAGCGACCAGGAGTCGATCAATTCATGAAACGGGTCGGTGAATTGTACGAAGTGGTCGTGTTCACAGCCTCTGTCTCCAAGGTGAGTGGCACTCCTACGGCACATGGTGATCCATCCGTGACAACGGCTAATAATTGGTGGTAGTACGGTGATCCTCTTCTCGATCAGCTGGATATCCATCACGTTGTCCATCACCGTCTGTTTAGGGACAGTTGTTATAACCACCAGGGAAATTATGTCAAGGATCTTTCCCAGGTTGGTCGTGACCTTCGAGAGACCATCATTATCGATAATTCTCCGACTTCGTATATATTCCATCCTCAACACGCGATACCCATCAGCAGCTGGTTCTCTGACGCTCATGATAATGAGCTACTTGATCTGATACCCGTCCTCGAAGATCTTGCCGGTTCCCGAGTTCAAGATGTGAGCTTGGTTCTCGATGTTACTCTTTAGCCTGGGTTATACACAAGGGTTTCTCATAGCGTTGACTGTCTGTGACCGTTTTCTTCCGTTCATTGGGGACTACAGCAGTCCTGCATACACTCTCACCCTGTTGCCTTCCTGCTCCCACGTGCTTCCGGACGGGGAGCTGTTTTCTGAATGATACTTGACCGCAACGACCCTCGTACTTTCTCAACAAGATCTGGACAGGAAAGGAACAGCCAGCGCCGAGAAAGATCTCCCGTTTCTTGGCATAATCTGATATCACCCTTGGCACGTCGGATTCCTCCTATGTCACTCCTACCACTCCATGGCGGAGCCCGCTTACATTGCTCCCAGCGAGCCGGCTTTCCTTATTATATCTCGTTTTGCATTCAGCAGGCGTCTGTTCTAGTCATCAGCTTAAGATTTGCTGGACTCATGTATCCGCTGTTTTCTTTTTCTCTCAAAAATTTGTCCGTCGACACACGACATTACCATCTCATTTTGTTTTGTTTCTCGTCCCACAGCTGCTGTTTATTGATTCCCCACCTCTCATTTTGTTCTCTTTTTTTCTTCCCAGCGAACCTTGTCAGGAACTTTCACAGCGACGGGCAGCTTGTTCTGCGTTTCAGCGCCCGATCCATTGCGCTAGTCTGAAGGCGTCGAATGTCGCGTAAGCAAGTTACTACGTCGGCATACTTATGATCGATGCCACTGCCATATATATGTGTTTCATCCTTTGCGGCTCCTGCGCTGTACATAAAGGCCTTTTGTCATTAAAAAACGACGTTCACCCAACCAACACCTGACAGAAGATACCAGTTTTGGCGGGAACGTGTATCCCTGTAGAATGCAATAAATAATTGGATTAAAGAACTGAGTTTCTTGTGTAATCGATATAGCTGAACTCTGTACACTTTCGTAGTAAACTCTTCCGTCGCTAGTCGTGTCGAAGTCAGTGGCTTCTGTATGACGGCCTTTTCGTGCCGCAAACAGCAACTCCAGGAACGGCGCCGCGGGATTAACTCCGACGCGGCAGAATCATACACCCACGTCCCCACGTGCTTCTTTCTATACAAGATTCCCATTCTTGTTAAGCTCAGTGTGATCCTCTCTCCGGCTTCATTGCAACTAGAAATATCCTCTTCCTTGATCGGCCCTGGACTTGTTCGCATTCGATGTCGACAGACGCGGATTCCGCGCCACCAGCGATCGACGGACAGCAGCAGCAAGCCGCGCAGACCACAGGGACAGAGATGAAGAGTAGCAGCGGCTGGGATGGGAAATTGAGGGTGGAAAAGAGCGCGGTTATCACGAACCCAGAAGCTCTTGAGGACCCCGATTATTCGGATGAAGATGCTCCACCTCCAGAGCAGATCGATGCTGATGAAGGTACGCATTGAGCTGGCTCCGCTATACTCGTGGTCTTATTCTTGATGGAAGACACTGTTTTTCTAGATGATATAATGGGTATAGAAGCTAATGATGTTCCTTTTCCGGTGCAGATCTGTTGGAGGACGTGGAAGAAGACATTGACGTACACTCCCCCTCACCTTGCTTCGGGATCGGAGAACGAGATCTGTCAGGACGTTCCGCTGAACAATACTTCTGATATCAGGATATCGACCTCGTGCACTGTCGTATAACATCCATTCCAGCTCTGCATCTGGAGCGGTTCCCCAAAGTCGAGGTGCGTATAGGTTCTTTACCACGTTCCCCGCATCACCGCCATTCTCTCGCGGGGATGTGAAGCAGAGACTGGAAAAATATGAAGACTAACAGTTGGGTATCATTATAGAAAATATGCCTACGACAAAACCAGATCACGCGCATAGAATTACCCTCTAACATCAGCTCCACCCTCACGGAGCTTGACCTCTACGATAACCTCATTTCACACATCAAGGGTCTGGACGAGTTCACGAACCTGACGAGTCTCGATCTCAGCTTCAATAAGATCAAGCATATCAAGAACGTGTCGCATCTCACAAAGTTGACTGATCTGTTCTTCGTTCAAAATCGGATATCGAAGATAGAGGGGCTAGAGGGTCTGGAGCGGTTGAAGAATCTTGAATTAGGTGCCAACAGGATCAGGGTATGAGCTGGACTTTTTGAGGGCTGTTGATTCGATCTCCGAGTGATGCTTATGATTGTTTCTTTAGGAAATCGAGAACCTGGAGACGTTACACTCGTTGGAGGAGCTCTGGCTGGGGAAGAATAAGATCACCGAAATGAAGGTGAGAGAGCTGTCTCTTCCTCTATGGTCCCACCAGAGCAGAGGCGTTAACAAACCTCATGTATAGAACCTCGACGCCCTTTCTAACCTCCGCATCATCTCCATCCAATCAAACCGCCTCACTAGCATCACCGGCCTGTCGAACCTCAAGAACCTCGAAGAGCTCTACCTCTCCCACAACGCCATCACCGATCTCTCCGGTTTGGAGGGCAACACCAACCTGCGTGTCCTCGACTTCTCCAACAACCAGGTCTCGAAACTCGAACATCTCTCCCACCTCGAGCACCTGGAGGAACTGTGGGGTTCGAACAACCAGATCTCCAGCTTCGAGGAAGTCGAGCGCGAACTGCGGGATAAGAAGGAGCTGAAAACCGTGTATTTTGAGGGAAATCCGCTGCAGACGAGAGCACCGGCGCTATATAGGAACAAGGTTCGGTTGGCATTGCCGCAGATTATGCAGATCGATGCTAGTAAGTGCCTACGCTCATCTTTTTTTTCTTCTTGTCTCTCCCATATCGTTTTATTATTACTGGTAAAACATCTTGCTAACTCGACTCGCTCTACTACAGCCTACGTGAGAACTTGATAGTCTAGTCTAGCCTCAGTGTAGAATGGACCACGTGTGAATGATGATGAATCGAATCGGAATTTTCCCCTTGTTATACGCTTCTCTTTCAAATCGTTCACTGTAGTATTGACTATTGTCGAGTAATACCGCATCCCAGTCAATAGAAATGGTTCAGAAAAGCTGTAGGGAATAATTATACCGCAAGAATCTATTCTAATTTTCTTGGCAGTCTGGTATCTCTAATCTCAAGATATCCATCTCTACCTCGCTTCTCCAACTCATCATCAATTTCAAATTCCATCTAAAAAGAAATAGAGAGAGAGAGAGAGAGAAACTACCATTGCCAACAGCTGGTTGTAGTTGAATCTCGAAGTCAAGCAAAGTATGATTTCATTTCAGCTGAGTTAGTATTAACATTTCGCGGGTATATTTGCTTTTATCTGGGGGCCACGCGAAGAGAATGTCAACATCGTCTGGAGATTATTTTGCAGCAGACAATTTTGGGGATGGATGGGGTTGTTGGGGGGGGGGTTGATTATTTGATTTGGGAGAAAGTTCTTGAAGGTGTATATATGTAGATACATGCATACTTCGGACTTGACGGTTAGATCGCAAGGCTTTTGCCGCTGGATTAGATGATGAGGGGCATTTCTGAGGTCAGGCCTTTCGTCCTCGTATGCTCGAGATGATCTTCAGGGTTCTAGACCCCTATTTTCCGGCTTTGGTTGTGGCCATCCCTCTCGACGAGCGCCCCCTATAGACATGTGACAATGAGGGTTCTCGGAGGCTGCATCCGGTAATATATAATCAAGGCCCATTATTCAATAACCCCTTCACACCTCAAACACCATCAGACGGGACAGTCTTCCACTTCGCCCTCATAAGCTTCATCTCCTCTTTCGGCGACAACCTCGCTGATCCCAACGTCTCTTCTTCATCTTTCTGCGTCTCTTCCTTCACTTCCGATTCCGCAGCATCTATCTCTTCACCCTTCTTCCCCCCCTTCTTCTCCAACCCATCCCTATACAACCCCATCAACGACGTCGCCCCCATCCGCACATTCTCATCCTGATACCTCTTCTTAATCCGAAACGGCACATGTTCCTTCCTACTCATCATCCCATCCGCAAGCTCAGGCAGTGGAATCCCCGTCGATTTCGTCAGGTCATGATACCAATAACTATTCGTGAGGACTTCATATGAATTATGGTACGGGTTGCGGAGGACTGCTGATTCGTGGCTGTGGCGGGAATAATCGATTTTGCAGGTCATGGTACGTGGGGTTGTTGTTGATGATGATGATGATGATGATGATGATGATGATGATGAGGATGGGTCCGGGGGGGAGGTTTCGGACCAGGGGTCCATGGCGGATTTGCCTGGTGGGGAGGAGGAGGTCCATTTTGTGTTGGGGGGTGGTGGTGGGATTTCGATTGTGAGGGGTGATGCTTCGATGGCGCGTGTAGCGGCGTCTGAGGTGTCGAAGATGGCGAGCGTGGCTCGGTCGAGGTTTATGGATGTGTTGGTTGTGTCGTACTGGGTTTCGGCGTAAGTTTCAAGGAAAAGATAAAACAAAAAGACAGGGATGGAAATGACACTTGATATAGGGTGTATAGGAAATGGAAGTAAAGTCTGAATAACTGCAGCAGACACGCATTCGATCTCTTCATCATAGAATATAGCCATGCAAAGAGAGGTGATTCTGGACGCATGAAAAGATGGGGGAATTATTTCAACAACGCAGTACAAACAGTCCAACAAGATTGCAACTCATATAAGTATCAGAAAACCAAGTAAAAAAAATAACTAGACAATCAACACATCAAAAGCAAAACTCGAATCTAGAAACGAATCGCCCTTCAAAGATAAAGTAACCCACCCAAAACACACATAATACCATGTACGCACGCACGCACGCATGTATGTATAAAGAATAAGATAGAAGCACATACCTTCAAGTTTCTAAACGTCACAACTTCCCCAAACCTCTGCAGCGCTGCGAGGACCAGTTTGCTCTCAGCCAGATTCCGCGGCGCGGGCGTCGTCTGGATGTGGACTTGTTTGAACGCGACTCGGGATCGAAGGGCCGACATGGTCGTGAGCATCCTTGTCTTGTCCTCTCTCTTTCCCTCTTGTCTGTTTGAAAGATGTGGGTTGTTTTTTCTCCTCTAAAAGCAGGGTCTCGGGTTTTGAGGGACGGGTTAATGTATGAATGAATGAATGAATGAGATGGTTTTGTCTTCTTCCCTTGTCTTTCTAGGGTGAGAATTCTGCCAGTTTTCTGGGCGAAGTTTTGATGCAGAAGATGATATGTGTCCTCCCGTCTATGTTATTATTAATTAGATCGTGAATCATTACCTTGGAATCAACAAGGTGCCGTATATAATCCAAGAGCTGTGTCGATCGGGTGTGGTGCTGGGGATGCAGCTGTGGATCTTTTTCTCCAGGTGTCGATTTGGCTTGGCGTTGGCCGATATTTTTCCCTTTGGGGTAATTCTCCGCCATCACCTCAAATCATGCATATGCAGAGTCTAGTTACGAGCTTAACTTTATTCAGTCGAATTGACTACAAACTAATCATCAAATGTTTTTAAGGGCACACAGTTAAAGGTGGAATGGAATTTATACATTGTCTACTACCGAGAGACATGAATCTTTAAGGTCATAACGTAACAGGTACTGATATACTTAGGGGGAAGCAGATATAGCTGTCGGCTGCAGCGAACCCGATCATTCCAAATGCGCACATATCCGTCATTGCATATCTCCAGTACGATGCAATGGCGGGTCTGATGAATACGCTCATATCGATCGTCAAAAAAAGGAAGTACATAGTCGCCCTTATCGCAATCAGGCGCGGCTCATTTTAGCCTGGTTGCGCACCTATCGAAGGTCGAGCGGAGAAAAGTGCCGATGGGGGGAGGTCATGTCTGCGTTTAGAAGATGGGCACGTACATGCCGTACTAGAAGACATTGTTAGAGAGATGCGTTGAAGAAGGGCGTTGAATAGGGTAGAAAACTCACGTTGAGGGGGTCGTTGAATCGGAGGTTCTTGTCCAGGGCGCTGATGGCCTTGATATCAGCCTCCTCGAGATCCCACTCGAGCACGTTCAGGTTCTCAGCCAGACGGTAGGGCTTGTCACTCTTGGGAATGACAGAGATGTCCTGCTGGGTAGACCACCGCAGCAGCACCTGCGCAGCACTCTTGCCGTGCTTGGCGGCGATCTGCTGGACGACAGGACTGTCGAACAGACGAGGGCAGTTGTCCGCGTTCTCCATGTGGAACTCGAGGAAGCTGAGCGGGCCGAAAGAAGAGTAGGCAGTGACGCGGAGACCTTCCTTTTGGACGTACTCGATCAGACGGGGCTGGACGAGGTAAGGGTGGTGCTCGATCTGGAGAACAGCAGGACGGATGCGAGCGTAGCGGAGCAGGTCCATGATCAGCTGGGAGTTGAAGTTGGAGATACCGATGCTGCGGGCGAGCTTCTTGTCAACCAGCGACTCCATGGCAGTCCAGGTCTCCTGGATGGTAGCGTTGCTGAACTCGATCTCGTTTCCCTGGCTCCAGCCGGGGGGGTACTTGACGGAGGGGTCGACGTATTTCAGAGAAACGGGGAAGTGGATGTAGTAGAGGTCAAAGTAGTCGACGCCCCAGTCAGCCAGCTGCTTGCGGGCAATCGGCTCGACCTTGTCACCCTCGTGGAAGGTGTTCCACAGCTTGGAAACGATGAACAGCTCCTCACGCTTCACGATACCCTCCTTGATGGCGCGGGCAACACCCTGACCAGCCTCGACTTCGTTGCCGTAGTCTGTAAACGCAGTTCCATCAGCTCACTAATTCTATTTCAGGAAGAAACACATCCCCCCTCAAACCCCCCAGGGAAACACCTACCGCAAGCGCCATCGAACAGACGGTAACCAGCCTTGATAGCGTTGTAGACCTGGTCCGCGCAAGTGTCATTTGCGACCTTCCAGAGACCGAAACCGACACGGGGCATGTCATAGCCGCTGTTAAGCTTGATAGTAGCAGGAGTAGGCATTTTGTCTGATATGAATTGATTGATGCTAGAACTTTTCTCGTTGCAAGGACGACTTTTGTTGTTTTCTTTTTTTTTCTCCCCAAGACGGATTTCTCAAGCGTTTTACTCTAGAAAGAAAAGAAGAAAACCAAGAGCGCGGGTATGGCCTGACCTTTTAAGAAAGCTCGATAAATAATAATAATTACTACTACTGTCTAGCTTGCGTGGCCACAGAGCTTGCCCCTCCCCCTCCCCTTGGTCTTGAAATTTATCCTGGAGGAAAGGCTAAAGCCTCAAGTCAGGACCCCACAGAGAGCGGGGGAAAGGGAAAACACTCGGAAGGCTCATGATTATTTCTGCCAAATAATAATCAAGCCGCTATGATGGGGTCAAGAGACGGTTTGCCGGTTGCTGGGAAGTTTTGGACCGGGCTGTTGTGAGATGGGGAGCTGGCTATATCACCCGGTCCGATGACCCCGATGGATGTTTTCCCGGACAGAGAGAAATAAGCATCTACATACTTATGCTATAATTCTCGTAGACAGTAGATTCTCTATTATTGTTATTATTATTAAAATCAGCAATAGTCAAAACTCATCTCAGAGCTCAATTGCAAAGCTCACACACACACAGTTGGCAAACCAGCAGAGAATAGAATAGAACATCACAGAACTCCCCGAGATCAAGTAAGTATACGGTACGTACTAATACTTCCAGGGACGAGGGAACCCGAACCAAAAAGAAAAAGAAGAAGAACCATAATAAGACATAATAATACCCACCCGGATAAAATGTCCCCAGATCGTGCCGGCTAAAATCAAACTTCCCTTTCCCTTTTTATCCCAAACTTCAACTGAAGTCCCGAAAAAGAGAACTCGACTGGGGATATTTTTCATTATTGGTCCCTTTTTAGCCCCAGGTTGATTTTTTGGGAGTGGATCTCCGGATTTATTACTACAGTATTGCTGTATTATTTTTTGTCTCTTTTTTTTCTTTTTTGCCTTGGTCGATCTATCCCGCTAAAATGGACCACGGTTGGACCCTTGCCGGCACGAGGGGAACAAATGGGCAATGTAAGGTACGAGATCCATCTCAAGTCAATATGACCGACGCGCGCGAAAAATAATCAGTCGCGACGTGGTTTACAACTCGCGTCCGGTGATAAATAGGTAGGAAAACAAAGGAGAAAGACAACGCGATGTTGGGTTCTTGGGAAATATCCATTGTGAAATTAATGAAATGTAGATAGGTTCTAATATTAATTAGTTACAAGGTGTACAGGATATCTTTTCTATCTCGAAAAAAAAAAGAAAAAGAAAAAGAAAAAGAAAAAGAAAAATAACCGAGTGTAAAAAAGAAAGAGTGAGAGAAAAAAAAAAAAAAGGGAATAATTCAAAAGATCCCAGAGATATCACAGAAATACCCAATCCATGCATGCGCCCGCTTTGCCTTTTGTCCAGGAGTATCATGCCACCAAAAAACACCCAAAAAGAAACGCCGCCGAAAAAAATGGAACCTGACCAATTCTCCTTGATAAAACCGTACATTACCATCATCATTATTATTATTCATGATTTTTTTTGTTAAATCTGTTTCAGACCGTCGTGCCCTCGGGGTAAACCGAGTTGGTGTGATCGGGGCCCGAGTTGGGGATGCCGGGGTCCCCGGATACGCCCCCGACAATCTTGTCCATCAGGTCATCGGAAGGCATCATGCCTTCCAGTCCGTTTCCGGTCCGCTGCTCGCGCGATACGGGAACCTGATGGTGCTGGCTGGGGTACTGCAGGTGGGTGTAACCGCCGTTGCTGGCGTTAAGGTCGCCGTGAATGCCGGTCTGATGCGAGTCCCAGAGTGGCGCTTGCCCGTGTGCCATATCATCAATCGGGGTACCGGTAGGTGGTCCGAAGATGGAGTGCAGCACACTGTTATCGTGTGCTCTGGTGTGCTGTTGCTGGGGAGGCATGTAGTGGCCATCGGGAGCAATGGTGTATCCGGCATAATGGGACTGGGAGAAGGGAATATCGTGCAGGTTGATCATCGGCTGTCCAGCGGTTGTAACACTGATGCTGCTGGCCTGAGTGGTCTCCTGATGCAGACCGGGGAAAGGGTCCAGAACGGAGCTCGCTGCGGTCTTGTCCCCGTAGCCATCCTCTGCCTTTGAGATAGAGTTCAGAAAGTCATAGGATCCCTGAGAAGGGAACATATTAGGGACACTTTCATGGGTCTCCTGATAGATGGGCCAGTGATGCTGGACGTTCTGGCCCGGGTGGAGGAGATCATGATGCTGAGGAGGCTGGTATACCTGCTGAGGCTGCTTCGACATCACCGATTCCAGCGCCAGCGGAGGCAGATCGACTCCCGTGTGGGTTCGCGGGCTGTTGGTCGTGCTCCGGTCTGGAGGAGGAATCAGCCTTCTCCATGTTGTGGTGCCAACCTCTCCGGGGCGCGTCTGGCGGAATTTCCAGAGCAGAACAGCCATCCGCTTGCTCTCATCACCATGACTGGCCGAGAAATTGGAAAGCCGGCGGTGGCTGGGCGGAACCGCTCGTAGCTCTTGCACCGCAGAGAGGGAGCGGAAGAACTGCCTGGTGTGCTCATCAGCCGCGTGGGCAGCTTCAGGCTGGCCGGAGTCTTCGGCCAACCGCTTCTCCTGAGTGAGCTGGGTGAAGAGCGTAGCCCACCACGAAGACTCAAAAAGAGGCTTGACCTTCGTAGACGATGCCTTCTGGAGATCGTGATATGTCTCCAGCATCTTCTGTCCATCTTCGTAGATATTCGTGCTGCATGTCCACTCTCTCATCTGGCTAACCATGGAGACATCTCCAGCAGTGGGATGAGCAAAGTCAAGGTCCAGCTGAATTCCAAGTCTGGATCCTGATGGAGGAAAGTCTCCCATCAGCTGTAGGTTCACCTCGAGGAGAATGATATCGCAGTCCAGGGGACCGTTGATGTCATCAATTAAAGAGGCAAGGTGAGGAAAAGACTCCCGCCATCCGATGAGATTCTCCAAGGGCATAGGCAGCGTTGCTGGGCGGTGCTGGTCTCCCTGGAGGCGGGTGTACACATGCAAGGCCTTGTCGATGCGGTTTGCCTGCTGAGGGGCACTCACCCACATGTCGAAGTTGAATGCATGGATCAAGTGAGTGTTGGCATCATGGATATTAGATCCAAGGGTGAGGTGCGGCGGCGGTAGCTCCCCGCTGTAAGGCTGCACCGCACCGGCGTGGTCATGGTAGGTAGATGGAAGGTGAGCACTATAGCTTCTCGGTATTTGGTGGTCAAAGGAGCTCCTATACTGCGGACCACTGGTCTGCGGTTGGCTGCCAGAGCCCTCTGGCTTTTCGCGGACGAGCCTCTCCCCTATACGTCTAATGTTAGCGTTCTGTCATCTCCGCACCATATATGTATGTACATGGTGCTAATATGCATTGACTTACATTCAGGGTCGCCCTTGAGGAAGGAATCCAACACCTGGAGGTGACTGGACACTTGCTTCCTTGTTCTTCTCTTACCGGTCAAGCGATAGATGTACTCCGCAATGAGTTCATTACGGCCATATGACTTTCCACGCTCCGACCACTTTCTTCGACCCATAGGAGGGTTGGCCTCCAACGCTATATCACATTGTTAGTATAGGAGCTAATGCCAAGAGTGAGGGGAATATCTAACCCTGCTGGAAGGCATCTTCCAAAGCATCAGACCAGACAGGCTCGCCATCTTTGCCTGTATCCCGTCGAGGTCTTGCCCGGTATTCAAGATACTTCTGGGACTTCAGGTAGCTCCTCTTCCGGGAACCGTTGGACGTCGGCAGAGGCGGACCAGCAGACTGCAGTCGTCGAAGCTTCTTCTGCTGCAGACGAGCCGCGAGGGCCTGCTGGCTCAGGTTTGGAGCCGACACTGTGTGAGGAAGAGGGTGAGGTGGTTGAGGATACTTGTAGGGCAGCTGCTGGACTTGGTCTTCACCACAAGTTACATTGCCGTTTCCAACGTGATCTGAGTATAACTGAGCATTACCAGAGGTGTTCTGTAAAGCTCGACCAGAGCCTGCTCCCACACTCTCCAGCGCCGGCGGGTTCTGAGGGAGCATACACCCAGGTTGCCACTCGGTAGCCATGGAGCGGACCGGGCAAGAAGCTCTCAGAAGAATGGTGAATTCCAGAGAAAAAGGAGAGGACGGACCACAAGTGCCAACGGCCGAGTAGGGCACGCAAAACACAGGTCACGGAAACAATTCAAGAACGTAAATGCTCGAAGAGAATGTTAGCAGATGGGAAGGAGAATGTGGGAGCAGGCAGCATGGTGTTTATAGGACCCGATATCTCGCCTGGAGAGGGGGGTGACCGGAGCTCCAACTAGCCTGATAGAACAACTTGATTGTTTAGACACTCCTTCGACAGCAACCTCGATGTCCCTGGGCGGGACCGTGTCGTGATAGTCGCCCATTCGGGAGGGAGGGCGAGGAGAACTGGAGATAGTGGCTGTCCTTGCCGCACCGATTGAGCTGCGAGGAAAGGGCACGATGTGAACGAGCCAAATTGAAGCAAGGGGTCCACGACCGCACGATCCAGTTAACAAACGCGCGGAGATTTTTGACAGAACAGAGTTGACGTACAACTGAATGACTAAGGCAGGTACACAATGAGGATGGTGGGTTGGGGTGGCAATTCGATATTGAAGAATGTTAGACGACCAACTGTATCGCAAACCGCCAGTGCCGAAGAATGTAGAAGTAATGACCAGAAGATTAATTGGAATGTAGGCGGAGGCATAGACCCGTGCTCAGGTTGTCCATCATCTCCGCTATCCAAGACATAACAACAGAAAAGGTCCTACGGCGCAGGGGAGCTCGAAAGGTATCTAAGGAACGGAATACAAGATGTATCGAAGGAGCTTGTATTTTGGGGGGTGCACGAGGCCCTTTGCGCCGCGTCCTGTACTGACAGCAGCCCTAAAGCAGGAAGAACGTGTGAGGGCACGGTTATCTAGAGTACTAAGAACGGCTAAGCAAGGGATGACAGCACGACCGCCATAGCTCTCCCTGTCAACAGGGACACAGGGACTTAGCTTTCCTCCTCGTCCTGGGCCCCTACAGTGAATTTCTTTCGGCCCGTTCCAGTAAGCTTTTGGATCCTGACCCTGTCCACCTGCTCCCCCACCTTTTTCTCGATCTTTTGGATCTCCGCCTCGGGATCGACAGCCTCCTCGGACGCGAACTCCAGGACTAAGCGCCTGCCAAGAAGATGCGTGTTCTTCAACGCGTCCATAGCGTTTTCTGCTTCGCGAGCACTGACAAAATCAGCGAACGCGAAACCACGAGCACTGTGGTCGAACTTCTTGGGAACCCGCACAGAGCGCAGCTGTCCGTACGCTCCAAAGAGCGATCTGACATCCTTTTTCGTTGCCTGGAACGGCAGGTTCTTAATGATAATCTTCGTCCTGCGTGCCGCAATCTTCTTTGCAGTGTCTTCGCGTCTCCGCTCTTCCGCAGCATCCATGCCCTTGTGAGATGCTTTGATGACGAGCTCATGCTGATCTAGCTTATAGCCATTCATAGCAGCCAGTGCTGCTTGGGCTTGCGCACTAGTCCTAAACTCGACAAAGCCGAATCCCATGCTGAGAGTCTGGCCAGGGCGTTTCGGGTCAGGTTTGGTTTTGACCTTAGCGGATAAGAAGCCATCCAATGGTTGGAATACTTCGGTTAACCGCGCATTGGTCGTTGCGAAGTTCAAGTTGCGTACGAAGAGGGTTGATGTCAGAAGTTGATCCTGAGTATCCTCTGCCGCAAATGTATCGGCCGTTGAGAAGCCTTGAGACACAGCCTTCGCCTCCAGCACTGACTGCTGCGGAGCGGACGTGCTATCAAAGAGATCTTTAGGCGCTCGCTCCAGGAACAGGATTGAATCTCCCAACTTGCGATACGCAAGACCTTTGAAGGCTTTTTGGGCTTCATCTGGTTGTGAAAATTCCACAATTGCTATAGTGCCACTGGGGGGCATTAGCAGCCTAGTGAGCTGACCATACTGTTCAAATAGCTTTCTCAGATCGGCCGCCTTGACTCCGAAGGAGAAATTCTTTACGAGTATGGCGGTGTTCCCACGCTCTTTTTGCTTGAAAGCATCGAGGTTGACCCCATTAGAAGAGAAGTACGCCTTGGTCTCCTGGATCACATGAGTCTCCGCATGAGCCTGCTTGATCGCAGCGTCCGCAGAGGTCGGATCCAGAAGCTCGGCTTTGGAGACTCCAAGTCTCTCCGCCACGGAAGACATAACAGCATCGGTCTGCTTTCAGTCAGCGCGGGCCTTTTGCTGACCAGGATTTACCACTGCAACTTACGTTCATATAGAGAGAGTTCCAACTAAACGTCGATGAAGAAGCTTCCATTTTCCGTTTTATCTGTTTTTGTTTCTTCAAGGGTAACTTGGATAGTTCATATTCATCTATCTTATACGTCTTCTTCGCAGAGGCTGGGAGAATATGAAGCAATCGGCCTTGGAAGGTTTTCCCGTCCAAAGCTTTATAGGCATCGATGGCCGAGGAAGCATCGACATATTGCACGTAAGCGAATCCTTTACTTGACGTGGAGCGCGTATCGAATGCGACATGTATCTAGATAAGTTAGCAGTTGTCTCAAAACTGCATAAAGAAAATTCTTTCAGAAAGTTCAGGAGCTCTTCAGATATAAAGAAGCATCTACTAAATACCCTTTCCTGGTCACATCAAGTGCTTTGCATCAGATGTCCCTATCAGGATGATCATCACGAGAGCGTCCGATCTTTCCTCGTTTATAAGAGGATAGAAAGTGTTGATTTGTGTTATAGAAGAAAAAGTCACTCACCTCTTCAGTTTTTCCAAACGGCGAAAAAATGGGGTCGAGATCTGCTTCCGTCGCATCGTACGGCAAATTCCGTACAAACAAGCGAGCAGAATTATTGATAAGCTCAATGTTGGCATCATTTTCTTCCTGCTTCGCTGCCACATCTGCATCTGCATCCGCATTCGCTGTGGGGATCGGAGTCGTTTTATCGAGTGCAACTCCCCCCGACTGAGGACCATCGTCATCGTCATCGTCATCCTCCACTGGTTCGAAGCGACTCGAAGGCACAGCTGTGTCATGCTCTGCTTGCTCCTCCTCATCAAGGAGCCCGAGCAAACGGCTTGTCTTCGATCGAAGCCAGTCAGCATCTGATTTGGGCTCGGTCTCCGCAGGCACGTCATCTGCCATGTCCTCGTCTGCTTCACCATCGGCTGTGCGATTAGAAGCTGGCTCCGAGACGACAGCATGTTGTACGTGTTCCTGGACAGGCGCTTTATGTTCGCTAGGTACTGCAGTCTCAACCTTGGTCTTCTTCCTCTGGGCCTGACCCACATCCTCGACAGGCTGCTCGACACCTACAGACTGTCCATTGGCGTTGACTGATGTAAGCGTTTCAGCTATAATATCATCATTCGCCCACGTTCTCTTCTTAGTGTTTTGAGTGAGAGATAGATATTCCTGTAATTTAGTATCTTCCTGGGTGTTATTCTCATCACGTTTGCGCTTGAGCGAATTGGCAGCAAGAGATTCATCCGGCTTTGATCTTTTCTTAGCCTTCTCAGCCGCCGCCTGGGCGGTCTGAGTATTATCTGATTTAACCTATAGATGTACTGGTCAGTTTCAGGACCACTTAAGACTGGTCAGCCTCGACAACGGTCAAGAAAAGGGGAAAAATAAATAATAGAAATTTTTGCGACATTGTAAAGCGGACAGCGAACACTTACTGGACGAGCAATCTCTACTGAGATCTTGGACATCCTTATGAATGTTCTATTAAAGTAATCAGCGGCTTGCTTTGCCGCCTCAGCATTTTTGAAGCCCACAAAGCCGATCCTGCGCTTTGGAATGACATGAGCATCAGTCACAGTGAACCGGCTGGAAAAGTGCTTCCCCAAATCCTCATTGGAGAGGGTTGGTGGAAGACCAGAGACGAACACTCTCGTGTTCTCCATGGTGTTTGTTTGACACAGCAACTGACGATGCAGTGTTGTGGGATTTGGAAGTAAATCAGAAAAAGAAAAAGAAGAAGAAAGAGGAAAAAAGAAAGCGGATGCTTTTTTTACTTTTTTTTTCTGCACTTTACCATGAAGGCGGTGAGCGTACTCGAGTTGGTCCGTGCATGGAAGATGTCTCCGGTGCGCGCTGAGTCCCCGGATCGATCGAGATGGAACAACAAAGCCTACGATCTCCGGGGTGCCCTCTACATAAAAGCCTGCCCATATCCATAGTCTGGAAACCGGTCGCATCGTACTTTCCCGTCCGATATTTCAGTTGCGTGGCATATACTTCGACAAAATGGCCGCCGAAAAGCGTGAGAAGCTCGAAGGTAAGCTCCAGTACTCAACTCCTTTTTCTCGAGGATACAGCTAATCAAGGACATTTCCAGCCCAGATTAAGTCTGTGGACATGGTAGGTACCTGCGATCGCGGCGTTTCTTTCAGGCGAATGAAGACTGATTTCTGGTTTCTTTTTCTAGACCGAGGACATGCAGCAGGAGGCTATTGAAGTTGGTACGGCTTCCCCGCACCCACATTAGGCGTCGAAGCAAATATACTGATAATTTCCAGCGACTGAGGCCATGGACAAGTTTCACATTGAAAAGGTAATAATACCGGGGAAAATCTGTGCTCGAATCCGACTAATTCTTCCCATCAGGATATTGCGCAGTACATCAAGAAAGAGGTATGCGACCTCGCAAGTTCCGAAATTGGTCCATTTTTTGTTGACGTCGTCTACAGTTCGACTCTCGCAAGGGCGCTACATGGCACTGCATAGTAGGACGGAACTTTGGCAGCTTCGTCACTCACGGTAAGCGAATCTCCCATCTGTGGCCTACAGAGTTCCCTTCGCTCACGAAGTATACTATCTGCAGAGACGAAGCACTTTATCTACTTTTACCTCGGTCACTGCGCGATCCTCCTCTTCAAGACTCAATAAATTTACCCCTAAAATCTACCTTCTTTTTTTTGATGACTCGAACATGAGACCTGGTGGTTTCAGTCCCAGTGAATGGGACCTTGTATTCCGAGTGATGTATTAATGCACTGTAACTTTTTGTTTTTTGTTATCACAAAATTTAGCTCCGCACACATTGCTCAATGGTATTTCATATCTCTCCCGACGTCTGGCGGTTTAAGAGGGAAATGGTTATGCTAAGGGTCGTCCTCAGACAGTTGGAAGTTTCAGCTGTGGATCTGATGTTGTGCAGCAGGGGGCTTCTAATGAAAATGAAGTATTTCTGTAGGAGCATCTGGTAGATACACGTCTGGAGCAGCTACGAGGGTTCGAATAAAATAAACTATGCAATTATAATGCTATTAAGACAATGATTGCCGTAGTGATTTGGTATGCGTGACCTCGATGGACACAAAATTAGAGGATGAAGCATGGGAGTCCTCCTTGAAGGTGTTTTTGCGAGTATAGTGCCGGTATGGGAGTTCTATTTCGTGCCCTTGACCCGCAACAGCGCTCATCCAGGTGGCGCTCGAATATATATAGACACGTGCTTGACAAATTCGAGATGCACTTGCTCTTGAATTACTAGGCCATGATTCTTAGCGAAGCAGATAAATTCTATGAGAAAGCCCTCAGCTTGGATGATTATGACTTAGAAACGTCCGTAACTTTTATTCTCCCAATTTCTGCTTGCAAGCAAGTTGATCGCGAGATAAATACTTAGTGTCCGTACCCGGTTGGCAGACGACCAACTAGGTGTGTGTTTATGTATCAACTGTAATGACAGAACCGTTTTAGTTAGGCATAAACATCTCTTGCAGTATTAATAGCCTTCTATGGTCATAGCTCCTGAAGAAATTGAACCGTTGATGGGTTCCTGTCGACAACGCCATGATCTGCGGAAGAAGCGCTCAGAATGAGCACGGCCGTTGCCGTTGCTTGACATCGCCAAGCCACAGCGCCACCATCGCTTCCGCGTCTTGTCTTCGCGTTATCCCCCTAAGAGCCTGCTTCGCAGATATTTCTTCTTGCGTTCCGAGACAGATAAGATGCTTTGATCAATATACTCAGACATACGACTGCACCTCGCTTCTGACCCGAGAAAAAGTGATCGAAACAATCATGGCGATCTGTATCACGTTTGGAATGCAGGGTACGGTTCCGCAGTAGCCACACCGACTGAATGACTCCGAAAGAAGCATAGACATGAATCGAGCTAATTACTTCTACAGAGTTTACCTCCAGACTGCAGGGTTACGAGAATGTCAGAGCGTATTGCTATAACTGCAAGTGCCCGGTTTATCCAGCTCACAGAACGGCTAAGTAATTACTGGTAACTGAACACGAGACTAACCGATGTTCGCTCCGCAGGCCAACATTGGGATGCCTACTGTATCACCAGATGGTAAGTGATATATTCTTCCCTGGCTGAAAATTTATCCATTACAATCTGTTAGTATTGGAAACTGACAACCTCTAGGCCTTGGTTCACAGTCTGCTTCATTGTACGGCCCCCTTGGCGTTTGTTGCTGCGCCTCTGAACGTCTCGTATATTCTAACTGATTCGCGTCACATAGCCTGTCATTCCACTCGCTTTCCACAAGTATAAGGTCAGCCTCCCTTCTCATGCAGATCTGGTACGAGATCTTGCTAATACCACCGCAGGAAGTCACGTGCGCTAGATGTCGCTTTACTCAAGACCTTAGGTATGAAACCATCTTTCCATTGGCAGGAATTTGGAACCAAGGAACACAGTCGATAATCCAGGATATACCTAAGGATCAATCTAACATCAGATCCAACAGGGATCGGCCCGACATAACTCCACAAACAGCCCCTCCGCCTGGGTACGTCTATTATCCCCCCATGGCGCCGGGAGCGATGGGAACTATGGGACCTCCTGGGCCTCCTGGGCCTCCTCCAGCCGCAAGTGGTGCCATTCCACCTCCACAACCTGCAGCCCAGAAGAGGTACGCTTGATACGAATGTAAACATAAGCATGGAACGGACGGGGTATTATCGCTTGTGTCGCTTTATGGTGTTTCCGTTATGCCGCTCTGTTATCTTCCTTCTATATTCCCGCGCGGGGACAAATTAGACGCCCGACAGCTACTCTGACATGATATTTTTCTCCTTACCGCAGAACCTGACTATGTAGAATATTGCAAGTTATATTTTATTGGTCCACCCTCTCATTACTGATTTAGTCTATAACAGCCACTCCTCCTTTCTCTATATTCCTTTTTAGACGCCGTAGCCCACCACTTGCCATGGCCCAGACAAGATATCTTTCATTGAACTGTCTGACTAGCAAGGACTAATATCAAATCTAACTACCCCATCCAAAGAAATCTTCGATTTTCCATACCCCGGCGCAGAACGAAATCGAACACTTACTGACTATCCCATTTGTGGATATCCTGCTCCCAATCTCCGCGCGAGTGAAGACTACTGCCACCCCAGTCTTCAGGGCATCAAGTGAAGCATATATTCAGTCACTGGACTGAACAATGTATTCAGGGAAGCGCTCACTAGAGGTAAGTGTGATAGTATGTCATCAAGATTACGGCCCCAATAGCCGAGATCAAAAATTCACCGCGGCAATTCCCATATTACTCCTATCCTACAGGAACAAACGTTCACTGCTCTGACAATCCATCAATGGAAACGATGAAGGGACCTTACCCCTCTTTTCTCTACTTATTTATCTCCTCCCTCGAATTCCACATTGTACTGTAGCTCTTTCCCCGAAGCTGAACCGTAGTCTTTACGGGATATAAAGCTAAATAATAATTTCCATTCTCGAGTTTTGATATGAGAAATTTTTAGTATACATATACATGGCTCCGAACAAACCCGCTATGCACGTATCAAGGATAAATTTGGTCTTACTCCCAGCGACGTAAGTATCACTACCTTTACCTGGAGAATAAGAGCACGGGTTGTCCTTGCATACCAGGACGGAAATTTAGAACTGACATACGGTATAATAGTGGGCATTCGTCATAGAGAGAAAAAAAAAGAAATTGAGGACAAGTTTGAGAAAATAAAGTGGCCCATGACCACCAAATGGCTCCGCAATGACTTAGTTCCACAGAACGCACAAATCTACGACTCGTCCTAGCCAGCCAGTACATCCAGCGCTTCGACCTGGACATACTGCACAAGCCTGGGAAGGCGAACACAGTTCCGGATGCACTTCGGCCCGGACTCTACAGCCCTTGGTGTGCTGCTGCCAAACGCAGATGAAGAGACTGCAAAAATTTGCCCTCGGAAACTGTTTGCCCGTATCTATATGGAAGACTTGTCTAACATCCAAAGATCATCAGTCCCTATAAGGACCAGAAATACCTTGTCGACGAAGTACTCCAAGACGCAAACCTGCGTTGTCGCGACAATCTGACTGTAGATGCCTGCCAGGGTTCGGAGGCAAACTTTGTCATCTTCCTGATGACCAAGCCGTCGGATCTAACTAAATGGGAGGAAGTGCGGGCTTCGTGGCGGATAGCCAACGACTGAATGTTGCGTTGAGCCGCGCTAGGAAAGTCCTGATTATCGTTGGCAATCTCGATGTCTGGAATAAGAAGTGAATACGCAGACTCGACTCGTTTCCTGGTGTCACCAGTGGATTTAAATAATCTTTGCATGGCCTATCTTATTTATGTTTTCTTATGACAGGACAGGACACAAAGATGTCCAAGCTAACATTGACTTATATCTAGAACATTACATTATTGGACCTGGTTATTCTTGCCATATGGACTCCTATACCGCCCCTGCCTCAAAGAGAGTCTTTGTCAAATATACAAAGCGGTCTCCGGTTCCGAGCTTCACAACCAGCTTCTTATCTGAGAGAAGCGAACAAAGATCGAAGCGAGGTCGACGTTGAGAGTTGATCGCCAAATTCCGCACTCTATAACCGCTGGCGATCAACAGTTGTTTGGAAACGATACCTACCGACCGGCACCTTCTCAAAAGGCTATGCACTATGTAGAAGAAGATAAACGACTTAAGGAGAATTGCAAAGTCGAACGCGAAGAGTTCCAAGAACATAATATCCTGCTTCTCCCATCCACATTGCTTTTGATATCTTCGAGCTAGCTCATCTCCCACTTTAACAATCTCCAGCATCTGTCATTGTCATGGACCAGGCTGCTTTTACTTCTTCTACCCCCGTAAGTACTGATTTCTAAAATGTTATAATATTATATCTTATTAACTAATGATATTAGGATCTCTGCGAGATTGGCACGGCAGTCATAATACAAGCTGTTATTAAATTCATGCGCCAGCACCCTACCAGATACGGCGACTTGCGTCCTCATACTATTATTTGGGGCCATAGAGATAGTCCTGAAGACCGCATCTATGCTCTCGAGGAAGCGTTTAAAGCCTTGAGAGAGGAGAATCAGAGACTCTCTGAGTTGAACTCACGCCTCACATGCGATCTCGAGAACCTAACCACCCGGGTCAGGGAGATTGAGGAGAGGCCAGTCACCGATGACCCCCGTTGGCACAGACTCGCTTTGTCTTTGCAGTCTCACTCAAGTAGAAGTGAGCCAATAGCGGAATTGGACACCCACATAAGCAACAAGCTATGGGTCGTCTACAAAGGCCTTAATAACATCATAAAAATCGACGATGGTCCCTTAGTAATTGAATTCGACAAGTTACTCCTACGCTCACCAAGTACCCCAAGGGAAAAGAATGTAGAACTGGGAAATCTGGGGTCGCAACATCTTGCAACTTCAATACGGTCTGCACAGGGCTTTTATAACGATGAAAGAATAAACACGGGTCAGTCCAGTGGGCGGAATATCAGGGCTGAACAACAAGCATGGTCCGAGGCATATGGGGAAAGTCAGCCATGGGTTGAAGACATATGTGAGACTCATCTTTCTTAATCATGACCACTAAGATATTTTACAGGGTCTATGATCTGTGGCTTCCTGATTGCTTCTTCTAATAGCTTCCAACTCCTTAAATCATCGTTGAGATCAGTGACAACTGTTCAAACACGGAAACGAGTCGAGAAAGGGAAGAAGAATCACCGAGCTACTCGTTGTAACCCCTCAGAAACACGGGTCAGATGCATCTTCTGGATCTCACAAGGGGAAGATCACCTCGGGATAAAGTCACGCTGCGGCTTGGAGACAGAGAATGGAAAAGAAAATGGGGAGCATTTCCATCATACGATACGGCTCGAATCTTTGGGAAAGTATGGTCGAGAATGCGGCAGTTCTCAGTGGTAGTGTTGGAACCATAGACGACTGAATTTACTTTCTCAATTAACGCCGTTGCTTTCAGAGAATGCGGATTTGATCAAACTTGGCATTTGATAAGGCTGAAGCCTGTGTGCGAATATCACCAGCGGAATCTAGGGCAGTGTTCGATGGTCGTCTTACAAATAGATGAAGGTCTAAGACCATGATTCTCAATAACTTTTGGCTGGAACCACAAGGGTCTAAGACGCATTACTAGGAACATCTAATGAGCTAGACGACTATCTAATTACATGTGATGCAATGGTTGAGATATGATGCATGCGCCGTAGATCATGCAATAATAAGCGTGTCATCTTAAGAGTTACCGGAGTGGCCTGACGGGGGTTCCTCGGCATAAGAAGAATAGATATCGGATGGATGGATAATATCCCAACGTCCATTGGTGCGATTCTAGGGATTATCACTAGAGGTCTTGTGTAGTTCTTTGCGCCAACAACGTTCGAATAAAGTTCCGAGCTATCTGTAAGCAGGGCAAGCTGTCATAGAGCTACCTGCATTGGGCCCGGTATTTAGACAACGTGGGTTTCGGCCGAATGCCGGTTTATACTCCGTACTCCGTAGTTTGCGTATTTCCGATCTACAGTAGTGACCCAGAAAAACGGTGATCCAGTGTTAGAGAGTGGATCTATGAGAAAAGAGATGGTGTGGACGAGGGATCTGGAAGCGGGTGTCCCTTAACGCTAAATACTGATCCAAAACTTTAGACCATCGTCAACTAGCAGGCATTATTAATCCATCATCCAGTCTAACCGGCTCTTGTGCCTGGATAGTCTGCCGAAAGATAAGTCCATGGTGGCAGATCAGTGGGGAATGCTCTCATTGTTCGCCTCCCAAGGCTCTGGAACAAACTCTGCACAGCATGGAATCATGGATTCGGGTTCGCAGGCAGCTTGTTTATTTTATCTTATCTTCCCGATCCGCAAACGGATCTGAATGGTAATGCAGGTCTTAAGTAAGTTACCTGAGTGAGTGACTGAATAATAATAATAATGAGAGGGCAGTGGCTGTTGCTTATCTGGTCTATCTACCTTTCGTGTGTCTCTGTATGTTGACTTTCGGTCCGATCTATCGGCAATTGATATCTGCGTTGCTTCTCCACGGGAGTTTTGCAAGTACGTAGTTATGTACAGTAGTCAATACATAACTAATATTAAATGGTAGTCAACAGACGAAGACATGAGTCCAGGTATCAAGTAACATGAACAGCAGGAGGTTATCAGCGCCTCTAGCACTAGCGGGGGCCACCACGAATTTGAACCGGAGGATTCACCTTGGCCGCATTAGGGAATAGTCGGGAGAAAAAGAATGTAATGAACGAGTTTTGACAAAAGAGAATTTCTCACGATTGCTTGTCGTTCCTTGCTCTTTCTTATCTCGACGTTGATCGAGCCAATGACAGCGCCCGTACGGGCTGTTACCGTCACGTGATATACTGTAACTGATAAGGCCAGGACAGCCCTCAATTGCGCCAATCAGAACCCGTCAAACGCTGCCGTTTCCAGCGCCGCCAAGAAGTATACGCAGATTACGGTATTTGCCATACACGATCTTCCCGCCCATGAAACCGGTTGATGGACATTAATTAATAAGGACGACAACACAAGGCCCCATTACGAGAGACTACGCTTATCTATCTAGACGATGCTCATCCAGATGGATTTTCCCTATCTAAACTTCTGGTATCCGCCCCGTGGAGACGAGCTCGGATCCAGCTCTGCGAGTTCGGAGTCTGTCTGGGGTTCCCCACGGCCGATGGCTCTTCTATATGAACAGGCATGCGTCCACCGTTGAACAGACGGAGAGATCAGCATTGCATCCTAGCAGCAGTCCTTGAACCGCAAGTCAGTCTCGGATAATTCCATTCGACGGACTACTTGAAGGCCTTACTCCTTGTATCTACAGCGGCGATTCCGCCCATTTGACATCAGGAGAAAAGAAACACCATGGCCGGCAACGTGGTCGAATTCTCCCCTCCCCTGGGGCAGGGCTTTGGATATGGAATCATTCTAGGTCTGGGATTTGCTTTTGCCTTCGTGATGATCTTCATCACTTGGGCTCTCAAGCGGTAAGTGCGGACATTGGTCGAGGCATGTCGAAATCCATACTGACACTTGATATTCCAAAGGTATCAACACGAAGTGCAAACATCAGAGATGTTCTCCACGGCCGGAAGGTCAGTCAAGTCAGGGTTGGTGGCAGCAGCCGTTGTCAGTAGTTGGACCTGGGCGGCAACTCTGTTGCAGTCGTCCACGGTGGCATACGAATACGGCGTTTCAGGCCCCTTCTACTACGCAGCAGGTTCGTTTTCCCTGATGTACATACGTATGTTGAAAGAAATCTCCAGTGCTAACTGGACGACAGGCGCTACGGTTCAGATTATCCTGTTTGCAACACTGGCTATCGAACTGAAGAGACGAGCTCCCAATGCGCATACATTCCTGGAGGCCGTCCATGCTCGCTATGGAACAATCGTCCACTGCGTCTTCATCGTTTTCTGTCTGATGACCAATATCCTCGTGACAGCCATGCTTCTGACAGGTGGATCCGCTGTGCTGACGGCGTTGACGGGAGTCCACACAGCTGCAGGCTGTTTCCTCCTCCCCATCGGTGTCGTCCTCTACACTATCTTTGGGGGTATTAAGGCCACATTCATTACGGGTAACTAGCACTTCCCCCCGCATCCGGATAATGGTCCATATTTATTTTGGCGGTTCCTACAGACTACATACATACCATCTTCATCGTCGTTATCATTTTCGTTTTCGCGTTTTCCGCCTATGCGACGAACAGTAAGCTGGGGTCCCCGAGTGCTGTCTACGACGCCCTGGTCGAAGCATCCCGTCTCCATCCAATCGAGGGAAACGCGGAGGGAAGCTACTTGACCATGCGTTCGAAGCAAGGTGGCATTTTCTTCGTCATCAATCTCATTGGAAACTTCGGAACTGTGTTCCTCGACAACGGATACTATAACAAGGCCATTGCAGCTAGCCCTGTGCACGCTTTCCCCGGATACATCATTGGTGGTCTCTGCTGGTTTGCGATCCCATGGCTCTGCGCCACCACTATGGGACTCACCGCTGTTGCATTGGAGGGCACACAGCAAGTCAGCTCACAGGATGTCACTGCTGGTCTGGTCCTGCCTTTTGCAGCCGTCAAGCTGCTGGGCTACGGCGGAGCAGTGGCCACTACGCTGATGGTGTTCATGGCGGTCACTTCTGCCTTCTCAGCGCAGCTGATTGCCGTGTCCTCAGTGACCACTTATGATATCTACCAGGCTTACATCAATCCCAAGGCCAAGGGAAAGCAGCTAGTCCTCGTTTCCCACTTGTCCTGTGTCGTGTATTCTCTAGCCATGGCAGGATTCGCTACAGGTCTGTACTACGCGGGCATCGGTATGGGCTATCTCTACCTCCTGATGGGCGTCATCATCTCCGCTGCAGTCTTCCCGGGTGCCATGGCTCTGCTCTGGAAGGGACAGAACTGGATCGCTGCCGCTGCCTCTCCTGTTCTCGGCCTGGGAACTGCCCTCGGCGCCTGGCTCGGCACTACGCAAAATCTGTACGGTGACCTCAGTGTGGCCAGCACCGGATCGAATTACCCCATGTTGGCAGGCAACGTGGCAGCGCTGCTCAGCCCGATGATCTACGTCCCGATCCTCACTCTTGTCTTCGGCTCGCAGAATTACGACTACGAGTCTATGCGTGCCATCCGCAAGGTCGACGATACCGACGTCGCTGCCGCTGCGCATGTCGACATTGAACTCATTCCTGGTGAAGTCGATCACCACACTGCTGCCCAAGAGGCTGAGGAACTACGCCTGCTCAACAGAGCCGCCAAATGGGCCCGCATCCTCACCGTTTTCATGGCCATCAGTCTTCTTGTCATCTGGCCCATGCCCATGTACGGATCCTCATACGTCTTCAGCAAGCCCTTCTTCACCGGCTGGGTCGTGGTCGGCATTATCTGGCTCTTCGGTACCTCTTTTGGTGTCATCATCTACCCGCTGTGGGAGGGCCGCTACAGCATACAGCGCGTGGTGCGTATGATGTCTCAGGATATCATGGGTAAGAGGCCTACCTATTACGGTGGCCAGGAAGCCGCAGACGAACCTACCACCGGTCAAGTGACACCCACAACAACGGAGAAGGTCTCTGGTGATAAGTTCACCGAAGAGAAATAGATTATTATATCCAGATGATTCCCATGCATGTACATACGTTTCTGTTTTACCTTTGTTTTTATTTGTCTTTATAGGTATATATATCCTTGGACGGGAGCCGAATACTCAGGCTAATGATGAATATTTTGATGATCCAATATTTTGTGCGTCCTTCCTTGTGGTGTCGAGGAAGCCTCTGCTCTACACAATACTTAGTAGTTAATTGTTCTTTGGAAAGATCTAATCTCTGATAATTTCTAGAGTTCGGATACTTCATACCCTTTACTTTTTATAGAAATAAATCGAGTATACTAATAGAAATGAATATGAATTTATCATCAATTTCAACCCCGCTCTAGTCATTAGGAGGCGATGATACTGCATGAAAAGCCCACACTTAGATAATCCATGATGAATGAATGTATGTTGCCGTCACAGCAAAAGCCTGCAGTTATCAACAACAATAAAGATAAGTAAGTCCACTTCAAGCAAAGTATGTAAACTATACAACTAGCTCAGTATAGGTAATTTCCAACAACCCTTCTTTCTGAATGATCTAACTTATAGTAAGTAAGTGAAGATATAGGGATTCCACGTAGGGTTTTGGTATAATCTACTAAGAAAAAGTTCAAATAAGAAAAAAAACAACAATAGTGTAGATTTAATCTACGCTATCTATATTGTAGTATGACATATGGCAATTTTGTAACAAATATATGTACATTGGAAAAGAAGGGCTGCAACCCCCGCGATAGTGACAGGCCACGGCTTAGGTGGCAGAGAATCAAAAAAGAAAATACAGAAAAAAAATTCCTATCATACGATATGCTACAAATCCCTAGGAAGAGACGGTTAAAGATAAATGCGGCAGTTCTCGGTTGTCCAGACAGCTGGATTCTGACTAAGGTCAAATGGTAACTAAAATGATACTTAACTATGTCTCGGTGGTGGAATCTGTATCCCAATTGCAGATGAATGTCTTGTCTCGACAGTAGGATCTGTTTTCTTAAAATCTATAAGTTATCATCACCTATTATTACCTAGCTTTAGAACAATTTGAAAAACTTAACTACTTACCAATTATATTTATAAGCGAGCCAGATGAGAACAACTTTTTTTTTCCATGGCGCGAATTCAGGTGAAATCGGCCAAGCGTAAGATAAAGCTCCCACGAGGGATAGTTCCTCCTGGTGCCACAAGACCAGGCTTTTTCTTTGAGCATGATTGATGACTCTGAAGATGGTGTGATCTTGGCGCTTGTGAGATCTAGAAGATGGGGTCTGGCCGTTTCTGAGGGGTTAACAACGTGTAGTTAGGTAGATCGGTGATTCTTTTACTTTCCCGACTCGTTGCGCACTGGTCTTGACGATGGATGAGGGGGCGGATTTAGATGAAGCAAACAGACCACTAGTTAGGCGGCGGAGTGAAGATTCGAAATAAAGCTACTACCACACTGCCAATGGATGAACAGAGAAATGAAGAAATAAACCAGAGAGGGCAGATTTCGATGACTGAGTTGAGAAACGATGCGTCGCAGCTCAGGTCGACTGGAAAAGTTGCTAGGAACCAAGTTTGAACATATATGGTGAAAATCGACTTCACTTCTGCCTACTTAAGTATGCCGTGCTTAACCTTGGAACCAAAGAGCCCTAATAATAGCCAACTGCATCGGAGAAGTACCAGCAGAAGATAGGTAGTCAAGTCCAATAATACCTAGTTACCTGTAACGCCCAAGTTAACTAATCCTTAAAGTTTTTTCCATTTCTACTCGAAAGTTTGAACCCATCCATTCACATTATTATATTGCAGTTTCAGAGCTCTACTGTAGAGAAACCATGCCCTTTCCAAATGAGTATTATTTTGGGAAATACTAAAACAATTTCATCTTGTCTGCATTGTGTAAAAGTCAAGAGTTATTACCGGAAACTGGACCTTAAGTATAGGGCTTAGATCTAAATTTTTGTATTAGTTAGTTCTACCTGGGTAAGGTACCTAGACATGATAGATTCAAAAGTAAACAAAACAAATCATTAGACGATCCTGGGGAGAGCTTTCCCATAGAATTATCATTGTCATATTCTTGAAGCTGCTTAAGTTTATATCATCGTGGGCTTAAAAATGTGGTTTTATAAGGTATGGAATCTCAAGACAGGTTCCCGTTCCAACAATTGCTATAGCAGGCCGATCGCTTAGACCTATCTTAGACGCCCGGAGCCGATCTGGATTCTGCAATCCAGAGTTTAAGCGCAGGGGTTTCATATATTAAGATCTTGCATGTCACCATGATTAGCACCAGCAATGCCGTGAGGAGACCCAAGGTTCCCTAGGTGGACAAACACAAGATGGGTCTATTTTAGAGAAAGATTGTTCCCGAATCTTGTTGACCCAATCAATTATTACTTACATGCAGGATATGGTTTATGAGCAATTATACCGATACGACTTTGCTGTGACAGAATTTCGTCAACGGAGTATGCATGCTAGACATTTTCGTCCCTCGGATGAACAACACGGACGGTTCGAACAGCGGGAGGAGTTATCTTATAGAAACGGGCAATCACTACAGCTAAGCAGGATCATCTATGCGATAGGAAGCGTCTTCTCCATTCCAGCGTATGTCGCAAAAAAGTATTGTACAGTACAAGAACACATTCAGATTGCATCTCCCTGGACCATGCTTTCCCCACGCCGAAAAAGAGTTCAAGTAGTAATCCACGGAAAATTTTCCCAGTTAGTCGACCGGCATCAAGGAGTAACGGATTTCATGTGGCTAACAAGGCCTCGTTTGATACCCATGCTGCAGATAGGTGGCAAACGCCCGATGAAGCCAGGATAAAGTAGGGAAAAGGATCGCTGCCGCTACCAGGTCAAAGCTGGAGTTGGAGCTGCAGCCGAGTCGGAACGAATTAGGAGTAAATTGATAGGGTATAAAAAGTTCGTAGTTGGACGAATTCAAGTCTTTGCCGGTGCATCACATCTGGTTGCTCGTAGAATTGGCCGAGTTGTGGATTGGGTCATATAGCTTTGCGCCATCGTAGCGACATCTTCGCAACCATCCATGTTTCGATCCCAATCTACCAAGCGGCCCGACTAATTGCGGCTGTAAGGTAGGTTTACGAAGAGAACTTGCGAGTGATCTTCGCGATGACTAGAACACGCAAACAATATTAGCATTCCAAAGCGTGTATCTCAAGGTCCAGTCTACTCACCGTGTAGTCCAACAACTGAGAAGATGAATCCGAGACTCAGAACCAACACCACGACCGGGTCAACCTTCAGACCGGGGCTCTCGTCGGTGTAGAGCTTCAGCATCGTACCGGAGGAGCCACCGGCACCAGCAGAACGGGTCGAAGTAGGGCGCGCATTGCGCAGAGACTCCTTGTGGTCAGCAGCCGCGCGACGACGCAGAGCAGTGCGTGGTCCACCAGGAGGCGTTGGGGATGACGGGCGGTTCAGGGCAGAGCTGCCAGAGACGGGGGCATTGGCAGACTTGGACTCAGGACCAGACTCAGCGCCTGAGGTTAGGGGGGAGGCAGGGCGAGGAGAAGCCTAGGATGAGTTGGAATTAGCCATTGGAAACAAAAACAAAATGAGCACAGTTCCTCAATTGACAAGCAATCGATTGTGAAGCGAAGCTCGAGCGTGTTGACGGACAGCACAAGGGCGGAACTCACCATTGTGAAAAGGATTAGACCAGAAAAGAAAGACAAGGAACGACCAGCAAAGAAACAAGCTTGAATCCGAATAAGAAGGTAGATGCAAAGAAAAAGCGGCGGAGGATGGGATGGGAGGTTAAGGCGAAGATGGTCGATGGAGGTGAGGTCGGGGTTGCTGGAAAGAGGCCACGATCACGCTTCCCGCTGGTCGGTAATTACCGTCATGTAATTACGCGGTCCGACCAGTTAATTACTCCTCGTCATAAAAGCCTTGTGCGTTCCATATTCTCTTCGCCAGGCCCTTCAACTCCTCGTCACCCAGTATAATATCCTTCTCTTTCGGACAATCCGGGGCGCGCAGGAATAGTTTCTCGAATTCGATGACTAGCGGGCCATCGTCAACCTTGATGGGTTGATTAGAATTTTTGTATACAACAACAGATGAATGCCTGTGTGGTTGCTCATTGCTGCCTCTTCCCCATTTCTCTAGTGTGATCTTTGGACCTTGACGATCAACTCTCAAGATCACTACTATTTGAACGTCTCCGTCACCCTGGCGGAGCCACCATCTCACGTCGCTCATTGCTTTGCTTGCTGATTCCGATACTGCCACCTCTACTACCACAGTAGGCCATTCTTTGGACCGGCCTGGAGGGGGTCTTGTTGGTCGCCATTGGCAGTCTGGCTGTTTTCCTCCATCATAGCCACGGTGTCCTGCGGATCCGCTTCCTGTCACTTTCGATTCGAGTCCCATATGTGCAAGGGCTAAGGTCATTTTAGCCTCAAAACCACTAGCTGCTGCCCCGTGTTCACTGGAAATCGGCATCTTGGTTAGTAGGAGCTGGTTTGTTTTATCGTAGGAGTTCCAGCTTTTTCGGATGATCTTGTCTGGTGAGTTGAGGAAGTCGCGCGTGAACGTCTCCTCGTCTACATCAGTAAACAACACCCATTCACTGTCTTGAGCCTTCCATTGCATCTCCCAAATGTCCCAGAATTGTTGTGTTCCCCGGAAGGCATATCTTTTGGGCGCACATTCCATATCTAAGAAGCCACTGTTACAGTGGTTCATATCAGCCTCACAATGTGTATTGGACGACATATTGGCTGCAGCTGGACAAGACAAATTTTTTGCTAACTGTGAGAGATAAGTGATTACTAGGTAGATAATGGATTTATTCTACAAGTCGAAAGCTATAGTGAGTTGCACCTGACGTCAGGATGAGTCGTCCCTGGACGTCGTGGGCGTTCTGATGAGGCATTGGTGTATTGATCCTCGTTATTACAGAGATCTGGTTATGCGTGTATAAAGAAACTTTGTTGGGATACTTCTAATCACCGGCCCTTGCAATGGATATCCACTGAAAATTGAAATCATCATTCAAGCATCAAAAGGCTCCGTTATATCGTTATAGCGGTATACACATGGCTTGCTTCATTTACCGATCCCGTCTGATCTCCATTGAGTATCGAGAAAGAGACACTCTCCCGCGTCAATTCTCGGCATATAATGTAAGATGACAGGTCTCAAATTACCATAGAGAGATGTCCACTAAATCTCCACTAAGATCGAAGATCCCTGCGTCCTGGGGTTCTGTTTTGATGAGTAAATAATATGTAGAATGTAGTCCATAGTCACAAAAATGTAAAAGATAAAAGACCTCTGAGGCCAATTCAAGTAGTCTACTGTGCACAATCATAGGATGTCCAGTTGCGGCCAACGGCCAAGATAAATACTCCAAGGGGAATCTCAGCTTCAGCACAATATCAACGCCAGAAGTATCCCCCCGCGGGACAGGAACCAATCGACAAGAAAATTTGAACACCATAGAAGGAAAAAGAAACCATAACAGAGATCGTGACAAAGGGAATGGACAGGGAAGATAAAGGAGGTATCATGCTGGTGATCCTTCGACGCGTCCCAAATCCGGCATCCAAAACGTGTCCATACATTCGGTAACTCGATCAAGATGCAAGTATTATAGTCCGTGCACGGCTGGTGCACGAGTCATGAGAATCGAACGTCTTTTTTTCGTTTTTTTTTTTCCCGTATTTTTCTTTTGTTCTTTCGTCTGCCGCCGCCAGAAACACCTCAGTCGATCATCATCCGAGTAGGCACCTTGCCGCCCTGCATATTCACAGAGAGCTCAGTAATCTTCTCTTCCTCACTAAGCACCTTTCTCCGAGTGATATGCGGCTTCAGGCCCTTGTGGAAGTTGAGGGTGCACATGATGGCGTTGAAAATAGTGGCGACAATCAGAGCGAGCGTGATGACCGCAAAGAAGGTGAGAGACCGTCGAGCAGGAAGGTACTCCCGATATTGGGATGGCTGGTACATGCGCACCAGCTTGAACATGAAGTAGGCCAAGGCACCGTGATAGAGAACCTTGACGATCGTTAGTAGGAATGTACACAATCGATATCAGAAGGATAAACACGTACAATAACAAACAGCATCCCCCAGATGCTCTCTCGACGTGTGAAAAAGGCGGCAAATAGTAGAATAACAATCGTCACAGGGATGGCGGCAAGGGTAAGTGCAAACTCGACGTCCGTCTTGCCAGTCACAATGACCACGAATTGCACGGTGAAACCGAGGAAGAAGAAGAAGTCGAATTTGAGGAGTGCGATGTAGATCTGGGAACCTCGTCAGCTTAGATTGTCCTCCCCATCGCCGACCGTCGAAATCTCACCTGGTACGTCAGGTATCGACGCTTCATGCGTAGGTCGGCGCTGATATGCTTGTAGATTGACCACGCAAACTCATCATAGAGTTTCCATGCGATGAATCCCATGAGGGCTGACCCTAAGCCCACGACGCAGGGGATGACAATGAGGAAGGGCATTGTCTCCGCCCAAATGTCCTCATCAATCGCATTGTTGACCATCAGGACATCGACCGCATCTTTGATCTGCTCCATCTGGACCGCTCCATATATCAAAAGTCCCACATTGCAGATACAGATCCCAATGACCTGAATCGTGTTCTTAAGTCGCAAGGCATCGTAGACCAAAACCAGCTCGTATACGAAGCCGAAAATGTACAACGTCAGGAAAGTAGGAATGGTTTTTGACGAACTGACATCTTCTGCGGAGGGATTCAGCTGCGTCTGGAAATTCGCGAAAACGTAACTGCCGGAAGTGTCAGTCGAATTCGTTCTTTTTTTTTCCCTTTGATTTGATGTCACCGGCTGATACTTACGACTCCAGAGCCAACGTGACGATCGCCTGGACCGTCGATACTACCACAAATGTCCACGTCCAGCGTGAGTTGGGTACGTACATCTTCGGCGCAGGGTCGTCGGATGAGACGTTTTGATAGCCTTCCCTCGCACGGAAGCCTCCAGAGACTCTTAAGGAGGGATCAAGTCGCCCCCCCAAGCGAGAGGAGCGATGCTTTTGGGAATGAATTTTGGCGAACTGCTCCGTCACGGAGCTCGGCGACTCGGGTGAAATCAGCTGAAAGGGTTGTTATGAAAGATTTCCCACCAGACGGTGGGAACAGCGCTGGAGCGTTGGACGGTGCAGCAGGACTGTTGGTCGCCAACGCTCGAGACACTAGACTGGTCAGGAGGTCAAGTGTTCCAGCGTCGAGAAAGAATGCTTGTCTTCCCCAGCAGCAGGACGTCAAGAAAAACGAAGGGCTGGACGGTGACCAGTCCGGGGGTACACCCTCAAGCGTCTGCAACCAATCCGGAGAGGGGAACGGTAGGACAGAGGAATCTTTTGGGAAGTATCACGTCGGATCGAGGGGAGGCAGACTGTGAGCAGCGATGTTGCCAAGCGGAATGAAACGTCGAATGTAGGGCGGGGAGGGGGTTGGTTCTTCAGGGTGCGATGTGTCGGGGGGAATTCGAAGGCAACCGCCCGCCACGGGGATTTGTGTACTGTTAACGAGCGGACGATATACGGTGTCGAGGAATGCGGACGGATGAGAATAACGAGGTTCTCTCCGATGAGAAAGGTAGCGACTGAGCAGATCGAAGGGTTGCAGGCCTGACAAAGAGGTGTGAGAGAAGGAGAGGAAAATGCTACTGGGCCAGGCGACCACTTTTGCAACAGGCGGTTGCTACGACTATTCTTAGTCTAGTTAATCAGACTGACTACGAGTGCTAATCATCTTCTCGACTCCCGCACAGAAGAAGAATTATTAGAATAGAGCTCTTTGGCGTCCGGGGTGTTCCTGTGAATACGGTAAACGGGTCCAACAACAACAGCGCAAAATGGCGCTGACAGGCTGGCCATACCGTTTATACGATAGCCCTGCGCGTTCGAGCCATTTCCGCTAGTATCTAGGATGTTGACGGCGGAGCCCAGCAGTGTCTTTTTCGCATGATGATTCGCAATCTCCAACCGCGCTTCTGACGGCCGTCGTACGCGCGGTGGGTCGCCAGTCCGTGGTTGAATCCAGGTACACAAGCATTCATTCTCGGGTCTGGATGGGGATAGTATTATTATTATTATCGTGAGCCTCGTCGACCTGCCCATATTCCCGAGAGGCTAGAACGTTCACAGTCTCAGGTTCAAGTCCACAGTAGTAGACTACTCTGGAAAAGGGACTCTCAGGCTCTAGACGCCTTGGCTGGGTCAGCTTGGCATCCTCGTCCTGGAAAAGGGTCATCAATTAACTTATTATTATTATTATTGTGATCGTTCCGGTTAAGTGCCTCTCCAAACAATCGATCTGTTATTCGTGCCACTAATCCTCTCCCAGCTTTGGGGGGGCTCCTGCAGCACTGCGGCAGTTCCCCGACTTGGCCCAGCTACTGTAGTTAGTAGTTAACGTGTCCCCTGTCCCTTTTTTGTCGTGGATCCCAACAGGTTGAACACCAACGATGATCGATTTCTCGAAGACTGCAGCCCTGTCACGCCCAGCGCGCAGTCATACCAATCTGGCTAAACAATAACTTAACAACAAGATGATAAGTATTCATAGAGTACAGTATGCCCTCTCAACGACGTCCATAGGCCGGATGGACCGAGAACCGAGGAAGGCTGGTTTCAGTTCGAACCGGGTCGGCTCTGTCGGCTGATGGGCGTTTTTTCTCCACCCCGCGATCCATCCAGGCGGTGTGACTTGGGCAAATGACAATCATCATGGATGTTCTGCTACAGTACAGTACATTGCCATTATTATTTTATTAGTATTATTTTATTATTCTTAATCTTATTATTATTATTATTACTATGGTGAATTATTATTAGTCCGCCAGTATTACCACTAAATATAGTTACTGTCATACAATACTACGCTCTTTAGCCAGGCACCGCATGTGGCCGTGCATCGTTCACAGCCACGGTCATCCCGGCTGTCTCATGGTGGACATGGACATGGATAGTACCATAGTGAGCCCCTCCTCTCCTCGTCTCAGACAAGTTGTTCACCTTCTGGGTCTTCATGCAACAACGCCACGCCCAGCACCGCCTCCGACGGTCAATGCAGCCCCCTCTATCTATGGTAATCCCCCGAGGCGCACTCCCGAGATCTCCAGGATACCAATCTGCCTGAGATCAACGCTCGACATTACAGGAAACGATCGATGGATGTACACAGCCGAGAGATTGCGCCGCGTCATAATGGGAACATTCCTCGAGCACGTCATTTATCTCATCTTCCTACTACCTCTTCCATTATCTGCATGTAAAAAGAAAAATGACACAAGAAAAACAAAAGGACAAGAAACCAAAGAGTCTGGGCAAAACGCGCTCAGACAATGGTTCTGCCCCGTTCTGTCGGACTTTGACGGTCATCTATGCGAGACTATCCGCCCTTTTCAATTACTGTACGAGGCAACGACCCCTGGTTCATCTGGGGGCATCCAGCTGAGATTCTGCTGCTGCTATTTCCTCCATTCCCTGATGTAATGCTTCTCTGATAGTTAATTCATTGATGCAAAAACAGCAAGAAATAGAGTATGTATACCCTCCTCAGCCCCCCCCTTTCAGCATTCCGATCAAGGCAAGGTGTCTGAACAGCGCTGTTCGAGAATTTCTCCTTGTGGTTCCTCACATCGGATCAATCTATGCTTGACCGCCAGAAGCGCCGTGCAATTAGTGGAAAAAGAAGAAGAGAAAGACTGTTGACCGTCTCGTGTCTCGATAGAGTTTGCGGGACTATGTAACAGAACCAGTTCGTGCTCAGACACTTAATGCTTAACTAGTCTGTACCCTATGGGCCAAGCTATCTTGTTCTCTTCCCCTCATACAGCCAGAAAGCAAACAATAGGATCAACAGGTCGATATATTTCCGCGGTTTTGACTGAGGCGCCTTATTACCAAGGCCTCACGAGATGCCCTCGTGACTACTTACTTCCCTTTTAGGAATTTAACTATCATCTCCGAAACTACTCCAGCTGAAGATGATATTATCATTGACTGGCTTTCCACGGGAGATAAACTGTCATTCCTGTTTCTCTGTTCCGATGCGGATTATCGCCCAAAGGCCACGATCATTCACTGTTGCTCCAGCGTCATTTACTGGAGATAGGACTTACTATTGCCACCAAACCATAGTTGAGTACCTTCCGAAGCGCTGTGGCGGCTATTCGAAAATTCGTCCTAATTCCACCGCAATAGCTCATATACTTCTTTCTGCTCAGTAACTTGACCACTCCACAGTCTCTGGAATATCTGAAAAGGACGTGTTATTTGGCCTTGTTACATAGCCATTAAGAGCACAGATCCCGTCTTGAGATAAACTGCTGTTTGTTCAACTTCAAATCTAATACCCGACATCATAAGCCTCATAATTGACACTGCTCGGAAAGCCCCCAATAATTTAAACGAAACACGAAGAATCAAAGCAGCCAGAGGTTTAGATAGGTACTTACTAGGTAACCAGTATCTGTTGAACAGAGGATATCGATAAATCATCGCCCCATCATATCTCCCACAACGGAAGGCGGTCTAAAGTGGCAAAATCAGGCAAACCCCATCCCCATCCCACATCATAAATATCAACCCACTTTTTCCGCTTTCTTTCTTTCTTTTCTTCTCTTTCTTTCTCTTCAAGCGTCGTCCTCGTCAATGCTGCGTTTCTTTGCTACACACAACAGGTCGAGAGTATATATATATACTCTCCCTGTTCTCCAAACCATGCAAATGAGAAATTCGGAGGAATCTTCAAAAAGCACTCGTTAATCCGCTCGTTTCTTTTTTCTTTCCTTGGGAAGAAATAGATTCGAGCCGGTACTGCCCGTGAGGGCCTGGCGTGAATTACGTCTGCAATAGGCATCAGAAACATCGGGGGAGGGGGGAATGGCGTTTCGTCGTTCTTTTCCCATGGGAGAGCCGTTGCGAAGATTGTGTGTGTGGTGGTTCTTGGACCCTGCATGACACTTTAGTGCAATACGCAGCATGCCTTGCTCCTCTGGCTTTTGGGCTGGAGGAGCGGTATCATTCGATTCCGATTATTCTGACGAGGACGACGCTTCATTTTTCTTTTTTTTCAGGTTAGTCTTTTTTTTTTACCCTCCTGGTGTTTTGACCCTGAGTTACGGGGGGAGGGCGATGGAAAGGAACGTCTTTTTTTTAATAAGGATACTGCTAATTTGTGATCCGGATTGGGTGACTCGGATGTCTCTGTATTTAGATGATGGAAGTGTGTGGCAAAGGGATTGTTGTCCTGATGTATGGACGTGAGACTCATATGCTTAGCATGTGCTGTCGATTATTGTACTCGGATATCATGGCATGGTGGCAACCTGGCTGGGAGGAACAATACTCTCGATATTGTCTGGGTAGGGATAGTCGGCTGGATATTTCTGGCCCGACTTTCCTGTATGCTAGATGCTAGCTATCAATGGGATTTTTCATCCATCCTCCATATGAGTGTGTTCAGCGTAAATTCAGATCGGCTGTAGATGGTCTACGTCGTTTCACTGTAAGGAGTACTACATCGGACTTCCGGTTGATTGTTAAACGGTAACAGTTCGCTTCATTGGGAAATAGATTGTTATTGCAGATAGATATAAGACAATAACAAAAATTAAAATCGCTTGATGCACTTAAACCACTGAATGGTTCAATGATCCCGGGAATATCATGGCATATTTTCATTCCGATTCATGCTCACTTGTCCGCAGACAAGCAACGCCTGCGCCGCCCCCTAGCATCCGCCTTACCCTGGCCAGTATCCAGGATATCGACTGCTCGGCAAGAAAAAAAATGAAAGGTGCATCTGCTGGTTCCTTCCATATTGATAACTGGCAACGGTTTATTATCTGCTTGTTGTTATTTCTTTTTTTTCTTTCCCTTCTTGGATTGTTTTCAGATATTTGGTCTTTGATGTGATCATGTTTACTCGTCATCTCCGATCTATGATGTGGAAATGAAAGGTTAGTCATCTTGCGTGTAGGCAGTGAAGAGATGCACAAAACATACCTTAGGAGCAAGGAAGAAGCGCAGATGACCGCTTCCCAGTCCGTACTCGACCAGGAGGGGAACCTCCTGGGAAAGGCAGAGCTTCACCTTGCTGGACAGGTTGGTGGCCTTGGTGAAGTTGACAAGATATTTGAGAGAGAAGGTAAGGGCAACAGGCTCGGAGAGAGAGATGGTGACGTTCTGATCTGGCTTCTCGACATTCGAGTGCTGACGGATAGTCACAGAGCCGTTACCGATATCACCCTGGCAGGAGAATCGTACACCTTCTTTCGTGGTCTCGATAACAACTACAGTTCGTCTGTTAGCAACCGTCAAGACACGACAAAAGTCAATGCGCAAACATGTGACAGGTGCTGTGAGGAGCATAAGGTCGGCTCACCTGACTCAGACAGAGCGTTAAGATCTCTGCAGATACGCTGGAACTCTGCGGATGGCATCTCAACCGTAGAGGCGTAGTCTGTGTCAGGAATAGCCAGGTGGTCCTGGTCAATGTCCATAAGTTTGATGTCGTACTCGCTAATTCGGTCGGTCTCTGCGCTCTCGAACAACAAGTTGACAACATCAGGTGAGTCCTCCGCCTTCAGCGTCAAGATATCCTCGTTCTGTGCGGCACGGAGGACCTTCGTCAGGGAAACCAAGTTAATTCCCAGAGCGATGTTACGGTCACAGCGGTACGGCGAGAAGCCCTCCGCCTTCAGCATCATGGACACCAGGGCAACGTGAGAGTTGTCCATGGCCTGAAGGGCGATACCGGAGTCATTGCAGTCGAAGTTGCAGTCCTGCACGAGATCCTTGATCGCGTCGACAACCTGCATAATGGAGAGTCGTAAGCATGCTGGACCAAAAGCTGTTAAGGCAAAAAGAGAGTTTCGCATACCTTCTTCAGCAGACTTGCCTGCTCTAGCCGTGCTTCCAACACTATTGTGTATCAGTTGTCTCCGTTGCTATCACGAATCGGGGAGAGGGATGCCTACTCTTGCTTTGTGTGTGTGTGTGTGAGGTAGAAAAGGATATCTGGAATGAGGGGAGAATGAGAGGCTCCGATGAAGACGAGATATAGAACAGCGAAAAAGATAGTATCAATGGATGCTAGTATGCTCTGTCTTCACGACCGCAATATGTGACTGAGTGCTGGAAGGTAATAGGAAGAGTGAATGCGAAAAATATGCAGTGTTCGTTAGCAGAGCTGGGGATGCCAAAGCGAAAGGTCGCTGAAGGTCATAGTGGGGTGACGCGTCGCGTTCCCGAGGTCGCGTAAAGCACCCTGTGCCGCCAGCTGGTTCAGCCGCCTAATTCGATCCAGGCACCAGCAGCATCTATCTATGGCCAATGCGGAATTATTGACAGTTAGCGCGTCGAGAATCTACCGGTGTCCTTGCAATCTAGAACAAGTTCCTGTATTCTCTCTACTCAGAGTCAGATACCACCACAGTCGATCCACGTCGAGAGAGGTTCTAGAAAGGATTAACTTATCTACATCAGAGTACCCTGCGCGATCTAGATTTACAATGGCGTGTATAGCTACTGCCGGCATTATCGCTATAGAAGACCTCATCGTATACTAGAAAGCAGGTGGATTGAGTAAGAAACGCGACAAATGAGCTATGTCCAAAGACTGTTAATATAGTATAGTACATAGGAAAATCACTAGCAGATGATGACCGGTGCCAATATGCTCCTTCCTCGGAGGATAAGATAATATAAAAACATTAAAGAAGAATACAAAGAACCCATTTTCAGAAAAGAACCAGTCCCAAGCAGATCCAAATGACGCCGGCCCTCTATATATACAGTATCTCGGGTATCGATCTCGCAGCTCGTGACGGTAATGAGAGGCGCTGAGTATAATAACGATGCAAGGGAAATGATGATCGCTGTGAACGAATGTGGCGAGTCGTCGCAGCTAGGCGAACATATGCGCTAGATGCTGGTGACTCGATGCGCAGCTATTGTTCTAGGCCGATGCTTGATAACTGTCTCAAGTTCCTTCAACATGTTGGTGTTTGCGTCAGTTTTCTCGCGTGCGGCCGCTTGCTTGGCGCGATCTTCTTTGACACGAGCGATTCGCTCCTCCCTGGTCAGTGAGGCCCGTTTTCGAACCGGGAGAGCGATGGCCTCGAACACCTCCTCGTCATCCATGTTGTAATCCGGATTCAAATACGGCTGGCTGTCACCTTCGAGGAGTTTCAGAGCATCCGCAGGACTTCCTTCGACTTCCGTGGAACCACTTAGACTGAAAGTGGGGGACATGGGCGACTTCAGTGAACTGGTCGGGCGTGAGGACCGATCTGAGGAACTGGATCTCTCGAAGCCGGCTATCAGGGCCGACTTGCCAGCTTCCCATTCCTGAAGAAGCCCTCTGATATCTGCACCGATGGATTCGTACTGCGCCATCAGACTCGTCATCAAGTCGGACTCATTGCCCTTCTGTTCCAAGCTTGCATCGGATTCTTCGCGAATGACATGCATCTTTGCATGCAATGCACGGATACTTTGAGAAAGAGAATTGAGCTTCCGGAACTGCGCACGGAAGCTGTCCCGGCTGGGTGATGCGTTTGGTAGAGGAGACGGAGGGATAATGTCGCCTAGAGATGTCAGCCTGTGTATTTCTACCGTGGAGGAAAGGTTCGTCATACGGTCCTGTTCATTCAGGATGTTGCTAATCCTCGTGACATTGTTCCCTGTGACAGTAGCCAGATCTCGCATTTCCTCAACCGCAGCACTCCACCTCGGAATATCTGAACTTCCCCCGTCGGCGCTGAGCGCGAGGAGACAGCATAAGATGCTTTTCCTTACAGTGTACAGTCTGCCGAAGAGCGTACGAAGAGATCGCAAGGAGTACTGATCCTCAGCCCCTCGTTCACGTAGTCCTGCTTGAGCGTCTAGGAGTTCCTCGAAGGAGATCTCGTATATATCGTAGTACTTCTCCAGGCTTGTACTCTCTGCCAGTGGCTGGAGGATCTTCTGAGCCTGGATGTATCGCTCGAGTAATGAGAACAGTGACTCGGAGAGCGCGCGGCGCAACCTCATGCACCGGCGGGTTTGCGCGTTTTCCTCCAATCGGCTCACTGGGGGCAAAGGAGTGCTCCTGCATTCTAGTCAGCTACAGTCTCGTCGACAGAGACAGGACTCAGCTTACATCCTATAGCCTCTGGAGACCAACTCGACCTCTTGGACAAAGACTACTGAGGCGGAAGCAGCGGAATCGAAGCTCCGCGCATTGCTGACCAGGACTGCTGCGGCCTCGACTGCCTGATGTCTCACGTATTTCAACCATTGCCGTCTGGTGAAGGCGTAGAACACAAGTGCGATAACAGGTAGTAGAATTAACAAAACTGCCACCCTCCGCGTATTGAATCCAGACCCAGATTTCGATCGACTCCAGTGGATTAACCACGCAACCGAGAACGACGTTGCCGCCGTGAAAACTACACCTTGTAAACCAAACGTCTCTGACAGAGACGGTAGCTGTGCCGCAGGAACCTTCGACAATACGTCTGCGGCCGAGGTATAGGAGGGGGCGCTATGCTCGTTGAGGAGTTGAGATGCGACAATGAGGTATCCGAACTTCTCCAGAAATCGTTCGTTGTCGCTTCTTCCGACCCGAGAACTGACCAGAAACTATATTAAACGCCATGTCAACTCCGTATTCCCGCCAACTCTCAGGGTCACCACTGTGCTTACCGAACAGGCGTCATGGATCTTGCCCATCGCACCTGTCTTCCTCGCGACCGTCAAGTCTAATGGCGCGGGCAATTTATTTCGGATCCGTTCTTGAAACGTCGAGATCCCACGAGGGGCAAAGTCAAGTCGCATGTCGGATGAGGAGTCATTGTCGGCTTCCTGAGGGATCCAGTCCTCGCTTCGTTCGCCTGCCCCTATATCGAACGAGATGAGCTTCCAAGCCCAGATTCATCTGGGAGACTTCTGTCGTACCTTGCAGATAATCTGCCAGAGGCGAATCTTCATAAACCAAGGCCTCCATCACCGGTTCGCATCTCCCGATCCACTGTCCACTATCACTGTCCACTATCACTATCGACGGCGCGAAGGGTATGCTGCGTTGAACAGGGTGCGGTATCAAGGCCCGGTAGACACCAGACAGAGGTGATGTGGCAAGAAGAGACGAGGAGGCGAAAGAACGGCTATCGCGACTCCATCTCGCGGGGGATCCAGCGGCGAGATCTGGGTGAGTTGGGGGCTGCTGGGCACCGCAGCCTCAGCCTCAGCCGCAATTAGCTTACCTTGCCCACCCAGAAACCAGGAACGGATCAGTGGAAACACGAAACGGCCTTGCTGGGAACTTCACCAAGGTCAACTGCGAGATAGAGCCGGATATGGGGTCAGTAATATGATAGAGAACACAGATGTTCTCTCTCCTGACATCGATTCCGGGGATCGGGCCTGGAGGTGAGCCGCGTTTGCGATCGTTTCACTGGGGCTTTGGCCGGAACACGTGCCTCGCATCCAATCAGCCGTGTGAGTCTAGCAGCGCCCCTGGCGTCGCCCCAAATGCAGCAATTTAATTAAATCAAGTTCCCCATTGATCTTTAGTTACTATTATTATAATTATAATTCTGGACTTTGATGCCCCCCGCAGATGAAGTCCGTCCAAATGGCTTCATTTGATCTAAAAACATGTTGACATCCTCATTCACCTACCAGAACTCCGTCTGTGCCTACTATCTGTGCTACACGGTGGGATCACTCTGAGGGGCTCGGCTCAGTGGGTGACAGGTTCCCCTGCATTAGTTCGTCTATCATATTGACGACGATACGTAGTGGTTCTAGCCCCTTGCGTTTGTTTCCACAAAGCGTAACTTTAATACGGAGTACGGAGTAGTTACCCCGACTCCAGGATTGGCATATACCAAAGCTTTCTGCAATAATATCACAGACCTATAGTTAGCTTATGTTATCTTACATTGTTCTCTTGTGCGCAATAGCGGCGATCTCCGTGTCTGATTTCCTCTAACTTATCCAGATCGACAATTCTAGATAAGCACCAAGTCTCAGTAGAATCTGATCGACAGCTGCCACGCATTGCCAGGAACCAAGCCGCTTTGAGTTATGCGGGTTAGATAGTCGACTCTAAAAATATCAACACCCACGCACACACTCTACACATCTAGTCTAGCATAACGGTTAGAAGCCATAGTCGATTAATCAATACCGGCCTCAAACCAAGAAGGGAATGATGCGAACTCCTCAAGGTAATGTATGTACAGTATAATAACCCAGTCGCATGCGCTTGTGGACGGGACTCGTACTGTACATAGCTTAAATGCTGCCATACCAGCGGGATCCGTCCCCGCTGCCACGACTCCCACGTGCTCGAGATAGGGACATTTCACATTCCTCATCGCGGCAAGCATCGACTCTACGTGAGTGGTTCTTGATGGCGGGGTATTTTATGCCGTCTAGGACGTCATAGAAGAGCATGTTGGCATGTTTGACTGAGAAAAGCATGGGGTTGGACAATGCCTGTCGAACCGGACGATTTCCAACGTCATCATTTTTGGTGATCTCTGTTAAAAACATCGATAGTAGAGTGATATGCGCATAGCAATTCATCCTTTTCATTTGTTCTGTTCTTGAATTATCAGTGGCCGTTAGATTACCATGTGGATGCCGCCATCAATAATCATTAACCGCATGGAATAGACGGACCGGAAGTAGGCGTCGCTTTCTAGCCAAGTAAATATTGCACTACTGAGGGGAGAACTCTCGATCAGAACTAACTCTCCTTATTGGCTCTCTTGCTATCTTCAATGAGTGAAAGACAAAAATTGATTCCTACTGCTAAAACTATTATCAATATTGATCAATCAGAAGATGACTCTACGGGGCCACGGATACTCAGTCTCGCGAAATGATGCTTCGCTCAACATACTAACTTAGCCTTGACATGTCTGAGAATAAAGATACAAGGCAGCCTGGAGCGAGAGCAGTCGATATGAAGCTCGTCAGCATTACTTAACCGGCACTAACAGTCCATGAAGGTCAGTGCCTGGTCAGCAGCATGTGGTTCTGACTCTCTCCGCTAGGTGGTCGAGCTAGTTATCGATATTGATGTCTTTAAAGTATCCTATTTACCTCCTTTCACCAGCCAACTTCGAACGACACACGTGATGTCGACCCTATGTCCGGCTCAGCTCTCTACCACATTGAGACACCTACACACAATCGATGTTGTTGCTTCTTGTTAAATTGCCATGACTATTAACTTCATAATGAGACAGAAAAATTTGACCCAGTTCTAGTTGATTCGAGCAAACAGCCCTCGCATCCACGCTCAATGCTTGTTTCCTGAAGAGGCATACAAGATACACTGATGTCGATGTGACTTCGACTTATGGTTCTCACTGAGGCTTACTCTTCATGCTCTTACTCAAATTGATCATGACATCACATCCAAAGTTGCCGGCAGAGCATAATAAGCAGATGCCACCGCTGCATTCAGAACGTACAAGATCATGAATAAGGGCCGCATTCTGACTATTAGTCTTTCTGTTTGTGATGCAGCTGTCTCAAGACACCTCTGTCTCATAGATCCTGCCAAGGACATTGACAAGCTCCTTGACGGCTTAATCTTGGCGACGGAAGCAACTGACCCAGACTGGGTACCTATCATGACGCGTGCTGCGGTATCGTCCCGAATCATGGCGGGTGTACTTCGCATGCTGCTATCGTCAGTCCCAGCAATTGTGGGCACAGGAAATTCCACTTATGTGTTGTACACCAGCCAAGGAGTCACCGTGTCCTGTGCCGTGGGCGACAAGGGTTTCGTATATGAGGGCATATCCACTTTTTCCACCCAGACGGTGGATCTGACCGGATTGCGAGAAGTCAAGACCAAAGTTATGCTCAATCTTGCCAATCCAGCATCAGCCTACCGCTGGTGGCGCCTCCCAGAAGATGGCATCGGCCTTGCTCGCATGGAATTCGTCGTCGCCAACGCGGTTCAAGTTCATCCTGCAGTACTCGTCCATTACGACCGACTGAAGGATCAAAAGGCAAAAGAAGACATCTCCCAGCTTACGACCTGATACGACCACAAGCCCGCCTATTTTGTGGACAAGCTATCACACAGTTTTGCAGCCCTTTGCGCAACCTTCTACCCTAAGCCAGCGATCATCCGCATGAGTGACTTTAAGATAAACGAGTACGCCAACCTTATTGGCGGCGTCGAGTTTGAACCCAAGGAGGAAAATCCCATACTAGGCTTCCGGGGAGCGTCACGATATTATTCGCCGCACTACAAGGTGGGATTTGAGCTCGAGTGTCGCGCCATTCAGCGCCTACGTGAAGAGATGGGTTTCGGTAATGCGGTTATAATGACCCCCTTCTGCCGAAATACTGGAGAGGCCAAAAAGGTAGCAGAGGTTATGGCCGAATACGGGCTCAAGCGCGGCGAGAACGGCTTTGGGCTCTACGTTATGTACCAGATCCTATCTAATGTCATCATGGCGAACGAGTTCACGGAGCATTTCAATAATTTCTCCATCGGTTCTAATGTCCTGACACAGCTTACTCTCAGCGTGGACCGCGATTCTGGCCAGCTTGAGGACCTTTTCAACGAACAGGATGAAGCCGTCAAATGGATGATGGCACGGATGATCGCGGTGGCTCGCAGGAAGGACTGCAAGATTGGTATCTGTGGACAAGCACCAAGCAACCATCCGGAGTTCGCGAAGTTCCTGGTCGAGGCAGGTATCAATTCGATCTCTGTCAGCCCAGATAGTTTTGTCGCAGTGGAGAAACACATGGTTGCTAATGAGAGAGCTTGCTGCTTTTTAGCAAAACTTCCATACGATCTACGCTACGTGCTAAGTAGTGTTATGTACTACACTTCCTCTCCTCCATAGAAAGCTCACGATGATCAAGAGAAGCCTCAATTAAAACAAGAATCACGCTCTTTGGGCTGACTATAAATCCGTCCATGTAAATCCAAGCATCCATGGCATAAGCGCTAAACTATTTTCCTTCATAGCAATTGTTGGCTTGGGCCAAGTCGGTGCTGCTGCCGCCGCTCATGCGCTCATCCTTAGCTCCGTCACGAGTGAGTTGCTTTTGATTGATGTGAGAGTAGACTTGAGAGATGCACAGGTCCGTGATCTTTCAGATGTGACCTATAGCGGTAACAGCAGCACGCGTGCACGAGCGGCTAAGTACGATGAGGCAGGGCAGTGCGAGGTAATAGTCGTCACTACAGGATTAAAGTATTTTAGAGGTATGAGGCCCTGACCTTGATGTGATCTCCATTGTTGTATATTTCGCTAGGGCATGAGCTCATACTGGAATGTTTAGGGGAAACTAGCGTTGGACACATGTATCAGAAAATGGAGATTACTCGGAGCGTGGTGAAAGCCTTCATATGAAGCCCTTCAGATCAGACACTATCTTGCTCGTCGTGGCAAACCCAGTCGATCTACTTACATCCCTTACTCTCAAGATCTCACGACTTCGACCGTCTCAGGTTCTAGGCTCAGGTACCTCTCATGATTCCGTGCGGCTTCGCGGCTTGTTGGCGGATAAAGTAGGGGTGCGTCACACTCTCACTTCTTCCAAAGCTTGGAGATGGTCCAACCAACTCATTGCTTTAGGTTGCTACCAATTCAATAGGCTCTACGTCGTGGGAATGCATGGAAATTCGCAGGTTGTGGCATGGTCGACTGCAACGATCGGTGGTGTGTCTCTTGGCAAGTACTATCAACCATGCAGAACTTTCGAAGGAATGCAAGGAGAGAATACAGTGCATTATCCAAGCCTAAGGATCGACCGCTTTTGGCATTGATACCATCGTCTGTAGCATCTGCTCTTCGATCCTTCTCGACATGCGCAATGTCCGTCTAGTCGGCCATTTCCAACCAGAATTCGGTTGGTGTTTGAGCTTGCCCGTAATCCTAGATAGGAAGGGAATCATAAGGACGATCCAGCTGCCGTTGAGTAGTGAGGAGGAAGCTGCTGTAGCAGAATCGGCTACTATGCCGGGCGCCACAATTGAGCGGATCAATGATCAATAAGCAGGAAGGGCAAGTTTGCAGAATTGAGAACTTTCGCGGAATCTTTCTTTTCTCTCCTGCAGTGGGATGAAGATTGGCTTTTGCTTAGGTTCAAATTCACTGAAAAGAAGAGGAGTTTATCATCCCACATGCCCTCGATTTGTCGTTGGTGTTCAGGGTGTTGATCCTTCGACTGCGGCTGAATATCATCGCCAGTCATGCCTGCGCTCAGTAGTTAGTACTTAACTAACGCCAGGACTGCAAATCGCCGAAAATGGCAAGGGGAGATCGAAATGCAAGAGTGCCTGAAGTCAAGTATCCGCGCTCATGAAAACGTGCAGGGGAAGAAGCGTCGGGAATCATTCCAGACGAATGGATTCCAAATCTCTAAGCGATCACCGGACACTACTAATGGTCTAGTAGGCGCTAGAAGTAGACAAACTATGGTCTGGCAACTTGTTGGATGCTAAATTGTCAATAAATCGCAACCCCGTTGATCGTGTCGAGCTCGAGATGGTCGCATACATGTGGAGGTCCATAGATCGATTAGTTACTGGAAGGTCAAAGGCCTATATCCTACTACTTACTTGGCGTCTCACCTCCGCCCTCATGCCTTCTTCGTTTATCTAGTAGTTAGCACCCGCCGATTACAGAGAAGATAAACATTTTCCCACGGGTGCTGGTAATGGTATGAAGCGGGGTCCTCATTCCAAGCCGCTAAGTAAGTTCTGATGTGTGCAGGTATGGCCTCGCCTTTTCGACCAAAACTGGATAAAGATTCCTCCATATCTTTCGGTTCTCCTCGACTCAGACTCCTTCATATCTGAGTATCCGTGAGTATCCAATGCATGTGTCTGCGTCAACGAATCTGCCCTAGGGCCAGCTACAGTTCCAAGAAATGACCCAGATAAACATTGGCTCCAAGGCTCATCTTTTGCGACTTTATCATCGCCGAACTAAAAGTTCGTCTATGGGGACGACCCGAAAGTCTGCCATTAATTGCATGACCTTGGGTTCTCCCGAGAATCTTGAGAACCCCTTCGCTTCACGCCAATCTCACTCCGCACCCCGGAAAAGTCTTTAATGCTAGCGGTGACTTGGCTCTCTCGATGGTGCCTTACTTCAGTACGAAAGGGGCAAAAGGATCGACATAAGACGGTTTTCCCAATCACGAAGTCGCAATCTCTGTTTCGCTTGCGCACTTCGGTTCAAAACTTGATATCCCTGATCCAAGGCCTGCCTCTCCATCTGAGCTCCAGAGAACAGGAGCAGTCTTACTTTAGCGTCTAGAGAATTATGTCTCGATCGCGGTTCCGATTCCTTCCTTCGAGCACAATGTGGGTCGGTGGCTTACTTTCTGAACTTGCTACTGCGTAAGGCACTAATCTATTAAACTAGGGTTCCGGATCAGTATCCTGTATGGGCATGGCGAACCTCCTTAACAACAATGGAAACTATTTAGCAGTGGGTCAGATCGGGTTCCCCGAGGCATAGTCGTTCAGTTCTGGGGCTATCTATCCTCCGCCTTATCCCCTGGCGCCAATAAAGATTGATGAGCCTTTTACCAGAAGAGGCATGCTTTCAATGTCGCGTGGTGCCACCAGGATACATCCTGGGCCATACCAGAAGCAATAATGCGCCGGGAGTCCATAACGCTCGGTGCTGAAGACTACCCTACTACGATCGTCTCATGTCTGCATTCTTGAGGATAGAATGCGGATGGATAATCCGCTCTCATTGTCGGTTCTCCGTGCAGCCAAGACGCTTGCTGTGTTCGGATAAACCTGGGGATTCCGGCACCTTGGGTCGTATGAAGCCCTTCACGCGCTTATCGTAAAAATAAGGCCTCTGCAGGGGCCCAGACCCGTCGGATCGGTAGCTCGGACGGCGCACACGGGCGGTTTCTTCAGCATAAGAGATTTATACGGATCAAGGGTCAGTAGTTCTGCGCCCTTGGTAATGTTGTTGCTACCTCTTGGCCCCCAACTCGAACGCTCACTGCACCTCTGAGACCGGGCGAAGCCTCGCTCTGGGCCCCCAGCAACGGAGCTATCTGGCGGGGAAATACTCTTAGGCACCTAAGTACTTGGTCCGCCAAACATCGAACTTAGGGTAGCTGAGGAAAGGGTCCTACTTCGCTCTGTTCCCTCATTATATTCCGCACTATTCCTGTACATATCGACGTTATTCGTACGTGAGATGTGTCTTCGAGCATTTACGAGATCGACAACCGGGCATATGGATCAGTCATAGTTGTTTTATAACGGCGCACTAGGTTGTATCATTGGCCGTCAAGAGACGATATTTCTTCTTCCATGTCAGCTTAAGTGGGATACAAGCAACAAGGATCAATGAAACAATATTCCTCTCAAGCAGAGGCCATCTAGAGCATCATCACGATGAACTCTAGAAAAGGAACAACGGCTGGGAAGAAACGGGAATCACGTATTGGCAGTCGGAAGGTCACATCGCTAACGGCGGAACAGTTGGAGAGGAAGAGAGCCAACGATCGTGAGGCACAGAGGACGATTCGCCAACGGACGAAGGACCATATTGAGCATCTCGAACGTCGAGTAGCAGACCTCAGCGCTAAGGAAGAGCAGTTTGACAACGTACTGAGGCGTAACGCTGCCCTGGAAGCAGAGATCACTCATCTTAGGCATCAACTGGCGATGTCTGGTAGCGGGACGTTGTATTCTGCCGAGGGTAAGAGACTCATCTCATTACAACACCTCCTGCACCTCTCCCAATCAGCGTCAATCTGTTTTCCAGATACTCGCAGGATACAGCACCATTAACAGGCCAGTGGCAGTAGATGGATCAAGAAGGTCGTCAACAACGTCTGCTGCCCCGAGCATCGTTCCTCGCCCGTATCCTAGACCTCAGGGACATCATGACGATGGCAGCATCTCCTCCATGCCACCGATTGCGAGGAGAGTATCAGTACCTCACGAATGGCAGTCCTACATCACGTCTCGTCCTTCGTCTTTCAGCGAAGCTTCCAACTCTGATTTCGCCGGCGAAGTTGGACCATACTTGCTCGACGGGCAGGCTCAAGCCCCGCGATTCGACCAGACGATCACAGCAATGAACATGGCACCAGGCCAAATAAGTTTGACTGCCCAGGACGCATCTACACTCGGCGCGTTAGGTGTATATCCTGCAGAATACGCCTCGAGCCTCAGACATACTAAAGGCAGAGAGCACCTTGCGCAGAATCTACAGCCGGCAGCTCCGTACGAAGTGACTTCAAATCTTCAAGGGCCAGTGACAATAGACAAAAGCGTTATACCGGAGACACACCATACATCTAACCCTCAGAGGTTCTCCGAGTTCCACCCTGACTATCCATGGGACCCTCGTCGCTGAAACAGGTCTGCTCGGATACGTTCCTGCGTGTACCACCACAAGACTATCACGGGCCCTCGTCTCTAGCCACCCCGGACGGAACGTGCGATTTCGAATAGGACCGAACTTACGAAGCTTAGAACGCTGATAATATCGCAAGCGGTCCATACAGTCTACATCTGGCGCCTTGTCTTCGAGAGAGCCGTTGCTTCGATTGTACCGATGTCCTGATACCACTGCAACCAGCTGGCTAGCGAGATAAGATTCACCAATATCCAAGTGGACACCTTAAAATACGGAGCAGCAGGTTTTTGGTGCATCAGCAGGCTTTTCAGCCACGAGCAATGCGCAGCGAGATCGGGGACGTTTATAAACTATGCCGAAATGCGATGTTCAGGCTGCTATAACCTCGACATTATTACCTTAAGTAGATCACCAGGCTGTCTCTTCATGAGAATATACAATCGCAATAAGAAGAGGGGGCAAGCACCAGGCTCAATGAGTCCTCATGGTACATAATCTCTCAATGCGTGACTCCATCGACTCGGCATTTCTGACCTATTGCGACTTCAGAGCTTTTTAGATGCTTATCCCCCTTTCTTCGCGACCGAGAGAAAATCACCATGGATAAATCAGAAAGCAGTGGGGTTCATTTGGTTCCGCTGCTTGGGGTACGGGTACAGCTTTCATCTACAAAAAGCATCATACAATCCTGACTGTTTTTACGGTCCGAGCACCACGTGCACGTGAATGACGAATAGAAACAGAAATGTTCAACGCTGGAGCAGAATCGAAATAAATTTATCGCCTCCTCATCTTCATTTCGTCGGATCTATTGCAATATCGAACATGGACGTCTTCAAAGTACAAAAAAGCTCGCATCCCAGTTTACAAGAAATAGAAGGGGAAAGGAATATCACAGGACACTGCCAGTGTACTCCTTCGTTCATTCAGTTATTCGGTTTCATTTGCCGCTTTTCTTTACTTCTCTTCTTCTATCGCGTGTACGCCTTCTGAAGGTTCTTCGCAATAGTCTGAAGCTGGATATTGCTCGTCCCCTCATAGATAGCTCCGATCTTGCTATCCCGGAACATCTTCTCGGCGATACCCTCACGCACGAAACCCATGCCGCCCATCCACTCGACTGCGGATCCAGCCACGCGACCTGCAACCTGGGAGGCGTAGAGCTTAGCCATGGCGGCATCCTGGACGAAGTCCTGGCCAGCTTCCTTCTTGCGGGCAGCGTTGTAGACGAGGGCGCGGGCAGCGCTGATCTCAGTATACGCCTGAGCGATCTGGTGCTGCATACCCTGGAAGTTACCGATCAATTGACCGAACTGCTTGCGGTCGTTCCAGACGTAGCTGTTTGTAGATTTGATTAGCTGGCCTTGCTTCTTGAACAGAGGCAGTGAAAAGGTGAACTTACCCAGCAGCATTCTCCCAGGCACCCAATGCCAGACCGGTCATCTGAGCAGCAATACCGATACGACCCTCGTTCAGCAGGCCAATGGCATACTTGTAACCCTGGCCCTCCTCACCCAGGAGATTCTCCTTCGGGATCTCGACGTCGTCGAAGTTCAGCACGCAAGTGCTGCTGGCGCGGATACCCAGCTTCTTCTCCTTCTTGGCAATGCTGAAACCGGGCGTTCCCTTCTCAACGACGAACGCCGTGATACCCTTGTAGCCTTTGCTCGGGTCAAGGTTGGCGAAGACAATGAAAATACCAGACTCCATAGCGTTGGTGATCCACATCTTCGAGCCATTGATCTTGTATCCGTTGGCCGTCTTGGTCGCCTTGGTCTGCAGCGCAAATGCGTCGGAGCCGGAGACCGGTTCAGAAAGACAGAAGGAGCCGACAGTGCCCGTAGCCAGCTTGGGCAGCCAGAGACGCTGGCTGTTGGCGTCGCCATATTTGGTGAAGGCGGTGTTGACCAGGGTGTTGTGCACATCCACCATGACACTGACACTAGGATCGACACGAGCCAGCTCCTCAATGGCCACGATGGCTGCGGTGAAGTTCATGCCCGCACCTCCGAATTCCTCGGGAATCTCGACACCCATGATACCCTGTTCGAACAGTTGCTCGACAAGAGTCGGGTCCATTGTCTCTGCCTCGTCCATTTCCCGGACCTTGGGTCCAATCTGCTCCTGCGCAAACTTGGAGACCTGCTCCGCCATCAGGGCTTCCGTTTCGGAGAGAAGGGTGATCGGGGTGGGCGTCAGGTGGGAAAGGTCAGCTTCCCGCCGGCGGGGCGTCGCGACGAAGGTACGAGCACTTGACGCAGAGAATAAAATGTCAATATCATAGGTTTTCCCTTTGCTTCATTGGAGCTACTCCAATATGATTCCTCCTCTGGGCACGTACCATTGCAGTGGTCGAACAGACACCGTCCGTCTTGCGGACAGTAGTCTGGAGGACGCAGTAGCAGTGCGGGACAAGGGCCGCAGGGTGCGGCTGATGCTAGCCATGTCGTACAAACAGGAGGGTATATATAAAGCGGCTACTGTCAGAGCAAATACCTACTACTTCTCTAGTAGCAGAGCATCAATGGGAGGGAAATAAGTGAGAGAGTTGAAAAGCGAGAGAAGAGCGTGTTGGCCGGGGAAACCGAGGTTCTGCACCTGCGGAGACCCCAGACGGGCAAGCCTCGGTTAACCGCGGGGGCCGAACATCGGGGGTTCCGGTTGTCGCCCAAGCAGAATTGTTGATAATTAATACCTTACAACTATTTAATTGATTAGCTGAGTGGCCTCTAGAGGTTCTCTACTGGGATATACGGATTCCAGAATATGTATGGAATGCATGAATCAGGAAAAGAAAGAAAAAAAGAACCAGAAAATTGAATAACAGATGGCTTCTTGCTTCAAGGACAATAATAATAGCCAAAGTCGGGCCCGGTCCGGTTGTATCCAGCACCCTGTCCAGCGCTATTAATTATAGATTATCCGATGGAAAGTGTACCTCACTTCCTATTATATGTGCCATTTTTCTTATTCTTTCCCTGTGCATCAGTTTATTGTAGACAAAGCAATGGTTGCGAATTTTCTGTAGACTGAAAGTGTGTGCGATGTTGATACTGATTGTCCCACTATCTAGTCTAAGCAAAAACAACACAGAATTATCTCCAGTGAAGAACCTTTATACCCTATGCTCGCATCTTCCAATAGCCAGAGCAGCGGGTTGTGCCACGATTTCTGTGGAACATTCCCATCTGCCAACACATGTTCATCAATCAGGTATTACTATCACATAGCTTAATTGCGGGCGGAACCAATAAACTAGCAACGGGACAAGGCGCTGGCTCCCGCGGTGGAGCTATCAATTCCCGTTAAACCAGCTGGCCGGTCTGCGAGCTCTGGGGCGTTTTTCTCCTGATGGCCGTCTCGTCGGATGGGCGACTTCGTACGACTAGTTTTGCTTTAGTGGCAGCGTCTGACGGTCAGGCCTGGACCGCTCGCGTGGTTCTGTCTGTACCGGCAGACTGGCCCGCCTGCCTGTTCGCCAGACGTCTTTTGGGCAACTCATCCCCGGCATCTCCATCCATCCCCGCCGCCCCTCGCACCTGGGCATCCTGAAACATCGCTGCAGCTCACTGGGAAGAGCAGGCTCAGGAAGCAGATATGGACAGACAGGGAAGAACAGTCATAATCGAGCCCGATGTAAGTGGGCCATAGGCCAGACGATACTGTTGCTTCTTCACCCGGCTCATCTCGTCGCCATGGCATCAGGGCAGCGAATGCGACACAGACACCGCCTACATGAGCGATGACTGTGCAAGTTTAGATACCACGTCGTTAGTCTCAGAAGTTAGAAGATATCAGTGAGTAGCCTTACGTTATCATACAAGTCTCGCATGGCAGAGGCCTGAAGATCGCTAATGGTCGATTAGATACGAGGTACGCAACGCAACTAAGCTTTCATTCCACCATGCGAGCCTAACAAGTTCAGAACGGCCGGCGGTACCATGCATACCAGGCTGGTAAATGTCCTTGGGTACGAAAAACTTGACCCTTTCCTTGATCCACCACGCAGTACAAGCCCCGATCGAAACATGAGCTTACCCATGCAATGACAGCCAAACGATGAAGAAGAGCAGGACCGACTAGACTTGGTAAGGCACCTTCTCGGGATGGTGCGGGTGCTGTGGCTCAGATATATATCAGTTTCATCACGTCCATGTACTCGCACTCGATGGTGCGTTATACAGAGCTGCCATTGAAGGCGATCCCCCGAATGTCTTGGACATCGGGACGGGGACAGGCATCTGGGCCATAGAGATGGCGGAGTAAGCACGGCATGAATTTGGACATCGGTCGAAATCAGCGGACGTTACTAACTGCGACAAGGCAGCATCCCAATTCGGAAATATTAGGTACCGCCTTCTTTTTGTTTCCTTGTTGGAACACAGTATAACTCATGGTTGCAGGCATCGATCTGAGCCCCATCCAGCCTTCATGGTGAGCCTATTCTCTGCCACGTCAAATTCATGCTAATATTATCCAAGGGGCCCAGCCAATTGCAGGTTCATGGTGGAGGACGTCGAGCTGGATTGGTCATACGGAGGGCAGAAGTTCGATTTTATCCATTCGAGGGGAATGATTGCCTGTATCATGGATTATAAGCATATGTACCGGCAAGCCTTCGACCATCTGGTTCCCGGCGGTTGGATAGAGGTGCAAGAATTCGAGACGAGAATACGATCAGACGCGCCGTGTGATGGATCAAAGCGGAAACACATTGATGAATGGCTGCGATATCTGGATGAGGCCACCATCTCGGTCGGGAGGCCGCTCACCGTGGCTGGGGAGCAGAGACAGCACCTGATTGATGTTGGTTTTGAGGACGTCGAAGAGGACATCTATCCGATACCCTTTGGGACCTGGCCAAAGGACCCAAAGTTCAAGGAACTTGGGCGGTTTCAACTAGCACAAATGCTGCAGGCTGTTGATTCGCTGTCTCCCGCCGTGTTCTCACGAATCCTCCATTGGGACGCCGAACGCGTGCGACAGTTGACATCAGGAGTGAAACGGGAACTCATGGATCGTTCTCTAAACCTCTACTGTAACATCCATTTTGTATATGGAAGAAAGCCAGGAATATAAAACGTTTATCACTTACATTGAGCCAGGTACCGGGACCAAGGCGTCTAGGGAAGGTCACGGCACTTCGAGGAAACAGGACGTTTTTGCTCGTTTGTCCTGCTGTCTACCGCAAAAGGTCATAGCATCGAAATTCGGAAATCGCCGACATACAAGGGATTTAGTGCTGTTTTCTGTTGATCGCCGCCAATCTCATACCATAGATCCGCGATTGGATATTTACCACAATCCCAACAAAATGCGCCACTGCCAGCGTGGCTAAATCGCATCAAGCTGGGTTCTCTCGAGTACCCAGCAGGCAATTGAACCAGCTCAACAGCGCTTTATCGAGTCTGTTCCAGCTGGGAGCAGCATTGCCAAAGCCCAACCGCCACAACGTTCGTCAGGGCGGGGCATCGATTGTGGCGCAGCACAGCAGTTGAAGCTCTGCCAAGCTCCTTCGTATAATATCCTGCTCTCCCCCTATTCTCCAGCTTCCCTTCTTCTTTTCTTCCAGGCATTGTGGATATCGTGTGTTATTTGTTCCTTTTTAACTGAAGAGTTTCCTGTCCATTTTCGTTTTTGCGGCTCGATCATAACTTGAAACCGAACGACGTCATCGGCACCCCGCGTACCATATTATTATCTCTCCCCGCATCTCTATCGCGATATCTCGATTCGCCTTCCCGCTCCACGATCACATCAAGGTCTTTAACGGCCTTCTCAACTCTATAGACGATGGCTTCCACTCAAAGCGATCCTCGACTACTTTACAGTGTCCAGAATATTCGTGCTTTCCACATCCAAGAGGGCGAAGAATCCGAGCTTACGCCCTCCGGCCCTCAGACTCTCTCCTTGTTGATGGTGCCGACGACTGCTCCTAATCCAGGCACGTCAGAACAACAGCCAGGTGTTCCCGAAGAGGACTTCTATTTGCATCTTCACCTCCCACCGGAGTTGGACATGCCCCTTCCCGCGACTACGCAGATCTATCACCAACCGCCAAGCAGCTACTTGATCCCTCGCTGGGATCTTGGTACCGACTCAGGAGCCTTTATCCGCATACAATTCCCAAGTGTCGGTACAGGACCGAATAAAGTGACTCAGGAGGAAGTGGACACCTTTGAAAGCATTCTGGCACAGTGCACAGCGTTCCTCGAACGCGCACGTCCACCACAGCAGCAGGTGCCCTACAATCCGGCGGATTATGCTCCAGGGGAGGGTTATATCTCCTCCCCTAGTGAGAATACCCAGCCAGGTCACCCCCAGATCGTGCTTGTAGATGAGGAGGACGGTAGTGTTGTTGGAGAGCTGTCAGAAGGATACAATGTCGTCGAAAAGCCCGGCGTCAAGCCCGGCTCGAAGAGTAAGCTATCTACGAAGATTATGTTGGGACAGACTGTTGACAGATCATCAGGACCCGTCCAGGTTCAATTGCCTGCGGAAGGCGAAGGCAATCAGATCAGCGTCAGCGATGTCTCGGATGAATATCTCCGCATGGCACGGCATCCTGCCTACAAAGACTCGACGATCGTTCAGACGTCCGCAATGGCATCCCGCCTCATTGTGACTGGATCGACATATCTCTCTAAGGCGTTGATGAGTGGAGCCGATGCCTTTGTACAGAAGACAAAGCCGAACCCCAAGCCTGTGACATTTGCGCCAGCCACACACGCCCGCATCCGCAAGATCAACACTTTTTCCACATCGGCAGCGGGTTTGTCCGCGAAGACCGTAGGTCAGGTTGGAAAGGTCGCACAGAACGTCGGCGCGTCAATAACTCGACGTAAAGATGCCGGCAAGCAGAAGGGGACTGACAAGGCGGCTAGTCCTGGCTACAAGCCTGGAATTCTGAACAAATCCATGATCGCCTTCTCCACAATCGCGGACGGTCTCGAGCAGAGTGCCCGTAATGTGCTAGCTTCGAGCTCTGCTGCTGCGAGCACAATGGTCCACCACAAATATGGGCCAGAGGCAGGTGCTGTCGCTTCCAACGTCACCGGCGGGTTCAAGAACGTCGGCCTTGTGTATATAGACGCCACTGGCGTTAGCCGTAAGGCGGTTATCAAGTCTGTCGCTAAGGGTATGGTAATCGGACGTATGCGTGATGGGACCCAGGTGGTCGTTGGTGGTGGTGATGGCGGCCAGGTTCCACCGGAGGCGACACAGGAGGGCAAGGCGGGGCTTTTGAATAGCAGTCAGGGACTGTCTGGTCCGAGTCGTGATCCCAGCGCTCGTCGACCATCGCCAGTTCCCACGCCGCCGCCAGCATATGGGGCTCCAGGCACCCGCTCTCTGGGGGAAACGCCGATGTCTGGAAGCAAGCAATGATGCGTCTATCTTTTGGCGATGTTCTAGATATACAGCATCTGATGACTTCGCAACCTAAAATTTGTATGTGTATGGCTGCTGGTTCAGTCGCGGATGGGCATGTTCATTGTATTCCCCCTTTGTGTTTTGATCTTTCTGTTCATAGTCAGTTGAGGACTCCTGGTCTCTATTTTATTATCTCATTTAGCCAGCCCCTGTATGAAATGTACAAATGGAAGGTACGTGGGTGAGAACCGAATAGAAATTGCAGTTTCTCGCCAGAGAATTGTCCGTCAAATTACAACTTCTCAGGAAGAGCACTTGTGCAAGTTGCACTAAACTGACTACCTACCTTCTCTCGAGTCCGTGTCTGCGTCTACATCCGTGTCTGAGCAAAGAAGGCGGGTTTGCACTCCCTTCCTTTCTTTCTTTGTCCCTTCTTACGTCCCGGTTTTACCTTAAGGACCATACCATTCTCGATTTTTCTCAGGGATCCTACTCCAACTAAGCCTTGTCACTTAGTTACAGTACTACTGTACTACCTTAGTACGGAGTAGATTAAGACGATAAATGTCATCGGTATCCGTATCTAGTATAGTATAGTCTAGTCTAGTATGGTACGATATAATCAGTTAGTCAATAAGCATCATTAAATATATGGAATACTCTAGCTAGTATATGGACACTGTAGCAGATCATAAATTGACAGTTCCATACTTTTTTTTCTCTCCTTTTTGTCATTTTTTTTCCTTCGCTAGGCTAATGCAAAGTCAAACAACAGTGCACGCACAAAGAACATGTAGTCTAAATCACCTAGTGTAGTGATCTATAACAGAGTGGGTAATAATACAACATGGCGCCACATGCACCCACCACACAAAGGGCGATGAAAGAGTTATTCTATTTCTCCGAAATCGCAAACGGTTCTAAAACTTTTTTTTTCTCGAATCTCCACGCCTCGGTGATTTTAAGATCAGTGTAACTACCTAGTCAATGAATGATAATAACTAGCAACTAGTTAGTTAGTATACTACGCTTATGCAGTGATTACCTAGGTAGTAGTTATGGTTTAAACCAACCAACCAACTAGTTACTTAGTTAGTTAGTTAGTTAGTTAGTAGGAGAGGAAGATGATGATTATTATTATTACTCAAGAAGTAAATTAGAACTATGTATGTGGCTGTCTTGTCTTTTCCCCCCCCTCACCTCCAATTTTTTGCATCCCCCCCCGTTCGATATCGATAACGGGCCCTTGCGCACCGGCCCGCCATTGGTGCGTTTCAGCATCAGATGGACAACATTGCCAACGCATAACCCTCCTTGACGGGTAAAAAAAAAAAAGAATTATGGACCCCCCCTCCCACTTTTCGCACCGTTTGTTCGTCCGCGCTGTGGGCGAAATAAGATCCTAGCTATGCTATGCTATGGTGCAAGTGCCAGCGGAAGTCTAACTTTCTACTAACTATGCGAAGAGAATTGGTGATTTGTCGAGTGTATATAGTGAGTGGAGTTGGATATATGCATGGCTCTGCGCTCTATGTTGCTTCTTACTGTCTTTGGGGGGGGAAAGAGCTGGGGGTGGTGCCTATCGTGGTAGGAGATGGAGATGGGAAGGGTGGCGGCGTTGGGAAAATGTCTTGCTGTTGGTGAGTTGGCATGTAGCGGCTGATCGTTGCGTCAGTGAGCAGCATGACTGATTGGCATTTGTAGACATGAGATGATGCGACTGTGGCGGAGGGGTCATCTGCAATGGGATTTGGAGATGGCAATGATCTTTTTTTTTCAGCGCGTATTGTTGTTGTTTGGTGCTGCTCTGTCAGATCAGGTACTACTTAACGCAGAAAGTTTCGGGTGGTGATATATATATATTGCAAGATCCAGCCTTGTCATTGTGTAGTGAGGCTCCGTCGCCTTGCATGTACTGGGCATACGCACACTGAATAGAAGAGAAGAAAAAAATGGAGATCGAAAGGGAGAGTATAGATTCGGATAAATTAGTATGTGCATGGGGCTGATGCGCCTCGAGTCCTAGTTGTGGCAACGTTGCGCGTCGAGTATAGAGTAGTAGTAACTGGCTGCTGTAGGATACTGTCCGAATGCCCTAGAGGAGCGCACTTTTTTTTCGGCAGCTGTAGATTATTATTATTATGATTATGGGGAATATCGGAATAAGGTCATAAGCTTAGCTTGGTATTGGGATGAAGGCTATCTGGCGGTGGGACACCCACCAATTATTATTTACGTTCATCGGATGAAGATTACCACAGGATTGGTCGATAGTTATTCTGGGCCTAGAAACCCCCAATTAATGCATTCGCCTTCAAGAACTTTTCTAAAGGCTATTGGGCTGAAGCATGCAATGGTGGCCACGAGGAAGTTGCTGTGAGATTCCTTTGCTATGCAAACGCGTGTCTTCGGCAAGGTACACAGCGAAGAGAGTGTCAGATCGCTTAGATGGGCTCCTGCAGAGCTGGATTTACTCTCGGATTCGACATCTCAGCTAAGAGCGGCCCTCGATGACGGGAGTATCCGTTGCTGCAATCCGTATTCTTCCTTTCTTTCTTTTTTCTTCTTTTGGTTGGTGCATGTGCGTCTATGCTGGTCAGCATGTCAGGGCTGACACAAGGCGCACCTGAAAGAAGGTTGTTGTATTTTGGTCTCACCACTGGGTGCTCTGTCTGCATAGTATTAGTAGGTATTATCCAGACATCGCCGGTTCGCTCTGGTGGACTCAACAACAAAGACAATCAGCCCCTTTCTTGGGGTTTTGAGTCCGCAGAGGGCCGGGCTCGGGTCTGTGCTCAAAACACAGGGTCAAACACAGGATAGTCTGCGAATGTTAGTCTCCCAAGGCTGGTGATGAGCAGCAAGGTGCCGTCAAACAAGGCATGGGACGGGGATCCTGGGAATCCTGGGACGGTGTCAGCAACCGAGCAAGCAGAGAGGGTAACTATCGTATCGCAGGAATTTCGCCTGTGATCTCGAGATCTCTTTGGGACAAGACTCGGTTGGCCGCTCTCTCGAGCCGAGTTGAGAGGATCCGTCCGATAATTTTATCGGCCGTGCTGGCCGCCCAAGAGGGTCCTGGCGCTGGTTCTGCTGGGGCAAAACGGGAGATTCGAAACATCATCAGCGCCTGGCACGGGGAGCCCCCCCTATTCCGCCGGCCATCCACGCTCCACCGAACTAGGGCGATGGCTAATTATTTATTCTTGCCCCAAACGCGCTGCCCGGGTGTCGGAAAGGGAAAAGCAGCGTCGAGCGCCAGGGACGCCATTCGCTTTTTCCCTGGGTCTTGTAGAAGCTAAGCTGGCGCTCCCTCCCGCGACCCTGTTCCCGTAAATTGTCAGGATGGACCGTACCAGGGAAACGTGAGCGCTTCGCCAACAACGAGAGGAGCAATCATCACTCGACGTGCCAGAGAGAAGAAGGCTGGGAGTTAACTTCTGGGGGCTTCAAAAAGAGACAGACTATCGGGGCTATCCCAGGCAAGGAGGGCCCGTTCCATGAGAAAGCGCCCACCTCGCCAGCCGTGATTGATGAGAGAGAACAAGAGATGATAATGGCGGTTATAGAAGAATCGAGAGTATCATCTGCCCAGAAACAAGTCAGTTAGTTAGTTTAATGATAACAAGGAGATATAATTATCATCTGCCATATCTGGTTCAGTCCACAATCTAGTGTGTATTGTGTAGATGATTGATGATTATTGACAACCACAGCAACCACAACAACAATAAGAATAACTAAATTACCACTGCACAATAGCAACAATAGAAATAAAAATAATATCATCCAGAACAACTCGAGCAAAAGGCGGTGCGTGGTCAAGCCCATTGTGAGGTGTTCAGTTCAGTTCAGACCCGCCCAGCGACCCCCAGCCAAACCAAACACAACAACGTCTCCGTCTCCGTCTCCAATCGATCACCGCACCCCATCTTGTATTATCCTCCTATCTCTCTTTCTCTTTCTCTCTCCCTTCTTCTCTCTTCCTCCTCTCTTCCCTTTTTCCTCTTTTTCCTTTTTCCCTTACCCCCCTCAATCTCGCACGCCAGTCGTCCACCCTGCGATCGTGACCAGGCCGGCCCGCCGGCTTCTCCAGGTCTTTCCCACGGCGTTTTCTCCTGACGGGTCGAGGCTCTTCCCCCCCGTTCGCGACCTCCCGGTCTGGTTCTGCTCCTGTCGATCATGCTTTTCGACCCGGTTCGCGCTCCGTTTGTCAATTCAGTCTGCGACCGTGTCCCTGTCAAGCGCTTGGAGTGATTTCGAGCTTCGATCGAGCTGTCAGTCCAGTCGCGTCGGAAAAGTGAGCTGTCGGTCCTCCCTGTCTCGCGTTACTCCCCGGTCTTGGCAATTCAGCTTTTGATATCTCGAATCCGCCCTCCACCGTTCGACGTGCTGCTGGATCTGGGTGGACTTTTGAGAAAGAGAGAGAGACACTTTGTTGTTTATGAGAAAGGCTTCTTTTGCTGCAGAGCAGGCATCTCCCATTGAGCACATCTCCCGTTCTGTTGTGGACGGGGTTCTGAACGACGCGTCGGGTCTGTCTTGCTGGCCGCGGCCTGGTGTGCCCGTATCGTGCTTACTGCACTTTGATCTTTACCTTGTGAGTAGTGAACAACACCACTTGACGCCGTCACCAGGGCGCTGCGTGTGCATAGCCCATAATCAACGGCAATAAGGGTCTTCTCCGGCTGACCCGATCTGAATGGTCACTCATACAGTACCCCTGCTGCACATCTATCTGGGACATAGGTGATTTGTGGTCAGCAGCAGGCAGTGCTCTTTTTCGTCTTTTTACTTTCCGACACCCTCTGGAGGGCTTTTCACGTGTACAGTTTCAGAAGTGCATTACATTGAGCCATTGGCGGAGCAACCATATCATCTAACCTCGTCTTCAACAAGTGAAGGTATGCTATCTACTGCGTTTATGTGAACATCTTCCTGGATAATCGATCTTGTGCGGAACTAACAACAAAGTCCCTAACAGCATCTGTACATCTCGGTGCTTGCTTCTCCGGCTATGAGCTCTTCCCACCCACAGCCTCTGCCGTCCACTACCCATGCATCGCCAATCCCGTCGGCCACGGCGCCTTCGTCCGGACACAACTGGAACCCAGACAGTGTAGGCACTCCGCCGATTCCCCCGCCTCGCACCTCGTCTACCCAACGGGGTCACCACCACTCTGAGAGAAGTAATGGGTCACGGCATGCTAAGACTCGGACGGACGAGAGGAGGGATCGCAGTGATAAGGAACAAGGCGTGAATGGACGTGAGGGCACCATGGACGACAGCAGAGGTACTTCTTCCCGACACAGAGGCGCGCAGCCCTCCGATGCTTCCACCCCGGCGACGCAGCCTACTGTGGAGAAAGAGTCGAGCACGGTTCTCGACCGGACGGTCATTACCGATCCGGCAGTAGACGTTGCGAGGGAGAAAGAACGCCAATTGGAAGCAACTACTGCCTCTGGAATCACTCCTGTCACTGGCCTAGGTTTAGTGGGCAGCGAGGGTGTTGACGATGGGGGCCGCGGTGGACATCGAAGCCGGCATGACTACTCGAGCAACTCTTCGAAACGGCGAGAGACATCATTTGGGCAGTATATCTTAGGTCAGACTCTGGGTGAGGGTGAATTCGGCAAAGTCAAACTTGGCTGGAAGAAAGATGGCAGTATCCAAGTCGCTATCAAGCTGATCAGGCGGGAGAGCTTGGGATCTAATCCCAGTAGACTTCCTAAGATTTACCGGGAAATCTCTATCCTCCGTGACCTGTCCCATCCCAACATTGTCCGACTGCACGAGATGGTAGAAACGGATCGACACATCGGTATCATCATGGAGTATGCTTCGGGCGGTGAGCTCTTCGATCATATCTTAAACAACCGCTATCTCAAGGATAATGCGGCCCGACGTCTTTTTGCCCAATTGGTTTCTGGCGTCGGCTATCTGCACAAAAAGGGCATCGTTCACCGTGATCTCAAATTAGAAAATTTGCTGCTGGACAGAAATCGCAACATCATCATCACTGATTTTGGGTTCGCAAACACATTCAACCCTACTGATGAACTCGGGGAAGAGATCGAATACAATCTGACAAACCGCGAATTTGTGAAGCGGATGCGTTTAGATAAGGTGGACGCCAACGGGCTGCGACGAGGTGACCTCATGCAGACGAGTTGTGGGAGTCCGTGTTATGCGGCCCCCGAACTTGTGGTCAGCGATTCACTTTACACCGGACGGAAGGTGGACGTGTGGAGTTGCGGAGTGATCTTGGTGAGCATGTCCAGCCTAAACATTGATGGGGGGAAAAGAAAAAATTGGCTGACTTAGTGCAAATTTCAGTATGCCATGCTTGCTGGCTATCTGCCGTTTGACGACGATCCTGCGAACCCAGAGGGTGATAACATCAACTTGCTGTACAAATACATTGTTACCACGCCGCTGACCTTCCCCGAATATGTTACACCTCACGCGCGCGATCTCTTGAGGCGGATCCTCGTTCCTGATCCGAGAAAGCGTGCTGACCTCTTTGAAGTGGCTCGTCACAGCTGGCTCAGCGAATACTCGCATATTGTGTCTCACATCACCAGCAATACCACCAATGTCTCTGATATTGCAAACACGACTGTACCTGCAGGTAAGTTTAATCTTTATTTCATCTTTTTTTTTTCTCCGCAAACGCAAAAGTTCTCTATATTGCACCGTATGCGCTAACCTTTCATCGTAGAAGACGCTGCAATTGAGGCACCAGCGCTTACTCGCAGTGCTTCGGTCAGGGAGCCTCCGAAGAGTCACCAAGCAGCCTTACCCACCGTTGGCGGTCTCAATCACCAGCAGGGCAAGATTTCCCCTGATCAACCCGCGGAGAGATCTAAAACTCAGCGTGATGCCAAGCGGAGAACGGTTCAGGTCGAATACGTTGCGCCTCAGTCTCAGACGGCTCGCGGTGAATCGTCAGCTGCGGGCGCCTCTGCTAACGCTAGCAGACCTTCCAGAGCTTCGGGGACCCGTGGGTATGCAAATCAGACAGCTCCTACAAGTTCGTCCCAGGACATGCCTCCGTCTCAGAACGTGGCGGCCGAGTCTGCCGCGCGGGGTGACTATTCTAAGACCTCCGCGGTCAATCAAGGGGCACCCGATATTCCTCGGTCCATGTCAGACTCAGCTGGAACCTTTATTGGACACCATGCTGCCGCCCCGCAGAACGCTCGTCCAACTACCGGTGGTTCGATGAATTCGATCAATGCTGGTAGACTGCCGTCTAGAGGATCCTATGGACAACCGGTCGCTCCCACTGTGGCAGCCACCAATGCGCAGGGACGGCTGGCACAGCCTAAGAATGGCAAGCAATATGTGATATCAAGCCCCATCCCTCAGCAGCCCGGTCACGCCTCCACCATGTCAATTGGTCGCCCCAGTGCTCAAGAGCTACCGGCGAAGTTTAGCGGAGCCCTGGAACCGCCTAAGGGTCACAAGAGATCTAACACCGTCACTGGAATTGGTGAAAAGCTGTTCGGAAGGTCAGGTACCCTGTTTTCGGGTCGTACGTCGCAGGCTGGCGTTCCTCGGTCGAGGACAGGAAAACGCTACCCTCCAACGAGCATGAAAGAACCCTTTTCCACTGACAGCTCAAGGGTGTCAACGGATTCTCGTCGCTCGCTCTCGTATGCTCTTGGACGCAAGCAAAGTGAGGGTAATCAGGAGCCCAGGCCACGCCGCTTCTCTCTTCTTCCAGCATCCTTCTCGTTGAAAGGATTCGGCTCGGGAAGTAGATCCCAGACTCCTGAAGGAGAGCCTCAGATGACCCAAGTTCAAGATCATGTTCAAGATCTCACTCAGTCCGTGGATAGTTATGGTCAGCACCGACCATCAACCGGTCCCACGAATGATGGGCAACGAGAGCCGAGTTTCGGCACCCATGAGTCTACCAGGATCCAGGAAGGCCCAAGCGACGATATTTCAGCTCAAATCGACCAGCATTTTGCCACGCTCCATGGTCAAGAGAGCCCGTATCCATATGACTCCTACCCTAGCCCCTCTGCGGATCATGTCTATGAAAACAGCCTCCAACAGCCGTACTCGAATCAGCCGAGTCCTTTCCAGGAAGCGTACAACAGCAATTACTCGGACCTATCCAGGCCCTCGATGCAGGCTGGCAGATCTGGAAAGGGTAGCGTGCTGCTGAAGAATAATCGGAAATTTGCCGATGCGTACGAGTATGAGAGAGACCTCTCACACCATTCCGGTAGCTCAGGCGCAGCAAGGAAAGTCATGGACTTCTTCCGACGACGAGGCAAGGCCAGAGTCGGCGATGACAGGTGATCTGACTTTTAGGGTCCAGAGCTCCTCTATGTCTGCCCCAAGGTCTGGGAGGCTTTTGCGCCCTACAGCCAACACATGCCCTTGAACCACCAATTATGCAAAATTTAATTGTTTCTCGCGCTGCGATCCATCACCCTGAGTGCAGCATCCTCTTCTAATTGCACTCCAGAAGATTGCTCAAACAAATCCGGTCACGCCTTGAGTGGCACCTCCGTGAATCAGTCAGCCTGAATAAGGCGAAAATTTATGGGAATACCCATTTGCACTACCGTCGTATGGAGGAGGAATATATTGAGCGTGTATGACTATCGGAATATTGCGAGACAGGAGAAAGCACACAAGTCATTTGGATACCCCATGATACCCGCACAGCTTCTTCCCGTTCTGTTGCATGCAGCAAGCGATTGGTGTGGTCAAGTGAGTTGCTCGTCATTGCGCCGTGCTATAAGCGTTTCTTGTTCTCACACATACATACCTAATTATCTAGCATATTTCTTCCCCTTCCCCCCCCCCCTTGTTAAGAATAAAGTGTTTTCATTTCCTTTGTCCAAACTTTGGTTCTTTCCGTTTCTTCCCTGTAAAGTGATATCATCCAGTTCTCTTTCTGTGCTTCTTTGGCGGGGTCTTTTTTGTTTTGTTTTCTTCTCTCGAGCTTCTAATCTCTCTTCGAGGTGGACGGCTCTTTTCGGGATGGCAGACGCAACGGCGGATCCCTGAACAATATTGATCTGAGTTTTGCATATTCTCGCTCCGGTCCTAAAACATATTACTCTAGTCCCTTGTTTTTTTCTTCCTGTTCTTCTACCTTGCGAGGTCTTGTTCACCGGTGGGGACGCCTTGGGAATCGTGCCAGAAACCGTGCCCCCTTAAACCTAGTCTTCTGTGTGCAGAGTTTATTCCCCCATCTTACATAGTTTATTTGCTTTCCTTTCCTGATTCCGCATTTACGGGTCCATCATCATCGGTTTCCGTGTCTCATATCTTAGCCTTGTATGTCGCGTGAATAAGTAGCGGCAAATTTCAATGAACAATCGAGTACGGGTCCTAGGACCCGATAGATTATCTTGTTCAGACTTGCGCAAACATGGTAGAGAAAGATCATAGTTAGTCTAAGAGATCTATATTCCATGCGGCCTCCCAAGTCATATATTCATTACCATCTAAACTCCTACATCCTCGATGTCAGCAGGTCGTTTCCACGAAAATAAACGCATACTTTCCCGACTTACCTCGCTATATAATGTGATCGACGGGCCATTGTCGTAAACATCTCGACTCACACCCTCCCGTGTCCTATCTACGAGATCACCAGGCCCGCATACTCCAACAGCAATACGGTCTTTTGGATCTGTACATGAGATCGTAGCTTCAATCAAATCAGAAATATTCGGGCGCCCTTGATGTATATTCATAGAAAAAGGCAGTTTCTCCTTCGTCGTTTCTGGAGCAGCGCCCTTCTCGATATCATAGACCGTGGTCTCTGCCGTCGGAGAGGAAGGATCAGAATCAGAGCAGTCAGGTGAAGACGGAGTAGGGATTCCAGTGACTTCGTCTATGGCCATTGCATATCGAGTAATGTAGGTATGGAAGTTGATCCGAGGGTCCGATTGGAGTTCACGCAGCTCATTGTCGTACCACGTTAAGATGTCTGTATCAGTTAGTTATACTCTCAGCTTTTGTTCAAGTTTCTCTGATAGGGGGGGATATGAGGGGGTTTCACGAACCTTGAGACCGCACCGCCCAAATAAAATCAATACGCTTCACATCTGACTTTCTCCGGATCAAGTCCAGAGCAATAGCAAACGTAAAACTTGCACCGCTTCCACCCGCTATAAGAATCACTGTATCGAACTGTTTGAAATTCAAAACCTGTCCGTATCCTCCATCAATGGAACATCGGAGCTTCTGCTCCTTTTTGTGCTCCCCAGAGGCATATTTCCACAAGTCTCTCGTAAATCCATCATGGACCTTGATAACGAACTCGGGCGGATCCGTCGTCAACATCGTGAATGGATGTGTCTCGATCAGTCGAATGGCGGGGATCCAGAGGAAAGCATGAGATCCAGCCACGGCTCTCACGGGGCGAGAGAGGCGCACTCGAATCGCACCGTCTGGGAGAGCAGTGAGGGTGGCGTAGTTTCTGGGAAAGTTCCAGCAGATCTTCAAGAAGCGAAGTAATCGGTCTGTGAACCAGAGACAGGCTGTGAAGATGATGATTATCACGGTTGATGTGGAGAATTTCGGACGGTGCATGGCTACCATGATGAGGATGAGTAGGAACATGATGAGGTGGATGAGGTAGAATACTGTGCAGACAGGCATTTAGTCTTTTTGCACCGTTATCAGGGGTAATAAAAGCAGGCACAACTTTCGCTTTCGCCTTTTTTTTTTGGACGAGCTCTCACCTTCATAATAACGTCGATACACCAACGGCACCGTCGAAACAGCAATGATCAGCATGGCAATGCCAGCAACCAACCCCGCAATCTGGTTAGTCTTGAGCATAGACTTTAGGTTTCCGGACTTTGACCACGCGCTCAAATACACGATGGCATGCATCCATACTGAGAAGATGCATGTGTATCCTGCTACTTTGTGGAGGGGGCGGAGTTTTTCGTAGGAATTGGCTGATAGCGGGGCTAAGGGTGTGTTTCGAAGAGCGAGGAAAACTAGGAGGACGAAGTTTGCTACTGTTATCCTATGGAGAAACGTGTTAGGATATAACTATGTAGGGTGGATATGTGTTAGCTGGGGAGGGATGAATGGATATATACCAGCCGAATCGTTTGGCGACCTGAGTGTGTCATTGTTAGTTTGGATTATCTTCATTATATTGAGTAAGAAGTAGTAGTTATTGTATTGGAAGACGTATAAAGAAAGAAAGAAAGAAAGAATGTTACTGACATATATGAGATTACTCAAGTCCACATTCGTCAGAGCTAAGATCAGGTTAATTCCCCAGTAGAGACCGTATAGGATCATTCTATGAACCGAAACGCCGGCGAGTTTTCTAGAAAGAAAGCGATAAATCTTCCTGGATTGGTTTTTCTATCAGTATGCCGCGAAAGGAGAAAACGGAATTCGGTATAGAGCCAGCCCTAACCTCTGGTATGTAACGACTTTGGAGATGATAGGGTTGTTTTTTTCCCGCCCTTTTTGGAAATATAGGACATTTATCCAATGATATACTATGCCAATTACCATCATAGCGCCGATGGCTATTGCAAAGTACTTATTGCTCCATTCGTTGTTCTTTTGGCGAAGCTGTGTCGCCTGACCCCCTCGGGGTAGGATCTTGGATCGAGTGTCCATGGTGCTTTTCTTTCCTGGAAGGGATATCAAGAAGAAGGAGAGAAGAAGGGTTGGGAATGGTTTATAAGGATGTACAGTTCTCTGTCCATGAGGGAAAAGTGAAATGGGAAACGAAAAGATAGCACGTCGTAGTTCTCAACTCAGTGCCTCATTTCGGGTTTATCTTCCTCTTTATCGATGAAAGAAAAGCAATTTTCACCGAAGACATAAACTGCGCCATGGAAAGTAGAAGATGGTCAAGAGGGGCACAGAGCGAAGACGCTTCAAATCCCGCTTTCTCATAATTATTGACGCCCACGTGTGGGAGTGCCATTTCCAACCCAAAAGAGTCTGACTGGTGGGTTCGCTAAGGGCTACAAGGACAGATTGGATTGGAACGGTCAAGATCTGATAAGGAATTTAACTTTTACTATACGTCTCGATCTCCTTGGCAAAAATGCTTCTCTGTTTGGTGTCCCCGTTGACTGGGTCCTCTGCCCATCGTCTGGTTGCGTTGCATAGATATAACCGGAAGATGAGGAATAGTTGCAATGTACGCCAGAGAGAAACAGAAACAATTTTCACTGCTCCTATGAGTTATATTAAATCCTCTGGACAGGCTGTCGATCGTCATCTTGACTTCTGTTGCCGAAAGCGTGGCCAGTAGTTTCGGGTAGGGAGGAGATTTCCTGGAATCAGATAAGATCAGATTTTTGCTCTAGGTACTTAGTTTTACCCACCGTACATCCCCACATATCCACGTTGGCGAGACTCATCTATTCTGTTTTAATCCACGCCTTTCGGCTCAACTAACTCCATTTTGGTTTCTTTCTTAGGTCATCTGATCAGTTTCCTATCTCGTCGGCGTCTTGTATCCGTGGTTCAGCAGTTATCTTAGCTGATCTTATCAATCAGGGAAACGAAACAGGCGCCAGAATCATCACAGGCGTTGGGCTAAACGAAGCTTGTCTAGAAAAGCTTACGCAATAATAATAATAAGGAGCGGCTAGAGTAGGTACGGCCCGGAAGATTTTTTTTCGCAAGTGTGATGGTGATCGTCCATCCGTGAGTCTGCCAGCCGATGAGGTATTTTCGCGAATTTTCGGTCGAGTTTCAGAAGCTGCACGAGCTTGAGTGCCTACTGTTGTTTTCTATACATACCCACATTATTTTACGGTCTATCGGAGATTTTACCTAATGGAGGATTGGCATGTGCTTGGTGAGGACGTCCATGGCAACTATGGGGCTGGCTCGTATAGACGGCAGAAGAAAAGAAAGAAAAGAAAAGAAAAGAAAGCCACTTGGTGAAGGAGAATTAGCTGCGCTTCTCGCGGGAAAATGTCGGTCTTGTCAGATACGGTCTGTGTGCCACACGGTTTACTATCTTTACTCGGGTAGAATTTCCTGTCGTTGGAACTTCAAAGAAGCAAATATCAAACGGGAGCTGGAAGAGGGGAGTATGTCTAACTGTGAAGTAGGTTATTGTTTGTTTTTCTCTGCTTTTTTCAGTGATGTGGGTTATTAATTGGTATAGGGAGTAATAACTATTTTCGTGTGCAAATATTTCATTCATGCTTTTCATTTATACGTAAAAAAAGGCGATGGACCATAACTCATCATCCTATTATCATCCACTCTCGTCCCTATCCTCAAATATGAACTTCAACTGACTATTCTCAATGCTCACTTCGGCTGCTCTACCTGCAGGACAGCCGCATTTCGGGTATCGTTTTGTGCCTGGCGGATGATGTCCTCCGCGTCCTCGCGCGAGACAGCAAGTTTACGCTTGACGTAGGTCCGCAGACCTGGGACCTTAAGCATAGTGTCGATAATCTGCTTCTTCAGCGGCAGGGAGCCGGTGCGTTCTTCGTAGAGCATGCAGCCAATGCAGACGATGATAAAAAGCCAATAGATGTTGTACGCGAGGATAGAGCCGTAAGTGCCGGTATTCTGCCAGCCCAGCACGGCATTGAAGACGTCCCAACCGTTATCGATCTCCGGGTTGCAGCAGTTGATGTGCCACACGGTAGTGGCGATGTCGTACGAGCCCGGACCATCGCCGGACTCTCCAACATCACTGCCCACCTTTTGCGAAAAGGTGTTGAACTGCAGACTCCAAACGGACTTGGAGAACATACCGGCAGCGATGAGGTAGAGCACGCAAGTCGAGAAGATCAGGAACAGTTGAATGGTCATGACATTACCACCACGGTAGAGGAGTAGTCCGACCACAAGGCCTGCAATAATACCGCAGACGACTGGCAGAGGGAACGCCGTGGCTGGCAAGCCAAGGGACACGCCTCCGACAAAGACAACAGCTTCCAGACCTTCACGTAGAGTGGTGATAAAGGGCAGGAAGAACATGACATAACGGCGCGACAACTCGCTGAACCAGCCTGTGGCCGTGCGGTGCTTGCGATGCGCGACGAGCGCCTGGGCGATCTTGACCTTCCATTTCTCCTTGGTCTTGTTGATACGCAACAGAGCCAGACCCATAATTGTAACTGAAATAGTAGTTAGCTAACCCTCCGCCGTGCCTAATAATGCTAGGGTGAATTTCGACATACCTATAATTGCAGCGATCAGATAAAAGATTCCCTCCCAAAGATCCTCTGATGCAGCCCAGATGTCGCGTCCGAGACCGTAGAACACTCCAATAAAGGCGCCTCCGATACACAGACAGATGAGAATACCCAACATTGAACCAACCCAGACTTGCCGTACCAGCCGTTTATAGACCGCCTGGTCTTGATCGGGTTGGCCCAGACATTGTTTCAGGAAGGACAGCAGCACGGAGATGATAATGACTGCCTCGAGACATTCACGAAAGACGATGAAGAAGACCTGCACTCCGAAGACGTTCTGTCCCATGGCGACCACCACCGGCTTGAGCGTCCGGTATCAAACGTCGGGAGTATCTGGTTTGCAAGAAGAACAAGGGGTTTTCCGTTCCTTTGGAAGAGGAGAAAATAACAGTCGGTGCTCGCAGCAGTTTTAAAAGATCAGCGAGGACGGAGCGTGTTCGGACCAGCATCCCACGCACGGGGTCTGGTTGTACCACACATTGGAGGAGTAAATTAAAAGGCTCGTCGCCTATCTTCATCTACTTTTACCCGACACTACTACTCCACATGGGGCAGGTGAACTTTCTGTGACTTTCGCTGACCGGAGGCTTTTTTTTTGGGCGGGATGGACCGTCCCAAAGGAACAAGGACAGTCCGTTTCCTCGCAGGCTTTGGCTTTGGCTTGTTCACGATGCCGAGTTCAGTTAGTGTCGATAGAAGATCTTATCTCAGTTGGCCCAAGAGTGTGCACGGTGGAGCTACTATTATCTGATTCCGCATATCTGATTGATATGATTGATAGGATCGAACAGCCCGACATCCACTTAGTCTCTGTCTCGCCCATCACCCATTCCAAGGACAACTCCCTCCACGTTCGAGCTAAACCGACGCCTCAACAGCCGTTATGATTGATTTTTTTTCCCATGGTCGTATGATCCGGCCATGAGCGGAGGATCGGTCCAGATGTGCCATTGTGCAGCAAAAAAGAAAAAGAAACGGTGCACATGCCCTCGTTGTTTTCTGGCCATTTTCTGATGATTCTGCTAGTCTGCTCTGCCCAAGAGACCGTGGACCACCAAGAAACCTTGTCCCCCCCGCTGAGGAGGCTTAGGAAAAGCTTAGAAAGGCTTGTCCGAGACGGAATTTTTTCTGATATGGGGTAATTTAATATTAGCATCTGCCATGTGTTTCCCGAATACGTGCTGATCTCGATCCAGCATGTACCAACCCCTCCTGAAACAAGTCTGACCCATATTAATAATGATTATCGTGCTGTTAGCCTCCTTCTTAGTGCCCATCGAGGGGGATGGTTTGATAGCGTCTCCGGTCCGTGCGAGGAAGCAACATGGACGCTCCCAATCTACGAGTGATTATAATATGTCTCCGGTGGCGCACACTCACGGATCAGATTAGATGGTCACACCAAATCCCGATGCCTTTCCGCTCGTAATTGTCCCACAGCAGGTGGTTTGGATTATTGACTAGAGCCTTGGTAAGTTCAGCCGAGAATCGGACCTCCGCGCAAAAGCAAAGATCTTTTTGCCGCCGCGCATTATCTCGCAGCAGTCGCAAGCTCTTTAACAAGATCAAAACGCCGGTCAACTTGCCAACTCACGGTTCTCCCCTTTCTCACGGCCAGCGTCCGTGTCTGAAATTGTCGCAGGACCCGTGCGCAATTGCGGTTTTCGCTGTCCTTGTGGTCTGCGATATCATTTTTTCTCCAGTGTTTCCAGCATGCGGTTCACGGTGTCAACGCTGCTGCTTCTGGCCAGCTCGTGTCTGGCTAAAACCGTCACCTATGATTGGAATGTCACCTGGGTCACCGCAAATCCAGATGGCCTTGCCGAGCGCAAGGTCGTTGGCATCAATGGTCAGTGGCCGCTGCCGATGGTCGAGGTCGATAGGGGCGATCGTCTAGTCGTCAACATGTACAACGGCCTGGGAGACAAAAACACATCCATCCATTGGCACGGCATGTATCAGAATGGCACCAACTACATGGACGGAGCCTCCATGGTCACTCAATGTCCTGTCCCGCCGGGTGCCAGCATCACCTACAACTTCACCGTCGACCAGAATGGCACGTATTGGTACCACTGCCATACGGACTCCTGCTATCCAGATGGCTACCGGCAAGCGCTGATTGTCCGTGACCAGGATTCCTTCTTCCATGATGACTATGAAGAGGAGTTCGTTATCACCTTGTCCGACTGGTACCACCATATGACAGAGGGTCTCAAAGAAAAATACTTGGCGCTATACAATCCCACGGGTGCGGAGCCCATCCCGGATTCCTTCCTCTTCAATGATACGTTGAATACAAGCCTTCCTGTGAAGCCTAACACGACCTATCTGCTACGGTTGATCAATACCGGGGCCTTTGTCGCCCAGTACTTCTACATAGAAGGCCACAACTTCAAGATAGTCGAGATCGACGGTGTCTATACGGAACCTACCGAGGCAGACACCCTCTATATCGCTATTGCACAGCGCTATTCGATCCTGCTCACCACCAAGAACGAAACTGACACGAACTACGCCATTGTCACGGTGGCAGATTCGAACCTGCTCGATACTATCCCAGAGACGCTACAGCTCAACAACACCAACTGGCTGGAATATAACAAAGATGCGCCCCATGACCGGGCGGTAGTCCCTGTTGCCCTGTCTCAAGATCTCAACCCATTCGATGATATCACTCTGGTCCCTTATGACCACATGCCCTTGCTCCCAGAGCCGGACGTCGAAGTCAACTTGACCGTCATCATGAACAACCTTAATAATGGGTTCAATTATGCCTTCTTCAACAACATCACCTATACTACACCTAAAGTACCTTCGCTGTTCACAGCGCTGTCGTCGGGCGATCTCACGACGAATCCGACGGTCTATGGCACAAACACAAACCCCTTTGTTTTTGAGCATAACGACGTTGTCCAGGTCATCGTCAACAACGGTGATACGGGATCACATCCATTCCACCTCCACGGCCACAATTTCCAGGTGATCACCCGTGCTCCTGGATACGGTCCCGACTTCAACAGCTATCTCGACGGCGATCCAGTCCCATATGACCCCAGCAATCACACAGCCTTTCCCAAGACGCCTGCACGCCGGGACACCTTTGTCCTGCCGCCGCAAGGTTACATAGTCTTGCGATTTGTCGCTGACAATCCAGGTGTCTGGTTCTTTCATTGCCACATTGATTGGCACTTGTCTGCAGGTCTGGCCTCGATCTTTATCGAGGCTCCCACCCAGATGCAGGAACGTCTGACGATTCCTGCGGACCACCTGGAGGTATGCAGACTTAGCGGTGTCTCCTCAGAGGGCAATGCTGCTGCCAACACGGAAGATCTGCTGGACCTCAGCGGCCAAAACGTGCAGCCGGGTTGGCTGCCTGCTGGTTTCACGGCCCGTGGTATTGTTGCCCTTGTCTTCTCATGTATCAGTGCCGTCATGGGTATGATTGCCATCTTTGTCTACGGAATGAGTGATATCAAGTTCAAGAACCAGTACGGTAGCACCGAGGCGGACATCAGCCAGCCTGGAGAGGAAACCCCTACTTCTGTGACGGCTACTGGGGCTGAGGCAGAACCGAAGACGATCGTGGAGCAGCCTAGTAAGACGTCATGAGTTGTCGTTTTGTTCCTACGAAGGATATACTATTTTCACGTTATTTATGAGAGAAAAGAAAAAACAATATACATGTATTGATTCTATTACAGCACACATGGCATGACTGGGTTATGGCTCCCTCTGAGGGAGAAATGAACTTTCGGTATCCACCCCATTCTATATAGATATGAGCGTTATTTATTCGTCGTTTAGTATGAATACCACTATTCAAGATACTCCAGCTGTTTGCAGATTCAGATAATACTTCTACTAGCAATTACACCAGGCGTGTTATGAATATATAAGATACACAAGGATGTGTCGGTAAAGCTTCGCTATCTCTATCGACCTTGAATGTAATGGAAGATAAATATTAAGCGAAAATACAATCTATTCATCACATATTAGCTATTTCACTATGTCGGTAAACCTATTTGCTAATTCTATATACCGAGGTGTAGGTCGTCCTCGAATATTCGCAGTCTCTGAACAAAGATAATACAAAACAGACCTGCATTTATAGAATAACAAACAGAATCAATTAACTGCATCGGTGATAATACATCGCTCATTTCTCATCTCATAGTTTGTCTTTTCTTTATGGAAACCGATTCCTCGAGCAATATCAATCGGTAATTCATTCTTTCCCGTGACATCCTTAGGATGCATGCGACAGATATCTATCCAGGGGCGAGTTGCATAAATACTCCAACCACTTTCTGGGGCACCAGACCATCCACGTGCTAATTTATTATAAGCCTTGTAAAGTCCTTCCGGGCAGATGCCCACGAAACTTGAAGTCAAAAGGACTGCTGATTAAGGGGCAGTCTCGTAGAACTAGCAATTGTTTATTCATTGTCTATATCGAGTTCAGGGCAATAAGTTTGGGTTTGTTGGGTAAGTGCGAAATACCAATAAATACCAATAAGTAGCCCCCATCGTCAATCGGCATGGGTCATTAAGCGTCCCTTTTAAACTCGATAAGCAGATGTGGCGTAAAGAAATACCATCTCCGGTCTAGAGCAGGAGGGAAAACTGACTCGAATTCCACACATATTTGTTATCAATATGTAGACTGAGATTCGGTTAATTCTGTAGCATTCGGGAAATCTGCTGCGGAATGAAATTTAATGGTCGCCTATACAGGTAACCTACGTGTTGACACTCACTATTCTCCTATTACCCTTTCTCTTCTTAACATGTAAGTACCGGTTTTCCCGGTGTAGTACGTTATAAGCTATGCAATTCTTCTGTGATGTTAATTTAGAACATGGCAACTAATTATTCACCCTGACCTTCTTAGCATTACTTGTGGTGGGTATACTTTCCAGTAGTAAGCCGTGGTGGGCAGAGATGTCTGCTCTGGTTTGTAGGTAGAGAGCTTCCGATAGAGTAACCAATATCAACCAGGTTTTAATTGATTGTGTACATTTCTGGTGACTCGAGTGATCATAATATACCAGGTGCAGGTCCCCGTCTCTCATAAGCTATGACGTCCAGGATTAGTATATGTAAGCTGAATATATGTTTCTCCTCCACTATGTTGCCATCAAGGCCAACTGGAATTTCGTATGTGATATGTGGGATCTTAAGTGACCAGTTAACATGTCTGTGTGTTCTATACGATCCTCGTCGTCCCATATTCGGCTTATGTGCTTGAATATGGTGGGGAGCCTGGTTATATTGCTCCACGGTGTTGGGAGGATCCAATCTAAGGGCTTCTTCCTAACCAGCAGTAACTCGTATACCTGCGACATGTGTGTGCCATTCTGGCCTTTCTCTATTGCAATAATTTGACTTATCTCAGGACAATATTGACGAGTTGATGCGAATATTGAAGTCTGCATTGGGTCATCTCGGGTCCTTTATCGAATCCCCACACCAGTCCTGGATTGAATGGATCACAGAGTCAACATCCACGGGAGCATATGCAGAACGAAGGGGGCATATTTGAAAGCCGATAAAGACAGTGGGGGGTAATCTGCATGTTCCACTTGAAAGTCGTGATGTCAACATGCTGCGTGTGTTGTTCTGGTTATCTCTGCTTCCTCTCTTTGACTTTCCGTGCGGGGTGAGGGGAAGACAAAGTTGTCGAGAACCCCAGCAGTCCATACCGAAATTGTATATCCATCTCACCTACGGACCATGTTAGCATCTCTAGCTAGCTAAGTATAGATGGCAATAAGGTTAATCCATAATTCGAATACGATATCGAAGTGTGGAATCCGCCGTCCTTGCTGCGCTGGAAGTAGGCTGGAGTGCGTGAATTTTTGGGGTCTGCTATTCGTTCTGTGGACCCCTAGTGATTTTTCCATTGTCCTTTGGAGTGTGGAGGATTTTTAAGAGCCTGAGATTTGATATGAGGCTTTCGCAAGGACTGCTAAGGTTCGGATACAATCACAGATGGTGATGATATATAATCATCGGTGTATTCGCTCCGCATCCCCATTATCGGCTCATTATTGCACATTATTCCTCGCAAAACCGACGAATCATCAGATTCAGATCGGGTTAGATTAAGACTCAGAGTACCCAATTTCTGGGCATCTCCGTGTCAGTGTATCGAGTTGCATGCAGACTTGCAGATTCATTATCGTCACCTCGATGAGGCCAACGGCTAGTTATCTGAAAGTTTGAAAGACTGTCGATCAATAGAACAAAAGGACGAAGCTTTCTTTCAACAAGACGCCCTGGTGGTCTAGTGGTATGATTCGCGCTTAGGGTCAACCCTTTGCTTAGCTATATTGCGCGAGGTCCCGCGTTCGATCCGCGGCTAGGGCCGTCCTCTTTCTATATCTTTTGATATATATTTTTTGCTCTTTCTCCATATTGTCCCCAATGGCGCCCGTTTTTATTATTTTGTCTGTATATTGTTATCACCCTTCCCATAGTCAACTTAACCAGAATGTAGAACATGAGTCTGACATTTCTGTTTGACCTGGAATAATCATTATTTGTCTCCCCGCTCTTCCGGCACGAGGCCGCACAACAGGCGCCTGGCAACCACCCTGTCAAGTTGAGATGTCAACCTTAAGTGGAGCGATCACAACAAATTAAAAGATGCACCTCTTGGGAATATCTGAAATGATTCTTCGGATAGAATAACCGATGACGTGCGCCCAAATGCGGGCATACAGAGAGCAGTAAACCAATCGAATCCAATGACACTTTGTCCGAGTAAACAGCGAGACATCTATCGATGCAAAACACCCAATCATATCAAGACAGAGTCAAAGAACGTCCTGCTAATCCATTAGATGCGCTCCTGCCCCCTCGTAAAACCGAATCTGTAAAAGAAGCTACTACTAAACGGCTCAAAGGACGCTCAAGCCTAGTTTGGTTACAAGACAGAGCATGCATCCATGGAGTGGGCTGTTTCTTTTTACTGTCCAACTAACTAGCTAGTATTATTATTACTTTGAAGCGAATAGATAGCGCAGAATGAAATGGAAAGTCGTCGAAAGGAAAATCGGCAAAACAGATACTGAGCATATGCCATGTGTACTCCGTGTTGACTGTTCTATATCTCCATATCTCCGTGGGAAATGTATGCATCTGACAGTAGCAGTTTCCGCTCATAAAGTACCACCACGTTCCTTGTTCGAACCACGTAGCGAAATCCTCTCGAATCATTCTTTATTTATCAATTACTTCCTCTGAACCTATTGTCACCTATACTAGAATACGCGTACGTAACCAAGCGGGCTATCCTCCATAAGTCTATACTAACTGGGGTAAGGAGATAAGTTAGACCACGTCAAGTCAACTACAAGCTTGCGCCCTAACCTGGCGGGGCAAAAAGCTTGACAGTGTACCACTGTACCATAATAATTATTGCATATGCTCCGTAGAGCTAATCGAATACCGTAGATAATTGGTTTTTCTAACGACATGAATCCTCCAACGAGGACAGTAACCCTCTTCTGTCCCACTTTCTCTCAGTCCTCACCGGTATTTCTCCCCCCACTATAATATACTTAGAATCTCAACTAACAGTTGAGATGAAACAATCCGTTTCTATCGGCCCCTCCCTTGCTAAGAGTCTTGACATGTCCGGACTTCGTGGCAATAAGTTAGTCAACTACGGAGTAGTTAGTGGAAAGTTCGATCTCGTCCTAACTCGAGCACGGACATGAAGATGGGGAATCACATCTAGTTACCGTAATCGGCCCCTAGTTTCGGACACCGCGCGCAGCGCGGGTCTGCCACCTCAACATAAATACCCAGCTTAATGTAAATCCATATAAAATCTATTACTTTTTGAAGCTTTTAAACCTATTAAATCTAATTAATTGCCTAATTAAATATAGTGCTATATAGAATAGGATCCCCTTTAGTTAGTCTATATCTTTAAAGCTATCTTCTACAGCTTTATTATCTATTTAAGCTTAATTATTACCCGCTTCTATTTAAACTTTAACTTTTATAATATTTCTCTATTACTATCCTTAAAAATTTATAATTAAATATAGTCTATATTATATTTTATTATAATACCTCTGCGTTATAGAACCTTTTTAAATACTCTAATATAGACTTAATAGGCTAGCTGTACCCTAGCTAAGGCCTTAAACTTCCTCTATATTTAATCTATAATATAGGACTAAGCAATACTATTTTTTAATAGTTTTTAAAGCCTATTAATAAAGTAAGCTAAATTAAATTTAAGCTCTAATAAATAATATTAAAACTATTTAAATTATTAAGCAATATTTAATATATTATCTAAGATAAATAACCTATTAATATTAAGGTGCAGGCTTAAGAAGCAGGTCAGAATAAATAGAATAAAGTAGTTAATACTAGGACTAGCTACAGGATCTCTATTTAGCTAATTTAGACTAAAATAGGCTATTATAGGCAGGCTTAGTAAATAAGATATAGTTTAAAAAGCTTAAATTTAGATTAAGCTATATATTAAAAATATCTTTATAAGATTATATAATTCCTTATATAATTTAAAAGGATTTAAACCTTACTCTTTTAAATTAAGTAAGTATTAGCTAATAGGTTAATTATTCTATTCTCTATACTAATATTATAATAATACTCCCCTTTTTAAGATTAAGCTCTATTAAAATTATTCTTAGGCTTTAGCTTATTTAAATAGTAGTAATAAAAGTTTATAATAATCTCTTAAATATACTATAAATAATATATAGGCTTTTTAATTAAATTATTATAACTTAATTACTTAATAATATATTATAGTTAAGAGCCTTTATACTTATAATATTTTTATTAAGAATTTAAGATATTTTTAATAATCTATTCTTTAAGGCTATTAACTTCTATAGGCAATAATAAAAATTATC